TCCTCACAAAACTAAGGACGATAATAATTAAAACAAAGAGATCCTCTCAAAAACAGGACGACTACCAATAACAGGTGACAGCTACACACACACATATATATTCGTAACAGTGTGTTTTTCTGAGCCCAGTTATTTTATCAATGAGTAGTTCAGTGAAAATAACAGATTTTTTTAGATAGAATATTAAAGTATTTACATATTCTATTCAAATCACCAGACCAACAAAGGTCTGATCTTACAGTAATGATTTGTGACACCACTTCCTAAAAATCTATGTGTACCTGAATACTTTAAAAATTGAGGAATCTAAATTAAAAAAAATGTTATTGACAATATGAATATGATTTGACTAAATGTGTTTTTAAGGCAGCTAAAACGGATGCATTTTTTAAATGAATGGCTATAATCAGTTCTGACATCGAGCAGTTTACCATAATATTAAAGATTATTGTTGATTTCAATGAGATGGTTTAAATAGACATCAACAGGCCTGCAGAAGACTTCAGATCATGTTGAATGTTTCAGAGAGTCATTTATCAGAGCAAGATAACCCACAAGATAAGCTTTGTGTTGGTGTGTTGTATTCAATTACAGCATTTGACACTGCTCACCTCAGGCAGTAAAATCCTGACTTAGGGTTATGACTTCAGTCCAAATAAAAGGAGACTATTTGTTTACAGAAAAAAGTCAGGTTTTACTCTGCTCTTGTTAAGGGAAGCTAAATATTAATAATTGTTGTTTTAATTAGTTGTGCATGTCTTGAAAAATCTCATATGAATAAGATCCTCCTTTATCCGGTTACCACAGTTAGATGAGACTAATGAAATGGATTTCTTTCCTGTGACTTCAATGTCACTTTTAAGACAAACTGAACTTCAATAACTAAAGCTCTTGGACAGAGTTTTTAGCTGTTGTAAAAAATGAATAAAATGGATCCAGAATATCAGCATAAAAAGTTTTATTGTTCTAAACTTCTGCTGGAAAAAAAAAGTGAATTAGAGAATGCCAATTAAAAAACATTTCTGGCTCCAGAACTTCTGAGGAAATGTGTCAAAAAATTACTCAAATATTATTTTACTTCATGTTTTCTGATATCATGTAATGAACTATCAAACATTCGGTCACCTTCTGAACAAGACATTTATCATTCAAATTTTGTTATTAATCAATCTAATCAAATTATTTTATTACAGATAACAGATGTGTTTGGAGGAGTGTAAATGGTGAATGAGCTGGACCCATTTGGTGAGCCGTGATTAATGCAATGTGGTAAACCACCCCACTGATATGTATTTCTTGTAATCCAATCCCAGTTCTATACATGCTGCAGGTGCACCGTCCGCCTCTGGCAACAAAAATACCAAACATAGTCACCACACCCTGTGCACCTTGCCTGGTTGACTGCCCTTTCCCCCATGCACCATTGGTTATCTCATAACATGAAGGGTGGGGATGCTCTTAGTGTCAAGTGATGTAAAAGTGACTTTGTTAGTGGTGTGTAAAGAAGAGCATTTTTTCCCATGGTGGAAATATTGGTGTGGGGAAGACTCATAGAGGCAAAGGAAAGGTCACTGCAAGAGGTGTGATCATTATGTTCAAGGCATGAGGTCACTTCTAAACCATGCTGCCTGCCTATAAAGCGGGTGTTGGTCACATAATTATGGCAATGCCCTTTTTAGTGCATTAACAGGTTGAAGTTTCCCGGAGCTGTCAGCATTACTATCCACTATCAGGCAGGACACTGTGTTACTCATGGTGCAAATAGGCAAGCGTCCTTCCCGCCAGACTTTTGGTGCTGCGGCACATCTGCAGTGCCAGTAACAACGGCAATATATGCAGCTCATGCAACACACCTTTCTTTACAGTCTCTATATGAGTGTATCTAAACACACAGCAGCCTGGGAGGAAGACTGAGCTGAAGTTAACTCCACACACATTACTTTGTCATGCGCTTCAAACTTTAACCTATTTTTACTGATCTAAGGACTCAGACTCCTTTTGCGTCCTCAAGATAGCAACACGCCACATTTGCACCAGACTACAAGTTATATCAAAACCAACACACTCCTGGGCGCTAACGTGGGCACAAGTTCATTTGATTGTGTCAGATGCAAAATAACTGGCACTTGTGGTGCACACTTTAACCCTTTACCCTGGGTGTATGAGAGGGACCTTGGATTGGTAACCTTAAAAAAATCACATACTACATAACTGACCGGTGTAACTGACTTTCTTTAAGACACCCTCCAGTGGCCACTATGAGAAATGCAATTGTTAGCACTAAATTAGCTCTGTATTTAGTCTAATAGATTTCTGCTTGTATTGTAGACATGCACTATTCACATTTTCTGCCTTTTCTTTTTCAGAAAAAGCATTTGTTTAAATCACTTTCAACACAAGCAGCATTAAAAGCGAAAAAATTTACATATGAATCAGATGTAAAGAAATTATTTATAATGGGACTTTGCTAGAAACCTTGAGACAACAAGTGGTGTCCAATTGGTTAGCTATTTTCTTTAAGTTTATGGTGAGTTGACCCCCATTTGAAAAAGACACACACTAAGCTCAAAACACATCTGAGAACAGTTAACACTTCCTGGTCTTTTGGCTATTGATTCATTCAGCTCTCTGTGTATTGTGGGTTAAACAGACAATAAGGTAATGGGTAACCCTAAAAACAACACCATAAAGTCATTTCATGGCAGGAAGTGTACGATAGTACCCTGCATTCTTTAACTAGTTTACCTTTTGCCTTTATTCCCTGTAAGAGGTTCATCAATGTGCATTTGTTTAACAGCTGGAAAATGTAAATCTTGTAAGCACTTGAATGTGATCCTTTGCTTTTGCAAAAATTGAATTAGTAGTATTTGGTTGTTTTACTTTTATGACCAGATTTAATAAAGGCTTCAGGGAAAATAGTACACACCTGTATGTGGCTTACTATTGTTAACAATTTTATCTTTTCTCTTTATTATTGGCTGCTGATATTTTTTATCATACTTAGAGGAATTGTTCATACAAACAGTTCATATTCATAACAAATCAGTTCTTACGACCAGTTAATCTTTTGTCTGACTCTACACTTACACAATGAGCAGTTTATAATGCATTACTTCAGTTAAATATTGTGAATCCCCCTTGAGAAGTTTGCGACTTCTAGTTGTATTGCTAGTTGCATAAATTGGATGTTTGCCTGTATGAGCAAAGTTGTAATGCCAAATGAGAAGAGTAGATCCAAGCTAAGAGGCCAGCACAAACCACCCTAAAAGCCCTGTATTTCATAAATGTCCTGGTAAACACTGTACTAATTGTGGGATATAGATGATAATGTGGCATCCTCTTCTTATAGTGAGGCACTGTATCAAAACATGGCTTTAAAATGGTTTGAAACTGTACTTGAAAACCAGCTTGAATGCTCCAATCTTTAATTTTTGGAACTGTCTTAATGTTAGACACTTTATGTTCACTGGGCCAGTTACCTTACTTTAAAACGTAAAGTAGCATCAAGGCTTATGGCCTCCTTTACTTTTACAGCTCATATAAGAACCAAGGTATTAATTTCAGTCTGTTTCATAACTTGCTAAAAAGTCCTCACAGGAGCTTCGACTACCTTACTTCACCTTACTTCTCTGCAGAAGGTTGGAGGGAAGATAGTATAAAAAATATTGTAGGCCTACTTTTTTGAACACATGTAGTGCAGAAAAGGTATGATTCCATTCAGTAAAAATATCAATTGCATATGTATGGTGGCCAAGAACTGCCACTGCTGCAAATAAAAAAGAATGCAAAAAAAAAGAAGCCACAGTGGAAGTTACCGATCTAAAAAAAAAAGAAAGAAAAAAAATGAAGCCCACTGCAAATAAAAAAAGAAAGTGCAAATAAAAAATCAAACAAAACAAAAAGGAAGTTAACAACGTAAAAAAGGCCTATAGTTAACAGATTTCTCACATGTATTTGTACGGTGGCTGAGAAGCGCCACTGCTGCAATTAAGAAAAGAATGCAGAAAAATAATATTAATAATAAAAAAAAGAAACAGTGCAAATAAAAAAAAAGCCACAATAGAAGTAAATGACACACAAAAAAAGTGGTAATGGACAAAAAAAAATAGTTACTTACTGCGAAAATAAAAAGATGCAAAAAAAAAAAAATAAAAAAAAAACGGAAGTGAGCTGCCTGGGACCAATAATGATAATGCACCATACACAAAACAAACAAAACAAAACGGAAGTTGTCAATGCTAAAAAAAAGTGGTGATGCAAAAAAAGATTAAGTTACTTACTGCGAAAATAAAAGGTTGCAAATTAAAAAAGCCACATCAGAAGTGAGCTACCGGGGACCAATACTGATAATGCACTGGTGTTTTATGATCTACGCACAGAGGACGATGGCAAGAAGATGAGCAAAGAAGTAAGTGGAAAGGTTATTTTTTAATTTCGCTTTGTGTACTTTTTAATGTGTAATTTGATTGGGCCATGTAACCCCTGAGTCGCTATGATGTTGAACTGAAGCTAAAACTACACCGGCATCCTCCAGTTCAACTTCACATCGACGCAGGCCAAAACACTGGTGCATTATCATTATTGGTCCCCGGCAGCTCTTTTCTGTTGTGGCTTTTTTATTTGCATCCTTTCATTTTTGCAGTAAGTAACTTTTTTTTGTCCATCGCCACTTTTTGTGTGTGTTGTTAACTTCCATTGTGGCTTCTTTTTTTTATCTGCACCGTTTCTTTTTTTATTATTACTTCTTTTTGGCATTCTTTTTTTTATTTGTAGCTGTGGCGGTTCTCAGCCACCGTACAAATACGTGTGAGAAATCTGTTAACTATAGGCCTTTTAACTGCCTTCCTACTACTGCTGCATTAAAACTGCCACTTGTTTTGTAGGGGGCGAGGTAATAATTATCCACACTTGTGTGAACACTGTTACCTGACTTGTTTTGTAACTCACTCTGGGGCGACAGTGCAGAGGTTGGCTCCCTCTGACGCTGTGGTGCAGGTTTCAGTGTTGCCCAGGCCGGGCCCAGTGCCGCAGGTTGTCCGGTAGGGTGCCTGTCGAGCTACAAGCAGCATGCTGTTGATGTCAGGAGTAGAGAGAGAGGAGGGGAACGTGAGGAATGGCTGAAAACTGACGGCGATATCCTGTTATAGGAAACAAACCTGAACTAAAGACCTCACCGTCTCCGTATCAGCCTGTGAGCGTCGTATTAACAGTCAGGCGCTGCCCGTCGTAGTGTGAGTAGTTGTTTAATGGGACAACGAAAACGCAAAAAACGCAAGGTAGGCTACTGCTCCTGTCGCCACTAGACCTGCTACTTTATTTTCATGGACTAATACGACACACAGGAGGGTTGTGAAATGTTTCACAGCAAGGTAATTCGCTCTTCTTGGAAGATAATGTTTGTTTCGCAACATTAGCCGAACATTAGCATTGATATTTTTTTCTGTCAGGCGCGTGAATGAACGTTAAATTTTGTTACGGAAAAGCGACGGTTAGGCTTCATCCCTTCATGCCTCAAACCGACCAACCACATGATAAGTCGACGTCCGGAATAGGTTTAACCACAAAATACCACTAAACCTCGTTTTTATCGCTTTCACCTGAACCGAGGAGTGGGAAAATGCGTGTGGACTTGTTTTGGATGTGTTTGTGGTGTTTCCTTCGCCCCGCTTCCACCGGTCAGGGGCAGTCGACGGCCGTGTGTTCACCCGCATGCAGCTGTGATGAAGATGGGGGTGCAGACTGCTCCGGCAGAGGGCTGACCACCGTCCCAACCGGGCTCAGTGCTTTAACCTACTACCTGTAAGTATTAACCAACATCCACAATGAAATACAGCCTCATAACACGCTTGTTCACTCATAAAAGCCCCCCTGCTGAGACCTGGGTATGGGGCATTGCTGTGTTTACATCTCAAGTAAATATTTGATATACAATTCCATGGGGCCAACTTCCTACAAATGGCTCACTCGAGACAAATGTCCAAATGAAGATGTAGATTCCCCTATTGAGCGTGTCACAACTTTCCAGTACAGCAGAAAGTCAAACCTAGGGCTCAAACTAAAAACTATGACTCACATTCATTATGCACTTTAACTTAATTACTTGAGTCAGAAATGGGTTTAAAGGACGATGTCAGTTTTCTTAGAACCAAGATCATGTCTTCAAATGTCAGTTTTGGTTCATAACACTAAAATATTTACTTGAGCAGTTAAAAGTTGTGAAACAAACACGGCATTTTCACATTAAGATTTTTCTCCTTAAAAAAAAAAGTCTTTCAAATTAAAAGTGATTAAATGTTATCAAGTTGATTAAATTCCACTTGAAACAATATAACATCAACGTTGAGTTTCCACTAATGTTGAATAGTAATATCAGATTTTAGAATACATAAGTACCAAAACTTAAGTCACTTGTAAAAGTGGTCTGCTGTGCACATGGACAGCTCATTCAATCCATGCGTCTTCATTTTCAGTGTCTGGTCAAAGAAGACATTAAAGTGACTTTTGTGGTTTTGGTTCCTTTGCATTGATAGGCAATGTGGACATGGCATCATGGATAAGATTGTGATGGATGTTCATGACATTCAGACTCATCAGAACTGGAGACGCATATAACGTACATGAATTTTATCAAATAGTAACCTCAACTTAGTCCATTTAGTTTCACAATGACCACCTGAGCGTCTCTTTTAAGGAGCCTAGTTAAGTTTCCTTGGTCGATGCAATCAATTGAATTTCTTGATTCAAAGAAATGTACAACCCCTCAACATTTTGTTTGTATTTGTAAGCTTAAGTTGTTGTTTAAATCACAATACTTACACAATACTAAGTTGAAATGTGTGGTTAGGAAGTGGTTTAAGACTAAAAATTAGGTAATAAGCATAATGCTCAAGTCACGGACGGGTCTGATTTCATTGAGGCATACAAAGGTTAAAGCCAGCAGTGCCATCTACCAAGAGCTGTCTGTTCATCACGAAATAATAGAAATTCCAGATTTCGTTATATCATCACATTTTCTCTGTGCTACTGCTTGAGTTGAGGGCACCAGGATAGGTTAGATCTTTACACTGTAGTTCAGTTACAGTTGATGATTGCCCCATGAAGAAACTCCTTAGTTTGTTTCACAACCACCGGGTTAATCATAAACCTAAGTAACCACCTCAACAACAGCATTGAAAATGTCAATTTATTGTGAGCTTTTATAATTACAGTGCACCTTTTAGAGAAGAAAAAAATAAATAATGAGTTAGAGTTTACAGACACTTACTGAATAACCTGTATTTCACTCTCACTGTGCTAAAGGTTTAAGTGTGGTGTCTTGTTTGTGGAAAAATTTGCGCTGTTTTGCCACTCCATAAATGTAAGAAAAGAGACTAAGCCTGCTTCCAGGAACCAGTACAGTGCCTCTAGAAATTCCTATTGTTAAGAAAGTGTTAGGTAAGGAAAACAGAGGAAGTACATTCATATACTAAGCTGTCAAGACATGTCACACTCAGTGAATTGCTCACAGCTGAAACTTCAAGCATACCTTTTAAACTGTGGGAAAGATACTCAAATTCATTACAGGCAATCTCTAACCTCAATCACAACATGAAGCAATGTTTTTGCAGAACGATATCATAACCAGCACTGCTGCTCTGTTTTCTTATGTACTGCAAAAGTGAGGGAAAAAAATGTTGTTCTCAAGATTGTACTATCGTCTTGCCTTGCCACTTGCTCTGCACATGGTTATCTAAACGCAGTGTGACAGCTTTTAAACACTAAACTGCCCAATGTATTCACTCCAAACTCCTAAAAGTATGTGAAAGGTTGCTTGTCCCTCTCTCTGTCCTGCTCTCATTTGTTCCCCTGGTCTCTTGAACTTAAGTTGTCCTCTCCCACTCCCTCCGTCTTTTGTATGTGGAGCAATGGGGTTAGGGATCATGATGGATTAGTGAGACATATTGCAGCTGCAAGAGCTCCATCTTCTCAGGGCTAATGCACTCACAATAGACTGCTGATGTGTAAAAGAAAAATGTCACATATCAGGGTTTTGTCATTGCAGTATTTCTACTGCATTTCTTCATTTTTTTGCATTTATCAAGTGGTGTAATGACAGAAAAAAAAACAGAATCTTGCCTTTCAGCACCAACAGGACAGGGTATTCATTTGAAGCTACAAATTAATCCACAGTGGCAGAAAGAGGAAGTGTTTTGTAATCATAACAGTGCCCAAAGGTCAGGGGAATGTCATTTCAATCTATTGTTTACCCACCTTTATCTAGCTGCTGTTAATTTACTTCAGAAATTACTCATACTGATGGAAGGCCAAGCATTTAACAATAAATCATATGACAAAGTTGGAGTGGACTCTTACCTACAACCCACAGGGGCTTGAGATTTGGCATCTGTAGTGGAAACAGCCCTCTCACAGGAAAAACAGATGAGAAAAAAGAGAAGGCTCCTCAGCCAATGACAAAGCAAACACTCCTTCAGATAGTATGTAGTTTACCTGCCAGTGATCTCTGATAGGTGTTTTTGTATAGCTTCTTGAATTTATGTGCTTACTAACGGACTAAGAAGGGGGTTATTGAGGCTTACATCTCAGATGTGTTAGGTTCTTTCATAGCGAAAACAAGGTTGAAGCTGAGGGAAGAGGGAGGGGTAGCATCAGGGGTCTTGCACTCTGCTGGTGGAGCTTGCCGGCTTCACCATTGGTGCCCTCAATCCATTTTTAACTGAATGATACTTTTGTTCTTGGTCAGCAGAGGTGAAAGGAGCCAGTCAGTAGTTCTCAGCCCCAAACAGGATGACTTGTGGATGGGAGAATATTAATGCCCTCTGGCCCCCTCTCCAAGACCCCATCCTCCACCTATGTTATTCCCATCCCCCCACCATTTTCTTTCTGCGAACCAGTGTAGATTTTTCTGATTTTTTTCTCTCTGTAATTCAAAACTATTAGGAGATGAGTGTGGTAGAAACATGAGGTAGTTTGTCAAGTTGAGTTTTCCATGTTAAGTAGTATTCGTTTGCCTAGTATTATTTTGATGGAAGGAAAGGACTGTGATACCTGCTCGGATCAATTGAGGTGGGTTTAAAGTAGCTTGGGAGAATTTGATGGTTTACAAATAATAGTGAATTTCTTGGAAGTTGATCTGACACATGGCAAATACTTTACTAAAGGGCATTCTAGCTTGTGATAGAGTCATGACCAGAATCCTTTTGGCACCACCAAGTAGCTGACACTGATCATGGGTGATAAATATTTAAAAAGATTGTACATACATTCTCTGACAGATCATCTTCCTTGCAATTAAAATTGTATATAATTAGTTGTTAGTTGTCTATGGTCTAAATCAGGAATTACAGGCTGACGCAAGACTGTGGGATTAAGAACTAGCTTACCCTTTTAGTGTTTTCAGTGATTGACACATTGAGTGCATATCATCATAAGTAACATATTTAAAGTGTTTCCAGAGACAGTACACACTTCATCATGGTTGTTGGCACACATATTTATCAGTACCTATTAATTTGACTACTCTGACTAGCATGCTACTGATAATAGAACACTATTGATGCACCTCTGAAACTTTTTGTTTGAAACTTGAGTTAAAAAATTTCAGTGCCAGTATGTCAGTTATAGGCACTGGTAAGCTATACGGACTCTGGCTGTGGTGTAGAAAATCTAGTAGCCCTTGTTGAATGGTCTGGATCTAGAGCTGTCAATTTTTCTGTATAATCCCATTTGAATTTCATTCCAAATCAAAACAAAAACCAAGATTTGCTGTGTATGTCAAGCACATAGACTGTATATAGAATGGACAGCGTCTGCCTCCTTGCTGGGTGAAGCCACTCAGAGAACAGCACCCTCTGTTGACGGGCTGCTGTACAGGTCATAAATCCCACCTCCTCCAGCAAAGCTTATGGGGCTAATTAAGAAATTAATTACACAGAACATAAATTTTTCTTCCCCCTGCTCGTGGTGTTGACATGTAGTTACAGTAAGACTGGTTTGTGCTCAAGTCCTCTTTTTTCTGTGAAGCTCTGTTTTTACAGCCTATTGGCGTTCAGGGATTGCGTAGCTCACCCGGGGATACGCTGTTTGAGCCGAGCGTCATCACAGCGGCACTTGGCAACTCTTGGCGACGAAAGCGCACAACGCTACTGCGCAGCGCTGGTTTCAGGAAATGAAGAAGAATCCCGGAAATACCGAAAGCTTTTTGGCTTCATATCCATATACTGGCGGGAGGCGGAACCAAGTTGTCCATAGTGTACAGTCTATGGTCAGGCATGACTGAGCCCTGGGCTCAATAGGAATATGCAAGCAGAGCATCGCCCAGTAAAACAAAACTCATTGAGTCCACTTGCTTGGTTATTGAGAAACATGCGAAATTTGATACATTTATTTGATGTATCTAACAGTTTAAAACAGAGAAACATCCAATAAATATAATAAGAATTTTTAAAAAAATACAAAAAGCAGTTAAATAATTTCTTTTTCTATTAAAATGAAAACGTGTTGCTGTGAATGTTGAGTTGGTTGATTGTGGTGCTACACAACCTAGGAACGTGACTTTAAAAGTTTAGGTTCTGTAAAGGCGATGTTGTGAATTTCGTCTTTGTTAGCACTTCAGTGTTGGCTTGCTTGTCATGCTACTGCTCTGGTTCCATGTCAATCATTCTGCACTCTGAATAGTCATGTGTCTATAAAAACCATACTGCGTGCCACACGCCCTGTCGGAGCAGCAGTTGAACATAACCAATTGAGACTCCAAACAATCATTGGGGATGTTGTAACGTTTACAGACACGCATATGCACATTTGTTTGGATCGTAAATTGCTACCTTATGTGCGGTTATGTTATTGCACATGCTCACGTCATGTTTTCAGTTGCAGTTGCATAAATTGTGCAGTGCTTGTGAGTTGACATCTTTAAATGTTGTGCCAACTGACAGTCCAAAACTAAACATATTTCATAATTGATCCTAAAACACAAAAAAGGTTAATAGTGTTTTCATATTCATAACTTATATATTTCTTTGTCAAAAGAGCTCAAAGCTGCTTTTCACCTGCAACCCAATGAAAATACTATCTGACACATAAAGAGATGCTTTGCCCCAGTGTCTTTATATCCATTTCTCTTAAACTGTGACAGAAACCTGAATGCCAAGCTGTGTCAGATTATGTCTTTAAGTGACATGAGATGGCTCATGAGAATTTGTATTTTTTCTGTTTCCATAATCTTCACTACTGCAGGGTTTATTTAACTACCAATAACAAGGAAAACAGGGCTTCTGCTGTTTTGTACTGCGTTAGCACTTAAGATTTGAGAAATAGATCATGCCATGTCTATAACTGTCAACTGCAAGTGCTTTTGGTTAATGCTTTATGATGTATAAAAAATAACAACACATGCAGTTCACATCATATGAGTTTTCAACAGAGACTGTCTGTTCCGCAGTGAATAATACTGTAACTGTGTCTTTCATTAAAAGCTTAATTTGCTGTTACATTTTGTACAACAAGATGTGAGCTGCAAGCATGGTTCTTCCTTCAAGTGTGTGCCAACTTCTTTGTAATGGTTTTTCAGTGTTTTGAATTCAGGATATTGTCTAGTATTGTGTTGTATCTGTCTAACTACTGATAGTGACAGGGGTTGCATTCCTCTGTGCACTATAGGAACAAACAGGTTAATCACTCACGCAGACTCCTAAGACAACAAACTTGTTTTGCATGGCTCACTTTAAATAAACCAGAGGAGAGTTTGCACGGCAGAATACCATACTGACAAGCACTGTCTGTATTTAAGCAGGATGTTCATATATACTATAGTTTTTAAATGCTTGGATTTCCTTGATAATGCTTGATAAAGATATAAAAAAAGGTATCCATCATATTTAGTCTTGCCTCTTACAGTCAGTTTCGTGTTCCTTAAAAACAAACAACTTGGCAACAGTTGTGTGGCTGGTGTTAATCAGTTAATGCGTGGCTAACTTAAGCAGAAATATCAGTGGAATTGTAGTTTCTGGAAGCATATCAATCCTTTAGCTCATTGACACTTTAATCACTGTCTGTCTGTCATCGATGTCCTCCACAGTAGCCGCGGTGTCTCCAAGAAGCTGTTTGCAGACTGTTTCGTAATGTATTATTATCATGCCTGTAGTGTTTTATTTCATTCATGTGCGTGCATTTCAGAGTAGAAGTTTCAGACAGCGTCCGGATTTAGACTTCAATTTTTGTTCAGTTTACACTTTAAGAATATGTTTGTGCTCAGGCATCTTTTCCTTTTCTGTGCAAGTCTGCTACTTTTCTCAGATTCTGCTCCCCCTCTGCTAAAATGAAGCCAAATAACACATGGGATAGAAATTTACTGATACCTGTTTGTGGAAGCGTTTAGGCTTGTCACCATTTATCACAGCTGCATTTTTAGTGTCTCCTTCAATCTATCTTAGCAAGGACAGGACAGGACCTTGATGAGTAAAGCAGCCAGACTCAGAGGGAGGGAGGAAGTGTGATAGCAGCATGCAGGCCTCCCATACTCCTGCCCTGCATGTGGTTCAAACCAGTCAACAGTTTGTGCAAGATTTAGACCAAATGTGGTTAGGGATGTATCCATCCGACCACATGTGGAGGCAGCTCTGCAGAACACCACCAGAGATGTTGTCTGCCTATGAGAGAATGATTGGAAGTAGGTAGATGTTGATAGAAGTGTTGTTGTAGCCGCGCAGTCTATATGGTAATTGGATAACCAGGTAAGGGGAGATGGGACCCAGGTCGCAAGGATGATGAGGGTTCTGTCCGGGCCCGCCTTTTAAGGCTTCTGTGCGTCTGTGTGTTTGTGTGAGTCTCTGTGTGTGTATTTGGGACTGCAGAGGAAGGGCAATATGATCCATGTAGGATTCAGGGGCCCACACACAAGGTCCTACAGAGATCTGGCAGTGAAATTCAAGATGGCCAGTTGGAGAGTGAAAAGGGGGAGAGGGGGGGACAGGGGGTCGATTCATTTGTGAATCCCGGATGTACGTTTCATTTGTGAATCTTGTTTTTGGCATCCAGTTGGTTGTTCTTACAAGCATGTAAGTGAAGTCCTTATCTAGTTCAAGGATCAGGGCTGTTAAAATCTATTCAGTGGACTTCAGATATTGTCCCCTCTTTGACTGTGACAGTCCCTTATTTTTGCACAGTCTGTTGATTATCCCTCAGTGTTTTCTAACTGTTTGAAGACTTCCTGCAGTAGGAATAACCGTATCAGTTTGTTTATTTTTTGATTAGCCCGATGAAGACGTAAACACATATGCTCATATTAGCTTTGTTGGGGAAGCAAATCAAGTCCTGTGTGCATATTTTTCATGCTGCTACATGCCTATCTTTACTTGTAGTTGGTTTAAAAAATGAAGATCCCCGGGGCTAAAGAGAAGGGCTTTTTCCAAGGCTTTTTTTCTTGAGGTTACACTCGTGCAGACACAGACAAAGCCATGCAACTGCCATGAGGGATGTATGTTGCAATTACCCTATAGTTAGTACAAACTGTTTAAAATCAGCGTGTACACATCATTATATTAATATCTTGAAAAGTTTATTTTGGCTGTTTGGTTTAGTTATTCAAAAAGGCCTGATTGCAAACTTGATCTGGAATTTAAAAAAAAAAATTAGACCTTTACAAGTGAAACATTTTTAAGATTGACTTTGTTGAACCTAAATGTCTTCAGCAGATTTTTATTTTAAGATATCACAAATTAAACAGTCTGCAGCCAGCTCTTTAACTGTAAAGAATCTCTGAGTTTTTGTTTTTTTTTACTGTTATTTAGATTACTAAAAGATTTTTTTGTTTTCACAGCGACCTAAGCATGAACAACATCACTGAGCTCCCAGCCACTGTCTTCAAGAACTTCCCCTATCTGGAGGAACTGTGAGTACATGCCCAACTTTTTTTTTTCTTCTCTACTTAATGATGTATTTACTCTCTGCAATGTTGACATGAGGGCCAGGCTTCATGATATGCACCTGGGTGTTTGAGTTTGCACTGCAAAACACACAGCAGAGGTGCACACAACAGGCCCTTCTCCTCCACTGAAGAGGATAAGCTCTGAATTACATGAGGTCACAAATCACTCACCATTCTTGAATTGAACTAGGGCAGTTATAAAAGGTGCAGTAAAGCTAAATTAAAAAGGTGAGGTGTGACAACATGCATTGAAGCAGCAGTCATGTGACATCGTGTGAGGATTTTTGCTTTTAAGGGATTATCAGGGTGGCAACAGCACATCTATGCTCTGGGGCTTATGTTGAGTGGCGTACATCTAATCTTAGTGGGTGTTTGTTATTTCTTCACTCTTTAAATACTCTGCTGTCTGGCTTGGTGCTGCTGGGGAGTCGGAGATAAAATCTGTCTACCTTGTATCAGGTAACATGCAGCCTTGAGAAAACAAAATGACCAGTGAGTGAACACACTCCAGCGGTTCCAGCTCCACTTAGCCTCTGGGGTCATGTTTTTTCGGCTCTTGGGCATCTTTCAGCCGGCCGCGTCTTCACCCTCTTCTTTTCCATACACCACTCCAATCTGCTTTGTCGAAAAAGGCAATTTACTTTTCATCGCATTGTGCAGAGGAATGCAAGGCAGGGCGGAAGAGGGCAAAACAATAGTTTCCATGGCAACAAGGCAAAGAAACCCACCTAGTCTTGCTGTAAAATCTTAAATCAAAATAATGGATGGACTGTTTTAGGAGTGTCTGAGTGTCTGTTTTTGACAGAGGGAGCTTTGATTGACATTTACCCGTAGTTCATATGTGTGTTAGTTTAACCTTTTCTCCGGAGAACAAATCTGCAGACTTGTCTTAGTGAACTTTGGGGGGTGACTTTTTTTGCTGCGGGGCTGCAGCAGTTTCAGTGAACCAGAGTGTGGGCCCTTAGGGCAAAGACAGCGAGAAAGAGTTGACAGAGAAAAAGATCAGGGAGAGACGAGCGAACAGGCCATCCTCATGCAGGACAGGAGCAGAGACAAGGAAGGAATATTCCCTCCTTCGTAGTCACGCAATCTCCTTTCCTTGCTTTTCTCTCCTGCCAAAGGCACTACAAAGCTCAACAGAGGTGATGACAGGTCCTTTCTGTCTTCTTTGCAGTATGTTTATATTCCTGAAAATAAGCTGTGACCGATTGGCACCCTTTGTAACTACAGTGAGTTTTGGTAATGACAGCTGGGTCTGTCTGCTGCTGTCTATATTTTGCATTCTGTTGACAGAGTGATTTTAAAACATATATGATGTTTATTGTTATTGTGTCTTGCTGTTTTGAAAATTTCTTTTAGAAATATAATTGTCATGTTAGACTTTATTTATGTCATTTAGCATCTCGGTATTTTTTAAGTCAATCAAATTGCACCATTTTCAATAAAACTTGTTCATGTCTAAAATGAACTTTTTTCTGTCCTGCTATTTTTAAATTTGTATGAACCCAGCTGAGTTATAAATGCCACCATACAAAATCAATAAAGATTTAATCTTTGCCTTGGAATAATAGAATAACCAAATAGTAAATCTAACAACAAAAGGTACAAGTAATTTTGCAGAACAGTTTTGAATATGCGCAGAACTAAAGGTCATATACAAGCTATACAACTGCTACCTGTGAAACACGAGATTTGGGTGCTGCAAGTCACCATCAGAGTTGTTTGTGAAGCATATCTTCAAAGTAGTATGACTCTAGTTAGCTACATTCGCTCTCGGTCAGGCAAATTTTGCTTTTAGTGCACATGGCTGATGTAAACACAGACGGACATAAAACTGAGATGAGTAGGTCTGCTGTAAGTATTGTTCCTTTGCCACAGGTGTATGCAATCAAGCCTTTACGGTCAGTATCTAGTAGGGCCCGATCGATATGGATTTTTTGGGGCCGATACTGATTTCTAAGGGGTAAAAAAAATTGGATTACCGATTAATCTGCCTATTATTAAGTTATAAAAATATATATAAATACTGTAGATATCTACAGTATACTTTAGGCTGCTGTTCTTCACGCCGACAGGAAGACCAACTGATCAAACTCGGAACAGAAAAGCGTTTTCACCCCCACCCCACCCCCAACCCCATGAGGTGAGGTAGTTCGTGGATGAAGATTGTCATGAGGTCGCTGTGCCTTCTACAGGATAAGTCGGAGGGTCTTTTCAAATCGCGGAACATTTTCAAAGTGAAACCGAATCTTATTCTCTGCTTTTTATTTCTGAAAATATCGGCGAAAATCTGCGAGTTTTGGCCGATTACTGATTGGTTTCAAATGGGCTAAAATTGGCCCGATTTAATCGGTCAAACCCTAGTATCTAGTCCCTACGTACTAGGACTGGATAGGTACATCCATACAGAGCTGAAATTTTTTGTTGTTACTCTCATAGTGAGCATACACTAAACTGCAGAGCTTTTTTGACAAACATACACCAAAACAACAAAAAATCTTTTGTCTATCCATCAATCATTTATTTATATTGTTATTTAGGTTAAATGCACTTAAGGAATGATAGACAAGTTTTCTCCAAGTGTTTGTGAGAACACATAGTCACATCTTTACATTGTCTTCAATCAGAGAACTATCAGAGCTAAACAGGCGCTAAATGATCTTGCATTTGACCATCACATTTGCAATGTGCCCGTGTACATTTTTCACATTGCAGGATCCATGGTGTCAGTCATATGACCCCAAGCACATCATGCTGTCACCACTTCCTGGTTGTACATAATCTACAACAAACATCTATTCAACCTCACTTTAGTGGAGTCCCTTACTCTAAATAGAGCTGACCATTGTGCATGCAGAGTCAGTATCTGTGTGTCTCATGACTGTTAGACATGCATGTGAAGGCTGCTGCTTTTACACATATAGGTTTTTCTCTCAATTAAGAAGACACTATCCAGGCTTATGTCAGAAACCAGTGTCTCTTTTTAATAATGTCATTTGTATTGCAGAAATGAAGATACGTACGTGTCAGTTTTTGTGTAGGTATTATGTAGCTCTACACTGAACTACTTATTTCACATTTCAATACTGCAGAGCTAAAACTAAAATCTAAGCAGTATTTTTATGAAAAATTGACCATAAGTTTTTCTTTTCTGTAACCAAGTCTCTTTTTTTAAGAGAATAACTACTGATGTCTGTAATATGATCATTTTTAAATGGCAAATTTGAACTATGAATTGAACTCTCCTGCTTATGATAGCCACCATTACCAGCCTGGATACAAAAAGGTGTGTATTGTACATGTGTAAGCATGTTGTGGGGAACGGGTGCTTGTTTTGGTTTTGCCTCAGTCATTTCCTAAATAGAAAATCAAACTACATTGTTGGGGTAGAATTTGAAGCCCAAAGATTTTTCCCCCCGAGGAAGTAAACAAATCATGTTTGTAGCAATTAACTGTTGTCAAAGTGCACGGAGGGGCTCTTGGTGGATTTGTTATTCACAAAGGTAGACCTGTGGGAGTGGTGTTGCTCAAGGAGAGGATTTAGCCTTTTCTCAATGAGATTTAGCACATTCTTCTGCCCTCCTCAAAGCCTGGGGGGAACATGTAATGAATTGGCCAAAGAAAGGAAGATGGGGAGAAGCTCTTTTTGTTGTGATACCTGAAGGATATCTGGATGATCTGTCAGACCATGTTAGAATTGGTTTTAAGCAGCTTATGACTATGACTGCAAGTTGTGGGTTGAGTGAGTTTTCATAGAGATAAGTCTTATTGAATTAGCCTGGTTGGTCACTATCTGTTGGAAATCAACAAGAGTGACTCAGCAGCTAGAGACACGATTCGTGCCATTTTTAATTTGTGGGCGTCCGTATGCGTGTGACAGCTTGTAATGTAGTCACGGCTGTAATTGAGGATTACAGATCTTGAAATAAAGTCATAAGACATCCTGTTGACAAACTGTGGTTGGGTTGAGCCATTGATGAGTTGATTTAGTGTTGTGAAAAATGTCATTCAGCCTTGGAAGTTTCTGGGGGGTTTGTCTCAAAGCCAAGTCATTCTGCATTAACAGTCCTCTGGAACATGTCGCAACTTCTTTTGGTAATTTGACAGTTTTAAAACTGTGAACAGGGTCTGTGATTGGCTGAAATTACTTTTTAGAGTGGGTTCAGAGCAGTTGGTTTTGATTTCTTATTTTAAAGTACGATAGTCTACAGCATTTAGGATCATTATAAACCCATTTTAGCCAAAAGGCTTTGATAAGGGTTTCACCGTAAGACTTTGCTGTATTGTTGTAGTTCACATTTAACAAACAGTAACATGTTTTCTTATTAGAAGGGCAGGTCTCTGGTACTAGGTGGATAACAAGCCTTTTGTTGTTGTAACATTATAATGCAAACTATGAAAGGTACAACTTTTGCTTTCACGGAAGAGGGGGGAATATGTTTGTTGGATTTGGCCCACAGGCCACTATTTGCATACCACTGGCACACAGTATACTTAAGGAACAGGTTATTCAGTAACCGCGCTCACAGTTATTTATACTTGCTCACTTACAGTTCTGAAGAATGGAATACCTCTGTAATTTAGTGGCGTTTATGAAATACAAATTAAGGAGCAGTTTTAAGTCGACGTGAAGGTTGAACACAGTCAGCCTCCATTCCCAGGCTCACACCCAGCAGCTCTTATTGCAAGGAACTCTGCATTGCTTGACTCAAGTTGCAGCGATAAATCTGTCGCTAATCTCTTAGGCCAGATAGTATACTCGCGCTGTGTCACAGTCAGCATGTCCCATGCTTATTTACACCCCTATTTCCTGCACTTCCTGTTCCCAACAGGAAAGGGAGGTGTCCCCTCAGCCTGAAGTAATCCATGCAGGGACTGATGCAGGTCCCTGTTGATGAATGTTCTGAGTGTGTTTCAAGGCAAACCTGCTTGTATTAGCCTCAAACAAATAGATAAATCAGTATTTCACTCTGCCCTGTACAGTGGTAGTTGTGAGGCTCAGAAAGGGATCACAGTAGGGGATATCTAGGAACTGTTCTAATCTCTTGTGGGTGTCAGACGATGTGACAACAGGCCGTGGCACAGACACATGTCTTTGACACCCCTGGCTCCGTGTTCAGCCACAGTCCTGGAATCTAATCTGCTGAGAGACCGGGTGTGAAGAAGTTCTCAACACTGTGCATTCCTCTATCAGGAATGATATATTCCCTATTGTTCCTGCTGGGTGGAAAATGTTACCATTAGCCTCCAAATATGAAGGAAGTTTTCAAAATCTTTGTCCCTGTCTTTTCCTACAGACGACTTGCAGGGAATGACCTGTCATTCATCCACCCCGAAGCCCTGTCTGGACTGTCTCAGCTCAAAGTCCTGTAAGCACGCACCCTGCCTGCCACCACCACCACTGTCAACACACACAAACACACACCCAAGGCTGTGACAGTGTGAAGTTTTCCACACACTGGGAACGAAATGCCTTTTTACTGCATACCAAACACCGTTATAAAATTGACAAAGTAGACCTGATGCACTTTCCATCTCTTCTCAGGCAGTATTTGTGAGGGGAAAAAAAACGATGCCATAAAGTCTGATGCAAACCTGTTGTAAAAACTTGCATGGCCAAAATCACTTCTTCAGCACAGCCTGGAGTGCTTACACAGATGCAAATATGTTGACAGACATACAGAGTGTGACATGGTTGATTCTGCATTGGGCCAAAAGTTCAAATCCTGTTGATGTACTGGTGAGGTGTTGGTTCCAGGACTGAAAATCAAGTGCTGTTTTTAGACTTTTACTTGTCAGTGCTCTAACTTGTCAATGCTCGTAAGTAATCTGACGACATGTACCTCAGACGAACTCATCGAAACAGCTTTAGGTCTGTTTTTTACACATAGACTCCCATCTGACTAACATTCACAGTTTTACCTGTCTGACAGAAAGCACACCTCCTGAAATGAAGCAAAAAAGTGAATCTCAGACTTCTTTAAAAGTCGCTTTATGTTTGGAGTGTCCCTGTTAGTTTGGCAGCACTTAGTAGGAGACTTCTCTGTTGTTTGTTTTTGTTTCCATTGTCAAAATGCAAGACTGGAAGATTCAGGAAAATTTCATGAAGCCAGTTTGAAAGGGAGTAAATTGACAAAAACCACACCACATGGAGGAAACCTTTTGAAAGTTACATAGATACAATTGCATATATCTTATATACACTTATATATTTTATATATTTTTTATTCCTGGTGCAAGAGAAAGTGTTAGTAGAGCTAAATTTGAAATAATCATGTTACCATTACAGGATGCTCCAGAATAATCAGCTGAAGACTGTACCGAGTGAGGCCCTGAAAAACCTTCTCTCTCTCCAGTCTCTGTAAGTCTTATTTGCACACACACAAACACACACAAACACACACACACACACATACATATATACACATTAGAATGCCTATGCCAGTGTAGGGTATTTTTTGTTCAAATAGCCCTTAAGTACTCATCAAACCTGTTCTTGGTCCAGGAATCACTTAGTGGTGTTGTACCAGATATGGGATTTATGTACTTTCAAAATACTTTTTAATACGGTAATTGCCACGTAGGCATCAGGATCTACCCGCACCTTTAAAAACAACATGTTTTTTAGTACGCAATAATATGTTTTGACCCTGTATGTCACACATGTCTATAAAAAAGCTTTCTCTCTTAAATTCCTGGACGGACAGAGAAGGAGCTGCAGTCATCAGTGAAGCCGTCAGAGTTAGTGCTGCAGTACATTTACACAGCCCTCTGTTAGCCATGAAGATAACTCAGAATTTACAGGCAAGAGAAACGTTAACATAGAGGTCAAAGTTCTCTCAGAGTATTTGAATTTTTTCTGTATGATTGTAATGTTGCCATGTAGGTCTTAGTATCATCTTAAAGCACTTCTGTGTATAATGTAACAGAGGTGTTAGTGAGGCTGTCGACTGTTCGTCTTGATTTAATTAGAAAATTACAGCCAGTATGCAGAAAAATGAACTTAAACAGTTATTATTAAACCCAAATTAATTTTACAGCATGTGCATGTTGACCCTAGGAGTTCATACAGAAACACGAAAACTCTTCATGCTGAGGTTTGTAGAACCTGAGCTCCATGCGGAGGCTCATCATCTTGCACTACTGAAAACTATACTAAACTATACTAAACGATAGTACTTTTAAGCTAAGAATAACCTAAGGGTATTCTGTCTATTTAAGAAAGGTCTGATATAATTTAGGTGCATTTCTATACATACCACACATATCACTGATGATGTTGTGTTGCAGATTTAGGTCAGTCTTTTTCTGGAGATTTCTCTTTTCATAATGTACCTCTGATTTTCTGTTTTACCTGTAACTGTCATTATTTTCACTATTTCTTAAGCCACTTCCTTCGGTCTAAGATCTTTTTTTCATGGACTGCTGAATGTCTGTTTCATTAGACCCTTACATGTACATATCTCTATTTGTGCCACCTTCCTCCACCACTGTGGCTTTTGAGTTTGACAGGGACTAATGGAGGAATGAATCCAGCTGGAGGGACGTGCTGAAAATCCAGCTTTCAGCTATTATCACCGCTCTGTATCCCACCCCTTGTCCCTTACTTCCCCTCTTTTTTCCTGCGCTCTTCTTTCTTTTTAGCAGATGTCTTTTCTCTGTGAGGGTTTTAAGGTCTGTAGCTGAAGTAATATGCTTTGGCAGAGCCAGGACTTGGTTTGTATAAAGCCTTAGAGAGCTAAATGTCAATCAAGACTGTTTTTCTTCCAGCCCAGACACTTGAGGAATTTTGAGGGAGGGCGAGACACTTTGTGAGGGAGGATAGTCAGAAGAAATAGTGTGGTGATGGTGGAAAGAACACTTGTGCATTCATGATATTGCTCATCTAAAAAATACTCCTTTTTACCGTCAAATGAATAGCCTCTGTTGATTACTACATCAGTTGTAGTGTCTCTACTTTGACAGTCATCTGGAAGCATCAAAGATTAGCTTATCTAAATAACTACATCTGCTCTGTCATAGGTTTAATTCTGTGGATTTACCAAATGTATTCACTTGAATTACAGTCACTATCAGTCATGTCATCCTCATAATGTTAACAAGGTTATTGCATGTAAAGTCCATGTGAAGAAGCTTGCTTAAGTGGAAGATTTCAGGTCTCTCAGTGATTCTCAGAGCTTAAAATTAGGTGAGTAATCAAGAAACGTCATTGCGCTGGTTTGTAACGATCAAGCAGACGATGCTGATAAACAGTAACAGTGGGAAAAAAAAACACCTTTTAATCTTTACGAGTCTAAACCCATGCTTTTGTGATGATCAAAGAATAAGACGAGTCAAGATGGAGAGCTTCTGCTACGCTAATATTCATGCACATTAGGAGCAGCATCTGATCGATCCTGATACTTTTATTCAGTGCTTAAAAAGGCGATGAAATTCTGGTGATTAGATAAGATTAAGCAAATCTCAGAAAAGTCTGTACGGACTTTAAGACATGTATTTGATGGCAAGAGGATGGCATCATCTCCAGGTAGCACGATAGTTTAATTGTGTCACGCCTTTTCTGTGTTTCTGTCTTGGGCAGGCGCCTGGATGCCAACCACATAACCACAGTACCAGATGACAGCTTTGAGGGCCTGCAGCAGCTGCGCCACCTGTGGTTGGATGATAACAACCTGACTGAGGTCCCCATCGCTTCCCTGAGACACCAGGCAAACCTTCAGGCTCTTACGTTGGCGCTCAACCGCATCTCGTACATACCAGACAACTCCTTCGCAAACCTCACCAGTCTTGTTGTGCTGTAAGTTATATTTAGTGATTGTTCTATTTTGGGTTGTGGGTTAAATTTGCACAGGACTGATGAAGTACAACTCGATGTAGATGATGTGTTATTTTATATTTTGACCATTCAGCTTGATGCACTGGTGTTTTTAGGTTGACAAAAAAAAAACACTGACAATACGAGTGTTTTTGAGTCAGGTTATGAAAATAAATTTATTCCTAAAATCAGTGTTATTTAGACTATTATACAGTATGGTACTGGGAGAAGGGGGCTTTTGATGGGTTTCCATTAAAAAATACATAATTCATGTCATAAACATATTCATCATCCTTCAGGTGAAATTCCCAAAAGAGGCAGACCGATTTAGCTTTCAGTCATTTTGGAAATACACTAAATAACTCAGCAGGAAAAACCTGCTGGTGTACTTTTTAAAAAGTTAATTAACCAGATGCACTGACTGACTGAGAACATTCTCGTGTTAACTGAAATGACCTGAGGGAGTAGCAGAAGAAGTGACTGTCACTGCGTGTTAAAGAGCGGAGGATATTTTTCAAGTTGAAAGCAAACACATGCACATTTTCTGCAGCGTGTCTGAGTAGTTAAATGTGCCTGGAGTTTTTGAGCCATGCTGTGTCGTCAGTGAATACTTAATCATGTTTGTAGATTTTTCTGGTTACTTTTTTTTCCCGATAAAACAATTTCAAATCTTCTCCTTACTTGTCTGCTTTTGTTTCCATCCAGTCAGAGAAATATGACTGTCCAGCTGTTTCTACCCTTAAAAACAAACTGTAATTCCTTTTCTTTTCATTCATCTACATTATTCTGTCACCACAAATCAATGCAAAGTACCTCTCCTTGTGCTCTGCTCTGTATCCTCAGAGCGACTGCAAATCAAATCCCAAACACAAACCATACTGTCGTATTTTTTTTCCACAGCTCACTCTTAATAGGTCAACAAGATAGGTTTCTGCTCATACCCTGCTTTGCATTTAAGTACAGGCACTTGGGCAGTGAAACCTTCTATCGAGGTTGAAATTCAAACATTTTGATACTTTGCAGAAGTTGCTCAACACTATATATTGATGCAAAACAAGTTTATCCTGTTACTTTCTGCATAGTGGAAATGCTTAAATGCTCCACAAGGAGACCTTTTACAAATATGTGGTGCATTACGAATCTGGGGGATTGTTCCAAACATAGATTTTTTTTTTCCCCTGCTCACATAAACAACCACACAGACTCACACACACATTGAGTAGTATTACTGCAGGGTAAGTATAAACATATAAGAATAAACAGGAAAGAAAGACCTTAAATCTATTAGGCAATGGAAGCCGTCTGCATATACACATACAGCATAGAAATCCGATTCACCAATCGTACTCTATTGGTGAAGAAACATTTGTGGAACCTTTCAGAGGACTGGAATGAAACCCATGATGAATTTCAAAGATAATTTTTTTATCTGTCATGGTTTGAGAATCTCACAGATGTGTGTTTGTTTCTCCAGGCATCTCCATAACAACAGAATTAAGGGGATAGGAGACAACTGCTTTGCCGGTCTCACAAACCTGGAGACTCTGTAAGTGAGCATTCATACAGTAGTTGACGTATGTGTGTGTGTGTATGTGCTTATCAGTTTGTGTGTGTTTGTGTGTGCTAACAGCTCCCCCACCCTCCTCTGCTCCGGTCCTCCAGACATCATTGTGTCAGCTTCCGCCTTTAATTGCTCTAGGATAAATAGAGCAAAGTACACGATGCTTATCAAGTCTGCCCTCCCACTGTTCACTTCCTTCTGCCACACAGCCATGAAAAAGCTTTTGGTGACAGACGTACCTAATGGTGAAGTCCTCTGCACAAAACGTAGCGCTCATGAGATTAAAGACGCCTTTTTATTTTGTATTTCCTGCTCCAGATTCCAGACTTAGTACCTGGTGTTACTCTGGCTGATCCTGTATTTTTGTTTAAACCCCAGCACAGTGGAAACTTAGTCACAAGTAGGCCTTTATTAAATCTAGAAGAAGCATGACTGCTTTATGTCATGACAGAATACTGAAGTTCAACTGTTAACAGTGCAGCTGACTCGTGTTCCGTTTTGCAGCTGGTTAAAAAATCAAAACACTTAATCGTCTGTAAGGAAAACATCATTTAATCTGCTTATAAATTGTTTGTATTTTTGTTGTGCAGAAATATTAATAATTCAACGATGAGTCAATGAACAGACAGTTAACTACCTTCTGTTTTCTCATTGTTTATTTGATTTATAAAGGTAAATTGCCTGACTTTTTTCCTTAATTTGAATTTTCATTAGAGAGGTGAGCATTAGTTCTATTGTGTTCCTGTGTATACTGAAGATATTTCAGTGTCAGACATGTTGACTCAATAGGCATTGTAAAGATAGGCCCAGAAAGTTTTTGCTTAGTCTAATTTCAACACAAACCAAATTTCTTCCACAGTATCAAAAATAATCAACATATTTATGAATGAAAATCATGAACTACAGTGTTTTTTTCTGATTCATACAGGATTTGAACAGATTAGGACTTTTTCAGTAGCCTCATGCTCCTGTGGAATAGTGCACGCAGTATCTGTTACTGTGCTGATATATTTACATCAAGTATTTGCTCTGTTACTGCTGTTAAAGACTTAATTATTCAGCTTTTTTAGCATGTAATTTAATTTGTTATAAGGTTTAAAAAACTGCCAGTCATCCTAGTAAGTAGTTATACGTGTGTGACTTGTTGCTGACTGAGAATGCTTAACTGTTTTTTTTTTTATTACCCAAAGTACCATTAATAAGTATTTTTAAGAGGGCTGGGGTTTCTTTATACACAGAATGCAAAAAAGAGTACCAACTTCCTGTTTGTCTCTCTCTGTCTCATCCTAGAGATCTTAACTTCAACAACCTGATGGTGTTTCCCAAAGCAATTCAGGCCCTGCCCAAACTCAAAGAACTGTGAGTATATCTTCACCACTGTGGAGACAGATTCTGCTCCAGCATATTACTCTATACTTGACACAATTCAAGGATCAGTGAACTCATTAGAGTAAAAAGTAGGCTTGGCAACAGCTTTTTAATGTGATTTACACAAGACAGATATCTGACAAAGTAGCTCTGGTGTAAATAGTACAAGAAATTTTTGCGTGTTTTCTTTAACTTGCGAAGTACATACTGAGAAAAGTGTCTTTACACTGTCTCTATGATCTTTTTTCCTGCAGTGGATTTCACACCAACGATATCGCTTCAATACCTGAGGGGGCCTTTCATAACAATCCCCTGCTGAGAACCATGTAAGGTCAAACTCCTCTACTGATTCACTGAGAAACAAAAATAGCACTAGTATCTCAAATTTGTATGTGCATAATGTACTGGTTGTCTTTTCGCAAGTACATGTCAGTAGGGCTGTATGCTGGTAGGAGATAGGAATATGAGGCTTCAGTAGATGAATGTCCAGAAGATGGTGCCATTCTCGCATAGTAAATGATTTTGGTTTGATCTCTTCCCCTCTGTTCCTGCTGCCCGCCCAGACATCTCTATGACAACCCTCTGTCCTTTGTGGGGGCTTCAGCTTTCCAGAATTTGTCTGACCTGCACTCCCTGTAAGTCCCGCTGTCAAAGATACAACAACTCTGAAGTTCTTTGCGGGGATTTGACTTTAATTACCATGTGTGTTTTTTAGGATGTTGCGAGGGGCCAGCATGATGCAGGACTTCCCCATCCTTACGTGGACTAACAACCTTGAGAGCCTGTGAGTGAACAGGGTTTGCAGCATCTGTCCCTTCTCCTGCTTTTGTGCGTCAAAGTAGTGACTAACTGTGCTTTCTATTTTTCAGAACCCTGTCAGGAACAAAGATATCGTCCATCCCTGCTGATCTGTGTGAGGATCTCAAGCTGCTTCGGACACTGTAAGAGACTTCCTTTCACATGAAACAGTGAATAAATAAAAACAAAAATACGGTTTAAACTCTGAAATAATGTTGAATCCTGTTATTGCTGAAATGTGGCACAGTAGACAAAATGATAAAATGCATGTGTCAGGTAAATGTTGAAGCTTTTTGTGTTGTGTTGTCCATCAGAGACCTGTCTTACAATGAGATCAAGGAGCTACCTTCCTTCATGGGCTGTTCACGACTGCAGGAGATGTAAGTGATAAGAATAATGTGGCCTGAAGGCTATTGATATACTCTGATCAGTCATAGCAATATGACCACCTGACTAATATCATGAAGCTCCCTCCCCATGAGACACAGACTTCACTGAATCTCTGTGGTTGGGATTCACACTGTAAAGAGATCATGAGTGTCAGGGGTCATAATGTCATGGCTGATTGGCATAAAAGAATAGATAACTTATCCAATAAAGGTGACAGTTTGCTTGATTTTAATCTTCTGAATTTGTTTTTCAATTTGTAGAAGCTTCCAGCACAACAGAATTGAACAGATTGACAGAGACACTTTCCAAGGCCTCTCTGCTCTCCGTCTACTGTAAGTGCAGTCAGTCACACATAGCGACACGCAGTATCACTTTAGCAGCTTCGAAAACAAACGCTTGTCGTCTGGGTTGTAAATTCATTACGTTGTGATTCTACACAGAGACCTGAGTAGAAATGAAATCCGAGTGATCCACAGAGAAGCTTTCCTCACCCTCAGTGCACTCACCAACCTGTGAGTATAACCCACTTTACATCATGATCAACACAGTACAAAAAAATAAAAACGTTTGTTTGATTTACTCATTGTTTTTCTGCTGTTGTTTTCCTTTTGCTTTAGTGACCTGAGTATGAACTCTCTGACTGCAATTCCAACCACTGGACTAAGTGCACTCAGTCAGTTAAAACTTTCAGGGAACCCACAAATGAAAAATTTGCTGACCGGTAAAAATCTGCCCAAACTCAGGTGAGGAACAACTGTCATTGTCTGCTGTCACTTTCATTTATATGCACTGATAGATCATATTTTCTTGTAATGAAACTTCGTCGCTTGTAGATTAGATTAGATTAGATTAGATTAGATTAGATTAGATTATAGCAATGTCTGATTGTGCAGTGTTTTTGCATCCGAAAAACTTGTGAAAATTTGTAAATGGACTGAAAAAAAGAAAACGAGGGAGTGACTGAAACTGATTTGACAAACGAAATAAAGTTGGCATCCCAAAAAAAAAAAAGATTTTCTCGCTAACCAGTTTTACAAGATTACAAGTACGTGGCAAAATGGCCGAATTACAGACATAATCTCCAACTTTTCTTTCCATGTGATGAGGAAAACAGTCCCATCTGTTTTCTTAGCAGTTGTCAGTTCACTATGGAAACATCCAAATATTATTGTTGAAAAACACAAGGGTATAATATTTCAGACAAATACCTAATTTATCCTTTTCTCTCTATGGGATTGAGATTATGGTCCATCTGCGTTATCAATCTAGGATTTAAACAGGATGTTGACAGCTTTCTTAACAATCATTTGTTGTTTATTTGTAGGTCCATCTCAGTCCCTTATGCCTACCAGTGCTGCGCGTTTGTCGGCTGCGACTCGATGACGAGTTCCTCTTCAGAAAGTGACGTAAAGAAATTTACAGGTAGATACAACATTTTAACACAGCGCTTCCTTCTCGACTTCCTTTTATAAAAATGGAGATTGTACAGATAAAAATTTTTTAAAAGAAAAAGAATCTGTTTTTTGTTTCTATCTCTGATCTCGTGCTGATGTAACAACTACACCTGCTATTCAAACCTGATTGATTTATTTTTTCAGTCCAATATGTTGGAGAACTGAGTGTTTTTATGTTTGTTTATTGTGTTTTTGTTTTACTTTGTAAAGCACTTTAGTCAACACTTGCTCCTGTTATAAATATTATTATTATTATTATTATTATTGTTGTTGTTGTTGTTATTTTTATTATTTTATATGAAGTAGACAAGGTTTTTATTGTATTTTAGTTCCACTGGTGCCCTGATGAAGAGTACCAATGGTGTGCTAAGTTTGACTATAAGATGTGTTACATCAATCCTTTTTGTTTTTATGGGCATCAATTGAAGAAGTCACCAAAAATCTGTTGTTTACATGTGCATTCATGGTGCATTTTACTGCTTTCTTGGACAAAACATCACTGTTTTATCCTTTTTTTTTATAGATATCTGTATTCTACATTTTTTAAAAGTACCTTTATTAATTTTTAATTTTAGGTGGGGAGGATTTTGAAAGAATCACAATGATTATGCATTGCACCCCGTCACCAGGTGAGCGTTGAACAGCTTTCAAATCTGTCTCACTCTGTTTGTTTTGGTTTTTACTCATCATATCTGAAGAGTTTTTAAATGATTCTGAGAAATAACTTGAAAACTTGAAAAAATCGTTTCTGCTTCCAGGAGCCTTCAAGCCGTGTGAACATCTGCTGGGTAACTGGATGATCCGTCTGACGGTCTGGTTCATCTGCCTGGTGTCCCTGATCTTCAACAGCCTGGTGCTGGTGGTCACCTTCTCTCCCTCTCATCGAGCTGTTGGCCACTCCCACTCCTTCACTCCACCTCTCTCTCCAGCCAGGCTGCTGATGGGGCTGCTGGCTCTGGCCAACCTGCTCACAGGCCTGTATGTCGGCGTGCTGACCATGCTCGACATTGCTACCTGGGGCTCTTTTGCAGAGTTCGGTGTGTGGTGGGAGATGGGACCTGGCTGTAAGATCACGGGAGCGTTAGCCGTCTTTTCCTCAGAGTGGGCAGTGTTATTGTTGTCACTGGCTGCAGTGGAGCGCAGCGTGGCCGTACGGACGATACTCAGGAAGGTCATGTCACCCAGGAGGAACGGTGGCAGCAGTCGTGGCTGCTGGAGAGGAGACCGGCGCTTCAGTCTGGCTGCAGGACTCCTGGGCCTGCTTGCTGCTGTTGGAGCCTGCCTGGCTGTCCTTACCTCCAGTGACCAGTCCACATCTCCTCTCTGCCTGCCACTCGCTGGTGGTGAGAGTCCAGCCCTGAGCGCTACCGTTGCTCTCGTTCTGCTCAACGCGTTGGCTTACCTGTTCACTGCAGCTGTATACACACAACTTTACTGCTACCTTGGCAGGATGGAGCTGGTAGATCCAGAGCAGACAGGTGCCCTGCGACATGTAGCCTGGCTCATATTCACCAACTGCATCTTCTTCTGCCCTGTAGCAGCTTTTTCCTTCGCTCCTCTACTGACTGGTTACACAGCCGGGGGCCCAGAGATAGCCAAGTCCGTCACTCTCATTTTCTTCCCGTTGCCTGCGTGCCTGAACCCAGTGCTCTATGTGTTCTTCAGCCCAACCTTCAGGGAGGACTGGCTGAGGCTACGTGGACGCGGAGGTTTGGGCAGGGAGGTGAAGAGCGGTGCTGAAAGTCACAGAGATGATGGCAGTGGAGGGTCAGAGCTCACAGACGGGGGCTCCTCCACTCACCTGGGCTTTGACTGTGGGATGTACACGCAGCTTTGTGGAGAAACGGTTGTATGTGAGCAGTGCGAAGCAGCACTGCATGCCAGGACCTGCTCCTCTCCCTCGTCTTCTTCAGTCTGTAGACAGTTGGTGAAGTCTCACAGCTGTCCCACCCTCCTAGCAGGAGCGGCTTTGTGCCAGCGTACTGAGGGGTTTTGGGCAGACAGCAGCACACCTTCAGCTCAGTCTGAATATGCAGACGAAGGAGACTCATTTGTGTCGGACAGCTCAGACCAGGTTCAGGCCTGCGGTCGAGCCTGCTTCTGTCAGAGCAGAGGACTTCCTCTGGTACACTACTCATACAACATACCTCGAGTCAAAGACTAAGGACGCGCCACAGCGCCATCTGTGAATCTTCAAGAAAACACTTTTATATCAGACAGGGTAAATGTTCCAATCACCCTGCTAAAAGACTATTTAGAGAGCACTTATGTTTGTATTTACTGTGTAAACAGAGATGCATCCAATCGTTAAAGGGAACTCAGTATGCTGTTTGAACTTGGAGATGATTTCCAAGTGATCTTAATTGAGCACATCATGCTACAAACTGGTTCTACCAGGGATTTTTCAGAGAGAAATCTTGCCACCAGTGCCTGCCTCTTGCTCTGAAATGGATATCGAAATGTTGTGAGCCTCAATATATGTATTGTGATGTCTCTGTTTTACCTGATCTCATAAGCTCTTAATTTCTAATTGTTATATGTTGTTTAAATTTTTTAACTTCCCCACAGAAACTGTTGATTTTATACTCTGATCTCTCTTTGTTTTTGTTTTTTTTTTTACATAATGTAGCACATGAAATTAACATCCTCGACTGTTCGGTGTGAATGTAACTTTTAGGTATAGGAGGGATACTCTAACAGCAGCGATAACTTCTTCCCTGTCCGCCTGTGAGTGTTGTGTGAGAATGGTTTGAGTGAATGCCGGTCTATTATTATTATAGACACTTCTTTGCTTTAAGACTAAGAATGTGATCAAGTAGCAGATATCACTGTTAAAGCAACAGCTACGCTAGGTGGTGGTGAAAGACTTAATTTATTGTTTGAGCTGCAGGATTGGAGACACTTTTAAATGTATGACAGTTAGCTTTTTGAATGATGGTTATACATGATAACCAAAACATTTATACGAAAAACAACAACTCTCTTTGTGTAATTCCTCTCAAATAATGGTACACATACAAGTTTAGTTCATTATTTTTGTTGGTTTGAAGGATAATTCCTGTTATTTTTCAATCCAGGCCTTATTTTCTGATTGTGTCTTTATTACAGAGTTTGGTTTGAATCCACTTACAGAGGGATATGTCAGTTGTAATCTTACTAGTGAAGATATTTTCTAAAAACTGAGAATCCAAAATATTAAAATCAGGTACTGGGCTCCAGTATAACTCATGAGAAGACTGATCTCTGCGTTTGTCTCTCGTAGATTTACAACTTTTCTTTAAACAAAATTTAGCTTGTGAACACCTGAATGTAATCCCACTCTTCCACTTCTTCCAGCATGACTTGAATACAGCTGCCAAGACTGTCAGCCAGCTGAGTCAACAAAAAGTAATCATGCATTGCCAAAAAAAAAGCTCCATTGAAAAGAAGTAGGTGTTTATTTTTCGAAGTAAAGAACCTATAGTGTGTATTTTCATTTTAAGGATCATGTTTTTTAGTGTATGCTCGCTGAATAAGGGGTTCCTATGAAATAACTGGTCCAAGTTTGACCAGAATAAACAGCCCTAACTGTGCACAAATAGAAAATAAGGCCCATCCTGAAAATAAGAGGAATTTTCCTTCATCTTCACCTCCTTTGTCTTTCCACCACTGACTGTACGTAACCCAGATCATTATGTTATTTTGAAAATACAATTATGTGGACGTGCTTTTACCCTGAGAGCTGAGCTGTGTGAGATAGTGTGTGACGGGGGGGGGATTGACGCTTGGTGTGATGGAGCATGACTATACACATTAAGGCGGATACACCCTTGGAGCATGTATCCACAAGCGCACGTCATGTTGAGTGCTCAGGAATTTAGCCAGCATAAGGAAAAGTTTTCTGCCAATAAGATGTTAATAACTCCTTTTTAATGCAAAATTCAGATTTAATATTTTAGATTTTCAATTTCTGTTGACTGGGTGTGTAAAACTCTTGCACCAACCAAAATGTCCGTTGATTGTTTTGAGATGTCAGTTCTGGTGAAAATGTTTAAACCTTTTTGTCGGTTTGGTTCTTTTTTTTTTGTATTTTCATGTAAATTATTTGAAAGAAAAAAGTAATCAAGAATGGGATGCTAACTAAGGAAGCTACCTCCTCTACTGTAGTGGCTGCCAGCAGTGCTTTGTAAAAGAAATGTCTGTTTTTCTTTACCTGTCAGTCTTTGTTTGCCTTCTGGGCTCTATGTTGACACGTGTCCTACATCATCATTTTTAGATACGTACAAATTGTGGGAGGAATCTATGTACTGTATACTGTGATTTTTTTTTAACCAAACTATAAACTATTAAAATTTTTGTTTTATTTTTTATAGATACACATATTCGGAATAATACAGATTATAAACTGAATCTCACTTCAATGCAAATTAAAATTTTATTTGTATTATGTTCATGTGAGATCTTTCAAGTTGGTCTATTGGAAAAAAAAATAATTATGTTAATTGTCAATGAATAAAATCTTAAGAAAAAAAAAAACTCAACCATCTTTAAAAATTGTCTTCAGTAAAAATTTGTGTTTTGTTTCAGCATTTAAGTATCAAAAGAGTTAAAAACTTCTTCATCCTTCTGTTTCTATCAAACTCACTTTGGTTACGTGATGTCTAGTTTCTGCTGAAAAGCTCTTTTGAATGCCACTGCCAGTCAGTCTTCATTTTTTCCAGGCTAGAAACCGAAATAATTACTGAAGGGAAAAAAATTCCAAAGAAATTCACAGTTCCCGGAGCAAATACGTGTCCAGACATGGGTGGTGTGAAGCACGAATGAATATCATTAACTTACCTTTTCTATATCCAGCATGTTTATCTACTTCAGCACACAGATGTTATATCACCTTTCTAATACCTTTACTTAACCAAATAACGCGACAAAGTGATAATATGGACTCAAGAAGAAGCTGTAGAGCCAGTGTGTTGAATCTGGTGGCATTTAGCAGAGTTGGGCTGATAGAAAAATAATGTTTTTTGACCTCAAGATTCACTGTGTCCAAAATATGAATCATCTTAATTTATTCTGCATTTATTTATACCAGTTTTAACAGCATATTGCAAGATCATCCTCCAATGTGGACACAACGCCGATGCAAATACTTTCTCTGAACACTTTGACTGTTTCTGGCTTTTACTCTCACAGACTGAAGCTCCTTGCTGTGGACTCAGTGTTTTTCATTGATGTATTTTTATTATATGCTGCCATCAGAAACATCACTCCTTAAATGTAAAACTCCCTTGACACTGTAAATCTGTAAAAGACTCTTTGTTCCATTCAGTGGAGTTCGCTCTCACCTCTATACTCCAGTCAAACTGCTGCCTCTTGTCACTCAACCTCTAAGCCGTAACTTGGTGATGAGTGAAAAATAACTTCTGTGATTCTCTAAGGCGACAGACATGAAACACGATAAGGCTGTGTAACTTTGAACCTCGAGAGGCTTTCTACTTGTAATTTGTGGATTCGGGTGAAATTTTGTGTCACAACAGCAGACTGAAATGGAGGCTGCTGGACTCTCATCGCTTATGTTCATAATGGTGCGGCAACAGGAACGAGGCTCACCCTGATCTTTTGCAGCTGTACGTCGAGGGGGCACAGTAAAATATTTACATTTAAGGCATCAAAGGAAGTACTGTGGTGTGATGTTTCAGCAGCTCCCGCTCTGTGTGTTCTCCCCTCACTGACATGTGTCCTCGGCGGTAAAAGGACATCCCAGCTATTTCGAGCCCTTCACACACGTCCCTCTGTGGCGTGCACATTAGGCGCATGCCTCACACTCCGGGTTTTAGAGAGGCTTTGTTACAATAAAACTAAACCCCCTGACAACACTCAACCATTCCTCTGAACTTCTGAGTATCAGCAGGAACACTTTCTGCATGTTCTGAATATCATGTGCTACATCTATCACATTGGCAGTTTCACAAGCTGCCATCCATATGTGCATTCATAACTGACACCACAGTAACGCACAGTAAATACATCAACAAAGTAATTCACTCCATATATCAGGTTTTATAAGCACTTTTTATGCACACAGAAAACAATCTGTAACATACAGTATTTCCCTCCATTCACTGAAAGTAGACGAGCAAAAGAACCAAAAAAAATAAATTACTTTCTCATACTTTGGTTTATTTTACTTGACAACATACTCCTTAAATGTAGTACAGTGACAGAATTATTAACTCTCTAAATGTTCACCTACAAATGAGCAGGAATTTAAAATGTGAGCCACAGCCACTTTCAGGATCCCCTGATGGTCACTTAAATAACAATGATGATAACAGAGGAAGGCAAGAGGAAATACAACAATGTGAGCAAGCAGGACCTGTCGGAGATCAATCTCTGTCCTCTGAGTCTGCAGCCTGAGCGTTTCACTTCTTCTCCTCTTTCTTTTCTTCTTTGATAATTTGAGCTGTAAGCCAAGAACATGAGTTGAAATAGAGAAACCAAGAGAGAAGCAAAAATGAACACTGAGGCATATATTGGCGTGATAAGGACTAACTGCTACTGAAGGGATAATCCAGCGTAAAATTAATTTAGGGTCAAACACACCGTAACTCCAAGTTAGACAAGTTAGACCCCGTCGAGAGATGAATGTTGCCGACTGCTTGTTTCTATAGTTATACCAACTGTAGTAACGACCGCACAATAGCAATACACAGCGGTCTCAAGAGCCATAAACAAACCTCAACCAAAACGCCACTCTATAGCCACAAATAATGCTCAGAACAGCACCTAACTTCATCAACAGGACATATAGGGTCCCAGCCACACAGAGACTAAACACAACTCACCTACTCTCTTCCAGCAGACACTTGTTTGTATAGAGACCTCGGATGAGTCCATCACAACTGCAGCGGGGTGACGCAGCTCAAGGAAGAACATTTATGATCATTTCTTTGAAGTAATAATAATCATATTAATCATTTTGCACTGCAGACGCGGTAGTTCTTCTGCTTTGGCGTCTCAGTCTGATTGCATTTCTAAGTAATAATCATAAATGTTCTTCCTTGAGCTGCGTCACCCCGCTGCAGTCAGTGATGGACTCGCTTAGCATTATTTGTGGCTATAGAGTGGTGTTTTGGGTAGTCGTGTCCTCTTTTTGGGAAGTCAGAATATGGTCACCCTAATTTAGATTAATATTGACATATGATCACTGCTGACTCACTGCTACAATTAACTCCTTTGTCATCTCTGCTTTAGGTCACGTGTAGAAATGTGGAGAACTTAAGCAGCTAAGATGCTTCTCAGCATCTCATGCTAAATATGTCAGTCTGTGATTTTGTACTCAGCAGGAGGTGCTGGGGGAGCTTTAAGAGATGCGGTTTTGAAAGTAACAAAAACCAAAGCAAGGACCTGAAGGACTGTAAACAGTCTGTAGAGCTGTCATTATTTGTGCGTTCATCACTATGATTGACACTTCTAATAGTCAGCAATATTCATGAGATCCATTGTTTAATCTGACATTCTGATTACAGCTCCTTGAAAAAACCTCCCTTTAATATCGTACCTTTAAGCCCTCTTAGAATCAAAAACATGGAGGGTAAAAAGGAGGTGGTTTTGTGTACATCAGATAATTGTTCTTAAGCTCAGATGATTTGACAAATCCATGTAAAGCATTTCTCAGTGTGTGGGGTGGAGTTGGGTGTTACCTCAGGATCAGAGGGTGGTTTGAAGCATGACGGGACAAAACATCGTCAATAAAGGTTAAGAGTTAAAAGGAGGGGAGAGAAACTCAGGGATCATGACTTTAAGATCTATTTAGAACTGAAGAAAAGTTCGTGTAAACACTGCAGAGGTTGTGATTTTAACACCGAGGGGACAGCAGCGGGATACTTACGGCGGACCTCCAGTTTACACTCCACAGTGTCCTCACCGCTGTCGTTGACAGCTTTGCACGTGTACACGCCTCCATCGAACAGACAGGGTTTACGGATCTCCAGGGTCAGAACTCCCTGTTTACTGAGCATCCGGTACTTGGCTTCATGTGAGATGTCCATCTTGTTCTTGTACCAGGTCACTTTAGGCTAACAAGGCAGGGCAAAGTATTTCAGTGTGTCGTTAAAAAACAATCAAGATGGCTGCGTATATCAGCTGGATACTCTTTCACACGGGATTGGGTGTTTATTGCTCACTGCTAATCCCTACATGTCTGTGTCAAGAGGTCTGTGTGTGTGGGGAGGGGGCTTTTCTTTTGGTTTTGTTCTTTGTTGTATTTTACTCTGTTGGTCTGTCTTTAACGATATTTTAGTCAGTGCTCAGGTGTTTTTAACTCATGAAGAGGGAACTTTCATCGTTACCTTTTTGGGGGATTTTAATCAGAATCAGAATCAGAGGGGGTTTTATTGCCATTGTCGATAAACAGGATTCACAGACCAGGAATTTGTTTTGGCATGATGGTGCAACAGTAAACAGAGAAATATAAAATACTAGAATAAAAACTTATAAAAGCATGCAAGAAATATATAAAGTATAACAGTATACAATGTTTAAATAAAACAAAGTGTGCTAATCTGAACAGGTTTTTTCAGAATATCCTAAAATAGGTCAAGATTTGTGTCAAATGCTGTAGAAAAGGTTAGTATTTAAAGCTCCTGCGTGTCATTTCTGGTGCTCTCTTAGACAAAAACAAGCTTTGTTCATCAAAAAAACCCTCATTCTGACTTTTGACAGTCAAGTTTATCACCTATTATGAATATTTTATGTCAAAAATGTAAAAACAGGGCAGTTTTCTCCTGCTGCTACCCTCCTGCACAAGTTTCAAGCTTTAAAAATCTCAGTGTGAAATTCATCAGTGTTGTTTTTTAATCCATGTTCACTTTGATAAGTCATAAAAAAAGGCACCGAAATGAATTTCAGTCTATTTCATAAAAATCAAACATCTCCTCACAGAAGCTTTAAAGGACCTCATCAAAATACCTCGCAGATTTTCTCCCACTACATGTTCAGTTACTCTGGTCAACTATTTTAAGCACTGACCTTTGGTATGCCTCTGACTGAGCAGGTGAGAGTGGCATTGTATCCTGCGATGACGGATCGGTTCACCAGTGGATGAGTGAACTTTGGAGCCTCTGAGAAGTCGTGATCTTTGTGGTTTGGCGGTTTGTAAGCGATACCTGTAGAGACGCAAAGATAGAAGAAATATACAATATCTGTACTCTAAGGAACTAAAACCAGGACCAGGATGTAGTCGGAGCCCACCTGTTTTCTGGATGAACGCGCTGTCTTTAGTGTTGCAGGGGTCTGGACTGAGGCCAACCAGGTTGATGGCGTAGGCTCTGAAGACGTACTCGTTCCCCATGATGAGGTCAGACACCACGCAGTTTGTTCGCCTGTACTGATCTACGACTGTAAACCACTCCTTTACATGGACATAAGAAAGTTTTAGCATCAGCATCAACATGTTGAAATGGTGAGGAAGTAAAAGAGACTATGTGCCCTTTCACGACATAGATAAACGCTCATGATGATGCGGCGTCCCACAAAACTAGAAAGATATTCACTGTTATCACCAATTTGGTTCCACTAATACCTCAATGATAAACATGATACTGAGCACTAGCAGGCATTTTAAAGTCAGTCATCTGGGTCCATGAATGAAAAGGTTGGTAGTCACGTGTGCCCTCAGCACTTTTATATTTATCTTCAGTCATCCGGCATCTCGCAGGTACACAGAACATTGTTATCGGTCACCTGATAATTGACACGCTCTATATAGAGATGCAAGTGAAATTAATTTGATCTAATAATGACCGCAGTGAAACATGAACTATCAGTACAATGGCTCTGCGTCACAGCACAGACAATCCAGACCGGGTCAAAGCTGCGGGGATAAGATTAGGACATTCCTGCTCCACATTGTTCCTGGAAGCGCGAGCTGGAGGATGGTGCCAGTAGGAGCTCTTGCCAATTGGCCCATAATGCATCACTTCTGGCCAGCTGATTACAGTATATATGTCACAAGGGAGGCTAAAATATCCCCGTGTGTCCATGCAGCATTTAACCTCCCACATGTTCAGACACTCTAAATGTAAAGAGAGGATTTAAAATCAGACTTGACGCAGCGGTCTGGGATAAAAATCTGTTTCACTTAATAAGACACTACAGGCTTTAAAGACATGCCTGTTTGTTACCCTCACAGATCACTGTGGAGGAGTTACCAGCTGTGACTCAATCAAGCTTATCAAGGAAACGCGGAGACGGTCTACATAGTCTTTCATAGTTTTCAGATTCAGGTCCAAAAAGTAGTAGAAACCTACATTTTTTGTTTTTCTGATGCTACAGGACATATGAGAACCAAACAGCAGGGTGAGACACGATGAGATTGTCATGATATGTTCTGTTGATTTAGTTTTCCCTGGTTTTAAGCGTTTGAGTTTATTTCCTTTGTGATTTTCGCTTGTGTCTCTGTTCCCTATTGTCCCTGTTCCCCTGTAGTCCAGTCGTGTGAGTTTTCAGCTTGTGTTTGACCCTGTTTCCCTCCTGTTCTCTGTGCTTTGTCCTTTATATCAGTTTTCAGTATTTCCTGTTTAATTTTTTTTGTAGTTGATTCCTTTTGTTTCTAGTCTGGTGTTACCTTCCTAGTTTTCCCTTCTTCGTTAATCACCCATGAGTTTCACCTGTGTCTCATCTGTTTCAGCTGCTGCTTGTTTCCCAGTGTGCTTACAATCTGTCCTTGTTTTTCTCTTTTGTTGCTTTTTTCATTTAGTTCTTTAAATTAAATCAATTTTTGTTCTGCATTTTGGGTCCTTTCCCCTTTTTAAACCCTGGACTGTGACAGAGATTTCCTATGTCACAACTGCAAGCTCCGCCCCTGGAGCCCCGCTATGCAGGCCAGACTCGGAGACGTAAAGAAGAGAGTAACGCGAAATAAGTGTGCGTGTAAGCGGATTGCAATGCTCAAAGGAAAGCCAATTATGATATTAACTTTCATCATATCCCCAAAGTCATTAGTGTTTGAGAGTTGAACAGCTCCTTTCTACACCGGCAGTGTTAGGCCACAAGTTAGCGTGAGGAGGAGTGTGCAGAGCAGTGCTATCTCCACCCACGATTTAGAGGCAAACTGCTAATGAGCTGCTGGAGCTCTGCAGAAGAAAGTCCTTGAAAATGTCAAGGCTAAAAACTTCATAATCATAATCTACAGACCACTGAGAACACTTTCAGTAGTAAAAAAAAAAAAAATGGAGTGAGACTTTAAACTGGTTTCATTGTTTCCTGTTTCCACATTCATTCAAAAGCCCTCTTGTGAGGACATGAGGGTGTCAGGTCTCACCATTGTCTTCTTGTCAGCTTTCTGAATGCAGTACCCTGATATGTCACAGTTTCCGTTGTCCTTAGGCGGCTTCCATTCCAGCGCAACATTGAAACCCCACACATCCGCGATCTTCAGCTCCTCAGGGGGCCCGGGGAGATCTACAGAGGAGAAATATAATTAGCTCTTTGCAGGCGGTGCCATTTTAGGAGTGACTCCACTGATTGCTGTTTACAGAGATTGTATTCTTTCTTGTTAATACCCACAGCAGCTCAGTGCCTGTTCGGTCCTGCTTACCGACAATCTGCAGCGTGATACTCGCTGTGTCTTCCACGTTCTCAATCACTACCTGGAGGTCATACTTTCCCGAGTGTTTCCTTTCTGTCTTACGGATGAAGAGGATGGTATCTACTTCACTGTTCCTCACGCTGGCAAATGTGGGACTAAGAGGCTCCCCGTCTTTGCTCCATGTGACCTGTGGCCTGGGTTTACCCTGCACGACAAGCAGATTATGTCACTCTGGCAAAATAAGGTACAAACATGAATTCCCCTCCATGTATTAAGATCTAATGGTCCAGACCCTGAATGTTGAGCCCCTATTGGATGAGATTTGTTGTTCAAAGACTCTACTCAAGCATGTAGAGGGCAAAATAAGCAAAAACTGTTTTGTCCAAAGGGGGCGCCAGACTGTAGTGTTTGATATCTTATTTGGAGCAGATGTCTATTTAATTAAGCTTCATGTTTTTCTGCACCTGAAATGGAATAACAAGGTTCACAGTGTCTCCAACTTTCTTGATGAGGGTCTGGCGAAGGGCTCTGGGCAGCCAAATTTTTGGGCGTTCTGCAAAAGGAAAGACGGCAAAAGTAAAAAGTATTATTGACACAGTGAAGCAGCTCAAACTAAAAGATGAGTTTAATATATAAATGTGCAAGTTTTTATCAGTGTGGACTAAAGACAGAGCAGCAGAAGAAACATCAGAAGTATAAAATGCATAAAAACACTGACGCATTATCTCTCTGATGGTGACGGGTTGAGCCAGAGTGGCAGGATTGCTGGGTCCTGCCATGTTGTAGGCTCGCACACGGAACTGTAACTTGTCTCCGGTGGTGAGTCCTCTGACGGTCAGCGATGTCCGATCAGTCAGACCCTCAATGGCAGGAATCCATTCATCCGCTGTGACCAGAAAATACACAAGAGGTTAGGATGACGTGAAACTACAAAAACAGGTTCATCTGAGCCTCCATCATTTTTAGTCCACTATCAGATGTTTTCTTTTATTTCAGTATTAACTTTTCATGTATCAGCATAAAACTACAAATTCAAACATTTTAAAATGCATTTTGTAGTCACTCATCAGGAGGCTAAGCATCTGACTATCATCTACATTTATTAAAGTTGAGCGTGGCACATGCTACAAGATAATTGAGCTGATTTTTCACCCCTCCTGACCAAATTCATTTAAGGCTCTATTTTCTGATGGCTCTCTTAGACTGTCTTGCCAGATTGTCCTGTGAGACTTCACCAGATTTCCGACTATGAGAGTTGGGACTCCTGCTACTGCTGAAGAGTCCATGTGTGCAGTGCGCTGTGTTCACCACATCGTTGTGCACCACACAATACAAGAACATACTTCTTACTCCAGTCATTATTTGTCGTCATGTGCTGGGTCTCTGGTGTTTTTGAAGTTGGTTAAGATGTTAAAATCCTTTTAGGCGGAATTAGTTGCAACATTTTAAAGTGGCAGCTACTGTCTTTGTGCTTCTTTTCACTCCAGAAACAAGTAGATGGCATCCCTGAGACCCCTTATATGTGTTAAGATGAACATGTATGTTAAACATCTATTTGGAGATGCTGGGGTAATTCTTTTCTTTTAGACAATAGTTTTGGTTTTCTTACTTTTTTATGTAGACTGTCAGCAAACTTTTAATATCATTAATCATGACAGCTGAAAATAAACCGTGATGCTATTAAAAAACGTCCTTATCAAAGAATGCAGGTCTGTAGCTCCAGCACTTACTGCCCTCCTTGCAGTACTCAACCCCGTAGCCCTCCAGTTCAGACGAGCCGATCCTCTCAGGCCGCCGCCACTTCAGAGAAATGGAAGTGTCGCTGATGTCCTCCACACACAGTCCGGTGGGCTCACTTGTAGGGGCTGAGGGTAAAGCAGAGAGCAGGTAAATGTGCGAGTTAACCAGTTAGAGCATTACTGAAAACTGATCTTAATGGATGACTGAACGAGATGACAAACCTAATCAGAGATTAAAAGACCCTAAAGCATCTTAGCATCACAGCAGCTATCAGCTCCTCAGCACTACAAACATTTTTCTTTCCAATTAAATGTTGGCCAGTTCAGACAACAGTAAGTTCCCAGAGGCAGGCAGCTCAGGTTCAGCGCTCACACCTCAGGGCAAATCGTGTCAAGTCAAACTTATTTCTTAACCACGTTTAAAATCAATTCAAGCTGACAAGCCTTTGGACTTGCTCTGATAAACCCTTGATTCAAATTCAAGAGGACACCGAAGCTTCTTTACAACATATTTAAACACGTGTGATCTCTTCAAGACCAGATAACCATCTCACATAGTATGAAATAATAAAATCATTATAAAGTCATTATTTTTCTCATGTTTCAAGCCTTTGAGCACAGTAAGTAGCTTGACCTTTCTCCAACTTTCACTTTCCTGCAAGGTGCTAAGGCTGCAAACTATGGTGTCTGATCAGAGGTGAAAATAGTAAAAGGTTCTTACAGGTACTCGTACCTGTAGGCTTTGTACAAGAGGAACACACCCAAGTTTAACTAGGTGCTGACTCTGATGCCACAGTATCATCATCTGCTGCATCTCTCTCTCTCTTGAACATAAAATCCAGTTTTCTCAGAATTGTTGTTTTATTTCTGCATTAAGATTAAAGCTGCTGTCTCTTTAAGAAATCTCTCCTTCTGCAAAAGGCGGGAGCGCCTTGGCAACCAGCGTCCAATCAAAAGCGCGCCACTTCTGGAGTTTGTTTGCGGAAGTATATAGGACTCACTCGCGAGCAGCATGGTCCTATTGGATTACTACAGTTACAATGCAGAGTGCAGACTGACCCGCGGTCACACGGTAAGCAAATGTAGCTTACACACATCGGTGAAAGTTTGCGTACCGCTGCGTACCGGCTGTAAACTGCTGTTTAAGTCTTCCCGGTACTACGTACCGCTGCATACTGGCTGACTTCCACCCCTGTGTCTGATGTGAACAGAACGGTTTGTGTTTGCTGCTTCATGTTTGAGTGTTGACCATTTTTTTCCTACACAGTTCAATTAATTTTTAACACAAGCTGAGATCGTTGCAGCTTCTTTGAGGTCCATAGTCTCATCTGTTACTATAAGTTACATGATAAATAAACCGTTTTTAGTTTTAGAGGTGAAATCAGTGCAGGGAAGCACAGTGTCAAGATTTTTAGGTCACAAGTTGTGCAAAATTAAAAGCACAGCTGAAATATTGTTTTATATTTTTTTTCTTTTTTTAGTTTTAGAATTTTTCTTTTTTGTTATTTTTTTTCTTTTTTAGCTTTATTATTTTTTCTTTTTTGTTTTATTATTTTTCTCGTTTTAGTTTTACTATTATTCTCTTTTTTAGTTTTATAATTTTTCTTTTTTAGTTTTCTTATTTTTCTTTTTTGTTTGTTTTATTATCTTTCTTTTTTGTTTCATCTTTCTTTTTTGTTTTATTATTTTTCTTTTCTTTTGTTTGTTGCACGTTTCTCTATTTAGTCTTTTTTTTTCTTCTGATGTTGTATTGTTTAAGATTCAACATGTTTTAATTTACTTGTATTAATGGGGAGGATACTGTATAAATCCTTCAGGCTTCTTTCCTGTCCTGCACAGTTTCATTGAACTTCTTTGTTTTAAATATGTAATTATTTTATGTCTACTTTTGTGCAAATAAAATATCAAATTATCGGATGGGTGGGCACATTATATCTGTCAGCGAGGCGGCTGAACATCTACCTCGGCTCTGCCTCTTTGCCTGCACAAAAGTTAGTGTGAGTCAGCATTTTTGATTCAGGCTTTAAAACTTTACTTCAGAAACATGTGGGTTATGATGCTGAGACTACATTTACGTATTAAACAGTCTGTGATCAATATTAATGAGAAGCATTAAATGCTAACAAGCCTGTCACAGCCAAAATGTCATTTACTTTCACAGCATAAAACAAAAGAATTAGCCCTAATCTTCCAGAGGGACACAGCCGATAAAGATGTGTGTTTGTGTCATCAGTTATATTCGCATCCATTAGGCTGCAAGTCTGCTGATGTCACCCCTGGAGAGATGAGCTGTCTGTCTGGCCTGGAGTTCACCGCTGAGCTGATGTCTGAGTGCCTGCTGCACTTTGTGTCCCTCAGGGATGAAATGACATGATTTGATCTCACATTAATAGTGGCTCATCAGCTGCTTCCCATATTTTGTTTTCACCTTTCAAGTGCCAAAAGCAAAGCAAGCAACAAGAGGGGTGACACGCGTTTTCTCCACAGCGTCTGAAATGCTGCATTTTCACTACAACACAAATAATGAGGTCGTTTTTATCACGGCAGTTCATTATCACGACCCTCAGCTGTATGTCACCCCCTTTCTCTCCATTTCCAAACAATCACAAATCATTTTCTGCAGCGTGCAGTTTATCACTTTTCTCACACCTACCCCATGGCAGGAAAGAAAATGAGTATAGAGAGGTAATCTGCTGATGACTTTGTTTGCTTTTTAGCTCATTAACAAGCATCAGTTTTCTTTTTAGTCTGTTTCATAACCAGCCAAAAAAAAACTCCTCACAGTATCTTTAAGCTCTTCAGCATAAAATTTGTCATATTGTGGATTCGCTTGGCTTCAAACATGCATCGTTTTGACTGTTTGCCCCCAAATCAGTGAGTCAAGATGAGCTGCAGCCAGCTCTGTGATGATTAAACAAACATCTTCTTAAAGCTCGGTCTGTCTGGTTAAGCTGTGTCGACCGTATGCAGCAGGTTACCGCTGGTTCTCCAAATAGCTTCAGAAAAGAGCAGCTCGTCACTGCTCAGAGGAAGGATTCAGTCAACGATAAATCGTTCATGTCACTGCACTGACTCGCTGACATTACGAGGGCAGAATACGAGGTGTTGAATTGCGGTTGTAGCCCAGTGGTTTCTGAGGCCAGCAGGCTCTATGTCATAGGACACAGGCTAAGTATAAAGCGCAGCAGCATGATGGAAACACCAGTCAGAGGTCAAGGGTTTTCCTCATGTGGAGAAAGTCAACAGAGCTGATGCTGTTAAAAAACATGATTGGTACAACCTGGAGACACAGTACAAAGTGCAAATTCAGTTTCGTATCATTCAAGAGATCAAACTGAGAGCCGTTCTGCTCATTTGCAACATTAACAGGAAGATTCATATCCAAAGACACAGACAAATGAGGGGTGGAAATAATCAACCATTAAAAAGCATGTTTTAGTCTCTGAAGCCTACATGATGATTAACATCTTTAAAAGAAGAACGCCTACTGGCAGGAGGTTCAGGCTCAGGCTCAGGCTCCGGATCAGCAGCAGGAACAGGCTCAGCAGGGGCCCCCTCTGCAGGGGGAACACTTTCTGTAGGGGGGACACCATCATCTGCGGGTGGTGTCTCACTCTCAGCTGGAGCTCCAGCATCAGTAGCAGCCTCTGCTGGGACCTCCGGTGCTGGTTCACTGCAGGTTTCTGCCTCAGCGGGAGGTTGAGGTGCCTCTGCTTCACTTTTGCTGGTTTCCACCTCCACTGGAGCATCAGCTGGTGTTTCCTCAGCTGTTTTTTTCTCTGCTGTCTTCGGAAGTTTAGGCTTCGTCATCGTGTCTCAGTGCCTCTCAGTCCTGTCACTGATTGAAGCTCCTTTTTGTTCCCGTGCCTCTCTTCCTCCAAACGCCCTGCTCTAACCTCTCATTCTCTAACAGTCTCGTGTTCTTTTTACTACTCGCGGTTGTTGGAGTGTCAACAATGCTCCCCCAGGAGCAGCCTCCACGGTAGCGTGAACCCCCCGTCTTCAGCAGCTGGTCCCAGCAGAGCCAAGAGCTCCCGGGCCATTATTTATAGAGAGGGATGCCACAGATTGTTTCCCTAATCAGCTGCCTTACGAGCCACTGGCCATCTGGACACAATGATGTTCTCTCTTGATCAACAAGTGGAGAATGAGATGGGAGTTAAATAAATTAGAGCCGGACTAAGAGACAATTCAAACTTTCGACCCTGAGTTATAGGATACTCCCAGGGCAGAGAGGCAGCGCTTCCACAATTAGAAATGGGGAAACGAGGACAGCAGTTCAATCTGATCATTGAGCTATTTCATATAGAAAATTTGGTTTACTATTAAGTAGAAAATTGTAACATCAAGTGATTATTTCAAGTCACTATTTCAATTCTAAAAATTTCCAAGTTTGATGTGTTGAGTGTTCAAAAATTTTAATCGAAGGAGGTAAAAAAAAACCTTTCCCAGCATCATTCAGACTGTGGATCTGATTTGTTTAGACACAGCTGACAGACAGAGGAACTTTAAACATCCAAGTTTGTCCCCATGGTAAAATTAATCAGACAAACTCCATAAAATTTGCTCTGCAAGTAAAATATTTCATTCACTCATCATTTTTTCCCACTTATCCAGAGTCAAGCTGAGCAAGATGCCCCAGATGTCTCTCTCCCCAGCAATGTTTTCAGACTCCTCAATGGAAGATATAATCCAACAAGCTCTGGGTCTCCTCACAGTTGGGTGCATCCATTTTAGGGGTATCAAGGAGGCAGATGCCCAAACCACCTTAAAGGGATATCCCGGCGCAAAATTAAGTTAGGGTCAAACATGGTGTAACAAAGAGTTAGACACCCCGTCGAGAGATAATTGTTGCTGACCGCTTGCTTCTCTAGTTATACCAACTTTAGGCACGACTGCACGATAGCAATATAGAGAGCCACGCGCCCAAACAAAACGCCACTCTATAGCCACAAATAATGCTCAGAACAGCACCTAACTTCATCAACAGGACATATAGGGTCCCAGCCACAGCACTAGCCACCAAACACCTTTTTAACTTTGCCTGGTTTCTTTAGCACACAACTCACCCTCTCTCTTCCAGCAGCCGCTTGTTTGTACGGAGACCTCCAGGCAAGTCCATCGACTGCAGTGGGGTTACACAGCTCAAGGAAGAACATTTATGATTCATCTCTCAATAGGGTGTTTTACTCAGTGTTACGGTGTGTTTGACCCTAACTTTATTTTAATATCCCTTTAACCGGCTCTTTTATGCACTCTGGGCTCTTTCCTGATGCCTCAGCTCCTGGTCAGATCTCTAAGGCTGAGCTCAGCAGCTTGTATCCCCAATCTCATTTTTTTGTGGCCCTTAGCTCAAGCTTTGTTCAGCCCCAGGTTCAACAAATAGAATAGCATCTTCGATGATAACAGACAGATACACAACCTCATGACTGACAATAAGAAACGATCATTACATCTGTACTTCTGCTGCATAGACTTCTTGGATTTCAGTGAGCAAACAGAAAACATGCCCCTGAATCTGACAACACAACAAGTCAACCAGGTGACATGACCTGGGTGAAACTTTAGACCGAACAGACCAAGCGTGACACGACCCCCGGCGCCATCAAAAATACAGACACGTCAACGTCAGGCCTGTCAAGCATCAATCATCCAACAACATCAGAACACTGTAGAGCAGCCAGAGTGCCAAACTGAATGGATGTTTCTTTCGCCTCATGATGAGTACATGCTCTTCTTGTAGAATATGTAGAAGAGTGAAGGACTCAGAGAGGCTCAGAGAAGTGTGTGTGATAAGATCAGAGCTGGTTTCAGACTCACCGACTGGTATGAAAGGCTGTGAGGCAAGGCTGTGACGAGACATGCCGATACCGTTGACAGCATAGACTCGCATCTCGTACGCCACTCCTTCCATCATTCTACTGGCTTCGTATGTTGTCTCGGGATAAGGGTCGAAGTTCAGCCTCATCCACCTGTAGCTCTTTGTTTTCTTTCTTTCCAGCACATAACCTGGGAGTCAAAATGTAGAAAATCAAGTTTTTTGGTTTATCAAGAGATCAAGCAGACAGTGAAGACGTGTAGTAAGAGGGAGTTAAAGTTTTGTTTGAATTTTACCGATGATTGGCTGGCCACCATCGAACAGAGGGGGTTCCCACTGAACAACACAGGAGTCCTCTCCAACACTGAGGATTTTTACAGCCTGTGGAGGATCAGGAACATCTGGAAGGAAATATTCCCTGCAGTTAATATTTGAAAAAGAAATATCATTCATATCACTGAGAAAAACGAACCAGTTTAACTTCTTTATTTGCAGTTTAATATCCAAAAATGATGAGGGTCCATGCAGCTAATGATAACAAAATGCTCTGCTCTTTGTCTTACCAACAACTTTCACATTAATATCAGCCGTGTCCTCTCCTGCAGGGTTTCGAACCACAACGGAGTAGATCCCTTCATCCTGCCTCTCGGCCCCCTCGATGGTAAAGATGCAGTGTCCTTTGGCGGTTTCTATATGCACCCGACCACCTCCTTCCGTGAGGACCTACACAACGAGAACCACAGTGAAGATACTGGGTATCAAAATCAGCCTTCGTTGACTGATGGTCTTCTTGGACGTGTTGCAGGTACAGATGCTGTTACAGCCCATAGACCTGTCTTTCAGGGGAAAAACTACCTTCACAAGTACAGCAAGTATATGTGTCAAGAATTAATAATAATTAATCAAAACATCAGATTTTAAGTAAGATGGATGTTATCAGTTATAATAAAGTGAACCTGAACCTCATTTTTAGAAGTGATCTTTGCATAAAATGAATGTATTTCACTTTCCTAATTAAATCTACTGTGTATAGGTAACATGGCAATATCAAAGAGCTGATACTTAAAATAAACATGCTTTGTTATCTTAAGATGTCAATTAATCAATAACTCTTGGTCCCAGGATAACGGCCTGGGATGACAAAAATTGCATCCACAGCAATTTTTCGGTTTCTCCAAACATGGTCTAACAAAAGTTTTAAAAGTTCCTCAGGTGTGCTTTTTAAGTCAACAGAATGTGGCACATAACACAAGACTTCAAATGTAGTCATGCAAATGTTGGACCAGTACATGACAGGGTCTGAAATGGACTTTCAGGAAAGGCTAATAAAGGCTGAACTGCTTCATAATCTTACTTGTAAAGACATGAGAACCTTCATCAAGAGAAACGCAAAATAAAGAAAAATGATCTGAACTCAAGCACTGCTCACCAGTTACAGGAGACGTCACTTACCTGTGCCCATACTGCATCTGCATGTTGAGTTTTCATCCCTTTTTATTCAGTCATCGAATTATTAGGGCTGTCAGCATCGATATGTTAATTCCACTGTGATCAAAGTCCTGAACAAACCGACCTTTAATTTTTCTGATCCTACGTTATTGTGGCTTGTCCCTTCCTACACACTGTAGTTTACTGACTGCAGTGTCTTCCTACTTTCTGCCACTGCTCAATAGCTCCTAGATGGTTCAAGTTGGCAAGTTGATAGTAATACACACTTTTAGCCAAACTGAATTTAAAGATCACTCAAGTTATTTGAGTCAAATCTATTGGCTACGAGCTAAACATAAAGGTTCAGCTAAGATGGCTGATGGTGGCGGCTAACCGGTGGAAACTGACTGCAGGCCCGTCAACACTGAGTTGGACCTGAGTCTCAGGGACGCCCACGTGTTTTCCTAAGTTTCCTCGTGATAAAAATGTGATTGATTCTTTGTTAAAAATTGAAAGTCAGTAATCAATTTGCTTGACAATCCTAACAATAATATATTTAAAGGGATATTCCGGCGTAAAATAAATTTAGGGTCAAACACACTGTTACACTGAGTAACTCGAGAGATGAATGTTGCTGACCGCTTGCTTCTCTAGTTATACCAACTTTAGTAACGACCGCACAATAGCAATACACAGCCATAAACAAACCTCAACCAGAACGCCACTCTATAGCCACAGATAATGCTCAGAACAGCACCTAACTTCATCAACAGAACATATAGGGTCCCAGCCATAGCACTAACCACCAAACATCTTTTGAAGTTTGCCTAATTTCTTTAGCAAAGAGACTAAACACAACTCACCTACTCTCTTCCAGCAGCCATTTGTTTGTTTGTAGCGAGACCAGTCTATTGCGGACTGCTGCGGGGTGACGCAGCTCAAGGAAGAACATTTATGATCATTTCTTCATGGAAATGCAATCAGTTCGAGATGCTAAGGCAGAAGAACTACCGCGTCTGCAGTGCAAAATGATTAAAGTAATGATCATAAATGTTCTTCCTTGAACTGCGTCACCCCATCAGTCTGTAATGGGTCTAAAGTCGGTATAACTAGAGAAGCAAGCAGTCGGCAACATTCATCTCTCAAGGGGATGTCTAACTCGGTGTTACGTATGTTTGATCCTAAATTAATTTTATGCTGGAATATCTCTTTTTAAGGACATAAGACATAGAAATGTCCCCTTCAAAAGTATGCTTACTGTAGAGTTTTTTCTGACTTGTTTCTGTCTTTGTAGGAAATCTGAACATGCTCTTACCTCATTGCTCAACATTTAGTAACACCATGTTCATGTGACTTGCTCCTAAAGTTTTGTACAGAGGATAACAAACACGTGCAGAGATATTGTAACTACAGGTGAAGCTGAACTGTTCACATTCAGATGCAGCTGTTTGGTACAGTTAGATGTTTGTGCGCATTATCCTCTGATCTTACATAGAAAACAAGATTATCTTTATATGAAAACAACAGCTTCTCCTCTGGCTACATCTGTTCATCCAGCACACTGCGGGCCATCACACACTCTTCTCACATTGTCATTAGAAGTGAATTGTGGGTTAGAAGGCATGGTGCTGGTTGTAGCTGGCTTGAAGTGTTTGAATGAAACATGCACACTTACGTCCCCGTCATTCAGGGTCCAAGAGGTAGTAGTTCCTTCTTTCTCCTCTCCGCCAGGTTTTACAGAACTAGCCTATATTTGAGCAGAGCAAAGCAGTAAAAGCCGAAGAGAACAGAGAGGTTGTGTAACCTCACTTTCCTTTCGACTCAAACATCAGCACGCTGGTACATGTCATTTAATTAAGCTGTAATTAGCCTTGTAATTCAATAGCTCGGTTAAAACGTCTTAGTGCACCAGCCAGACGTTTGCAAATCCAAAAATGTTTAGACACAAAATTGTTAGCTGATAAGAGTTTATTATCCTGGAGATGGGCTGTATTAAAAATGAACTGTAAGAGCTAGAATCTTCCAGAATTTCACAGCATTAGTATGGCTATGAAATGTGTTTTTAACGATGAATAAGTCACAGATTTCAGGCCTTACCTACTATGCTCTGGATAGTTGTCAGATGTCAGAAGTTGGGTGTGATGCCTGGTTAAAAACAGAGGTCTATGTGTCTGCTTTACCTTCTCTCCTTTGGTCCAGACCACTGTGGGAGCCGGATCTCCTGTAATTGGGACATCCAGACGCAATTTGTTGCCAGCCACCACCACGATGGTTGACTCTGTAGTGCGACCCATACAGTCAAGATGGATCTTAGGAGGATCTAAAGGAGAAAAGAAATGGTTAAAAAGAGCAGAAGTTTGATTTTGAAATGTTCCAGTCTAGGTGGTTGTGGTTGTTTGTACCTTGGCGCGGGACGTAGTCAATCTTCACCTCTAAAGAAACAAAAATAAAAAATACAGGTAAACAGCTTCAGTTTGGAGAGAACTGACCCATGTTTAGTTTGAAGTTTTAAGAAAAAAAGAAAGAAATGCTACCCAAGAAATTGAGTTTTGCAGACAAGTTGAAGGCATGGCCGTCTGGCACAAAAGTGTAGTCTCCTTCATCCTCTGGTTTGACCTCGTCGATGGTCAGTTTGTGGATCCTTGAACGGAGAAAAATTGTCAAGTTTACTGCATACTATAACGGGATGTATGCTCATGTAAAGCATGTGCTACATTCTCCTCACCTGCCAATATGTGTGATATTAATTCTGGCGTCAGGCTGGACTTCCACGCCATTCTTGTACCACGTCCCCCTCACGTTCTCATCTGACACCTCGCACTTAAAAACCGCCTGATCCTTTGCTTTCACTGTGAGGTCTGCGATGCTCTGGTACACCTCCAGCTCTTTCTCTGCACAGTCAGAAAAACACAGACAGGTCAGGAATGAGATGATGATATATATATGAGGATAATATGATTCGAAAAAAAGAGAGGCAGCTTTTGTATGTGAGGATAATACGGTAATAATAAGCTGGTGCGTGAGGTGTTTATTATCTTTGCCCAGCCTTTGTATTTAGTATCTTAGCAACAGGCACAAGAGAAATAGTTAATTGGATTTTATGGTAGAAAATAAAGTGGGAGGATATGAAGACCAGATGCAGGAGCTTCAAGCTATTACTGTATATCACAAAAAAATAATGCACTGCAGAGTTATTAAGTTATCTCAATAGGAAGTGTAAACCAGGCAAGATAAGTCGCACCCCGCTCCCTGAAAAGGTCACAGGAGTCGTTTTTTTTCTTTATGTCAGCTCACTGGATGGGTGAATGAGGTGAGAATGGTGCTGTGAAATAAGGTGCTGATCCCCGCTGCACTCGACAGCTGGTTTTCTTGGCGAGTTTGTAGTTTGATTAACAGTCAGATTAACTGAGCTGGACTATAAGCAGGAGCTTAGACCAGGTTTAAATCTAAGTACAAACACCTAGAGGATGCACACAAGCACAAACACATACTCTATCACACCTGAACATGAATATATGTAATATTCAGGGTGTACAGATTCTGTAAATAGCCACAGGACTAAAATGTAACAAAATACAGCGAAGGTTGAATCATGAACATGTGATGAAGTCTGGTTTGGTTCATGGTGAATATTTCTGCTGTTTGAGCTGATGATGCTGAGATGAAAAGGTAACAAGAGGAAAATAATAGAGGGTCAAACCAGTTGGGGTTTGTTCATGTTTTGCTCTCATTTAGAGTTTGAACCAATTCTCTCCAGCATTTTTAGACCACCTGTGAAGTAAAATCATAATATTTCTAAGAAAATGAATCAACTTTGATATTTACCAGAAAAAACATGACGATTGTTTACTTCACTGAAAACCATCATTAACTAAATTGATTGCAAATTCCACATACAAATCAAATCTTTCAATAGAAAATAGCAACTTCCAACAAGAAAAACCAGCATCTAGTGATACGATATCATTTAAAAAACACAAAGTTGAAGATATAGAAAGTTAAGATTGTTCTGTTCCTGTGTTGGTACTGCAAATATTCCTCTAAATGCCAATGTAGCTTCCGGTACTTTGGTAACATCAGACTGTAAAACTATGTGAAAAACTATTTGATTTAGTTTGACATTACCTGAACCTACAGGTTTTACTGGTACATGTTAAATATGGGGACAACAACAGAGCATTTTAAAGTACCCAAAGATATAATAAATTACAATTTATGTCAGGCTATTGTGAGTGTTTTGCAATTATTTGCTATTCTGATAACAAATAATACAGCTTATAATACAGCTTTATCCAATAATAACACAAAAGTTGGTAACGTTTTAACATTAATAAGCCTACAAATCCTGACACAGTAGGTGGCGCATAAGAGGAAGACCTCATCCCCAACAAGCTCTCCATAGGAAATTTAGCCAATCCCCATGGTCTCAAAATGATCGACAACTGGAAATATGATTCCACCCACTGCTTTTGCATACTTTCTTTTAGTAGTATTGATATTTCTTTCATTAAAAAAATCTTCAGCATTAACTCCCTTATGTTTGGTTTATGCAGTAAAAAAGATGAATAAAAATGAAATCATTACAACAGCACAAAAACAAAGCCAGGTGGAACAAAGAGGAGGGAGAGGAAACAGGTCACTTGTACAGAATCGTGCCCTTCAGGTGAAATATGGTCCACGTCTTCTAACTTTAGCTGGCATGTGGACTCGCGTCGCTGCAGTAACCTTGGCAGAATGACGCGGGCAAGAGATCCCAAAGATAGACAGCATGCCAGGAGGGGCAAGGCCACACGACTACTGGCCGGGCATGAGAATGTGCACTTGGAGTGTATATCAGTGATAAAAATGTTTCATACTGTACTCAGCACAAGCCTGACTGACACTTACCCTGCACCAGGAGTTCAGCCGTCGACTCGCCGCCATTCGTTTTGACCTTGTAATGACCGCAGTCCTCCTTCGTGGCCTCGTTGATGATCAGGACATGTTTGCAGCCATCTTTCTTGAAGCGATACTTGAATGACTCATCTCTTGTTAATTCCACTCCATCTTTCTCCCTGTATGGAAGTTCACACAGACGTCAAAGTCATTGTGACTGTTATTGTAACCAAACTCAGGAGCAGGTCTCAAAACTTGTGTGAGGAGCTTTTCCTCGTGTTGATTTTAGCGCCCCCTGTGGACAGAGCAGCACCTGTAATTAGTGTTTTCTGACAATGACAATAGGTTTTCTATCAGTCAGTCGTTTAATCCAGAGTAAATATTTGCAGTGGGGAGAAAAAAAGGATCATTCAGTCTGACCCCTACCATATGGCAGTCGTTACACACTCACAGGAATATTAAGGTCTCATTGTACATAAAATTTCCATCTATCTGAATTATTTAAATTGAACATAAACAGAACAATAAACTATTTGTGCTGCATATTTGTCAGTCAAATGTAAATAAAACAATTGAGAATTAGATTTATATAATAATACCAAGAAACTCAATGAGCCTAGAATAAATAATTTGTGTATTCATCATTGTTATCTCCAATTTGTGTCTGTCTCATAAATTTTAACTGAATAAATCACAGCTGATCAACAGCTCATCATATTTATTTTTTAATACATTTTATCTGATTAAATTGAATAGTTTTCAGAGTAAAATATTAATGATTTTAAGAAACTTGAATAAATAGATTCTAAAAAAAACAACAACAATTTTAATAAAATCAAATAGATACTAGGGCCCCGTTGGGGCACTGGCGGGCCCGAGCCGCGTTGCGCCGCCCCCAGTGCGACCGCCTCCCCCTCCCGATCGCGTCACACTCAAGGTCCAAAGATGGTGTGCGCACTTGTCTGTGGTCATTTCCCATTATAATGAATGGGAGGCGCAGTTTCTACCAAAACACTCGCTGGAGACAAACTACATGTCCTATTTGAAAAAAGTCTGGACCATGAGTGAGGCCACAAACACAGCTAGGATATATCCAAACGGCAAGTTGCTCCTTGTTACGGTGTTGCCGGGAGAGCGATGCGATTGAGCCATTGAGTGATGGGCAGGAAAAACTTGACTGTTTCTCCTGCCATGGGGGATGGGGGATGGGGGGGGGGATGTGGATTCTTTTAAGAATGTGGATATTTGGGTCATCTTTGGCGCCCCCTAGAACGTGAGCCGTGGGGTGCAGCGTCATGATTTTTACAACTTTGAATGGCCATGGGGTGTAGATTGGCCTGAGCAAATTTGGTGTCAGTGGGACGAAAGCCTTAGGAGGAGTTAGCCACATTCCAATGTGTGCGAATCGGCAAAAAATGCAAAATAGCCCTTTAACCGTACATTTGACAGATACACGCCCATTGACTTTTTCGTAGATCTTATTGAGATACACGTGATTGTCAAATTTTGTGTCAATATGACAAAGCGTATAGGCGTGAATCTCAACAATATGTATTTTCACCTTAGGGGACAAGAAAAAATGGACTTTTTTCTCCTGCCATGGGGGGGCGCTCTTTTGGGGAGTAAAAATTCCTTCACAAATGTGTTGATGGCTGGACATTGCATCATCCTAGAAAACCTGGAGGCCAGTGAGGACAAAAATAAGAAGTTATAAGACTTTTAAATATGTGGATTTTAGGGTTATCTTTGGCGCCCCCTAGAACCTAAACCGTGGGGTGCAGCGTCATGATTTGAATAACTTTTAATGGCCATGGGGTGTAGATTGGCCTGAGCAAATGTGGTGCCAGTGGAACGAAAGCCTTAGGAGGAGTTAGCCACATTCCAATGTGTGCGGATCGGCAAAAAATGCGGAATAACCCTTTAACCGTACATTTGACAGATATGCGCGCATTGACTTTTTCGTAGATCTTATTGAGATACATGTGTGTGTTAATATTTGTGTCATTTTGCCAAAGCGTACAGGCGTGACACTAAACAATGTGTATTTTCACCTTAGGGGACAAGAAAAAATAGACTTTTTTCTCCTGCCATGGGGGGGCGCTCTTTTGGGGAGTAAAATTTCCTTCACAAATGTGTTGATGGCTGGACATTGCATTATCCTAGAAAACTTGGAGGCCAGTGAGGACAAAAATAAAAAGTTATAAGACTTTTAAGAATGTGGATTTTTGGGTTATCTTTGGCGCCCCCTAGAACCTTCACCGTGGGTTGCAGCGTCATGATTTGTACAACTTTTAATGGCCATGGGGTGTAGATTGGCCTGAGCAAATTTGGTGCCGGTGGAACGAAAGCCTTCGGAGGAGTTAGCGAAATTCCAATGTGTGCGGATCGGCAAAAAATGCAAAATAGCCCTTTAACCGTACATTATACAGATACGTGCTCTATGACTTTTTTGTAGATCTTATTGAGATACACGTGATTGTCAAATGTTTTGTCAATATGACAAAGCGTTTAGGCGTGACACTCAACAATGTGTATTTTCATGTTAGGGGACAAGAAAAACTTGACTTTTTTCTCCTGCCATGGGGGGGCGCTCTTTTGGGGAGTAAAAATTCCTTCACAAATGTGTTGATGGCTTGACATGGCATCATCCTAGAAAACTTGGAGGCCAGTGAGGACAAAAATAAAAAGTTATAAGACTTTTAAGAATGTGGATTTTTGGGTTATCTTTGGCGCCCCCTAGAACGTAAACCGTGGGGTGCAGCATCATGATTTGTACAACTTTTAATGGCCATGGGGTGTAGATTGGCCTGAGCAAATGTGGTGCCGGTGGAACGAAAGCCTTCGGAGGAGTTAGCGAAATTCCAATGTGTGCGGATCGGCAAAAAATGCGAAATAGCCCTTTAACGGTACATTTGACAGATACGCCCGCACTGACTTTTTTGTAGATCTTATTGAGATACACATGTGTGTCAAATTTTGTGTCATTTTGACAAAGTGTACAGGCGTCAGGTGAGTTTTCACCATAGGGGGCGCTATGCAGCCATTTTTCATTTTTTTGTTTGGGCGACTTCAGAATATCAAATTTTTCACCAGGCCCGGTCGTCCTGCCAAATTTCCTGAGTTTTCGCCAGTGGGAAGTGGGCCATTTTCCAGTTTAAAGCGGAGGAAAAATAACGAACTAGGACCCCGTTGGGGCACTGGCGGGCCCGAGCTGTGTCGCGTCCCCCCCCCCAACGCGCTGCCTCCCCGTCCCATTTGTGTCCTCTGGCCATCGCCCTCTCTGGTAACGCCCATCACTGCAAAGACCCTTTTCCTTCATCGGCGTTTGCTGTTCTTCCTGCCAGTGCGTGTTGCTTTCACTTACACTTGCCACAGCCAGCCTCGTGAGTGCCTAGCCTATTGGATATCACTGTCACCTACACAGGACAGTCATTACCTTTCTATTAATACTTTGTTTTTTAATTTCACATTAATTTCCATATTGTATAAACAACTGGAAAAAACTTGAGCCCCTGCCCCTGTATAATCATGTGCACGTCTCTGTTCTAGCTCTAAGGTGAATCTTCACTGCTCATGTTCTCCTCAGAAGCAGTCACCTCACTCCCCTCAGGTTACTGTACACATGCACCAACTGCCTGCTTCAGGTTTGGATGGAGCTTCATGGTTGTCTTTTGGAGAAATGACCAGTCAAGTTGTGTTTGAAATATGATTTTTTTCAGGGGCAAAAGGAGCCTCTGCATTCTTGTCAAATATGTAAATAGCATGTTTTTGCAGGTGCTAAAAACCAGACTCTGAGTGTGTGTGTGTGCGTGTGTGTGTGTGTCTGTGTGTGTGTGTGTGTGTGTGTGTGTGTGTGTGTGTGTGCGTTCAAGTCACATGACATATTCAACCGGATGTAGCTGCAAGACGGAGCCTCGTTGACTCTCCGTTTCAATTTATCTCAAAAGTGAGGACCTCAACCTATATACCAGTTTTTAAATTGTGTTGATAGGCCAAATAAAACCAGAGTTATGATAAATTATGTCCACGATACTTGTTTTCTGCTTATTTTGATCACGTTCGGCGCTCGATCGCGCTGTATGAGACAGGAAAACATAGCATGCAGACATTAGCGACAGGTCTTACAGGCGGAAAAGGCTTGCCAAAGGAAAAAAAAAAACACACCACAACATCTCTCCTATTGGTGGAAAACTTCACCACAACAACCAATCCAAAATTATATGGTGACTGATTGACAAGGGGCGGGAACTTACGTTCTTCCTGCAATATGAGAAGGGAGGGAGGGACTCTCAGCAGGGATGCAGTCTGGGACACGTAGTTGCAAACCTAGCGACTTTGTTGTTAGATTCAATGACTTTTCAGACCCCCTAACGACTTTTTTTTAGAAAGAAAGTGACTTTTATCGACTTCTTCTGGAGTTTAGAGACTCTGACATGAAGCAGGCTTTCCTTACTGAGGAGTTAGCAACGCTGCTAAGGGTGCAGAGCCACACATGCGCTCCGAGCTCTGCATGGGAGACTGAAGCTGACAGAGCTGCAGCAGTTAGCAGGTTTCACCCTCAGAGACCACCAGGGGTTCATGTTGAGGCATTTTCTTTTTTTTTTTTTTTTTTTGCCATAGACACTGTCAGCACAATCTGCAGTTACACTAACAAAAATGCTGCAAAAAACAAAGAATTATGGAAAAATTACACATGGACTAACATAGAGGAGGATCTACACAAGTTTTTTACATCATGTTTTACATCATGCATCATTTACATCATGTTTTTTTGTAGTGGCATAAATAAAAAGTGACATTTGTGAGACTATACAGTGTTTTGTAAATAATTTTACAAAGAACACCTGGGCCATTGCCTGCATTTTGATGTAAATAGAGGTAAATTACTATGTTCTTTGTTAAAAATTTGCATATGTTTTGAAGTTTACAATTTTTATTTGAAGTTTAAGTTTTAAAAACAGTTCATCACACATATTTGTGGTTTTCACAGTAAAAACGTTACTTTTTTCCACTCGGATTTTATGTTTTGTGTGTGAATTTGGGTCCAATGTGTAAATATAGTATGTCAAAATGATAAAATAACTGTAAATTGACACAGGTGAGGTTGTGCTGAAAAAAATGATACCAGGCAAGGCAAGGTAAAAATTTTGTAAGAGGAAATATAAAGGTAAAATCTAAAGTAGTCAAAAACGGCCAATAGTGACTCACAGACTCCACAGACAAGTCCCTTTGGCGCCACTCAGTGGGCAAAACTACTTTGTCTACTGTAATGTATATTTGGGTCATCTTTGGCGCACCCTAAAACGTAAACCATGGGGTGCAGCGTCATGATTTTTACAACTTTGAATGGCCATGGGGTGTAGATTGGCCTGAGCAAATTTGGTGTCAGTGGGACGAAAACCTTAGGAGGAGTTAGCCACATTCCAATGTGTGCGAATCGGCAAAAAATGCGAAATAGCCCTTTAACCGTACATTTTACAGATACGCGCGCATTGACTTTTTCGTAGATCTTATTGAGATACACGTGATTGTCAAATTTTGTGTCAATATGACAAAGCGTACAGGCGTGGCATTCAACAATGTGTATTTTCACCTTAGGGGACAAGAAAAAATTGACTTTTTTGTCCTGCCATGGGGGGGCGCTCTTTTGGGGAGTAAAAATTCCTTCACAAATGTGTTGATGGCTGGACATTGCATCATCCTAGAAAACTTGGAGGCCAGTGAGGGCAAAAATAAAAAGTTATAAAACTTTTAAGAATGTGGATTTTAGGGTTATTTTTGGCGCCCCCTAGAACCTAAACCATGGGGTGCAGCATCATGATTTGTACAACTTTGAATGGCCATGGAGTGTAGATTGGCCTGAGCAAATGTGGTGCCGGTGGACCGAAAGCCTTCGGAGGAGTTAGCGAAATTCCAATGTGTGCGGATCTGCAAAAAATGCGAAATAACCCTTTAACCGTACATTTGACAGATACGCCCGCACTGACTTTTTTGTAGATCTTATTGAGATACATGTGTGTGTCAATTTTTGTGTCAATATGACAAAGCGTACAGGCGTGACAGTCAATAGTGTGAATTTTCACCTTAGGGGGCGCTATGGAGCCATTTTGTATTTTATTGTTTGGGCGACTTCAGAATATCGAATTTTTCACCAGGCCCGGTCGTCCTGCCAAATTTCCTGAGTTTTCGCCAGTGGGAAGTGGGCCATTTTCCAGTTTAAAGCGGAGGAAAAATAATAATAATAACTAGGGCCCCGTTGGGGCACTGGCGGGCCCGAGCCGTGTCGCGCCGCCCCCAGCGCGACCGCCTACCCCTCTTGATCGCGTCACACTCAAGGTCCAAAGATGGTGTGCGCACTTGTCTGTGGTCATTTACCATTATAATGAATGGGAGGCGCAGTTTCTACCAAAACGCTCGCTGCAGACAAACTCCATGTCCTTTTTGAAAAAAGTCTGGACCATGAGTGAGGGCACAAACACAGCTAGTATATATCCAAATGGCAAGTTGCTCCTCCTTTCGGTTTTGCCGAGAGAGTGATGCTTTTGAGCCATTGAGCGATGGGCAGGAAAAACTTGACTTTTTCTCCTGCCATGGGGGGGCGCTCTTTTGGGGAGAAAAAATTCCTTCACAAATGTGTTGATGGCTGGACATTGCATCATCCTAGAAAACTTGGAGGCCAGTGAGGACAAAAATAAAAAGTTATAAGACTTTTAAAAATGTGGATATTTGGGTCCTCTTTGGCACCCCCTAGAACGTAAACCGTGGGGTGCAGCGTCATGATTTGTACAACTTTGAATGGCCATGGGGTGTAGATTGACCTGAGCAAATTTGAAGCCGATGGGACAAAAGCTTTAGGAGGAGTTAGCCACATTCCAATGTGTGCGAATCGGCAAAAAATGCAAAATAGCCCTTTAACCGTACATTGAACAGATACGCTCGCATTGACTTTTTCGTAGATCTTATTGAGATACATGTGTGTGTCAAATTTTGTGTCATTTTGACAAAGCGTAAAGGCGTGACAGTCAACAATGTGTATTTTCGCCTTAGGAGACAAGAAAAAATGGACTTTTTTCTCCTGCCATGGGGGGGCGCTCTTTTGGCGAGTAAAAATTCCTTCACAAATGTGTTGATGGCTGGACATTGCATCATCCTAGAGAACTTGGAGGCCAGTGAGGACAAAAATAAAAAGTTATAAGACTTTTAAGACAGTGGATTTTTGGGTTATCTTTGGCGGCCCCTAGAACGTAAACCGTGGGGTGCAGTGTCATGATTTGTACAACTTTTAATGGCCATGGGGTGTAGATTGGCCTGAGCAAATGTGGTGCCGTTGGAACGAAAGCCTTCGGAGGAGTTAGCGAAATTCCAATGTGTGCGGATCGGCAAAAAATGCGAAATAACCCTTTAACCGTACATTTGACAGATACGCCCGCACTGACTTTTTTGTAGATCTTATTGAGATACATGTGTGTGTCAAATTTTGTGTCATTTTGACAAAGCGTAAAGGCGTGACAGTCAACGATGTGTATTTTCGCCTTAGGAGACAAGAAAAAATGGACATTTTTCTCCTGCCATGGGGGGGCGCTCTTTTGGCGAGTAAAAATTCCTTCACAAATGTGTTGATGGCTGGACATTGCATCATCCTAGAGAACTTGGAGGCCAGTGAGGACAAAAATAAAAAGTTATAAGACTTTTAAGACTGTGGATTTTTGGGTTATGTTTGGCGCCCCCTAGAACGTAAACCGTGGGGTGCAGCGTCATGATTTGTACAACTTTTATTGGCCATGGGGTGTAGATTGGCCTGAGCAAATGTGGTGCCGGTGGAACGAAAACCTTCGGAGGAGTTAGCGAAATTCCAATGTGTGTGGATCGGCAAAAAATGCGAAATAAACCTTTAACCGTACATTTGACAGATACGCCCGCACTGACTTTTTTGTAGATCTTATTGAGATACACGTGTGTGTCAAATTTTGTGTCATTTTGACAAAGCATACAGGCGTGACACTCAATCATGTGAATTTTTCACCTTAGGGGGCGCTATGGAGCCATTTTGCATTTGATTTTTTGGGCGACTTCAGAATATCAAATTTTTCACCAGGCCCGGTCGTCCTGCCAAATTTCATGACTTTTCACCAGTGGGAAGTGGGCCATTTTCCAGTTCAAAGGGGCAGAAAAATAATAAGAAGAAGAAGAAGAAGAAAGAAGAATCCATCAGGAATAATAGGGCTCTCGCAGCTGCTTAGCAGCTACGCTCGGGCCCTAATAACAAAAGAAGAATCCATCAGGAACAAGAGGGCTCTCGCAGCTGCTTAGCAGCTACGCTCGGGCCCTAAAGAAGAATCCATCAGGAACAAGAGGGCTCTCGCAGCTGCTTAGCAGCTACGCTCGGGCCCTAATGAATACTTAAAATGAAACTATGCCACTTTAAGGGTACATGAATTATTATGAATTCATGTACCCTGACCGTAAAGAGTTACCAAAATAACTACTTTAAGGATTATGCATGTGGTTGCTAAAGTTTTTTTTTTTCTAAGGGTCATAAGAAAGCACAAATTCAGGTTTCTGTCTGTTTCATAAGCATTTAAGTTGCTTTGTCACTTTTACCTCTATGACATCCTAAAGTTAATCTTAACTTAAAGGATTTTACATCCAGTTTTTTTTCCAGACAAGCTCATAAAGAAAAAATGAAAGCAAATCTGTGGGTACGGTAGCAAAAGAGTATGTGGATTACATAAAAAGTCCCAAAAGTTGTATGTACAAGTAAACCAAAATGCACCTGGTGACCAGAATTAAAGGCAAACAGTTAAGAATTATAATCAGACTGAAAAACAGTTATTATGAATAAAGCAAAAGATGTTGTCATATTACTTTATGAAACGTCCTTGCACATGATAGAAATATAGTTTTCAAGATTTAAGAAAGTGACATCAAATAAGGGAAGTTTATGAGACTTTTCATTTATAGCGTAAATCGATTGCATAGCTTCTGAACTCCTCTTAACTTCTGCCATATTGAGCTCATCTTTTTTCTCTTATTCATTTGACTTTTTATCCAACATATTGATCTTTCGCCTTCCCTTTCAGGAATTTTATTTTGCACCAGCATTTGCAGCAACTCCCCCCCCCCCCGAGACAAAAGGTCACAGGGGTCATAGTGAAATGTTGATGTGACCTTTTCACAGAGGTGATAATTTACAGCTTCAGTGTGTCACAGAGACAGAAGGCAGAGCTGTGTGTGTGTCTGTGTGCACATGAAAAACTCAAATGCCATCTGCTGGGTGTGTGAGTAATCAACACTGTGTGAGAGAGGACATAAAATCGGCTTTGAATGAAGAAAAAGTTTCAAGTCCCATTGAAGTTTCACAGCATGTTTATGTTTTTGATAATATATTTCTAAGTCCTTCTTAACTAACTTAATTTTATACCACATGTAAAGACAAATCCAGGCTGTAACTAAAATGAAAGCATTACGTGAGGCTATATTAGCCGCTGCAAGTCATATGCCAAATTTACACTGACATGCTCACAAGACCTGACGTAACTGTGAAGTTCATGAACTTCATGGTAGTGTCGCTGGAGGTTGAGCTTCAGTAATAACTCGACAAACACCTCATAACATGACACTGACTCTACAGAGGCCTGGTCATGTTTTATACGTGTTTTTCTTTTATGTCCTCTGATGTCCTCTAACTCAGCTCTCCTTGGTGACTTTTCTGACGGATAGATTGTTTACTTGTTCAGTGATTTACAGCTGCTTTGACCAGGACTCTGACTTTAACTGATGGTGGCAGCAAGGTTAGGTCAAGAAGGGGGTTGAGGGTGACCAAAACAAACAGAATATTCACCTCTGTGCTGTAATAATTCTTCCCCCTTAATTTTTGTATGTATGGTGCCGAGGCAAATGAATTATTGTCATGAATCGTTCGTTGCACTCGCTCGAGACAAAATCAGCAAATTACCACTCAGTCCACAGGGGGCGCTAAAATCCATATAAATCAAAAGTTCCTTACAAGTGCTTTCACTTCAGCACACTCACCAGCCACTTTATTAGGTATATCTTGCTAGTAAATGGTTGCACCCCCTTTTGCTTTAAGAGCTGTCGTGATTCTTCATGTCAAGCTTTCAACAAGGTCTTAAAAACATCCCTCAGAGGTTTTTGTCCGTATTAACATGACAGCATCACACAGGTGCTGCAGATTTGTCTATAATGCAAATCTCCAGTTCCACCATATCCCAAAGGTCCTCTATTGGATCGAGATCTGGTGACAATGGAGACCACTGGAGTACGGTGAACTTGTTGTCATGTTCAAGAAACTATGATTTGTGATGATTTGAGCTTTGTGATATCCTGCAGGAAGTAGCCATTAGAAGATGGGCACACTGTAGTCACAAAGATATGTTCCATGGTCAGGAATATGACCAAAGTAGACCGTGGTGTTAAAATGATTTTCAGTTGGTACTAAGCGGCTTAAAGCATGTCAAGAAAATATCCCCCACACCATCAAACCACCATCAGCCTGAATCATCGATACAAGGTAGGATGGATCCATGCTTCCATATTGTTGATGCCAAACTTTGACCCTACGATCTGAATGTTGCAGCTGAAATCCAGACTCATCAGACCAGGCAACGTTTCTCCAATCTGCTGTTGTCTGATTTTGGTAACCCTGTGCTAATTGTGACCTCAGTTTCCTGATCTTAGCTGAGAGGAGTGGCAACCAGTGTGGTCTTCTGCTGCTGTAGTCCATCTGCTTCAAGGTTGTACACGTTGTGAATGCAGAGATGATATTCTGCATACTTTGGTTGTAATGAGTTATCCAACCCACTGTTGCCTTTCGATCATCTTGAACCAGTCTACCCTAGGGTGATCATATGTCCTCTTTTACCTGGACATGTCCTCTTTTTGGGGGGCTGTCCGGCTTTGTCTGGCGGAGTTTATAAAATCCTTCAAATGTCCGGGGTTTTTTATGGAAGTTTTGAGTTTGTGTCGCATGGACTTACTGAGTTAGAAGCACGTAAAAAAGAAAGAAATTTCTCAAAATTAACTGCGCACGGCTCTGTGACTCCACTCCTGCGTAGTCATGTCCTCTTTTTGGGGATTCAGAATATGGTCACCCTAGTCCACCCTTCTTCTCTGACCTCTAACATCAACTGCCACACACCGGATATTTCCCCTTTTTTCCAGACCATTTTCTGTAAACCACAGAGATGGTTGTGCGTGAAAATCTCAGTAGATCAGCAATAACAACCATACCATTTGCAAAGTCTCTTAAATCCTCTTTCTTCCCATTCTGATGCTCGGTTTGAACTTCAGCGTGTTGTCTTGACCATATCTACATGCCTAAATGCTGCCATGTGATTGGCTGATTAGCGATTTGTGTTAAGAAGCGACTGAACAGGTGTAGCGAATAAAGCGGCCGGTGAGTGTATATCATAATGACAGTGTTTACTCGCAGAATAACGTTTTGTGAAGGTCAAGAATCATAACTAACCATTTGACGTTGGCCCCTTCCTCTGAGACTTCACACACCAGCTCCACCCGCTCCCCCTTCATCACCATCTGATCCTCCAGATTCTTGACAATCTGCACAGGAGGCTCTGCAAAATAAAGATAACAACAAGAGAGTAAGAGCTGCAACTCTCAGTTCTTCAACCTAATCTGATGTTTATGTTGTTGATTTTCAATAAACCATGCATACCTTTAACAAAGAGCTCAGTGGTGCATTTCTCCTCTCCCACCACACAGCTGTAAGCTGCATCGTCTGACAGGGAGCAGTGGTTGATGGTGAGGTAACGCATGTTTCCCACACTCTCAAAGATATACCTAAACCAAGACCAGAAGGAGTTAAACACACTTATTCATATACATCTCATAAAAAGGCTGAAAAACTGCAAAACATGCGGGAAAAGCTCAAGAATTCATGGATGTCAGCTATCTTTTAGCTCTTGGACACTTACTTGCTGAAGATGTAATGAAAGAATGAGGAGTTTCATCGGTATATCAATGGAGCAGACAGATGGAAGAGAGACAGAGTGAGCCAAACACAAGAACATAATCAGTGACTAAATCTGTAGAAAAGTTCATAATGTTCAGGTTTAGCACATTTAATAACCTTCCAGTTGGTTGAATTTCTTGTCCGTTCTTCAGCCATTTCACCTCCACGTCTGGATCGGCAACCTCAATGGCCAGTTTTATTTTCTGTCCCTTTGTCACTTGGTAAGCAGGGTCCAACTTTTTAAGGAAAGCTAGTGGAAACAGGGGGGAAGAAGTCAGTTACATTCACATTCATGTTCAACTTTTTCCTGCATTGGATGAAGTGCAGTTTGTAGTAAAGGCCTCCACAACCTTCACTCTTCTTCTCCTCTTTCTTCATCTTCTTCAGTCTCTTTAGCATACCCCTCAGGTCAGTGATGCCATACTGAAAGGCAATCTTCTCAAATTCTGAGGAAGGAGCTTTGCTGAGAATGTCCCACACGTCCACATCAGGCTCTGCGGACACCTGCACAGTCCTGGGAAACACCAACCAGAGGAACATGTTAATACTAGTCACAGAATTTGCACTTAACGTGATGAATACATAATTTAAAGTGAAGTAGTTACAACAGAGTTAGTGACTTTTTTTCATTAATCAATAGTCTTTGAAATAAAGTCAGTAGGATTTTAATTCGGATCAGAACTTTGGTGCATTTATAGCTCTTCCATCTATTTTCACTGTGTTCTAAAAGGTCATAAAGTTGCTTAATTTACTGTTGAATGACATCCTCCCAGTTTCATTTATAGTTTCTTGTATCTGTAACCTGTTTATATTTTTGTTTATTTATGGTGCTTACAATGCTAGTGTCAGAGTCAGAACACTTAAAATTGAAACAAGTGTTGCCAGATGGGACATATTTATCGAACCAGAGGCTCAAAATTATCGTATTTTGGGGAAAATTATAGTACACCCGTCATGATCAAAATAACAATCTTACTGTTGCATGATAGTCGCATAGAGTCACTCTGTTTAGTGTCCTCACAATTTTGAGGCTACAGTTTTGTGGTCATTCACCCCCCCACCCCACATCAGCAGCGTATGATCAGACTTCCCAACTGAGCATGATTGGCAGCCAATCATGTTCGTTATTCGGAGACAAATGTCACTCAAACTATGATTGGATGGGAACATCACATGGTAAAAGATGCCTTTAGGGTTCGCAAATAAAACACTAAAATATAAAGTGTGGCAAACTGAGACAGTCCCGTTGCACTGCACGTTCACGAAACTGTCAAATTATCGTACATCTAGCATGTTTTTTGGGTTATTGATCGTACAGAGGGAAAAATTACCATACAAATTCAATAATTATTGAACATCTGGTAACCCTGGTTGAAACCATAGACTGTATATACTATGGACAACCTGGTTCCGCCTTCTGCCAAAAGCTCTCAGTATTCACGGGTTTTTTCTCCACTTCCTGAAACCAACATTCAACAGTAGCATTGTACGCTCTCCACTACTTGCGCAGTACCGTTGTATGCATTTGGCGGGAGAGTATCCCCCGGGTGAGTCACGCAACCTTTGTACGCCCATAGGCTGTATCAAGTGTCAATCATAGAAAACGTGAACCCCCTAATAACTTAAAAACAGGGCTGTACAGAAAAAAGAGGACTTTATCACAAACCAATCTGACAGTAACTACATGTCAACATCGCAACCAGGGGGGAGACAATTTTATGTTCTGTTTAATAAATTTCTAAAGTTTGTCCACAACTACAACAAGGATGGCTGGAGGAGGCGGGATTTATGACCTATACTGCAGCCCGTCACCAGAGGGTGCTGTTCTCACGGTGGCTTCACCAAGCGAGGAGGCAGATGGCGTCCATTCTATATACAGTCTATGGTTGAAACACAGTTGTATTTCCCCTGCTACTTCTGTCTAATTTGTGCTTGTTATGATAATAGAACTGAGTAGAAACCCAGATGAGTAATAATTAACTTCTTTAAATAAGTATTATTTATTGAACCACCTGTTTCACCATCAAAACAACGTAAAAGACTAAAATCTAAAAAAATATCTGCCTTGCACCTTGTCAATAGTACTCTGAGTGAACACGTTTGATCTAGATAAGTTAACAGTGATTTTTCTGTCTTATTAAAACATTGATTAATTATTAAGAGATAAGTGCAGAATCCAACCATAATTTAATCACAAGAGACGAGCATGCATACAAAGTTTTTGACACTAACACAGTAAGTTCAGCAGCTTCTTACCGATTTTTTAAGAAACTGCTGCTCAATCAGAGGAAGAACCCAAGAGGCAAAACAAACCAGGAAAGTTAAAGCACAACAATTCAACAGCAAAACAAACAGTAGATTAGAAATGTACATAAAAATAATTCAATATTATCAAAAAAAATTAGACGGGAGTGCAGGCAAACCAGTGAAAATCAGGCCAACAGCATTCTTTGCTCGTGTTTGCAATTGTCCAGTGAGCGTCAAAGGAGATTTTAGACATGCTAAGAGTGTGACCTGTGTTTTTGAGAAAGTCTAAGAAAGACAGACTATGAGGTGAATTAATGGTTGAGAGTCTTGCTCTTATTCTGATTTGTGAGTAAAAAAAAAATTTGAGATGAAAACCTGCAGTGTACGTGATCAACATTGATGAATTACTGTCAACCTTTGCAACTGTCAGCATTAGTTTGGGGAGTCTATGAAACAACTACAGTACAACCACAAAACTAAGATAAGTTCATGCATAATGTCTAAAGGTTATAGATTGATTATTCCAATGTTAGTTTTTCAACGCAGTGATAACTTACTCTCTGAAGACACGGGGCGGTCCAGAAAAACAAGAGTGAGACACAGTTAGATCACCAAGGTTTGGACGCTATTCCTTGAAGGCCTTAAATTGTTGTAAATGTTTGTGAATCCTTACCTCTTTTTCAACAAGGTGCTAAAGTCAAGCTCTCCTGAGTCTTCTTTTCCGTCTGTGCTACTGCAGAAACATCAGCAACCAGCAGCAAAACATCATCACATCACAGTGGGATACTTCACTTCCTCCATAAAAAAAGATGTGTAAGAACTTCACAGGCGTTTCTGGTTTTCAATAAAACACATGAATGTTTTAAGAACTTGCTAAAATTTTAATATTGCTCCAATGTGCCTGAATGTAATGATACGACAGGGTACTGCTGCGTAACACAGTTTCAGTTAGTTTGGATTAAAAAGAGAAGGAGGATAGAGTCACACTGGAAAACTGAGGGGAATCAGTGAATTTGACAGATAACAGATGTGAATTTACAGACAGATGTTTCTTTGGAGAGACAGGTGTTGCCATGTTTACAGGAACAGATCAGTTTCTGAGAAACAGACGGATTTATCAGTACAGCTAATTCTATATTCTACGAATGGATCTGAACTGTTAGCTTAGCATGACACAGGAAGCAGGTTAAAAAAGGCTAGTCTCATAAGATTTAAAAGATTTGCGAAGCCAGGCTGATATGAGATGTTAGTTAAACCTCCTCCTAACATCACATCACTTTTTTATTTGGTACAAAAAACAAAAGTCTGTTGAGGAAAAGTGGCTGTTCAACCACGAGTTATGGCAAACTAAAGGGCCGAGTTGGCACAACCAGAGGTGTCCTGATACAACTTTTTTACCTCCGATATGATACCAATATTATAGCCCTCAGTATTGTTCGATACTGATATTGATCCAATGTTAGCACAAACTTACGCATGACAAGTTTTGCACTCAGCTGCAACGTCTTTTTTGGACTTTAATGAAAAATACTGCCACAAGGCCGACATCACTCCGACTCCTTGGTACTTTGTTTGTACCTTAGTACACACTGTTGTTGTGATCACATGGACTCTACATGCTGGATCAGAGCGCTGCTAAATAGAGGTGCCGGAGCGGAGTCTGGAATGGACTGCTTGTATCAGAGTGCCGATATCTGAGATTTTGGATGCAGGCCGATATAATCTGATATTTGATTTTTTTGTTGATATCTGACTGATATCCGATATCAATATTGTATTGGTACACCCCTAGGCACAACATTGTACCACAGAGGCTTTTTTTTTTTTTTTTACCACTTTGGACTAAAATCATTGTGAACAACCAGAAATACTGCAACTTTAATTAAAAAAAACTACTGACTTAGCCTTTAATCTAAATTTTAACATAATTTTTCTAAGCACCTTCGATCGTTTAACAAGACATGAAGAAATTATTACAAACTAAATGGTGTACTGTTAGCTGGCGTACATGAACATAACCTAGAAGCTTATAGGCACCAGCCCTCTTCATGTTTCTTGTTGCACTGTCAGTGCAAACTTTTGAGTCCTTAGTTCTCATAAATCTTTTGTATCCATAATGCTGTGAGCTTGATATTTTAAAGTGTACTGTTCTGTTAAGATGAAACAGACAGACAACACACACACGTCGCATCGTATTGTATTATATTAGCCTCACGTTAGAGATGCTGCGACCAGTCCCGCTATGCCAAGCCAAGAGTGACCTCAATCTCCCCGTTTTAGTCTTTGAAAGAAGGTATATATCTGTATTTCTCTGAAAGTGATAAACTTTTCCTTTAAGCCATGAGCAGCAGCAGACATCCAAGCAAGAACACAAAACACTAAAGGTTAGAGGAAACATCATTCACCAGAGGGTCTGCTCGTATCTAATCAGCGGGATGAAAGACAAAGACGAGAGCAGAGGTTTGACTGTGTGCTTGCCTCCTGTCTCTGATCCAACTGCAGGATTAGAAGCCGAGTGTCTGGTTTATGTGGTGAAGTTACAACACACCAAAGCTGTGCTTCCTCTGTGTAGCAACCGTGTGGAAGAGCTTGACAACCGAAAAGCCTGTGTGTCTTAGCACATCCTGCACTTTCAATGCGATCAAACCACCGTCAAAGCTCACTCTGCTGGGGAGCTGTTTGTGCAGCTGGCTCTGCTGTTTTGATTCAGACCCAGGAGGAGATCAGAGGGAGCTGAGGGCTGCAACTGGCACATCATGCTTTAACGGTTTAACTAATCTCAACATCCCAAGCTCTACCTGGGTCAAAGGTTAACACAATGATAGCTACCGGCGTTAGCGACTTCTTCGGCGGTTTTAAATTTGGTTCCTTTCAGCTCTCCTCTGATCTTCTGTTGTCATTGGTTCAAAATTCAGCAGACTGGAGGCTACACATCCAAAACCCTGATTCTGTTTGTTGTGAAGTCAGAGAAAAACAGTCCACACAGAGATAAAGAGTCTCTGATCTGGTCCTGGTTTCTTTGTTAATTAATAACCAGAAATCCTCAGAGTTTGAATTTGAGCCTCCATTGTTGCAACAAACCCCATTACTACCTTGATTGTGGTCCACCCTTCTTCTTACCGCCTTCACTCCTAATAGGTCAGCATTTCCACAGTTAAATGTGACATAAACCAATAACTTTCCACTCAAAATTACCAAGCAGTGATATGTAACTATGTCAATATTTCGTACTAATTCTGATATTATTTGCTACTGAACTACTCATTCTCAACCATACGTACATTTTCAGTCCAGAAGTAGTCTTCAGAGGTTTTTATGACTTAAACCAGATAACAAAGACCAAAAACAAACACAATGCAAATCAACATGCACCTGATAGTATATTTTAAAAAATCCTCCTGTTTTGGTTGAAATCTATTCAACAGTCATGGCAGTGGACCTTTTGATATTGATCAGTGCTTTTGTGTGGTGTCTTTGATTTAAGATATTTAAAGCAAAAGCACCTGGAATGCCATTAATAATAACTGGATACCTTTTATCAACAGCTAAAATGAGCGATAAAGCATTCTGCTGAGAGGATTAAAGGGATATTCTGGCCTAAAATTAATTTAGGGTCAAACACACCGTAACACCGAGTTAGACACCCAATTGAGAGATGAATGTTGCCGACTGCTCGCTTCTCTAGATATACCAACTTTAGTAACTTTAGTTACAGTCTGAGGAGCCATAAACAAACCTCAACCAAGACGCCACTGTATATCCACAAATAATGCTCAGAACAGCACCTAACTTTTAAACTTTGCCTGATTTCTTTAGCAAAGAGACCAAACACAACTCACCTACTCTTTTCCAGCAGCCGCTTGTTTATAGCAAGACCCCAGGCCAGTCCATTACGGACTTCTGCGGGGTGACACAGCTCAAGGAAGAACATTTATGATCATTTCTTCATGGAAATGTAATCAGACCGAGACGCTAAGGCAGAATAACTACTGTGTCTGCAGTGTAAAATGATTGATATGGTGATTATTACTTCAAGGAAATGATAAAGAAATTATAATAAATGTTCCTGTATGTCCTGTTGATGAAGTTAGGTGCTGTTCTGAGCATTATTTGTGACTATAGAGTGGTGTTTTGGTTGAGGTTTGTTTATGGCTCCTCAGACCGCTGTGTATTGCTATCTGCTGTCGTTACTAAAGTTGGTATATCTAGAGGAGCAAGCAGTCGGCGGTGTTCATCTCTCGAGGGGGTGTCTAACTCTGTGTTACGGTGTGTTTGCCCCTAAATTAATTTTACGCCAGAATATCCCTTTAACCAACACTATGAGCTGTATTTAAAAATTATAGATTTTAGTGTACGGGATGAAAATTTTGGTTGAAACCTGTAAGGAAAAAAAGATACAGGTTGACTTTTCAAATTGGAGGACTAAAAAAATGAATCAGGGAACCTGCTGTCGAACAATTAATGAAAATTTCACAGTATGAAAGAAAATTAAATAACAGGAATTGTTAAACTTACGTGCGCCTGAAAGCTGTTCGTATGTCAAAACCTTCAGGAGCACGAGCCTCTGAAATGCACAGCAGAGTATCGTATAATTTAAACACGAGAGACTCGTTCATATGGTTGAAATAATCATGACCAAAAAAAAAAAAGACATTTACCAACCAGCGTTTCATAAATGTCTTTAAAATCTCACCATGTACAGCCAACTCAAAGTTACAGCTGTCAAACTTGTCCCTGGATGAAACCTCACATCTGTAAGCTCCAGCGAAATTAGGCTTGGCCGCGATGATCTGCATCTCAAATGTATACACCTGTAATCACACGCACAAGGAATTTCATGGTAAGAGGTGCAACATGCTAAATATCGATCTGATATTGTGTTCATATATTTTTTGTATTCTATTATTTTGCTGGCTTTGTGATTGTGGCTTTGTTCTGGGAGTTTGAGATGGAAATTACAGGGTTCATGTCTTTTAGTCTCTGTGTAATCTCACCTACAAGTTTTCGTGTCTGTGGTTTATCGTGTTATCAGGATATGCGACTTAGGCAAGAACTTGCAAAACCAAGGGTGAGAAAGTCGACATTTGCATAATCCGTTTGTTGCCTCAAAGGAAAACTTACATTTTGTAGCTTTTCAACTCTGAAAAAACATGCATAGTTTTTCAAGTTGATTATGAATTAAGAAGTAAATCACAAAAATAAGTTCAAAGGCACCAAAACATGGAGATATTTTATTATGCAGATGTTCCTGTTGTATAAATTTGTTCACCTTGCTGTTGCGGTCATACGTCTCCTTAAGCTGCAGGTGTTTTCCAGACTTGCTGGCGAGGTCCATCCACTTCCCTTTGAACCATTTGATGGTGGGTTTCTTCAGCAGTGATTCAGCATTAACTTTGGCCACGAATGTGATGTTTTCACCTGCATACAGAAGAGTTTATCATGCTTACATGATAAGCATGTTTTCATTCAGCTCTGTAACTTATCAGAGGTTACTTAAACTCCAAAATAAATGCTTAGTTTTGCACACCGGAAATCAGACTGAAAATATATGACAACAGTTTTGTGAGGCAATGACTTCTCCACAGAAGCTTTGGACATAGGTGTGGAGATGTGAATACATTATAAATCTGAACACAATTAAAATAGACGATATGTAAGTTTGTAAGTAAGTATGTTGATGGATTGTGTTGTTTTTAGGTTTTCTAAAGATATTGCAATAATACAGTCAATGGAATTTTTTTCATGGCCACAATAACAATGAGGTGAAAATCTGATATTGTGCTAACCCTTGCCCAGAAAATGGGAAAAATATGTGCAAATGGTTGTTTTCAAAATAAAAGCCTCAGTTATAGCACTCAGATGTCAATATCTATGATTTTCCATTGTTTTCCTTTTTATTCTTTTTATATAGAATAAAAGTCAGACTTCAATCAAACCTCACAAATACTAAAAGTATTCACAGCAGCATTATACACTGCTGTCAATGGGAAGTTTCAACACGCAAATGTGTCAAACTTCAACAACCTTGTGACTTCATGTAAATTGTCTTATAAGCTGCACTTTGAAAATTCTCACCAACAGTGACCTCTCCGCTCTGAGGTTTCTCTGTGAAGAGTCCAGTCAGATCCTGTCTGGTGTCTGGATGAACCTCTGAAAATTAACAGAGCACAAGTGTTAAACTAAGCGTTAAAGACGTCAGAGTAAAAATCACCCTGGAGCTAAAACTGTGAAGTCTTTATTAAGGAACAAGCTTGTTGAAAGGAAACAGCGGCTGAATGACTCACCCTCAGCTGGGGGAGCATCAGGCGCCGGGGTGGCGGTCTGGCCCTCAGTGGGTGCTGCTGCAGGTGTCTCGGAGGGGGTCTCGCCCTCTGTGGGAGCTACTACAGGTGTCTCAGAGGGGGTCTGGTCCGCTGCGGGTTCTACTGCAGGTGTCTCAGAGGGAGTCTGGTCCTCTGTGGGTGCTGCTGCAGGTGTCTCAGAGGGGGTCTGGTCCTCAGAGGGCGCTGCTGCAGGTGTCTCAGAGGGGGTCTGGTCCTCTGTGGGTGCTGCCGCAGGTGTCTCAGAGGGGGCTTGCTCTGGTCCTGCGCTGGACTCCCCAGTTCCGTTTGCAGGGGCCTCAACTGGGGCTTCAATGTGAGCAACACAAGAGATATAGTGAGTCCAATGTATGAGGTTTAATCAGTTGCAGTGGATTCAACCGCCGGTCATAGTGGCGATAAGTTTTTGTCGACACACTGACTGTTCATGCTTATATAGAGATGAGCCACATGGGAACGAGAATTCTGATTTAAAGCCCATCATAACTCCCAAAAATAGTGCCGTGTTATGAACCGAAGTAAAGAAACAAACCTGTGGACATATTTTATACAAATAAAACTGAGTGTAAAAGAGGGAAGGAAAAAACCTGATGGATTAAGGAGGACACCAAATGAAGCACCTCCCAGTGTCTGCCCAGGTAAATAACAGTTCTGTATGAAGATCAGCTGACAGTAATACCCAGTAACTCTTTTGATATAGTCTTTACTAAACTCAGATTTCTCTGTGTAATTAAGTCTCCTCTGGTTTGCACTATAGTAGTGTTCATTAGCCATGTTTACATGTGCAAAATTTCTTAATCCGATAGAAAATTTGAGGGATTGGATCATCTGAATCCACTGTTTATATGTCTAACCTCGCTAAAACAACCGCAGAAAAAGAGTTGTATTTACGCCTGTGCTGTCAACAAACCAACAAATGTGACAGTATTAAATGACTGTTATTTAAACTGTTTAATGTTGGCACTAGATGGCGCCCTTGTGTACTTATTTTACTGTTTTGTCAAAGGTTGCACTGTGTGTGCAGATATGACATCATTACACTGTATGTACACCTTGTTATGTTAGCGGAGGACACGGCACCTGCGCTTGTGTTTTATGACAGAGTGTTAATAATGAAACCTTCTGTACTGACCTCAATAAATAAAGAGTGAAGGTCGAGTCAGGTAAGAGAGTCATGATCGGAATAAGTGTTTACATGGACGGATTTCAGAACAACGATCGGCATAGACCACCCCACTTGATCGGAATACAATTTCTTTCCGATTAAGCCGAATTGGATCAAAATCTTTCGATCGACATGTTCACGTGACACATTTTTTATTCCGATCGGACATTTATTCTGATTATTTGTGCCCATGTAAACGCAGCAATTGACAAGGTAGCAGAACTCCACATAATAGCTGTTGGTGATTAGCGTACCATGCTAGGATTCGCTAGGATTTTTAACCTAAAGCCGAAGTACCGTCCTGACTCATGTACACCCTGAGTCAATCAGCAAACATTGACAGAAATAAGTATCAAGAGCTCGGAGTTGAGCTCTACAGTACAAATACAGAAAGGTACTTCTTTCATTACACTGTAATTCAGGAGAAAAATTAGACTAAAATAAAACACTGACTAGAACAACAGAAGTCTGCTATAATTGACTGCAGTTTCTGAAAGTAACCATGACTTAAAGCTCCTGTGGGGAGTTTTTAACATTCATAAATCTGACTGTAATCTATGGTGATGTTTTTTAATGATAAACAGAAGCAAAAAAAAAAGCTCAAATTAATGAGACTGAAGAATTAAGAATCCTTAGTTTTGTTGTCTGAAAGCCATGTTAGGGGTGGGTCTAAGCCCTGCAGCTGTAGAAACTGTTCAAAATATTCTTAATGAATGATACGACTGTTAAAACTCACTTTTGTAAATCAATCAGTCAATAAACAAAGACGTTTATTTTCCACAAACTAAAAATTCCTCACAGGAGCTTTAAACTAAATTACATTTTCTTGTTAAAATTGGCACTGGGTTCAATGTACCACTATTATATTCAATCTGCTGACAATTACTGATACTCTGACAGAGTGAATTATCCTTTGGCAAACATTTATCACCCAAATATTTCATATGCCTTATCGTTCAGGGAGGCGGGCTGGTTTTCCATGTGTTATCAGCTGCCTCTCGTGCCTATCCTGAGCGCCCGTCAAGTGGTGGTTACTCATGAGGAAATAATGTGCTGGAGTGAGGGTCAAGGTCGGCGTACAGACAGGGTAATGGTGGCTATGATATGAGCCACAGACAGTCTCTTGTAGCGCACAGGGCCCATTAGTCTGCTTCCTTTCTTCCTGATTTGTTTCCACCTTATCAAATCCAAACAAACCACCTCAGCGGGTCACACTGACAGACTAATGGCACCAATGTTCTGTGACACAGTTAGCACCAAGATATTTGGAGAATACATATATACATGTTTCACAAAACTTTTGGCCATCTTGATTTTTTTCTGTACCGGTTTGATTTTCTGCAGTTTTCAGATTCATCTAGTGCTGAATTGTCTTGTGGTGGTTTTTAAAATGAGATAATATGGACAAACAGTGACCATGATCCTTTCTGCATATCCACATATCTTTTCCAACAGCACATTTGAGTGTGTCCCTGTCTCAAACATACTGTTAGCTGCTATCCAACATCAATTCCTTTTCAGAAATTGGTCGTTTTCTTTCATGTGTGGTAAAGCTAGATCACTACCATCCTGAAATATCACCTCACTGCTCGTTTCTCCATGAAACTCTCCTTGCTCACTATTCTATTTGGGGAGTGGGTGTTCCTTTTTTTTTTTTTCAATGAGTGAAAGACCCACAAATTCGTCCTCACTGCTCGATGACTCACTGCGTTTCATACTGCAAATATTCACAATGAATAGAGAAATAAACTCCTCCAACTCAGTGTGCAAGGTTTCTGTCTGTGATGATTTTTATTGGATTAGGGATCCAAAAGCATGCCAGAAAAAATGGACTTAGTGTTCAAGACCTTAAGGGTCACGAACACCAAGCATTGGATAAATGACTCAGGTGAAATTTGTAGGTGGACTGAAGCCATGAAAGGTTTTGAGTTATTTATTTTTGAATGTTTCAATATCCATTTATAAACTCTACAGCTTATGACTGAAAGGTGTAAGCAGGTTTGTGGTTCAAGTTTCTGGTGCATCTGGAATTGATTCTCGACTCGTGTCGAACATCAGACCTGCAGCTTGAGTGTGCATATGGAGTTTTGATCAGTGTCATAGTGTGAGGGGATAGTTATGCAGTAATTTACAGGAACAGCAAATATACAGATTTTTCCTTCCATCTCAATCATTTAAAAAGATGGCACACAGCTCGTTATGAAAACAGCAATACTGAGGCGCTACTGGAAACTGCTTGATTGGTCTTTTTCTTGTTTGTTGTGTTTTATTTTCAGTGCAGTACCCAGAGTGCCCTCTAGGTGAGAGGTTTATGACGTCAAATCCTTCCCTTATAAGAATATCATTGCAGACCATAAATAATTTGTTGTTGGTCAGATGGTGCAGAGAGTGAGTTCATGTGAAGTTTGGACACAGAGTCAGGTACTTTCTCAGTGTGTGTGTGTGTGTGTGTGTGTGTGTGCGTGTGTGTGTCATCCACACATCTGTAAGTCAGTAATCCATACACACAGCCACAGTATCAGAGACTCTCACCTGGCTTTGGTACAACCTTCAGCTCAAACTTGACCTTTGACCCCCCAGCAATCACCGCATAGCCATTCGCGTCCTCCTTAGTAATGGCGTTTATGGTGAGCGAGTGCTTGTTCCCGTCGGCTGTGATCACACATTTGTCACTGCTGGTGATGTCCTTAGCGTTGCACTGCCACTTCACTTTAACATCAGGCTTCTCTGTCACTGCCTCAAAGACCACGGAGGACCCCTCCTCTGCCTCCTGAGTCTTTGGTTTCTTTGTGAATGCTGAAACTGAAGAGGACAGGCGGCTTGAAAACATAAAGCAAAGCCTTTGAAGTCTCAAGCGTTTTTTCTTTGTCAACAGATCTGCAGTGAGGGTGTAATCGGATCATTTTTTGACAGTAAAATATGTAAAAGTTAACAAATCTAGTGCTTTTTTTTCGCCATAAAAAAAATAAAAGTCATAAAGAGGAAAAAAAAACATCACACTGACAGAGAAAATCTGCAGAGAGAGGTGTCAAAAAGAAGGATGAATGATAATAGGAAATGACACATTCATACTACAAGAAAAGAGAGAGAGAAGTGGAGGTCTGAATGATGTTGGTCATATTCAAGAAGTACGGGGTTCAGTCTGCGTCACATCGGTTGGGCTGACTTAAAGGGATATTCCGGCATAAAATTAATTTGTGTATTGCTATCATGTGGTCGTTACTAAAGTTGGTATAACTAGAGAAGCAAGCAGTCGGCAACATTCATCTCTCGAGGGGGTGTCTAACTTGGTGTTACAGTGTGTTTGACCCTAACTTAATTTTACGCCGGAATATCCCTTTAAAACCAAGAAATATTTCCCACTTAACAGAAAGTCTAAAAGCACTGACCACTGGGTATATAATCACAAAAATACTAGTTCATGGCTGCAGGTCAGCTGATCTTGTAGGACGGGGGGATAAGCCTTACTGAGAATCTATATGGTCAGTCTGAGAAACAGTCCCCACAAACATTTGACACTCATTGTGTAAAACTGCGGCTGTTGTCTCCCGCTGTGCTGTTTCCTACTAACAAAAATTGGATAGTACACAGAAGTGAAGTTTCCAACACTTGCCACCTTTAAAAGTGACCGTAAAATAGCGAGTGAAACTGCAAACCCTGAGAGCAGCCGTGTGTTTACAGCAGGTGCTCTGAATCGTGAAATATAATTCTCATGTTATTTCCAGATCTGAATTCTAAACAGTTCAACACGGCACCACAAACCGCACAAAGCATGAAAACTCCATGTGTGAGCGGCGGCCTTCATCTTCTGTACTTAAATATAGTACACGACACGTATATATTGCACAAATGAATGAGCATTGCAGGCTTCAGCTGTACAAGCAGTGCAGGTATCATAGTTGAGGGATTAACTTGACTCTATTTTTATGACTCTGGAGGCACAGGAAGAATGATGTCCTCGCCGTCTGTCTGCAAACAGCCCTACCGTTAACGCATCGTTGGCTGACATTCAGTCATGCTTTACCTTGAAACCTTTATACAACAATCAAAACACGAGGGCCCCTGTGATCGCTGTCAATTTAAAATATTTTAACCTGTTCGTTTAGATAAATTTGCAGTAAATTTGAAATATCTTAACCTGTTTGTATGTATACAAATAGAAATGAGGGTTTTTGCATGAGTTGCTTGTAAAGTTGACTATACAGATTTTTGGAGTTTGGATATTTTTTGTTGGTTACTTGTTTCAAAGGGTAGTGTTAACTTTTTGACCGATAACAACAACAGCAGCGCAGTCCTGTGGTGTCGTGCTCACTAAAACTTCAATTGTGTCTTACAACTGTGTTATCTTATTTGTTTGCCTCTTAGGGACAAGTCTTCAGTGTTGATTCAAAAGTCCTGTGAGGAACTTTTGGTTTGTGTAGACTTTGGCGCCTCCTGTGGACACAGCAGCACCTCTTAACTCTTTGCTGATTTGTGAAAGAAAGGTAATTTCTCTTACTTTATCTGGCCTAAGTATCACTCGCTGTACATTTTTACTTATGATTATGCCAATTAAGGCTGTTTCTGCTGTATGCCATTGCAAGTCGGAAATCAACCCTGAGGTGTCAGTTAAAGTCCTACTCCGATTGTTTATTTTTTCTTCTTAAAGTGTTCTCAGTGGTCTTTAAATTGTGATTATGTAGTTTTTAGACAAAATCACATTACCTGTGTCATTTTCGAGGGTTTTTCTTCTGCAGAGCTCCCGTAGATCATTAGCAATTTGCTCGGAGACAGCGCTGCTCTGCACACTCGTCTTCACATTAGCTTGCAGCCTAACATTGACGATGTAGTAGAAGTAGCAGGTAACATAGAAGCTATTTGGCTCTCCGACACTGATGTCTTTGGGGTTATGATGAAAGTTAATATCGTAATTAGCTTTCCTATGAGTATTACAATCCGCTAATGTACACGCTTGTTCCGCGATCGTCCTCTGTATTTCTCCTCTATATGCAGAGTGCGGCCTGCCTAGCGGGGCTCTGGGGGCGGAGCTTAGAGTTGTTACATATGAAATCTCACTGTTTCTAAACCTACCGTTTTGGTCTGCCAGAGATGCACAGCGATTTGAATGAGGAACTACTCAGAAATGCAATTTTGCATTCAGTTTTCTCATGATATGTCCTGTAGCATCAGAAAAATGCCATATGAACATAGATGAAAATCATGTTTTTCTTGTTTTTTTTATGAGTGAGTCTTTAAGGGGTTAAAAAAATTCCAGGCCTCGGTATTAATTTCAATCATAAAAAATTTCCAACTCTTCACACAGTGCTTGGTGATTTAAAAGATAACAATTTCAATTGGGATATCATAGAAATATGATAAGTGAGACGGACCAATATTGAGCCACCTGCTGCTTGTCACATCCTACATGTTGAATGAAGTGCATCCTCCTTTTCCTTGGCACGGCCTCTTCCCCTCAAACAGCTCTCAGGCAACAAGGTTTGGAACACGAGGAAGTTGTGACTCCAACTAAAATCAATAGTGTACCGATGTATCTTAAACATGTTGCGCACCAGCAGTATAAACTATCAGGCCACCACAGTAAGTTAGAGTGGGGAGAGCAGGGAGAGGAGCACACCCTAACAAGTGGCCGACTGAGAGACTATTTTTTAAAGGACTAAAAGTTTTGAGTTCTAAAGAGGTTTTAAGTTGCTTAAGTTTGTGTGATGCTGGTTTGAAATCATGGTTCATGGCTTTTAATAATCATGATGTCAATATCAGTCAAAATAATTAATAATAAGGATTATAATTCTTGCCATAATCAAGCAACACTATCCTCACAGGAGCTTCAAACATTTCTCCTTTTGATTTGTTTGTGTGATGTTAACAAACACTTGCTCATAACTGCACCATTGGGTTTATTAATAATCCATTAAATCATGAGTTTGATCTATTTTCTGAGCGTGTGTCTCAAACCAAATTTCCGTTTGCTCAGCTAAATACTCCGTTTTATTCACCAACTAGCTGTGTCTGTGTCTATTTGATTGGATTTTTAAAGCTCTGCCCTGAAAATTGAAGTTTTTGCTGCTGTTTAAACTGAAACAAAACAGTAAATTTATGGACTGAACGTCTAGTCAAAATGCTGGAGGGGAAAGGGAAGCTACAAATTCAGGTGATAACTCTGCAACTTCATCCATTCCTTGTTGTCTCACATTTCTGTCACATTTTGATAGTTATTATCGGTAGTTGCTGTAATACTTTGAGACTCTGACAAACATCCTGTTGATTGCAGGGTGTTTCTCATAATTGATAATAATACCACAGGCTCAAGATGATCATAACTGTCAAAGTCCTGAACAAATCCCAGACACTAAAACTGTTGGCCCACACACGCTGCACTATGTCACTTGACATTTGATATGTTGGGCTTTAGACCGCACACGCAACAATCCATTCAGACCAAAGAGAAGAAAAAAAAACTGGAAAGTCATTTGTCAAGCTGGAATCCAGTCTGGCATTACGGGATCAGTGGTGTATTTTGTGAATGCAACGCCGCTGGAAATGTGACAGTGTCTATTTCACATCAGACAATGTTTCCACATGGGTCATATGACAAGTATCTGACTTCCTGAGAAGACCAAAAGACCTTATGGTAACTATCACGCCACTGGAGCTTAAACGGGGATAATCACATGTAACATACCGTGATCCTCGTCACAGGTTGAGTCAGTGTAGTTCAAACAAACGAGAGAATATAATTGAGGTGTAGAATAAAAGAAAATCACTGATTGTTAAACTGCATTTATTGTAGAGAATGGTATACATACTTTTTTTGCTGTTGCTTGTTTCATTTGAAATTTGGCTTTTGTTATACTATTAAAAGTCTCGACTAGCATTACATTATTTTTATCAATGTTTCTATTCTGTCCCGCTGATACTGTGACCATATATATACTCATATGGGATCAATAAAGGGGACTTTTTTGCACCATTGATAAATTTTGTTCTTTAAAAAAAACAACTCTTCTAGCATAAAAAATCAATGTCTGTGCATATTTTTAATCTTCTAACATCCATCACTAAAAAAAAATACTGTGTTCTTTAAAGCTCCTGTTAGGAAATTTACTGTGAGTTGATTTTGGCGCCCCCTGTAGACAAAGTGGTGACAAAAATTCTTCTTATTATAAAATATTATTATAATTACAACAGAGAGATACATCACTGCTCATTTTGGCATGTTTCATAGCCCATCAAAAACTCCCCACAGGATCTTTAAACAGCATTTAAGTGCACTTAATTTAGCAGTAATACTACAAGGATGGAGTTCATCAGCAGGCACTTTGTCTGCTCAATTGTAAATGTAGATTTATCGTTTATTTGACATGACTTAAGCAGTAAAAAATGACCAGAGTTACAACTTAAAGATGTCTAAGAAATCTGACTCAAAGACAGAACATGATTGAAAATAACTTTCCTGTGATGAAGGTTTTCATCATCAAAAAATTGTACCAACACAGGTGAGGGATTTGGTTGTGGTTTGGTGTTGTATTAAAGGGGTGTGGCCGAACACTGTGAAATAATTTCTCACTCTTTCTGTCAAATCATGTGTCTTAGTGTCTTCGAAGATGTGATTGTAGTTGAATCAACAGGTCATATATACTCAAGACTTTTTAATGGATTTCTTTGCTGAGAATGTTTGAAGATAATATTTTGTAATGTCATTATATATCTTCAAGTTTAACAGAAATGTCATGGAGAAGTTGAATTAGCACACTTACCTGCTTTTTTGGTCGGCTCGGGCATCCTGAAAGTTCTCCTCTCTACACGGTGTGACTCTCTGTTTCTAAATAGCTAGCTGTCTATCTCAGCCCCCTGCCTTTAATACTGGACCCCCCACCCACACAGCAGCATGCATCATACTCCCACCCCATCCCTCTTGCCGTTATATTTCTAGGCCCGACACATTGTCCAGAACACAACAACCACCCCGTCATTCTCAACACGTCCCAGCAGTAACAGAGCCACAGCCCTGCCCCCCAAACGTCAGACCCCGAGCTATATTTCACCCATCCTTTCCTCCAACACCTCTGCTGACTGATAGGGCTTAAGAGGGAGGGGAAAGGATGTAAGGCTGAGGTTAAACTTAGAAACCTGAATCCAAAAACAGTCTGTTTGCTCTGTACACATCTGTGCTGCACTCAGTCACCCTGGGAATCTCACAGTAAATGTAAGAGTGTGGCTGTTATAGTGGTGTCAGATTAACCATGGAGAGTTTTAGCTTATTTTGGTCAAATCCTTTAAATTTATGTTGATTTAATCCTGGTAAAGAAACTTCTAAGTAAACAGCAGCTGTTGCAAAATGAAATTTGTAGCACAAGAAACTGCAGTTCCTCTAATGTCCACTTGAGGCTGACTTCAAAAGTGGAAGCAAGCCTTTGACCAAAATAAGAATCTTTAGAGCGTTAAAACACGAGTTTACGACCTTTATTAAAAATTGGATGCTACTGCCAGACAGTCAGTTGTTTACCATGGCCAAGTTAGCCTCTGAACCTTTTGGTTTTCTGCCTTTTTCCCTTAAAAACACAGCCATTCAAAATTTTCCAAATTAATGATTGTATAAGTTTTTATGACGGAGCATTAGGGCCACATTAAGAAAAAAAATAAGAATGGGAAGTAAAAGTCATTAATTTATGAGAATAAAGTTATTACTAACAAGAATAAAGTTGCCATAAAGTAATTACTCACGAGAATAAAGTCATAATAAAATCATTATGATAATTATGATAAAGTGGTTCTGATGTGCCTAAAGATTAAGTATCTCCTTGTTTAAGAAACATATTGAAATACTATTCACAAAATGCTCCATGGCTCTCATTTCAACAACTTTAATATTTAACAGCAGGTTAGAAAATAAGGACTTTATTATGACTTTACTCTCGTAAGTGATCATTTTATTACAACATTATTCTCGTAAATTAATGATTTAATGTTAAAGTCTTTCTTTTTTTTTCTCAATGTGGCTCTAATACTCTGTCCTAAGTTTTCACTATGATTACATTAACTGTAAATTTCTAATAAGCACTTAATATGTTTAGTTTGTATTTTACTTGAATTAAAAAAAGTTTACTCAGCAAGAGAGAAATTGACAGAAGTCCAGGGGCCTCAAACAGCTGCAGTACAAATAATAGTGGAGGAGACATCATGATCATTTGTTTGTCAAAAGTAGCAATACCACCCTTCCAAAAAAAATCTGTGTAAGTGAAATTAGGATTAAATAAACTAAACTAAACTGAAAGACAAGTAATACTCAAAAAGATCATGCAATTTGATTCTTCTGCCAAGAGCTGCACATGCAGGGCAGTAAACTAAAATCATCAGGGAAATAAACTGAGGGGGGCTGATGCAACTGTATCACATTTAAAAAAAATTCTCAAGTCAGGGGGGATTTCACTCACTACACTGAAATTACAAGAATCCCCCTGCAAGCTAATGTGAAGGAGACCTTGCTTATCTTAGGACCACAGACAGACAGCGTGTTAAGTGTCTGAATTAAAGGCACAATGGATGACTCTCTTTCAGTTATTGCCACTCTGTTGTACATGGATTTTATTGACATCAATTATACAGTATTGTCCAAGTCCTTAATTATGTCCTTCAACTGGATTCAGTTCATAACTATGTCTTTTTAAATCCTCCCTTAGGTTGTGACTACTCATTATGACATCTTGACCAGTGAGGGGAGCTGTTGGCTCTCAGGACACCAACTGCTGCTTTAAGAGCAGGAGGACAGAAACTCTGACTGAACACTCGGTAAGTTGTTATAAACTGATCAAGGCATGCAGGTGAAAGTGTTAATTGCAGTGAAAAACAGCTAGATACACAACTGCACTGCAAATTGATAAACACTTCATATGTGTTACTTCTTATAGAGTACAGAGCTACTACAGAGCCTGTAGTGTCAGGATACACGGTGTAAGAAGTGGATGACAGATCACTTCACCCCTTCTACTTTCTATTAACCTCATAGTTCCCTCTAACATGAGGTGACAGCCCTTATCTACAGCCTAACACTGCACCAATCTTCACATAGTTTACCTCTTCTTCTTTTTCTGCTTGTTTTTTTCCACTCTGATACGAGATCGACTATCGGAGTTCACAACAGTCACATTACACACGCATTTACCAACAGTTATATAAGCCTTAACACTTTAGTTAGCGAACATCATGGTAACACTTTATTTGACGCCTATCTCCATAACGCATTATAAATATATGTATAATGCATTATAATCATGTTATAACACTGTAAAACTATAGTTATAAACACCCATAAATAATCATAATGCTTTATAGCAATAATAATAACACATAACACTTTATAAAGAATTTTATCATGACTTACTAGGTCAGGTATTATAATGTGTTATAACTGTTAACAACTCACTCACAATGCCCACATAGATAATGCATTATACATATATTTATGATGTGTTATCATTTGCTTATAAACTTGTATGAATATAGTTATAAACACTCATTAATTATCATAAGGCTTTATAACAATAAGCATAACTAATTATAATACCTGACCTTGTAAGTCATGATAAAATTCTTTATAATGTGTTATGATTATTGCTATAAAGCATTATGATCATTTATGAGTGTTTATAACTATAGTTATACAGTACTATAATGCATTATACATATATTTATAATGCGTTATAGAGATAGGTGTCAAGTAAAGCGTTACCAACAGCTCTAAAGTGATGTTAATGTAAGTTGTAAATGTTTTTGCTGCTCTGAAGAGGACGGGACATTTGCGTGCAACGACATAAACTTTACATGTGACAGATACAAATCACATAGATGTACGAACAATTTCTTTATTTACATGCAATCATTCATCATACCACACAGAGAGTTTGTGACTTTCAAACATATCTAATGTGGATTATCACAGTATTGTTCTCATCTCTTCAATGGCGTCCTTCTCTTCTCTGTTTTAAATATCGATTTATGTACATACAGTATTATTGAAAGAGAACTTGAGGATGTCTGACACAAAAAGGATCAAACACAGTAGCATGTTAGGCTTTTACCGTCTGCGAAGTTTGAAACCATAAACTCTCGGAGCGGTTCCGCGCTATGAAATTACATTAGTTACATTTGTAAATATGAAAAAGACATTTACAGAAGAATACAAGTGAATTTGCATGTGTACAAGCTTTTAAAACTGTGAACCGGATCATAGTGGCCAAGAGTCTTCAACAACTAAACTGCAAATAGAAGTCTCTGCTGGTGTGATTAAAAAAAATCTGAGAGTGAGGACAAAACTGTAAGAAGTCACAAGTGTTTGTGTGGGTTAGATAAGATACATGTAATGTGTTTATGAGTGGACTTAACTGGGGAGAGCTATGGGCCTGCTGGCTTTCAGCATTTTATTTTCTGCAACTATGTCTTTGAAAACTCCTCCGATATAAGCGAGGCATCTATTTATAACACCCCAGAGGAGCCAACAAGAGTTTGCCAATAGTTTTTCAGCACTCAATCATCAACATGTTTCAAAAATTCATAAAAATAAAGAAATAATTAAAATATGATGCATATTACAGCCAGTTGTGTACGCAGGAAAAACAGTGAGAGAATTTATATCTGAACAAAAATATCACTCAGTAGAGATACAGTAACTCACATACTGTACATTAATGAGCAGTTATTATTAAAGCTCCTATAAGGGTTTTTTTATGGTTATGAAACAGACTGAAATAAACAGTGATGTGTATTTATGATGTGTAAAAGCAGATGAAACCATTGTCAACATCATTTACTGTTTTTAGGTTGCTCTTTTTAATGCCTGTAACTGCTGTGAGAGGGTAGGTCGCTCAAGAAAAAGCCTTTGTGACTTTCCCCATAACAAAAACTCACAGTGAGTCGTACATGTCATTGAAAAAAAACATTTTTTTCAAATAATCCCCCTTCCATGAGGACAAAACAAAATCACCAACAATGTAAGGGTTACATGTTTGTCCACAGGGGGGCACCAAAACCAACACAGACAAAAAGTTCCTCACTGGAGCTTTAATGTCTGAACTCTAGTGATACTTGACTTGCAGTTCCATCTTTGGCCACAGTTTCGAGTATTATGACCTTGAGTGTCCATTTGCAGATTTCAGTAAGAATTTTAAGACAGAAGGATTTTTTTCTCTTACTTCAACATGTCATTGGTGCTTCCAATGTCAAACTTTTACGAGTCAATCTCCACATTTCAGTTTCTTTCTACACATAAACTTTCCTTTCTAAATGACTCTTGCCCAGGACCTCGTCACTGAACTGGTAGGTCAGCTTCTTCTTTATCTTTTTCACCTCTCCTGTTTTGCCATAGTTGCGCAGGGCACGCGCCATCTTCTGATAGGTCATTTTCTTGCGGTTCCCTTTCTGGATTCCCCAGCGGTGTGCGAGGGCCTCCTTATGTTTGGAAGAAAACTGGAATGTCCCTTTTTCTCTGTCCACCCACCAGATACTGTCCTTCATGTCCCCGTTTCTTAAAAGGTCCAACAGGAACTGGTACAGGCGAATCTTCTTTTTGTTACCTTTGGAGAAATCACCAAGTTGTTTTTATTAATCATATATGCACAGGGATTTTTGTGACTCTTGATTTGTTTCAGATTTAGTGATAAAGAATAAATTGATTCAAAGGTGAAAGAGAATGAAAAGACTATTGAGATAAAGGCTGCACAGTTGCAACTGTATGATCCCAGTTAGAGTATTTCCCATAACTGTGTCTCAAAAGTCTGAATCTATCTCCACAGCTTAACGCACCCGATAAAACATGGCTAGCTGTCAGCCATGCTCAGATTAACTGGTGACAAAAGTCTGCTATTTTGGCTTTACTGTGTAAAATATGTAGAATATAGACACTGTGAATTATTTTTATTTATCAAACTTAAACACCTGTTTTGGACAGGGCCGAGTTTTCTTACAGGCCCAGAAAAAGTTCACTTTATCAATGATATAGTAAGTTTGTCTGAATCCAGATTTACAGCCCTGAATTTAAAATAGTCCTGAGTGGCAGAAAAGTGTCAACCATGTTTCAGAATTTCTGAGAAATATGAGTAGATAAAATCCACAGTGAGTCATCTCATTGTTTCCACATTGTCATGGTGCTATGAGGAAAACACTACCGGTGGCATATTCGCCTCTTTGACAGCAGAGTTTGAGCTGTAGAGGTTTTACTGCACATAGTGAATGGATCCATAAACAGACATCATTAAAACAACCATTTCTATCATTTTTATCTGTTATGTCGGTAACACTTTACAATAACCAGAATTTATAAATGATAAATAGATAGTTTATTAATGTTTAATCATGATTTACAAACAGCATAAAGACCAATTATAAATGGCAAATAGATGGTTTATTAATGTAAGTGAATAGTTTCTTTACCATTAACAAGCAATGAAACTATGATTAATAATTTTCATTAATTATTAATGGACTATTTATTAAAGGATTATTTAGGGTTTAAATATTGGTTGTAAAACATCTAGAATAAAATGTGTGTCAGTAGCACTTTGTAAATGGTTAACATTTGGTTTTTAAACCATCTATAAACATTACTTAGATGGTTATTGTAAAGTTAGGGTTTGGTTTTTAAAATTGTCAAATTTACCATTTATTAATGGTTTATATGCTATTTATAAATGATGATTAAACATTAATAAACTATCTGCTTACCATTTATAAATGGTCTATTTACCATTTAGTGTTACTGTTATGTTTTAAGGCAGTACCCTAACCCTTAACAAAAAGACACCAGGAAATAGCAATGAGCTTGAGATATAAACAAGCTACTGTAAAAACTGGTCAATGTGGTTGGATCAGAAGAAGGAGACAGCCTAATTATGCATTTACTTGCGGTTCTCCACCTGCAGGATTAATTCAACCCTTCTTTAAAAATACTTTGTGGCAGATAAAGCACACACTTCCGGTGGAAGATGCTTGACCAGCATTGTCAAAGCAGTTGTGCAACTTGTAACTCATCCTAAAAGTGTATTTTAAATGGTCAGCAGAACACAAAGCTGACATGACTCAAATCTAAGCGTCAAACACCACAATGTGGAAAGACTGGCTTTAAAGTGATCCAGAGAGGATTTAGAGCAGCTCTTGTTCTTTCACTCTAAATGGAAACTATGACAGCCAACCACATGAAACACCCCTGAACAGATCCACTTTGCACTTCTATCTTTAAGGCGGAGGGCAAGATGGTATTGGAGGTGACACGCGCATGCTTGTTAGGGTGTGCAAACACATATCAACAGCTATTGTGGTTTTAAAGCTACCGGTCTTGCTATAGTCCTGATTCAAGAATTTACAAGAAGTTCAGGTGACTTAGCACTTCTACATATACCCAGACTTGGATGGCTAAGAATCTGCACATGGCCGGCACAGCTGGTGTGTCTTTTAGTATCCGTGTTAACTGCTCAGTAGAGAACTGAAGAGCCCCCTGCTGATGCACATACAGTACAGCGTATCCTGACCCACAGATCTGTATCCTTACCTAGATCTCCTGCTGTGATATAAGAGACGCGATCTCTGAGACACTCCTCATCAGACACCTCCAACGGGGGGCTTCGTCCTCCATGCTCCTCATCATCAGAGCTACGCTGGGACACGTGTGGAGGGTAGACAGTCCGTGGGAAGAATGGGACCTACAACACAATGAGTTAAATTGAGATCCAAAGAAAACATTCGGAAAATTGATATTCCCTTTGTTACATAAAAGTGTACATGTTTATATTTTTGGACACTCTAGGACAGTCTATTTTCTCTTTCGTTACGCAATAACGGAGAAAAAAAAACTGAAATTATGATACTGTTTCATCATGACATGTTAGGAAACTCTGGAAATTTACCAGACAAAGACAAGAAAAAACGGCAAATATTTTTAGCTGTAATAAATACACTTGTAACCAAAAGCTGGAGAATGAACTCTTGTACTTGAGCTGTAGATGTAAAATGTTTGTACAATAACATTCAGAGATGGAAATTTGGTTGATAATTTTTTACTGTACTGAACTGAGCTCAAACTTTGTCAGTGTATGAAAGAGTGGGGCCTCATTTCTCTCTCTGCATGAGCTGTGATGTGTGGATGCTGCTCCACAGCAGCTGTATGCCTGGCTGGGCAAACACTCGTCAACGTCTTTGTGACATTGTTTTGACAGAAAAACTGACAGTGGTGGAAACTGCATGTTAATCCCATGTGTGAACCAAAGTTTTTCACATTGTGTTCACATTTCCTTTCCACTGTGTGTTTTTTCTCACACCTTAACACATTTGAGTGTTTTAGTGTTTCGTCTAGTTTTCTAGTTTTCTCATTACAATAAAAGGTCATCTGTCATATTTATAATAAGTATTACCAGTTTTAAAGAAAGGCTTTTTTATTACCCAAGGGTAAACTTGATCTTTAAAATCGGACTGCCCCCATATTTGTTTGTTCCGAGACTAAAATGAAACTAGATGATGATCTTGCTCGGCTGGAAACAGATTCTAAATAAAGCCGTGGTTTTGTACAGTACACAGGGTCAAGTGGAATAAGTGCCGCAAAACAACTGACTGATGTCAGACATGTTACAACGAAGACATGACTGTAAATAAGAAAAAAGAAAGAAAACGAAAACAAAGAGATGTCTCTCTATCACTTGGCTTCTGTCCCAAGATGTCACCATAAACCCCACGAAGAAAGTCCCTTCAATCCAAAACTACATCACGATTGTTCTAAGTGCATACATAGTTAGGGGAGACCGGGTATGGATGTAACACAGAAAAACAGACAGAGAAACAATGTTTTTAAGGTATGAAAGGAATTACATGTTCAACCCTTAATGTTTGTTTGTTTGTTTAACTAATAAGTTGACCACTGGGGGAAAAAAGGTTTTATTTGTTGCATATATTGTGCTTTTATTTTGAAATCTGTAAAGCTGCAAGAAACAGGAGGAAGGAACTAGTGAGACAATGTATCTGTATGGTTTCTCCAAGCAACATTATGAAGTGTTACATGTTTGATGTGTGATCATTTGTATCAATGAGTTTTGGAGTTCAATTGATTTGAAAAGGTTTGATCTTAAATGTGCTCCTATAACTACCTGCAGTGTTAGGAGCGTGATGTTCTGACAGCTGATCTACGATTTCTTAGTAAGAGAGGACGACTAAAACTACCGAAGACTTCTTTTAGAGAGAGGATGATAATGATAAATAGGTCGAGTCGTTATTCCCTCACCGACAGTGGCTCTAATACCTACCTACCAAGCCTTCACACCTGAAGATTTGGTGGCTGGTCTTGAGGACTTAAACCTCGATGAAAAAGCTTTGTCTGTACAAAAACAGTCTCTGACTGTGCTGGATCATAGACTCTGACATCTTTACATTTAAAGTTGCAGAGTGCTGCCTATCATCCATAGCCTCTTAAACCCTGTGGGCTTGGTCGCACCATTGACCATCTAAAAGAGAGCACAGTCCCCCCTTCGAAAAGTCGCTAAATCCAGCAACAAAGTCGCTAGGTTGGCAACACTGGTTTCATGTCCTGCATTTCCTGTTTTTTTAAATGTTTTATTTATTAATTTTTTTTAACACTTACCTCAGCCAAGCTTTGTTGACCTCTAAATGTTTCCCACTTCCCTAGTTACCCTAATGTGTCTCACTTGGGTTTTTAACTGTATGCCAACATAGTTACTTGAATGTACAATTTTTATATAATATTAATTATGCATGTAGGGCATTAAGAAGTATGTCCTTATCGACTTTGTAACATGTGCTCACATACACTCACACACACACATATTTCAGACATTAAAAATGTAGAAAGGAAAATCTTCATGCTTCATGTCTCATTTGCTTTAGTAGATCTTAAAAAGGCATCAGTATCAGTTTCAGTCTTTTAATACCCAGCTAAAAACTTCTCACGTGAGCTCCCGTTGACCTGACGGGTCCAGGTATAAATTTTACTTCAAGATATTACAATGCAAAATGTGAGACCATATTGCCAACAGTGAGCAAAAACCCTTTTTGTGTTGTTTTGAATCATTCACGAAAAGATTCATCTCTAGACTTGTTGGGTAATTGTGAATAATGTAGAGTAAATGAGATAGTTTGAATTTAAATAGGGCAAAAACACTCGCTAAATGCTGAGATTTGAGCTTTAGTAGTGTGATATCTTTAATATCTCAAAAATATCTTAATCGCTGTACTTACCACTGCAACCCACCTCCCACCCAAAAAAGAGATCTATTTTCTCATTTGCTGGTTCAGACCTTTTCAGCATGCAGCTGTGACTGTGTGTTAACTTAGCTGAGGCTGATCTTTTTTAAATCAAATGTAGCTTGTATATTTAAACCAAAAAGTGAGATTTTCTTGCAGCCAAAAGATTCACTTCCTGATTTTTGTCATGAAAGCCATAAATGGCCTCCTTGTCCCTAAACTACTCTCTGATTTAAAAACCAACTTTGAAAAATTGTGATTTTGCAGTGAGCTCCAGAGGCATCATTGTAAATCATACTTTCAAGCTCCTTTAATAAATATCGAGCACACAGCAATTATTTTTTAAAGAGTAAGGATTAAATTATTATTTGTCATTTTCTGTTTTTTAATCATTTTGATGTTTTGTTTTTGTGGTCCTAAAAACTATAAGTCTGTTTATTTTGCCAAAGTTGTGTGTGTGTGTGTGTGTGTGTGTGTGTGTGTGTGTGTGTGTGTGTGTGTGTGTGTGTGTGTGTGTGTGTGTGTGTGTGTGTGTGTGTGTTGAGTAACTGAAGCACTCACTGGTTGCTGTAACACATGTGCATGTGCTCCCAGGTTTGGGTCGAGCAAGCTCTCCGGATCGTATCTCACGGCCTCGTGCCGTATCACCCCCGGCGGGTGGAGCGCCTGCACGCTCTGCAGCTCTGTGAAGTTGCTTTCTTGGAGGTTTTCGAACTCTACAGGGTGAACGTGTGGGTGAGGGTGGTAATCCCAGTGATCTAAACAGAGAAGGTGAGAAACGGCAAAAGAAAATTGCTGCAGCTTCTAGTTTTCAGTTGATCACAGCAAAACTTGTGCTGTGGAGCATCAGAGAAGGATTGAAAAAGACAGAAATGAACCCCAGTCAGGTAAAATCATCCAGAATTTATGAGCTTGTCTTGAAAATAATTTGAACTGCATGAGATGACTCATGACAAAAGCCAGAGAGCAGGTCTATGAAAAATCCTCTAAACTTAAACTGAACCTGACAACCAGCAGCTTACTCGTAGTGTTTGAATTTATATGAGGAGAAAAAGGGACAATTCAGCATGGAGCTTTTTCCTCTTTGTTCCTGCACTTTCAATGCCATACAAGTATACTCTTTTCAGTCTTTAATTAAATGGATATTAGATTTTAAAGCTTGATTAGCTGTTTAGATGTTAGACATTAGATATTTTTATCTCAGGAACAACTGAAACTTTCACATCTTTTGCCACAAGGTGAGGGAAAAAAAACATCCAACCCTCCTATCTAAAGTGTTTTGGTGCAATATTCAAAACTGTTGATTACAAGAGAAAGTAAAGCCTCGCTCATGTATCAACAAAGCCCCATGGGGCGAAAGTTGTTCTATGTCTGTAGTCGTAGCGGCCGAAAGAAATGGCATCTGTTTCCTGTGTTTCATCCACCCTAATGTGGTGCGCTCCAGCTGCACGCACTGCAGCCTTTTTCTGTACAACCTCCAGAAAAGTCACCACATCAATTCATGGTAAATTATATTTCAAAATTTGAGAAAGAAAAGGCTGGATGAATACAATTATTTTCTTTTAATACAACCAGAAAGCAGTGCACTGAAAACCAGATTTCTGTAAGTTCACTGAAATTTCTGAAACGTCTGAACACAAAATCATCATCCAGTCTCTCTCTCTCTCTTTTTTAAGACTATATTTACATTCAGACCTCAAATCAATAAAATTCTAAATTAAAAAAAGGGAAGAAGTAACCATCTAGATTATTTAGGAAGAAATACAGTTAGAAATTAAATTTGAAGGAACACTCACCTGCCTGAATGTCTGGATCTAAGACATATGGATTATAATATTCTGCGATTTGATGTCTGTAGATCTCAGGATCGTACATTTCTTCTGAGTGCTGGAGAAAACAACACAAGAGACAAATCTTTCAGGAGACGGCACACACATTAAAAACAATAACATCTGAGACAAATTTAATCCTCATCTCTGAGCCATGACATTATAAAAGTCCACAACTCTCCTTAATAAAATTGTAACATTGATATGACCAACTTTGTGAATAAGATCAGACATTAGTAATATTTCTACAAATACATGAACCTTTTTTTTTTGTGCCACGGCTGTTCTGAAACTCTCAAGAAGTCTGGAGTTTCATTTTCATGTTGCCTGAAGTATAAAAGACTCTTACAGTTTGTGTCCTGTGTTCAAACCGAACCCGCTCTTACATTCAGTCAACTTATTTGACATTAAAACATTTTGTCTGTCGCTTTATTTCTTTTCTTTTAAATTCTTTATCTGAAAAAGAAATCTACTCGCTGAAGACTTGTGCTTTAGATGTATTAAAATGTCCTCAGTTTTGTGGATAATGATAAATAAATCATACTTACAGGCGGGATCAGGTAGCTCTCCATTCTGTACGGATGCAACATGGAGACCTCTTCTCCAACGGTCCGACTCTCAGAAGCTTTGCTGGCAAAACACACTCAACAACCTTTCAAAACTTTTGCGGCACCATTGCACAATGTTTCAAAATTTCCTCTCACTCAACGAAAAACCAAAAATTGTCTCTCGCTCTCTTATTGAATAGCCTTCACTCTTAACTACTCTTGATGGCCTTAAGCTGAGTCAAAGTAGAGTGAAATAAGCAGGGCCCGCTGTTGGGGTGTAAATGAAAATAGAAAACTTTTGACTTCTGTAAATTTTCTGTGGGTGGGGAGCAGCAGAGTGTGTCTGCTAAAGGTTCCTGGCCATTGATGATTTGTCAAGGGAGACCATAAACTCCACATTTATCAGGTCTCTACACTGTCCCCTCCTCCAAGCAGCCAATCATCATCAAGAGCTCCTCTCACTGTCAGGTTTACCCCAACTGTGTGGTTAATGCAGGGGGCCACAAACTACCGAATACTTACGGTTTACTTCATTTTGTCGACTTTGACTGTGAAATATTTTCTGCTTTATTTCAGTCTCACCGTTAAAGGATCCTGCATTTCTTCTCAGATAGTTTGAAGACATTGTGATGCAGATGTGTACACTTATAAGGCCCCACACTGTGTTTGTCAGTGAGTATAAACAGATACTAGATGACCACAAAATCAGCTTATTTATCAGTTTATTGGAAAAAGACTGTAAAATTGTCAACAAATATTGGATATTAAAAACAAAAAACACATTATAGTCCTGAAACGTGTGCACAACTTCATTAAAATGCATAATAAAGTGTTTCTGTAATTTGTATAAATGTAAAAATGTGTAAAAATGTAAACACTTATAAGGACACATCAGTGTTTTTGTCAGTGAGTATAAACAGATACTAGATGACCACAAAGAGGACAAAATCAGCTTATTTATCAGCTTATTGGATATTTAAAAAAATATATTACAGTCGTTAAACTTGTGCACGACTTCATTAAAGTGCATAATAAAGTGTTTCTTTAATCTGTTGCTTAAAGTGTTACTAAATTCAATACGATGGTCTCAGAAATATCAGAATCAATATAAGCTTTGTTACCTATGAATGTGCAAGTATTACCTGAATCTGCATGAACAAACACAAAGCTGTAAAAGCTATGAAGCATTTAGACGACTATTGGGAGTCATAATGTAAATAATCATGTATAAAATTCCAGGGTTCACAGCCCCCCCTGCACAGCACAGCCTTTACTGTAACCATACACACACACATACTATTAGGTGTCAGTGCAGTGTGTGAAGTGTCAGTGTCACACTTTAAACAAGTTTGTGTGCCGCTGCCTCTGAATGCAGACCCAGAACTGACAGCCTCACAGTGTGGACAGGAAGAAAATGACTGAAACATGTTGTTTGATGAGGTAAACACAAATTTTCTTAGGGGTAAAGTTAGCACACAAACAGGCCGACACCTGCCAAAAACAGACACACACATAGACAGACACAGACACACATCTGGGAGATAAGATGAAGGTACAGTATCTGTGTTGTAACCACAACTGTGGTGATTGTAGATTATTTTCATCACAAAGAGGAGATACAGTTAGAGCAGTTCCAGAGAAGAAAAAAGTCGTTCTGCTGCAAAAAGAAAGACCCTGCAAGCACCCCCTTTTAGTTTCTTCAAACCTTTTAATGCAAAATACAACAGATTTATCATCGGCGGTACAGTGTGTCCAGAAAACATTTTGGCGAGATAAAATATGCATATTACCTGTTTCTGAAAATATCACGACAACTGTAACAACTGAAGATACTGCATATATCCAGATACTGCGATAAGCGGCATAGCACAAATCTGAGTTTATTGTTAGCACTGCCTGTTTAAGAGGAAGACTGCAGCTCTGTGATAAGGGCATGTGTTTAAAATACCACTTTCAGTAAGATCAAAATACTGAGGTTGAAGCTGCACATTGAGAATATGGTCGGATCAGGTTTGAAATGCCAGGAGTGCTGCCAGGCCTCAGGAATGAATCATAGAAGTACTTGGTATAAGGCTGTGCTGTCTGCAGGCATGTCTACATTTCTTTACAGTACATTTGACTGAGATGTCATGTCTTACTGTCTGTTGTTATTTCGAAGGCATGGTGGACTGTAATTTTGGAGCTGTTGAAACCACACAGACTGTGGGCAGCCCCATCCGGCTCTTTCTTAATCACAGCTGGCCGAACAAAACTGATGACATACACAGCAGCATTTTCCACACGTACTAACGTAAACCACGAACATCTCCATCCAAAGTATTCACAGTTCAGCAGAGAGATTTTGTTGTTGTTGTTTACATTATGTCTCAGATCATCGGCGAGTGGTTTTAGGAGCATCTGTGTCAAAGACGTCATATGACTAACCTTAACGCCGCTTTGCGTTGGTGTTTTGCTGACTCAAAGTCATGTGACACAATCACAATGAGATAAGTGTGATCACTTTAAACGTGTAACACCACCAGACAGTTTGGACCAAAACGGTGCTCTTTAGGAAGATGAAGTCTTGCTTGAAAAACTGTAAAAGAAAAAGAGGAAAGTATAGAAATGTCGGCAGTAAACTGTTCTTAAAAGTAAAAATACCCTGAAAGAGGACTTGAGAATGATAATAAGGATCTATCGAAGGTTCTGTGAGCAACAACACTTAACATTTTTATATCGATGCTTGTCAGACCTGCTGCAGGGTAGATGTTAGATGTGGATTTTTACAGCTTACTGCAGGGACAGCCTTTTTTATGAAAATGCTCACTATGAGAAGAACATTAGACATGTGGAAAAAGATGGATTTATTTCCCTTTTTGTGCTCATACTGGTCTGAATTAGCTTAGCAGAGCTTTAATATATGGAAATATAGTGTATAGCAATTAAGCCAGAAGCATAATGTTTGTTTATTTTTGATATTTTCCATTATTTATCTGAATTTGCTTGTAAAGCAGCCAGACATGATTTTAGAATAACTTAATATTTCCACCTGCGATATATTAAAGTAGCTTAAATTTGTAAAATATAGAGATATTTCTGAGTTGATAGCTGTTATCGCAAACTTATACTTCATTGTATTTGAGTAAATGTGTCACTTCTTACTTCAGATGAACACTTTTTTTTCCATAAAGGACAGTTTCGCAGCCTTCAGATTGAGTCAGAGAGTTATGACAACTGTTGTTAACCAAGGGGAGTAAATATTGTCCTCTAGCCCCGAGTTCAAAGCCCAGCTCTTTACTTTGGGTGCAACTGGGAGCAGGTTTGTTGGACTGGGCTGGAAAAAGTTCATGTTTGAGGGGTCCATACAGATAAAATAATACAGAAAGAGAAAGTCTGGCCCATATTTTTGTGTAATGTTCTGTACAAAACTACTGCATACTGATGATAACTTGTCAGTTTCTTAGTGTTTTGGTCTCTTACATAAAGCAGACGGTTAGGTTTGAAGTGGGTCGGTTTGATTCTAGCCTGCAGTTTCCTGCCTTTATATCACTCTCTGCTCTTTCTTCCCACGTCTTACTCCATCCACTGTCCAATCCTCTCCTGTGAAGGCACCGAATTAAGCAGGAAAATTACATTTAAAGAAGGTTCAATTTGAAGTGGCTTCACTGTCAGCAAAGAGATGGTTATGTTTTTAGTGCAGTCTGTTTCCCTGTTCGTCGGCACAACTGTGGAAAACTCCTGACCTGGTTTTCAAGATGACGGGGTGTGGCATGATATTAGGAAAGCTGGTATGATTTTGAACCCGCTCCAAAACAGAGTCAGAAAAAATGATAATTGCATCTAAGACAAACAAATAAAGACGTGCTATTTATGGTGGTTTAGCTCACTGATCTGGACTCAAGTATGGCCTTGGAGGAGGTCTGCGCTCTCTGAGTCCTGGTCTACATCTGATGTCAACTTTTGTGCAAATGAAAATCAACTTTATGTGGTGGTTGATGTTAATTTAAATTGAACAATAGCTAAGGTTACAGTCTTAAAAACTGATGGATGTGGTTTACTGTCTTTGTTTCTCTGGTGCATTTTGAGAACATTAAGGTTGCCATCAAGTCTGGTTTTACTCCAGAACTGAACTGGTCTCAGTGTTTTTGTTGTTCTTTTAGCCTGAGAATGGAACTAAACATACAGCAAACCTACATGCACACCAACAGTGGAATGTGATCAAATGAGGAACTGGGAACTTGTCTTTCGGATTCAGTTCCTTGAGGGTTGCCTTTAAATGAGTCCATTTACGTGAGACATGGTCAGGAAGATCCACAGCTCTGTCGTTTGTCCTGTTGGTGCATTTTTTCCTCTGAGTAGTGTTTAACATGACACATAAGTCCTTGTGCATTATGTATTTGGCCCCACTGTAGTTATCTGCTCAGTGCAGTTCTGTAAGCCTCCAGTTTTGCGTAAAGTACAGTTTTGACTAGCTTTGATTCAGTGCAGGTTATTAACTGGGGGATATAAATTGCTATTGTCCAGATTGTTTACAGTTAACACTAAAACACCATAAGAGTGTAATTTTACAGTAGCTGTATCCCTGTCATTGTTGTCAAGGTCTCTGCCACGTAACACAGGTTGAACACTATGTTTGTTTGGTACAATAAAAGTGAATTAAATGAAATACAACAGCTGAGTGGATTATTACAAAGCTGATCAACTCTGTCAGAAGGGTGTTAATTTGACGTCATGTTTATTTTTGAGGTGTTGTTTGCTGTGTTGAACTGAGCTGGATTATAAAAGAGGTGGTTTCAGCGTTGTGTTCGGACTACATTAACAACACCAGTGGGACTAAATATTAAATTGCCAATGCTGCACCTGAAACCCAGTGCAACACTCGCACAAACTACAGTCTCTGATCGGCAATCGTGTATAAACCAGTGCTAAACCTGATCAAACTAGACTGGCTGGTAAACTAGTCAGGTAAGACTTTTATCATGGTATGACCAGAGAAACAGGAGGAGCGTTCTGAACAGACCTGCTTTTTGGCACATTATCCTCAAAATCATAAAACTGAAGACTACATGATGTTACTAAGCTAACAGAGAAGGCGCTCTTTGTTACGGAAACCAGTCACGACAGTTTAATGTCACAAATTCTGACGTTAAAAAGCACTATTTGGAAAAGTCTTACAAGGTCAGCTTCACCCTCAAAATTGCATTTTGACTTGGTTTTTGTTATTAGCATTTAATAAAAAAAAAAAGGTCTTATTCCTCTTATTTCCTCCGCAGCACTGGCCCCAATAGTTTTCTGTTGTTTGAGGTTCTCCACTCAAGTTTTACCTCGTGATGCCTCTGTTTACAAAAGCTTTTAACAAAAGACAAAAAAAAAAATCAGGAAACATTTCGGACTCTTCACTTCATTTAATAAATTCTTCAGCTTGTGGCAATTTTCTTTACAGACTTTACATCCAAAACATTTGACTGGCTTGTTGATCGTCAAACAATCTCTTGGCACATTTAGACATTTGTAATGCTTTAATTTGACCAACTACAGAGCTACAAAGAGTTACATGAGGAAATGGAGCCACCGTAGCTGGGAAAGTTAGCTTAGCTTAGCTTAGTGCAAGGCCTGTAACCAGGGCTAACAGCTAGCAACAAGCTACTTCATTGAACTCAAAGCACAGAAACAGCTTAAATTTAACAGAACTATCATTTAGCATAAACAAAATTGTGTGTTAATCAGGTTTTCATTATTTAAGATCCTAATAAACCAATTTTCCTTTCTTGTAAATTAGCCTACCAGACTTACAATGAACCGTTTTTAGCTTTCATGCTAGGCTAGGCTAGGCTAATAACTGGAAAAATTCAGCGCACTGAAGATCTTTAGCTCATTTAATGAGGGAATGAAGGCGCATAGCTGAGCAACAGGTGCATTTCGGCGAGGCTATAAGTCTCCACACCCCGATTAAATAAGTTAAAGTACAATCAGAGTGCTTCTTTTTTTCAGTTCTTTGTATGTTTTTGATATTCATGCTCCTGTTTTTGCTTTGCATGGGCTGAAAAACAGTTACTCACAAATAATCCGATCATTGTGACCTGGTTGATAACACTTTAAAAAAAAAACAGGATCAGTGAGATGGTGTGTGAAATAAAGATACCAACTTTGTCTTTTTTTAGTTTAAGCAACACCTTGTGAAGTTACACACTCGTGGCCTTTAGCAGCCCCGACCATGTGCTGCTTTCTGGTTTGTCCCACCGCAGTGTGTAACTGAGCACTTCACAGTTTTCTATTTGAATGCAGTCACAAGATACATATCTGTGATGGTATGAACAGTTACTGTCAACACCAGCACCTCTTAATACTTAGTCACATAGTCTGGCCCCATTGAGCCTTGGGGCCTGCTTCATGGAGGTGTCAATGTTCTCATAACTTAATGTGTATTATTTTAAGAGGCAGAAGGAAGCAGTGTTCTAACTGTCAAATGTCACTGTAACTGTGCTTACTGGACTCTTAAATACTCATGAACAGAGCCTGTAAATATGTCTGTTTTCCCCTTATCTGTCCACTCAACTTGCAAAGCAGTCCAGAAACTCAGGCTAAAGTCAGAGTCATTTCTCAACAGACATGGATATATTTATCCTACCATCATTTTTTTTTCTTTTTTTGCTGACATTCAGTGTTTCTATCTGACATCTGGAGTCTCCCTTGATTCAGTCTTAGCCCAGGCAGGGTCACGAGCTTGTGCCCACACAGCCTCGCAGGGGGGTTGGGGGGGGACGACACGCATGACCACTGACTGTGGAAAACAGGATACAGGACACGTTGCAACAGGAAGTGTTGCACTCCTCTTCAGAAGAGCATCAGTTTGACCAGAATGACTGCAGGTTGATGTCCACACTCTGTAACTCCTGTGGCAGTGCTCGAATTTCGTAATTCCTCTTCACTTGCTATTTCTTCTGAGCTTGTTGAGTAATTCCGTGGAAAGAGAAGAGTTTTTGTTGAAGCGAAAAACAGTTTTCAAAGGGGACTGTAACTCGTTGTTGTTTAAATGCAAAAGTTACTAAACATGGTTAATTCTTTAAAACAGAGAAAAAAATGAATCATCCACAGCGACATGAGGTTCATTTAGTGGGCTTTAGTTGCATAAAATTAAAGAAGAAACTTCAAACTGACACATCTCTTATCTGATCTTGTAAATACAAAATCTTAACCAGAAAAGAAAAGCATTTTAAGTTGCAATCTAACAGATTAAACTCTGAAAATATGAAACTTGGAGACCGAAAACAAACATTTACTGACATTAACTTGAGTAAATTTAAAGCTTGTTAAATGAACTGAAATTTAAGATTTTTAAAAATGCAAAAAAAGGCAATCAATCGTTTCACCATAGTTTTGTAAACATTCAAAATATTAATTAATGCTGCAGGTAAAACTCATTAAAATCCAACATTACTGTAATACACAAAGCATTACCACAGTCCGGTTTGAGTGCGCTCTCATAAGCAAAGCCAGGATACGCCCACAGTGAACAAATCTGCATTAGTCCTACCGTCGTCCTCCACACTACATCCAGAGACAGAGACAGAGGCTGTGAAGGTGTCCACAGGGGAGTTGTTGAACTACTGGAAGCAAATTGCCAAAGGTGCTTGAAAAATGAAGGCTTTCTATATATCTCTGAATTAGCAGGGGAACTAAAAACTTCCTTAATTCTACCAATTTAGGTTGGTGCCACAAGGCTTCTTCTTCTTCTTCTTCTTCTTCTTCTTCTTCTTCTTCTTCTTCTTCTTCTTCTTCTTCCCCATTAAAAGAAGAAGGTAAGGTCGATCTGCAGCTCTTAAAACAAAATAAAAGGGATGTTTCTGTGTCAGCACAGTGTGTCTGCCTGAAATCTGTGAAAAAATCGCAACTTTTCCTTTAATTCCAAACTTATTGAAGCAGGTTGTTGCATGTTTCCCATGATGCTGACTGCCTTAACATTAACATCATTCTAGATGCATGGAAAATTTAGACTTTAATGGTACTTAAAATAAATAAATGAATGAATAAACTCATCCTCCAGTTTTTAAGAGGGCAGTTGGAGCTGGGTTATTGAGTAATTTAGTGAGTAAATTTCCAAGGAGGATTGTACCCTTGCACTAAAAAAATGCAGTATACATTTCAGGACCTATTTTTCTAAAAAAATAAGGAATGCATTTAGGTGTGACTAACACATTTTCATAATCAGACCTTTTTTGATCAGGGGTGTCAAAGCAATGAAAGACAAAAACTACAGAACATGAAAAAGCGCTCAGATCAGCTCATCCATTTTCATGTGTTCTCAGTGTATGAATGAGGGGACCAAAACACAGAGCACCTGCTCCTAAAGACCAGCATGAACAATATCAAAGTAGCCCTGCTCCTGTCTGCAGGACGTGCAGGATCACAACCTGCAAATTCAGGTTTTGATCGAAATGAAGCCCGTATTTCTCGAGGTACCGAGCCAATTGCACGGGCCTAATGCTTAAGGTGTTATGCACATGAATGGTTAACAATAAAAGTAGCAGAACTTGAGTCTAGAAATGGGTGTAAATGCTATCAAATATAAAAAACAGAAGTACATGTGTCGGATATATTATTATACTTTGACACCCTTGCAGGGCTCGTGACAGTGTGAGCCACAAATTCACCAGGAGACAGAAAAAAATTGTCACTTCAACATGCAATGCTATGTTTCTCATTTTAACATCATGACTGAGGAAACATCTACAGGGCTGTGTTGGCCTGACGATGTGCTTTGGCTTTGTTTTTCTACATGTATGAATTAAGAGTCATATGAAATCTGCAAAAACAAGAGAAATATCCCGTTGCATTTTTCAGTTCTGTGGGTGACCGGTCCTTTGTTTCCTGGCTGATAGTCAGCAGAGGTTTCAGTGGCCGTCATGTGTTTCACAATGACTTCGAAAGGCCGCTTGACAAGCGTGCAAGGGGACATCCAGCCCTCTCACTTCTTATTCCTGATTCCTCATTTTTTCTGGACTCCACGAGATTCTGCTATCAGACTCGACTGTGGGTATTATTAGACAAGGGTGAATCACAAGGCACATAGACACATGCGCGCACACACACAGACAAACTGTGACACACAAAAGCCATGGACAGCTTCTCCCTTTTTTTTTAAGATGACACATGTTTAAACAATAACTCTACAAGAGTCTGATCTGTTGTTTCTGTGTTTGATTATATTTTAATTTGAGTGTATCAGGACATCTTAAGTCCCAAACTACGCACACACTCATGCACATTTACACCCATATAAGGCTTTGGGCCTCTATCCCACCAAACAACCAAGTTCCTCTTTCTTTATGTATTGCTCAAGTCAGACAAGGATGACTCAGTGCGGGTATTAATCATGTATTTCTTTGTGTGTGTGTGAGTGTTATCTTAACATCTCACATTGTCCAGTCTGTTGTCACCGCCACAGTTAGCCCCACTATTTTCAAAAACATGAACTTTAATATTGGTTACACTCGTTCAATGTTAAGAAAAACATGCCGTTGATTTGACAGCAGTTTAGTCGACATTTTTACATTTACGCTGATCGTTAAAAAAAGTAGGAAGGATGTGGTAGAGGCCAATATTATTAATTCTGCTTTTAACTTTTAAGGGAACGTTTTGTTGTTGATCCAAAATGCAAGGCAGAAAATATAGGAGGGATTGCTGTCTTTTCTTAATGGTATCAAACTAGTTTAAAGAGCAAAAGATGTTCAACTTGTTCAGGCAGATGACTGAGTTTTATTTTTATTTAAATATAAATTTATTTTTCTCCCTTGGCTGTTGTGTCAGGGCATATCTTATTTGATGCTGTGTTCACCAAACTTCTGTAACATGCACCACCTGCTGGTGAGGCAGTTAAGTTAAAGAACTGCACAGCCTGGAGTTTGTGGCTCTGTTAGATGAGAGTCAATCCTCTGAAACCATCTAAAGGTGAGCTGACCAACATGGGATCTAAAGTGTAAGAGAAGCAGATACTTTGATGCCTTTTGTGGACCATGCTGACTGTCAAATAGATAAATCCTTTAACTGCAGAAGAGAGGACAAATTACGGATGAATATATTATTAGTACCTCCCAATTAGATAAGAACAAGAGAGGATGAAATGATGAAATGAAGCTGCTCAAGGTGGAGTTGTTTCTACCTCACTAACAGTTCAGTAAAATACTGCAAAGACATTCATACAATGAGGGAAATTTTACAAAGCTGTGAGATGATATTAGGATGGTGCACTTATTTACAAAAAAATATTTTGACTTTTAGCATTTTAGTTGAGGATTTTTGTAAAGCATTGGAGTATTTTATCTTTGCATCTCCTTAAAAACTGATCTAATTAAGGTATCAATGTGTATCTTTGGTGAAAACACTAAAAACATGATCTAAAACGTGGAAATCTTCATTCCCCATCGGCTAACATATAAATGTGGTGAAGTTGACTAAATGTAAAATACATATTTTCAAAGGTGGGATAGACATTTGAGATTTAAATAAATGTTAGGAATATAGAACTGAACTATCTCAGTAAAATAAATTTGTCAACTTAAAGCTCTTGCAAAGAATCTAAGTTGGTTTGTTCAGACAGATGGACTCATGGATCGTGTGTATATCAGGCAGAACAGATGATATATTCTTTAATATGATGATATTATTGGAACTATAAAGTATATTACTCTAATTTTACGAAAACAAACAACAGACTGGCAACAAAAATCTCCTTTATAGGCTGTTAGAATTAGACAAAAAAATATATATTCATCTGAAAGGACCATTCCTGACAGGTTGAAGTGAACTACACAAACTGAGTCAAAATGACAAAAGTGGTTTGAACCATTGACTGTGTTTTAATACTTATATATCAATCAAGTTTGTTATTTACGCCAAGCATGACAATATTATTGTTCTCTGGGTTTGACTGACTGCTTTTGTCCATATGTTATCTGTAATAAAGTAACATTTATAGTGTCACAACATTCAAGCATAGAAATTTGTGATAAAAAGAAAACTCTAAATGGCCATGGTTTATCATACAGATGCAGCTAAAGCAATTAAGATGCCCCCAAAAAGTTATTTTTTCCCGTAATTTAATTCAAAATGTGAAAATCTCATATTTCCAGGATTAATCACACACAGAGTGAAATATTTTAAGACTTATTTTGTTTGAATCTTGAAGATAACAGCTTTCAGACATCAGAAATCTGCTATCTCAAAACACTTGAATATTACAAAACACCAATCCAAAAGAAGGATTTACAATACAGAAATGTCAACCTTCTGGAAAATGTTATTCATGCACACAGTCCTTGGGAGGGGGTGTGACGTGACATGAAGGCCAGCAGAACTAGTCTGTGGTTCTGCTGGGGTTTTATAGTAGTCCAGGTTGTTTTAGCAGCCTTCAGCATCTGCATTGGTGATGCATTCTGCATTCATCTGCATTCTCTTGAAAACACTCCAGAGATCCTCTATGGGGATTTAGGTCAAGGTGAGTTTGTTGGCCAATCTAGCACAGTACTGGTCAGCAAACCCGTGTCTGGTAGTTTTGGCGGTGTAGACAGGTGTCAGGTCCAGCTGGAACAGGAAACCTGTAACTTCATTGAGCTTCTCAGCAGATGAGGCATGGAGAGCTCTAAAATCTCCTGGTGGACTTTAGGCTGCGTTACATCTGGATTAACACAGCAGACCAACATCAGCAGATGATATGTCACCCAAAATCATCACTTCCTGCTGGACTTGGGTAACAGATCCCCCTGAATCTAATTTTTTGAGCTGTGTCTGTATATTTAGAAGAGCTCCAATTTTAAACCCAACATGAGTGTTTGACAGATGTAATGCCTTGAATAATGTACCCATATGGAGGAGTCAACCAGGTCTACTCAACGCCAGTGTAAGAGTAAAGTAGCACACAATGAATTTGTATGTTAGTCTTTTTCCCTTGTGGCTTTTTAACTGCACCATTTCTCTTTTATTTGCAGTGGGCTTTAGTTTCTTTCTGTCTTTTTTTTTTTTAGCATCAGTAAATTTCGTTGTGACTTTTTTTTTTTGCATTCTTTTTTAATTTGCAGCAGTGGCAGTTCTTGGCCCCCGTAAAAAAAGAGATGACAGATAAAAGAGAAAAGATGGCATCACATAAAAGCAAGTCTGTAAAAGTGAGTTTTGAAATTTGACTTAAAAGAAGTGACTGATATAATGCTTTTAATAATGAACCCATATGAAGAGTAAAAGTAGTGTAGTCAGTGTAAAAGTAAAGTAGCTCACAATGAATTTGCAAAAACGTTTTACAACTTTGTTTATTCCAGATGTATTCATACGGATTTGTCCATTGAGGGCTGCAGTGCTCACTGATGTTGACAAAGTTTTCTGAGTCCTTGGGGCAAAAAAAAGGGAAACTTCCTGGAATTTTTGGAGGGGCGGGGTTCATGCTCCACTCTCCTCTCCTGTGTATCCCCCTCCACCCTCCGGGATCCTGATACGTGGCTGTTTGGGAACGCCGTGGTGTTGACCTGCAGTTATCCTCTGCTCTGTTGGCTGCAGCAGCTAGCGGATGATCTCAGGTCGGCCCACAGCAGCAGCAGCAGCAGCAGCAGCTGGGAGTCTGTGAAACTCAGCGGCTCAAGCCTGCCTCTATCAAGTCGGCCTGGATGGCAGGGACACACTGGTGCACGGACTGCCGAAACCTCAAGGTATGGAAACATTTCATCTCCCAACCATGCTGTTTTTGTTTTTCTCTGTCCCTTTGCAGATTTGTTTAGGGGGTTTCCGTTTGTTAGCACTGATGTTAACTTAGTGACTCACTGTAGTTTGGCAGCAGCAGCAGCAGCGTTGATTCGCAGTGATTGTGTCTGGAGGAGCTAATTTAGTTAGCACTGTGTCTACGCAGCTCTGGTATGTGCCAGCTAACATTAGCCTGCTAACTTTTACTCACAGACATGTTAGTGAGCTAAGTCAGTCGATTTCTACAGTTTGTTTTCCATTTTAACGTGAATTTGATGGTTTGTGTTATCGCAGTGCAGCTGTTTTACTCTGTCCCGTTAACGAGAAAACAGCATGAGTGGATGACTCAAAGTTTCTCACAGAAAGTCGCTGTTAAACTCCGTGACAAAATAGATGATAGAGAAGTTGCAGGGAGGTTGTATCTTCTCAAACTGGTTATTTTATCTAGAGATACATCTGTCGAGGGTTTAGGCAGATGTTCAGATGGAGCAGCTCAACAGTCTGGTATTTGTGCAGAAATCTTTTTCTTTAGTTCAGTCTGACTTTAGCTTTTCTATAACCCAAGAAGACTATCACCAAAATTAGTAACACCATCACTATAACTCAAAAAAATATACCCAAGAAAAAGTACTTGTCATCAAAATAGCAGAATAAATGACAAATTAAAGTAGTTTTATTTTATTTTGATGTATATGCAATATCCAAAGGGAGGGAAAAAGTGTCATGAGGGGACCAAAATAACTGAAGTTAGGCATTCATGATCAAAAAATTCCTAAAAAAAAAAAATATATATATATATATATATATATAAACTGTAAACTTAGTTTCTTTTCTTCCCATTCCTGGGACACACGAGTCTTCCCTGGTGAAGACTCAGGGTCCTTGGCGCAATAACAGCTGCAGGAGAGAGAACCAAAATATGGCAGATTTTCAGTGAGGAAAAATGACCAGCGGACTAAAATATTTCCTATCACTTTATGAATTCCCTCGAAAATCACTACTTTGTGATTGTTATTCATAACCACTGCGCTTAATAAAGAGAGCATGCAAATTCCAGGACCACTCTTACTGACCTTATTCCCTACGTGCAGCTATCAAATCCACCCAAACCTACTTTACCCTCTATTACTACTGCCGGGTGAAAATCACCCAAACACGCGCCTGTAGGAAAAAACGGGTTTTGGATCAGGGAAACAAATATGCCTTCAAAGATGTAAAAGGTAATTAGGTATGTGTACGTGTATATAGGTATGGGTGTATGTATATATAAGGTCTTTGTCTCAGTATTGATGATTTGTTACTTATTCATGTTAGACTTTGGAGCTTTGGCGACTTACTTTTTGGCGACTTGAGAAATCCTAAAATTCTAGAGACATGTAAAAGGTCAACGAATAGGACGGAATGAGGCTAGGTACAAATAAGCTAAATAGCTTCTACCTACTTCTTTTCGATCTCCAAAAATAGGTGAATTTCTTGTCTAAAATTGTACTGCATGTATATTTGATCGAATAAACAACATCTCTCTCTCTCTCTCTCAAAGGCAATGCTAAAACTACCCAGGGACCCATGATACTCAGACAAACCCAACATAATGAAAATCACGTAAACATGTTTGGTCGGGTGAAAGTCACCCTGTGATAGTGTTCTAGGGTTAGAGATACATCTCTCAAAGGTTTGGGCAGATGTCCAGATGTAGCAGCTCAACAGTCTGGTATTTGTGTAGATATCTTTTTCTTATCCCTTTCCCTGACAGTGTGTCTGTATTGGTCATTATGGTGATTTAATCAACAAAAAATGCTTTATTCATTTTGAATGTTGGATGGTTGAGTTAATATTTCCTATTGGGTGCTTAACATGTTCATGTGTTGTTTTGTTTTTTGTTTTTTAGAAAAAAAGAGAGAGCTTTTGCAGCTGGGATGTTTTATTATCTGCAAGGGAAACTGAGTATGTTTGGGTGACACACTGAGACAGACATAACCAGCAGTTTGAAGGCCGCCTGTGGGTCAGGATAAGGAAATAGTGGCAAGATTTATTTTCTGTTTATTCACATCAGCTTGCCAAATTAAACACCTCAGCATTATTTTGCACATATTGCTGGAGAGACTCGATTGTTTGAGAGTTTTCTTTCCTTTGCAGCATTTCTGGTTGACAGTGCTCTTCGGACCGTGGGACGGATGAAAGGTGAAAGCTTTAGGAAGCCCAGCTGGGCTGTAGCTGCTCTCTTTATCCCCATTACCCTGCTGGTGCTGACCTCCAGGGGGGCCTTAAGCAGCCGTAAGATGACACAAACAGTGATGGGCCATGCAACAGCCACGGCTGCAGGACCGGGCCCCAGCCTGATAGATGACCTCCCAGGCCTGCGGGTGTTAGCAGACTTCTTATCCAGTGAGCATGCTCATGTGTGGCTCCTGTCCTTGGTGGGCTCAGTCGCTGTTGGCCTCAGTGGGATTTTCCCGCTTCTTGTCATTCCTATCGAAGCTGGAGCGGCCTTAAAAACAGAAGGTGAGACATGACAATATGCAACCTGAAACTACGAGTGGCCTTATTGGCAGATCACAGTAACGTGATATAAGATATGTTGTACAATCAGAGCGGAGGAAGTGCTTTTCAAGTGAAAAATTTCACTCCCAAGGGTCACTTAAGTAACTGCAAAACACTTTCTATCCATGACCTGTCACACATTAGTTAAGGACATGATATAAGTCTGACTGCCAGCAAAATTTGTTAGATTCTTTGCTGAGTATTCATGTCAAAATGTCACTGTAAGTCTGAGATCTCCTTCATGATTCTGGGGTTTCTAGTCCAGACTTTGTAGCAGGCTGTAGTGTTGGTTGAGTGATCCTAGTACAGACACAGCATTCACCATTTTAAAGTTTTTGGAGTTTCTGTTATGCTGGAAACACACAGACGTGTGTCTTGACCACATTTCCTGCATAGTTTCACCGGGGGAGAAATTAAACAAAACACTAACGCTTCAGTAACTGGGCTAAGTTTATGTAGGTCAGCCGGCGGCTTTGAGTAGCCACACCCACAGGAACGTGGCATTCCAAATATATTTTAGGATGTGGGTTTGCAAGAGCAGTGCTAACCAAAGGTTAGTCATTACCGAGGGGACTCCTCGAGCAGGAAAAAAAACAGGGAAACACATGAGTAATTACTGGAGAGTTTTAGTAGAAAAAGGCCAGACAATTTAGTGAATGTTTTTGTCACATTTCGAGCTTTAAAGTCCAGAGCTGTGATTTCAAATCAGAACAGAACAAAATCACATGATATTAGTGAACAGTTCTTACTCTCTCAGAGCAATGGATGGATGCCTGATGAAACCAGAAGGCCTGTTTCCATTTATTCTGTGGCAATAATTAACATTTGCAAGCAAACATCATGATGTAAAGCATGTCATTTAACAGGGCAGATGAATATAAGCAGAACATAAATACACCGGAGTCAAAGCTTTTTTTCCCCCCGTCTTCTCTTGATGTTTTCTCAGCTGGGTGCCAGAAGCTGAAGCACCTCTTGAGCTTTGCAATCGGTGGTCTCCTTGGTGATGTATTTCTCCATCTCCTTCCTGAGGCGTGGACAGTCTCGGCAGGCTCTTCAGGTAGGAGTCCAATAATACACAAGTGCCTCGTCACTGTTTGGTCATTAATATCAAGTATTTATCTTCTTTTGCCTGTTCTTTTTGCAACTTTCCATGAGGACAAGAGACTTTTGAACAAGTCTGCTAACATAAGGTTGTATGAGGGATATTTTTAACGGGAACAGGCTGACCCTTGTGAGGTGATTATTTAAAATTACCTGACAAGATCAGATGTAAACATTAACGCAAACAAACGTCTAAAACCTCTGAGCATAAATAATAAGAACATGAGGATTCAGACTTGATGCTACCATAGAATTATACAGAGTTGGTTTTCACACGTCTTTTCTGTCCGCAGATGAATTGCAGGTGTGCTAATGTTGCAGGATTAAAGGGATATTTCGGCGTAAAATTAAGTTAGAGGCAAACACGCCGTAACACCCAGTTAGACACCCCGTCGAGAGATTAATGTGAGGTGAGTCCATTATCCCAGCGGGGTGACGCAGCTCAATGAAGAACATTTATGATCATTTCTTTATCATTTCCTTGAAGTAATAATCATCATAATAATCATTTTGCACTGAGGACGTGGTAGTTCTTCTGCCTTAGCGTCTCAGTCTGATTGCATTTCCATGAAGAAATGATCACAAATGTTCTTCCTTGAGCTGCGTCACCCCGCTGTAGTCCATAATGGACTAGCCTGAGGTCTCTGTAAAAACAAGCGGCTCCTGGAAGAGAGAGGGTGAGCTGTGTTTAGTCTCTTTGCTAAAGAAATTAGGCAAAGTTAAAAAGATGTTTGGTGGCTAGGACCCTATATGTCCTGTTGATGAAGTTAGGTGCTGTTCTGAGTATTATTTGTGGCTATAGAGTGGCGTTTTGGTTGAGCACGTGGCTCTCTGTACTGCTATCGTGTGGTCGATACAAAAGTTGGTATAACTAGAGAAGCAAGCGGTCGGCTACATTCATCTCTCGATGGGGAGTCTAACTCTGTGTTCCGGTGTGTTTGACCCTCAATTAATTTTACGCCAGAATATCCCTTTAAGACAAAGGGTGGTCCGTTTTTCAAATACATGCTTCAAATACAATACATCAAGTTCATGTCTTTCATTTCATTCACAAGGAAACTAGTTTCTTTTGAGTAACTTCACTTTATTATATAAACAGGATTATTCAGTTCAAACTCTTTCCTTCATTTTTTAAAAAATCCCAGATTGTATTTCACTCTATTGTATCATCAGTGTGAATTTGCCTTTGCTGCTAGTGAGTGTAACAACAGTAAATCAGTAAATCTCAGATCTGTAATTCTTCAGATTTTATATCATATCAAAACTGTTAATAATCCATTACATTGTTTTTAAATTGTTAGTATTGGATTTTCTTTACAACTCTGTGTTGCTGCTCTTCGGTTCAGTTGTTATCAACAGTGTTGTTTGTTGTACCAACACTCACTCAGCTCAGTTCTCACTCACCAGACCTTGTCTCTCAGTCTAACAAACAGTCTGTATGCTTCCATCCCAGCTTGTAAACAAAACCACTACATGACCCAGGGCCTCTGGGTCATCGTTGGCTTACTGGCCTTCCTTGTCCTGGAGAAGATGTTTCCAGACCAAGACAGCCCAGAGGATCCCACCTCAGACTCAGACCTGAACTTTAACACACATGTAAGTATCCAAGCTGGAATAGAGGGTAGGATATTTTCACTCCTGCTAATAGAGTCTCACTGCACATGGACGTGTCAACACAGGTCTTTAAAAGTCCTGGTTTTTAGGTGTGGGCTTCTTGTTGTGCTTCGTCTGCATTTTTCTCCCTGTGGTGTCAATGTTTTAAAAGACTGAAGCATCAGATGACCTACTGTTCGATGAGCCCATCAGTCATCTCCTCAAACAGAGGTCCAAAATAATGATTCAACAACTCGGTACATGAGTGTGAATTCTCCCGTTTGCTGCTCTTTAGCTGACAAGACCAATACAACTCTGAAGGCCTGTCAATACCATCAGGTTTCCAGGAAGTCCCTCTGTGATGTTACTGATCAAAAAACAGTCCAGCACATGAGACCTCTTTTTTTACGACCTGTACCTTGTTTAATCTGCGGCTCACGTTAGTTGTTCAGTTGGTGTGTTATCAGGTGTTCTTATTATATGCTTCTCCATATCAGAGCCTGTTTATTTTTCAAAAAGGGATTAATTATCCAAACAGAACATGACCATGTGGCTCCTTTGTAAAGAAAGGATGGTCAGTTACAGTTTGTTTGAAGAGCTCGTCTCGTCCTCCCTCATGTCTTTGTTTTGCTGGTGAGGGAGAAGATTGAAGTCCTCGACTCAGCTCTTGCTCTCGTGTCTATTTATAGAGCCGGGGGTGAAGCAGCTGCTTTAGCCATTTCAGTGTCCACAGGAGAGCTCTCAGCTTTTAGACGGGGGGAGACAACAATAGAAGGGGGACAGAGCAGGACAGTGTATGAGAGACACAGAAAGGAATGTTATCAGCTCTGTTTTCATTTGAAACACTGCGTGTCGAGGTTGTGACAAACTGAATTTGTTTGAACTTGAAATGGATCAGTGCTTTTGATGGGTGTGTCTCACGTGTGAAGGTTTTATCATCTAAAATGTTCTTAAAAAGACAACACAAGTCAATTTTAGCAACAGAGGGAGATTGATAAGCCTGAAAATTAGTCTATTGTTGTTACTTCCTATTACTACTACCATGCCTCTACCATCATTGTGGAGCAGACATTTTTATGCCACGTCCCTGAGACAGCAGGTTATTTCCCACTCCATGTTAGTATTTGTCTAAATGGCGACTAAAGTGGTTTCTGAATGTGAGAACAGGGAAGTTTGCTGTTCTCGGAAAACAAAGGCCACATGAATCTGTCTCCCCCTTTAAAATCAAACACAGACATGCTGGACAGTTTTGGAATTACTGCTTCATCCGTTATATTTGGGAAAATAAAGCAGAAGTGTATTTTTTTTCTCTCTCTCTCTAATTGCAGCATATGTAGGGAGTTAAAAATAATCAAGGCATTTGATAACAGCTGTTCTACTGGCAGGAGGTGAAGCCTTTGACACACAGTTGGAGAAACCATAAAATGCCTGTTTATTGCACTGTGGAGTTCAGGCTGCCGTTAACATACTGTTTTCTGTGAGACTGGAGGGTAGGCAGTCGATTTTCAAGGAGATGAGCTTTTTCAAGTTAATAGCATGTCACTGGTGGTGGTGGCACTGATGGTTGAACATCATTATTTATTCAAAGAAACTCTGAAAATGTAATAATATATAAAAAAGAGACAATAAGGTAAAGTGCACATCAGGATGGCTTGTTTTTTTTTCTCATTTTTCCCTCCTCAGACGCAAACGAACGCAGCTCTCAGCGGAAAGCCGGTGGTATCGCTCGGAAATGGGCTCCACGCAGAGTCATGGAAATCCTCCAAGCAACCGAGTCTGCAGGAGAGATCAGACAAAATCAAGGTAATGCTAAGAACCAAAACATCTCCCAGTTCACATAAAAGACAGAGAGTGATGAAAAGAAACATGCACTACTTGGGGTAAACTGTGAAAGTGGGTTGCTTGTGAAAGAAGTGCATTCTGTGCTTCGTCTGTCTTGATTTATGTGGTTCGATCGAACAGTCAGCCGAGTCAAAACAAAGAAAACAAAGAAACTTCACAAAGCCTAATGGCAATCTTACAATTTTTTGATCTGCCACAAACAGGCTAGTAATGATATTTACATATGTCTGTGGAAGTGCTGCCAAGCACATCTCGGGGGAATATTTCACTATTTTCTCAGATCATATTTTGTACTAAATCTGTTTATTTTTATCTATCTAACATTTTACCTTTGCTTTTAAACAGATTCTTCCATTTTCACATCAGACTTTTAGTGCAGCCCCATCTGCATCATTACATAACTATTATAACTTTCCACACTATAATGGTGTGAGTAAACATACATACTACAAAATGCCAGCGTAAATAAGATAGATCTGTCCACATCAAGAAGGTGGGAGGGTTTTAAGTGCTTTTACAGACTACTAGAATACTTCGCTCAGTAGCTCAGGAGGTAGCGCAGTCATCCTATTGGCTGTTCGATTCCCCTCTATCGCTAGTCTGTCCGTTGTGTCCTTGGGCAAGACACTTAACCCACCTTGCTCCCAGTGTGTGTCCTCCACTGGTGTGTGATTGTGAGTGTTGTGTGGTGGTGGTCGGAGAGGCCGTAGGCGCAAACCGGCAGCCAGGTTTCCGTCAGTCTGCCCCAGGGCAGCTGTGACTACTAAGGTAGTTTACCACCACCAGGGTGTGACTGCGTGAGCGAACGAATGATGTATCCAATGTAAAGCGCTTTAAGGGTCTCTGATAAAGCGCTATATGAAATCTGATGCATTATTATTATTTAATTAAGATGGAGCCTTTATTTTTTTTGTAATTTGTATTCGAGATATTAAATAATGAAAGAGTGACTGATTAAACTGCAGTGCTCTGCAATGAGCAGCCCAAACGTCTTTTATATATTCTGTTAAAATTTTGTTCAAGCTCTGCTGACTGAAACTCACAGCCTGAAGAGAGAAAAAACACAAATTAAAAGAGGACAAGTGACACCTAATTTGTGTTAACTTTTAAGTGCTAAGCCCACTATCCACTGGGCTAGCACAAATTAAGGATCATTAGACTGAAGACACTGTTTTTTCAGCTGAGATTAATGGTACCAACCCCAAAGTGGATTACCAAACAGTTAAGAGCAATGTGAGTGTTTTCTCTTGAAATCAGTGGTGCCACAGAAAAGTGCATTTCCACCCATTTTCTTCATCCTCCTCAGGGTTGCAGAGGTTTGCAGACTCTCCCCGCACACAATGAGAAGGAGACTATCTACAGTCCTGCACTCCCCTATTTAAACGTAACCTTTATTTGACGCTAACTAATTTGCATTTTGTTTCACAGATGAGTGGATACCTAAACCTGCTGGCCAACTGTATCGACAACTTCACCCATGGGCTGGCTGTGGCCGGGAGTTTCCTGGTTAGCAAAAAGGTAAAAGGCTGTGTTGACCTGATTGCTTGAAATTCTTGATTTTTTTTTTTTTTTTTAGGTGCAGTTTACAAACAATGACCCCCTCACCCCTAATACTATCCAAAGTAATATGTACACAGTGGATCGGTCCTAAATTGGAGTTTTGGTCAGTAATATGTATTTTGAATAAAACCTACATGAAATGAAAGCAGAGGTGAGCAAATTCTATTAAAAACAGAGTCATTTTCAGAAAAAGAGTACGTGTCCAACTCCGCAGGTTTATCATATTGCTTGTGTGGGAAAATAATTATACTCTCTGTAATCCCGCTAATGCATATTTATACACAAACCCCTGGATTTCATCAAGCATAATTGTGGTAAAATTACTCCTCTGGGGTTGCAGAGCAAATTAAGACCTAATCACAGACTGAAAATCATGGCTAATCAATGTGGCCACACGGGTCACTAGCAGTTCAACATGAAGACCTATTTAGATACTTGAGACATATTATTAAACTACAGGAGTTGACTGATGGACGATACGATGGAGGAATCCTATTGAAGTGATGTTCATGCAGAGTTGTAGCTGAGGACAAGTGAATGGTTTTAAATACTTGGCCCCTATTAAACTCTTAAATGAGAAACTGAATGGACTTGTTACTTATGCTTTTGAATCTGGATGTTTAAAGTCTGAAGTCTAAATAATTAGGCAGCAGAGTCTTTGGTTAGCTGTATAATAGTTCCCTTTAGGGATTGGCGATAAATTATGGTTCATGATTTACTGTCAGAGAATCCTTCATGATAGATATTTGCAATCTCACGATAAATGTGATAAATGCAAGTTGATGACGTAAGTTCAAGCGATGGACTCGCAGCCATAGCCCACACAGAGCAGAATAACAAACAAACATGTTTGAAGGTAATGAAGACGACGTTTCTGAGCAGCTCGTTGGTAAACCAGACTCTACATGAGGGATTTCCTCCAAGACTGGGGTTTAGACAAGTCCAATCAGGTATGCCTGACTTGTCGGACAGTCGATCTGCTGCTGCTGTTCACTCTGTGCCATAAGAGGTTTTATTAAATGTTGAAAGTGTTTTCACATTTCAGACTTGTTTGATGTCATTAGTTTTCTCCATAACCTACCACTCAGACTTGTGGTTAAGTATCTTATATTTGTCCATGCCAACTGATGTTCTCAAGACAGAATGAGTCACAAATATAGATTGGAATTATAATATTTTTATTGTGACTTGTATCATTATCACCAGAATGAGAAAACTTATCGCCATATTTTTTTTAGCCCATACCGCCCATCACTAGTTCCCTTTTTGTAAGGTGTTTGGCAGCAAACAGTGTGAACTTACAGAGGAAGCAGTGAACCCGTGTACTAGTATTTTAATATAGACCACTAGGAGGACTGTCCTTACATGACACATATACCTTTCTTCATTTTAAAGCTATATCATCATCATACTCTCAGTCATCTTTGCTGACAAAGGTGCACATTAAACTGTGGCAATGCAGATTTGTGTTGCTTCAGTAGGTTACTGTATATTTGTGGCTTTGGGACGGAGAGAGTCCAGCTGGTGAGACATAAGGCTAGCAGCGTGAACTATGGCTCAGTGTGCCAGAGAGGAAGTTTACTAGATGTCTCAAACATACACATACAAAACATCTCACTGGTGCTTTCTGTTTACTCGATCACACGTGTATCTCCATGTGATCACGGTGAAATGCGGTATGAAAATGAGCTGCTTTAATGCAGCGTTAATTAGACATGTACAAATCTTACATAAACACCTTTTTACTCGTTATGTCCAATGAAACTTCAGACTAAGTTCTTTCATTACTGAATATTTCTGGCTGTCTCCCCTAGGAGTATGCTTTGGGGGTTTCATCCCCAAATTAATTTCTCTGAGTAGAAATTTTCTGTGTTCCCTTAAATGACACAAATTATATCTCTGACATTTTGAAGTGTTTACAGTCAAGACAAGCATTTGATTTGAGGAAAAGTGTGAGTAATCCCCACATCGTTAGGCCGTTTCAAGCCGTTAACTTTATAACCTCAGTTGTATTTGGGTAATTAATTTAGACGAAGCATCCTGATACCAAACACTCTTGTTATACCAGGATCACAGATAAGTGCAAAAGATACGAATTTCTACACCATACTTTTCCTGAAGGACTTCATGAGCACATTTACCCCCAAGATTACGTAGTTGAGACTAGGACTGGGCGATAAAACGATAATGATATATATCAGAAATTGATTTCCTTCAATATTGATATGAAACATGGTCAATATACTTTTCAATAGTCGACATTCTGCCATGTTTTGATAGACTATACAAGTAGCCAACGAAAAGGAGAGTTGCCCCGGGTCTGCTTTGTGCTGAACCAATCATGTGCTGAATTGGAACCAAGTAGCAAACAACTGCTGCAGCTACATGCAACCATAGCACTTTAACACGTGAAGCCGACAGCTGTTGGTGAGAAAAAAAGAAAATGAGTGCTACCCCCGGCAGAAATGCAGATGAAGGCTCAACAGATGATGACATCGTCGACAACAATGGCACGAAAATGTTGGTGGTGTGGAGGTATTTAGTTTTTTGAGGTCGGACATGAAGCAGAGTAATGTGCACTTCAACTTATGTCAAATACTTGTTCCCACAAAGTCGGGGAATACCTCAAATCTTTTCCACCACCTGAAGCAGAGCCACACGACAGGGCACCCGCAATGCAAAAGGTTAAAAACCCTGAGCGGAGCAAGCGGAAACAGCCAACCATTCAGTCTGCTTTCTCTACCGCAACGCCTTACTGCAAAACGTAAAGGAGACACAAAGACCTCACAGATGCAGTAGCTTATTGTATTGCAAAATACATGCTACCAATATGCACTGTTAAATTTCATTTTTAATATCATGATATATCTCAATATTGACTGAAATGAAAAAAATAAACCGTGATAAACTTTTTCCCATATCGCCCAGTCCTAGTTAAGACTAATATGTTGCTTCTAACTGAGCTAATTTGCTGAATGAAATCCAAAATTTCTCCATTTGTTTTTGACATAATGGAATCTTTTGACGACCACACTGTTGTTTTAAAATGCCCCTTATGCTCCCCTGAATAACAGTACTGCACATCCATTGTTTGAGATTTTATCACCTAGTTACGAAAAGCTGTGTTAATGAGTTTCTTCCTGCAGGTTGGGTTCCTCACCACGTTTGCCATCCTGCTCCATGAAATCCCCCACGAGGTGAGATAACAGAATTCTCAGTTAAACTGCTCAAAATAATTTCTAAATAGTTGTGTAAATGAAATACAAAGCCCCATGAAAACCTAACTGTTACAGCAGCTGTGAGAAATATTCCATGTTTTGTCTGCAGGTGGGAGACTTTGCCATCCTGCTGAGGGCGGGGTTTGACCGGTGGAGTGCAGCTCGAATGCAGCTATCCACAGCCCTGGTCGGGGTCGTTGGAGCTTGTGTTGCTTTATATGCTCAGTCGCCTCAAGGCACAGGTAGGATCGAACCAATTCTCACTTCACAATCAATCAAACTTGATCTTCGCCAGTTTGAGACAGTTTATGATCGCAGCGATCAGACACAAGGGTTTCTCTCTGGTTCTAGAAAATACCACTGCCTGGATACTACCTTTCACCTCAGGAGGTTTCCTCTACATCGCCTTGGTGAACGTAGTGCCAGACCTGCTGGAAGAGTCCAGTCTAAGGTATGTTAAAGACCCACTCTGATGAAAATCATGCCCTTCTTGTTCTCTACATGTTCATATTGCGTTTTTCTAATACTACAGGACTAGCATGAGAAAAACAAGCGTGAAATCGCATTTCTGAGTATTTCTGCATTCAAATCGCCGGAAATCTCTGACAGACCCAAACAGCTGGTTCAGATACAGTGAGATTTCCTATGTCACAAATCCAAGCTCCGCCCCCGGAGCCCCGCTATGAAGGCCAGACTCTGAAAAATAGAGAGGACGATCGCAGAACAAGCATGTGCGTTAGCGGTTATCAATGCTCAGAAGAAAGCTGATAATGGTATTAACTTTCATCATGCCACCAAAGACGTTAGTGTCTGAGAGCTGAATAGCTTCTATCTTACCTGCCACTTCTACTACACTGGCAACGTGAAGCCGAGTGCAGATCAGCACCGTCTGCCCACGACTCTGAGGCATATCGTAATGAGCTACTGGAGCTCTGCAGAAGAACAGCTCTTGAAAATGACACAGGTAACATGATAAAAACTTCATAATTCCAACTTAAAGACCACTGAGAACACTTGAACTAGAAAAAAAACAATCGGAGTCGGACTTTAAAGAGTTGGTGAAGGATGGAAAAACAGGAAACAGACTTAAAGATCCAAACTCTGGAAAAGTATCATTGGGAAGGATGCAAAGACATTGCGTTGCCATTTTTTTTCCATTCTTTTGAAGCTGTAGTCCAACATCTAGATTTCCACTTTACCTCTAGGACTCACTGTGGAATAATAACTTAAGGAAGTAAAATAAAGTTAATTGTTTTGAATGACTGAAAACTCTGTTACCTGTCTTTTACAAGTTGTACTACGGTGACAGTGTAGAAAGATGATGCTCAAAAATCTATTTTCCTGCGTTCATGTGCCTTTTTGGGGGAGAAAACTAGTGAATATTTTTTTTAAAATCTTTAAAATCCAAACATATGTGTAATTCTGTAACTTCTTTTTTTTTTTGTCCAGACACTCTCTTCTGCAGATCCTGCTCATCATCTGTGGAGTGGCTGTCATGGCTCTGCTCTCTGCCATTGTTGATTGAACACAGAAGAACCTCACATACAGCTTACTCACCTTACCAAACAATCTCACCAACCAATGGAAGCAAACCCCATACTTCCACTACCAGCTCTGCATACCCGGTACCCCTCATTCAAGAATCTCTTGCTTTAGAAATTCGATTCCTCTTTGATACAGTCATCAGCAAGTTTCATGAAACTGACAAAAGAACAGCACTTTACGGATGGATGAATGATCGGAGGATGGAACAATTGTACGGACACTTAAACACGTGCCAGACATCATAAAGAGCGAGGGAATTTCGATGCTTTTTGAGGATTTCTTTAACCAAAATGTCTTAAATTGTTGATCCGACAATCTTGTTGTTTTGCACATACATTTACATAGGTACACCTGATGTACCTGCTCAACACAAAGGTATTATTGGACCTCTGCAAAAATCCCCTCTTAAGTGTTCAACCTTTAAATGTTAAAATGCCTGTATTATGTTTTATTACTGTTGTGTGTTTTCTGTTTCCTATGTAGCTCATTCGTATTTATTTTAAGTTAAACAAGCAGCATACAGCTTTATTAGGCAAGCGTCAACAACATTTCATCATTTGGTTTTCGTGAGGGGAAAAAAAGTGCCAAGAAATCAGGATGGTTGGATACACGAGCGGCATGTCTTAACCGAGGCACTTTTGGTCTTTTTCATGTGTCTTAATCACACAGTACAGGCTGCATCATTTCAGCACAAGTTGGTGCTCAGAGACAAGTCAGCCTGAATAATTATTGTGTTAAAACTGTAATAAACAAAAAGAGATTGTTACTGTTAATATTCAGCGACGCTCGTTGCCAGGACTTGTGAGATAATAGACTGAAATCAAATCTGAGAAGGTTAAAAATGTAAGATTTTTCACATCGCTGTTTTGTTGATACACTTTTAGAAGAAAGTTTTGAATCTATTAAAAGGTCAAATAAAATATACATTTTAGACATCTTTATAAGAAGGACTCCTGTTTGTTTAAAGGCAACTAACTGAACTGTCTTCTCTATGATCCATTCACCATCAACACAATCTTACTACAAAGACCCTAAGCCTTAAATGTCATATGGGAGTGTTATAAAGGGGGAGTGTATTAATCGTGTGCTTGTACTTTTCGACACAGTCTACTTGGCAAGCTTCTGTTGCCATAACGACTCCACGGCGGGTCGCCTTCCTTAGTCATCAGCCTGTGAGCAGCCTATTGTCTGTGGGAGCCTTTCCTCAGTCACAGCACAGAAAGACAACAAACAAGCTCTGTGTACACTGAGCTGGAGTGATGAATCTTTCAGTGATGCTCAGATGACATTCGATAACGTTATCGATCAGTCCAAGGTTCCGCCTTGTAGATGAGGGATGTACTCTTTCACTGACAGACAATGCTGTCTTGAAAGTTCTGAAATGTCTTGATCTGCTTTTTTCCAGCACTGAAATCAACATCAAATAGCAAGATTATGACAGTGAGGGTCTTGAATGTGAATTTGCAAGTTTTAATCCAGTGAAAACAGTCAGGTGATATTTTGTTTTTTTGCTTCATGGTCTGTAGCCATTAGGAAAGTGTTCCAATATACCGGGGAACAGATGGTCTATCATTTACAGTGGTTGAATCCCATGTAAGTGTGAAACCGTTAGAAAAAAAGGCATTTAAGGTGACCGTGTTTGTAAGAAAACTAGCCATCTGTTTCAGTGAAATTAGATTTTTTTTTTTATTGCTGGGATTTTAAGTTGTAACAGTTTGTCAAAGCAGACTGTGTTAGCCCTTTTATAGAATTAATACAATTCAGATTATGACCCACGCCCCTAAAATCAAACATAATTCTGTAAAATAGGCGTGTGCTGTAAACAAATACAGTACACTTTATTTTTTGTGTGAGATCGTAAATAAAAAAGAAAAAAGAAGCCACAACGAAAGTTACCAATGCAAAAAAAAGAAACTGAGGCACGCTGCAATTAAAAAAGGAAACGGAGCAGAATAAAAAAAAAAAAAAAAGATACAACGGAAGTCAACGACGCAAAAAAGAAAAAAAAAGTTACTCAATGCATAAATATAAGGATGCAAATAAAAAAAGGGACAACGGAATTTAGCTGTCGGGGACCAATAATGATGATGCATCGGTGTTTTACGATCTAGGCACAGAAGATGACAGTGAGAAGACGAGCAAAGGAGTATGTCGAAAGGTTATTGTTTAATTTGGCTTCGTAAACTTTTCAGTGTGTCATTTGGTTAGGCCATGTTGTACCTGAGTCGATATGAAGTTGAACTGGAGGATGCCGCAGTAGTGTTAGCTTCAGTTTAACTTCATATCGACTCCGGTGCAACATGGCCGAACCAAATTACACACTGAAAAGTTTATGAAGCGAAATTAAACAATAACCTTTCCACTTACTTCTTTGCTCGTCTTCTCGTCGTCGTCTTCTGTACCTAGATCGTAAAACATCGTTATTGGCTTTTTTATTTGCATCCTTTTATTTTTGCAGTAAGTAACTTTTTTTCTTTTATTGCATCGGCACTTTTTTTTGCGTCCTTAACTTCCGTTGTGACTTTTTTAAAATTATTATCTGCACCATTTCTTTTTTTATTTGCAATGGGCTTCAGTTTCCTTTTTTTTTTTTTTTTTCGCATTGGTAACTTCTGTTGTGACTTCTTTTTTTTTTTTTTTGCATTCTTTCTTACTTGCAGCGGTGGCGGTTCTCGGCTACTGTAGATTTCACAAAATGTTTTTTGGAAATAAATGTCTAACCCCTTCACCCATGTGCTTCTAACCTTCACAGACTCCATAAATCGATGCCCATCTCCTAAATATTTGGTCACGATCAATTTCTTTTACCATTTTCAAGCAACAGGGGGTGGCTCAACTTACCCCACTCTCCCCTACAGTCCATTGTATTTTTTGTGTGAGATGATCTGTGTTTCCCCTGCTCCCTGTTATAGTATTTTTGCATTATTTGGCCTAATATCCAAACCCCCTCATGCAAAAGAGAATGAAGTTTTGAGTCAAGTTATCAGGTCTTGCTGGTGGTTATAAAAAGCCTGGCATGCTAATTGATCTTTTTTTATTCCCTTAAATTACACTGAACTTTGAACATTTGAAGACAAACGTTAAACCATAAAATCTACAATTAAATATCAAAACAGTCACTTAGTTCTGAGCTCAAATTTTCACCATAACCTGTAAAATCCATCATTTTTATTAAACGTGACTCCTCTACAGTGCCACAGTGTTTTTACAAGTTGACCCAGCCCAAAATTTGTCCATTCAAGTGTAACAAACCCACACTTCCTAAAACAGAGGAGCTCATTCCTCTCCTCTCCATCCTGCAACAACCTGGAGGAGAGAGCGCGCAACTACAACCATCCCTCTGCCTCCTCCTCCTCCTCCTCCTCACAGCGTTGGTCGCCATCCATCCCCTCTCCTCCTGTACCATAACAGATGGTGGGAACAACATAGCATCCACCGGGCACCACAACAATAGACCGCAGCATCCAGTCCGGACACCCCTGGCCTCTCACCATCATGCTTCTCGTGCAGGACTGCGCTCGGCTTTGAGTGCCGTCGTGATTCATTTCACGCGGTACCATCAACCACCAACACCACGGCCACGGAGGAACCTTCTTACGACTGTTTGGGCTCTCCATCGAGCGGGGGAAGATGGCCGCTATGAAAATATTAACAGGCACAGGGCTCTTCTTGGCGTTCTGTGCGCTGGGGCTGCTCGCCATGGCGATTTGCACCGATTATTGGTACGAGACTGACGCGCGGAGGCATCGGGAGAGGTGTAAAAACTATGCCAACAAGCGCAACGACCCGGGTTACATCTACATTTCCAACCACAACCTGCCACTCCAGATGCCTCCTAAGAGCCTGGAGAGGAAAGGTAACGGCCCAGATGCTGTGGCTCTCATCCGGGGGAAGCGGCACTTCCTGGCCGCAGCGTCCGCGATGGAGTCTCACTGCAACCGGCAGTTTAACTCCACCATCTCCGGGCTGTGGAGGAAGTGTCACCGGGAGGGCTTCGACCTGGAGACCGAGGACCTTATATATAAAGGTAAACAGTCTGGCTGACGCCTTGTTGTGTGCAGCAGCAGCAGCAGGCCATGATGCTCAGCATTAAGCTCACACACCTAGCCTGACAGAAACACACAGGCCCCTCACAGGTCTCTTATTGGTCTGTGCTGAAATCTCACTAGACAAAGATGTCTATTTTTCAAGCTTATTTCTTCAAGGGTGGATTTTTGCTGTCCTTTGTGCTGAATCAACCTCCTCTCTCTGTGTCTGTGTGTGATAATGGCCGGTCTCCTTTTGCATCTAGCTGTCTAAACAGCATCTCTTCAAGGTTTCTGTCATTGAGCTCAAGAGTCTCTGTGGTTTTACATTTGGAAACACCAAAAAGACAGGCTTGAATTACAAAGAGAAGCCATTTTCCTGGCCTTACTCATTTATGCATCACCTGGTCCACACCAAGGTCCAAAAACAGAGCACATACACAAAGAGGGGAAACACCCAAAGCTCAAAATGATGGGTGTCATTTGCTGTTTTACTATTATCTTTGTTTTTTGTTATCATGCCAGGATAGAAGAAGATGAGACTTCATGAATCAGTGCACCTAGATCAGAGTGCTGTTGACTGTTTTCTATGCCAAGTATCCACTCTGGAGATTGTCGACAACACTATGTAGTGTCAGAAATGAAGTTCTGAATAATGAATGATGCCATTTTTGAAATTCAACCCCTTAACTCTGCAAACCTACAACTAATGTGGCGTTGAAATATAATCCCCTGCATGAAATCATATCAAGGTCTCAGCCCATCTGATTAGTATGTAGCCCATACATTGACAACAACATGTAAACTCTGTTCAAATCCAAAGTGACACCAGTGGTTTATTATTTGTTTCACTTTCAACTGCGCCTGACTTCCAGCTATAAACACATAAATGCAATTATCCAACAGTTGTCGGTATTATATCTGTGTTACATTAAAAACAAGCCTTGCTTTGAGTGCTTATGTTTTGCATTTTCATAACATGTGGCTGCATTATGTCCACACCTTGTACTCAAGCCCTTAACAGACTTTTTATAAAGGATAGCAGGTCACATGGCCAGAGTGTTTTTAAAATTGCTCTTAAAGCGCTTGTGGCTGCTGCTGTCTTGTGTTTGTCCATCATATCAGTCTGACAGATGATGCAGACAAGAATTTAGGTCAATTTCAAGCGTGAAAGTGTGTATTTACTTTTGTATTTTGCAGCCATGGAGGTGGAATATGAGTAAGAACATGATGAGCCAAATTAATATTCCTCTCTGACTCAAAAGTTTCTGTTTATTTCTTCTGACAGACATTTTTAGTGTAGTAGTCCCAGTAAATTGATATCATATTTTCATCCCTGATAGTTTCAAATCTTGTCAGAAAGAGCTTGATTTGCAAAATTGGAGTGCCAAATGTACAGATTTGACACTTAAATAGACCCAGTTAAGCAGCAGAGTTGGTGTGAAAAAGCTGACGCCAGAGCTTTTCACGGTGCACACCCACTGATACTCCAGCAGGTCGATGGTGGTCAAGTCCATAACTTTGACAGTAGAGTGACAATTTTTTTTAATCAAGATTATGGAAATCAACAGTTAAATAGTAAGACTGTTAGCAGTGAAGCAGTATTGAGTATCTGAGCGGATGTTTTGCTTTAAAACGGCAGAGTTTTGATCACATGCTCTTGATCAACAAAGTCACCTTTTATCTGACTGATAAACTTCTGCCATTTCACTGGGTGTTCAAAAAGGTCTTTTAAGTCGAATTTTTTTTGCAGCATGTGCTTAATTCAAGATCTTTTGGTGGATTAAATCCCTATTTGTCAGGAATTACATTAAGCACTTCAACAAGATGTTTGGATTAGAAGAAAGGGAGAACTCAAGAAGCTGGACTTCTGCCAGATAAATAGTCTGATATGTAAATCTAAGATCACAATCTACACATCTTGATGTATCATCTTAGCCGCCACACTGAAAAGGCAAACGCATATTTGCACATTAATTTCATTAAGAGTGTAAAGGGAATAACATCATCTGTGTGTAAAAAAAACTTGCTCGAGTTGCTCCTGAGTCTGTGTCTCCATGATTGTTTGGACAGTAGTGTTATAATGTTGTTACAGTTACTGCTTCTTTATATACTTAACCCATACAGCAAGTTAAACCCTTTTGACAAACATGCAAACAGCCTTCTTGAGAACACTGCTAAAAGACAATTTTATACGTCACATGTTTTCATTCTTCTACATGAGACGTGAGCTTGTGCTTCTTCCTGCTTGTTTAGCATCCAAAACGGCTTTATTACATAAACTAAACTCACATTAATACTTTTGAAATCAGCCTGTCTTGAAAACATAAAATACTTGGCCTAAAATGCCACTCTGATATATAAATCTCTTTCTTCAGTAATTGAAATGGATGCCTCCACAAAGCTCACTTAGATCAAAGCCTTGAAGATCACAAACCCAGCTCTCAAAGGGAATAAGTCTGAAAAATCAGAGTTGAACAAATTATGACAAAAGCTTTTACAAAAATTTGATAATCTTACTGTCAAACCATTAAACTCAGACAACAAAGAGAAATGTTTTTTGTCATGGTTGTAGCCTTTTGTTTCAAACACACAATAATATATATATATAAAAAAGGATGATTCACTCAAATCTGAATTAGTTATGTATGTGATGATGTCTTTACTGAGACACAAGAAGTTGGAGTTTAAAGCAAACCTGCCTGTGCTCCCAATTCTGAATTATTCATACAGTAAATACAAGCTTTTATTGGCGTTTATTTCACTGACCATCAAGTCGTTATGAAGAGATTCTTTTTTAATGGGATATAAATGTTGATGTAGCCTTTAGTGGCGTAACTATTACTCCATATCATTTCCCAATCCATCTGTAACAACACTGCAGGAGCGGATGGAAACACAAGGTTAAAAGGCCATTTCAGCCATAAAACCTCAGTGAGTGTAGAGTTAGAAAACTTGACTACAACGTATGACATTTCATAATCCCACAAGATGTTTTTAACACGCTTTGATATTTTCTTTTTGTTTCTGCCAGGAATTATTCAAAGATGTACCCCAGTCAAGTATCACTACACTTCATCCATCCTACCAAGAAATTTACCTGTCAACATCACCAAGACCATACGACAGGACGAGTGGCACGCACTCCGTAAGTCTCTAAAGTGTTTTATGGTTTGTGTTAGAGATGCACTTATCCTCTTTTCTTCCAATACCTGGGCTGAGCATATTGGCCGATATCTGATACCGATCCAATACTACTGTTGAATGAATGAACTGTATACCTTGCCCTGTGAGTGAAGGCATCAGGCTTGACATTAGCCTTGTTGAAACACAGATATAAATTTACTTAATATTATTTGTCAACAAATAACAAATTGCACATTAGCACACAGCAAAAAGAAGTAAGACTTTCATGTATTAAAAGAAAGGAAAAAAAGACTGGATCGGAACACTGGATCGGCGTCATTCATCAGAAATCCGATCCAGTTAATTTGTCAATATCGGAGCCGATATCTGATCCAGATATCGGATCAGTACATCCCTAGTTTGTGTTCACCCACTCTATATTTTTCTTTCTGCTGCTACTTTAAGCAAAGAGAGTTTTAAACAGACCCTCTAATCTTTCTCTTTTTTTCATATCTTAAAATAACTGTGAATTCTGGCGTTCCCCAGGGCACAGTTTGGGGTCCTCGCTTATTTTCACAGTGGGTTTTCCTTGATTATACTATTCAGAAAAAATCTCTATTCCACAGGGATCCTGAAATATTTCGGGTATAATTCACACCTTCCCATTTTAAAGTTAGGATTTTCCCCCTGCTGTTATTTCTTTCAGTCATCGTCTGAGCTTGAAGCAGTTTGTGTCTAATAGTATTAACCTCACACCTCACACATTTTATCTCAGTAACTAACTAAATGAAAGTCTTTCAATTGCTTGAAATTTGTATCTAACACTTTATTAAGGGCACAGCTGCCTTCCTCGCCTAAATTTATCACCGACCTCATAAGCCCCTCTCTCTTCAGTCCCGACTCATGAGCAGAGGTTATCATCAGATCATCACTATTAGCGAGCTGCTGGCTTTAGACAGGCTTATGTGTGCACATTAGGTCGGACAGTTCACTGTCTCCCCTAAATCTCTGCTGGATTGGCTTGTAGTTCTTATTTAATAGCTCTGCTCAAAGAGATTAAAAATGACAGAACGAAGGAGTTTGACCCTATATGGCATTGGAAGTGATTTTCTGTGTTTAACTTGTTTTGTAATCTGAAGAGAGGTGTTGTTTTGTTATTTTGAAACCACCATGATCGACTCTGTTTTAGACGTGCTGTGCCAAAATACTTTTTATTAAAGCTCCTACATAACAAAGAGTTCCCTGTACTTCAAGATATGTTGATACCACGGCCAATCATCCCAATCTTATCCTCTTTTTATCTGGATCTTTAATTTCCAGATTGTTTCTTTCATTTTGAGGAAATCTCTGTCAAAGACCTCTTAGATTTGGTGCTGGCTGAAGAAAAGATGTTTCAGAGCAGCCAACCAATGTGAGGCGATTTTTAGCTGATTATAAAACAGGCCGAGTTTGACCCTGATGTGGAACAAAAAATATGTAGCAACTTAAACTTTTGTTGTTGCACTTAAAAAAAAAGAGGCAGAGACTTTTATGTTTTATTTTAATATTCCAAAATATGTTGTTGTTGATATGTTTTTCTGCAGATTTTGACATTTTTTCTTTGCAGTCATCATATTTCACAGTTGCCCTTCAGGGCCACCATAGTTGCCACTATATGACCCAAAAAGCAAAGGAAACCATCAGCCTTTAAGATTAAAGAAAGCTTCCAAAAAAATGGTAAAAATGAAAAAAGATAAAAGTTTGAAAAATAGAACATAAAGTTAATCACTTGTTTCTCTTTTCTTCATAAAAAAGGCAGGATACTTTTATCTCTTAAGTCTTTAACTGGGTCAGATTTTGTCGTTGCATCTCATCTTTCTGGTAAACATTTCTGATAATAGAAGCACCTTCAATCTAAGTTTTGGTCAAACATATTGAAGTATGTTGGATCATGGAGACAGAGATACCTGTTGTGCCACACGACAGATGATAAAAATAAAATGAGAATGATCATCGTCCAGCTAAATGACCGTTTCATCTTCGTTCCAGCATATGAAGCGTTCATACTTTGTCTGGTTGAACATTAGTCTTCCCTGTTAGCTGTGTGTGACTTTCTAAGTTACTTGGTTTCATCTCTGCCTGCAGATCTCAGAAGAATGACGGCCGGTTTTGTGGGCATGGCCGTTTCCATCATCCTCTTCGGCTGGATCATCGGAGTGCTGGGATGCTGCCAACAGCATGACCTCATGCAATATGTAGCTGGGCTACTCTTTCTCATGGGAGGTACTGTGAGAGCTGAACACATGCAAACACAAAAATGCAGTCGACAATCAGCTTTATTCAGTCTTTGTCTTCATATGACAACAGCTGAGAGTTTGTTTGCTTGTCTAGTGTTAATTCATGGATCAGTATCATGTAGTAACTTGATGTTTGTCCTCCAGAAAGATTCACAGCAGATGTAGGAACTTGATAAATAAATCATTTTAAGGCACTTCTTGTCTCTTGTGCTCTCACAGGAACATGCTGCATCATCTCCTTGTGCACATGTGTGGCAGGAATCAACTTTGAGTTATCCCGCTACCCCCGTTACATGTACGGCCTCCCCGAGGACATTAGCCATGGCTATGGCTGGTCCATGTTTTGTGCCTGGGGGGGCCTCGGCCTCACGTTGCTGGCCGGCTTCCTCTGCACCTTGGCCCCCTCTCTGAGCACGCCGGCTCGCACGACGACCCACAAGCCGAGGCAAGAGAACGGAACCGTGTGACAGCGGCGTGGTGAGGCGACTGACCCACAGAACGCACAAAGCACACCCTTCCGACCTTGATGTTTGACTGAAACAGTTTTATGTCCGATCACCACTCACACCACCCTCAACATCGCCATCCCCCGTCAGTGTTCAGTGTGCCTGAGGAAGAGCAGAACAACAACACACACCTAAAGTAGGACGTCCAGGAACATGAAGAGTGACACCTGCAGTGATGTTTGGCAGAGGCACAGAGCTCATAGCACAAATAAGACTTTTGTTTTCGGTTCAGATGTTCGACATGCTGACTTTATGGCGATCTTGAGGTGACTGTCTTCTCAGAAGAGAATTTGTCTTAAAAATGGTGCTCTCTGAAACACATGCACTCCAACATGGCACACACACGCACTCACACACACCAGCACATGCTCAATTACTCTGAATGAATCATGGGAGCAATCCTCCAAGAGAAACAAACAAGAAAAACATCCGACCAGAGCATCATGTCAGCATTCCTCTCTCAGTCAAGTGATGTGTGCTGTGTTCTTGTTTGTAATAAGAAAAAAAAATCTGTCATCGACAGCCCGTTGCTTGTCTTTAGTGTTGCACACTAAATGATATGAAACATGAGCCCCGGGGGGAAGCCTCTCTGCAGCCTCTTTACAGCACAAAGTGCATGGAGCTGCGTGGTCAGTATAGGCTAAAAACACACCGAAGTAATTTTACATCGAAAAGCAAAACACTCTTTAAAGACTCTCTATGTACAAAAGCATCTCAGTGTTGATACAGATCATTGTTTGTGTAAAGTAGACTTTGAACAAGAGCGTTTGTTTTCTGTTTGTAGAGAAGTGATGGTGGCTGACAGACAGAGTGGAGGGGATTCAGTTACAGTGAGGTGCTGGCTGCTGCATAAATCCATGAGAGGGTTCAGCATCATGGAGGTATTTAGTGGCAACAATCCAACAGAGCTGCTGCTGCTGCTGCGGGTGTCTGCTTACGTCTAAATCATAATCCGACAAAAGCAAAAATCAAACTAACGGATTTCACGGCTCTGTTATTTACTCTTAATATGGCCTTTTCATGGAGGAAACAGGAAACTGCAGGTCAAGCAGTTTTTGAAGAAAAACAGCAAAGTCAGTGATTTCACTGGAAAGAGAAGCACAAGCTGCGGTCCAAACCCTCGCCTGCAGTAAATTAACCTGGTTTGAGAAAAATAAAAATAAAACAACTGTAATTAATATCAATGATATGAGCGTCCCACTGATGTTTATTGCATAACCGCATATAACAAACTGGACAAAATTCAGAGTAAGATAATTTAAAAAAAAAGGAATTCATGAAACATTTTTATTGCAACGTGTTGTGTGAAAAATGGGACATCCCAAATCCACGATTTTATGAAGATAAAAATCATAACTTTTCTCATCTCTTGATCGGTACAGTAGATACTTATTGTGTGCTAAATTATGATTACAAAATGATGCAGTGCGTACTTTATAGTTAGAGGTAGTAACTTAGAAATTACATTTTTCTCTTGTCTAATATTTGGATTAAAAGTGCCCCTAAATTCATTAAAAAAAAAAAAGTAATTTGACAAAAAGTAATTTAGAGAAGTCCTAGATAATAGGGACGTTTGTTAAAAAAAACTGTACTCACTGTTTATAAATTTTAGTTTTAAATTCAAGGTGAAGAGGCGAACCTTTGTATCCTGGTATATTAGCAGGAATTGGGATTAAATACTGACAGAAATTACAGATTAAATTAAAGCACAGAGAGACAGTCCAACACTTTAAGACTACCTGACAAGCATCGTCATTGACAGTCAGCGTCGGGATATCAAAAGATGAAACAGGGTGGTTCAGGCCTGAGTCAGCACAAATCGTTTGTTACTGGAAAGGAAAGAAAGGTGATGAGAAAAAAAAAATGCACGATTTGTGCAAAAAATGACTGATTTTTCCATCTCATCTCATCTTTAATTGTGGTGCTTTTACACATGGAGAGTAACAATAGGAAGTTTACCGTCCGTGGGATTTGGGGTCACTACTGAACGACTTGACTTTTTAAAGTTGTACACAAATGTGCGGGAAGTAGAGAGCTGTTGAACACGACTTTATCCCTGACAGGACCTGTAGTTTTCAAAACTGAAAGTGCAATTTCAAATCAGCACTGGAGTATCATGAGATATTCTCCTGGAAATGTATGTCGGCTGTGTGAGTCGGTAAGCAACACTGTTTTTTGTGTCTGAGCGGGCCATATGTGAGGATTTAAATCCGAGTGTTGCTGGTGTTACTGTGGTTTGATTGATGGAGGGGGTGGGGTGGGGGTCTTTATGTGACAAAACTTATGGATGAAAATAACTTACATCAGCTAGTTTTCTGTTATTTCCTCCGAGTCATGAGTTTTTTGTTTTGTTTTTGTTTGTTTTTTTACATTTCAAGCTCACTACAAGTCCATAATCCAAGAATATAACAGCCATGTGTGTTGAAGTTTTTATAAATGTTGATACTGGAGACGAGTCATGAGATATTCAATCAGTTCTGTCAAATAACTTTCTTAGAAAAAAAAGGTGTTATAATGTGTATTGACAACACTGTGTGTGATGTTCAGTCCTCTCTCACCATCACCATGAACCTCCTCAGGGGGTTCACCACTTTACTGAAGTCGAGGAACTTTACCGAGGCATGATTGAAAACCGTATCTTCAGTGTCTTGTTAAATCTTTGCACTTGGCTGGGTCTCAAAACAGTCTGTGAACCTGAAGTCTGAGCAGGTGAAGTTTTACATTTTATGTTTGCAAGGCCACAAAAAGGGGGCAAAAGATGACCAGAGCATGAAATAAGCACCCTGTTGTGTCTTTTACAAACAGTCTGGGTTTATACCATGTTGTGTGTTTAGGGTCAGTCGGTCCAGGCTCTTACTGTAAAAATATTTATGCCAGAATCAAGGACATACCATAAATATAAGATCGTTTATATCTATGGTCAGTACACAAACTAAGAGTCAGTGTACTCTCTGATGTCCTGCGACTCACAAAATGCTGTTTGGTGTTTTGGTTTTATGGAGTTTTAAGTTTACACCCAAACTGATGTGCAGTAATGTAAGTATTACTGTGCACGGGTAAAATGTAATGTAAAAGTTCATGGTGCAAGTATAATGTGTTGTTAGGATTGAAGCACAATTGCACAACTCTTTAGAAGTTTTTCGTGTATACTGGTTGGGAAAATCAGACTTTCCCAGTGCCACTGAAAGTATTACAAGCAAAAGAATTCAAAGCACATATTTACAAAAAGGTCAATCTCAACAACACCAGATGATTAGTTTGTTTATTTTTATCCAAGATTTATAACTGATTCAATTGAGTTCCTATACTGAAGAACAGTAGCACACAGTAGCAAGACGTACAAATCAATGAAAACAATGTGCTCAAGAGAACAAATGAGGTCGGCACAGTGTAACAGTGTATTTAAAATTGATGTTAAATCCCTGCAAGTGGAAACTTCCTGTGTGTCATGGGAAACTCAGAAATGTACTCTGTGCAACGAGAGGTGCCCGGTAAAAACGCCACCGTTTCGAGTGGCACATGTTTCAGTAGCACAGCTATTATTTTCTACAACTCATTTATACTGGTTCAATCCACTGCAGATGTTATGTGGGGACTATAAAGACATGACTGTCTTGCATGATCTCATTACAGTTAGTTTCTTTCAATATATGAAAACTTGTGTCCATTTTTAATTAATTTATTTTACTGAAATAAAATATGTAATTATTAATGTGTTGTGACTTTTTGTGTTTGTTACTAATTTTTTTTCTTTCCAAGTGTTTTAAAGTTTTTGTGAATCTACCCACCTGATGGGAGACACACTACAGTCACATTACTGGTCACAACCCCCTCCTACAAAGGGAGCGTGGAGGTGGAGGGATGTCTTTTGTCACTGAGGACATGGTGCCATCTAGAGGGAGGACTTCAGGCTTGTGTATTTGGCTGAAGTGATGAAATCTCTACTGAGAGTCCGCAACATCCAAGGTAACAAGTGACAAGAAACAGAAAAGTTGTTGCAGCATTTATTGTTTATTGATAACAATTTCATATCCAAATCTTAAAAACTCATTATGGATCTGCAAGATCTCTTCATTTGTTTGTGTATTTTAAAAAAAGCATCCAAACACAAAGAAAGATAGAAATGAGGTGAAAAAGCTAAAAATTAAGTCAGTCATTATCCAGGAAAATATAGAAAAATAATCTCAATCATTTTATCGATAGGCACCCAAAATACAAAAGCTCATAAAAATACAATTTCAAACAGTAACACAATACACAAACAAATTACTGTATGTGTTCTTACTAGTCTACTCAGGCACGAGTGTAAAACTGTCAACTTCAGTATAAACTTTGTTGAAATGTGTACGACACAGTCCAGACTGCAACAAGAGTGTACATCTGAGAAAGAGTACAGAGTACAGATAAGTCTGCAGGTTATCCTCTTTGGTTTGTACAAACACTTAACCGTTCCTCACAGTCCCAGCTGATGTACTCATCAGTTTGTTTTATTTAACAAACAGTACAAAAGACAGTGATGCTAGATCTGTGAACATACAAGACCAGCCAAAGAGGCGAACCCTGATGACTAAGGATCAGACACGAGTAGACACAGCATTGTTCTCTAATTTAATGTTGGATAGACAGTCATACGGCTTTAAACAGATGGTTATTTGTGGAAAAAGTTCATTTTTCGTTGAAACTTGAGTAAAAAAAAACACATTAAATCATTAAACTCAAACAGAATATTCACTTGCCAGAAAGCTAAAAATTGTTTGGACTCTACTTCTTGCCACGATAATGGGCACCCACCACCATGTAGCTGTCAGGTGACATGTTCAAAGTGGGTGACTTCACTTTGTCCCTGCAGACCCTGACCCCAGATCTGCCCCCTGCTGCTGCTCCTCCTCCTCCTCTGCAGGGGTCATGTTTCTGCAGGTAACTGATGAAGGTCTCCCAGCCGCCGCCTATACGCACCATCACATGACGCTCATTCAGCATCTGCAAACGCACAGACAGTCAAGGAGGGACAAAGTCTGTATGAATTTTCAATTATATTAACCCCCTCCTCTTCAAACGCACACTCCCCCCATTCCCCCAATCTAACTTACTAGCATCAGTTCGGGTGTGCGTAGCTCTGGCTATGAAAGGCAAATGAACTCTTGGATAGCTTTGTCAAAATCTCATTAAACCAAATGAAACAACACCTCTTGGCACCAGCTGAGCACATGCACACACACACACACACACACACTAATACACATGTGAGCACTCTCTCTCACACAGACACACACATGAACACCCACACAGATAAACGCCTAATAAACATTTTTTTAATCAAAAGGCTCCTCGCAGTGTGTCTGTGTGTGTGTGTGTGTGTGTGTACTGTAGTTACAGGGGGGTTATCTGAATCAACACATCTCTCACTGACAGCCGTCCAACTGCTGCCATGGCAACCACAGCTACAATACAAGTCCTAGCTGGGGGGGGGGGGGGTGAGGGGGTATTGAGATGAGTTCAGGGCTTAGACCTTCAACTCCCAGCAGACATAAGAATTCCCAGGAGATCTCGCAAAGCCATCCCTTGTCCTGTCAGCACCGACCCGCCCCCTCTCGCCTTATCTCCAATAAACCCTTCATTACTGAGCCATTAAGGATGTGATAATACAAGCAGATCTGATGTTTTCATGTGGGGAGGTGTGTGTCACGTGTGGAATAAAAAAGGAGCACAGGCACACGCACAAACACACACACAGGCAGGTTTACACAAACACACACACATGCACACGTACAGCCAGAGACGGAAGCCCAGACGTGGTCTGCCTCAGCTGTCATCCTGCAGATTAAAATGTCGAGGTTGTCAGGGGTCAAGTCTGACATTCTGAATAAACCACTCTCCTGTCAGACACCCAGGAAGTGTAATTCTGTTTTCATTTTTTCTACACAGTCTCATGTTGAAATAATAAAATAAAGTTCATCATAATTTCAACAAAATCACATTATTTAAACATATTCTTTCTTTTTTAAATATTTGATGCAGCAGGAGTTTACTGCTATTCTTGATGTACTTTTAATATTTAGGCTCAGTTTTTTTTTATTCTCATAAACCAGCTGATAAAATTAAAGACATTCAAGCTTTTATTATCCACATAATTGCTTTAATGAATCCTCTGTGTCACTTTATGGCCTGTAATCTAGCTTTATGTGTTTATTCTTACAGTTTGACTCTGAGTGTGTGATATACAATGATACGCTTGGAGTATATTTCACAGTGCATAACAATTTTAGAGCACATATGTGGGCGCCAATTAATATACCAAACCAACAAAGTAAGTATCTTTCACTTCTGTATTATCTAATACTTGCACTGATTGTCAGGCACTCGGCTTTATTTCTGTCTTTACAACGACCCCCCTCCCCCTCATAGGTCTCTCTGTACAAAGTGTGCTATGTCTGCAGCCCATAAACCAGCATTTGGATTCCCCTGTGTCTCCCCTGGCAGCTCCATCGATTCCATCTTTGCCTTCCTGCTGAAAGATGCATGAGTGTACTTGCTTAAGAGGAGGTGTCTTTTCAACACATGCCAGTAGGAGGCAGGCTTTAGCCATGTCATCTACTTGTGTTAGGGAGTACATGGAGTTCTTGTCAGATTAACAAAAATAAAGACATACTGAGCAGCATCACAGTTATGAGCTTATGAGAGAACACGTGTGCCCTCTGAGCTCAGGTTTGTCTAACAATCAGTGTTCATTACTTTGGAATGACTTTCTGATCAAATAAGAATTAAATACTAGTTTATATTCTGGTGTCTTGCCTACTAACATTTTTAGACTGAAAGCTGATAAATCTGGGGAAAATCAAACAAATCCATAGTGACATGTTCTTTATACTTTGTATGTTTTGTTCTTATTTTATTGACTAATCTAAAAGTTTCCAGAGATCATTTTTTGGATGCTGGATGCAAGCCTCAAGGTCCAAACATAACGGCTGCAGGTAAACTTTAAGGAAGTAGTTATTCACCTGCCATATTTAATGAGATTAACTCTTTCCTTTTCTGGTATTCAAAAGAAAAGTATACAAGAATTCATTATTTCAAGACACTAAATCTAAACCACATTGCTACACTGCTGGTTTCAGCACCACCAGGAGGTTCAGAATAGAAAAATGTCATTACACTTTGTCTTGTGACCCTACTGAGATTATGCTCCTCTCCAAATGAAAAGTAAGAACTTGGATTAATGTTTCAGGTCACCAGGTAAAAGCACTCCTCTTAACCTTGTTTATAATTCATGCTCATTGCTAATGAGCATCACTTCAATCGGATCAAGAAAGAGCAAAATTTCTTGAGCCGATTAAAAATTGGAGGGATCGAATAATCTTAATCCACTGTTTATATGGGTACTAAATCAAATAATCCGATAATGATGGGCGTAGACATGCACCAAGTTTTATTCCGATTAGAAGTTTTTGGACATGCGCAGATTTGTCTGATTTCGCTAAAACAACCGCAGAAGAAGAGTTGTATTTACGCCTGTGCTGTCAACAAACCAACAAACGCAGTAGTGGCTCGCTCCATCCAATTCAGGAGTTACCCCTCTGTAAAATGTAGTCACTAGATGGCGCCCTTGCGTACTTATTTTTGCACTGCGCGTGCGGATGTGACATCATTACGCTGTATTTATGCCTCGTTGTGTTACCGGAAGAGCAGGCACGGCACCTGCGGTTGTGTTTTAAACCAAAGTGGTAATAATAAAACCTCCTGTACTGACCTCAGTAAATAAACCAAAGGCTAAAGAGTGAAGATCGAGTCAGGTAAGAGAGTCACGATCGGAATAAGTGTTTACATGGACGGAATAACGATTGGCATAAACCACCCCTCTCGATCGGAATACAGTTTCGCTCTGATTGAGATGAATTGGATCAGAATGTTCCGATCGAAATGTTACATGTCGCATTTTGATTCCGATCGGGCATTTAATCTGATTATTTGAGTGGGTAACATTATACAAACTAACTGTCATAATCACATCGTCATGCTAGCTTTATCTTTTCATGTCATCCCCCTCAGGTGAAAGGCCATAGTCCATTACAGAATAAAACACCTGCAGCTTCTCTGGAGTTAATGTCCTACTCAACCACACTTCACAAAGACAAGATGTCAACCTAACAGCAGGATAGAGACAAGAAAAAAAAAAAACATTTCACCATCCTCATTTTGGTCCTGCTGTGCAAAAAGCAGTCTTCATGACGAGACGCTTTCAAGTTCCTTTTCAGGTTTATCTCCTCTACAGAAAGCATCAAAACACAAAATTGATGCACATGATATTGTGAGGTGTTTAAATGTCTTTACCATCCACTGACACAGTCAGATAGTGCCCCTGCTACAAAGCTGGAGGAGAGCCTAATTGGGTGCAGAGAAGAAAGAAAAGCCTTCCTCTTTTTTAACACCAAAGAATGGAAGAGCACTCCAGGGCCGGTGTGATTGAATAGGCTCCAGAGGGAATAGAGAGGAGGGGGGGGCAGAGGGAAGTTTACATGTGAGGAGGGGCGGTCATGCTCAGTCGCTCATTAACAAGCTGTCTGATTAAACCCCCTCGCTAATGACTCTGTCTAAGTAATCAATAGTATCTGCTCTTTTAAAAGGTCTGTACACATTGAATGGTGCGCTGTCCTAGTAGCTGCAGTGAGGTTATCATGGTATATGGTAATGGAGGATTACAGCTTGTTTTCTGCACGTGTGTAGGCAGCTGTGAGCTGAGCAGTAATGGATGGAGTCAGGGTCGATGGGCTGCAGCGCCCTGTTCACACAGCTGAGGTGTGTTTTTGTCAGAGATAGGAGAAAAAAGGAAGGCCACAGTGCAAGTCTACAAATTAGTAATTATGGCTCGAAACTGACAGATGGACTTTGAGTTACGGTGAGGAGCTGTCTTTGCAAGGTAGCACAGAGAAGGCGAGCACAAAAGGTTAACTGTCAAGAGACTGTAGAGAGAAGAGAGCTTGAAATCTAATCTTTTCTGCTCTTCTTTGGAGAAAAAGGATTCCTGACGGGACTTATATCTGACAATATTGGCCAAAAACGATGGGCTGAAATGTACAGTTAGGTTTAATGTGCAACAATCCTGAATCTGCGGTAACATTAAATCTGCAGATGCATCTTAATAATGTGCATTTGTGTCCAAAAAAAAGTCATAAAACACTTAGACTACACTAAATTCACTTGTGTTTTTCTGCTTTATGAATTCACGCAGAGATAGTACTTTCAATTTCAGGAAATGAACATCACATTTTGTTGTACTATATGTGCAAGGACAATCTAGGCCTTCTATCTCTTCCATGGACCAATGTTAACCAAACCTCAAGCCGTGATTATTTCATCTTTATTGCCGTCTTTGATGTCCTGTACAAACATGTTTCTCCTCTGTGATTGACATGTCTGCTACACAGAAACAGCTGTTCTCTGTCTGCAGGGGAGCATTATTTTCCAAATGGGCAGTAAAAATACGTCGCCTGTCAACACATCAAAATGAAGCTGCATCTCTGCTGCGAGCAAACTGAAGCTGGCAGCACCGATTACCAGTCGAGAGAGCGCCGCGGTCAATACAATTAACAAAGCAATAAATGGATTTAAACAGGTGACCAATTAGCCACCAAAGCTGTGATACAGCTCAGTCGATCTCTGTTGGATGTGAAGATAAGCAGTATGTCGTGATCTGCTGGAGCATTTTAGCGTTTAAACTCTCTGAATTAATCAATAGATATACAGATAATATGCTTCTTTAACAATATCATGTATACAGTGTGCATTACAGCCTACGCTGGAGCTGTTACTTGTATTTCTTTATATGTATAGAAAACCTTTCTACATTCAAACCCTTCCCACATAAGTGCACGAGGACTCCCTGTTGAACTGCACAACACGGTCATATCTTTACAAAATCCTGCTGAAAGAGACGTGCCTCTCCCTAAGGTTTGAACTCTCTGCTGAAGGTCTATGTACTGAATAAAATCATTGTCAGCACGGTCTTATCCTGGCCATTGGTTGCCAAGCAACCCTGCCTCCCAGAAGGCGGTTCGCAAGCCTTTGTACAGACACACACACGGGTGGTGCACGACTCCAGGAGAATGAAAGGCTCCTACGTCTCCATCCCAAATGATTGTAAAGCAGTCCCTGTGACACTGCACTTGTTGCTGATTCAGCTGTTGATTAGTAACCCAACAGCCTTCACACCTCACATGTGTTGTAACGTCTATGACGCACATTCATTGAGTGAGCCATTAGAATTGGTTTGCGAACAAACAAACATGTAGCTATAGCTTTGATTTGCTTTGTTCAACCTTAACACTACGAAAAACACAATAATGTCATCAAAATGGTGGAGAAGGTGGTCATTAACGAACTTTTGGGCTCTCTTCTTTTGCTTGTGATTTGATGTTACAGTGATTGTTGAATCCCACTGAGCAATAGACGTCTATTGAACGTCTAGGGTTTTTTTTAGACCTAATTTAGGCCGTCTAGATTCTGTACATTTTTAGACATTACACTTTAAACCATTTTTTGATAACTATTTATTTCAAAAAGCAACTGTGAGTTGCATAACTGATCTCCAAGTATTTAACCAAAATAGTTACTATAGCCATTGAGCAATATGTGTGGTATAGATATAGCCCAGATTAAGATTTAGTCTAAACTTGGTCTAAATTTAGACATTAAAAAACTCCCATTGTTAGACCTGTGGTAGCCTGATTTTAGACCAGTCGTCTAGGCTACATTTAGACATCTATTAGATCTTCTTTAGACCAAAAATTGCTCAGTGGGATGGTTTATGGGGCAAGATTTAAACAAATGTAGAAAATGTGAAATGTTAATGTGCACAAGGAGGTCAGGTTGGCAGTGGATGGACAAAGTGCAGGGCTTGGAAACAAAAGAGAAACTGTTTAAATCTTGACCCCTATGTGAAGTTAGGTTCAGTCAACAGAGGGATTTTAGGGAAGGTTGGCAAATAGTTTCTGTAATATTATTAAGTAAAAATGTCTTTCAAGCTCTTTAAGTCTTACATTTTTGTTGGTGGGTTGATGGGTTTGAAATTTTACCGGAATTGATCAGGTGAATATAAGATCATTAAAAAGTGCAATCACGCCTCAGTTGCCGTGGATTGAGCATCCGAGTTACATATGCTGTGCCTTAGACGCACACTGAGTCCCTTAATGTGCATAGTGTTGCAGACTAGTGACTCCTTTACCCGGAGACACTCACCCTTATGTACAGAACTTTATCCCCAACACGATAGCACCCTTTGGGTTGCTTCTGGACAAGGAACCTGGTGGGACAGCTGCAGGGGGGGTTCTCAATAATGTTTCTCACCTGAAAAAAAATAGATAGAGGGAGGGGAAATCAAGTGAAAAATACAGTATAGCCCTTAAACATATCTGCATGATCAAATAATATGATTACAGAAATTAGAATACCCACAATGTCATCTAAAATGTTGGGGGCTCCTGTGTTCCTCCGGCTTGTAGATTTGCTGGAGTGAGTTATGGCTGCAGGTGAGGAGGCGATGGGAGGTGTCACTGTTGGAGTGTGATGGTTCAGAGTTTGCACTGCTGTGGGTGCTGACGGTGAAATAGTAACAGATGTATTGTTGGTGCAGGATGGAGAGAACAAAGGTGTTTGTGTTGAGGCCGTGGTTGTGCAGGGGTTAGAGGACAGAGGAGGGGGTAAACATGGAGGTGCAGCTGATGGAAGATCAGAGGCAAAGGAGGCAGCTAGGGGTTCGGTCATATGGGTTGTGAGAGGTACAGGTGGAAGAGGAAGAGAGGGAGGAGGAGGAGGAGGAGGAGGAGAGGGAGGAGGAGAGAGGGCTTGGGGCTGGGATGACTGTGATGGAGAATAAAGTGATGCAGGAGGAAAAAAGGAGAAGGGCAGCGGGGGAGATGAGAACAGGCAACCCGCCTCCTCCCTTTCTATCTCTCTCTCCAACTTCACCAGCCCTGGAGGCTCAATTCCATATCTGAAACAGAGATAAAAGCATATACAGCAGTCATAATGACCGGCGAATTAGTAATCTATATGTCCTTAAAGGGATATTCCGGCGTAAATGTAATTTAGGGTCAAACACACTGTAACACCGAGTTAGACACCCCATCGAGAGATGAATGTTGCCGACCACTTGCTTCTCTAGTTATACCAACTTTAATAACGACTGCATGATAGCAATACACAGCGGTCTATGGAACCACACACAAACCTCAACCAAAACGCCACTCTATAGCCACAAATAATGCTCAGAACAGCACCTAACTTCATCAACAGTACATATAGGGTCCTAGTCACCAAACATCTTTTTAACTTTGCCTGATTTCTTTAGCAAAGAGACTAAACACATCTCACCTACTCTCTTCCAGCAGCCGTTTGTTTGTAGCGAGACCTCAGGCCAGTTCATTACAGACTGCTGGGATTTGACGCAACTCAAGGAAGAACATTTATGATCATTTCTTTATCATTTCCTTGAAGTGATAATCATCATATTAATCATTTTGCTCTGCAGACGCGGTAGTTCTTCTGCCTTAGCGTCTCGGTCTCGGTTGCATGAAGAAATGATCATAAATGTTCTTCCTTAAGCTGCGTCACCCCACCTCAGTCGATAATGGACTGGTCAAGGTCTTGCTAAAAACAAGCGGCTGCTGGAAGAGAGTAGGTGAGTTGTGTTTAGTCTCTTTGCTAAAGAAATTAGGCAAAGTTAAAAAGGTGGATGTTCGGTGGCTGGGACCCTATATTGTTGATGAAGTTAGGTGCTGTTCTGAGCATTATTTGTGGCTATAGAGTGGCGTTTTGGTTGAGGCTTGTGTGTGGTTCCATGGACCGCTGTGTATTGCTATCGTGTGTCAAACATGTAAAAAAAAAAGTGGCTTAATTGTTTCTTTGTTAACCTAAGTAACAGACTTGCTGTTGAATTAGTTCACTCACTGGTAGCTCGATGCTGTATAGCTATAGGGTACAACTTGGTTAAAACAGCTAGCTAAGTTAGCTAGTTAGATAGATTTTAAAAAATAATGATGAGCTCTAAGTGTGGATAGATGGATGCAGTTTTCATGAAGTTAGCTTAAAGTTTCTCAAAACGCCAAAATAACAAGATAAGTAGTTTAGGAGGTTAAATAATAGACTCAAGAATAGATAAATGTTCATACAAGAGTACAAGACTGAGAAGTTAAAGATTATTTTCATGTAGCTACCTGGCTGCAATGCGGCCCAGCTCCATCAGACACAGGCACACCTCCCGAGGCTGCTTATGGAGGACTTCAGGTGGCACATGCATTACACAAAGGTATTAGGAGATGGAGATAAAATACAAAGAGTTACTCAACAGAAAAGAACAAAGAAAGAGGATTTTTCTGGAGATAACACTAGAGACAAAAGTGTAGAGAAGCAACAGTCTAAACAAAAGGGGCACATTTCAGGTTGGCTCCTTTGCATCTCTATCTTAGCAGCTTAGTGGGGATTCCTGTGGGCTGAGGATGTGCAGCTGAATGCATAAGGAGCACTCTACTCCACTCCTCTAACTATGCATCAAAAAGAGCATTCATGCCATCTAAGGGGTTCATTTACCTGTATTCATCCACCATCACATCATGGCTGCGGCAGAAAAAAGATAAGGAGAGAGGAAGAGTAGTCATCTGTGCCTTCAGGACAATGAGGCATTGAAGGGGAAACTAAAGTGTGTCAAAGTTTCCCCATCACTTAATTAGTCGAAGTAAAATAGGTTAGTCTGGCTGTGAGGGGGGCCTATTGTTAAGGGGGATTTCATTCTCACGCACCTGTCATACTTACTTGCATGGACATGCCCCAGTAAAAAGTGTAAATAGAAGGCAGTGTATGCTTAATGACACAGAACAACTTTGGCATACTAAGCACACACATGCAAGAAATGCAGAAATGATACAGGAAGTCTAAGCCCAAGTACTATGATCATTTAAGTCTGGAAATTTTGATCGTGAATGCTCCAAGCAAATAGTCTTTTTCACGCAAGTCACAGATTCTGCTCACATAATATCTGTTGAAAAATAGGACACTTTTTGGTGAGTCTAGTTTAGTTTTCAGACAAAGTAAGAATGGGAAAAGTTTCATCACCAAAGAGGAAATAGGAGGGACGTGATGTTCTCACACAACAAACAGATACACACAAAACATAAAACCATGTGGAAACAGTTGTTACGATGTTTATTCAGACCTTATGAGGACAAAGTTTCAAAAATGTAATTCAACTAATAGCTGAGTACAATAGATGCATATGAATCAACAGAAGCTTTTGTGAGTTACAGAAAGGAGAGCTCTTAAACTCGATGATAGGACAAGCAATCTCCGGTCTTGACTCACCCAAATCCTCTGACTCAAAGAGATAAGCCTCATCAACGCCAATCTTTCTGCACCAGTAGAGAAAGTTAGCAGTGTTGTCTCGAGCAAAAAAGGATCCTGAGGTCGCATCGGCACGCCAGTGGATGACTCTCCTCATGACGGGCTGTAATTGTTTTAAATACACAGAAACGTATGTAAGTGTACCAACACACATGGGCACAGAAGGGAAGTGAGTTTGTAATAGAAACCCTGAAAAACTGTTCATTATTAGAAGACTGATGCCATCTTTCTTACGTCTGCATGTTTAAATTTTAACAGGAAAAATAAGCAGATGTGACCCTTTCATGGGTTTGATATCTGCTATCATCTGATGATAATACGGCCACTGAAAGTTATGACCAAATTATGGAGACAACTTTTTGCCTTGACTTTGTTTACTGTTAAACTGGCAACTTCAGGAGCAATGATGGTGTTAGGCAAAAACATCTGTAAGTGGAATTTTTTCACAATCGCATGCAGACGTCTATTCTAAGACATAGTTTAGCCTAAATCTACAGATATAGACAGCACCTTTGCTGGTTTATTTTTATTGTAGTGTTATTGTTACTGCAGGAATTTTGAAGTCTTAATACTTGTGTTTGTTGCACCTTGCCATTGTTGGTGTGGATCATAGTCTCCTGAAGTAGCTGTGCCAGTTGACAGAGGAGAACGCCATTATCCAGTCTCTCCATCAGACTGTCTGCTGTGAGGTCCACACCTGAAGAGAGGCAAACAAACAATGAAAAAACGTGCAGTAACTTACAAGAACTACTCAAGGTCTGTTTTTATGTTTCTTTGTTTAAGTTCACAGACAAAATTATTTTTACAGCATCTCTCATGATGGGAGAATGAAATGACATGGATATAAACACTGCAGCTGTACGTAACTGTCGTTTCATTCTCCCATAAGAGTCTTATGCTAATTTTCAGAGAAGTTTTAATATAAAACAATTGAAAATTTGTCATTTTACTTTAGTGCTGTATTTGTAAACCCAACAATAATACATTACGGTTGAGATATTGCCAAACTTTTGGGTTATTATTGGAATATTTGTTGCCCACGTCCAGATATATTTAGACATGTTAGAGCACATACAAACCCTTTACGTTTTCTCCCACCAAACAGGAAAGTGTGAAGAAACAACCCATTTCACTGAAGTTGCAGCAGCAGCGCTCCTCACAGAGAAGCATTTCAAGGATTTGTGGTAATAAGTAGGTTACTGTGCCTCTGTGTTTAATAAGACAGCACATTTTATCACCTTTTCTAATGTAATTGGCAAGGCTTGTTCATCTGTAGATAACTGAGAGAAATGTCATCTGAAAGTGATGTTTTGATTTTATAAATTCCTCCAGCTGTAACTTGACAATCTGCTTGTTTTATAGCTGGCATCAGTGTTGTTGGTTTGTTAAGGTGGTCACATGGAGAAACCGCTCTTACCCAGAAGTGTGTTGAGCCAGAAAGCCAGGTCTTCTTTCATTGGCAGCAGGCTGGCGTCATGACGGAAAGGGAGCCACTGGTTGTACTCCTGAGGACTGGCAAGGCCAGGCCCAGAGTGTCTGTACTTTGGACTGAGAAGACAACTCATCCCCAAGCCGGTCAGGATCCTCGGACTCAGAGGATTATCGAGGCTGGTGTTTATGTCTACCACTTCACTCTCCATGTTTTAGTTTTGACTGGTCTTTGAAGAACCCTGTGAGACTAACAGTAAGGAAAGATTTTATTGAACAATTATGCTTGGCTCTTATTTGAACATTTAGTATTTGTTACATTCATGTTTCAGGATATCATTTAGCTCAAAGGAGACAGTCTGAAAGCACTGAAAAGTTCTGAAGTTTTAAAGTTAAATAAACAATTCAAACTTCTTACTGCGAGAAATAAAGGTGAGAGTGAAAACATATAACTATAGTCTTTCTCATGTACAGAAAACAACAATGCATGTTGAAAATAATTCAACATCCTGACACCATCATACTAACAACATTACAGTAAACACAATCATTGATCAAAGGGATTAAAATGACTGACTGGAGCTTTAATAACATGTCGAGCTACAGCCTAAGGCCATCCTGCAGCTACATGGCTCATTTGTACTGTTCCCAGAGCGGCCCCCCCTTCATAAAGCTCAGCCCCATGCAGAGACATGCTCTGACTGCCAGCAACTCCGCAGCTAGTCAGCTGGAATTAAGACAACAACAACATGCAGGTGGGTCACACAGCCTGCTGGGTAATGTACAGTGACTCACTTAATGCTGGATGACCATAAAGTTTGATTCTTAATTCACAGTTATTCAAGAATATGGCAGGAAGAGACTGAAGATAGTGCTGCATACAAACAATAAATGGGGTCTGAATTTAGGCAGACCGTAAAAAATAGAAAAATATAGGAAATATATAACTTAAAAAGTATATTTTATAATTCTATAAAAGTAGACATAGTGTGGACATGTTTGGACTGTATTTTGTATTTGCAGCTAAACACATGGCAAGTAAAGTAATCCTCCAGGAATGTGTACATTATGCATGTCAATTATTTCTCCACACGTGATGATGATCAAATTAACAAGCTGTGCAATATCTATATATTTTATCTACCACTGTCTGTCAGCCTGGAAGTCCTCAACTAAACCAGCAGCTCTTTTGGGGTGAACTTAAGGCACAGTGTTGCTCTAACTGCTACAGCTAATAAGCTCATGTTCAGGATGTAAAAGTATATTACGATATCCATCATGTTTTTTGGCTTTTTGATAACACAACATGCTTAACATCTTAGGTAGCCATAAAAATAACATGTTTTGTGAGAATATTGTTGAAAGATTTGAGTGTTTCTGGTCCTGGGATGCAGTCTGACCCATAGCCTACACAGTTTCTCATACACTATACACTGTACTACCCTCTGAATAAAGGCCAAATAATAACTAAATAATAATAATAATAACCATCAAATGGTTAAGACCTGTCACTCAAGCCTTAAAAATCATTACCCCTTGGTGGCCTGAGGGAAAGATCGAGGAGCATCAAAAAGAGACGAATTACTTTTGAGCTTAACTTCAAAGATTTGCTTAAAAACGTGCCAGAGCACTGAGGGCTAAACAGACAAACGTGTCTGCAAAAAGACAGAGCGACTGTCCCTAGACCCATTTCCAACAAAGACTATCTTTCAAAAACTCAGGTGAAAGCACACCTGGAAGGCAGATGTTTGGGATCCACATTGGCAGCACCACAGCTGGCTTTTTGAGCTCACTTCCACTTTGTATCCCACCTGTGGTTTTACACTGAAGTACCTGCTGTCTGCTGCAGCTAATCATTACAAGTCTGTGTTTTTTGGTCATAATGTGTTGACCCATATCAGCAAAAACTAGCTGAAACCATCTTGGGTGTAATGACAGAAGAAGTAGCGTGAACACATATGCTCTGTATTTATGTCAGTGAAATCTGCTCTACTGAGACGAACGTGAAGGTGTTGTAGACATGAGATTCAGACTGGACGTGGTGAATAGGCTCTATTGTAAACACATCATTCTGACAAGGTATATGTGAAAAGCACTGTCTGCCAAGTCTGAGGCTGGTTTACAGGTTGACCAGCAGGCCATGAGAGACCCTGTCTCTAACAAAACATCCAGGTGCAATATTCACACCTCTGCTTCAGGATGGCTCTGCTGGGAAGGGGAGGCAAAGGTCACCTACTGGCCTCGTTCTCAGACACAAGACACCTTTATACCACTGAGGGTCATGTCTCTAAACACACAAGTGTCTTTGCAAGTATCACTGTTTCTACTCCACTCTGTTTACTTTGCACAGTCTTTAATACCTCCCAAAGTTAGCTGTGCTTCAGTGGTAGTACACAGCCTTTAATTGTGTTTTCTCAATGAAAGCAAAGTCTTTAAAGTCCAACCTGCTGTTAGCAGGAAGCAGCTACAAATTACACACCAGCATACCTGAGAAATGTGTGTGCAAAATGAAAGATTGGAGCTGGAGCACTTGTCTAAATACCTGAACATGTAACTGTATGTGTGTAGGATGACACAGGAGATGATTGATGTTTTTTGGTTGCATGTTGCCCTCAGCAAACTTGAACACTGCCGCCTGCAGAGAGTAAAACCAAAGTCTGGCCATGGTAAACAAATAACTTCACAACTAGTTAACAGAATCCTGCTTCCATACACGACAGTCGCAGCTCATGTTTACTGTGGAAAAAAGCTGAAAAATGTCACTTAAAAGGATCATCACTGAAAAAAATAATCTTTTCAGCAAGAAACATGAAACAAGTTTTGGTAAAGCATCCCTCTACTGTTATGTTACGACCAACAAGTTTGTGCGTTTAGCTTTTTGTCCACAGCCTCGGTTTAGGGTGCACTGTAGGGGTCTACTTCTTGAAAAAACAAGATTAATAACAAATAAATGTCAAACAACGCTTAGACTTTTTTTAATCAATGATTTTCTGTCTCAGGAGACAGATTGTAACCGCTCAGAATATGTAATGATTAATGAATGAATGATTGAGAAGTATTCAGCGAATTCAGCCAGAAGTACAGGTTTTTACGATAGAGGTGCTCACCCCAGAACTTTTCATCTCCTGCTTCCAGACTAAATAAACCTCTTTTCAACACAGGGTGGAAAGATCTGTAGCCTGCTGCCCCAAAAAGCATAGATGAATTGTACTTGTAGCTTAAGTAAAACACAATAAAATTCAATGCTGGTGCCAGGGATTTTAACAGAATCTTCCATTGATTATTTAAGTGTGAGGTTAATCAAACAATCAATCATTCCTGCACACACTGCCTTCATTGAGGGAGTTCTGACTCAACTTTTGGCTGCAGAGGCCAGGGGGTGGGGGCCTGGGGGGGTCAGGCACCTTAAACATGTTGGCGGATTCATTGCTGTGTGGACACAATGGTAGCTTCTTTGGTAACATCTAAATAAACATGTAATCTCGTGGCAAAAGGTGAGAAGACAATCAGAAAACACCACTGTGTTGTTGTTGGAAAATAGTGCGAAAAATAAAGAGAAGTCAGATTGCTCAGATTTATACAAATGCTGCATAAAGCTATAGAAATCACATACTTGATGTTAACTGTGATTTCTCTTACATAGTCTGAATTGTTATATTTTTAATACCCTACACTACATAAGAAAAACATAAAATTAAAGTTGATTTTTTCAGACTCTTTCAGTAAAATAACAGGCCTAAATGATATAGATGATAGGAAAAGACACATTCCCCTTAAACGATCATTTTCACCATCGACAGCTATCACACACTACTATAACATGGCAAATTTGGCTTATTATGCGAGATGTACTCACGCAACGAAGTGTGGATGGATCGGCACAAGTTCTCCTTTTTTTAGACCCTCTTTTCTCAGTCCTGTGTTTGTTTTCCTCTCATATAAGCGCTCACATCACATCACTCACAGCCAGATGTTCATCGCAACTCCTCAGCTTCTCCACATGTGAGCACACACAACAGTGGAAGTGGGACGGCTGCCCTCACTTCTCAAACAAACTCCTCTGCTGCTCACGCCTGCAAGTTTCGGGTGTCACATTACAAGGTGAACTCCTGAAAACCAGCGAGTGTACCGAGGATACAATTTTTTTTTACTTAAAATATCCATTACTCCACCTTTTGATGAAAAAAAGCTTTAAAATACTGACTTTGTTAACTAAAATTTTAGAAAGGAAGTCAAATTGATTTCTATGACAGCAACACTATCCAATGAAATGATGCGTAATTGTTTGCTCTCCATGTTACAATTTGTTTTATATGATTTTAGCACAGATTAAATTACCGATTTAACACATTTCCTCTTTGTTGTTTGTTTTTTCGTGTCAAATGTGAATATGTTGCCCTCTCCCACATGGGACTGGGGATGTGTTCACCATGCACTCATCAGACACTCCCCTCCTCCTCCTTCGTTGCAGTTCCCCTGTCTTCCTGCTCGTTTACACTAGTTAGTATTCAATTGAGTCACGATTCAATGAACATGAGCGAGGATGGCAGAGTGTTATCCTTGCACGAAATTATTTCCAAATGTTAAATTCCTCTTCTACCATAACAAATTGGATCAAAAAACAAAAACAGGATAAGTTACTTGAGTGCATCGCTATACAGAAGCCTTTGAGCCAGAATACCTACATACATTTACATATATCCGGATTGTTTACACAGCATTACGTTTATTTCATCCCGAACGTAACGACGCAACCGTTTACGTCTACCCTTTCTTGAATCTGATTGGATCACACTTATGCTGCGTTCGCGTTACCTCGGAAGTCAGAAGTCCGAGCTGAAAATGACGTCAAACCCGAGTTACCAGCGGTTCAGTTATCAAGTCGGACACAAGATAACTACATATACGAAAGTTATTTTAACACTTGCCTTGTCTGAATACAAGGCAAACGCTAAAATAACTTTCGTAGATGTCGCTATCTTGTTTCAGGACGCCGATTTTACGTTTTTCCAACTTGGTAACTGGAACGCTGGTAACGGGTGTGACGTCATTTTCAGCTCCGACATCCGACTTCCTAGGTATCCCGAACGCAGCATAAATCAGTTTATTTCATCCCGAACGTAATGACGCAACCGTTCCCGGCAATCCTTTCTCGAATCTGATTGGTTGACACTTATTTTTGAAAATTTGATTCCACACGTTAAACAGTATAACCAAACTCCACTCAAAGCGCCCTCCTAACAAGTATGAGAGTCTGATTCATCCACTAAAGTTGAATAAGTTTGTGCGTTCAAGTGTGTCTTAACTCAACAAGGACTGCACAACTTTATTTTGGCTTCTGGTGGGAAACAAGCAGAAGATTGTGATTGTAAGACTTTACAGATTGCTAATCGCATGTTTACGAACCCAGAGGAGTGTTTTGGATACCAAACATGGATGATATTGAGAGCATGGAAGAAGAGGAGAAGGCAGACCAACCAGCTGAGCTACCTTTATTCTGTAAGTGAGATCTTATATTACTTTTGTAATGTTGGGGAGAGTGGGGTAAGTTGAGCCACCCCCTGTTGCTTGGAAATGGTCAAAGAAATTGATCATGTGACCAAATATTTAGGAGGTGGGCATCAATTCATGGAGTCTGTGAAGGTTAGAAGCACATGGATGAAGGGGTTAGACATTTATTAAAAAAAAAAAAAAAAAAAAAACATTTTTCACTCTTAAAGTGAATTTAGTCCGTCATAAGTTTTATTAGAATTGTGTTCAGACCAAAAAAGATCATTTTAAATTGGTTTTATACATCAATTGTGGTATCTATGAGCTACAACATGAGGTCAAAAACTTAGCATTGAGTCCACAAATTTAGCTTGGAGGACTAATAAAGTCATAATAGTAGCCCATACACAGAGTAAGTTGACCATAGGAGCATGCTATATTATCAAGACAGTCATGTTTACACTCATTCTGTTGGTTTGCAGGGATGAACAACATCTTGAAATATATGCAGATACACTAGTTAGAGACAAACCTATGATTGTGTTGATGTAGTGATCCGAAATATGAAAAATGGCTCATCTTATCCCACTCTCCCCTACTGTATGTCTTGGGCTAATGCTGGCTTGATATAGCTTGTTAAGTTTTATGTTGCTTGACAACATTTTCCTTTAAAGCTGGGATTTCACTTTCAAACACGCCCCTCTTGTTAGATTTCTGCTGACATCTTGCATTTTACGGGAGGTGTGTCTGCAAGTTAGAAATTGATTGAATTAAAACAATGTCTCGGCTACACGATGAGGATCAGTGCACACATGACAGATGGCATTTCGGGTTGCCAAGACAACTGAACCCTAATCCGCATCCTTTCATCCCCGTGCAATTGTGCTGGTGGTGGTAGAGGGAATGGTGGTGGGGGTCGATGCACAGGGCACCATGTGCTGTGTACCACTCAAATTGGTCCCCTGGGTCAAGAGGACCTGAGGCCCATCAGATGGGGACACACTTATTAGAGACTCACAAGTGTTTTATCATTCTGTCAGATTAAACAGATCTCATTTTGAGATGGATCGAGCCATGCTGGTGTAAGTGATGACTGATTTAAGGGGTCTGCTATTATTTCCACATGTGGACGTAATACATTTCAGCTTTGCAGTGTTTATTATTCAAATTAAACTGCAATCCCACCAACTATTGTACACACCATAAAGATGCTGTGCTATAAAGTGTTTTGCTGTATTGTGGAGAAATTTTAACCAGGGTTGTGTTTGGCCATGACATGTTCCCATTGAGTCTATAATAACTAATTTATAGTATCATTTGAATTGCTGAGTAATTTTGAGGATTAAGAGTAGTTTGAGCATCCATTATGGTTTGAATGTGAGGAAATACTCCACCCCACCATTTTCATCTACGAGTAGCTCACTGTAATTAAAATTATGCTACGGCATAATCTTAATTACCCTTGATGACTCCTGCCCGGCATTAAACCTGCCTCAATATTACAGCCTTTCAGCAAGTGTCTGGCTGTGAGACATTCATATAAATGACTAATAAATAATTTGTCAGCCAGTCCTTCACATGACAGATGAGTGCTGGTTTCTTAGGCTTTGAGGGATCAGGGAGTCAGTAGCTGCAGGGCAGACCTTGACTTTAATTAAACTTGCTGCCACACTGAGCAACTGAATGGAGAGCCAATCTAGAATCAGAGCTTGGAAATTACTGTACTTTATCCCCCAGTCTAATAAAATAATGTATTATAAATAAAACTAAACCAGACATTGTTATTCTTACATACTTTGCATTTTTATTGTCCTGTTTTCTTGATTTAACAGGAAATTTCCAAACTGTTTCTATGAAGTGTAAGAAAATGGCCACTAGAGGGCAGCATAGCAACTTAATTACAAGCCTCTGATGCTATAAAAAAATAAAAAAGAGGAGCCATCTTTACTTTTAATGGAGAGGGGCGCAGCCTTTGTGTGGAGCTTTCATGTTTTTTTTTCTTTTAAGTGGAAAAAAAAGGTTGTAGAATACGTATATATGTCTTGTTCAGGTCATACGCCTCATCTTTAAACTCCAAACAGGGAATGGAAACATGTTAGACAGGGATACATGCATTAAGAGGTGCATTTCAGGACCTGTATGAATATGCAGGTTACCCTTGGTTACCCGACAAAAGGTGCATGCACTTCAGAAACCTTCAGCCAGTGCTGAGAGCTTGGCTCCACTGGCAGTGGCTTCACTGTCATTCTTCTCTCTGTCACTGTGCTTCCAATCACTGAGATTTTAACAAGATTACCAGGAGCGAGTGGAAGCAATGGAGTACCAGTGTAATGTAATTATCAAGTGATGGAGTGCCTGAAATGGCTGTATTATCACTGGCCAGTCGCTTAACCCCTGTCAACGCGTGAGGGATCACAGCCTCACTCCCTGCGTAATAAAAGACAAAGGTTTATCAACACTTTTGAGCATAAGCAGAGATTTATGTCTGAGTCTTGTATTGTTTCCTAACACAGATATGATTAAAGGAGGGTGGTGAAGGTCTATAACTGAGTCCATATCTTTGTGTGTATTTGATTGACATTGTGAGTATAATAATACAAGAGAAGAATGAATATTAATGCACTTTGTGGTAGAGAAAAGCTGAACCTTGAGTCACATGTGCCCACAGACTCACTCTGCAGGCTCATTCTTTCAGCCCCAACCTCAGGGTCCTGGAGTGTCTCCTGACAACCACATTTCTCTCTTTTGCCACTTCCTTTTTACACAAGTATCCCAGTCTCCATAGCAACTCATCTCACATTTAGAAACATGGACAAAAGATGCAGAAAAAAAGGGAAAAATAGGCAAGGACATACACAAATAATACATGTAGACAATAATCAATAGAGTGTGTACACAACTGCACACACAGAGGCAGACGGCTGCAGAGGCAAACGACCGTCTCAAAAAATAACAAACCTTTTTTTAAATTTTGGAAATGTTGATTTGAGAAGATGAATGTTTGACTTAATATTAGAATTTAAAGAGAATTTTACTCACTTTGAGAAGACAACCTTGGTTACCTGTCGCTTCTGGTTTCCTTTCTGATAACTGGAGTGTCATGGTTATCTTTTTTTTTTCTTGAATGAATCTGAGTTTGTTTGTCCCATTAATTCATCAGTACACTTCTCTTGAGTCTTGTATTGAGATGATAAAAAGTTATCCTTGGTCTGTCACTGTCTGTGAATAGGAGCCCTGCTGTAAACACGGTTAAAGAGAATGCATTCATCAACCATTGGTATGACGTTCGGTGGTATCTGAGGTGATGATGCCTGTGGGAAGATCGCATCATGGTTTTGTTCAATTACAGCTCTTCCTAGTGAGAATACAGTTTTGATGAGAAGAAATGGATGTCCAGAAACTAAAACCATTTGCCATAATTTTCAACAGATACTTTATTCTAACTGGTCAATTGGTCTTGAGTTGTGGAAGTGTGGTTTTAACTTCCCACCACTGCTAGTGTGGAAGTGTTTTCTCTGACTCTGATACCTTCTTGCGTTTGTTAAAGCTGCTGTAAGTAATGTTGGACTTCTATTGATTTTGCCGCCTCCAATGTGTCGAGATTAACATCTTGTCTTGTGTGTACTGCGGTGGTATTTTCTGAAGACAAATCTCACACTGCTCTCTTATCACAGTCAAAGGTGACAGTCATTGTAAATATGTGCTTTTGAGAGTTTAAAGAAAGGCTGTTTCTTCAGCTTGGTGACAGTTACCTGGTTTAATACCTCACACTACCTCGCAGGAGTTTAAAGTATGAAAACTTGCAATGTAAGAGCTGACAATCTTGATGATGTTCTTGTTTGCTGTTTGTTTGTCATGAGGAGGTGTCAGTATTCATTTCAACATGTTTCACATTCAGGGTAAAACTCCTCACTGGGGCTACATTGGAGCAGAGAAAAGGGTGTGAACATGGTTTGAAAACTCAAGTCTGGAGTCTAGCAGCCGAGTGTCTGTTTGAGCAGAGAAGAGAAAGACTGACAGATGGACAGAGAGAGTGAGAGAAAGCTCACTTCTCTGTGGAGCAGTGGATTGACAGATTTACTGGGTGTGTGTCTTGTGAGGCAGTGGTCAAGGCTGTGTGAAGGGAACACCCTCAAAACCAGCTTGTTTGTTTGGTCAGGAGTGTAGGTGCAGAGGAGAGACTGAACAGAAGCTGTGTTTGAGATGTCCATCATGGCAGCCCACTGTCTGCATTTGTGTGCAGTGTTTCAGTGTTTGTTTGTGCAGCTTATACTTTTTTCTATAGGGTGAAAAAACTTCATTGAGGTGGACAGTGTGTGATCGGTGTGTGTGTGTGTGTGTGCGCGTGAGTCATGCTGTATATCATTCAGATGTAGCGTCTCTGCAGTGTCTGAGTCACCATGCAGCAGTGACAGAGAGAGGGCAAGTGAGCACAGAGAGAGAGAGAGAGAGAGAGAGGGAGAAGAGATCAGATAACAAAGGAAGCTGATAGGATGAAAGAAAGATCATGACATTATCTTATGCTTTTCATCTGACTCTTTTCTGCAGTCTTCACTTCAGTCTGTCAGATGTGCTATCTTTTCATATGATTGATAGCCTGTCAAACTCAAGACCCAAAAGGAAAACTCCTCGGAAATGTCAAAACAATACTGTCCGTTGTGCAATGATTGAGCGGAGGACGGTTTAACTTTTGGTTAAATCTGTAAAAGCCAACTTATTGAATGAAAATACAGTTTAAAAAATAAAAAAAAGCTAACGAGTCTTTGCGTAATTTGACCATTTATGTTCCCAAACCTCTGGGAGTTGTAGGCTCCGCTCTGTGATGTTCATGTTAAATATCTAGCTGCTCATTTTTCCATCATCCCTCCAAAAGCAAATGTCAGAGGCAGTGTCTCCTGTGTGCTTTCTCCTATTTGTTTATTGTCTGTCCCTTTTTTCTCTCCCACCCACTTGTCCCAAGGTGTCACCTCACGCAGGCTCAGCCCTTAAAGGCGCCGCGCATCAATATTGCATCACTGCAGTGACACAAAGCAAAATCCATTAGCTGAATGCAAATCAGGGCCATTAAGATCTTGTTAAAAATTTGCTGCAGGAAGTCAATAACAGATAAAGTGAATCCGGAGTTTGGATCCAGTTTTTTTTTCCCAGTTGAGGGACTGTGTTTGTGTTCACTTGCTGATGTAGTTGGGGGGGGAGTAATTGCCTGCAATTGTAAAGCAATTTCTAACCCTAATGGGTAAATTGCAGGGTGTAAAGAGTGCTCTGGTGTTGTGCCATTCTTACCAGCAATTACAGCAAATTGTTTAACCTGAGATGATAAAAGAGCTAGTTCAGAGATAAAGATCGTTTAACACGTGTTTTTGTCAGGGGGTGTGACTAAAACTAAACAAATAATGGTTGTAGGAAATTGATTCATCATGCTTATCATGGCAGCGAGGAGTGTCTGAGGAACAAAAAGGCAGACACTGATAGCGCTCCTCTTGTGTTATCCCTCTGCCGGGGACCTCTTTATCAGATGTGTCACATCACCATGTCTAATGGATTTAGATGGACACGTATGAGTGACAGCATGAAATCAATAAAGCAGCAAAGGAGGAGGTTTTATCTTTTCTGTGAAAGTGTCGTTTTCCATCATAAGTAGAGGAGTTCATAAGATAATATGTTGTAAGAGCTCAGTTATCAAAGATGGAGGTTTCCAAATGATTCAGTAATTCACCATTTAAACACGACATACTGCGTCTACCATGTTGGACTTGCTGTTACATTTTGCTTATGGTCCTATTAGACATGAACCCCCTCCCCCATCTTTCACTTTTTAATGAGATTTGGAGTGTGCGTATCACCCCACTGTGAAGCCATCAGTGACAGGGAAGAGGACAAAAGCAGGCCTGATGCTTGGGCTTTGGGAAACACCCCCACTAACCACACACACTCACACACACACACATCTACTACCGGTTCCCATCTGGTGATAGGGCATTAAGAGAGAACCCTGAATAAGAAACTAGAGGCACACATGCATGCACGTTCATGTAATCACACACACACACACACACACATTTTTATCCAGGTGCCATGGCTGAATTAATTGGGAAAAATGCCTCCCTCTCTTAACTCCCCATGCTCCTAATGTTCTCATCTTTTATTTAGCATCAACTCGCAGTGAAGTGCAAAAGAGCTTTTATGTTTTTTTTTTTTGTCTTTCTTGATTCAAAATTAAAACAACTAAATCACAACAGTAGGAATTTTGTAAGGACAGGAAAAAGAAAGCAAGGAGTCATTTCTTTATGCAAAATCAGAGTAAAACATGCACTGATTCAAAGGGAGGAGACTTCATTTGTCCATGTGTAGCTTAAATTTGGTCATATTTTAAATGTGTAGTTAACTCTAAGTAACAATGTTTTTTAATGGTGGAATAATCTGATTGATTCAGCAGCATGACTTAGGTGTTTTAAGTTGTCTGCATGAGGGAAAAACTTGTTTATTTCCATCTGTTTTGCAGGAATTGCATCACTTTGAAACTCTTCAAGTGCAAGAGGTGGAAAAAGAAAAAAAAACAGGAAGGATTATTTCTGGTGTCTGATGTGAATTGTACTCATGCGTCTCTGCAGATAACTCAGCTGATCTTGCATCACACTGCTGTGTTAAAAGTGTGTGTGTGTGTGTGTGTGTGTGTGTGTGTGTGTGTGTGTGTGTGTGTGTGTGTGTGTGTGTGTGTGTGTGTGTGTGTGTGTGTGTGTGTGTGTGTGTGTGTGTGTGTGTGTGTGTGTGTGTGTGTGTGATATTGGAAAAGATGTGATGAAGGAGACTTTCTGACTTGGTAATATTAGAGCGCCTCGCCCCAGAGGCTCCCCTGTGACGAGCCTATGACGCACTTCCTGACAAGGTGAAGAACAACGCGTGCAGGAGTGTGTGTGTGTGTGTGTGTGTGTGTGTGTGATGGGAGGGGTCTGAGGACCAGCTAAATATATACCAGCTGAGGAGATAGTGCTAAAGGCTGGCATGTGGAACCAATCATGCTTCCTGACTCGTGCAGTAGGAGTATACTGCCGCTGCTCTCCCAGCCAATTGGTGCTGATCCAGAGATATTTGATTGTGTGTGTGTGTCTGAGTGTGTGTGTGAGTGTGTGTTAGGGGGAGGTTGTCACCTGGCCACCATACAGAAACGCAAGCATGATGCTGTGCTGTGGTTTTATCTGTATCCTGCAACTCTATGTGGAACTCAATGTACACGCCCATGGTGGTGGTTACGCAAAGCCTCGTCACTGAGCACCATGGACAGCTCACGTGTGGAAGTGTGTGAGTGCAGGAAGCAGCAGAGCCTGCACAAAGTTGCAGATCTGTTTTTTACAGCCCTGAAGAAAGATCCCCCTCTGCTAGTTTCAGTTATTGTTAACAAAGAGACCCCTAAATATGCTAATGACAGATTTAAGACACATTTAAACGCAAACTCAAGACCTTCCTTTTTAGTCTGGCCTTTAGCTGGTTTTTGTTTTATTCTTCTAGCCTGTCTTTTTGTCTACTCTTTTTAGTATTTTAAGAATATTTTATTTTCATCTTATTTATTTATTTATTTATTGTATATTTTAACATTATTTGTTTATTTTCTTTTATTGTTTGATTTTAAAACAGTTGTTTTATTATTATTATTATTATTATTATTATTATTATTACTATTATTATTATTATTATTATATTTCCTTTAATTTTTATATCTTTCATGGTTTTATCAGTTAAGCTTCAGCTCCAGTGTTTCCCCATTTTAGTTTAAGATAGCGTTTCCGAGGTCCTCTGTGGCTTCCTGTTGAGCCCTGACTTGGTGTCCCGATGGTCGTGAGAGTGTGCTAGGTGTGTGTGTCTGTGTGTGTGGACAGGTGGGTGGGTGGGGTCTCTGTTAAATTCGGGCTTGTATTGGGGTGGTTGGGGTTTTTGCAGTTTGTATTTTATTTTGTATCCCCTGTGTACAGCACTTTGTGATACAAGGCATGTATGAAAAGTGCTTCATAAATTAAGTGATTGCTTGATTGATTGATTGATAGATAATTCATGTTGTTTGTAGAGAGGAAAGCTAAAGCAGCAGTTTTGTTCGTGATACTAGTCTGAGTACAAAACCTCCAGTCTCACACACCCAAAATGATCTTCATATGTCCCGCTTGATCCTGAGTCAATATTTCATCTAAAGACTCGTGCTTTCTCATCATCCTGTGACTCAGACTGGCTTGAGGCACGTTGTGCAAATCAGGAGCTTATTTATGAGTGGCACAGGATCTCAGGGGCCCGAGCACCACACGAGCACAGCCCTCCAGTCATTAAGGGGTGATTTTGGCACCCCCTCCTCATCTCCCTTGGGGCTATAGCACCACCTGCCCCCCACCCACGTTTGAACAGTCATTTAAGATGCTGAGCATATGCGCACGTATTCTCTCAATTTAGCATCAGTGCTGTCACATGCCCACATGCTATATTTATATACGTGATGCAAATGAAAACGTTTAACTCCAGAGAACATTTGAAGAGTGTCTGAATGACGCGTTTCTGCACAAACGTTTGCATCAATACCCACGCAGATATTACCTTGACTTTTCCTTTTATGCCTTTTGGGTGTGACAGGTTCGGTGTTAATGCGTGGATTGACAGGCTCAGAGGGTTCCAGGTCACCTCCCTCACTTGCACCGGGACGGGGCGACTGGTTCTGCCTGGTTGACTGTGAGAAAATAGCATTAAAGGCCTGCTGCTGACACATTTATTGAGCCTGTCAAATTAAAGAACGCAATGAGCTGAGCTGAGCTGGGACAGGGTCACAATAACAAACACACAAGAGACACACATTCATACCCGAGCCAAGGGGAAGGGCAGGTTTTTGTTATATCACCCGATTCAGAAGTTTTCCATCAACCAAACACTGATCTGTGTGTCACCTTGGGCTTTTCACAACTCCGGCAAAGTAGTTTGACGTCACCAATGTTCTGAGAGAGAGTGTGGTCTGAATTTTACTTCATTTATTCTCTTCTACACGGTGCAGGTATCCACGCAGACTATTCTAAAGATAGACTTGTAGGTTTAAGTATATGAAGAAACGAGCAGACGTACTGCAGTGCAGATAGTTTGTAAAAAGTCGAAATTAAGGGTTATTATGGAAATGTCATATTGTATTAGACTACCATCGAAAAAGGTTACACTATTCTTTTTCTAGATCTATGATTTGAATTATGATTATAATAATGTGTTAGCTCAATTACACAATAACCTCAGAGAACTTTAAATACTAGTTGAAGCTCTTTCTGATACTTTTGTTGATTTTCTTCTATCTTTATTCTGAGTTCAAAATTGGTCAGGGAAATATCATGAGACACTTTATAATGGTTAAATTGACTCATTATGATATTTGAGTCATCCATCTTTAGACGTATAATGTTTGTGTTGATAACAGATATAAATGGTATAAATAATGACGTCTATCTCTATAATGCATTATAAATGTGTGTATAATGTGTTATAATCATGTTAGGGCACTGTATAACTTTAGTTATAAACACTCATAAATGATCATAATGCTTAATAGCAATAATCGTAACACATTATAAAACATTTTATCATGACTTACAAGGTCAGGTATTAGAATGTGTTATAACTGTTAACAACTCAGTGACAATGCCCTCATAGATAATGCAATGCAACTGTTAACAGTTATAACATATGATAACACCTGACCTTGTAAGTCATGATAAAATGCTTTATAATGTGTTATGATTGTTGTTATAAAGCATAATGATCATTTATGAGTGTTGATAGCTATATTTATACAGTACTATAACCTGATTATAACGCATTATACATATATTTATAATGCACTATAGAGAGAGGCATCAAGTAAAGTGTTACCATGATGCTGTTTAGTTTTCTTTTTTTTTTTTCTCTATGTATGAGTCTGTTGAAATGTCAACACACTGACTTTGATTTCATAACCTTTTTCCCCAACCTTACTCTTGATAAACCTCGAGGCTTTGAGGAATATGGGCTAAATCTTTTTTTAGAGAGGGTAAGGGTCGGCTCCTTAATCGAAACAACACCTCAAAATGGCTCAATAAGAGCTCCTCCTCCCTCTCATCTCTATTAAGAGGTTAGAACGGTCAATAGGTCCAGCCAAACATGAGGGACTCACCTTATTGATTGTGTGTGCAGGGAGGAGGAGGAGGACAGCCGGTAAGTGGTCACTTCCTGAGGCCTGAGTGAAACGACTCAAAAGCTCTCTGCTAAAAGCTCTACTGCATCATTTAAACTGGATTTTGTTCACTTGATATTTTGATGCGAATGGGTTCATTTACCAGAAACGGATGCGTTGATAAACTGGGTAGTGCAGTTAGGATTGGGGCTGTTGGCGTCATGTGTTACCTGGGCAGGTTTCCTGTCATGTGTCTATGCAGGTGTCAGACAGTAAAGTACCTATAGGCTTTTAATTCTGGATCAATATAATGAAGGGTAATAACCTTATTGTGAACATAATGTCTGTCCATCTATCCTAACCTTCTCCTTACATTGCAGATATGCATTTTTAGAGGTGTAGGCAGGTCCGTATATTGAATCTTGGCTCGAAACCAGGATGTTTTTCACCATACAGTCTGGTCAGCTGCATAGCTTCACAGATGAATCCAGATTTAAAGTGTGATTCAGGGCAAAGACACTGGAGATGCTTGAGACTTTTTCAGGGGCTTCTAGACCTGGGGTTGCTGTGGGAACAGAGCTGTTAGCATGGTGAAAGATTGGTCAGATTATATTCTGTAGAGGTGTCATGCAGGCATTAATGTATCACTATAGGTGTGTTACCGGGGTTAAAACGATGCTTCAATGCAATGAATGAAATGTTATTACACCCCTAATGTGCATCCAAATCCTGATTTAGATACAATAGATGAATATTAGTGCATACATACAGACAATATTTAAATACATTGTTATTAGTTATATTTTTTGTCTCCTATTTTACAACTGAAGCTTTAAAAATGTCATTTTGTGGAGCATTTAGCTGCCACACAGCTTGAAAGGTGTCTCAAGAGGAGGTGTAGTCCAAAAACAGAGTAACAGGACTGTGGATGATATCAGATTTACCAAAACCAGGTGACCAGAAACACAACTTCAAGTGAATGTAAGCGTCTCCGGTTCTGAGTTGTTTATTAGAGGTTAACAGTTTCAACTCTCTAATTCTCTGCTTGGATTTAAGTAAAAAAGAAAAAAAAACAGGACACAGAAAATTAGTTTACTTGTTTTTATAAAAAAGGATATAGAGTATTTCACCTTGACATCAACAAACCTTTCAATTTACACAGCAACAGAAGCCATTGAACCACACTGTAACTTTAGAGGCACGAAAACAGGAAACTTTGAACTACTTCAGGCTGCACATTTGTCATTTCTGAAAATGCAGATTCACCTGTTAAGCTTTCATCAAATATTGTGACAGTGGGTTGTACAGGTGAGGGGTGAGGTACATGTGGTTAAGCAGGGCAAGAGGGGGTCCAACCACAGAATGAAGGACATTAATTAAACTAAAGACAGGAGGAAAAAGAGAGAGAGAAAGATAGATAGAAGAAGGAGGGGGAAGATACAGAGGCAGAAAGCAGAAGAGGAAACAACAGCACACAGTCCATGTGGACTACGAAGAAACAAAACCACGAAGAGGACGAGCGTCCGCCTCTCAGACGGAGCTCTTTATCATTCTCATCTGGTGAGCAGCCCTGTCACAAACTCTTTGAAGACGCTTGTGTTGGACTCTATTACTATATCTTTATACATACTGAATATTTCTAGATTTTTTTCTTTACAAGTGTTTTTTTTTCTACATCTGTTATCACAAAAAGAAACACCACTCTTGAAACGAATGTGTAAAAAAATAGTTACATAAAGACTGTTCATGACCAGAACTGTTACTATGGACTTATTGCTTTGTACATTGAGTAATATTGGTGCCACCTGCACACTAGGGGGGGTTCACATGCTGGACCCTTGCTGCTGATGGTCTGTACTGCCTTTAAATATGTCGGACTTCCTGCTGAAAAACCAAGCTCTGCTCTTCACCTTTGGTTAATTGTGCAAAGAAATTGAAGCATCAGTAACAGTTTCTGAGACAAAGACAAATAAGCTTTAAATGAAGGAAACATACATGTAAAAAAAAACCCAGACATATAACAAACTTCACATTGTTCCATGCATAAATACACATCCACACACATCTATATTGTGAAGTGCAGACAAGTGACAAATGAAACAAACTTGGCCCCCTTCAGACCTTGTCAGTGTAAGTGCAGAATGAGGACAAAACAGACTCTGCAGCGGTTTTCATCTTTGAATTTAGGAGCATGAGACACCAAAGCAGGCTTCAGGAAGTAATGACAAGCTGCTTCATTTTATATTCATATACTCAACGTCTCACCTTACCCCCATTCTATAAAGGGGATGGAGAAATTGATTTTTTTTTAAATTGCACACGTTTGTGATTGCATCTCTCCAGCTGTATTGCCTCTCCAACTATGGATAGAAATCTGTTATATTGAATGTAATGCAAACTATATATAGATGTTAAAATTCAAATACTTCTTCACTACAAATATCCTTTTTAATGTCAGCAATGCAATATGATTTTAATTCTCTAAAAGTGAAGTTTTCAGATGTGCTCCTCTCTTTATAAAATGTGTCATTTCTGCCCGACAGTTTTTGTTCACTCTCGTTTTATTTTTGTATATTCACTCCTAACCTGCTCCATTTGGATGGGTCTACACTAGAAAAGCACGGTATCACATTTTTCTGGTTTAGCAACATTTATATGAGGACCTACAGCTCTGTAACTAATGCATAAAACCTGATGGAAACACCCACATCATTTTGACAACAAAAACTGTCTCTAGAGGCTTTAATGTGTGCTTGATAGCTTATCCCTTCAGTCATGATTACTCTAACTTTTTTACCTCTATTAAACATTTTTAAATTTGTTACTCTTATATAGTTTTATTCTCATACTGATTTTGTCCTAAAGTTTTTGTATTGCACAAACCCTTTCATAAAGTTGTTTACAACCATGAAAATCCTGGTCACGTAAATTTGATCTAAAAACTCTTAAATATCTTTATTCTGTCTCTCTCTTAAATATGTTTTCACGAAGGCAGTAACGCACCGGTACAGCCAGTATTTAACGGCTCAGTGGTGATTTGGATTGTAATCATGAGCACAGCTTCATAGCTGCACCACACTGCTGAGATTTAACAGGTTGCAAAAACTAAAATCAAAAGCTGAGTTACAAAATGTGTCACATGTAGCAGGACAACATTGGACGGACAGTTTACCTTTTACGCAAGTTAGACTGAACAATTATCCGAATTCATTATGCCAATCATCAGATCCTCACAGTAGGTCACTTACATTTTTTTTTTACACACACACACACGCACAAGCCAGTGATACAAAACCAAAATAAAAAAATGGTCATATTGTGCATTAAAAGGACACGCTATTCTGAGTGCATTCAGGAGAGGTACAGTACAGTCTCTAACCACAGAGTGTCTACTTCCTGTTACAATGCTGTGCAGTACATGTTTATACACTGTGATGGCTGGCTGGTAGTTCACTGCACTGTTAAAAGTTACTTTCTAAAATAACGGGTCGGTTCTACCCTAAAGGCTTCAGCGAGGTCAGGACGCCTCAGCTGACGGGAATGAAAATGTTCACATTTACACACAACTGCACGCCCATAATATATCTATTATCAATATGCATAATAATACATTTACAGACTGCCAATTTGATATGTGTTACACACCTCTATTAATCAAATATCTTTAAATGTTTTTTACAGTTAGGAGTTTTTATATTACGTTGATACTTTTGAAGAGTTGTTTGTAGAATTTGTGCAAACAATACAACGATGGGGTTGTCATTTTTCTCATGTCTCATTGGTTGTTCGTTATCTTTTATGACTAAACAGATGGACACTCAGGAAAAAAAGAAGTCTACTCATGTATGAATGATTTTGTGTTTGGTCTAGGAGTATCCCTCATCCTGCCTGTATCCATAGCCGGCTCCCTGTGCCTCCTCCTGGACGTACTCTTCCGTCTTCTCCCAGCCCGAGGCCCATCCTCCGTTCACCTGCGTGGTCGCACCGTACGACTTGGCCGGAGCCGCAAAGGCACCGTAACTTTGGGTAATGTCGCCCGTCTCTTCTGCCAGCTCGTCCTCGTCTATGAAGCCACACTTTTCTTCACTGGTGAGTTCTGGGTCGGCCCATGGCTGTTTCTCTCCTGATGCGAAAATACCGTAGAAAATCACTCCCCCATAATGCACCATGGAGGCGATCAGGAACACATACTGCCATTCCTCTCGAGTCTGTAGAGGGAAATAAAAGTCTGTTTTAATCTGGATTCATAAATATATGTCATATTGTTTATTTATGACCCTGATAAGTTGTTAAGTTGCATTTAAAGGACGTGTATTTTATGAAAGTTCGCTTTTTTTTATAAAGGAGACACAAAAAAAGTATCAGGTTAACGTTTGGGATTATCTGTGATGTGTCCTGTGTGAGCATCGTACAATGAAACTTTAATTAAGAGTGGGTACAATCCACCCATTTTACTCTGCATTTAAACGATACATGCTCACATATACTTTTAAATATTTACAATTGAGTTACAGCTCATTTAATATTACAACAAAGCAATGTTTGCAGCTCCTATAAAGTCTTAAAAGTTGATTTTTAGTGCAGTATTCCTTATTTCTCCTAGAAGAGTGATGTACAGATAAAAGCATTGCTGGGTAATCATCTATACATGCCTCGCAAATTGCCTTTTGGTTTTTGTTGGCTGAATTAACATTGGTGCCTACTCATACCTCTATGAAAGTGTGCAACCAGTTATTCATGGTCATAAATGATCCTAAATACTGACATTGAGAGTCTCGCAGGAAATTTTTGAAGGGTGGTCTAGAGAGCTGTATGTGAGACGTCCTTACCTTGTTCTTTGTCATTGTACCAACAATCAGTGGGCACACCATCCCAGACAAGGTACCCACGCCATTCGAGATGCCCATTAGGATGCTGGCATAGCGTGGAGCAATGTCCAGGTGATTGACATTAAAGCCTGATGGAATAAACAACACATAAATCGAGTACAATTAAAAGGTTGTTGGGTAATTTCATTTTGACGAATGTAAACAAGGCCTGGGAACTAGATCTCGGTTAAAGGGACCACTGTGTCAGTGCATATTAAAAAAACAGAAGCGGGAGACAGTCGCAGATAAAAGCAGCACAAACGGGGACCATCTTGTTGCAGAAATAGGCAGCAACTAGCCGCACATCCTCCTCCTCCTCCTCCCCCACTCTGACTGGCTGAATGAGTAAGTGTCCTTGCGAGCTGCCTCACACTCCCTGCCTCACAGATCCCCCGAGACAGCCCGTACTGAATTATTAAACACTCCAGCAGAGAGCTCAAGAACAACAGGCGAGAAACTGATTTTCACACACAGTCACAGACCTCTGTTTCCTTTGTTACTAAGCACAAATATGAGCGGATCTTTGAATGAATGGCCAAAATGCTGAAAGCTTTATTTTGGCAGTCAATGAAAATGTATTTTCAGTAACATCTGACATCTGATGGCTGAAGTAGGTCTTGGAAATGCAGATAGATCACTAAATACAAATACATCTACTGCCTCATTTTACATCCCCCTTTATGATAGTCTAAAATACACGTTCACTGTCCTTTCTGCCGAGGAAATAAAAACATTCAAATCCATCAAAAGCTATTAAACAATATTGGATCCTAAATTGTATTTAAAGATTACAGTGAAGAGTGTATGATCTATACTCACCTGATATAGCAAATCCACTAAAGCCCACTGCCAGTACCAGGAAGGAGATGGCCACCCCTTTGCTGTGAGAATACCCGACCACCAGCAGCAATGTGGCCTCCATGCCAAATCCTGACAGAGACAGACAGTGGGTCACTCACACATACACAAAAACACACAAAGCCCACAGCTGTTGTTCATCACTGTGCCAATTGAATTAAGCCCGATGCTCAGTCTGCACTCAATTACATAAGTGATGGATATGAAATCAATGCACAGTCAAATTCAGCTTGAGCGCAAACATAGAAAAAAAAATAGATCTTTTACAAAAATATGAAAGCGACCGTATTTTTAAACCCATTTAGTGAGAAGCAAATGAAAAAGAGAGCAGTATGGATCTAACACCCTGAAAGTCACACCCTGTAGCTGTGCAGAGAGAGGTGTTGAAAATGAGATCTCACTCCGAGTTCAGTCTTCTCACCTCCACAGTTCATGATTTTCCTGACAGTGGTGGTTGACAGGATGTTCTTGCTCCGCAGGTAGTCGGCCAGCTGGCCTCCGATGGGCACAATGATGGTCATCACCAAATGAGGCAGAGCAGACAGTATGCCAACCTACAGCCGCACACAAAAACATCAACCCAATCAGATACAGTAGCGCATTAGACAATATATGTACTGTGACGTTCAGAGGACTTTTAAACATCCTCATTTCACATCAATCCATAATTGCCCGATCACTTTGCGAATTCTGGTTGTTCTTCTCGTACGGAGTTGTGATTAACCTCACCTTGCTAATCTCAAAGCCAAACACTTCTTCAAAGTACGCAGGCTGGCTGATCAGCAGCAGGTAAAACGTCCAGCTCCTGCAGAAGTTGGCCACGATGATTGCATAGACAGGCATAGAGGTGAAGAACTTCCTCCAGGGCGTCTTAAATTTCTGTTGTAGATGTAAACAAAATATTGAATTCACACAGACAATCACCTAGCTTTTAATTAGTGTCTAAAACAACACAAAATAGAAATGGATAATCGCGCTGAAACCTGGTTTGCAAACACAGATTCTTTGATATCTGGAGTGTTTCTCCTCACCTCTGCAGGACCTGTTAGCTTGACACTCTCTCCAATGCTCTCCTCTATGTAGCAGCGCTCCTCATCAGTAATGGTAGGATGTTCAGCGGGGCTCTCATAGGACACCAAGATCCAAAACATGTACCAAAAGATGCCAAAGCACCCTGCATATCACAGACAGATAACATGTCAGGACTTGGGATGGTTGCAGAGAATACCATATCTTATTTTGACTTTAATTTCGTACACATATAATCCCCCCACCACCACCCACAAACACACACACATAGAGGAACAAGAGTGTTTGGCAGCTTGATCTTTCCAAAATGCCTGCGAGAATAAAACCCAGACAGGAAAGCTAACTGTATTCAGTCCAATGAGAGAGAGACAGAGCGAGATGGGGGGTTATTTATCGACACACCCAAACACCGAGGGGAGGAAATCAATACACAGTCTGCCAGGATAAATCCATTTGACTTTCACTGGACTCTCCGATTGTCAAACTCTTCAGGTTTCAACCAAGCTTAAAAAAACATCAGACTGAAATCCCCCAAAAATATCTACGTATCTATAAATCAACAAACAGTGTTATAATTTCACCCCAGAATTAGACCCCCTTTCTTTCCCCCCAGGCACACTCAGACACACAATCCGTCATCAATCACTTACCGTAGACATAGAACACAGAGGACCAGCCTGAGTACTGAACCAGGATCCCAGCCAGAGGCATCGCTATCACAGCACCAGCATACGAGCCTGACAGACAGTGAAACATTTTAATCAGCACAGCGATACGCAGCAAATTATGTTGCCTCATCAAATCTGAACCTGTCAAAAATTGTCATCAGGATAAAGTGAGAGAAGAGTTACCGCAGAATGAGATTGTGGCCAGTCGACTCCTCTCTAATGGGGGGGCCCACTTACTCCAGATGCCATGACAGGCAGGATAAGTCACACCCTAAAAAGCACGTGGTATAAAACATTTTAACTCATGGTAAGGAAATGTGAAGAAACATAAAGATGGCTGAAATATCTGGTTCTTTTGCCACAAAGCTAATAGAGTTTGTTTTGGAGTTGTTTGATTCAGTGAGAGTAGCTAATGCTCTGTTATCTTGGGGAATGCCTGAACTGAATATGTAAATCACATAATAAATCCAAACAAAACATGCATCATTGTATTGTAGCCCCCTAACTTGACGCTGTATTTGTAGATAGTTTAGGATAAAGATGTACTCAGAAGCTACGAGGCAGAGCCTGAACAAATAGATACCTGGTTTAATTATGTCCAAATATTTACATCTTCACCCCTGTAATTATGATGAACAATTTGCACAGTGCCGAGGAGGACCTGATGAGCTGTTCATGGAGCAGAGCAGCCCTCCATCTATTAAATGCTCATCAGCTGCAAATTTGAATAAAATGTGTTGATGTAAAATCAGTCTGCTCGGACTGTCTTGACACAGCAGTAAGAAAATATCAGATTACACATGATCACATGAGGCTTGTCTCTTGATTTCAATGTCTGCCATATATTCTCTTGAATTCAAATAATATATATGAAACTCTCAGCCACATGTCCATTTCCTATCATATTATTTTGTATAAAAGATGAGCATAAATAACTTCATTGCTACATCAGTTTCATTGCTCTAAATAAAACGGTAGTGCCTCCTTTCTACTGTTTGTTTTCCCCTGCAGCAGGGAGACACCTTTGTGTCATGTTTCACTACAAAGCCACAGGGTTGTTGTGCTTTTTGAAATCAGCAGTTTCTCTTATCATCTATCCGTGATTCGACACTCTCCTGTTTTGTTTCTTGGATACTAAGTGTGACAGTAAAGAAACTGAGCTGGACTATCCTACAATCAGCCGTAGTGGGGATCGATACAGATCATCTCAAATTTCCTCTTGTTGACTATCCAGTGTTTTTTACAGTCTTTCCTTTGCTTTCACTAGCAAGTCATTACCATAATGAGAGTCACACGCATCAGAGGTGTGCAGCCTTAATGTTTGTTGTTCATATTGGAGCCATGTTAAGATTTTGTTTGGTGAAGACTTTGAGTTTATTGCAGATATAATGCAGTTTAATGCAGTTATGCAGCCTCAGATGTTGAAATGCCCTTACCTCAACCAGTCCTTGTAATATCCTCACAAAGATGACACACCCATAATGAACCCGAGCAGCTGAGGGGATGAACATGTTGAGTGTGGAGGTCAGGACTATGGCTGCTCCAAATACCCTGAAAAAGATTAAACGATGTCTAAATATAGCTTTTTCATATATAGCAGCTCCCCTCATTATTATTTCAGCGGCACTGAATTTGTCATTAATAGGCTGTAATTCAGCTTTGTGCCATGATGTCAAGGACTAGAGCAGTAGATCATTACTTAAGATGAAATATTATCTTCTGTTTTAAGAAAAGATTATTATTGGCCTCAGGGATTTTAATTATACATAACACAAAATATGTCAAAGACTTATGGGCCTTTTTTCTATTTAAGGTCGACCATCCTCCCCGCCTTTATCACATGTGATATCAATACGCAGCTAGCAAAAGGACAAAGATATTACGTTTTTTTTATCTGCTGTGTTTTAAATGGCCATGTTATAGAAGTAATTGGGAGGGTGTATAGCCTACAGTCTATGGCATTGGTTCTCAACTGGTCTCACTCTTGGACCCACATTTTCCCATGGTCCTTAAGTTCCGACCCACTTTTATAAAATTTAAACTAAGCAAATTTATTTTTTTTAATAAAAGAAACCTTTAAAGACTCAAATCTTTAACATAAATACACCCATTTTTTGGAGTAAAGTGCATTTCAGAGCACATGAACTGAGGACGACAACTACTGAAGTTGCGTATACAGAAAATATCAAATCGCACAAAATGGAGACCAGCAAAATGAAAAATTTGACTTATATGCATCTCTGCACTCAGAAGAACCTGAGGAGGACCGTGCAACAGCATGGACAAAAGTGAATACATATCAAATTGCACAAAATAAAGACCAAAAAAAAAATAAAATAAATAAATAAATAATAATCATGTATTTTTACTGTGGTCATGCCACATTAATAAGAAACTGAGGAGGACCACGACATAAACCTTTCAAAATAAGCTATTTTTCAAAATAAAAGACATGTCAAACTCAGATGCGCATTAAATATTTACTTTTTTGACCAGCTGTTCGCGACCCATCCAGAACGTGCCCGCGACCCAATTTCCGGTCTAGACCCACAAGTTGAGAACCACTGGTCTATGGTGTCGCTTAGCAACCATATCAATTTAGGGACTGTTTAAGAATTATGTTTCTCGTGAGGAATAAAATCTAATTTTGAAATGACGTCTTAGAGATTGGGTGTAAAGTGACTTTTACCGGTTTGTCATTTACTTAAAAACGCACGGAGCCACAGTCAGCTGAGAAACCGTGTCGTTGGTTAAAGACGAACACATTACTGAACAGACTGGAAATTAAATCTGTTCTTTCGTCATGAATTATAATTTCATCTTCTCTTTTTTTCTTCTTTATCCCGAGGGGGGGCAGCTGAGCAGACTTAAATCAGGCGCAGGGAGGATCAGGCCTGTCTGTAAACACCGAGCTATTTCTCATTTCTGTCACGTCTCCTCGCCCCTCTCATCTGCACGCGGGGGGCAAGCCCTAATCTGGTTGAGAGTAGTGTTGGGCACGAGACCAATTGATTCGATTTCATCCACGTGTCAATCAATAGCGCTGGGAACAACAAGAGTGCGGATAAATACTTAGAAAAAGAAAAGATAGGCAACACATAGACTACACTAGATTGTGTCAAGCAGCTTTTTGTCCCTTTTCCTCTAAATAATGAACCTTCGTTAAGAGAGATAGGGGAGACCGGGGATGGTTGTAACATTTTTGACATTTCTGTCTGTATCTTAGAGCTCTTTTAAGCCAATGCATTCAAACTGGTATATGTGTCTGCTAATAAAGGCTGGAGCAGTTACCCCTGCAACACAAACAGACAACGCATAATTTAGTCTCAAACACAAGGAGTGAAATGTTACAATTCACCCCATAGTCTGGGTTCATTGTAAAATACCCTGGGGTGAAATGTGACATAAAAAAATCAGGATAATGACAAAATTTTACTCATTGGGAGCTTTTTATTTATCATTTTAACTACCTTTCAACATAACTGAATATTAGTGGGCTATGTGTGTTTGTGCTTTTTTGTCTAGCATCGTCACTCACAGTGGTGACAAGACATAGGCCTACTGTAGACAATTTCTATGGCACTCCGAGAGTGTGGGCCTTATGGGTCCAGTGGGTCTTACATTAAGTCTATGTTCACACTGCAGGTCAATTCCGTTTTTTTAACCATATGTGACGCATCAAATTTTTTTCATGTAAGTGTGAACAGTGCAATTCTGATTTTTTTCAAATCCGACCCAGGCCTCTTTTGTATGTGGATATGAATCGGATATGAATCCGATGTGACTGCAGTGTGGACGCTCAGGCTCGTTCATCCGACCTATACGTCATCAATATGCGACAAACGTCACCATTGTTCAACAACAAAAACAGGCGCAGAAAGCAATTTGTGCTCTGTGCGCATGCGGGTCACTTCACGGACGCATTCCGTTCACATTAGACGCCGCATTCGTTGTTGTAATGTGAACAACCGCACAAAAAGATCGGATTTAACAAAAAATCAGAATCGTGCATCGTAACCTACAGTATGAACGTAGCCTAAGATTTGAATGTAATAATAAAACTGACAAAATGTGCAATTGAACAGCAGTGTGTGTGTGTGTCTTATATTAACATTTAAATATAGTAAACTGAACAAAATGTTGAGAGGTACCCTAGGCATACTGAATTTCAAAGACAACATAAAGATAATAAATGTTGTTTTATTTTGTTGTTAACCCAGGCCGTTGTCATCAGGAATTAGCTTACTTTACAGCTAACAGCTACAACCTTTGAATGAACAACTTGCAAGAAAAATATCTATGGACACACAAAAAACGTGATTTAGGTTTGATTAGTTCAACTACATCGTAGGCAATGCTATGATAAAATATCTGAATTAAAAAAATACTTTTTTACCTCAAAATACGTTTTTTTTCCATGTACACACGTGGAACAAGGACTAAACTAGGCATGTGCAGAGTGCATCAGGTGATTTGTAACTTGTTCCTAATTGGAGAAATTGGAAGTGTTACAATTGACCCGTGTTACAACCATCCCCGGTCTCCCCTATTTTTGAACCGTCTCCCTGTGTTTAACCAGAGCCATTTTACTGCTAGGCTTGACTGTCTTGGTTTTAGTCTAAGTAGACATGCTAAAATGTGTAGCAGCCTATAATATCATCTTTATTTCTGTTTCTACCCCCGGGGTGTGAAATATTACGTGGGCCTGATCGTAACGCGTGACGCACTGGCATTGCTCATGTGAATTAAAGACTCTGGCAACAAGGCGAGGTCTGGTCTCCTCGGCCTGACTGAACGCCAGATTAGACCGGATCCCCCGAGGGAGCTCATTAACAGGTGGCAGAGAGCCCTGAACCCGGGCTGCAGGCCTTTAATGCTGCTGAATCCCTGCTGCTGCAACTCTGCATCACGTGACTGTCTGGAGGGTTACTCCAGCCTATAACTGTAAACCTTTACCATTCATAATTAAGGCGAGAATAACACCATTTTTTTGTTTGGCCTCTACTGTTTTTTTTACATTTTTTCTTTGTCTATTTTGTCAATCGACGCACTTTTGTTCTGGAGTTCAGAGTAAAAGGAAGCTCCAGTCTCGCCAACTGCTCAGTCATTCAGAAAAATAGGCCAAACATTATTTAAAGAATAAATCCAAGTGCTTCATCTGCCAAAATAAAAGCCTCTGTGTTGTAGTTTATTCGTGGAGCATTATTATACGGAGGAAGAGCCGCCTACCTGTTTGCTGCCAGCCTGGAGGAGATGTATCCTCCCGGGATCTGTGTCACAATGTAGCCCCAGAAAAAAGAGCCATGAATCAGCCCCACCGTCTCTGGATCCCAGTTGAACTTGGCTTTCTAAAAAAAACAACAAAATCAAGAAAATGAATTAAATTAAAACAACGATGAGAAACGATCTGTTTCTTAAGTGTGAAATAACCTCTGAATCTGTTGAAGTAAATTCATGTCAGACAAACTCATGACCTGAACGAACCTGCCTGTATTTAAATGAACTGTTCTGAAAGTGAGGCCTGTTTATTATTATAGGCCTGAAACGGGTTACCTGATTAGACTGTATTGATCCGATCATCAGACCCATTGATACATAGTGCACTGTCAGAAGACATTTTGTCGCTAATAAGTACCTGTATATTATCTTTTTAGTTATAACTTTGTTAATTTGGACTTAACGCAAAAGTAGGCTATATAGATAAATCGGCTACATCCAATTTACCTTCATATTAGAGAATATAGCCTATATAAAAGGGCTGGGCTATACTTTTCTCCTGATTTGATTCTTCTACGTTGTTTGGATGCCGATTCAATTTAAATTGCGATTCTACGATATTGTCGATTTTCTCGATTTTTAGTCTGCATTTGTAACGCCAATGAAACAGCTGAATGATTATGATTGTCTACTGACTATTCCAGCAACCAAAAAAATTTAACATCAAATGTAAGTCAGTTTTTAAGATTTATTCTTACATTCGAGAAAAAAAAGATTTTTGAACAAAAAATCGATTTGAAAATTGTAAAACAAAAAATTGCGATACTTATGCGAATCGATTTTTTTGTATAATGCTGTAGAGACTGTTGCATATTTTTGGTGTGTGCGATCTATCTGTGAACATTTTGTAAGACACGTGTTTTTAATGAGGCCTATAGCACTCACAGGCCTTATATGTTAACAACCGTGGAGCTCATTTCTTGATTGTTACATTAGGTCACCTGCTTCGGGTTTACAATAAATAAGAGGTTGCCTTCGGTAGCTGCAAAATCTACACAGAGGGATGACTTCTAGATAATATGACATTTTAAAATGGGATCATGTGGCGCGTTTATGATAAGAAAGACATCTTTGGAGACACTGTACGGAAGACTTCCTCGGGCACAAGCATGAAAGTGATTCTTAAAATATATGGACGATCATTATAGTGGACTGGTTTTGATTTTACATTTTTAAGATGATGTTGTTCCTCTTTATTCAGACAGGCCTCACAGTATACTGTCTATTCTTTTTTATCTAGTAAGGGAGGATTATTTCCTCTGTATTCTCCTTTTATTGAAACACCTAAAATCACATTCAGGTGTCGTGCGTCTTGACGCGTTTGGTCCACGTTGCCACACCTCTTTGATGATGATCTTGCCGTTCTGGTGGATGGTGCTGTTGTTGACCATGCCCACGATGGCCACGCCCAGGTTACACCGGATCCCGAAGGAGATGCAGAAGCCCAATCCGCTCAGGATGGCGATGATATAGCGGCGAGGCAGCCCGAAGCAGTTGCAGTCACACAGCGGGGGTTTCTTCTCCGCGGCCTCTCGGGGCCTCCCGTCCTCCGTCAGCTCGATCACCTCCCCGGTCTTCTGCTTCCTCTCCATCACCCTGGAGCAGAGACAGGCTCTCACATGTGTGCATATATACTATAACCGGGTGAATAGGCCCTTACAAAAAGTGGGGAATATTTTTGAGGGTGCTTATACAACATTTTATACTCATATATTTTATGGAGAGGGGTTTGTCCCTTTTTCCTGTTTGTTTGCTTTATTCTGAGGGGTGTTCCCATCGGGAGGCCACCACAATTTCAAGCAAATACTTCCATCTGTGTTTGCACAATGATAATAACAACAATAATAATGATGATAATAGTAATAACCATTGACAGGGAAAAAAAAACAACTTGGCATGAAGCTGAGAGCATACGAACACGTCCCTGACTGTACCGCATTGCAGCAGCCCGCTCACTTCCACACTCATTAGTATTCACGGGACCGTGCAGAAGCCCCATGCACCCACACATATACACACGCGCACACATGCGCACGCACGCAGCCTACGTCTGTGGGCATTCCTCAAAATGGTTTTCCTTTTTTCCCCCACGCCAACCACGCCATTACATCAAAATCAGACTGGAAAAAAATCGAAAAAATCCCATTTCTGCAGAAGAATTTCAGTCGAAATATAAGTGTAAGTAAATGTAGGTGGCATAAAATCAAAGGCCTCGACATGTAGCCTGTTTTCTTGAAAAATTTACATGAACCAAATGTGTGTGCAGAGGCATTATTCTTCATTTGGTTGGACTCACACAGTATCTCTGCTCGATCGTGTAAAAACACAGTTTAATATGCAGCAGGATCCTCATCTGTTAATATTCATGTTTTGCTTCATGTCTCAGAAGACACACAGAAACGGTACCCTCGTTGTTGTAAACCTGTCTGACACGGGAGGCCGTGTGTGTGTTTTATTATTCGTACGTCAGATACTATGAATTGTCTTATAAATCATGAATGAATCTCCCCAAAATTTCGCGCGTGGCCTGCACGTCCTACTCAACCTGTCTGCTGATGAGACTCGTGCATCCTACAGGCCCCTGCATCAGGAGGGGCGCGCACGCACATACACACACATACGTGCACGCACTCACACATTCGATTGCATAATGTTCCTCCACACTCCCAGAGGCGTGACTAGAGATCCCTGTGAGTAGTAAAACAATTTTTAGAGACGTGCGAACCCGCACTTTCCTTCTTTAGGACTGTCTGGTTTATTTTAAGCATTTTAGTCACTCCACCTCAACATAAGGAAACCGAAACAAGACAGAGAGTGTAAAAAAAACACGCAGCCTTACCTGTGCATATGACCCAGGGCCTTCCCCGCAAATTCCTTCATCCCCGCCGTGGCACTCATCTTCACGGACTCCATGTCCTGTTTGTATAAATCGGCCTGTTTCTCTCTTTCTCTCTCTTTCTTATTCTTACTGCTTATTCATCATGTTACGGCGCAGGATGGCCAAAGAAAACAGCGAACCAACTTCTGACCGATCTGAGTCCAAGTGAGGCGACGATCCCAAAAAAGAGCGAGGCTATTTTCTTTTTCTTAGACTTAAAAACGAAAACAGCGTAAAGATTTTACACGAGCTGCGCCCCTTCCTCCGCCACCGACTCCTCTCCTGCCTCTCGCACAGGAGCCGCGCGCTCTGCCATCACGACAAAAACACACACACACACAAAAGGAAGTGGAATTAACAGCCGGCGTCGAAATGGACCTCTACGTGTCCACGGGCAGAGAGAGAGAAAGGATGGATAGAAAATGAAAAAGGAGGAAAAGTTAGAAAAAGAAAAAAGAGGCAGAGGTGGGTGTTTGAAGTGGCCGCGGTGAATCAAAGAGGGAGTGAGGCTGGCTCGTGGCTCCTGCGGTGAGCGCGGGTTCATCTGACGTCGTGTTTTCAGCACCTAGGTCAGCGACAGCAGCTCCGCGTGCGACATCTGGGCTGCTGCTCGCGACAAACCACGAGCAAAATGAAAATAACATAGAAAATAGTGAATTTACACGAGGCTTTTTCTCTTGTTAATAAGAAAAATTACGATTTTTTATAACAACATCTTAAATAAAATCTTACATTATGGGGCCTTCGTCGTGTGGGATTTGTTTTCTACTACCTTACATTGAGTATTCGTTCACATTTGGCGTTTTTATGTTTGTAAATTTCACCAAAATAAGGACTGTTGTCCCATTTATAAAAGCAGCAGCTCTCCTGAGGGCGGTGCTATGGAAACCAAACGAGCAGGAGTGGATTTCCCTCCAACAGCTTCTTAAAAAAGAGAGAGAGAGAGAGAGAAATCCTCTGCTCAATGGAGGAATCCATCAATAATTGATGCCTCTCCCATATCCAATTTCTCCTTCCGCTTCCATATCTTTACGCAGAGTATAGTGAGCAAAGATCTGGAGGAATGTTATTTAGATTTTTTAAGACATGTGAAAAATCTCTGATATTTGATAACGAGTATTTGCGAATCATACCGAGCCAACGAAAAACACGAATGCTCAAAAATACACACACAAAAACAAGTGTAGAAGTAATATTTGGATCATTTAATCCTAGATGTGCGATTACAAGAAAAAAGGCTGAAGAAGAAAAGGAGTTTGAGTTTCTTGTCATTTGTTAGTATAGGACACCATCTGGTGGTCATATAAGACACTGTCTTTCCTTTATCGCTAATTAGTTGTAATCTTTCTTTTCTCTTTGTATGTTTTCTCAAGGTACAGTTTTCTTTTCTTTGTATTTGTATTTTGCCAATAAACTGTACGTGTCTGCAGGCGTTTTAGATTGTTATGATGGTGTCCTACAAGCCAATTATGACATTTTTGCTAAAGCCTAACTATTAAAAGTCTCTTTAAAGTTCAATAACGTTCAGTTAATAAAAAGTAAGAAGGCCCTGAAGTGCCTTGGGTTATTTCTTACATTGTGCATACAGGTTAAAACTTGATTTTAAAAATAGTTATTCAAAAAAAGCTAATTTTAAAATGATACAACTTTTGCCTGTTTCCTCAAAGTGCCGTGTCTCAGGAGTTTAGAGTCCTGTTTTATATGAGAGAAATAAAATAGAGTTAATTGACTCATTGTAAATGTCTTACACTTGAATTCTGTTTTCTTTTCAATATATGGAAAAAAAAAACTCCTTTTCAAAGTTGTATTTTCTCACGTTCTCTTGTGACATCTAGTGGTTGAAGAAGTACTCTGGTTCTTTGCCTAGATCAAAGTATTGTAGCTTCCCTGTATATGACTGTGTTCAGACAGTGTAATTTGGGATTATGGGAGAAATAACTCGATTTAAATAGTCCTTTACATCCTCAAAAAGTCATCAAGATATTGTGCATCATTGTGTGTTCTATATTAAGGATGTATAAGACATACACCTTGTTTGTGCACTTCTGAAAATTTGTGTTCAGTTTCACCTAATATTGAGGTCTAATCAGCAGATTGATACTCCGGAGTCCAGCTGTGCATTTCTTCATGCTCCAGTGTATGAAAAAATGTACTCAAAATATCTTAAAGCAGCAGTCATTCAGCTGTACAGCAAATGTCTGGATCTCCAGCCACATACAGCTGAAACCAGAAGTTTACATACACTATATAAAAAAGCACCTAACTTTGATTTAATCTAACATTAAATCAGATTAAACTTTTCCTGTTTTTGATCAATTAGGATTACCAAAATTATTTTATATGCTAAATGCCAGAATAATGAGAGAGAGAGAATTTTTTAGACAATGTTTTATTATTTTCTCAAGAGTCAAAAGTTAACATACATTTCATTAGTATTTGGTAGCTGCCTTTAAATTGTATGACTTGGGTCAATGTTTTGGATATGCTTCCACAAGCTTCTCACAATAGTTTGCAGGAATTTTTGGCCCATTTCTCCGGACAGACCTGGTGTAACTGAGCCAAATTTGTAGGCCGCCTTGCTTGCACATGACTTTTCAGTTCTGCCCATAAATTTTCATTGAGATCAGGGCTTTGTGAAGACCACTTCAAAAACATTGACTTTGTTATCCTTACGCCACTTTGTAACCAGTTTGGCAGTATGCTTAGGGTTGCTATCCATTTGGAAAACCCATTTGCGCCCAAGCTTTAACTTCCTGGCTGATGTCTTGAGATGCTGCTTCGGTATTTCCACATAGCGTTCTTTCCTCATGATGCCATCTATTTTGTGAAGTATAGCAGTCCTTCCAAGGTTCAATTTTAGTTTTGTTAGACCACAGGACACGTCTTCAAAAATTAAGGTCTTTGTTCCTGTGTGCATTTGCAAACTGTAATCTGGCTTTTTAGGTTTCTTTTGGAGTCATGGCTTCTTCCTGGGAGAGTGGCCTTTCAGCCCATGTCAGTACAGGACTCGTTTCACTGTTGATAACGACACCAGCTTCAGCCACAGGTGTGTCTCTAATTAACTCAAATGTTGTCAATAAACCTGTAAGAGGCTTCCAAGGACCTGATATTATCATCTGGGCTTTCCCAAATTGTTTGGAGGCACAGCCATCTTAGTGTATGTAAACTCTTGACTCTCGAGAAAGTAATAAAAAATCGTCTAAAAAAATTCTCTCTCTCATTTTTCTGGCATTTAGCAAATAAAAATAATTTTAGTAATCCTAATTGACCAAAACAGGAAAAGTTTAATCTGATTTAATGTTAGACGGTGAGAAAAAAAAGGTTATGTGCCTTTTTATGTAGTGTATCTAAACTTCTGGTTTCAACTGTATATGTAACTTCCATGCTGTTGATGAGATGTTCCTTTTATATCAGTTTCACAAAACACACATCAAAATAAGATACTTCTTCATTTATTGAGAATATTAACAGCTTTAGTGCATTTCTGTTCATTAGGCTACAGTTAACATAAAAATGCAATCAACAAAATATTTACAGAACTTCAATGCATGCATATCAAACCAACAAAAACGACTACTTTGCAGTGACAAGCAGCAGCAGCAAATGATATGAAACAGGTATAGAATTCAGATAGGAAACCTCTTTTTTTACTTTACAAAATTATACAAAAACAAGTAAACACTGACAGTTAAGGCATTTGTTTGTTGGGAACTGCATCATGCACCATGCTGGATCCCCTCCTGAGACACCCTCCACACATCACAGGACACCTGCGACCTTTTATTTAAAAGTGATGCTCAACAAACGTTAGAAATGTTTCATCCTGAGATTGAAGTCGGCCGGGTTTGGTCAGATATAATCTGGAGTCAGCTGGATTGACATCAGCGTCATCTGCAGTGTAAATTATTTAAAAAGTTCAAAGAGAAGATTGTAACGCTCATCAAGCTTAAGAAATTAAAAAAAAGCAACACTGTACCTCCAAGACGAGCCATTTTAAAACATGCTGGTACATTTTAGACGGTAAATCAGGATTAACAAGTTTTAGCTAAAACTTCTTAACTGGTTCTTTAAGAGGCTATGATATACTGTAGATTAGGAAATTGGGTGCTACAAGAACATTGTAAAAAGATCCTAAAAAGAGGATTACGAAGTTACTTTTAAGCAGAAACACATCAATAAATTAACGGCTGAAACTAATGTCAATAGAAAATATATCCTTTGTATCTACAGTAAAACATGACCAGCTGTAATCCTCCCTCACATTATCCAAAAAGACAACAAGAAGTTTCTCTACTGTTTGTTTACCCCTGGAATGACTGTTATGAGCGTTTATGCCCTTAAAACACAAAGGCTTCTTCAACTACCTGACACCCAAAAACAGAAAAAAACAGGCTTCTCACTAAGGAGCAGAGAAGTACACCAAAAGGCGATGATGTCGTATGATGAGCTTATATTCATGCATTCAAACTGATTGTAATGAGCAGAAAACCTGGAAAGAGATTTTCCTGCGTTTTCTCCATGCACTCTTTCTCCTATAATTGGTCCCACAGCAAGTCTGAGATTGATTTGGAGGCTGTAGCTGCTGTCTCACAGTAACAGTGCTGCAGTATCTAAAAGTCATGGAATACCATCACATGTCTGATTCTTACAGTATCACTGCAGTATGACGGAGGTACTTGGTTCTCTAATGCACAGTTTTTAAGAGCGTTGACCTAAACATAAGACACAGAAGAGACAAATTTGCCATCTTATAGCCCAGCTACGATCCATGGAAACAAATCTGATCACTACCTGTTAACAGTTTAAGTATTTACACGTTTCACGATTGATATATCCAAAACAGGTTAGTAGTCTGAGTGCTTTCTACATTTGGAGTTACATGAATGTAAAATGTAATGTGATGTAAGAGATCTACCGCTAAAATTAGGTCAATGAAACTTCTCACTGCTGACACATGACTTTAAATATTTGTTTTTTCTTCATATCTCACTGGAACTATACCATGCAGGAAATTAAATAAATGTTATCATAGCCAGCATTTTTGAAGGTAAATAACACTTAAGTTCACATTGTTTAACATCACAAACCGACTATCAGCACATAAAGAGATTACTTTTCAGCCTCGACCAAAGGACAGTTTGAAGGCATCACATGGGGAATGGTTCTGGCTGCAGTTACAATCTTTTCCTTTCTTTTTTTTATTGCACACAAACTTTCCTTCACTCATGACGCAGATTTTTTTTTTCTGATGCCTTTACACAGATCCTAATGTAGGAGTTCATTCAGCATGAAGACACGATAGCATTTTGATTTCACAGACAGAAGCCCTTGTTTACGAATGTTCTGCTATGAATCAGAGGCTACAGGCACTCAGACAGCACTTCATGCTTGTCTGTCATAGAGGACATTTCTGACTGCGGCTCCGTGATGAAACTGGCACTCAGCTGTATTTTGAGCCTCTCCACCTCGTAGTTATGCAGGTACTCTTGAATCAGGTAGCGTTCTCGTTTGATCCGAGCCTTCACATCAGAGGGGACGTCAGGTATCAACCATGCCACAAAGAACTTCACCACAAAGACCACATGCTGCAGGGGAAGAAGCAGTAATCACAGTCAAATTATGCTCAGTTTCCTTAATGAAGACTGAACACGGATTTTTGGGTTATGGTCAGAATGGAAAGATGTGTTTTCTTACTTCCATGGTGATTATGAAGGCCATTTTGGCTGCCAGGATGTGCCAGAACTGCATGGTGTGAGCATACGCCTTCTCATGACCTGGGGGGTAACGGTAGTCCCGATATCTGTTCAAAAACACAAGAGAGTGGCATCATATTGTCAGTAATGTGACATAACATGATCATTCAATAAAATTCGCAAGTGTACAAGTAAAAATCAAAATAAGAGTAACCCCTCATCCCTGTTTCCTCCCTATCAATTCACTCCACTCTTCCCTCATGCAGATGTGGGAGTCCTAATTGATCTTTATGCTTGGGTGATTGGTGACCTATCAGTAGAGCATAAGTATTGTAACAGGGCTGTGATATGATGAGCTTCTTTGTTGTGGTTTTATTTAGGGGTGTCCCAATACAACTTTTTGACTTCCAATACGATACCGATATTGTAGCCTTCAATAATAACTGATATTGATACGATATTGGCACAAAATTGTGCTTGACAAGTTTTTCACTCAGCTGCAACATCTTTTACGGACTTCAACAAAAAATACTGCCACAAGGCCAACATCACTCTTAGTCCTTGCTACTTTGTTAGTACCTTAGTACACATTCAGTGCGTTTACATGCACAGCTTAATCGGACTAAGCTCATAGTTTGTTTGTTTTTTTCCGCCGAATCGGACTTCTCTCCTTGTGCTCATATACATGCAGCTAAGAAAATCTAATTGTTGACGTGAACGTGTCCTCCTCCCCAAAACTAGGGGGCAATATGGGTCTTTTCAGCAGCGCTGTTTCCGGATCTTTTTAAAGATGTCTCCGTTCCTTGTTTTGTGACTGTCCATATACTTTTAAAATGTCAATTTCTGTCAGGACGGGAAGCATAACGGCACTCTCCTCATCGTTCCAAAAGTGTACAATCTTTCGTGTTTCAGCCATGTTGCAGTTGCTTCTGAGTTGAAAGTTCTTTAAATGATAGTGCCACTTCTTCTTGTGTATTTGTTCTGGGGTTACAGGGGCGTGGCGTACGCACACATGCATTGTCTGATCATACTCCAACTACACTGGTTACATGGAAGAGAGAATCGAATTCCAATCTCATTACCTGGGTGTCTTGATCAGAGTTCTCCAACTCCAACTGGAGTTCTCAAACTTTGATTATAGTCGGACGAAGGTGTTTACATGCACTTCAGTTGTCTGGTCTTTATCGAAGTAAGGCACTAATTCCGTTTTCTCGATTGTCATGTAAACGCACTGACTGTTGATGTGATTTTGTGGCTCAGCTTGCTGGATCAGGGCGCTGCTACATAGAGGTGCAGGAGCGGAGTCTAGCGGACTGCTTGTATTGTCGTGCTGATATTGGAGATTTTAGATGCAGGCCGATATATTCCGATATTCGATCTTTTGCTAATATTGGACCGATATCCAATATCAATATTGTATCGGGGCACCCCTAGTTTTATTCTTTATTGTTCTCCTCATTGTTTATAGCTCCAAAAACTTTTAATACAATAGTAAGCCAAAGCAAGATGCATAAAAGCACTCGAAGCCCATGTACCTGCAGGTGCTGGTGGAGTTTGCAAACCACGAGTCTCTTCCCTCCGGCATGTTGTCCTCATGTATCTGTGAGATGTTGTACACTGACAGGCTGTTGTTTACATAGCCCCACATGTTGGACTTATCACTGTAAGCATACAGGTAGACCATCCGAGGGATCATGTCAGAGGTAAACGCCATAATGAAAGCCTGTGACAAAAGCGAGCACATTAGTTAGTAAGGACAGCAATGCTGCAACCATGGTGTACAAATGTGGGCTATTTTACACACATGAAAATACAGAGATAAGCTTCTACTCTACTTCTGCTCTTTCAAACACTCACATTTGTAACAACAGACAAAATGGCCACTGTGTTGAGGATTTCCTGCCATGCTCCGATGTTTCGGGCCTTAGATGCCACTGGTCGTCTGAACTGGGTGGTGAACTTCCAAGCATCCACCCTGATCTCAAGGATGTTATTGAACAGAGCCAGAAGAGGAGCCAGGGGGAAAGAGGCCACAAACAGAGTGATGAAACCAAACTGGACCACTAGAACGACACACAGAGCAGAGGGATCAGAAAAGCTTAGGTATAACCATGGTGATAATATCAAATTGTACAAACGCAGCTGGTTATCCTTCATAAACAAAAGCTCTATAATGCAAACACAGTGTAGTGTCTCACCCATCTCCAGGTATTCATAAAACAGCCCCAGCTGACTGAAGTTCTGCAGGACGTTGTCTTGTTCCCAGCGGCTGTAGTGGTTCTCAGGATTGTGCCGTCCCTTTCTGCTGCTCCACCAGTTACGCATCAAACTGTGAAAACACACATTAGGAATAAAACTAAAGCCAAACTACAAAGACTGAACTTTAGGGTTTGCACAAAGCTCAGATGTTAGATGTAATGAAGCAGATTGGCGTACAAAAAAAGGATAGAGGGTCTAGATAATAGATTGATAGATGATCGGTATGTCTACTCACGGCAGCAGGGCTTCTTGAATGTTCCCCCATAGCTGTTTTCCCGCCATAACTATCACTAGCTGTGTGGTCAGCTCAATCAGACAGCCTCCAGGGTCACACTGAAACAACAAGAAGATTTGACATCAGAAGTGAACCTGCCTGTTTCTACCAGGATATTTAAAACAGAAATCTAACAGCACTCAATGTAGCTTTGTTCATCATGTTATTCAAAGTGTTTCCATGTTGTTGTCAAATGAAGAGAAAGAAAAACTCACCTCCTCATTCCTCAGTTTGCTCCATTTTTTGCCAAACATATAAGAGTAGTCACCAGGAAAACCCACAAATTTGCCTTTAAAGAAGGCGACGTAGAAACACGAGGAGTAGTAGTTGACAAACTGGAAGAGGAACATCTTCATGGTCAGTCTGTTCTCGTATTCCAGGTGGGTCTTGGGGATTTCTGCAGGAGGCAAACAGTTTGTTAAAAGTGTTGTTTCTGTGCCTTTTTGAGGTCTGTTCACATGATTTACATGCTCCAAATTTTTTTATAAAATTTTTGCATAGAAAAGTTAAAATTATAACCCGCTGCTTTGCACTGAAAAACAAAAAAAGAAGAAAAATAGATTCTGTAAATTATTAAAAGACAGGAGGAACCAGGTGGATCCAGGTATCTGTCAAAAGTGTCATCCCTCTGTAATATCTCACTTAAATATCTCACTAAATCTCTCACTTTCAATTGAGTCAACATCATTTTACCTTTAAAGGGGATGCTCAAAGAGTTCAACATGTGGGACAAAAGAAACTCCAGACTCCCAGAACTAGAGCTGAAAGTTCCTAGTGCTTTTTAAACTTCCAGTTGGGCAGGGCGATATGGGAAAAAGTTTTTCACAATTTATTTTTTTCATATCAGTCAATATCGAGATATATCACAATATAAAATAATCATTTGTCAATCTTAAATGCTCCGTTACTCTTGAATGAAATTTAGTCTTTTGCAATACAATAAGCTACTGCATCTTTGTGTCTCTTCAACATTTTGTCATTTGGCGCTGCGCTAGAGAAAGCGGACTGAATGGTCGGCTGTTTCAGCTGCACAGGCAAAGTGGGCTGCTTCGCACTTGCCCCGCTTGGGGTTTGCAAACGTTTGCATTGCGCGTGCTCTGCTGCGTGGCACTGAGGTATTCCCCGACTTTGTGGGAACATGTACTCAACATAATTTGCAGAAGACATTACTCTGCTTCACGTCCGACCTCAAAAAACCAAAAACCTCCACACCACTGATGTTTTCATGCCAGTGTTGTCGACAATGTCGTCATCTGTTGAGACTTCATCTGCATTTCTGCCGGGGGTAGCACTCGTTTTCTTTTTTTCTCACTGACAGTGCTGTCGGCTTCACGTGTTAAAGTGCCATGGTTGCATGTAGCTGCAGCCTGCTATGATGCAGTTGTTTGCTACTTGGTTCTAATTCAGCTCATGATTGGTTCGGAGCGAAGCAGACCCAGAGCAACTCCCCTTTTCACTGGCTATTTGTAAAGCCTACCAAAACATGGCAGAATGCTGGCTATCAAAAAGCATATTGACCATGTTTTATATTGATATTGAGGGAAATTAATTTTGAATATATATATATTTTTTAATTGTTTTATCACCAAGCCCTACTTCTAATATTGGTCATCTTGATAGTAGTGGAAACACCTCCAAGTAAATGTAGAAGAGTTCTGACTGGCTGTCAGTGTTTGTATTATTCATCAAATCACTCTTACGCTGACTGAAACAGTTTGTCATTTCATGTGTTGATCGAGCTCTGGACGGCTCTTTGCTCCATTTTCTTCCATTCGGTCAATATCAGTTCAAACCTTCGTACCCATATCAGTGATCCAAACAGCCACTCTCTCATAGAAGAAGTTGAGGATCATGATGATGACAAAGTTGATGCAGGAGGCAGTGACAGATGTGGCCAGCTGTGGAGTGATGAATCTGCCCACCACCTGGATCTTTCTCATGGGGTCTTTGATGACACTAGCAAAGGCAGCATACACGGCCAGCCTGTACGCTATGACCCCGATAATACACGCCACGATGAGAGAAATCTGTGGAGAGTGCACACCATTACAATTTGCGACAGGTGAGGTATGAGAAATGATTGTCATACAGGCATGCATATACAACAATAGTTACCCAGAATAACACAGTGGTCGCTGAGAGGCAGAAACGTGCACACTTGCTTGTGATGGGAAGATATGGCTCCATTTCCTAAAGGATCAGTATGCAGTTTTACTTTGACTGGTTGTTGTTAAAAGAGATAATGTACGTATTTTACATAGAAAGGTCTCATACAGTTTATTTTGTGTATGAATGGGGAGGTTTAAAGCACCTGTGTGATCTTGTTGAGTCTCTTGTTAGTGCAGCGGATCTCAAACTCGGGTCGGATTTGAAGCTGTTGTTGTTCCTCTTCAAAGTCCACCAAGTCCCACTCATACTCCAGCCGGGCCTGACGCCGTTTCCAGAACTCCAAGAACAGAGTTACTGTCAGACAGATTCAAAGAAAGGAAACAGAAAGTTGTAAAATTACAGTTTGAGAGTCATCTCCATGCAGTGGATGTTGTTGTACAAAGAGAACTCAGTCTGCAGCAGTTTTTTGGACTGGTCTATGACGACCTTAAACTTGTTGTGTTTTTGCACTGAGTGGAAACAGAGAGTGCTTGTGTTGGTTTTCAGAGTGTGATGTTTTCATTAGGTGTTTCCATGACTTGTCTTGGCTCACTGCTGTGCATGAAGCCGGCTTTTTAGACACTGTTTGTCTACAGTGATCTGGGCAAGTTGTTGAAGGTTGAAGCAGTATGGCCTGAATGTTAATGTGGCACAAGAGAGGCCTGAGTGGGAACAACAGGTTAAATACGGCAGGAGGAAGAGCATTAATGAATCGATACTCACCCCAAATCCCCATAAAGATGGCAAAGAAAACCGTTCCCTCGTTATCAAAGAGATGGGATTGCTGCAAAAGAAAAGAGAATCAAACATAGACGCGTATTTTAGTCAACCACTCGCTTTAAAATGCTCTTAAATCTACATGAACTGTAATGTTTTACCCAAGAGGAGAGACAAGTTGAGTTGAGCTTCCAGAAAGGACACTTTTTATCACAGAGAGGACACATCACAATGCTGCCTCCAATATCAGCGTCACATATTTCTTTGCTAAATGAAGAGAAAAAAAAAACACAGATTAATAATGATTTTTAAAACACAGCAGACAAATAAATTATTATTATAAAAACAAAGCAGTATCTCCAGATTAAATTTTGCAATCTTATAGCCCAGCTACGATCCAAGGAAACAAATCTGATCACTACCTGTTAATAGTTTAAGTATTATACGTTTCACGATTGATATATCCAAAACTTGTTAGTAGTCTGAGTGCTTTCTACATCTGGAGTTACATGAATGTAAAATGTAATGTGATGTAAGAGATCTACCGCTAAAATTAGGTCAATGAAACGTAATTTAATTTTGACCATTCAGCTTTATTTAAATTGATCAAGGGAAAATAACAGTGGTTCCCGAGCCATAAAATAGACTTGTTTTCAATTAATAAAGAGCTCCTACATTAACCCTGCAATATTCATGGATTGGAATTCAAACTGAGGAAACTAATTGAGGCATTCAACTCTTGTTTGCATCAGCCCGACCCTGTAAAGTGATGATATGCAGATGATACCAGAGCAGAGGGAAGCAGAAGTTGAAGATACACCAAAATGGGGTTAAAAAACAAACCCAGCATAGTTCTTTCTTTTTGTCAAACTGCTATTGTGGTAAAAAAATTTACCCTCCACATGGTGCACAGCTATCAACCAGCATTTGTCTATTATTAGGTCCTCTTCATGATCTCATGACCTCTGAAGCAGTCTAATTATAAATGAGATGGATTACATTTTACCCCACACTTCAGGTCTGTTACATAACTGATGCAGCATTCATTCTTTTTAACAATAATACTGAACTCTTCATCACTGCCCTTGTGACTGCATGGATGCGAATTTCTTTGGCGTAGATTTCAAATGTGATGGAAAGGCATCCCAGAAGGGTTGTAGTTGTCATAGCAGCGGATGAATGCCCACAGTCTTTGCCTTAAACTGTCTACTTTTCACATTATTATTGTATTTGGCTGACTCCCTGATGCTCGTGGTGAAACTAACCTTGATATGTTGTCATCGTAGCTTAACACTCCATAAGTGAAACATATGAGGCCCATGACAGCAGCGAAAAACAGCATCTCTGTGTAGAAGCCCAGCCAGGCAAAGTAGATCCCGATCTTTTCTCCATAATACTTCCTGCAAGCACAGAATTCAACAGAAAATCACAGCAAACAAATATTAAACCGAGTTTGGAAGCAGGCGCTGATATTCCCCCCCCGGATGTTGCTTGTTTACCTGATTAGGTTCAGTGGTTGAACTTTGTAGAAGCAGAGAAACCTGGCCCAGTGCTTGTACAAGTTGTAGCGCTCGCTCTCACATTCAGCGTTTCTGGCTCTTTTCCAGTATCTGCACTGAAATAGAAGAAACAACATCACATGTCTTATTGAGCAAAATATGCTGGGTAACAAAGGAATGAAATAAAACCAATCGTAATAATGAGTCCTTCCTGTCTCTGGAAAAATCTTTAAAAATGGGTGTTTTACTTCAAAAACTCATTAGTTGCAAACGAAAGACTTGAAAACTGTTGATTCTTATGACAAGTATTAGGGCCACATTAAGAAAAAAAATTAAGACCGAGATGAAAGTTATTAATTTATAAGAATAAAGCAATTACTAACGAGATTAAAGTCGTAATAAAACCATGATGATACTTATGATAATGATGTGTCAAAAGGAGATTAAGTATCTCCTTGTTTGAGAAACCTATATTGAAGTACATTTTCATGAAATGCTTCACGGCTCTCATTTCAACAACTGTGATCTTAGACAACAGGTTAGAGTATATGGAGTTTATTCTCATAAGTAATGATTTTATTATGACTTTATTCTCTTTAGTAATGACTTTATTCTTGAAAGTTAACAACTTTAATCTCGAAATCTGAATTTATTTTTTTCTTAATGTGGCCCTAACACTCCATCGCAGATTCTCACGATCTGAAGCTGGAAATATTCACCGATTATATAAGCAGGGTTAAAAAATAACCAATGCAGGTAATTACATTTCTAGTCTTGCAGTTAATACTTTGCTCTAATATAAGTTACAATAATTGTGTAAGGAGTCACGAAAGCATGAGCTGTGAAAAGTACTGCATCAACAGTGCTAACTCTGGCTGAATAAGAAGACTTTCAGCGTTTTGTTTGGTCCTTCAGGTTTGTAACTGGGCCACTCATACTTCATCTAACGGTACTATTCAAGATATTGCCGACTGTGCATGTCAAATATCACAATTCTTGAACATGACAGTCTAGAAGAAGGAGCTTTTTCTTTTGTAAATGTGAACACACATGTTCAGTTTTTCTTGTTTTCACTATATCTCTTACATCGTGGAGTGGAAATGCAGCTGTGTATGTCCCGTTGCTGAGTAGTCGTTTGATTCCCGTCTTGTCTTTCTCTTTCCGGCCCTCTTTGTAGTACGGACAACGGGCCAGGATGTAGAACACCTTAAAAGAGGAGGGGGATAAATTATAAAAGTAATTTAATTGTCACAAACACAGATTACCCCTGAAACAGTCAAACATCTCTCTGTAAAGTAGAGCCCATCAGACTTTTCTGCTGAGAAACACTCACAATTCTGTTTCTGGTGGAGGGCGGGAAAAAGGTGTCCTTGTCATTGATGAGGAAGAAGTCAGTCTTGTTCTTGTCGAAGGGGTAGGTGAAGTAGTCTGGGGCGGGGTGCATGATGTGCTCTGGCAGGCGGAAAGGGTGTGAAAGCCAATCCAGAGGGACATCCTGACCGTGAGGGATATCACTCTCTTTGAAGGGAACTTTGATTTTTAAGACATCAGCGTATGTGGCCAGAACATCCCAGGGAGCATGAATCTTCAGGAAGTACGTCCTTTGGTCTTTAGAGTCCTGATGTGATCAGAGACAAAGGAGAGGTAAAATACACTCTAATGGTTTAATGCTGAGCCATCCCTTTAAGTCATGTTTCTGTAGTACAAGATGTGCCTCAATGAAGAGTCCACTAGGGGGAGCAGGCGCTCAGTGTTTGAAACTCACCGATTTGTCTTCAGTCTCCAGCTCCAGTCCTGCTTTCTCCAGGTTGGCCTCAAACTCCCTCCTCCTTTCCTGTGGGCAAACAAGCAAACCACAAGCATGAGAGCCAGGCACACACTGTAACAGTGTCCTTTACCCATCCATGATGGAGAAATATTTGTTTTCTCCACAGTGGAGGTCTTTTTTATTACGATGCTGTTTCCTAGAGTCATCTCAAACTTCAAAATGAGGACTGGCCAAAAAAGGGGGAGTATGACAGTACTTTAGTCGACGTAACTCCCATAAAAACTATTATAGCTCAGTAAAACACCAAGGGGGAAGTCTAGGGACATGGGTGGAGCCAAACCCTCAATAACAGACCCACATTTCTTTTAAAAAAGAGGCAAATTTACTCTAGTGCTTCGGTTAAAAAAAAATATACTCTGAGAGAAGCAGCTGGTTTAAGCTGGCTGCATTTGAAGGAAAATAACCACAAGTAAAGATCTTTTTGTTTATTTTGACAGGTATGCATCATCCAAAAAAAAGAAAGAAAAAAAAATCATTTTGTAGCAAATCATACATCCATTTCTTTGTCACATTAAATAAATTAAAATAAAATAATGCAGAGGATAACAACATAGCCATGCAAAAGTAAAGATGTTTAAGTTGCCTTTAAGGTGTTCGAAGGCAGGTTAGTCCACAGTTTTTGTTACCTGGTACCAAAACAGAACACACGTCTACATCCTTTACAAACACAGATTTATCATTACAATGTTGAAGGATGATAATTTTACTCATCAGCCTTTCAATGAAGAACATGATCAGTCTTTCCTCTCATTCTCACTGGTGCACAGCTCTGCACACGTCCGACAGAGGTCAAAGTAGTTCTCTTGCTTTACTGGAAGCAATTATGAATCAGTGAAAACCCTAATGGAGAATAAATTCAATTCAAGAGATCAAATCAGAAACTGAATGGGCAACTGGCAAAGCTGAACTCGGCCATGGAACTAGTTCTTCTCTTCTGTCTCTTTCTCACACTCTTTTTGATGTTCTTTCTTCCGTGTGCTGAAGCGTCTCTTTGGGTTTTGTTTTGTTACTCGCACAATCACCATAAAGGCCACTTCAGGTAAATGCTACAAAGGGACACAGGTGAAGCAGTGATCTGGGGAACGGGAAGAGCACACGGTTTTTACCTCTAATCTCCGACACCACTCTCACCCTCATCACGAACATCGTCATCATCGTAAGTTGGACGTATCTGTCCTTTTTTTGTTGTTGTTTGTTTTTCATCAAATCAGTTAATGGCAAAAGATAACTCAACAACAACCTTGGATTGGACATTGAATTGTACTAGAAGCGTGTCAAAAACACCTCGCTCCCGCACCCAGATGGTGACTAAAATTCAGGACAGCATAGTCACTACAGTACATTTATATGATGTATATGACGTTACATTTTTTGTTTTGTTCGATTTTGACCTTTTGGTGTACTTAGCATTTGCAGAGGCGAACAGACTGCAGGAGGCGTGACCCTCCTGTCAAAAAAATTGACAGGAGGGTCACGCCTCCTGCAGTAACACCAGCTGATATGACGCGTCACACCTACCACCAAGTGACACTTCTAAGGAAGGCGGAAGTTTGATTTTCCTCCCTATTCCACACTCAGTAAGATTATACTCCTCCAAAAAAATGCTGTTCAGTCAACAAAAGAGAGAGAAAACTTCCAAGCACTGAAAATTGAAGATAAATTATCCCACTTCCTCTTTGCACCACCATATGTTCTTGTTGTGGAAATAAATTGTGTAATAATGTCACCAGTGCCACAGTTAGTCACTGGTCACACTATCATGCTGAGTAGGCAAACAACAGCAACGAGTTATTAGTCCTTTACACTGACCTGTTTCTTTTCTCCATCCTTGTCATCCACATAAGATAACACAAAGTCTATCCTTCGAACACCGTCCCTGAAGAACACCGTGTCTTTGTTGGGCTGTAGCTGGTCTGTCTGAATCAGAAACAACACACAGACAACATGACAAGTTCAGATTATTCCACAGAGTGGGAAACGAAAGCAAACACGTATGCAATCCTGGAACATCAGACACTGACACAGCAAGAAATAAAACCTGGAGATAGACAGTAAGGGTTCAGACTCGAACATGAAAAATCTACAGTATTAAATATTTAGAGAAGCAGAGCGGCCCAGAATAACACAAGTAAATCAGGTTCTTGTTACTGACGGATCCCAGGGGTCCGTAATTCACCAGTCAGAGCCTGAGAAAAGCGCTCCCACAGAAAGTTTAGAGGAAGGCCATAAAAAAAACAACTCACATAAAATGGGAAATTCTGGACACAGTTTAACCTCAGTCTGTCATTATACAAAAATAGATAATGATAGAGGAGAAACACACTCTACATTTCTTATATCAACATCTAGATTTCAGACACGGCTGTAACTCCAACCACATTCTGTTCACAGACCAGGACGTTTCATCCATTTGTGTACAACAAGTGTTTCACTGACACAAAGAAAAAACATCAGCTGTTAGTGATGTAAAGTCATTATTAAAGTTCTGGACTAAGTCTTTAGTTTCTGTGAAGTTCTATGTTTTATTACAAAGAAAGAAAAGTATTAATTTGTACATTTTCAGTCTTTAGTGTTGTGACAATAAAGTGGATAAATACACTCTTAAGTCCTAAACCTTGTTAACCAACCGGGCATAGAAGCTAGAGCTGTAACAGTGTTTTAGTCTTTATCATCTTTAATATCAGGGAAACGAAGATAAACTCTTGAAGCAGTTAAAGTATGTTCTTTTTAGGTAGAAAACGTAGACTCTTTCTAGTTGTTATAATACAGAACTTTGTGGCACTGACTCATGTTTCCTTCCTTTAGATTTTTAGATCTTTGTCTCATATAGTCACATGTTTCGTTGCTTCAAAGTGTTTTTGTAGAGTAGTCTTTTTAATCTGGGCTTTATCAGAATAAAAATTTTTCACACAAACTGTTTCAAGAAATAAAGCCTACTGGTCTTAAAGTCCCACTCCGATCGTTTATTTTTGTACAACTGAAAGTGTTCTCAGTAGTCTGTAAATTGTGATTATCAAGTTTTTATCATTTTTTTGTGTCATTTTCAAGGGCTTTTCTTCTACAGAGCTCCAGTAGATCATTAGCAATTCGCTCGGAGACAGCGCTGCTCTGCACACTCGTCTTCACATTAACTTGCAGCCTAACATTGCCGGTGTAGTAGAAGTGGCAGGTAACATAGAAGCTATTCAGCTCTCGGTCACTAATTTCTTTCGAGACCAATGAAAGCTAATATCATAATTAGCTTTCTTACGAGCATTGCGATCCACTAACGCACACACTTGATCCACTATTGTCTTCTGTATTTCCTCTCTTGCAGAGCCTGGCCTGCATAGCGGGGCTCCGGGGCTTGGATTTGTGACAAAGGAAATCTCACTGTGTCTGAACCTACTGTTTGGGTCTGCCAGAGATTCACAGCAATTTAAATGCAGAGATACTCAGAAATGCAATTTCGCATTTAGTTTTCTCATGATATGTCCTGTAGCATCAGAAAAATGCCGTATGAGCATATTAAAAAACAAGAAAAACTGAATTTTCATCAGAGTGGGTTTTTAAAGACCTTATTTAATCATTAGAATGAATAATGTGTTAAACTTTGTTAAAAAGACACTAAAACTGGTCCACCTTTTTACCCAGTGGGCTTCATGATGAGGACACAAGAAGGTGTTTCTTGTAAACACTCCTGAAAAAATTAACTTTTAATGGTTCACTGCAGCATTAAGTGCCCAGTATGTTCAGTAGTTTACCCAACCCCACCCAACTTGTTTAATAGACCCTGACAATCAGCAACATATCTCCTGGCAACAGAGGCGTGGATGCCTCTTGTTACGCTGTAATTTAATCAAATTTTGACACATAATGAGATCATTAAAAACCGTTCCAGTCATGACACAAATGAGAAAATATCTAATTTCTGCCCTGAACCCCATCCATCCCAGACACCTAATATAATCAGTGTTATGAATTAAGATAGATGAAGCATCTGCTTGTTGGTATCACTTCATCACAGTCAGGGAACAGGCTCCAGGTTTTATTTTAGTCTGGCTGTTAGAGAAACGAGAGGAGCTGTTGAAGACTCAGAGGTCTGGTGATTCAGCGACAAGAGTGCTAGTGAGTCAATAAAAGGTCAGGAGTCCAGGTTTGCCAACATAAACAATGTTACGGCTGCAAAGAAAATGAAACAGCATGGGAAACACAACAAACACCATCTCAGAGAACTACTGCAGGAAAGCAAGTATTTGCATTTGTAAGTATGTTTATTACCTGAATATAAAGACTACTACAACCATGACACTTCTAATACAAGATTTGATATCTATTCTGCTTCTTTGCTGGTTGTTTCATGTCTGTATAAGTAACAGCTGCCACCTGTTTATCCTGGAACAAAGGCTCCAAAGAGGTTGACCTCTTGTCAAATGAAGTTACCAGGCAACCAGCACACATAACTTTAATTAGAGACCGTCAGAGGTGTCAGTATACGCATTCTTCTAGCCTCAGAGTTTGTTTTTAGTCTTTGTGCTGAGCTAAACTAACATGCTGAACATGCCTTTTGCAGATAGAGAAGTTTGACCGATTTTCTCACCCAACCTGCAGATATACACACAGCACAGCCTTACCTCTGTATGTCCAGGAAGGATAACCCTTTCAGATAACGTGACACCATTTCCACTGTTCTCCTCTGCAAAAGACAAATAAAACAATCAATCAATGTCTCATCCAGTTGGAAAAGTACAGAAAATCTAACAGCCACATATTCAGAAGCAGCAAGAAAGTACAATTCAAGTATTACATTTTGAGTTTGTGTACCTGAATATAATGGTTTAACACAATTAGGTTTTTTAATATTGTTTTTAAAAATGTGCAGGTATTGTCTGCATTTTGAGACATGTTTAAAAAGAATATGCATATAGTAGAAGTTTGTTTTGATGACTCAAAAGTTCAAATAATACTCAGACTCTGGGACTGCTGACCGATCAGACTTGGGACATGTACTAAAAAGCACTTGGTTTTACGCAGATTTCCTATTTTAAAAAAATACCTGGAAAATGAAACAATTCCCCTCTCAACACTTGTTCTCAAAATAATGTTATCATAAGAAATGAAAAACGTTTTTGAAAACCTAAAAAATCTGACAGGAAAGTGTTAAAGACCCACTCCAATGAAATTCATGTTTTTCATGTTATCTACATGTTCATATGGCATTTTTTTTGACGCTACAGGACAAATCACGAGGAAAATAAGTGTGGAATTGCATTCCTGAGTATTTCTGCATTCAAATCGCTGTGAATATCTAGCAGACCCAAGCAGCAGGCTCAGAGCGAGATTTCCTATGTCACAAATCCAAGCTCCGCTATGCAGGCCAGACTCTGAGAAGTAGAGAGGACGATCGCGGAACAAGCGTGTGCATCAGTGGATTGCGATGTTTGTAAGAAAGCTAATTATGATATTAACTTTCATCATGTCCCCAAAGACGTTAAAGTCCGAGAGCTGAATAGTTTCTATGTTACCTGCCACTTCTACTACACCGGAAATTATAGGTTGCAAGCTAACGCCAAGAGAAGTATGTAGAGCAGCGCTGTCTCCGCCCATGACTCAGAGGTGAAATGCTAATGATCTACTGGAGCTCTGCAGAAGAAAAGCCCTTGGCGCGATTTTGGCTAAAAGCTTTGGCTAAAAACTATGAACACTTTTTAGTATTAAAGTAAAAAAAAAAACGATCGGCGTGTGACTTTAAAGCTTCAACAAACAGAGATAGTATTGTCCTCTCATCCTCACTGACAGAGCAGTTCAGCTAAGCTAGTTTGAGACCTCTTTCTTCCCATTCAGGATTGTATACCAGATAAAAATTAGGCTCACTCTGAACTCAACTTTCCCTTTAAGAGTGATCACCCAGCCATTAATTGTTATGGCCTCTCAGAAAAAAAAATCCATTGAACAAGAGCCCCATTAAAATCTTGCAGTCTCTGGCAACATCTACATAGACAGACTCCTGCTGGATTGGGAAGCATTAAGAGGAGCAGAGAGAAAGATGAGGAGGGCAGAGACAGCCGCAGACTCTCACACACACACACACACTCTTCATCTCTAAATACGATGACACACAGCATTCCAGCACAGCCTCCCTCTCATGGCAGACACTGGCAGACTGTACAGGGAATGTGCTCATGTAGTATTACTATGCACACTGCCCTGTTAATCCTGAATGGTGGGAAAAGAAGCACTTCCTGTGGGGGAGGCTGGAACATGCATAATGACACGTCACAGAGAGGGGAGGGGGGCTGGGGTCGTTTCTTTACCGGAGGTCTCACCGCCGCATAAGTCAGTGCACACAAAAGACACTGAGATCCCCAGCCTCCTTCAGCTCCAGTGCTCCTCCTATGATTAGACACGATGGTGTGATGGACAGGAGAGAGAGCCAATCAGAGAGGAGATGTGGTGTTTCTATGTGGAAGCTCAATGAGAGGCCAGGACACTCATTAGAAAGGAATGAATATGCTATATTAGTCGGATCACAGAAACCCCCGAGGACCCCAGATGACACGCTGTCTTTAATCCAGACTCATGGAAGCTACCATGCAGCTGTATCTGACTTTGTTCTTTGTGCAGCGTCTTCCGTTTTCTTCCTTTTCTGTCTCTCTGTTTGGTCTGACTCCAACTGCACACAGCCAGTTATCAGAACTTGAGCAAACAGAAGCATGGGGCCAGCAGTCTGTAATATCTACTTTCACAGAGACAAATAAATCCAGAAATGGACCATGCACACACACACACACAACCAAGGAACTATTCTTTGTGTAGTATTGTGCACACAAAGGCATAAATGTCTATTTAATAAAAATAACTACTGTATACGCAAGTTACACATTCATTTATTCATGGGAAGTTATCTTGAGAACTGGCGCAAAGGTACAAATCAGCTAAATTACAAGTTTTGTAAAGAGAAAAGCTCTTAGACTGTGTTTTCTTACACTCTCCACTGAGGGAACCTAATTACACTTCAGCAGCCGTCTATTTACAGCAGCCCAGCAGCCCACTCTCTTGTGATCATGCCTGGCAGCACAATGCCAACTTAGGAAAGGAAATACGCCAGTTAACTTACAGCCAGCTCTGAATCAAAGTGACACTTTTAACACCAGATGAAATGGGACTTCAGTCCCAAATTATCTGGATATAACTTCTGATGTAAAGCCGGTTTTGTTTAACTTCTTTTTCTTTGCTTTGGATCTTATGTTTTGTTATGGGATACAGACATGTTTTACATAATTCATGAGGCAGCAGGCCTTGGTAAGGCTCTGCAACGGACATAAGGAAATGGATGCCTAAATGCCCAAACTGCAACCAGATACACAAAAAAACATGCATTTATCCACTGAGGAGACAGTATTTTAAAACAGAACTGGAAACTGAGAAGTTCACTTAAGATCCCTGTTTTACAGCTCAGTCATAAAAACAATGCAACTAAAAGTTCTTATAAAGCAGCTGCTTTGTTTCTTACCCAATCTTTTTCACATTTGAACCCTCATCTGCCATCCATGATTTTTAACTCGGTGATACTTTACATGAAGCCACCTCTAATAAAACATCATGAACACATTTATAAAGCCTTATAAATACATCTGTAAGGCCTTATAACTGTTGTTATGAATGTTTCAAGCATTCAAAACAGCTTATAACAATGTTTAGGAAGTGTTAAAAGCAGTAATCATAATGCCTCATAACAGGGTGGTTTATTATGGATGTTTGTAAAGCCTTAAAAATTGATAAAGCTTTCTAATGTGCTTCGGATGCATTCAATGAGGTGGGTTCATATAAAGTGTCACCCTAAACTTCTTTTCAAACTGACATCAATAAATTTCTCCTTCAAGCAAAAGCACTTCTGAGGATTTGATTGACTTTATTTTCCCTTTGACTAAAACACCCCAAAATACTGCAAACAGCTGTATTCACAGAATGAGTGCTCCAGTTTTTGACACTTAAATACAACAAAAAAGAACGAGTTCATTTCAAGAACAAAATCAGGGTTCTGGGCTGCCAGATTTAATATTTACAGACAGTAAATATTAGTTTTCCCACAATGTGCGACGTCAACAACAAGGCTTCAACACTATATTGGTTCAAATATTTACTTTCCAGGAGCTTCAGATCACCTTTTTGAGTTGAAATAAGTTTTAAAATGTGAATAACACCCCAGCCTCCTCTGGAAATAAAAATGTCTTCTAAAAGACAATCCAGCAGCAAAAACAGTCATCAGAATATCTTCTCTAAAAGTTCATCAAGCAGTTAAGTCTTTATTGTGGTCTTACCGCTCTTCACATTGAACCTTCTCCTGATGTAAGGAACCAGCTGAAGGACACACAGTGATAATCCCATCCTCTTTAAGTCAATGTCAGACCAGTGGAGGAAAACAAATGATAGGAGGTCCAAAGTTTCTTCTTGTCCTAAACCAACCTGAGCACTTCAGGCCTCAGTCTCAGTGATCAGAGTAATGAAATCAACGTAGGTTTTGTACGGCGCATGCCAACAACACATTGTTACAAGAGGCCACTGATGCCAAAGTGCTGATCATGCAGAGGGAACAAAAGCAGCAGAGGCGGTACATTCCCTCTGGATGACAATAAAATCACTCTTCCTCAACCAAATGCAGCCAAAACTGAATTCACACAAAACCTGATGAGGTTTAACCTCCATTTTCAAGTGGAGAGACTCTTATTTCTGGCCCCACTTTAACTCCAGAGTTTTATTTTACATGTCAGGGTCTGTAACCAGCAGGAGAGCTGCCCACTCAGGTGTATTCAAAAGTGAATCATCCAAACAAATGCTATGAAAGGAAACCTGCATCCAGGTTCTCATATTTATTTCACAAGAGGATGTGAGAGGATATCTGAGCCACCCTCCTACCCACACACTTAACACACAAAAAATATATGATTCATAACTTTCAGTATCAAGAAGTTAGGATGAACTTCACTTTTAATCCTAACATTTAAAAAATCTGCAGGGAGGTATAACAAAGTAATGTACTCTGCTATTGTGGTTAAATGCAAAGTATTTCAATTCCCTATTGAACAAAAGTCAAAGTACAATTACTGTAATTGAATATTACATACTCCAGTGTTTTACTGAAACTTTGTTGAAATAGACAGACACAGAGATGCTAAAGCTAGTGGCAAGAAAGGAGGGGTCTGGCCTTCTTTGTTAAGCAGAGATAGTGTAACTCTTCACATGTAACTGTCAGGGAGAAGATGTGCTGTTCAGATGTTGAACTGTTGCCAGTTGCTCTGAGTTCAGTCTTATCATACCAATACTTGTACAGATTCCACCCAAGGCAACGGCTGAAGTTCCATGAGATGTTCTCCATGAAACAATTGCTAGGGTACAAAGTCAACATGGTGACAAACAGGTGAAAAAAGGTGGCTCTGTGGTAGGAATCAAGTTGGACTCACTGGAGGATGTGTTAGAAAGATGCACAGTGAGGAAGATAGAGGCCATTCTAAAAAAACATGGATCATCCACTTCAAAAACGGCGGTGGGCGGCTCCTCTCTCTTCACTGCAGGATATAGAGATTCAGAAGATCTCTTGTACCCAAAGCCATCAGACTAATTGATTCTTTCATAAATAGTAAATGAGACTCCAGACAAATAAATGTCCCTTTGAGGACCAATAAAGTTCTTGTATTGAATTGTAAGTGTTCAAACAAACAACTAATGATAGCTTTTGTCCCAACACCAAAACAGAGGGAGGTGATGGCTGGTGTGTATGAGTGTGTTAATCTGTGGAAGTGTCCATTTGTGTGTGTCAGACTGTCTGCAAAGCTACTTCACTGCAGATTGGCACTAATGCCAATCTGTTGTTGCATTAATATAATGATGACAAACTATAATACCAATCTACTAATTCAGAGGTTATATACAGGGCAGAAAAAGTCACCTGTTAGGTAAACTCTGATATGTTTTCATCATCAAACATGAGCAAAAATATCAGCAGTGAGCAGGTGTTACTCTGTCTCAACCATTTTTAATCCATTATTTAAAAAACAGACACCAGAATACAAATACATGGTGGAAAAACTCAAGTTGTCTAAGTTATTTAAAACATCAGAATCAGTATGAGCTCTATTTCCACAATCACTTCATCTATAAATAGAGGTACAAAAACTGATAAATACTGACAGAAAGCTGCTCAACTCATCAAAAACAACTTTGTGTAAAATAACATTATACATCTAGAAAGCACAGTTCAGTGTACTGTGTTGGCTTTTTCAAGTTATCTGATCTTAAAACCAGCATTTTATACTCATTTTATGCTTATTTTAAGTATATTTAACTTATTTTTGGGGCTGTAAAAGTTAAATTTTAAGTAATCTGATCTTAAAACCAGCATTTTTGGCTTACTTTAAGCCTTCCAAATATATTCATAGACATGTTTATTTCTAGATTTTACAATCTTAATGTAAGAAATCTTGTCATTGTTATGATCTTGCTGCACACACAGATAATTTCACTTGTTTATAGTACCTTCTACCTCAGATTTACTTTGTTTTTAGACCCCTCTTTTTGCAGTGTATAAGCATATAACTCTGACGGTATATAAATTCTGAACTTTTTACAGTATTAGATTCTCTATCAAATCATCCAACTCTAACTGGCACATAACTACATGCACATGCCTCTCTGAATTATATGAGCTCATGCTTCAGTGCAGATTTGACGCTCCAGCGATAAACACATGACACAGTGCACTTTATCACCAGGAGCCAGGCTCTGCAGAGGAGATGGAAAGTCAATGAGCAGACAGACACACAAACATCTGGCTCTGATAAGCAGAGAGCGGAAAGCGGGGTGGACACAAATAGAAATATGGACATTTATTGAAGAGAGTTTGATATGAGAAGAAAGCGAGCGGACTAAAAAGAGAAAAAGCAGGGGATGGCGATGAAAGGACGGACAGACAGGCGTGACATAAAGCCTCTGATCTGCCCGTACCTGAGTGTAGGTTTATTCTGAACGCGGTCAGGGTAGCAGGTCCATCTTTAAAAGACAGACAAATAAACACAGGTTAGTCTTAGACTGCAGGTCGGGGAGGTGAATATTGTAAAGTGCAGCTCAGACACTCTTAAACCTATCAAAGATCCTCACATGTGAAGAAGTGCCCAGGGTCTACTCAGGCTCAACACAGCCTGATAGCACACCAGAGCTTTTAATCACTCATAGCAATCAGAGCAGCATCCACACAAAAAGATAACCTCAACATTATGTAACAAGTTATGTGCATTTGACTCAACAGCACACCAAATTGTTTTTCACTATGACTCAGGCGGGCTGTGTGGGAACCCTCCGTCTAACGGATCTTGTGTAGCTCTTTCAAAAGGCTGGCACTCAGCTAGACCGCCCTGCTGCTCTACTCCTCTCAAAAACAAACACCTACAGTACTTCGTACTTGATTTAAATCACTTCAGATTATTGCACCACACTTTCGCAAATGCAGACTGACAAAGCATGACTGTGGATTTCAGTAACATGAAGCCTTTCTCAGGGGGGAGTGAGACAGACCCGCCACAGATTGCCCTACAACTTCCCTGTAGGCAAGAGTGGAGTGGATCTGTGAATGAAAAATTGATAGGATAAAGGTTAGCACTGTGGTCTGTATGTCTTCTATATTACTGTTAATATGGGTCAAGTTAGAAGTTACCCACTAGACATCAGTGTAAGACAAGCAGAGTGTCTGTCAAATGTGGAAGGCACTCACGTGGTAAGCGTGGGCACACTAGACTGAAATTTCATACCAAACATGACTGAAACGAGTCCTGATGGCCTAGCAAGGGTGGTGCATACTATGACAGAGAGAAACCACAACATCCTGAGCTACAATCGGGCCTGTGTCTTCGATGACAGAAAGCTGCCTATCGTTCTCTCCACATTTCCTGTCAAGTCAGCTTACTCTATAGTACATGAAAAATTCATAAACTACTCCAGGTAAGAGAAGGTTTCTTAGGAGAAAACAATAGTGAAATTTGAAAAATTGTGGGTTTATTTTTTATTAAAACTGAATAATTCATCAGCTCTCAAACATGCCTGATAGACGGAGGCTATAGTCCTCGTTGCAGCTTGATCTACTCAACCCTTGGTAAAATCGGCCTCATAGTATCTAGTTGACATTTTGGAGCCAGGCTCTAGTGGACACTCGAGGAACTTTTTTTTTTTTTGCACATGAACATAAGCTTTATGTTTCAGTAATGGGGCTCTCTGCTTTGTTTAAATTTACTTATTCTCAGAGATCACCAAGGTTATGTCAGCCATGTTATACTTACAGAAACTAGCTATCAAGTTCAACTCTGTAGTGAGAGTAACAGTTTAAGAATGGCCACTTTATGGACTACAACATGTGATGAAGTACAAACCAAAACAACTTGGAAATAATCAATCCTATTGTGATTATTTGATAGATTTTTATCATTTCAGTTTGATTCAAAACTAGATATCAGCTTCAGCCTGCACTTTTACACATTTTATTTATATCAAAGAAACAGGATGTAGACCAGGAAATATCTGCAGAATACATTATTGTGATGCTGTTTTGGCACAAGTGAACCCTACCAAAGAAAACCCTGCAGCTTTTGCATCATAAATAATGCACTTGCTTCGACTGTAAACACGATAATATTTGTCTGAATGGTGCAACTTCCTGCCAAATGACAATGACAAATTAAGTCTGTGTTTCATGATTAGCATGCAGTCTTTGGGTTATTATTAGATTTCTTTTGTAGTGACAGCATGCTTGTGTTGAATCAGACTTTTATTGTTAAATGGAAAACAAATATCCTGCGGTGTTGTCAGGATATTACAGCTCCTGGGAGGAATTTGCAGTGATACAGGGAAAGCTTGAACTGTGCAAAGCAAATTGACTTTTTCAGCACAGGTTGTGTAGAGTAATAAGAATCACATGTTATCTCTCAGGACACAGCCAAATGCTTGTTACAGGGTGTTTGACAACTCTGATCATTTGTAGAGGAGAGCGTGTTCAAATAGAAGGGTTTTACTGAAGTATTGGTAAACACAGAGTTGGACTCAGACGAGGACAACCCCTCAACCTTTGGCCTAGTTGATTGATTCACATGAGATGTCAACTTTAGTTCAGTTCAGGCACTGTTACGGAGGAGCTACTGCACCACCTGACAAATATAGTTCCAACAGTTTGTTCTATAAACAACTCTCATACATAAAATATGACTTAATAGCTTACCAGAATGTTTGGTTCCCTTGTCTGAGTGTCCTGTGTCCATGTACCCAGATGTGAGGGAAATAGGCCAAAAAAAGGGAACCAACATGAAACACATTTTCTAAACTTAGACCAGAGCGCTCTAATTAAAAAACAGCCGGACTCAAGCTCAGCAGGCTCAAACTTCTCCTTCTCCTTCACTTCTACCTCCAGTTTGTTCAGAGGAAATCTCTGTCCATGACTTATTTAGTATCAAGCCTCCATCAAAGAGGTAATACAATTACATTGCCTGTTTCCATAGCAACTCTCTGGCTCTGTTTCACCTCTGACTGAAAGATGACTTCATCTACTGGACTGCAGATTTTAGAGGCAGATCACCTTAAATGGAAGCAAATCCTTTAAAACATGATCAATCACCTTCAGAAGCACTTAAGAGGGTTTAGTTAAAGTAAATTATGACATCGCAGTCATAATTCTAGCTTTAATTCTTGTTGAGAGCAGTGTTGAAGGGTTTTGGGGTTGACTGGGGTATTTTATGGCCCTTTTTGGCTTGAGGATTTCACACAGCTTCATCCTTTAGATTTTCTTTTACCACTTAGTGTATGAAAGCTTAATTTCTGCACTTGTTCACACGTAACCTAGGTAAACTCTCTTAATCTCACCGAAGCTAACTATTTCAACTCTTAATCTATCACTTAAAGCTATTTGAAGAAACAGACTCCAAGGTCCAGCGTTAAGTTTCCACAGTCTGCAATGATTTTGAGTGCCATGTCAATGCAGCCTAAAGTCCACCGGGAGATTTTAGAGCACTTATGTTTCCATCTGCTGAGAGGCTTCAGCAAGACCTGGCACCCGCCCACGGTGCCAAAACTACCAGAAACTGATTTGCTGACCATGGTATCACTGTGCTTGAATTGCCAGTCGACTCACCTGACCTGAATCTAGGGCTGGGGGATATGGGAAAAAGTTTATCACGATATATTTTTTTCATCACGATCTAAAAATTGAAATTTAAGAGTGCTTATTGGTATTATGTCTTTTGAACTACAATAAGCTGCTGCATCTGTGAGGTCTTTGTGTCTCTTTGACATTTTGTCGTAAAGCGTTGCGCTATTCAGCAGACTGAATGGTCGGCTGTTTCAGCTGCACAGGCGCCATGGGCTCCTTGCTTCGCTTGGGGTTTGAAACCTTTGGCATTGCGTGTGCTCTGCTGCGTGGCACTGCTTCAGTTGGTGAAAAAGATTTGAGTTTTTCCCCGACTTTGCGAGAACATGTACTTGACATAATTTGCAGTGCACATTACTCTGCTTCATGTCTGACCTCAAAAAACCAAAATACCTCCATGCCACCAACATTTTTGTGCCAGTGTTGTCGATGATGTCATCATCTGTTGAGCCTTCATCTGCATTTCTCCCAGGGGTAGCACTCGTTTTCTTTTTTACTCACCAACAGTGCTGTCGGCTTCACCTGTTTAAGTGCTATGGTTGCATGTAGCTGCAGCCTGCTACTATGCAGGTGTTTGCTACTTGGTTCTTATTCAGCACATGATTGGTTCAGCACGAAGTGGACCCAGAGAAACTCCCCTTTTCATTGGCTATTGGTATAGTCTACCAAAACATGGCAGAATGCTAACTATCGAAAAGCATATTGACCATGCTTTATATTGATATTGATTAATTTTCAATATATTTCGTTATTGTTTTATCACCCAGTCCTACCTGAACCCAATAGAGGATCTCTGGGGCATCATTACAAGACAGATGAGAGTCACCAGTACAGATGAGCTAACTGCCTCTACCAAAGCAACCTGGACTTTATTATAACACCCCAGCAGAGCCACAGACTGACTGCCTCCATGCCACATCACACTGACACTGATGTTAAATCCACAACAAACATATATTTGATATTTCCTTTTTAACTAACTTTACATACATCACTTTGCCTTATTGTGCAAATATGTGTCATTACACTAAGATTTCATTTTGACTCTTTATAGGTTACTAGGTTTAACCTTTTACTAAATGTAGTATGTAGTTTGAGGCACAATTTCCCCCTGAGACGGTGGCAGCAGTATCCCCTAAGAACCAGTAGCCCCAGCCAGGCATTGAAAGATTGTTATAACTTCAAATGGGAGAATAAGAAGGTAAAATACCTAGGCATTAATATTAGTAAAGACTTAAATGAATTGTATGAGAACAACTATTGTGCATTGATTACCAAGATAAGGCAAGACTTGAATAGATGGGGATTAATGCCACATAGTTTGTTTAACAGAGTAGAAATTATTAAAATGATGGTTCTTCCACAATTCCTGTTCTTATTTCAGACATTGCCTATTGTTGTACCAGAGAAATACTTTAAAAATTGCAACAGAATTATTTCAAATTTTATCTGGAACAACAAAAAGCAGAGAATTAAACTGAAAAGTCTTTGTCAAGCAAAGGAGGAAGGCGGGTTGGGGCTCCCAAATTTACAGAGTTATTTCTTGGCTACACAACTCCTCACAGTAATGAAATGGATAGAGAGGGAAACAGAAACTAAATGGATTAATATAGAAAAAGAAACGGCAAGAATATCCATTGGGACACTGCCATTTATTGGAAGAACGCAATGGAAAAATTACACAGGGCAGAACTACTGCATTGACAATACATTGGCCAATTGGAAATGCGTTTGTAAAATGTTAAAAATAGACAATGAATGTGTGCTAGTGAGAGAAATGGCAGAGGATCCTGATTTCATTCCTAATAGAACAGATAAAATCTTGGTAGGGTGGGCGAAAAAGGGATTGACAAATTATTCACAATTAATTACAAATCATACAATAAACTCCTATGATATAATATCTAGGAAATACAAATTAGAATCAAAACATTTCTTCAAATATCTGCAGGTTAGAAGTTACATAAGTAGATTTTTAGCAGAGGAAACATCAGAGCATGAACTGATAAGATATATGACACAAAATTGTAATAAAAACAAAGGAAACCTGTCAAAAATCTATAAGATCCTGCAGAAGCACAACAATGTAGAGAGTAACATAAAAGAGAAGTGGGAAAAAGATCTAAAAATTAATATAACAACAGGAGAGTGGAGAAGAACATTAGGTAGAAACTTTACAACATCCCAATCAAAGTATTGGAGGGAGTTCTCATGGAAAGTGAGTATGAGATTCTTCATTACACCTGAGAAAGTTAAGAGGTATTACCCCGGACTGGATAATAGATGTTGGCGAGGATGTGGAGAACAGGAGGCAAATTATATGCATATGCTCTTTACATGCCCAGTACTAATACTGTACTGGGAAGGAGTCAAAGAAACCTTAAAGCATATATTTGAGTTTAAAGAACCTCTGCAGGTACAGCATTGTTTAGGTCTCCATTTAGAGGGAAAGATAAGAGCAAAGGATATCTATTTTTTTAACATATTGCGAACAACTGCTATGAAACAGGTGACCAAAGCATGGAAACAATCAGATCAACCAAAATTAACAGCTTGGGTATCAACAGCAGAACAATGTCTAGAGATGGAAAGGCTAATGTTAATGAATAGGGAAAAAATGCATATTTGGAACAAGCTATACCACAAAGAAAGGTTGACAAAAACAGTAGAAATATTTAATCAAATTAAGGAGATGGATTAAAAGGTCCCCACCCCAACTTTAACATCCATGTACATACACACACAGATACACAAACACACATACATGCACCTACCCCTACCCCTACCAGTTTTCTTTAGTTTATTTAATTATATTTAGTTCATTTTATTTTATTTATGCATTTATTTTTTGTATTTTGTTTGCTTGTATGTTTTGCCTTATTTTTGGAGATATGTTGATTTGGTTTCTTTTTGGTTGTTATTTACTTTCTGTATGTTAAAAAAAAAAAAAAATGTAAGGTATAATATTGTAAAATGAAAGCCTGACTTTGTTTGTGAAAGAAAGAAGCCTTGCAATAAAGTAGTAAAAAAAAAAAAAAAAAGAACCAGTAGCCCTGTTTGGGTATTTCTCATTTAGAAAACCATGCTTTTTACTGCTTATAGAGTCTCAGTGCCTTTGGTGTTCATTCAGTGCTAAGTCATCAGTCACGGCTGTCCATAAATCAGTGTTTGGGCAGCTGCGAATGAGGTCAGTCACTCCAAACACATCTATAACAAGGTGAGGACAGACCCTATCATCCTCTTTCTCTTTTTCATGTCACATGCTGCTGACTGCGTGAGCTGATAAGAACCTTAACAAAGCCTTAGCATGGAGAGAACAGTATATTAACGTACAGATCACCCTGAATAAAGGGGCCTGTATCTTTATTAACAAGTGGCTGATGAACGCATAAAAGAGAGTAATCGGAGAGGACACAAGTGGGTCAAAGGCGAAGGGGGGTTCTGACTGATGTGATGGAGTGATGTAAAACTTGAGTTATGAACTGGCGCCTGATGCTTCTCCACAGATCTGTGGTTATTAATGGAAGTGGAAATATTCATAGATATATAACTGAATGTCTGCATGGGATTAAACGATAATGATGCATATCAAAAATTAATTTCCCTTGATATTGATGTAAAACATGGTCAATATGCTTTTCGATAGCCGGCATCCTGCCAGGTTTTGGTAGACTATACTCATAGCCAATGAAGAGGGGAGTTGCTCTGAGTCCACTTCGCACTGAACCAATCGTGCTGAATTAGAACCAAGTAGCAAACAACTGAGTAGTAGCAGGCTGCAGCTACACGCAACCATAGCACTTGAACAGGTGAAGCCGACAGCACTGTTGGTGAGTAAAAAAGAAAACGAGTGCTACCCCCGGCAGAAATGCAGATGAAGGCTCAACAGATGACGACATCCTTGACAACACTGACACGAGCTAGTAGGAAGCAACCCACGATGCCTGTGCAGTCAAAACGGCCAACCAGTTAGTCCGCTTTCTCTAGCATAACACCTCACGATAAAACGTCAAGGAGACACAAAGAGCTCAGATGCAGTAGCTTATTGTATTGCTAAAGACATGCTACCAATAAACATTGTTAAATTTCATTTAAGAGTAACAGGGAACATTTAAGATTGACAAGTGATTCTTTTTTATTGTGATACATATCGATATCGACTGATATGACAAAAATATATCATGATGAACTATTTCCCATATCACCCAGCCCTAGGTACAAATGTGGAGTTTTTATTCCTGACATGATTGCGGCATTAATAACAGAAACTATAGTATACAACTCTTTAGACTACATACCAGCATGCTACATATTCCTATCAAGCCTGTGCTGTATCACTGTGATAATATGTTTCCCTGGAAACTGACATACAAGCAAGTTCGTCGGATTGTTCGTTGCTAATGAGAACTTTTAGATCAGCCTAATGTTACTGAAAAACAACCTGTCTGTCACCGCAAAAAGTGGCCATTTCCATTTGTCCACACTCACTTCCATCCTGGACTGTAGATGTACAGCAATACAAAGATGTCGGACAACAAAACCATTTCTACTCCTATTTTGGCAATAAAAACATGATTTCACTTGCAGAGAAACACCTCCTTGCAGCATAACAGGCCAGTATAATTAGTAATTATCTAAATGTTCCTCTGTTTGGTGGCTATCTCTGACTATAAAACCATTACAACAGTATTGTTTTTGCTATTGGAGCAATGGGAGGCATAATGCAGGACTTGAAAGACCACAGCCCATCAACCACTATTGTGACAAATGGAGCGGCATGGAAGTGGAAACTATTAATCTTTACCCATTTTCTGCTTTCATTGGGGGACTGATGCACATGAAAACAACAAGAACAGCAAACCAGCAGAGTGCATCACACTTAAGGCTGACAGCACATCTACAACCATCGAAACTGACCATAATATACTTTTAACCTCAACAGACTTAAGTGACCACGCTGTCTGAGGCCACACAGTGAACAGAGTTTTCTGTTTAGTGTGGAGTCTTAAAGGCCTGGCTGTCTCGAAGAAGCTAATCCCATTAGACACATATTTATCTCCACAGACTGCAGAAGGAGGATTGAAGCTGCATTTCTGTTAACTAGCCGGTGTCACCTCAGATAATTTTGCTCTTCATGCCAGCTGACTTTGCTTTGAAAATACACAGAGACTGTGAGGCTTCTTTCTGAATACTGCAGACTGCTGCAGCATTTAATGGGATTGTGCTGGATGACGTCTGTTTACAGTGACTTTGATTAAAACTAATCTAACTGTAATCTGCCTCAGTCTGGGGAATACCTCTCTGTGTTACATCTGTTGACCCTTACTGTCTAATGTTTTTTTAGAGAGTAGAGAGCACACAAACATGAGCACACCCAAGCAGCAAGTATGTTTGTTTTTTTGTTTCTAGTAGCCCCTGGCTTGTCATGGGATCAATACAGCAAGGAGAAACACAAATTAGCTTGAATGGCCTCCTCTGTGCGGGTTCATCCTCCTACTACAACACTAAGAGATCACTTTCAACTGAGATGATCCCAGTCATAGAAAATCCCTCCAAACTATACTCACTTCATACTAGAGTAAGACTAAATTCTGCCTGAGAGCCTTACCAGTGATATAATCAAGCTGTTAGGGGAGAGTGGGGTAAGATGAGCCATTTTTCATATTTCAGATCACTACATCAAGACAATCATAGTTTTGTCTCTAACTCGTGTATCTGCATATATTTCAAGATGTTGTTCATCCCTGAAAACCATCAGAATGAGTGTAAACATAACTGTCTTGATAATATAGCATGCCAAAAAAGTGGTCTCATATGGTCAACTTACCCCGTGTATGGGGTAAGTTGACCATAGGAGCGGGGTAAGTTGAGCCATACCCCTACTACCCCCCCCCCCCCCCCCAACTCTCCACCCCAGCCCTCCCTGACCTTCTCTCTCCCTAAATAACAGTCACTTCTTCACATTCATGTGTATTTTTATCTATTATACGATATTAAACTGGTCTGAACACAATTCTAGTAAAACTTATGACAGACTAAATTCACTTTCAAGAGTGAAAAATGTTTATTTGGAAATAAATGTCTAACCCCTTCACCCATGTGCGTCTAACCTTCACAGACTTCATGAATTGATGCCCATCTCCTAAATATTTGGTCACATGATCAATTTCTTTTACCATTTCCAGGCAACAGGGGGTGGCTCAACTTACCCCACTCTCCCCTAAAGGAAGCAAAACCCCTGTCCAGATAAGGCCCCATGTCATGCATTGGCGTGGTTATATTTCCACAAATTGTTCATTAGATTTTTAAATGGAAGTCTGAGTTCAGACGCTGAGTTGACACAATGGTTGATTGAACTGAATGATCTGATCGGGCTGTAGTGGGCGTCTTCGTCAAAGTTGAGCTGGAGCAGCATGGCAGCAGATAGCCCACTCCACCACTGCTTATCATAAGAAAAAAAAAACACCACGTGATCTCATAACCTTTAAAAGCTTAATGAGTGAATCTTTAATTAATCACCTCCAGTCTGTGAGTCCGTGGCGCTCTGCAGCTCGATCAAAGTTTCATCCTTCGCCTTCCCCGTTATTCTCCTCATAGCGGCTCGGTTATGTTATGATCGCAGCTTCACCTTCTCAGGGCGGAGGAGGAGGTGGAGGATAAGGTGGTGGTGTGTGAGGATGCCGCTGGGGTCCAATCACGTCGATGGAGAGTCCACCATAGAAGAAACAGCCGACACACACACACACACACACACACACTTCGAAAAGAAAGAGTCCGGTTCACAATGATGTATGAAAAGCTGCTCGTTTCTCCATCGTAGCGGTTCCTTCACTGACACTGTCCCTCAGCTGGGTTACCCAAGAATACCAAGCACACATAAAGGGGAGGGGCGTCGTATTTTCGTCGGCAAAACAATCCGCGTATTGTAGATTAATTATGAGTATCAAAGGAGGAAAACTGAGGAAAAGGGTGCAGATTATCGAAAACTATCGATCATGAGTTGGAGTCTAGTTTGTGTATCGAGTCATCTTGATAGAAAAGCAGAAAGACGGTGAAGTGCCGCAGGTTACCTGAGTTATCCTTTACCGAAGACCAACACGAGGGGCAGAGGAGGGATCCTAAACACAACAAGGACACCTGGTGGCCAGTTTTAGTAGTACACACATGCACGTTTTCAGGGTAAATTATGCCTGTTATATGTTTTTGTAGCATACGTATCAAAATAAAAATGGATTTATTTATATTCAGTTTTTGAAATATTTTTATTTAGTTTTAATTTTAAATTTTTTAGGAAAATGGGATCAGCTAAGCTTTATTTTCTTTTTTAAGGGTCAAAAGTTTTGACTTCAATAATATACTTGTAAAGTAACTAAGTACATTTAATTTAACACTTTCCATAGATAAAGAGGAGGCTCAGACTCACCTTTTTAACCAGGCTTTTTACTAATTGCATCTTTATATTTCTCTTATTGCAAATGTTCATTTTAATTGAAGTTCTTATTGTTTATTTTATGTCATTTTATTAATTACCTCTGTTCTTAGTCTTTTTCTTGATTTCCGTCACAGGTTTTTACTTCTTTTACCCCTTTTTTATATGGTTAAGAGCTTTTACTTATCTGTTCATTTAATATTTTTTCCTTGTTTTAGTCCATCAGGTTTAACTCTTTCTTTTCACCATTTTCATCTCTAATTTTTATTCTCCAGTGTTTCACAAAGGTAGCACTTTCCTCACGTAATGTCTCGGTGTCAGGCCATGTCTCTAACAATATATCTTAAATTCTCACAATGTGTGCAGTTGTGTGTGTAAGTTCCATTTGAATTTGAATAAAATAACAAAGTGCTTTACAGCAAGGATAGAATGCAATAGAATACAGAGAAACACAATACATATAATGGCACAGATACAAGCATTTCACAGAGGCCCAACACCGTCCACATCAGTTAAAAGCCTGTCTAAAAAGATAGGTTTTAAGTTCTTTCTTAAAACTTTCAGTAGACTCTCTGCTACGTAAGGTCAATGGTGGTGCATTCCAGAGGCGAGGGACACTGGCCTGGAAAGAGCAGTCAACTCGTGTTTTAAAAGGGGGGCGAGGGACCATCAAGAGTTTGTGGTCTAATGGCCTTCATGAACATGAGGAGGAATAGGGTCTCAGTAGCTCAGTGATGTATGAGGGAGCTTGATCATGGAGGGCTCTAAAGGAAAGAACTAAAATCTTAAAATTAATCCTAAAATTAACTGGTAACCAGTGGAGGGAATATAAAATTGAGGTGATGTGGTCCCTTTTCTTCGATACGGTTACAAGCCTTGCAGCTGCATTTTGAACAGTTTGAAGGCGATTCACAGCTTTTTTGTTAAAACGCATAAAAAGAGCATTACAGTAGTCAATGCGAGATAAAACAAAGGTGTGAATTATCATCTCCATTTCAGGTCTTGAAATCATGGACCTCAGTTTAGCGACGATCCGCAGATGATAAAAATAATCCTTCACCAACTGTTTGCAGTGGTGGTCCAAGGACTTGTCGTTGTCAAACACAACACCCAGGTTACATAAACTAGGTTGGACAGAGAGACCTAACAGACCTAAATGCTGCTTTATGAGGGGAAAGGCACTATTTGGGGCTTTAAAGGTTCTATCTTAAAACCTAAAAATGCAGTTAACCTCAGACATGCCCAATCAATAAAATATGATGCTTTTCATTTGCAGTAACAGATGGCAAATGAGTTGCTGTGGTGAGAGTTTGGGGTTGAAATAGTATATCCATTAGCTGATAGACCGTTGAATGGACTGTTGGAGCTTCACTCAACACTTGATGCTATTTGGAGGACATGATGGATCAATATAAAACCATAATTTCAATTACTTTTCAACATTCCCATGGAGATGACTTCCTGCGCTACCTTTTTCCAGTGCCTTATAATAAAATGAGGAACAGAAATTATGGATAAAATCTTTATAATCTGTCCATTTTTTAAACCCATCTCAAAAACCCACTTTTATTCCTTGGCTTTTGACCCAGCATAAGACAGCATTTGTTTCATTGCTTTTTTTTTTTTTTTTCTTCACTATTTATTGTTGTTTTGTGTTTTTATGTTAGTATGTACAGCACTTTGTGTCAGCTTTAGTTGTAATTAAAGTGCTCTATAAATAAAGTTGAGTTGAGTTGAGTTATAATATATAATTGATAGACGAGTTTGACTTAACTACCAACTATCACATGCTGATCTTATTAAGATTCGATTAAAAAAGTAACTCATAGCAGTAGTTTGGTCTCTGGTTTGTGCAGCTGATGTAGGAGTTTTAAGAACATGACAGCTCAAACCACTGGATACAGCCTCAAAGACACATAACAAGCTTCAAAGTGATGTCTGAGAAAGATTGCATGCTGGAGGCTTACATAGTTAATCTCATTACACTTCCTGTCACAACAACTAAACACCCAAGATTACATTTATCTTAAAACATTTAAAAAATCTTCCAAAGATCATCATAATCATAATCTAGCAGCTTCAGATTTATATGTCTCATCTTAACAGCTAAAACACCACAATATACCGATCACCAGAGGCTAATGGGATCGTATCCTTGCAGGCTCATATCACCCTACTCAGCAGATTAAATGTATGCCAGTTATGACATTAAATGGTATTAATCACATGTTTTGTTTTCAGCTTTTACTGACGTCCTCTTCGTGAGTTAATGGAGCTACTGACATCAAATCCCAGACCCCTGAATTATCACCCGGTGGCACAGACTATTGACATAATACATGTTTATTCCCCCCATTAATCTCAGGGCAGGAGTAGAGGACATACTCAGATCCTTTGATGAGGTAAAGAACCAGTTGTTTTGTAGATATCTGTGTCTCAAGAGCTACTAGTACATAAATTTAAGTACTGATGTTAAACGGTGAAGTGCTAGTCCATTACGCAGAGGGAAAGGGTTCCTGTAAGTGATATACTAATGTGGCCAAAGACACTGTTAGAAAATGAATGCATCTGTGTGAAAATAGTATTAAATAGTTTTTACAAGTGTTGGCACAGGGTCTGAAAATATTGAAAGTGTTTAAGTGACTTTTCAAATAAATGGATCAAGATAAAAAAAAAAGGTAAAAATTCTGCCTGAGATGTTAAGTGGAGGGGAAAATCACTTTGTAGTCTTTTACAGCTACCCAAGTGAGTGGGGTTTCAAGATTACTGATTATTACCCTTCAAGTTATTGTATCTGACTATAGTAGACAAGTTGTTGTATAAGAAAGACGCAGAAGAAGGATTCTAGTAGACAGTAAACACTGAACGACGTAATTCAAACAGGTCAAGCATTTAATGTTGCTCACAGCTGCCAGCATTACTGCTAGTGCTTGCTGTTAGCAGCTTGTGTTTCACCTTGACATGGTTCCACACAGCTTATTTGTCCTTGTTGTGCCTCAGTACATCCATGCGTAGCTGATATTTCACTGTGGAGAAGATGTGACACAGTTGATATCATCAGTGAAGTACTTCCACAAATACTGCTGAGACTGTTAGGCAAGAGCATTCAGCTGCATATAAGAGCCAAGGTCAACCCCAGCTTCTTCGTCTTCCTTGACTTCCAGCTACTGCAGCTAACAGGTCAGGAAAAAAAACACCCTCCTCACACTTAATCTTAGCGTTCATTAATGGTAGCGGTAGCTGTTTTGCATGTATGATATACTGTGGAAATTATGTGATATTGGCTTCGCTTTATTGAGCATGTAAACAAAAAAATAACACAAGCTAACTAGAGACTAGGCCAATTAACGAGCTAACAAAGATAGATGCTACTGAACTTGCAAACTGTAAATCCTCCTTATTCCGGTCGCTTTAAAAGATATAACACGCTATTTTATCCAAGAATCTTGCAATTTGTGTATGGAATTTTTTTTTCCTTTGAACATATATTTACTGTTGATGTTTTATTTTTTGTTAGAATTAGATAAGAGAACATAAAGATTTCAAGAATTTGAATTTGTCTGTACAAATCAGGGTCATTTTTTTTTTCTTCTGACAATAGTTAGAAATTAAGTGGATTTTTAAAACTGAAATGAATGTTTTGCCCACTAGGTGGAGTTGCAGTACAACTAAATAAATAGATATGTTGTGAAGGCGTGTCAAGAGTTTTTCTAAGGTTATCATTTGTCTATTCACCATATCTCACCACAGTCACCAATGCCTTTAAAAGTATCAGTCTGGTGTTTTTACATGGCTGTTAAAAAAGACCAGCCTGCTGTAATAGCAATCTTATTCAAACTCTCCAGGGCCCTCAAGGGTAAATAGCCAAAATATTGTGTTTCAGCTGATTGCACTGTCTCATCATTTGAACTGGTGATATCATATATCCAGATTTTACTAAAGGAAGATCCCTTTTTTTTTTTTTACTTTTTGAGAGTTGAGATGAGTTTGTATGGATATTTTGCGGTGTATCCAAACTGAGAAGATTTTATGATAAATCACTTTTTTTTTTTTTGTGACCAATAACTTTACACTGTGTCAGGTTTTCTAGGGACCAGGCTATACAGTCAGAATCCAAGCTCAAATTTTACTCATTACTGTCAAAAAATGAGATAATTTGACAGCTATTTGTTAAAGATAGACCAATAATCTGATGGCTGATTTTTCAGGTCAATTAAAGGCATTTTTTTTGTAATTAGCATCATATCAGCATCGGACATGACAAGGTCGATATCCCCATTATGTTTTCTAAATTCATTAAATCTATTTAAAACATTGTGCTGGCTATGATAACCACGACCATTTAATTTCAATGTGCACGATATAATGGATTTATACATGCCTCTTTAAAGATTTAACCACAATATTTAACGTGGATTTTTATTATTTTTTCTTAATAATTCAAGATGGCTGAACAGGCATCCAAAATTCTTTTGTGGAAATATTTTACAGAGCAAAATTAATTGTCTGTTCTAAATAAAATGTTTATGTCCAGCAGCTTTGTGTCTCGTTTGCTGGTATTATTAAGTTGTTCTTTTTTTTAAATTGGGTGGGTGAAAGCAAAGGAAAAATAATGTGATATTGGCTCAATCTGTCCTAGCATCAGCCTTTGAAAAACAGTCATTATTACTGCTTAATATAGTCTGGCTCCACCTTTTCAAATGTAGTCATTGTCTACTGGGAATATGGACTGTTAGATAAACACCATAGTACATATCAAGATGTCCCTGTCCACTGAATGGAACTGGTATGGGCACATTTTTATCTGTATATTTCTGTGGTCGGTTTATGACAGAAGTAATTCTTAGTCTTTCCTTAATATTTGGCCCAAAAATCGTTTTGTGTAGTCAAGCTATTGTTTTCTATATATCTACTCGTCTCACCAATAGGATTAAATAGCATAAAATAAAATGAATACTGGACAACAGCAGCAGGTTTGTTGTTTTTGTTTTGAAGACTTGAGCTGAAGTACACATTTAGGCCACTAGGGGGAGGTGGAGTAAAGCCAAAACGCTGCTGTTTTGTTGTAATTGAATGTTGGAGGTTCTCCCTGTTTATTCATCATATCAGATTCACATGTGGCGACCTGTCAGCTTCAAATTAAACACATCCGCTTCACATTTCCATTTCGGGGGCTATAATAGACTGTACTTATGATACTAAACCCAATAGTAAAAATATATTCCTGCTGCTATATGTGCAGAATGAACAGATTGGTTTGTGACTGGGTTTTTTTTGTCATTGGCTTTTATTTTGCGTAGCCTCCAATCCGCCACCAACAACGGAATAATTTTACGCACCGACTTCTACGGGGGAGAAAACGTTCATTTTGAAGCACAATTTTTTAATTTATTCACATTTTAATAAAAACCTCTTATTATGCCATAGCTCTATTGTTATGACCATTGATATCACTTTTACTTGGTATGTTTGAGGATGCTCTATTGTTGGACTGAATGAAATTACGCACCAATATTTAAAGAAGTACAGATAGAAGTAGTTGTTTATTGACACGAAGCAGGATCTTTTGTTCCGAGAGAGAGAAAGCGAGAGAGAGAGAGAGAGAGAGAGAGAGAGAGAGAGTGTGTGTGTGTGTGTGTGTGTGTGTGTGTGTGTGTGTGTGTGTGTGTGTGTGTGTGTGTGTGTGTGTGTGTGTGTGTGTGTGTGTGTGTGTGTGTGAGAGAGAGAGAGAGAGAGCGAGAGAGAGAGAGGGAGAAATCGTGGCATACGGCAGAGTCAGTGAGGAGGAAAAAGAGGGAGAGAGAGCGGGATGCTGACAGATTCCTGATAGATGGTTAAAATGGCGAAAGCTTGTTCGACCCCAGCGAGCCACCAAACTGTAGCACAGTAGGTCGGACCATGTCGTAGCTGCAGCTGGATATCCCTCTGCGTGTTTTCATTTTTTTTTTAAACCTCCGTCTTCTCGCTTCACGTGGTTTTTTCTGCAAGTGCTGGGACATTTTATATTAAGTCTTTTAAATGGCACCCACAAGGCGGCGGCGCCTTGTGCCTTGCTTTTTGGGGATACTCCTGAATGCTTTAATCGGTAAGTGGCATTACCCTGCAACGGGAGGAGAGAGTAGAAGGTGCAGGGGTGTGAGAGCTTTGTGGAGGACAGGCTGCTGGTTGTATGCAGCTATCCGGAGCTTGCTGCATGCTGCAGGCAGAGAGGGGGTACGCTGCTGACCACTAACCCTGAACTTGGCCCCTCTGCTGTGTCTGTTAGTGTTTCAGGCTGCAGATGCCAACATAAAGATTAGAGCTGTAACCCTGTAGGCTGCAGAATACCTTACAGCAGGTTACACATTACCCAGGAGTCATGCGTGAAAAGTTGGAGTTGTTGCATCCTCAGAACTTGGTTGTTTTGCAGCCTGTATTTGCGCACATGTTCAAAATTAAGATCGTAAATGAGCTCTTAGGTGTGCAGAGAGCACCACTATATTACACGTGCACAAAGGGTCGTAGGGTTTCTTTTTACATTTGGAAAGGGTTTGTCGCTGTTTATCATGCAATGTCTTGACTTTGTCTTCAAACTGCAGAAAGCATTGACTGCTCTTGTCTGTTGTAGTATGTTATTTGCTGATCCTCTTGTACTAAGGTGTTTCTGTAAGAGTGCTGCAGAGCCAGAGCCACTCTCCTCTCTGTTATTGTTAATCACATGGTCTCAGTATCACAAATCAGCACTGAGAAGAATTAGGGCAAACTGCTGTAATAGCCTGAAACTTCTTCAAACCAGTGAGAGTCCTTTTAATGCCAAAAAGTACTTAAATTGAAGTTTGCTGTTGCCTATAGATGGAAAAAGTCATCAAGTTTGTCTTTTTTCAATCCTAGATCATGTTAAAAATGTTGTACCTTCACCAAGAGGTTGAGTTTTATTTCATATCAGGGGACTTCTTAGATAGATGGAGTTCCTGCATGGCCAGTCCAAACATCAGACTGCCCTGTGGTTGGCTGAAATGACAGTGGTTATTGCTCTAGGGATAGATTAAAAGACGGTAGTTATTGCCTGCTGGGGAGAATATTTGTACAGATTAAATGTCAAGACTGTCCCTCTCCTCCTTTTCAAATCTTCCCTTTTTTTTGCCCTTTGTTCACCATGATAGACAGTTTCTCTCTCTATGTGGGGCCCCTGTAATTCAAAGGCAGGAGAGAGTATTGAGTATTTGCAAAGCATACCACACAGGGGCCGACAAAGGCCCCCACTGGAATCATAAAGGCTCGTACACAGTGGTTCATAACATGTTCAGTCAGGGGAATGGGAACAAAAACTTGAGAAATACGGCGCGGTGATGGATGGAGTTCCAATCTACCCATCGCTTTAAAGAGATGAAGCTCTTTCAAGTGATTGTCTGCATTAGAGATTAGATTCTGTTAAGATATCAACGCTTTTTATGACAATAGCTGCAGTTGATAAGAATGGGGAAAAAAAGCAATAAGTAGAAGAATCTCCGAGCGAGATCTCATATAATCTGGAGAGCTCAAACTCCAATCAGATTACACGCTCCAGATCCTCAAGGAGATGGAATGATACGTCGATTAAAGCCTGGTTGTTTGTTTTGAATGCAGACCGAGTTTGCGTTTTTGTTCAGTAAAAGAGGCGAGTGTCAGAGAGAAGTCAGATGGACACCTGTTTGAGTGAAGTTTGTGCAGAAAGTGGAGTAAACAGTCGAGCCAGTTGAAGTGTGCGGCAGCTGCCCAGTATCTGTTATCATGCAAACATATGGACTATTTCTCACATTTCTTCTGTTGCATTTTTCTCTGTAGCCTGAAGTACTGACCTTTCTGTTCAAACCAGAACTGCTGCTGGTGTACATGTAAAATCAAATGCTCATATGCATAACAGTAGAAAACAGGAGTATTGATTAATAATTTATCACAGTCAAACCTATAGGAAGAAATATGAATGCTGCTTGCATAGTCTCTCCTTTGAAGAGTGAACATATTGCTTTTCCCCCCCTTACACTCCATTTAAGAAACACAAACACTTACCAAAGTTCAATTTTTAATTTATACTGATGGCTCTCTGTTTTTTTAATAAATGCTCAAATCTAAATGCTAATGTAGTGCTTGCTTTGCATGTATGCGTGCAGACACCGGTGAAGGAATACTAAAGATGGTCCGTTCCTATTTCATCACTCATGTGATATATATCATGCATGCATAATTTCCTTTAGAGCAGAAGAGTTTCATCCACACTTTTCTTCCATCGATTGAAGAAAAACCAGCAATTTGTGTCCAGTGTTGTAAGAAATGAGTAAGATGATGGATGAATTGACGACCTTGTAGCTGAAACGGGTGAATGTGTGCGAGGAAAAAGTCATTCAGCGTTAAAACTACTATGTCCATTCACACAACATGTTATAGCATCTGTTTTAAAGTCCTTTTTAAAGACGCTGAAACATTTAGATAAATTTTCTGATGCCGAGCAGTTTTGTTGCTCATCTTGTTGCATGCAAAAAGTCTGTGGTATGTCCTAAGCTCACTCCATCCGTCTGTTACCCACATCTGTCCGTCAGTAGCTGCTGTGTGATCCTCCCCTTGCCGTGGCAGCAGTAAACCTCAGTGCCAGCCAGCCACACTTATCTGTCAGTGGTAAGCCAGAGCATGAGCCACACTTAGCCAACACTTGTCTCTGGTCTCAGCCGGTAATCCTGCAAGCCAGTGTCTCTTTCCTCCGCATGGAAATGGCATTAGGCTATGTGTCAGTGTCTGTGTGTGTGCCCCTGTGTGTGTGTCTGTCTCCTTATCTAACCGTGAAAATCCACGCCTGTATAGATTAATGTCTGCGAACATGTGTTTTTTGTGGAAAGGCGTGTTTCTGCCACTCTCCAGCTGTACTCGCCTGTTTCTGCTCATTTTGGATGCTTTGGACTGTTCTTCACTTATTTTTGTTTTTGTTAACTTAAAGTTCCTGTGCGGGACTTTAAGTTTGTCGAACTTTGGCACCTTTTTGTTCTCAAACAGTTCCTCTGATCTAAAGAAAAGGCTTTTTTTTTTGGAGCATACAGTCAATCCCTTTGTGTGATGCCTAGTTGCAGTTGTCTAAGACCGTAATATTTACAATGTTGAAATAATCGGTCTTGCTGATGATGATCTGGTTTGTTTAACTTTAACTTTAAGTCTGTTTCATCACCATCTTAAAACTTCACACTTTGAGAAGAGAAGTTAGAGGCTTTAAAAGTTAACAGACATTTATTCAAGCATTTCAATCCACCCAATTCTTTTCTAACATCACAAAAAGTACTCCATGTGCCAAAAAGTCCAGTAAACAACAAAGTTTGCCTCCTCTTCGTAATTTCCTCTTACCTGTTTGTAACCATGTACCCACCCAGAGGTCGGGATTGCATTAGCCAGTCACTCTGGCAACATCCTTTATTCATTAGGAAAGCCAAAGCCCAGGAAGCTTACATTGTTCTAGCTAATGGAAGAAAACTCGGTTTAATTGAAGTCATGAGGAAGTATACAACATCAATGAAGCTGCTTAATCAGCTCCAAATCAATGGCAGTGTAGCACACAGAGCTGATTTCTTATCATCCTGTTTGCTACCGGGCTGGAGAACGCTAACTAATGCTGATGGACAGTTCTGAGAATGATAAAAAAAATCCTCATATCCACTCAGCAGGGGGTTAAATATCGACACTTTCCTGTCTTTTACATCCTCAAATTTCTTCAGAGGCACGTTGCTTGCTTTGAGAATGATCACTATTTGGATTAAAGTACGAGGTTTGACTGACTGGATGTGTGGCCCCGGGCTCCAGTGTGCTCTTTTATCTCTGCTGTGTGAAAATTTGTGATCTCTCTTGGACCAGAGCAGAGGGAGCTCTGTGGGGCAGCATCATTTTGGAGAGCAGAAGCCCAGGCAGCAGGATCACCGCCTGCCAGCTAAGGGTTAAATATTTCTCCACCACCACCACCACCACCCCCTCGTTTTTCACAAGTGGTAGCACTGATGTCTCTCTGGTCCCATGGTCATTTACTTACCCTGCTTGTTGAGTGAAAAAAAGAGGAGGGGGGGCTTATAAAGAAAGAATACAGAGCAAAAAAAAAGGGGGACAGGAAACGTTTCTCCGCATTATGCTTCATATGTGATCTTCATGTGTCAAAGACTTCCTTGTCTTCACCTAAGGGAAAGTATTCCTCGGCTGGAATTCCAGGGATGAAGCAGGAGGTTCTCTGTGTTGACCCTTGTGCTCTGCTCCCCCCCCTGCTTCCCTCCGCTGCCCTCCCCTAGCCCCCCTCGCACCAGATTCCAGGGCCTGGGGCAGGGACTGGTAGTGCTTAGTCCATCAGCAGCTGAAATGTGATACCAAGAGAGCCCGCTAAGCTCCTCTTTTATAGTACCAAGTCAGGTCAGGCTGTTTACATCCTTTATTTATTGTTCTCCTGGTCCCCCCTCTTTACCCCCACAAAGACAAAACATCAGATCTCCTATAAAGCAGGAAGCATCACCACAAACTAATATGACGGAGCTCAAGCTGTTAGTCTTACACTGTGTACAAGAAACACTGATATCATAGAGGCAAATTTGCTGCCACTTGTCAGCTGGTAAAGCACATACAAGACCATGCATTTGTGTGTGTGTGTGTGTCTCCATAATACATAAGTGCACATGCTCTGTCCGATTCAATCTATGGCCCATGAATTCCCTTGTGACTGTAGCCTAGAGGAAGATCAGTCAAGGCTTTTTATTCATCAGCTGTAAGGCGAGTAGTGCTGCTTATACAACATCAAGGTGCATTCTTCATGTATGATTAAATGCAGGCTATTACTTAGGTCGCAATCCTTGCATTCCTTCATGACACAGTGTGGTAAAACTACAAGTAGGTTTGCAATAGGAGCAAAAGGAAAAGAAAAACAGTCAATATCCAGTCATACATATTTGAAATAAACAAGTTGTGTGGAAAAGAATCCGTGTAAGTCAAACAATATATATTACATAAGTGTGTCTGAGAGGAATTGATCAACTCCTGCCCAGGTCTCCATCTACTCAACAATACTACAATTTACAGTTTCAATGAGAGCAAATAAAAAACTAACCAACTACCCTATTTGCATTTAAATTAAAGGGATATTCCGGCGTAAAACTAATTTAGGGTCAAACACACCGTAACAATGAGTTAGACACCTCCTCGAGAAATGAATGTTGCCGACCGCTTGCTTCTCTAGTTATACCAACTTTAGTAACGACCGCAGGATAGCAATACACAGCGGTCTGAGGAGTCACACACAAACCTCAACCAAAACGCCACTTTATAACCACAAATAATGCTCAGAACAGCACCTAACTTCATCAACAGTACATATAGGGTCCCAGCCACAGTACTAGCCACCAAATTTTTTAACTTTGCCTGATTTCTTTAGCAAAGAGACTAAACACAACTCACCTACTCTCTTCCAGCAGCCGCTTATCTGTAGCGAGACCTTGAGCCAGTCCATTACGGACTGCTGCGGGGTGTCAAGGAGAAACATTTATGATCATTTCGTCGTGGAATTGCAATCAGACCGAGACGCTAAGGCAGAAGAACTACCACGTCTGCAGTGCAAAATGATCAATATGGTGATTATTACTTCAAGGAAATGATAAAGTAATGATCATAAATGTTCCTCCTTGAGCTGCGTCACCCCACTGTAGTCCGTATTGAACTGGTTTGAGGTCTCGCTACAAACAAGTGGCTGCTGGAGGAGAGTAGGTGAGTTGTGTTTAGTCTCTTTGCTAAAGAAATTCAGCAAAGTTAAAAGGATATTTGGTGGCTAGTGCTGTGGCTGGGACCCTATATGTCCTGTTGATGAAGTTAGGTGCTGTTCTCAGCATCATTTGTGGCTATAGAGTGGCGTTTTGGTTGAGGTTTGTTTATGGCTCCTCAGACCGCTGTGTATTGCTATCGTGTGGTTGTTACTAAAGTTGGTATAACTAGGGAAAGCAAGCGGTCAGCAACATTCATCTAACTCGTTGTTACGGCGTGTTTGACCCTAAATTAATTTTACTCCGGAATATCTCTTTAAATTAAGTTTATTTGTGCCCAAATGTAACTGCAGACCTTAAAAAAAACATGTGACTGCATTTGCTGTAAGGGCTCCATAGCTCTGGGACTGCCTTTATGATTTGATGTAGAGTGCACAAACATGATGCTAGCATGGTCGTGTAGCGTGATCGTACATCAGCTTACCCTCCTCTCTGCAGTCACTGAGTCTTTTTTTAAGAGAGATGACTTTCCCGACTCTCTAACATTAGATTTGAAATATCTCAGGTGAGTGTGGTAGCATACTGCTGTATTTAAATGTAGCTGTAAAACAGATTTATATACACGCTTATGCTGTATAGTTATCTTTATGTAGGGCCTTTACTGGATAGGGACCCCCCTGGAGAAAATAAAGGGATAGATCGTAGAATAAAGCTGTCAAATCTGGCCTCTTTTTAACTTTCCCCAAGCTCCAATTGAGTTTAACAATTCAAGCTGCAATGAAAACTGTGCGATTAAAAAGCTCGTTTGTGCCCCCTGAGTCAAATTTTGGTTCAACGCAGATTTTTTAAAACAGTCTTATTTGAATAAACGTGACTTTCTGGTTACCAATCATGCGTCTTTGTGTCTCTAGGTGTCATGTGCGAAGCAGAGCTCTCCTTCACCCTGGAGCCCAGTGACATCATCGCTGTACAGGAGCAGCCCCTCATGCTCCATTGCCAGGTGGACGGCATCCCCCCTATCACGACTCAGTGGAGGCACAACGGCCTGCTTGTAACTCAGGATCAGCATCACACCACCTTTATCAATGGCTCACTCCTCATCGGCCACTTCCTGAAGACCAAATCTGACGGCTCATCTGACGAGGGAGACTACGAGTGTGTGGCCCAGAATTCCTTTGGGTTGGTGGTGAGCCGGAAGGCCCGTATTCAGGCAGCAAGTAAGTCTATTTTTGTGTGTTAACGTGCATGCATGAAAATGTGTTCTCTGCAGTGGGAATACAAGCATTCACAATGATCCTGATCAAAGGTTTACATTTGGAAAAACATGCTCATTCCCTCGTTGCTGAGAGTTGAATGTCATTTTCTCTCATCACATCTGTTGAGTGTAGGCAACGTTAGCTTTTTATTAGCTCTTCTATTGAGGTTTGAAATCTATTCAACATGTCTAAATGTGTGTATCATCCATGAGATTACTTACCAGGGATTTCCACCGCATCTCAAACGGCTCCGATCCAATTCCTACTGGATCCGTTTGTGAGCCGAATTTCATGGCGGATTACCAAAAGCAGGAATCGCGAGAACTAACAAGAACCCGCGGATTCACGTGCAATCGTGCGATAACAAGTTGTCTTTAGCCACACAGGCTAACAATAAAAGCAGAAGATTAAGTCCTTTCAGAGGAGGAAATCTACTTCTAGACTTCTAATATCAGTATCACCTCATCCATGGTGTCATCGGGGTAAAATGCCGTCTAAAAACCTTTCACTTGCTTGTCCCGCCTGTGGTATGAAATACGATCCACCCGAAAAACAGAGTGTTTTATTTTGAAAAGAAGCCGTATGTTTTGTTTTGTGTCTGTGCCCGACTTCTTTTCCAGCACGGACTAATCTATGTCCAATTTATCCAGCATGCTCCGGCGACGATCAGCCATGATCGGCGGATACAGCCTTTTTCGTAGCCGTTCCGGATGTGGTGGAAATTGGGGTTTAGGCAGTGAACATTTCAGAAGCTTCAGTTTTTTTTTATTGATTCTTTAAACCTTAACATTTAATCTTAATAAGACATCACCTCAGCTTGTCTGGGCCTGATTGTGTTGTCTTTATGCAAACACCCAAGCGTCAGACAATGATTGAGCATCACAGATATGACACGAGCGTTGCTTGTTATCAGTGTTCTCTCTAAATGTAAACACTGTAATTGAATATTACTCTGAATAATCATTCTTCAGTGTTGTCCCAGTCATGGGGGTATTACTGTGCTGTAAATGTACTTAATATCCCCAGCTGTGGAGTCATTTGAATATTTTAATATCATTCTCTCTGTGTAATGAACTTTCTGATGCTCATCTACAGAGCTGCTTAAAAATGCAAGCCTTTGAGTTTAGCTTTAACAAGCACTCATGCTGGGAGTCTCCAAGCTGCTTTGTGAGAGTGCAATGAGCTCCAAGCAACCCAGCAGCACACTCACTGGTGTGTTTGGTGAGGCATCAAGATAGATTTTCCCTGGCCTGACCACCAAATCTCTTATTTGAAGTCCAGTTCAACGTTAAGCTCTCAGCATTGTTGCCATGGTTAATTTACAACATTTTTATCACATGGCAGCGAGACAGCGTGAAGCTCTGCTCTTTTGTTGTTTCTCACACACAAACAGGCCATCTCTGGACTTATTTAAATCAAAGCGGAGTTGAGGATGAGCACATTCCTCCGAGGACACGTTGAAATGTTGCAGCAGATACGCTCCCGCTCCTCACTGTGCTGAGTTAAGATTCTCTGAACGCTCAGTTATATATATATATTCAGTAAGTGAGCGATGGACAAAGGCTGGCAGAAGCCTGTTGATCCCCAGGCTGTGTGTAGACAGCACACTGCTGTGCTGTTGTGGCCAATACAGCTTTACTACTCTGTGGGATAGGAAGGTTAGCATGGATGTCTTACTGGCCTAAGGGAAAAGTCACTGCGGCTCAGTGGCTGGCGCTGTCTAACAAAGTCAACCTTTTAAGGCCTCCCAATAGAGTCATTCTTTCAAAAGGTCAGTCTGCAGCTGCTGCTTTAGCACCTTTTTTATTCTGCATCAGGGAAATATCATGTCAGATTTGGTCACCATATTTTTGATATCTTATAGACGTCCTTTGACAGAGGAAAATGAAAATCCTTGGATTTGTGAATTGAGAGTTCACCTCCTCAGCATTTATCTGGAGGATTTTCACTGAAGGATTGGACTCAATATTTTTGATATCTAATATAGTTCACTTGTTGCTCAGTTGCTCTCAGTATTTTTTATGGATTTTTTTTATCTGAAAGTCAGTTTGATGTGCTTTACAGTAAGGTCATCAGTCGGGGTTGTGGGAGCTAAGTCAATACTTGAAGCTACTGAGATGCTTGACCCAGAGTAATGTGGTTGATGCGCTACTGAGTTTTACCGTGAGTTTTGATGATCAGTAGAAGTCCGGACGCTGTTCCTCAGATGCAGCAAACAAAAATTTATTGCGATAAATATACCCTAAATCAAGTTTGCAATTGATATCTGAACAAGCAAGAAACTGCCGGCATTTAGCACCACGGCGGTCAAAAACCTTTCGCCCTTCTGTGTCAAACACCTGCCCACAACATTGACATGGCTACCCTGAGCCCTACATAACAAGACAGCAACACCCAAGGCACACAAAGTGAACTGCAACTCATTATATGGTATCACATCAACATATTTGGCTCCTACAAGGGTCATGGGCTGTGTGAAATATACAGCCACTGTTTTCTGAAGATGCATTGGAAGCCAAACTGGTGGAAATGCTGACTCAGCATGGCTTTTGGTGAGCCTAGAAACTGACAAGCTGACGAGCAAACTGCAATTATGCAACAGTCTCTTTAACTTCACTCTATCTGCATCTTTGAAATCGATGATTCTTGTTATAAAATGTGTCTGAATAGAAAATGAGCTGTTCAGACCCAAACTGTTTTTCCTATCAGGCTGTAAACATCTAAACTTTTTGACATGGGTGTTAATTAGGATTCCTGAACTTCTGACACTGAAGGAACTGCAGTGTTGTCACATTTCAGCAGAGGAGTTTGCAGAAGGTTGGTGTTCACTCAGGGATGTATTCAGTACTTTAGTGTGAGACATTGATTTGTTGGTTTTGGTTTGTAAGGTAAAGAGAGGTCTGGATTGCTCAATGTCTCTGCAACTCTGTAATTCAAGATATCTGCTTAATCAATGTTTTGTTTTGTTTTTTTTACAAATTGGCATGCAAACTTAAGGGCATGACTGACTCACTGTGATTCCCATGCACACATTTGCAGTGTGTAATGTAATTCATTTCTAAGGCCTCACCCAACCGCGCTGGATTTAGCCTCATTAAGGAATCTCTCGATGTGATATTTGGTTTTATCTTCAGCATGAAAATGAGGAAATATTGGAGGGTAGCACAGTCCTCTGTCATTCTGTCACTCTGCCATCTGTTGCTGAAACATTGAATATGGAATGTGATACAGTGTGAATACAGATGAAGTCACTGTGAATGAACCAGACATGGTACATGCTTCAAGTTCAAAAGCACTGGTGGTGAAATGACTTTGTTTTGACTGGGCTTTCCCCCCCGGCTGACCTTCTCCTGCTTTTGACTTGTATTCATTAGGCGGGGATATTAAGGATTACCAAAAGTCACATTCTGACCTCTGACCTCTGACCTCGTGGGTTGTGTTGATTGTTTTTTTGTTTTTTTTTTGGAGGGGTGTTGAGTGAGTCTAGGCTCTGATATAATGCCACTCTCTCCTCCTTAGTAAAGCTTAGTGTCTTTCAGCTGCAGATAGAAGTCAGCTCTGGTAATAATCCTCTAGAGAGTCTTCACTTGAACTCAGAGATAACAACTTCTCTTCACAGGAGATGTCCCTGTGTTACCCATCACTGCTCACTAATGCCTTCAGCAGTTTGGAAAATTCTCATCAAAAAGTTAATGTTGGTATTTCACTTTAGATCTCACTATAATTGGAGTTTTATATGTTGGACTTTTTTATTCATTATTAGATAAATGAGTCTTTTATTGCACCACATGTTGTGGTGGTTGATATGCAGTTTTTCCCACTTAAGGTTATCTTGAAAAGGCTTTTTACTTTTTTAGTTCTTTGACTCTAACACTCCTCAGATGCTCAATATTTGCAGAGTAAAAAGTGTCTCTCTTTTGGCAACGCCTCAGTTTATCAATCACTTTATTTCTGGAAGAGGTAGGAGAAAAAATCAATACAGTGGAGTATCACGGTATTTTGTTAGGTGATTTATTCTATCACCTCATTTATCAAGTATCGATTTTTCAAATTAATTGCTAATATGAAATCAAATCTATGATGGTGAAAAATAAAATCAACAGTTTGTCCAGTGAGGTTAGCAGAGGTGACATCATGGAGCAGGAGAAAGTTAGTGCAGCAAATACATATAAGGTTTACAAGATGTGCTACATGAAAATAAAATACAGTGTAAAAAAGACAAACATAAAGGAAAGCCAAATGCTAAATTAACTAAACAGTCGAAAATATTGTATAAATTGCCATATATTGTATGGCAATACTCACTGTTTTGCAAAATGTTAAAAGGAGCAATAATATCATATCGTCGCCCAAGTATCGTGATAATATCGCATTGTGCGGCCATTAGTGATTACCACCTATAATTTCTGGTCATGATTTATGTGTCGCTGGCAGGTTTGTGTTTATGTCGCTGATTTACGTTTTGCTGGCAGGTGCTCAAAACCTGACCTGTTGCTACTCTGGATAAGCGGTGAAGTTGATTATCAGCTGTGATCCAACATGAACGCCACACACATGAAGTATATTTTCTACAGGTGTTTGGACTGTCCCTGGTCCACTTCATTCTCCCCTGGCCCACCAGACTTTAGCATAGTGTGAAAATTATTCAAGATCCACTGTTTTCACTTTATTTATGAAGAGAAATGGCCCAAAACCATTAAATGCGCTCCTCACACAGCTCATTGACTGCTGTTTGTTTCTTGTTCTGTTCCAAGTGTTTGTTAATGTTGTTGCTGTCTTTGTGTTTTGGAGGTAATTTGCTGTGTTATAGTTCCTCTTACAACAGAGCTCTGACTTGTACCACTGTGATGCAATGGGTGGTGTGATTACTGAAACCTCTTTATAGCCCTCCCAATGGATAAAGCCTCCATCCTAACCCTCCACTCTAACTCCCTCTGTATATTTCACTTTTTATTTGCTTGACAACCATTTGTGTGAGCTCACTGTCGGGGGCTGGTGTTGGACGGACTCCCTGTTGACCCTTTAAATCGGCGGTTGGTCCAGGAAGCTCTTTTTTCCCCTCCTCAGTGTTATCTCTTTGATGCTCTGTTACTCTCTCTCTCTCCATCTCTCTCTCTCTCTCTCTCTCTCTCTCTCTCTCCCTCTCTCAGTTTTTCTCCGACCTCCTCATTAGCTTACGTTCAGGAAGCTTTTCATCATTCGGATGAATGACAAGCCTGGTACAGTGGACCCGTCCGGGGCTCCTGCCCCTCCCCCACTGCACACCCGCGTCACCAGGCAACGCACCACAAAGGCCCCCCTGTTACAAAATAGCTTTTAGGATCAATTGAAATGACTTGCTTTTGTCTGTTTGTCTGGAATTAATTGGAAAGAGTTGAAGCTTTGTTCGGAAATAATTTTTTTCCCTCAATCCTATTCATTTGAGGAGACAGCAATTGACCTCAGGGACCGTTCAGAAAGATTTGCAAACACAATATGAAGTGTGCTGAGAAAAGGCAAAGTCAGTGCAAACATGAGGGGAGGGAAAACACAAATGGTGAAAAATACAACAAGTTCACGAATCAGTGTGCATCACCCAGTTATTTATTTTATAGCTTGCTTACATTTTAGAGCCTTTGGCTGCGGAATGATCATTTCCACCTTGTTTAATTCTCAGATCGTCATGGTGAATTGTGCCGTCGTTATAATGGGCGGCTTTTGAATGAGACTTTAATGAAAAAGAGGAACCCAGGGGGCTGTAAAAGACGAAATGGGAGAAGACAGAGGATGCCTGTAAAAGTGTCTCACTTTAAACCCATGCTGCTCATTTGTGTGAATTTAACTCCTGTCAAGATGCAGATGTAAAAATGTGTGTGATGTTGGCTAGGCAGCGTTTATGTACAAAGTGCGTAGAGCTGTGGCAGGAGATGAGAAGTTGCTCCGTGCCAGATTTGAAAAGCTTGTGGAACAACTCAGAAAGCAGTTAGTGAGAGTGATTTATGGCAGGCTCACATTGGCCTACGTGAGAGAGTGTGTGTGTACATGTGCATGCTTGTGTATCTGGAGAGTTCAACGTCGGCTCTCCATCACCCTTCAACCTTCCTGTCCACACCCCTTTCATGGCCTCCTGCCGGGGTAAATGCTGAAGCGCCATCCTTGCATCTCCTCGTCGCTGCCTTTGTCTACCAGCCAAACCCCGCCCTCCATCTGCCCCCCTCGCTCCTGCTCCTGCTCCTGCTCCTGCTCCCTCTCCACCCATTTACCACGAAGCAAGTCATCTCTCTGTCAGATAGATTAGCCAGCTAAATGTCATATAGGCTTGTTTGGACATTTGAACATGAAGCCTCTTAATGTTTTCCTTTAATCCTTGCAAAATCAAGATCGGGTCATGCAGGAAAGAAAAAAAAATCACCCGCATGTTTGACACTGGAGCATTAGCGACTTCATCTGTCACCATTTTTCAGCAAATGTCATGTGATATTGCCGTTTAATTCCTCAAACAAACAAAGAAAAAAACTCTCCTCTCTCTGGTATCACTCCTCTCATTGATATTCCCGCCTTGGAAAGATCACATACTGTAGTTGTACAACACACGGACATGGCCTATAGCTGCCCTGCTCCTTCTTTTGGGCAGGTATGTGAGCTGATGTTAGACCAGAGTGTTCCCTCCTGGTGTGTGGTCAGCACTCCTCCATCTGTCTGCCACCATGTCAGAAGGATTGGAGAAGAAAGGGCTTTTTTTTTTCTGCTGTTCTGATGAGGTGTGCTAAAGGGATGAGCGCTCTGACCTCTGCTGTGTAATTACACTGAAACCACTGTATTACTCTACACCTGCAGACCAACACTCTGATCTTCCTGCCTGATTCAGCATGCTCATTTAAGCTGATTTAGAGTCAGTGCTGTGAATAGGACATTTTAATTCCTGTCATGCAGTGGCAAACGTCTTTCCAGAGTTGGTGGAAAGCTGGTCTGTTTCCGGTGTAATGCACTGCATGACAAAGGCAAGCATGCAACTGTAGGTCTCTTCCTCCCATGTCAGTGGAGATGATGTTTGTCCTCTATAGGTTGTTTTTTCCAGGAGCTAAATAAACAACAACATAAATGTCCCCAAAGGCAGCCCCGGATATTTGCATTGACAAATGTGAACGCTGGTCCGTCACTCCTGTGGGAAAGGGGCAGCGAGAATAGCTATTATTTCTGAAGATGACACATCATTGACCTTGTAGCAGTGGAAAATCACCCAAGGGATCCTATACTGCCCATAGTATGCTGTATTGTCTTAGTTTACTGTGTTAGTACTGTGTCAGTAGGGTGGATATGCTTTATTCACTTGTCACTTAACTAATGATTATATATGTAATAATCTTGACTGTATGGGTGATCCTGCATCCATCTTTTTTTTTCTAATAATCACGTATTTTAATCTATGCAGAAATAAACAGCTTAAACCATCAATTTCAGAGCACAGTTTGGGATGTGCTTTAGTCTTGGGTTATGATGGAACATCAGCCATGCATATATATACATTAAGAGCCATAACAATCTTCTTTCATAGAGGAGCTGCTTTACAATATTGAGGCATGGGCTGCTGTGTGCGGTAGAACAGGCCCCCTTAATGCTCTAAAAATATCTGCCCGTGTAAATAACATCACTTGGCAAATCAATCCTCTAAACAGGGGAAGGAGTACTGAAGAGTGGTGCAACAGCCCGCTGATGGAAATATTGAACTGCACAAACAAGCATTTTGCTTATTCCTTCAGGCGCAATGTCTCCGTGTTTGACATGGCTTTAATCCTATTTATGTCTTTCCTGGAGTGATATAATAACAAATGCAGCAGTGTTACATGTTTGTTTATATAATGCCTTAAAAAAAATAAACACATTCCTGCCAAAGTGCTTTTCACACAAGAGAAAAACGCAGGAACACAATGCACACATCTGCATTATTTATGAAAAGACATAGAAAACACATACAGGAGCATGTAGGTTAAGGGAATTGGCTACATGTAAGTGCAATGTATGGATGTAAGTGAACTAGATAACCAACATACATTTTGATGCATGACACCCACTGGAGAAATAAATAAAAGAACCACATAAACTGCAAAAAATCAGTAAGTAACAAAAAAATTCCTGAAAGCTATTAACTAGCAAAATTTTTAAAAAGTTCATAAATTATCATTAGCTGTTTTAGAGCTGGCTGATACAGTAATAAATCAACATTTACTTGTTTTTCAGATTTGTTAACACAGCAGTATCCACATTTTCTAGCGGTAATCAATGAGAAAATATCAGAGGCCCGAGAATACAACCCGGGGGAACCCCCATACAATAGCAGTGGGCACTTAAATTTTACTATGGATCGATGAGAGTGACGCTGATCAGATTCAAAACTGTGGTGGGTAGGGATGTGCGCACGCTCAGATGACTAGACAATTAAGTGTTGTGGTCCTCTTGGGCACCGGAGTTACATGTCGGTGGAACAAATTGTGAATAATTTCTATTACTGTTGGCCTGAAATGATGGTCATATGTCACACATGTGTCTAAGCTGTTGCCCAGCTCAGTGTTCTGTAAAATGCCATGACTTTAATGCTCCAATACCCCGATGTAACAATAATTTAACAATGAAAAATGAGATTAAGCTCTATAAAGGCTGTGTCTAACTTGACATGCATATCAAGCAGGGGGATGTGGACCTTAACCTACAAGGAGGATTGGATGCTTGTGGTGCTAGCTATGCTAATGACTTGGCAAACCAATTTGGCATTGTTTACACAGAGACTCTGTGCTCCTGTGTTTAGCCATGTTGGACAAATCATGCTCAAATTGACTTTTGTTGGGGTGTTTTCCCCCCTCTAGACCAGTCAGTGAGTTGGAAATTAAATTTCTGTTTAAACAACTAGGAAATCGGTTGCTTTGTGACATGCATACTTGAACTACTCAAAGGGTTATTTTGATTTTAATGAGATCAGAATATAAACTCTTGATTTGACATTTTTTACAAATCTAATTGGCGAAAGGCTGGAGGATGTGAGATATCACAAATTAAAGCACAAAGGGAGCTGGAACTTTTAACATATTTTTTTTCCACACAGTCATTTACAGTTGGTTTTATCTCTTCTACAAATTGTATTATTCTTCCCTATGACCTGTGCTTTTCTGTGTAACAAGCAGACCGTTAGCCTTGAACCAGAAAACCTATAAAGACAATGGTAAACTCTCATAACTGGATGCGATTCCAACTTTTCCAATCAGCACTCCGGGGAATCAAAGCCACTTTGTAAAAGAAAGTGGAAAATATAGAATTATCAAAACAGAAATTTATGCAGAAAATGTCTTAAAATGTGTCTGTGGTTATCCTGTATGATATTTGTAGGGGGAGTTCATCAGAAGCGCGTCTAACCACCTGTGATAAAATGAGGAACATTCAGGATCTCGTGAGTTTAAAACAAAGAAGGTCTAAGTTGAAATCCAAGTTCAATGTTGGTATTGTAACCTTGTTTGAAGTTTGTGGAGCATGTGTGTGTTTGTCCATGTGTCTGTCAATGGATGTGACCGTTGGGTAAAGTAATGAAGTCCGCCTTGGTCTCCGGATGTCTCTGGACCACCCCAGCTGTTCTCAAACAAACAAATGAAAAGGGGGCCTAAAATTCCTGCTCCCTACTTTTAAGGCACTCGGGAGGAATTCCTCAGTAATAGAGGTGAAAGGTGAAAGGAAGGAGATCAGAGGCCAGGCCAAAGGTTGGACAGGGCGGACCGGTCTCCAAAATACTGGAGTCTGGCCTTACAATCTCGACACAGAGGTCCCGCTTTAAGTTTTACAAACCTCTTTTGATCTCCTCCTCTGGTTTGAGCGTTTGGACTGAAGTCCTCGGGAGCGAATATCAAAATAGCATCTTGTTAAGTCGCCACTATTTTTAGGTTTTAGCTTAAGGTTAGTTAACAGGGGATCAAATCTGTCAACAGAAGGTCCTCTTAAGGGTGGTAAAGCAAGAAAACGTGTGTCTGTGTGTTGGTGTTCCTATGTGTTGAGCCTTTACCGGCGCTGGGCTAGCTCTTGCTGCTGCCCCGTCACCGCGCTTCACTACACTTAACAGAGCCTTTATGGCCGGATTGTGTAGTTAAAATCCTTTACAGGGTCTGCACCATCCACCAATAAAAAGACCAAAACTCCCTCTTCCTGTCTTCTCTTTGGGCAGACATTTTACTCTGCATGTGTGAAGACGTAATAAAGACAGAGACGGACAGGAGGTGGAGCCCGTGGTGGATATGAGTTAGTGTTATTAGTAGAAGAGATTAGACATGATAGAGTTATCCTAACATGTTAGTGTGCTCACAGTTGTTCAGTCACAGCCTCATTCACATAAACACACACACACACAGGGGCCCTCAGTTCAGTTTTCCATTTTGTCAAAGCAGGGATCAGGAAACGTCCCTGTGGTGGCCAATAAGCAGAAGAGTCAAAGACAAAGGCCAGTCAGTGATGGGCAGGCAGCAGCTCTCCTTTGGGCCTCAGCCACCTCGCCCATCTCTGCCCTGTGTGTGTATGTGTCTGTGTGTGTGTGTTTCTGTGTTGGGGCACCTCTCAGAGCAGAGCTGCACCTATTGTTAGTTGTGAAATGCAGGGCAGTGGAGTGGCTGGGAACAGGCAGAGGCAGCGGAGATGTGCAGCCTCTGGTGGCACCGCTTTGTGCCGGTGGCCTGAGCGTTTGTTCTCCTGACCGACTCAGCTCGCTGTGGCTGAGGCCCCCTTTTGTCGCCGCTGACTCCGGGTTGGGTGTGTTTCCCCTTCTGCGTTCCCCCTCCTCCTCCTTCTCCCTCTGTTTCAGCATTGACTCAGAAATAGAGGGGTCAGAGGTTGTGAGGGGCTGGACGATGGAAAGGGGGGTTTATCTGGGAAACGGTGACCTTTTTGTGTGCACTAGGGCAGAATACCCCTCCCTTTAAAAAAAAAAAATAATTCCCCTCCTATTACGTCCCCCCCCTCCTTTAGCTCGGCCTCCTGCTCATTCCCCAGTGGGGGCCCATCCCCCTGTCTGATGGCCCCGGGCCGTGGCAGTGACCTTGGCCATGGCAATGAAATAAGGTGGCCCAAACCTGCCACAGAAACCTGGTTCTCCCCCTGCCCTTTAACAAACCCGCAACTCAGCAGCCTGCAAGAACAAGAGCTAAATAAGCACATTTTCACTCACTCAGAAAGAACATTTATTTGTCTCCGTCATGCTTTCTGTTTTTCCTGCGAACACCTCCTCTCATAGACTTAAGTGTGTGACCATGTAACCAAGCAAATCTTTACCTCTGTTATTGCCAGACTTGTTTCATGCAATAGTCCTCCTGATAAATGCTTTATACTGCATGTAGCCTGAGGAGATATTTGTCTGTATATCAGCTTCTGCATCCAATTAAATGCTCACATTTAATATGAAAGATTTATCTTGAAGTCCTGTCTTCAGAGTGGAGTTTTCAGCTTGTATGCATACATTGTTATCAGCTTAGCAATCACTTTCTTTAATAAAGCATTAAGTGCAAAAGGACACTGACTTATTTGAGTCCGATCTGAAAAGGTAAAAGCTAATCTTAACTCTCTCCTCTGTGTGGTTGTCACACAGAGACAGAGCTCCTGAAGTGTGTGGGGTTAAAAGCCTGCCAGGCTCCAGTATTTGGAGTCAGTCACCGGGGATAAAATGAATTCCACAGGAACCAATTAGAAGAGGTAGCTGCTGGCATCGGATGAAAGATTTCTGGGATCACCAATTTCCTCCTGACAACCTGTTTGCAAAGTCTGTAGTTTTGTTAGCCGGCATTACTTTTGGGAATCTAACGATGTGTACAACGCACAATTCAAGCTGGAGAGAAAGACCAAATTAGAGCTTCAAAATTTTTAACAACCAAACATTGTTGAGTAACCTCAGAAAACATGAAACCTGATATAAATTGGTAAAATAATAAACAATGCCTTATTTTAGATTCAGTTTGACAGATACTGTATTTTTCGCACTATAAGGCGCACCTGATTATAAGGCGCACCATCAATGAATGCGTCTATTCGCATCTATTTTCATACATAAGGTGCACCGTATTATAAAGCGCATTAAGCCAAACAAAACAGTCAGATAAGTCAAACTTTATTTAACTCATTAAATAAGCTTCAGTGCTCCGACAAGCCAAAAAAATACGTTATATGTTATAGGTTTTGTCTAATATCTTAGCATTGCTTTTGGATTATTTGTCAAAATTTGAGATTATTTTTGCACGAGATAAAGAAATAATTTTTTTTTACCAGTTTCTGACACTTTCCAGGGCGACTTAGAAGGTAATCCTCTGACACAAACCGTAATTGTAACCTGAAATATCATCTGCATTGATTCAGTATAATAACACATGATAAAGTATTCAGTTATACCCTTAATCAGGTTATTTGCAAACATAAGTCAAGAGTTATCTTGATAATAGAGTTAATTTAATCGGGATGGAGACGTGAGGTGACTTGGCAGCATTAATTTCGGTGATTAAAGTGGCAGAGCGAGTAGGCCACAGCCAAGTGAGCTGCCATCAGTAGAGCAGGCCGGGGTAGATGAAAGTGGAGAGAAGCGGGGAGTAAAATAGATGGAGCATGTGTCGGTGGTCTCAAATGATCTCTGGGCCCCTCTGGCTCTGGAGACTGGACCTTGAACCAGGAAGGAACATTCCATTCCGATGCTGTGCCGCGACCTCCTGACCCCGCCAGCTTTGTTTCAAGGGCAGCTTTCGACAGGCAGCAGGATGCAGAGCAACGGCTGCAGGCTTGCTTAGCATGAAGAAGCGAGCCTTTACCGTTAGAGCATGTCAGAAAACTACTCCCCTGACCCCAGACTCGTAATTTCTCACTGTAACATGCACATTACCTGTGCTTAACATCAAATAAATGCACTGACATGGACATGTGCGTCAGACACAGGCTTACGGTCAGTGACTGAACATATCTAGACAAGCTGCTCGTGAAAAAACAGCACACATATGCTCCTGAGGCTTTTTCCGTCTTTACAGCACAATTGAAACATTTAATTCAATTCTCACCTGAAGAGATGTGCTGGCATTTTTTTTTTATCCATCATAAGAAACACTTCCACAGCCTTTCCTTTTAGTAGCTGCTCAGAGGATGAGATGTGTTTATTTTATGACCACATAAAATATTTGTATCATCTGTCCAACTGCAGCCTTTAATCATATTTATGAATGTATCCCCGTGTTTTTTTTCTCTATAGAAGTGGTTTCATGTCATGTGTTAGTGAGTTGTAAGGACGACCATTTCATTGCCGCAGTGTGAAAAGATGAAACACGATGCTAGTAGTGTAATAGCCCTTTCCATTTGCCAGCATAGGCATTATTTGTGAGTGGGAAGACAGTTTTAGAGGGTTAGCTGGCTGATGGCAGGTTGGAGGAGCCTGTGATATGTGCTTATGTCTGACAGCTTCTAGTAGTGCTCCTCCCATCCACTGCAGGGAATAGTCCAGACAAGTGCATGACAGTGAGAGAAACACCACTACAGGCTGTTAGCCTTTGTGTTTCAGGGACAACGTATTACATCATATCAAAACATTTATGTGTGAATCAAGTAGTGCTTAGAAGCATCTGTTGTGCTGACTCAGGGGTCACGGAAAAACTAACTCTATGAGACTTATTACAGTCTTCATGGCAGGGCAGGGCGATATCGGAAAAAGTTTATCACGCTATATTTTTTTCATATCAGTCAATATTGATATATATCATGATATGAAAGTTGAAATTTAACAGTGCTTATTGGTATTATGTCTTTTGCAACACAGTACGCTACTGCATCTGTGAGGTCTTTGTGTCTCTTGGACATTTTGTTGTCAGGCGTTACTCTAGAGAAAACAGACTGAATGGTTGGCTGTTTCGGCTGCACAGGCACCATGGGCTCCTTGCATCGCACGGGGTTTGTAACCTGTTGCGTTGCGCGTGCTCTGTCGCATGGCACTGCTTCAGGTGGTGAAAAAGATTTGAGGTGTTCCCCGACTTTGCGAGAACATGTACTCGACATAATTTGCAGAAGACGTTACTCTGCTTCATGTCCGACTTCAAAAAACCTAAATACCTCCACACTACTGACGTTTTCATGCCAGTGTTGTCGACAATGCAACTCCTCTTTTTATTGGCTGTTCATATAGTCTACCAAAACATGGCAGAATGCTGACTATAGAAAAGCATATTGACCATGTTTCATATTGATATTGAGGGAAATTAACTTTCGATATATATTGTTGTTGTTTTATCGCCCAGCCCTACTTCATGATAATGATAGTGATTGGTAATGTCTCTGTGCTCAAAAACAGGCAGTTCAGGGCTGGACAGAACTGAATAAAACTGATAATCTTTCTGCAGTTTATTGGGTTATAAACAAATACAAGAACTTCTAAATTAAAAGTTTTTGTTGCACAATTCTTCAGCTCTCTGTCTGCACCTCTGACAGCCCCATGGAAAGGAAGAAGCAACAGTGACACAAAATCTGCTTCACTTTGTTTACTGTAGGAATGAACATTGAAATGAACATTATGCATTCCCTTAACTCTCCATCTGTGTTGTAGCAGCGCAGGCGAGATGCAGCTTACAATAGGAATACATTAAATTAGATTCTGCCTAGTATAATTGAGCGTCTATCATAAGCCCCATGCTACAGGTCTGTGGCAGCAGCAGTGTGGCGTACATGTTTACATTTTACTGTCATGTGGTACGTTCATTAGTGATGGGTGTATCGACAGTATAATATCAATGTCAATGTCAGCTTTATTTATATAGCACATTTAAAACAGCCATTTCCTACTAAAGTGCTTTACAGTAAAATAGCCAGAAATAATAAAAACAATAAAAGCATAATACATATGAAAACATAAAACAACAATATAGATGAACATAGCAAATAAATAAAAGTAGCTATACTACTTTATAGGCTAACGTGAACAGGTGTGTCTTTAGAAGTGTTTTAAAACTGAAAATGCTCAATCTCACCCAGATTTTAAAGATATCAATATTTTGATACCTAAAGCTCCTGTGTGGAGTTTTTTTTTGACATTTATGAAATGAACAGAAATTGATGTTGATTCATGAAAGCAAACACGACCATAAGCCATAAGACTGATTATTTTTATATTGTAATTTTTAATGCCTAACTTCAGTGGGAAGGGGGTAGGAGACAACCATGTTTTTTCAATTTCTGCAACAGTATTCACAACAAATAATACATTTGATTGTCAAAAGTCAAGAGGATTACCGTATTTTTCGCACTATAAGGCGCACTTAAAATCCTTTAATTTTCTCAAAAATCCTCAGTGCCCCTTATAATCAGAGGCGCCTTATGTATGAATTCTGGTTGTGCTTACTGACCTTGAACCCATTTTATGTGGTACACAGCGCTCAAAAATCTGTCAAAATGTTTTATTACGACTTCGGTTAGCTACAAAGCTGTACAGGCTGATGGCTTGTTGGAGCACTGCAGCTACTGTAGCCTCGCAGAGTTATTGAGTGAGTTAAATAAAGTTTGACTTATCTGACTGTTTTGTTTGGCTTAATGCGCTTTATAATCCAGTGAGCCTTATGTATGAAAACAGACGCGAATAGACGCGTTCATTGAAGGTGCGCCTTATAGTGTGAAAGATAAGGTAGACTGTTTAAGCATGTATAAGATAAGATAAGCTAAAACTGGCACCAACTAAAATATCTCCCCAGGAGCTTTAAAGAGTACTTGTTTATTGTGTTATTAAAAGTTATGTATAGGGTGTGCATCTATATATGCTTCTTTTTTCAATCATTTCTAGTCATTACTGCTTTAGTCGTTCAAAGCTTCCACTATTGTGACACCGAATCACTGCAAGCCTGATGTTCTGAGTAACAAATGCATTGGTCAAAATCAAGCAATCTTAAAAAGCCATTTGGTCCTACAGTTCTTGACCTGGGAGATTTATAACTTTTATATTAATTGAAAATGAGTTTCATTTCATTAGCTCAGGTCCAAGTAATCTATAACATGAAGCAAATAAATAAAGAGCTAGAAATGAACCCTTTGAGCTGTCTCGACTCGCAATAATTCAGTTTATAATCCTTGTTAATTGACAGGAATTTGATGTGCAGTCAGAAATCACTGAACAAAGCTCATATTTTATTCCATTGTTTATGCGCTCTTGCCTTGGGATTGTTTCTATAGAAAAAAAAAAAAAGAAACTTTCAATGTATGTAAATCCAGAGCTGCTCTTTGTTTACGCAAATCCTGAAATGGTATTTCATTATCTGATGGAGGAGATATGCAATCATAACAAATAACAGTTTCTACAGTCTTTTGTTTGCGCTCGCTATAGGTAGAGGCAGAGACAAAGGGCTTTCATTTCTCACCCACTGTCATGTAACACTAAGTGGTTATGACAGGGCCTGCACTTGCCTTTCCTCGTCCTCCATCTCCGCTTCTCTTCCTCAGTGGTTATTTTCCTCCCCGTGAACTCTGTCATGCAGTAGGCGTGGTAGAGGACCCGCACATGTGCACACACACACACAGAAGAAAAGCTTGGGGGTTACTGATTGCATATTAGCATAAATTTATCGGGATTAGCCGGTTTGAGAAGCCGGTGGGAGGGGGTTCCTCAGATCAGCGAGGGGCAGTAATAACCCCCGGTGACCGCAGTCAGCTGGGCTGAATGGAGGGAAGGAGGGAGGGAAAGGAAAAGAATAGGAGGCTGACTTTTTTAATTTCCAGCTGTCTCAACAAGAGGATGTGGTGGTGGGGATGATATCTTGACATCACAATCCAAGGCAGAAATCCACACATTACTGGCTGCTGCTCTCTTTGTTAGTATCTTAAATGCATCCTGCTTGTAAGTGCAATATATTTCTGATTTCACTCCACTGCTTCTCTCTCTTAGCTCCATGTTATTCATTTAATTCTGAGTCTTCAGCACCACACCAGTTCTCATGTCTATTTATGAGAACATGAATAAGTGCCTGTGAGTTTCTAAAGACGCGCAAGGGTTGGCTGAATATGCCCCCTCCTATCTTGTTGGTCATGATTGATGTTGCAGCATCTCCCCTCCCAGTCATTTAGATCATATTTACAGAATAGAGCATCTGTGCTTTTGAGTCTGCCTGTCTGGATCCTCCATTTAGCCCAGTATGAGCAAAGTGCCAGACCTCCCCTCAAGAAGAAAGGTACAATTAACCATTAACTAAGTATTTGCTTATAAAACTCTGACCGTCTTACTAATTTCTGCCTCATCAGCTCAGTCTCTCTGTTGTGTCACACTTTCAAGCTCCTCCTCTGCTCTGTTTTAGTGTCATCGCCCCCCACGAACGAAACTCTGTTTGCCACACACGTGATGGCACTGTGTTGCCCGGGATTGTGATTAATGGCCACAATTCAGCCTGAAAAATTCCCTTGAGTGGTTGCCAGTTGGCTTACGCAGAGAAGAAACTCATTACTGCTGTCGGTTGAGCTGACGGGGCAGGGAGGGGTGTGAGTGATAGTGCGTGTGTCTGCATGTGTGCACGGACAGCAGAGAGTGAGTGAGTGAGAGAGAGAGAGAGAGACAGAGTGAAAGCTCATTTTTGTGCATGTTAGTAAGCACATACATGTCTGCCAGCTTTTGGCTGTTTGAGCCATCATGCATGAACAAGTGTGTCCACGTGCTAATCTAGTGTAAAAGTGACAGTGTGTTCCAGGGGCTGGTCACTTAGTAACTGATAATTTCTCAGAAATGAATGAGCCGGTTTCCATCAGCACACACCGACTAACTTTTTAATGAATAACCTGGGTGCACCCTGCTGCTTTATGGCTACAATCACCCCCCTCTACAGTATGTTACATATGTTTAGAAGATAAGGCTTTTTTATTATTCATCAGGTTTTAACACATTCCCATCCTCTTTGCACAGATAAACTCCCGCTTATCAGTCGTAGGATAAAAACAGCAGGTGGTGGGGATATTACTTCAACTTAAAGGCGATTCTTGTGAAATTAATGGAAAGGTTTTCAATTTGAACACAATAATTGCCTGTCTACTCTTATTAAAAATTGAAAGGCAGCTAGGAAACTGAGCAGGAGAGGTGAGAAAAGACAGAAGAGAAAGCTGTTCAAAACCAGGGCCTGCACAATATGGATAAGCACAGCAGTGTTCCATTCACTGACAGATTGCTATCTACATTCACTGACACCACACACCGCGCTCAGAAATGAAGATTTGAGGACATATATATGCATTTTACGCATGTAAAAGACCTCCATATGTGGCTTTGAGGAAGCTGGGAGATAAATCTAATTCTATGTTTAATTCATTTTTGCACTGTGCACGAAATAAAGCCAGTTTTTTTCCCGTCAAATGAGTAACACAAATTTCAATTTCTGCTGTCAGAGGCCCTCTTTGAAAAGGTTAAAGGAAATGGCTGTGAAAGCTGTCGACAGAGCTCTCCCTGTAATGTCTTTTTTAATCCGTGAAAGTTCAACGGCTGATACAGGATTAATCAGGCGGTTCATTGGTTAAGAGGGCAGCAGTATGTGAGGTTCAAAAATTTCAAGAGACCTTTTCAACTAAAATTTGCCACCCTTGTTAGTCAACATGAGAATTACGAGTGGTCTAAACAAATTAAAATAACTTTTATCACTGTAGCCTCAAATTGCTGGTCACATTATCTATGCTGTAAGTCAGCCACCTACCACTAGTCACCACTCTAATGACGTTATAAAACTCTACTATCCAGGTGTAAACAAGCACAGATGACAGATGGTGTCTCTGAAGAGTTTGGCAGTGTTTTTGTAAACTGTATCTGGGTTAACAGGCATACAACCACTCATCTGGAGTCGTGTAAAAAAGCACAGGCATGGACGTTTACATGCAAAAAGGAAGCTGGTAGTGCTAGTTAAGATAACATTAGCTACACTGACAAGACAACCAGACTTTGATCCCACCTGCTCAAAAAGTAAGTTGTCAGAATTTTTGATTTTGCTAAAATGCGCCCCCTGGTGACTGGCTGTAGTATAGGTCATAAAGCCTGCCTCCATCAGGACATGAAATTAATTACAATTCACATCAAATAAAGATTTCTCAGTTTTGCTTCTATGATGACAGGTAGTTCTTATGCTGATTTGAGCACATGTGTAATGGGGCGCTCACACCGAGCACGAGTAAAATCATCTACTCGCTAGATTCGTAAGTGAATAGTATTTATTTGCTTCATTCGCGCGCCAACGGTAATTTCAACTGTAATCTCTCCCAATTTAACGGGCAGGATCAAGTCATAGACAAAAGTGTTTTACAATTTACCAGGTAATCCGACCTCCTCACTCACTTGCCTCCAGGTGAGCTCCTTTTGATTCCAGTTTCGGTAATGAAAAGACAAGGTATCATATAATTCAGGGCATTCACACACGACACGATCAGTTTGTCCTCCATTTTAGAAACGAGTGAACAACCGTCCGTTTTCATACATCACCCAGCAACCTTCATTCTGATTAGATATCGCGACGCAAATATCCACTCAAGTTGATACATATTTAGCTCTCGCCCAATTTGCATTATTCGTGCAGCCAGAGTAGTAGGAGCGTCTTTACATTGACTTAACGTGTAATTCATTCGCACAAATAATTTTACTCATGCTTGGTGTGTGGAGACAGTTACTTCTGGAGTTTTTATTTCCTTTCTATGCTAAAAAGAGGAGGAGCATCATGATTGACAGCTCTATTGACCAATACAGGCTCTTCCACTTAATCCCAACATAAGAATCTGTTCCGCTGTGGACTACACTGGCATCAGAGATCTTCAACATTTAGTTGGCAAGTTAAATGTGTGTTTTGGTTGGTGGTAGCCATTCTGGAGCCAGTCTTTGCCAGATCACTACTGCACGTGCCTTGGCTCCATCAGCACAATATGTTAACACCGACTGAGGTGGTTTTTTGGCTCCACACCTCTCATGAATTCAAAGGGAATCCAGTTCATTGGTAAAACTGAAACTTTTCTTGAGTGGTACAACTAATCTTATCCCATCTTATCTGGTAACTGGCATTAAACTTGTTGATGATGTGCTACCTCAGGTTTATTGCATCCTGTGTCAGAAGTTTTGGGGGTAAACCTAAACTCAGAATTAGTCATTTAAAGTGTTTACTCTCACTAAAAGTCTGTAAAAAGCTGGTTCATCTTAAATTTGCGGTAAAGGATGAAGGGAATCTGTGAACTTTGTGTCCCTTTTGTCCGTCTGTGAACTTGAGAATGATTCTACTTTGACAAATTGAGATCATCACCTCGACATTTTTAACTGTTTTGTGAATTAATCTGCTTGAAGTTTTGACAGGATGCAAACAGTGATGTGACAGTTTTGAAACCAAAGGGACACTGAGCAACAGATAAATGACCAATGGGAACCGCGCAGCTGAGGCACAGCAGACCTCCCTCTTACAGTCAATACTGTGTGTGTGTGTGTGTGTGTGTGTGTGTGGTGGGGGGTTGGGGGGCAGAAGGGGTGAGATTTACAAAGCCGTGTTTCAGCCATTTGGGGAGCCCAGTTTTGTGAGATGCAGTGGAGCGCATGGGCCGGACCCGCCCTGCGTCTTTCAGATGTCCCGTGGGAGTGCCAGATGTGGGGTCATCCATCTACCCCTGTTTCAGACCAGCCCCCCTCAAAATCATTGTCAGATGCAGACTTTACTGCACGCTGTTCTCTCAGGAATAAATGAACGCATACATGAACGCGTATTTATCTCAGAAAAACTTCTACAGACTTTATTTTTTTTTGCTACCAGCGATGTTTGACCAAGAAACAGGGGCACAAAGTGGAGACTTTGAGAGCAAGATTCATCGTGGCCTCCTTAGATTGGCCTCACTAACCAACAGTTGTCCTCTAATGAGGGGGAAGTAATGCATGTTGCACTGAGGAGAATTGTGATGCCAAATGTCCGTCCAGGTTGTTATTCAGAGCCGCTACTGTCTGCGGGCATCGCTTATTTCTAAACTCACAAAACAAGAGGCGGAGACGAGCCAAAGAAGAATTTAATGGCATTTCCATTTGAATATAAACGTTATTTTTACCCCAGATGTCTCTAAACGCTTCAAAATATTTCAAACCCTGCAACACTGAGAAACGACAAGAGAGGACAGAGGATAAAGCAGTGGTAGGGTTTGGCTTTTGTGCAGGGAGAGTACAGTGAACAGGCTGAAGAAAGGACAGCCCATAACTCATGTGGATATGAGCTCATATATACTGGTCGGATGATGGGAGAGGCATCTCATTTGAATTCTAAAGCAGGCAGTTGCATGCTGAGGTATTGGCGATATTAATTAGATACGTAGCCTCTGGGCTCGAAGAAAATGGCACTGTGAAGATATAGCCTCGTCTCAGCAACAATCAGGTGTGAAAAAAGAAGAGAGACAGCTTCTTCTTGGGTATATTACGCTCATCAATGTCTAAAGAATGACATCTGAATCGACACAAAATGTAAAAAATATCACAAATGTCTTCATTTTGTCCTGTCCTGTCTAAGTTACACTGCTGTGCTGAGTGTGTGAACGCATATGGAGATTGCATGTAGATAAAGTAGGTGAATTTGTTCTTTTTCTGACATGTGAGTCCGAGCGTAGACCCTGAAGGAAAGCTCACTGAAATGCTCAGGAGGAAAGAATTTCATTAACTTTAAAGACTGACTCTGTGCTACCTGGCATGTTAAAGAGGAGAGAAAAGGGAAAAAATCAGCAGTCTAGAGAGATCACAGATCCTGACCCACTTACAGGTGAACACTGACTCACTGTAAGTTCTCCCTCAGTGGGTCTGATTTCTGTCTGAATGATCTACTTAGAGGGATTTCTATGACTTGACTGAATATAAAGATTTACAGCACGTGTTAACAGAGACAAAATAACTTGGCGTTATAACTACAACTCCTGTAAGTCTATTTGCAACTTCAGAGAGAAACCTTTGTAAGAAAATATTGACATTTTTCCTGAAAAGAAAGCAGAGCACATGTTAATGGGACTTCAACATTCGGGGTCGATCCCTCTGGCAGCATTCTTAATAAGGTGGTAATTTGGCAGACGGACAAACTTGAAGAGAGGGCGCGTGAAGAGGAGTTCAAATTCTTTCCTGGCTGCTCTAATTGTTCATTCACCGAGTTGTCTGTGTCCTCAAATCCTCTTTATTTTCCTTTTTTTTTTGTCTAATCTGAGCCAAAGCAGCATCGCCTCCCTGGTGTACAACCAGGAAACTGAAAAGGGAAGCTATCGAGTGGCGTGTGTTTCTGAAAGGAGCATTGTTTTCGCTCTCCCTTACAGGTAACACTGAGGTGATAGTTAGACTGCATATGGAGCTCAATCCGGCTCTCCAGCTGACACCTGTTCAGTCTCCCTTCCTCTAAGCCATCAGATCTCTCCTCTGTGTCTTGGAGTTGTTGAATGAGTTATTCAGTTAGCCTGTAAGTGATACAAAAGACTTGCTCTTTATCTTTACCTCTTCAGTAGTTGTGTTTACATGGGGACAAATAATCGGAATAAATGCCCAATCGGAATATTCTAAACCTATTGGGCTCAATCAGAAAGAAATTGTATTCCAATTGAGAGGGGTTGTTTATGCCGGTTGTTATTCCGTAACGCGTCCATGTAAACACTTATTCTGATCATGACTCTCTTACCTGACTCGATCGTCACTCTTTAGCCTTTGTCTTATTTATTGCGGTCAGTACAGGAGGTTTCATTAACACTCTGGCAAACACAACAGCAGGAGGCGTGTCTGCTCCTCCGGTAACACAACAAGGCGTACATACAGCGTAATGATGTCACATCTGCACACACAGCGCAACCTTTTACAGAACAGTGAAATAAGTAAGCAAGAGCGCCATCTAGTGACAACATTTTACAAGGGGAAAACTTCTGAATTGGATGGAGTGAGCCACTACTGTGTTTGTTGGTTTGTTGACAGCCCAGGCATAAATACAACTCTTCTTCTGTGGTTGTTTTAGCGAAATCAGACAACTCTGTGCATGTATACGAACGTCATGATCGGATTATTTGATATTGCATCCATATAAACAGTGGATTCAGATTATCGATCCCTCAAAATTTCAATTGGATCAAGAAATTTTGCACATGTAAACATGACTATTGTACACTTGAAATGAAACTTAAAATACTTGGAAAAATGGACACAGCATCAATAAGTTTTTTCACCTACAAGAAGAAACGCTGATGGTTAATTTTGAAGCCTAATTTTGGTGCTAGTTTGTCTGTTATTTAAACCCTCCTCTCTCTGCCGTCCTCCCCCTCTTCCTGCTTTCTCACTCGCTTGTCTGTAATCTAACCAAAGCTGCGACTGGGAATCATTTAAATAATCCCTTAATTTTCAGCATCTGTTGTGCTTTAATGGCTCCCTTTTTAATTAGGCTCTGCATGCTGAAGTGAGTGTAGGGGGCTTAGTGTGCAGATTTGGGGCTACAGGGGCAGGGCAGGGGAGTGCAGGGGGCCGCAGAGGTGGGAGGCGCAGAGGCCAGAGGGACCGTTGGGTGTGGGTGGGGTGTGTGTGGTAGAGGGGGCTTTAGGTGGTACAAGCAGGAGTAAAGGGGTGTGGTTGAGAGAAAGGGAGAGGCACAGGGCAGGGCATCCGGGGAGGCCCAGGCTTTGTCCCTGGGGGAGAGGTGAGGAGGAGCATGGGGGATAAAACAACAGTGAGCAACGTGCATTTCCCATCATGCTCTCTTTGTGCGACCAAAAGCTTCTATCTATACACTAATTACTTTGCTATGAGCTGATGTTGGCAGAGTTTGCATTTACACTATTACAATTTGAATTATAACCAACTGGAATTAACAAAAGACCGACATTTGAATTACAAGGATGAATGGATTATGAGGGATGTGTGTGTTTAGTTAACTGAGCAATTTAACTTTGTCATTCTTACTGGTCAGCACCAGAATAACCAGCTGGGAAAAGCTAATTATTACTACTTTAATTATTGGAGTCCAGCAGTCATATGTTGTGTCTAAGCTGTGGTGCAGCCACCTGCCACTATCCAGGTCTGCGTCTTCAGTTAACAGTGACCGCCATAATGCTTTAATACCAGATGTGAACAAGCACAGATAACAGATGGCACTTCTTAGTGCGGCAGTGTGTGAGAGAGGACCCAGAAAATGGAGTTGTATAGAGGCTGTGTCACTTGACCAGAGCACAGGGCTGTGGACTTTTTGTGATTGTGTTTGTTGTCCTCTTTAATGCCTGAAACCACAAATTATGGCCAGAAAATTCATTTTTTTGGAGCTGAAATGTTTATTTCACTTGCTACTGAAAACCAAAAATTCAAAATGGCCTTAAAATTTTACAAATATATTTATTGATCTCGTTCGACACATTAGATGTTTTTGGAAACTGATAAACCACAAGAAAACATTTTTATCATTTATCCGACTGTATTCAGGTGTTTTTGTTGATCATATTGATTTGATAAAAGTACATAAAAGTATGTATCAAACATGACACAAAAGGCATAAAAGGGTAAACATTTACAAAAAAAAAAGCATGAGAGCTTCGAGCTAGTGCCGTTTTGCAAGAGAAAAAGAAAGTCTTGGAGACATGGTTGAATCAACAAATCCATTCACTAATGAGTCAAAGTTGCTTAACTGTCATGAAAATGAAGTGCAACCCTATATTCCTATCCAAAGACGTATCAATTTCCGATCTTAATTTATGTCTGTATTACAGTGTGCATCAGTTTTCATTTTTCCTTTCATTTCTTGATTTCTGTGGTGAGACAAAGAGAAATATAGAATTTTTTTCTAAATGATAACTATTATAGCATAGCTGCCCTTTCCGCCTCCTGCAAGGAGCTTTAATAGCAGCCATCAATCTTACTACATTTAACTTAGTGCACACAAGCTGCACAGTATCGATCAACACAACAGACTGAGGGCAACAACACCCTCGGACAGCCTAATGCAAACAAGCCTGCAACACGAGCAGAAAAGGCAATTAAAGTCCAGTCAAAACAATTTTATAAAGCGAGACATTCACAAAAGTCAGGATGTTTGTCAGCAGTCAGCAAAATTCACAGTGGAGAGAATTAAAAATGACAGGTACAGGAAAATCAGTAAAACAGTGTTAGGAAATGACATGAACAATATGTGTTACAGCCAGGTTGTCATTTTGCTATTCTGTACACGTGCAGATCACCATAAAATCAGGTCACGACTTCGTTTATGATTGCATGGTTGGTTTTGACTCGTAATTTTCACACAACTGAATGTGTAAGGATTAGTTTGATGAAAGACAATCACTGTTTGTGAGGGAAGAATCTTTGCGACTAGATTTTGTTTTTTTAATGAAATTTCCCCACAGCTATTCCACGATTTGCTGTTGAGATGCTCTGTGCACACATTTATTTATTCATAAAAATGTGTCATTGAACACTTTTGCTGAAAACATGCATAAGTGATGACAATTCCCTTAGTTTCAGGTGAGGCGTATGCATCGAATTGTGTTGTATTTTTTTGTATTTGTAGAAAAATCTTTTAAAAAAAAACCTACAGGTAGGGCTGGGCGATAAAACAATAACGATATATATCGGAAATTTATTTCCCTTAATATCAATATAAAACATGGTCAATATCCTTTTCGATAGTTAGCCTTCTGCCATGTTTTGGTAGACAATACAAATAGCCAATGAAAAGGGGAGTTGCTTCGGGTCTGCTTCACGCTGAACCAATCATGTGCTGAATTAGAACCAAGTAGCAAACAACTGAATAGTAGCAGGCTGCAGCTACACGCAACAATAGCACTTTAATACTTGAAGCCGACAGCACTGTGGGTGAGAAAAAAAGAAAATGAGTGCAACCCCCAGCAGAAATTGCAGATCAAAACTCAACAGATGATGACATCGTCGACAACACTGGCACGAAAACGTCAGTGGCATAGAGGTATTGTGTTTTTTTTAGGTCGGACATGAAGCAGAGTAATGCGTACTGCAAATTATGTTGAGTACATGTTCACGAAAAGTCAGAGAAAACCTCAAATACTTTCACTACCTGAAGCAGAGCCACACGCCAGAGCACACGCAGCGCAAAAGGTTAAGAACCCCATCAGAACAAGGAGCCCATGGCGCCTGTGCAGCCGAAACAGCCGACAATTCAGTCCGCTTTCTCTAGCACAACGCAGTACGACAACAAAGAGACACAAAGACCTCACAGATGCAGTAGCTTATTGTCTTGCGAAAGATATGCTACCAATAAGCACTGTTAAATTTCATTTTTATATCATGATATATATCGATATATATACTGATATAAAAAGAAAATTTGTGATAAACTTTTTCCCATATCGCCCAGCCCTACCTACAGGGTAGAGAGTTTTGTTTAGCTTCCTTTGCAAATAGCCAATCAGTGCGCGCAACATTGAAAGACACACAAGACCCGTGCATATACCTGTTGCCAGATGCTGAAGAGACCATATGCCAGATGCACAAAAGCATCGAAAATAGAATAAGATCTTAGATGGAGAGCATTTAAGCTTGGTCAAATAAAGGGTAAGTGTGCTCATAAGGTCCCTCTAAATAAATCGCATAACTGCTGTACTGAGGAAAAAGCTTTTCATATAAAAGATCAATAAGTCTGGTTCTCGAGCATTGCTTTACTCATCTGCATTTGCACGTTTGCCAGCTGTGCCTGACTGTAAGCTGTGCAGCTCCTGCTGATGCTGGTGCAGCTTCTGACTCAGGGAGGTGTTGATGTGCCAAAGCATTAAGCACAGGGACTAAGTGTGTGTCAGAGGAAGATGGGGTACAGCCCACGCACATGCAGCCCTTCTCTTTGCAGGTGATAAGCATCACGCACCACCGACCAGCAGATTGATCACAAGAGTGCCCAGGCTTTTGGTGCAGGGTGGGTGTGCAGGTGGGCTGGGCAATAAAATATCACATCTGCATTAAAATGCCATCTCTAGGGTCCCCGCTCTTGGGCCTGCTATTTCAGGGTTGCCTATTTAAAGGCTGTTGAAGTGTGGGCTCTCCACGCTGGAATAGCACCATACACCATCTCCATTATTTATGGGCCTCATCTCTATTTTACTGGTTTACCGAGAGGGGGGAGGGGCAGCTACGGCAGTCATCAGCGCCGCTGCTTGAACAACATGTGCTTAATGATGTCACAGGCTTGAGAGGACTTGTGGGGGTGGGGGTGGGGTGTGTGATGAAGAGCCCAGCAAACGGTTCAAATTGTACAGGGGAGGGGGTGGTGGTGGTGGTGGAGAAGGTTTGGGGGTGAGGGAGGCGAGGCGAGATGGGGGAGGGCGATGATATTATAACATGGGGGTTCACTGAAGCCTTACGCCATCGCTGCAGGTCTGAGTGGGTCTGGAGGATGGCTGTCCCTCTACTGGCATCATTACCTCTGTCATATCAATGAATCATCCTCACATTGGAATAAAGAAACATCCGCATGTGACCACAAGTCTGTAAAAAAACATGGATGTCTCATCAGATTGGCTGGTTTGGTCACTGCAGCAGGGATTTCACAGTTTGGGTCTTAATTGCCTTGTTAATTATCCTCTGATGAGCATTTCTGTGTATGTGTCTGTGAATGTATGTGGGTGTGTTTAACCGAGCAGTGCAGAAATGGATCATTACTTTAGAGCCATTAGGCAAAAAAATACATCAGCTAGGGGTCATTCAAATAATCACCATTTCATCTGCACGTCTTCATTAGATAGATCTGAAATGCTTGAGTGGAAAAGGGTGAAAACTCACCAAATAGCTGCTGTACGTGTGGAATTGAATGATGGGTGAAATTTGTCAATATCCAGCGCCCTTTTAGCAGGTGATTGGCTCTTAAAAAAACATTTCCATTGGGGAAAATCTACACTTGGACTCATATTTCATCTATTATTTATATTTGGTATTTATTATATTATTAATACCTACTTTAAAACTGATCATCTTGATTTCTGCTCTGTTTAGGCCAAATTCACGAGGCAGACCACCGACCAAACTGTTACCAAATGACACTTGTTAACGCCAAATACAGTTGATACAATGACGATATATTCTCTCAGTTTATTCATACTCACCATGTGTGAAACCTGGGACTGTAGATTACAGCACAGACACTTGAGAATTGCATACTATTTGCAGATAATAAGTTATTTAAATAAGAAAAGATAGACCAATAAAGTGAAATTGGATAATTTCTCAGGGTACACCCCACTATCCGTCATGGCACACTGGTTGAAAAACACTGCTTTAGGCTCCCTTTGGTACCTAGTAACTGTGACGCACAACGTGAAAGGCAATCCCTTTCACTTGTTGGGTATTATTAGTTAACCAGAGTTTTGACAGGATCTGATTTACAGCTCAGCTTCCCATCTAAATCACCACGCTTCACATTTCCTGTCATTGACCTTCAGTCATATAACTCCCTCACTCATTCGTCTTTTGTCGTTTGCACCGAGGAACCATCAAACATGTGTGCGAGGGGAGCGGTCTTCTCCCCGTGCACTTGTGTATGGATTTCTTTTTAATATGCACCCCGGCCATTCTCCCCCTTGTTACAGTAATTAGACCTGCTCCATTTAAGCCAGCAGCGTCATGCTGGTAGTGGACCGTCTTTAATCATGTGTGAGTGTCTGTCAACACTTAGCAGAGGAAGAGTGAAAAAAAAAATAGAGGAACCTGTCTGTTGTGGCTGGGTAGGGATAAGTGAGAGTGCCTCATTGCCGTGTCTGTGTGTGTCTTTTTACAGCAGCATAGACAAAGATCAATATGGTTGTGGGTTTCTGTTGAAGCAGCTCTTTGCATTCACAGTATTTATATGAGCTGTAGCTAACCTGTATCACTTCAGTTAGACTCTGCGACCACTCTTATAATCGCTCGATGTGGATTATCTCTCTTCTTTTGCATAAAACACGACTGGTTAACAACTTACTCAGCTTGTTTATCTGCATGTGTACCCCTTGTTGTGATTTTTCCGATTGTGTCTGATTCTATGACTTTGTCGATACTGGCAGGGGTGTGGGCCTCTTAGAGAGCCCATGTTTTATGCATGAGGAGGGCCAAGGGTGGGGCCCGTTAGGGGGGTTATGTCGGCGGACACACACAACAGCCAGATCAGCGGACACCATGACTACTTGGCAAAGATGCACATAAAGCTCCTATAGGCCCTGGTCCTCTTTTGTTCTTAGCATTCAAGTGCAAGTTTGTTTCTTTTCGTGTTTCCTTTGCTGTGTCCCCAGTGTTCCCAGCGCACAGCAGTGTGTGTGTGTGTATGTCTTAATTTGGGACACTTTTTTCCAAGACTACAAGCTCCTTTGATCTCATTAGTCACTCTGAACTCCTTGTTTTCTTTGTATTGTGTCCTGATGGATTTCTAGCTGTCTGACTGTACCTAACCTTTCTGCATCAGCAGTGACAGTGTCTTCAGGGCTTTTACCCGCTTCTACTCTCTGCTATTGTCTGCCGCAGGCTCCGTCTTACAAGACAGAGAGTGTTACTGATGGCTTTTGTCAACACTCAGTCTCAAAAAGAAGCGATATCCTTCAAAAATGATATTATTAGCTGCGTGAGTTTTATGGCTACAAGGTTGTGAGCCTCTAGTAGAAAAAAATTACAGTCGGGCCCTTGAGATAAGCACGCTGGCTGAATAACCCTAAGTGAAATGCACAGCTGTTCAAGTATGGCCTTACAGTGAAGTGGTGAAAATAAAAAAGCTTGAAAATTCACTGGCTGACTGTCAAGGAGTTTTTATCTGGAGACAAAATGATAGAGAGTGAACAGCGTTATCTCCACGCATGCAGACTCCTGGCTAACAGAGTGAACTGTCACTACTGGAAGAATACTAAATTAGCATGTTTAAATTTTCATCAGCGCTCCATACATCCATTCAGAGATCTAAGGTCAAGTCGTGTTGGAGAATGCCACACTTCTCATTAAGCCCTGAAATGGAATAATCACAACGTTAGACCACTGATGCAGGCATAAAGGAGAAAAGTACTGCCATTCTATATTAAGTATCTCTCTCATCGCTCTTCATGTCCTTTGTACGTTTGCAATAATGCCGCAGTTTCATTGGAAAAATTCAAAAAGCGGTATCTATGTCTGTTTATCAACTTGTTATTACAGAAAATACAAGATGTCACTTCAGGCAAAAGTTTTCTACACAACAGAAGACAAACAAATAAGGTCACAATAACAAAGAAATCACAATGGAAGAAGAGGAACAACATCCAGGCGCGTCTCACTCATGTATGATATAAACCCTCTGAGTAGAACTGCTTATTTCTTACTTGTCTTGAATGTAATAAATTAATGCAGGCAGCAGGTTGGGAAGAGCAAGAGGTTATGATATAATAAGGGGTCCATCCTTTTTGCTATGCTAACAGTGTTCAGATGAGTCCTCCTGCGTCCGAGTTAATTATGGCTGACATTTAAATGAGTACACTTGTGTAGGAGAAGGTGGGAGAGCTGTGGAAGAAGAGGGCCTCTCTCTCTCTCTCTCTCTCTCTAAATTGAGTTTGTCTGAGGCTCCAACTTTGATGCCACCTTTGTTCTGCAGATATGTGAAGTGCACGCCGAATGAGGCGCTCTGCGGGGATACAGACGCTTCTTTTGCCATACAGCGATGTTTGTGTGTATCTGCGTCGTCTTTCTGTTAGCATGCATTTTTAAAACTTGCATGACCCAAATACTAAATGAAAACATATGGTAGGAATACCATATGCCAGAAACATACAGTACTTTATGTTTTTGCAGAGCACAAGATACGGATGTAAAGAAGAGAAGAAATGACAGACGTAGCTCGACGATCTTCAATTCCTCTGCACACAGATAGCATTTAAATTAAAAAATATTAGTCAGATATTTAGATTACTAATAAATCTTTGCTGCATCAGTTGTTGAATGTAGCTCAAGAGCCCATCAAACAGAGTGTGTAACTAAGTTCAATTGTTTTATTCTTTGTATAAAAAATCCATATGATTTGATTAAATCAGTGATATGCACAGGTAATAGAAATGTCCAATAATTCCTTACAGAATCTTTTAATATTTGTTGAATACCGATGTTGTTTACTCGCATTATCTTATTGTTTGCAACAAGTCTGCTGTATTGCTTCCTCTGTGGCTTGAATGCATTAGCTCTATTCAGGTATTTTACTCCATTATCGAGGAATGAAATGGGAAGTTACATAAGAGTCCTTCACTCTGGAGGTCCAACCGTTATGTGTGTGTTAGTGCCATTATCTCCACTGGCTTTGTAAACTTGCTAACCGCTTCCTTCATAAAAAGCTTTGAAACAGCAGTCATGTATTCTTGTGTTGGTATGGCGTACGTTCCTGACGACACTGTAAAGGCATAGGTCCTAACAGATGAAGATCGCCACATGCTCTGTTATCGTTAATGTGCACCTAGAGTTTGACTGCAGTTTGCAGATGACTGAGTTGTGAAGCTGAGTTGTTTTATCCACAGGTTGTAAACCTTGGCATGATGTCACCTCGAGTGGTTGCATAGGTCCATTATATGGTTGCAGCCTCACACAGCTTACACAGGACATGACTTTTATTGATTTGTTTTATATCAGTTTTACATCGAAAGTCAAGGTTGGTCCAAAAATTAGTTTTTAATGCTGTCGGCATTGACATCCTATTACTACCTGCTGCTGTCTAGGGATGGGCGATAAATTATTGTTCACGATAAATCGTAAAAAGAAATCCTCCATGATAAATATTTGCCACCTGATGATAAATACGATAAATGCAAGTTGATGAGGTAAGCGTGAGCGATGGACTCGTAGCCATAGTCCACACAGAGCAGAATAACAAACAAACATGGCTGAAGGTAAAGAAGAAGACGTTTCTGAGCAGCTCGTTACTGAACGAGGCTCCACATGAGGGAGTTCCTTCGTGATTGGTGCTTGGATGAAAATGTTTTCACATTTGAGACTTGTTTGACGTCATTAGTTTTCTCTATAACCTACCACTTAAACTTGTGGTTAAGGATCTTATTTGACTCCTCCAACTGGTGTTCTCAAGACAGAATGAGTCAAAAATATAGATTGGAATTACAATATTTTTTATCAGGACTTTTATAGTTATCGCCAGAATGGCAAATCTTATCGTGATAAATTTTTTAGCCCATATCACCCATCCCAATTGCTGCCACCACTTTGTTGACAAAACAGCTGTTGTTTAGTTGAGGGGTCTCTGTGCAACACTAGTCACAGTGCCCCTACAGGACTGGGGCTTTATTACAAGATTATAAGAATCCAGAGAGAATTAATAAATAATGCATTGCAATGTGTTGATGGATTGTTTTTCTCCTACATGGAAAAAGTGTCCTGAACAATGTTTTTGTAGCCAGATCGCTCAAATAGACACTTTTGTTAAGTTACACTGAGAAAGAGTAACTGATGCTGTAACACTGTCCTAATAAATCTCTTTTTTAGCTTCAGAAGGTTCAGTGTGTACATTCAAGGCATATATCCTACATGAAAACACTCACTCACCTTTAGACACACTATCTGTCTACTTCATTGTCCAGTTCACAAGGGGTCATATATTGTTTGGAAGTCCTCTCCAGAAAATTACAGCTAGTAGTATTATCACATCTCCTTCCCATCACTCTGTATACTCCGATTTATTTGTTCAGTAGTATGAGCAGTAAGATATATCAGATAGAAGAGAACGGTTACGTCCTAAATCAAACACCTCTGCACTGACTTTAGTCGTTTTTCAACCTGACAGTCAGCATTCTCAACCTGTAAATCATCCTCGCTTATCTTTCACTGTTTGTCCTAATGAATGCACGTTAAGGGCTGGAGTTGTAAAGTTATTTTATTTTACCCTTGCAGACAGAATGGAGGATAACATGAACATGTCGTAAACATGAGAATATCTCCACACTTTGCTCGCTCTATAAATATGTATGTGTATGTATGTTTGTGAGCATCCAGGCTTTTTGCTCTGCAGCTGTGTGACCTTATATCCTCCTCTCTCTACAGCCATGTCAGACTTTCATGTCCAACCAGAGTCGGTGCATGTTGAGGAGTCCAGTGTGGCCAGATTTCAGTGCCAGATCCACGGCCTGCCAGAGCCTGTAATCAGCTGGGAAAAGGACAGACGCCCCGTGGACACCAAGGACGAGAGGTACAACTAATCCTGAAACTTATTATGTACAGCAGCACCCTGTAAGGTCTTCTACAGTGACTTATTGTACATTTTATCTCTTTATTCTCCTTTAGGTACACCCTCCTGCCAACAGGTGTTCTGCAGATCACCGGCGTGCGTGACGAGGACAGTGGAAAGTTCTGCTGTGTGGCTCATAACAGTGCAGGGGTGAAACACAGCACTGAGGCTCTCCTCACAGTTTCAGGTGGTTATATTTAATGAGTCTCACATCTACATGCTATGAGCGAGCTTGAGCTCACTCCCCACACTAATGCCCAAGCACTGAACCCTCACGAACTCACAGGGATGCAGGGCATGTTTGTGCAATTTGGATGCCCAACGAAGATATGTGCTCCATACAGGAAGAAGAAAATCTCATTGCAGTTCCAATATATTCAGAAAAGCCAGTAGTGTAATCTTTTGTGAATTTTTAACCAAAAAAAAGTACAAAATTGATGAAATACATCTTTTCTCCTCTGGATAAATGTGGTTTTTCCCGTCAGGTCGAGGCTTGTTTTGTTTACAGTACAGAACTTTTTGTTATATTATTTTGAGCCACCAAGTAAAAGTCAGTAGGAGTGAAAAGTAAAGTTTGCATTAAAGCCCCTGCAATTTCAAAATGTGAAGGTAAGACAGTCCTCAACATCCAGAAACCTACAACCTTGAATGTTGAGATTGAGATGAGGAGACTTTTCTATCAGATGGAGACGATCCTCTCTCTAGATACACTTTTATTGTGTATCGGCCTTTTGTTCTGCTCTAAAACAAACACTGCTTTCTCCTCTGTTTCTCCTCAAGTATATTCTTAAGATTCCCCAAACCTATTGTTCCTCCTCCTGATCCAGGAGATACAGCATATCAAGCTAATGCACCCTGGAGAAATCCAATTAAAGGTGGCCATCCATCATGCTTATTCCCATCTTATGCTTCCCTGTTTTTCCCTTTTTTTTATTTTTCACAGGCTCCCAGTCATCTGTTTACAAAGAGCCCATGATCCTGGTCGGTCCAGAAAACCTCACCCTCACTGTTCACCAAACGGCCATCTTGGAGTGTGTAGCTACCGGATACCCTCGGCCCATTGTTTCCTGGAGCAGATTAGGTGAGAGAGAAAAAAAATCCCGATAACATCAAAAAAGAGACGGTAAAGGGTGCTTGGAGGTATATGTACAAATCTCTGTGCATAGGTGTGTGTTGAGGAACAATGTGTCACTGAGCTGAAGCACAATCACAGTGTGCACTCATGCATGTGCTGTGTTTTCTGTGGGTTTGAACGCTCTTTGTGTCCTCGTGTGTTTGTATGGTTTTTTTGTCGCACAGCGTAGATGTGTCCTGCATTGTGGAACATACAGTACATGTGTGCACAGAATACATTTAAGACAGCGGAGCATCTATTGTGTTTCCATGTGGCAAGAAGATTCAACATTAGGCCTTGGGGCTAAACATTGTGTATGACTGTGAGTTGATGAATGCGTTTTTCATCTCCTCCTGATGCTAGACCTCTTTTGTAGCAGCAGAGAGCCTCTGAATAATTGCTTTGAGGTGCAAAGACAGATACGATTAGTTCGCCCTGCCGTCTATGTGCACTTTTTCTTGACTATCACTCAAAGTCTGTCATGACCAATTTTTCAATCTGCTATCTGTTTTCTTTACCTATTAACCAATCTGATTTGCTGTCCCAAATGTAAATTGCTGCCCCTCCCAAGCAGTCAGGCATAATCAGATTGAGGGTATTGCCTTACACAATGTTGCTAGAATGAAATGCTAACACGATGGGATTTGTATGTATTAGATTACAGCAGGGAGGCTGGGATAAGCTGCATAATGAATCTGATAGTTTCACATCAGTCACTCCTTAATGCCAGAGTTTGTTTGCTGCTATTCATCGAGCAGCAGCGCAGCCGGCTAGCTTGTGCTCTTTCTTTTCTGACACTAAGTTAATTAGTGGCTGACAGAGAGAAACTGATTGAGGGGGGAGAGAGAGGGAGAGAAGTAAAGTAAAACAAGGCAAGAAAAGAACAAGGCTGCTATTGTGCGGACGAAAAAACTCTCAGCAGTGTTACACCGAGAGAGTTAGAAAGTGGCAATTGAAAAATGCAGGAAAAGTAATAAAACACATGATAATGACGAAGAGAGCGAGAGCAAAACCACTTGGCAGCGTGGTTACAGTGATTTATTCCATCCCAGTAATTTGTTATTCTGTGTTCATAATCCATCATCTTATGCTCATGTGATAAGATGGACTTCTTGAAGATACTGTTTAACTCGCGTTGCATTGGCTCTACTGGCTACCAGCTAATTTTTAACCAACACAACATGATACAGGACAAAAGGATATGATAGGATATGAGATGATATGACAGTTTGAGTGCAGAGCAGTGCAACTGACAGTAGTCAGTAAGAAAGTACTGCAAAATACATTAGCAGTAAAAAGGTTGTGTGTGATGTCTTAATGTTTATGTAGCCCTTTGTATTTTGGTTTTATTGTGTAACGCCAGATGTTGGCCTGTGTACATCTCCATCATTTTCTGTTAAATATTTGAACACAGAGAAACGTGTTGACAGAATAAAACCACCTGTATGTGCACGAGGAATGAGCGATATTGGCTAAAAAAATTATCAAATTATCAGATTTTCCATTCTGGCGATAACGATAAAAGTCCAGATAAAAAATATTATAATTCCAACCGATATTTTTGACTCATTCTGTCTTGAGAACACCAGTTGGAGTAGTCAAATAAGATACTTAACCACAAGTTTAAGTGGTAGGTTATGGAGAAAACTATTGACATCAAACAAGCCCAGAGTGAGTCCATCACTCGTGCTTACGTCATCAACTTGCATTTATCGTATTTATCATGAGATGGCAAATTTTTATCATGGAGGATTTTTTGACAATATAATGTGAATGATAATTTATCGCCCATCCCTAAACAGCAGCAGGAAGTGATAGGATGTTGACTTTGCATTGACATGTGCACACGTTCTCTACCAGGTTGATTCAGACTCTTAACGCTGAATCCTCTCAGTTTAGGATAGCGTACAACACAGCCGAGTGATATATCATACAATATAATTTGATGGGATATGATACACATTATGATACAATACAACGGGATCTACTTTATCGTGTCTTTGAAGAAATTTATTTTGAACTCAAGTGCTGCACAGATTTAGCTGTTTCTACAAATCATTAATAATTCAAAGCAATAAAATCTAACTTCCAAACAGAGAGGGGCACATATTGATATAAACCATGAGGAAAATTTACAGCACATTATCCATATTGCACATTTGTGTAAGTAATAAAACATGTTCAAACATAAGTCTGATCATTCATTAGAGGGTGCTAGAGAGTTTGTTTACTCACTTTAATCACATCTCCTCTTATTAATACTTTGTTTCTATTTTCTTGCTTTGTTGTACCGCTGTGTTTTATTCATTTTTACAGATGTCACAGTAAGAGAAACTACTCACACAAATTTACGACCACTTTAAACTGACTCTGCCTTAAATTTTTGATCAAAGATATGGATGCTCACGCTGAAATCCCCCGTCGAAGAGTCCCCATATGGTTTGTATTTCTGTCTGGAGCTCCTGCCTCTGCATGTGTCCAGCATGGTGCCCATCTCCCTGCCTCTCTGCCTGCCCTTTTAGCACATTAAATCTGGACCATACAGAGTTTACAAGCTACAGATGGAAGTCATAGATGGGATTAAAATGCCCCCTTGGCCCCCTCGCTAATATCACAGACAGACTGAAGTCATTGTTGGGGCTGAGGCTGCAGATAGGGAGCAGAGGAAAGGGTGAGCTTATCATGTAGGTACAGAGAGGAGGAGGCAGCTATGGATTGTGTAAGGAGATAGGAGATTAGAAGTTGCAGTTAGAGTTTCTACTCCCTCAGTGGCAGATGTTAACATCTCTTGTTAAAGAAAAAAAATTTCTCCAAGGCTTTTTTCAGACAAAGGCGAAAAGAAAAATGTCCCTGCTCAGTTGCGAACGTTTTACTTACCAGGGCATTCATTAGAGAAGCTGCATTTATAATAAAACCATTAATCCTTTATCAGACAGTAAAAATCTGATTCTTTCAAAAGAGAAATATACTCTTACGCATTTGACTCTGTTAAAGACAGCCTATTACAGCGTTTACATCACTCACACACAACAAACACAAGCTCTCTGACCTTCACCCTCTCTGTGTTTGTGATTGTTGTTCTGGCAGCTGAATCACAAGACATTACAATTCTGAGAATCACACACTTCACTGTGAAAGCTGCAGCCTTGACCTCTGGGAGGTCCAGAAATAACCTTGTCTCTGGCAGCTTGTGGCTGTAAACCAGAACCAAGTTTAATTAGTCTTTCTCGCTGGCAGTTTAAACCCAGGCTGGATTTTACTATACAAGGTCCTTTTTTGTTGCTTTCTATACAATAAACTCTTTCCCCGTCCTTCTCATCCACTCTGTTTTTTTTTTTTCGTCCCTGCAAAGATGGCCGCCCCATCGGTGTGGAGGGAATCCAGGTGCTCGGGACAGGGAATCTGATGATCTCGGATGTTGGTGTTCAGCACTCAGGGGTTTATGTGTGTGCTGCTAACAAACCAGGGACCCGTGTACGCAGGACAGCTCAGGGACGTCTGGTGGTCCAAGGTGAGTCTGAATGGGAATATGTTTCAGTTTGAAAAAGTTTGGTGGACGTTATCAGGTTGATTTAATTCCCTCTGATTTCTGTGGGTGAACCTTCGTGACAGTCAACAGGTGAGTGTGCGGAGTGAGTGTTTTGTACACTGGATGGACCTTAATTCAGATAGCTAGTCTTTAGCTGTTTTAGATCTGTCATGCTCAAGGATGTCAGTATAAACTCACATTGTTATTTTGGGACTCTTGCCAATTAAAACATTTTAACAGGTTTTGCAGATAAATGTTTAAAGTTCACCAGCTTGATACGGAAAAAAACTTCTTACTGTTACCGAAAATTGAAAAAAACTGTCCACTTCAAGATCTGTTCAGAGCACAAAAGTCGCTGAAACAAAATGCGAAACCTCAGACTGTTTTCAAACAGAGCTATGAGTTAAAGTCAAAGCCTAAGAAATGCCAGCTCATACACACTGAAAACAATTCATTTGTAGATATTATCCTGTTGATAGTGACAGCAAAGTGTGAGAAAATGATATTTAAAGAATTACAAGTATTTCTAACATCAGTCATTGTTGAGATAGGATTGTCACATTCAGGTATGAGGCTAAAAAACAGTTTTTACAACCACAGTAGTATGATTCAGTCATATATAGATAAGTATTATTATAACCACTAAAACTGGCAAAACTGTTTATGTTTCTCTTTTTTATTCATTTATCTGAAGCTGTAAAAAGGCAGGCTGTGCTCTCTGTGTGTTTGTAATTCAGCGTATTCTCATCTCAAAGCTGCATCCTTAATGCTTACAGATGTCAAATTGAACGTTTCCACAGCTTATCAATATCTACGACGGGAGACTATTTTTTATTCACCTCCTTTGTGTGAGGGTTATGAATCTTTCTCCCTTTGTGATGACAAAAACTAACCTCAATCCTTTACCACCCGAACAAAGACTGTTTACTGCCTGTTTTTGGTTCAGTTTTACATAAAAAAATACACATAAATACACGTCTTACATGTAAACAGGAAAAAAAAGTGTGTGTGTGTGTATATATATATATATATATATATATATATACATATATATATACATATATACATATATATTTTTATATATATATATATATGTATATATATATATATATATATATATATACATATAAATATGTATATATATGTATATATAAATTTTGCTTATATCCAATCCAATCCACTTTGTTTATATAGCCCATTAAAAAAACAATTAAGTGAAGCAAAGTGCTGCACAGCGCAGTAAAATAAGTTTTAACACACAGAACATGAAATGTTAAAAATAAAAAACAAATAAAAACACAATATACTCTCTCTATATATATTGTATATTAGTTATCTCTACTTCATTGTCTAAAACATGAAGGTTGTTGTATAGATTATTGTGATTATCATTATTTTTTTTATCTATTATTTAAGTGTGGTCTATTTATTTCAGATAGACCACACTTTGCCTCAGCCCATGGCAGTATTGATCCTCATCAATATTTCATTTCATCAGGCTGTCAAGTGTAAGACAAAGCTCCCAACAGTAGTAGGAACAGAGGAGAAGAGCCGGGGATGTTAATGACATGTCAAAGTCTTTGGGTTTTTATTGATCGTGTTTCTAACCCAAGGTGTGCAGTTAACACCAAATACATACGTGTGAGGCCTGTTTTATTATGAGAAGAGAAAAAAACAAAGCTTTTCTGCACGTCCTCAAAGGATTGGTCTATTAGTGCGGTGTTAATAAGCCACTTGGCACCTCTGAGAATATGAGAGGGTGTCAATGGCTATCAATTCAGAAGAGGACCACAGCGGCCAGGAACTCCAACTCCAAATGAATGCAGACAAGCGTACTTATGAACCCATCAGGCATCAGACAAATGCGCTGATACAGTAAATCAATTAGGTTCATTTTGGTACCTTTGGGGAACAAAAGGAGAGACGAGGGGAACAAAGAGCGGAGCAGGAGTCGAAGTGTGAAGAGCCAAAGGGGAAAAACAAGAGCAAGATGGATGGATGGTGCTGATAATCTAACCCACAACCGTACAGGTGCAAATCAATACCTTCCCGAGCTCCATCTGACCTTCACCTTTACGACAGCTTGCACAGATACAGCAAATGAGAGGGAGAGAGGAAGAAAGCGAGAATAAAGCCAGAAAAGAGAGAGAGATAAATGAAGGGACCATCACACGCTGTCAGCAGCCTCCATTCAAGTGCCTAAGGGTGTCTTTGCTTTTCCAAAGGGAGAATGGAAATGCTTACATTGAAAAAGTGTCAACAGCATTTTGTCTATTAGGGTGGGGACAAGAGGGAGAATTAGACAGCAGGGAAAACAAAGAAAATAATGAACGAACCTGGAAAGAAAAAGGCAAATTTCACAGCTGAAATGCTGCTGCATTTAACGGCTATCATTCACCAGCAACAAGTCAGTCCTGCTATTATGTAGATATGAAGTATTCCTGTGTGACATTGAGTTCACATGTTAATTCATCAATACAAACATTGACCCTGCAGTTTAAGTCAACTCTACAAACCATTAAAGCTCACTAAACCAGGTGATATTACTCCTCAGGTAATTTGATCATGTGACAAACAAACAAACAATGAAACAGTTTATTTATGAGATGTTTTAATGATTTGAAATCATGCAGGAGGAAGAATGAGCCTGAAGCTTCGTGCCTCGAGCTTCCCAACAAAAGCAGGGATTCAGGAACACTCAGAGACAGACGAATGACATTTTTACGCTGTGATGAAAGATGACATATATGAGAGATATAGGACAAAATCTTTGGTTGTCAATTTACATATTGTGTTTCCAAGTTGCTTTTCAAAGTTTTTAACAGTGTCTTGAATTAATACCACAAATCAGAATATATGAGTCCTCACTGAAGACACAAGTAGATTGTAGAGATGAAAATACCTTATACCTAGTTTGCAAAATGGAAATTTTCTCTTGCTTCTGTGAGGAACTTTATTTTCTGCATCCTGCTGGTTTTTAATAGACCAAAGTATTGATTGAATATGATTATTTGACACTTTAACCAGTGGAAACAATTGCTAATCCCTCTCACCCACTGCACCAGACTGTGGGAGCTTTAAGCAGCTCCTTCAACAGCAGACTTAGACTCCCACCTTGCAGGACGGAGCGCTACCGCAGGTCATTCCTCCCCTCTGCAATAAGACTTTACAACGAACTGTAATAATAACTGGATTTACACCACCACTTTTTTCTGGCATTTAAATTGTGTATATTGTAGATAGTTTTATTTTTCCACTCCCTTTTTCCTTTTTCTAAATTTTTTCTTAATTATTACATTTATTTAAGTTCCTAATATTAGGATCTGTATTTTTATAACTGCATTTTGCACTCTTCGTCTGTGATGCCGCTGTCCCAAAAAAATTTCCCCCAGGGGGATCAATAATGGAATATTCTATTCTATTCTATTCTAATTGCTCAAATACTGCTAAATTGTGCTTCACTACTTCATGTTACCTGTCATATGTGCTTGTTCTTCCAAAAAGTGGAGTCCTATAGCATCATGGAAGTACAATTTAACCAGAGCGACAGCCCCTGGCCAATGTGGGGTACAGTTTTCACATAACTTATGATTGTTATTTTGCTGTGGGCGTACAATCATGAAAAATCCCTTGAATAAACAAGTAAATCTTGGCTGACGTGTGAGGGTGACAGCGTTTCATTCTTTAGCCAAATAAATGCACACAAAGCTTGCCGCCTTGTTGACATGTTGTTGATCACCTTTCTTTTCTGTCCACATTCGAGCACTTTGTCATCTGACAAGCTTCAAACGATCTTCGTTTAACCCCTATGCTGTCTCAAAGTCAATGCTTTTGAAGAATTCCTGTCAAATAGAAGAAAAGCATAAAAACTCAGCATTACATTTTTTATAGTTTAAAAGATTCCCTATTATGGCATTTTTCATCAAGTTTAAATCGGTCCCAGAGGTCCCACAATAGTAAATTTGAAGTTTAGAATAGAATAGAATAGAATATTCCTTTATTGATCCCTCATGGAGGAAATTTTTTTGTCACAGCAGCATCACAGACAAAGAGTGCAAAAATGCAGTTATAAAAATAAAGATCCTAATATTAAGAACTTGTAAAAAAAAAATGTAATAATTAAGAAAAAAATTAGAAAAAGGAAAAAGGGAGAAGAAAAATAAAACTATCTACAATATGCACAATTTAAATGCCAGAAAAAAGTGGTGGTGTAAATCCAGTGTCTAAAGCACCTGTTTATTTGTGGATGTCAGCCAGCATGTACCCCCCTCTTTTTGAGCTCCTCTGAGAACGGGCTGATTCTGCACCTGTACCTTAAAATGATAATGAGCTGTGTGTAAACATTTTCCTAAATAGAAGCGAGTCTGAAGATGTGTACCAACAATGGTAAACACATGCGATTGCAGCCCAAGCACTAGTCATACGGGCAGCAGTAAAGCAACATAAAATGGTAAAACTTACAACTTCCACGTTTGGAGTTGGGCCCCTGACACGGACAGTCAGTACAGATCCAGGTTTAATCTTCAGCTTCTTAGCAAATCCTGCTTTGAACTGCCCCTTGATGGTAACACAGTCCATGGTGAAATGGTTAGCACACACATACAACATTTTCAGAGTTGTTGTGGGTACATTTCCATCCTCAAATCTTCTGACAAAGGAGGCAGAAATAGACTCCTGTGGGTCGTAGCTTCGAAATGGTTGCTGTGTCGGAGCGGCGTATGCGAGGGGAAAAAATGGCGGACAGTACCTCAGCGAAGAAATTTTAGAGGGCCGGGCTAACGATTATCAGGGGCGCTGCCACCAACATGTAGGAGGGGCTTATGTGGTTATGTCGTCATAACCACACAGCTTTTCCATTCGCCCATTTGCGCTCATGATTCCAGAAAGGAGGGGAAAGCAAGAGAGGAAGAGAATGAATTCTTGGAGGGGATGAATATTATTGGTAGAAAACCACCAAAAAGTGGATTTTTCATAACAGGGGACCTTTAAAAAAGAATGATCTGACTGCTATCATGGGTTCTTTATGGAAAAGAGTTTACTATTTAAAATCCTCCACACCAACCCCTGTTCCTCTGTGCTTTTGAACCCCATTCAACAAGAGAGATCTCCTCTTATCCCCCAACTTGAATCTGTGTTAAGCCTTAATTTGAAATCCAGTGTCTCAGTCCCGCTGGGTAATAAGTGAGAAAGCTAAATGATTTGGAGTGAATGAAGATAAAAGCTTTTTTTTTTTTTTATAACAGGCAATATGATATGCTTAGTGTTCCAGCTTCCTCCCCTCTAGTGATGACTCTGAGATATTTTAATTACCATAACATTTTTCCTAGAGTTAATAACGGTATAAATAATTCAGGTTATCAAATCACTGATAACCACTGGGACAATAATGAGAGCAGTGGAGATGATACCATACCACTCTGTCTGTCAGCTCGAATAAAAAAACACCAACCCAGAAATTAAACTCCAGCGGCTGCATCTTTAATTACTTTGCAATTTGAAGGCAAGTACCTGCTCTGCTAAGAGCCAACTGTTTCGTATGAATAAGTTATTACCACTAATTGACCGTGGCTGGAGGCCTGTTGCATGAGATGAGATGAATACGATGAAGCAGTAAACTGTGTCACTTATTTTCTCGTAAATGCGTTGCTGTTTTAAAGAACATTAGTTTCAAAGAGTGAGTTTTAATTTGTGCTGCACCCGCTTGCTCTCACCCCCTGATTACTTTTGCTTTTCTTTCTCCCTCTTTTGTTTCCATGAATCTTCAGTGATCAGGCATCTATCATGATCCTGCTAATTGACCCTGAAATATAGATTTGCAGCAGTATTTTCACCACACCCATTATAAAGTACATCACTTCTTATTAATAAATGGCAGCTGTAGAGATTACCTTCAGGCTGTCATATTTTTCTGCCTTCATTCCAACTCTAATCTGGTTTCGATCACCTTATAACTTCAACATTTTGATCCTGCTCACATCCTCATTTTTCGTTCTCAATCTTTGCTTCTTTTCTTTCTCAGCTCCTGCAGAGTTTGTTCAAGCTCCGCAGTCCATCGCTCGGCCTGTTGGCACCACTGCCATCTTCACCTGCCAGGCCCAGGGCGAGCCTGAGCCTCAGCTCACCTGGCTGAAGAACGGGCAGATTTTGGAGCCTGGGGGACATGTCAAACTCAGGAACAACAACAGGTAAAAAAAAATCCATATATATCACATATTTCTTTATTTTAAGGAGGTGGACATTTTTACATAGAAATAAAGTAAGTAGTAAAGCAGCACATGACTGATTGTTCTGGTTGATAAAATGCCTGAACCTGGCTGCTGAGGGGAAGGTGTCAAACAAGGAGATGAATCACATGCCACTGACACAGCTTCTTTTTAATAATCACCAAAAATTCATTTTACAATTTTAAGAAAACAGGATGAAGTGCCTCATTACAAAAAACACAACTAACACAAGTAACGAACCACGAAGAAACAACATGCGTCACTTTGTCAACAAGAGCTGCCTTTATTGCCCAAAAACTTACAGTTCCTCGTTGGAGCTTTAAGGAAAGCAAGTCTGAATGTATCAACTATTTCTCATCATTTCTTGGCATCCTGATTTTGTGTCTTTTACAATTTTATTTCCATCACATCTATTGTTTCCATTCATTGTGCCAAAAATATCAGACAAAAAACTCACTCGAGACATCGAATATTTAGCAATCACAATTCAAACAGAAAAACTTTGTCTTTGTAGTTTTCCATCTTAAAAGTCTAAACAGTTTTAGTGAAAATAGCCTTAAAATAATAATTAGTAAAAGAGAGATTGGCAGCAAGTATCGATGCAAGACTTAATGGAAGCCTTATAAGTCCCAACTTTGTTTTTAGTAATTGATTTATTACAGATCACCTGATTTGTCAGGATCCTCTAGGTTTACAGTCCACTTGCAGAGTCTGAATCAAAATCCAGACACTTGATTTAAATCAAGCGCCCCAAAGGTAATTCCCTCCAAATCATCTGACTGCGTCCTTACAAAGCTGGACTGGGCACCCAGAGACAAACATGGATGTCAGTGATAATCACTGCTGCCTTGATCTGATCATTGGCTTCATCAGATGCTCAATTTCTCTGCCTTTCTGTCGCTGCCCGCATGGCAGCTGCTTGAATTCATGCCTGCCAAGACATGAGCTTCAATTTATTTGCGCCTTTGTCTGTGAGCAGCGTATTGACTGGATGTTGGATGCTTTCCCATGCCAGTCCCCAGGAATGTCATGAGGAGGTGGACCCCACAACAAGCCTTGTGGTTTCCATCGTCAGGACTCGGTTCACACTGGAGTGGCCTCCTTATTTACTGTATGTGGCATGGGAGTGCTGTTTTAAGAAAACGCATTTGGAGCTACTTTTGCTCTGCTTTTATCATAATTCAAGCACATGAACTCAGTTGTAGTGTTTTTGTGGTTAGCTAAAAAAGTGCCAGTATAAAGTTTTTTTTGATTTGCAGAGGTCGTAAAAATAATAAATTACAAGCATCGGATGGCCTGTTACTAATACTACTGGGTGTGTGCTTGTAAACTACTTCTGTTAAGTGTAACTGCAAGTTCAATTTTTCCAGTTGACCCTGGCAGCCAGCAGTCCGTGCATGTTTGTATTATTCAGTGAGAGAAATATGAAGTGAGCACATTAGATATGCACCGAAAAAATCGATACTTGCACTCCGTAGCAGTTAGTGAAGGGGGCAGACACCTCCATCACTCACACGTACTGGTCCACTCCCACTTATCCCCACTCGTCTATATCAGTCAGAGAGATGGGGCGAGGGATTAACAAAGGAGGAGAGAAGAGAGGAAAGAAATAAATGAGAGGCCAGACGTAGATGTAGAAAAAATTAGAAGAAAAATGAGCGGGTGGTCAGACGAGAAATGATGAGTCGGCAGGAAGAACAAATGACCAGAGAGAGAGAGAGAGAGAGAGAGAGAGGAGAATCAGAGCGTCATGGCATCTCCACTTGCCACCATTAGTGAAGGCTATGGACCTGCTGTAATATGGATCTCATGCATCACAAGGTGCGCACTGTGATTGGTTAAGGAGGCAGGCCTCAGCTCGAGAACTACCATTAGCTAATTAGCCCATAAACTCAGCCAGTTGACCAGGAAATGTAGTCAGCCATTTAAAGAAGAGAGGAGAACTCCGTGCACCTTCAGACTGCGAGGAGAGTCAAGAGAACATGTTAGAACCTGATCCATTAACTCACTCCCTCATAGAAAACGACTTTATAATATCAGAGTTTCTGTCCCACACAGACATTTTTACATTTTTACTTGCTCTACTACTTATTTTTAAGACAGAGCTCCTCACATTCAGTCAATCTCTCGAAGTCTAAAGGTCAGAAAATTGTCTGAAATTTTAACATTATTCCTTAAGTTCATTTTTTTAACCAATCGGCACTACGCTATCATTGAAGTTCAGTGAAAGGCAACAATTCTGGCATTTCCAAATTTTGCTTTGAGTTTAGAGTTTATTTAGAGTTTTGGGGCGAATCATTTCACAAGAATGAGGCGTCTGACAGTATACGGTCTGAGTGAGGTGGTAGATGAAAAAAGAACAATGGAGGTTCAGGACCTCAGGTGTTATCCATACCCACTGCGCAATGCGACGTCGAAATGACATCTATTTAACTTAATTTTTCGACGATGAGGTACAACTGTGGACGTCATTTCAGCGTCTAAAAGAGGTCCAATAATGACGTCTAAATCTTGGATCCTAGATTTGGTCTTCGGATGACTTCCAAATTCTAAACGTCAGCGTGCCGTCTAAAAAAGGTCCAATTTAGACGTCATAATTTCTAACCTATTTTGCACGTCTCGCTGACGTCTAGATGTGCACATCTCTTCGACGATGTTTGGTGGCCTGTGTGCACCGACAGCATTTTTTTTTTGTCACAACCTCAATTTCAGAGCGCTTCTCATGGGTGCTAACTGCTGCAAGGATACAAAAGTTATCCTGAAACAATAAATAAACAATTTATTTATTAACATTTTTTCATAAACAGTGTTCAACTTTAATAACAGCAGCGACTTCACCCATACCCACCTCCCTCCCTAATGATAATAATGATAATAATGATCATATATAAAAGAAAATATAAAAGTTAATAAATAAAAGGATAAAATAAAATAATTATCAAAATAACAATAATTCTAATAATAAACAAACAATTAGCTAAATCATTAAAAAATAAAAAATTACAGCAAAATACATGCAGCAAAGGTCAAGACATTAACAATGGAAAAGCACAGCTACTCCTGCAGAGGTGCTACATCCAACAACCACCACCACACCACTGACAGTACTCATCTAGTTAACTGTGAGAAGTAATCCAGATACATTTTAAAGTCATTCCAGAATTAGTCAAAAAGATGGGGTTTCTTTTTCACATTGAACATAGTTTTTTCAGATGTATGACATTGAGCTTGTTTTAAAATGTTCTTCCATTCTAAGAAATTGTTTAAGCACTGATTGACATTGTCGTCTTGCATTAGCAGCAGCTTGAGACCTGTAATAGTGCCCCTTGAAAAATAATTGAAACTGTTTTTGTGCAGACCCCCATGTGTTTTAAAATGTTGAACAAACACTTTTAAACTTGCGGTGAACACAGAGATAAAAGAGTGCGTAAAAGTGGAGGAACTGGGTTTGAATCTCATACATTCTTAAAAACTCATATTGCAGTGAATAATTCTTAACCAAAATTAGGATCCTTCACTTCTTAGCGCCTCAAAACCGATATACCGTGGTTTAGTTTCCAGGATCAGCTTTGAGAAAACAGTTCAATATGTTACATTTACGAGTTTTCTATCATTTTAACAAACACACAGCCTCATTATGTTGATGAAAGCGTACAATTTGCACATCCCATGAAATGCTCATTTCTATCTGCTGATTATTTTTAATTAGACTCTGTTGAATTCACTCAGACTTTTGTGTTGATTATTTAGGAGTCACACATGAACACTGTGGGGGGTTGGAGTGAAACCTGTAAACCTCCATGTTTACAGGCAAACACATTCTCCTACCGCGTTATTGCATCTTGGTTGTATTTACGAAAATTGATGAAAGGGTCACACAGAGATGATTTCTACCTGAGGCCCAAAAAAGAAATGTGGTTTAACAGAAAGAGCGGGAAATGAGAAGTGTAGAAGAGTGAGGCATGGGCCACATTTTACCCCCAGAACCAAACCCAGACAACTTTAATGATATGCAAATGGTATTCAACAGCTCCGGGCTGCACAGTGATGCTGTTCTTACATATACAATAGACTATCTGATAGAGAGGCTGAATATACAGTGAGCACAAAATACCTAGCAGAGGGATTTTAATTAATGTGTGTAGTGGCTACGATTCTGTTGGTGTGTGTGCGTTAAAAATGCACACACAGACACACACATGCGGAGGTTTCTCCCCTAAGCCATCTCTCATGAAGCTGACCTTCAAAAGCCAATCGGACAGGAGAAGGAAGGGGAATCGATTGTACATTTCATTCACACACACGCATGCACACACATTAATCAAAAAGCAAGTGGGTCCGTATGTGCACAAACAGCCCCATGGTGCGTGCCATCATTCGTTTTTGTGTGCACGCATAATCAAACATGAAAATGTGCAAACGTGTTGCCCGTTTTCCCCCCTCATACACGCGCACGCTCTACGCACAAAACACACATGGAGGAGACAAAGCTGTGTAAAACGTTGTATAGGATGAGATGATGTCAGAGAAGAGCTGATTGGCTGCTTCGGTAAACAGACGTTGGTGCTCAGGGTGAAGCTGTGTGTTTGCTCTCTCTTTCACATCTCAACTGATCTTGATACACACACACACACACTCAGACACAAACAGGCACACACATTATCGGTACCTTGGTCATTATTAGCCCGTGCTGACCGGGCTCATGTGAAACATGCTTTCATGGCTATTTGAAGCCTCTGTGAGAGCTGCTGCTAATTATGCATAAATACTCGCCTGGCTTTTAAGTCTTTAAAGTTGACATTTGTAATCATCCAACAAGTACAAGCTGTGATCTCGCTCAAGACGCTGCAAAATGGTGAGGATGAGAGCCAACCTGTGTTTTGTTATGATGACCGAACTTTGAGGGGAACCGAGCGATGAAAGAAATAAACCATGAGTATTTCCTAAGAGTGTTTAAATCCTATAATAAAGAGGAGAACATGTGTAAAGTATGTGTGTGTGTGACGCCATGGTGCGTTTTATAATTAATGGCCAACATCTAAGGGAACGGCCCACCACACAAATCTGGACGTTTCACTGCAAAATCCTTTCAAAGGGGATTTTTCCTTTTCTTTTCTTCCCCTCTCTCTTTTTTTCTACTTTCTTCACCAAGACCTTCCTTTCTTGTTTGCGGCCCCTCTCTGCGCCCCACATCCCCCCTTTCCTGCCCCCATTACAGCGTGCTGGGGCCTGGGCATTGGCCTTGAACTCTGACCCTGCCTGTAATCAGTCATATCCCAGGGCCCTTCCCTCCTCACAGGCCACAGACAGCTCATCGCTCCTCCCTTCCCCCCCTCTTCCCCACCTCTTCCTCCTGTTCCCTCTTTGTCCCCCCTTTTTTTTTTTCTCTCCCCCTTTCCCGCTTGCCCGATCCAGTATGGCCACGCAGGCTGTTGACGGGGCGCTGCTCGGAGACAGCGGAGAGTAAACACAGCCAAACAACAGGCCGAAAGGATCCCCTTGGCAGCCACTCCCCTGGCCCTCAGCCTTATCCATCAATCTGTGAAATGACCTTAAACTGATGAGTAAATGATGGTGTCAAACTGTCAAGACAGGACAGCTTGGCTTAGGAGCTCGTGTAAGAGGAGCAAACAGCCTAAAATCAGGCAATGTACCTCCCAGACCCCTTCACTGGGGGTGTCTGTCCTCCATTTTTCCTCATCCTTTGTGTGGATCTGTGGTGGTCCTGCTCTGCTGCTGCATGATAATGAAGATTGATCTGTTTCTAAAAATTAAGACGACATTAACAGCTTAGAAATAATCAAAAAAGACTCATCTGTGAGCGAATCTCCCTAGCCGAGTTACTCTTTTGGATATTAAGGTGTTATCATAAACCTGTCTAGATGAAATACTGAAAAAACAACATTTTCAGGCTTGCAGAGGACTTGCATGAAATAAATCCAGTGGTGCTTGACAGTACAAAGGATTTGACTAAATTTCTGCAGGTTTTGTCCCTATCGGTTCATGATAAATCCATTACAGTTGTGATTCAACCTGAAACCAATTCCTCTGACCATCCATCATCCACCAGGTCTTTCCCAGGAAATAGCCCAGTATTAGAAGGAATGTGGTTTATGTTTCAGGCTGCAGGAGCAGAGCAGAGTCACCGAAGTAACACCCCACTTCAAACAGAAACACAGCGCTCTTTCTTCAGAGAGATGATACCGAGTCAGGCTCAAATACAAGCTTTTAAAGGACTACTTTTTAACGAAGGGAGGAGACGACAAATTCAGCAATTTCTTCTGAGAATTAAAGTGAAACCTCTGGAGCTAGTATGCTACGGCATCAAAGTTACAAAGCTTGTCTCCTGTAATGAATAGCACTGCTTCAGTACACACAGGTTTAATTATTTATTATATGTAGCTGCTCTTACTAACTGTTAAATACTGTAATAGCACGTGAAAACTCACCCACTGAGCATTTTTTGGTCTAAAAGAGGTCTAATAGACGTCTAAATGTAGCCGAGACGACTGGTCTAAAATCAGGCTACCACAGGTCTAAAATGAAAGTTTTTTAGACGTCTAAATTTAGAATAAATCTGGGCTATATCTATACCACACTGTACATTCCTCAACAGCTATTATAACTATTTTGATTAAGTACTTGGAGATCAATTATGCAACTCACAGTTTGAAATAAATAGTTATCGAATAATGGGTTAAAGAGCAACGTCTAAATTCTGTTTAAAAATATACAGAATCCAGACGGTTGAAGTTAAGTCAAAAAAAAAAAACAATACATCTAATAATCGTCTGTTGCTCAGTGGGCATGGGACACTTAAAGGATAAATAAATGAATAAAGTCTACACAGATGGTTTTCTTCATATTAGGGGTTTTATTTTTCAATTATTAGACTAAAATATTAGAGAGGTTTGTTGGTTCTTTAGACCGTCATTAAGAGGGCTGCTGCCATAAGTTTAATAAGCCACCAGATGTCACTGTGTTTGCCAAGCATTGAATCTTTAGTCAGCACATATTTAGAAAAAAACAAAGCTTCATAAGGTTTAATCTGCCCGTCACTACTTTTAGATTTAGATGCAAAGCGAGTAGACATGCATTTTGATAAATGCTTATCAGCCCAGTTATGTTACTCAATCAGACCCCATACTGCGTGTTTCTGTCATTTATCCTGTAAAGCATAAAGGGAGTTTGACTGCAGGTGTGGAATTTCATAACCTCCACATCAGCAGGTCCTGTCGGCATGTATGCAGCACCTATTTACTGTATATATGCATGTGTGTGTGACTAAGCACAAACGTGGTGTGAACGCTACTGTACCTGCAGAAACAAGCGACGCCTTGTGAAATTTCCCTGCCTTTCCCTTCTAACACACTCAGGGGGCCCATACAGGCCCCTGGTGATATCAGTGCAGCACGTCCCTGGGGGCCTCTTTGCAGCGTCTGGTGCAGCTGCCTGTCTGCAAACACTCCATCCATCGCTGATATGAAAGGCTGTCAGAGACGTGATGGTTGAGTAGTGAGCTGAAGGCTGGCAACTGTTGCCACCTCAGGGGTCAGAGGTGAGATTGGCTCAGAGAGGGTGAAATACAGAGGGCCTCTTTGACCTGATAATTATCCAGATTGAATCCACCTGACAGACCGGGGAGAATAATAACTCCTCTACCTGGCAGCCCTGTGCTGACCCAGATTAGAAAACGTACAGTAATTGTATCCTGGCACATCAATTTCAGACGAAATGAAATGATTCACTTCCCATCCTGCGCGCTGACCCACAGGAGTTCTCCGCTGTCCTAACAAATCCATCCGTACAAACCACACCGAGACTGCTATGAGGTCAGCACTGTCTGTCGAGAGCTGAAATGCCACTTTCCTCATGTCCCATTTCACCCGTGCAGAAGGTGACCATGACAGACCATGTGCCTCACAAAGGGCTCATGTGATGTTCTTTCAATAGATTGCATGTTTCTCCTCCTGGGATCATCCTGACATTTCTTAATTAATTTTGATTTAATACACAGAGGGGCCAACTTGTCAGTCAAAGAAAGATGGCAATCTGTCTGACAGGTCCTTATAAACTGAGATTGACAGATTATCAGAACGCTGTGGGATACGTTGAGCTCCTGTGGCATTCAATTTTCATGTTCCTACTAAAGGCGCGGCATCAAAAACAGGAGCCAAAGGGGTTTTCTTCTTTTAATGTGAAAAATGCTTCGGATCTCTTAAAATACCGTGACTAAAGGCCATCTTGAAGAAAAGAAAAATGGACAAAGCTTCAACTCGAGCCTTTTGAATTCCCAAGCCAGTCATTATTTGTGTTTGTTCCCACTCCTCGCCTGCACATATTATACCTTAAACGCAGCAGGAATGGCCTTGGTGTGAAAACAGCATGGAGAAACCTTTAGTGCCACAAGGTCTCATTTCCATACAGTGTTAAATGTTTTATTTTTCCTTTTGCCTCAGGACAAACACATCGAGAGGTACTCTCTTCTAATAACACCTACTCAACATGCATGCACAATTCATACAGACACTATGCCCTTTTGTATTTCTTGTATAAGGGAAGACAGACCAGGTTGGAGAGGAGAGAAGATGAAGAGGAAGATGATTCAATAGAAGGACGGAAATGTGACAGAGAGAAAAGAGATGATGAAAAGAGAGGGTGTAGAGCGGGGTTATTGAGAAATATGATCTACTTTATAAACGAGTTTATGTGTTCATAGGTATATGATGTCGAACTCAATGTTTGCTTGAGTCCAAAGACTCAATTTGATGCAAAGAAAAGACATTTTCTGAAATTTGAAATGGATTTCAGCTAAAAGAAAGAGTTTGTGCTCTGTTTGACCGAGGATCCCTCTGCACACATGATCCACATTCATCCTCCATATTTTATGCAGCTCTCTCTTCTCAGGTGTAGAGTTCACACATCATGTATCTTTGTGCGGATATTCTTGGAGACTTGAGATCTGTGGTTAAATTTACTGAGCAGTTACCTATTAGCGTCTGAAGGGTGTGATTAGACGCTCCTTATAAATAAGAGCTCTTTAGTTGGATGTTGGATTAACAGTTTTACCTCCATCGAGGATCCAGTGTTTTTGGTGTTGTTTTAAAGTAGAATCAATTTAATTAAGTCACGACTAATTTAATGTAAAAGGTTTTTTTCTGAGTCTCAGACAAATCTATACAGATCCTACTGATTTATTTATATTTTTCAAACACTCTTCAGCATTTTAATTTATTCGAACACACTGTGTAAATCAGTTGGATGAGTCTGAAAACCTGAAAAATAAAGACAAAATATTCTCAAGAATTACAGGATTGAGAAATTCTTCAAAAATCACAGCAGGTTGCTCCCAAATGTACAATTCTTGTCAGTTTCCGATGTAAAACAAATGAAAAGAGGACCCACATGCAGAACAAAAAAGGGTTTATTTTTTAAAAAAGAAAGGAAGCAAAATCCACAGAAACAAAAATCAACGGGGACTCACTGGGGACACAAGCATGCACACACCAACAAACAACACACATACGATGAACCAACCAAGAAACAGGGGAAGACAAGGACTATATGCACACACAGGGAAATGAGCAACGAGAGGCAGGTGAGACACAAGTGCAGAAAATTAAAGAGGAGGGAAAACTGAGTAAAACCGGACTAGAAACACAGGGAATAAACTACTACAAAATATAACAGGACACACTGAAAATTGATATAAAGAATAAAACACTGAGAACAGGAGGGAAACGGGGCCAGACACAAACTAAAAACTCTCAAGACAAGACTACAGGGGAACAGAAACAGTCGTGAAAATACAAAGTAAATACACTAGAATCACAAAACCAGGGGAAAAACTAAATCAACAGAACATGTGACAATTCGTGTGTTATCATTTCAGAAGTAGAGATCGCTCAAACAGTGAAATAAGACTTTGTATTTCACTGCAAAATAAAGTGAAATGTCCCCAGAAATTTGGCTTCAGATCACCTTTTTGGGGACTTAACCAAAACAACCTGTAATGAACTTTTGAAAGAAAAAGACTATTTCACAGAACAGTTAAGACTGCCATGTATTGGAGTTAATTGTCACTCACTGTCATCTGTGTCTTGGAAAACTCATCTTCAACTCTTTCCTCTTTCTTCTCCTCGTCTTCCTCCTCTCACAGCACACTGACGATCTACGGGATCAGCCAGGACGATGAGGCAATTTACCAGTGTATTGCTGAGAACAGTGCCGGCTCCACGCAAGCCAGCGCCCGTCTCACAGTGCTGTGGGCTGATGGTCTGCCCGGGATGCCCACCCACGTGCAGGCTGAGGCCCTCTCACCCACGACTATACAGGTGTCCTGGAGGGAGCCTGATCAGAACACTCAGGACATCATCGGCTACGTGCTCCACATCCGCAGAACTTCAGGTGGGGCTTCACTGAAGAGCTAGACACTGGTTTGGCAAAAGCTTGAGTGTTAGAAAAGAGTTAGAAAAAAACTTATTTAAAAGGCAGATCACATAAAAACAAATTTAAATTAATATGTGTTTTTGCGTGTGTGTGTTTCCTGTTGCATGCATCCCTCATGTGCAGTTTCAAGTGCAGAATTCCAGTAGCTATCTACAGGAATTCAAAGACCAACCTTCCTAACAAACAAGTTTGAGTGTTTATAGCTACAGAAGAAGAACCTACACTCCACTGTTAAGAAAGATTTAATGAGTACAATTAAAGAACCTACCGTATTTCAGATTTTCTGGCCTTGGGATTCATATCTGTGAGTGTGGTACTCCCAGTGTGATCATACATGCTCATGTGCAATCCTGTTTACGCTCATGCAGTGTGTTTTTATGGCTCTTGGCAAGTGTATGTGTGGGTGTGTTTTTGTATGTGGTGAGAGTCTCATGGAGCCAGCTGCTGGCTCTCCTCAGTAGTTCTATTGGATGGATAATTAAGGGCCCCGGGGGCCAACCAATAGGATCTGCTGTAATTACCGTTCCAGGATGGCATGGAGCGATGGGTTGGGGGTTGGAGGTAGATAGCGGTTATGGTTGGTTGTCTCTGGATTAAGAGCAATAAAATGCTTTAACACATCCTTTATAACTCCCACTTCTACCTCTTCCATCTCCTCTCTCCACCCCTGCAATTCAGCCAACCATCGTCATCCAGGCTCCTAGGGCCAAACTAGATTAGCTATTACCTAACAGAGCTGCTCTGATAAAACCAGGGAAATGGCCAATAACCATAAAATCATGCTGAAAATGGATTGTACCTATTGTTTCCTTTTGTAATGTTATTTTCCACCGCTTTAATCCTTTTTCTTTATTCTAATCCATATTTTTTCTCATCTTTGTGTGTCTTTTCTTGCCTCCTCCCCCCTGTTTCTCTCCCAACACCTCCTTCTCTGTTACTCCATCATTCTTCCCGCAGACCCAGCAGAGATGGAGTATGAGGAGGCTGTCAGCAAGGTGACGCTGCAGCAGATCATCAGGGACCTGGAGCCCTCCACCAGCTACACTTTTTACGTCAAGGCTTACACATCCCACGGGGCCAGCAAACCATCCGACAGTGCAACTGAAAGCACTCATGGGGAAGGTGAGCTGATAGCACATACACAATCCTACCCTTAAGGATAGCTTATACCTGAAATAAAAATGCATAGAGATTTGCAAGAGAAAGGCGACATTTACTTTTATAGAAGGGAAAAAAAATCAGAAATAAAAAATACATAGCTTTGCATTAGTTTGAGTATTCCTCTTTGAGTAATCCTGAGCCTTTGCTATACCCAAGTCCACATGACTTACTATGTTGTGACGTTTCAAAATAAAAGCTTTCTTATTAACAGTTTTTTTCTCTGCTGTGTTGCAGTTCCAGCTCCTCCTTCCCTCTACACAAAGGTTGTGAACGGCAGTGTTGTACAAGCAACATGGGAGCCTTCCTCGAAGATGGGCCAACACCAAGGCTTTAGACTGTTTTACAGACGGGCTCACACACCTCTGTTTACCGGTCCCATCGACTTCCCCCGCAACGTCACGCAGTACAACATCACTCAGCTGGGTGAGTGATGGAGTTTGACAGATGAAAAATCATGCTTTAATCAAACCAACTGAGCTGTCACTATCTTTTTTTTTTTTTTTAAATCTAATACAACGCTGTGATTAAGGCCCATCAATAATGTGCTAAGCAGCTCAGACTAGGGTTGGGCATCTTAAGTATAATGCCAATACGATACACATCTCAATACAATGTCTCTGATTCAATATGCGTATACATGCAGCTGAGAAAACCTCCCCAAAAGTAGGGGGCGATATAGGTCTTTTCAGCTGCGCTGTTTCCAACCCCATACAACTGTCAACAACAACAGCAGGTCCGTGTCAGACGTCAGAAGTGTCTACAACTGCAGCTGGGCATTTTCAAGCAAGAAGATAGAGCATCTCACAGCGTTGTATTTGTCGTACATGATGTATGCGCTACTTCTTCTGCAGATGAGGCGCACGCTACTCCTCTCCTCTGGTGTTTTTGTTCTGGGGTTTGGGGGGGCGTGGCGCACGCGAACATGCATTATCCAATCGTACTTCGACTACGCTGGTTACATGGTAGAGAAAATCAAATTCCAATCACATTATCTGGGTGTCTTAATCAGAGTTCTCAAACTCTTATTATAGTCGGACTAAGGTGTTTACATGCACTAAAGTTGTCTGATCTTAATCAGAGTAAGGCAATAATTTGGTTTTCTCGAGTGTCATGTAAACGTAGTGACTGACTACCCTATATATCTTCTAACTTTGTTGTAGAGGGCAGGGGTCTGCTTTTTTTCAGTTTGGTATTTTATAACAAAGCTCAAACATGGAGGAGGTGTTTGAAACCTTCGTTTTCTGTTACACTGTAATGCTAAATATCTTTGCAGATGAAAAATGCGATAGCATATGTTAGTGTCATTGAGCACGTAGAGTTATCAGCAAACAGGGAATGGAAGAAATTTGCAATATTTAGCTCAATACTTCTGGAGCTGCAGGCAAATCTGAGCTGGAAGCAGGGGAGGCGGGGGCGCTAGCAGACCCCTCCACGACAACACCGTGGCGCCAAGTTACGAGGTTAGTCGTCCTGCCTGTTTATTTTACAGCAGCGCGCACATTAAGCAAATCTGTCTCGTCAAGTTGTCCGTCTTTTGTGTAAAACCCGGAGTGTTGCCAAACTTAAGATTCACAACTTGAAGGAGGATGAATTTGCTCAGCCATGTTTGTTTACCTTACTCCTTACTTTCCTTCTCACTGCTAGCGTTCATCCGCGGAGCTGATTCGTTAGTTTGTAGTGTACATCCGCAAGTCTGAAGACCTCAAAATGGTTTGGTAACGTAAAAAAAAGTTATGTATTAAATGGATCAGATTGTATCAATACAAACACATAATAACGATACATCTCAATATGCATTTGAAACTGCATTCATTCTCAGCTGCTCTACCGGTGCACCCACATCTTGCACGTGCGTGACCGCGGATCGATACATATCGGTTTATCTTCTCATCCCTCGCTCAGACTCACTTGGTGGAGTACGAGACTAGAACTAAAATCACCTGTGGAAAAAATAGTCCCTGAAAGTTTCTACCTTTAATCCCAGCAAAGCGACAGGAACTTTTTCTATGTCGTGGTGATTGGTTTCTACATCTGACAGTGTCCACCTTACAAAGCCTGTGTGTCACTGATGAACCAAAAACCACTTTCTGTCTTTTTGTCCAGATCCCTCCCTGGTCTACGAGATAAAGCTGATTGCTTTCAACCAGCATGGAGACGGCAACGCCACCGTGCGATTCGTCTCTCTTCGAGAGGCTGTGGAGAAATCTGGTGACTATCTGACACACTACAAATAGCCACACTGCCCCACATCGGCACAGTGCATTAAATTTCTATGCATCTCACAGAGTCACATGTCATCTTGTGTTAGGAAATAAGTCAAACTGGCAGTTCATATCTCTCTCACACACACATGCACATCTCCCTGACACAGCTCTGTTTCTTTGTGCACCTCATCTCCTCCTCAGTGTTGGACATCCCGTGCGATTGTGCAAAAGATGAACAAAGCAAAACTTCCACAACTGGCATCATAATCGGCATTCACATCGGCGTCACCTGCATCATCTTCTGCGTGCTCTTCCTTGCCTTCAGCTATCGTGGCAGGTGAGGGAAAACAACAAAAATAACCTGCCAATAATTGTCGTAAGTCTGCCATGTGTATACTGCTGATAAGTGTCTAAGCGTTCATGTCCATGTAATCTCCAGGTTAATGATGTGTAAGACAGTTCAAGCCACCCCTCAGGCGGGGCACAGCACCGTGCTGGAATCCTCTTCCTCTTCCCAGGGGGCCGCTGGACTGAATGGAGCTGCCAGGAGAGAGATGGAGGTCAACGGTAGCTCAGCAGGGAAGAAAACAGTCGACAGCAATGAGCTCGAGAGACTTTTCACTCGACCAAACACACAAGACACATGCATGGTGAGTCCTGATGCTATGTTGTGGTATATAAGAAGTGATGTTAAAGTGCTTGTTCGCCCATTCAGGACTCTATGTATGTATGTTTTTTTTACACAAAACAACATACCCGGAGACCTTTCTTCTTGCAGCTTTGGTTAAAGTTTGATTTAAGTCCCACATGTCTGTCTAAAATATCTGATATCTCATTAAGTGTAACATTACCATAACAGATAATACAAAAAATGTAAAAAAAGGAGCTGAAAACTGGGCAAATGTTGGGCTTAATTTTTTGTTATGAGTGAAAACTTTCTGCTTTTTGAGGTAAATCATTGATCTTGATATATTACTTGGATCAACCTGTATCTTTTTTTGTACCTTCAACAAACAATGACCTGCAAAATATGCATCTTTCAGTGCAGCACAAAAAACAAAGAAGCGAAATGACACTGAAGGGGATATTCTGGCGTAAAATTAATTTAGGGTCAAACATCATAACACTGAGTTAGACACCCCCTCAAGAGATGAATGTTGCCGTTCTCTAGTTATACCAACTTAAGTTACGACCGCACGATAGCAATACACAACAGTCTGAGGAGCCATAAACAAACCTCAACCAAAACGCCACTCTATAGCCACAAATAATGCTCAGAACAGCCCCTAACTTCATCAACAGTACATATAGGGTCCTAGTCACCAAACATCTTTTTAACTTTGTGTAATTCCTTTAGCAAAGAGACCAAACACAACTCACCTACTCTCTTCCAGCAGCCGCTTGTTTGTACGGAGACTTCAGGCCAGTCCATTACGGACTACAGCGGGGTGACGCAGCTCAAGGAAGAACATTTATGATCATTTTCTCATGGAAATGCAATCAGACAGAGACCCTAAGAGAGAAGAACTACCGTGTCTGCAGTGCAAAATGATTAATATGGTGATTATTACTTCAAGGAAATGATAAAGTAATGATCATAAATGTTTTTTTTAGCTTTGCCTAAGAAATTAGGCAAAGCTAAAAAGATGTTTGGTGGCTAGAACTATGGCTGGGACCCTATATGTACTTTTGATGAAGTGGCTATCGAGTGGCGTTTTGGTTGAGGTTTGTTTATGGCTCCTCAGACCGCTGTGTATTCTATTGTGCAGTCGTCACTAAAGTTGGTAAAACTAGAGAGGCAAGCAGTCGGCGACATTCATCTCTCAGGGGGGTGTCTAACTCGGTGTTACAGTGTGTTTGACCCTAAATTAAGTTTACGCCGGAAAATCCCTTTAACATCATTAATCCATTAATTCTAAAACAATCAGGGAATTCAGTGTCAGAGCAATCACTCTAAACAGCTGCAGCAGAAACAATACAGCTGTAGAAAACAGGCTGTGGTTGTGTAGGCAGAAGATGCAGCTTGTGACGCCTACCTTGCCGTCTGCTTTGTTCCATTGTCCATACTGCAGAGTGATTAAGGGCTAAAAAACTATTATTAAGCACTAAATGGACTCTCTTTCTAACTCTCATTAATGACTACTGTTTGCTTGTTTTCAGTCCGACTCCTACACACTCAACGACACCCAGCTGTCCACGATACCGCTGGATGAGTTTGCGGTGGAACGGGAAACTCAGTTCCAGGAGCCTCCTGCAGCAGGAGTGAGTCAGCAGGACCAAGGCTAAAACACGTATGAAGGCCAATTCACACGGCACTGTCCACCACAGTGTCCTCTTTGACTCTTATCTCACTCAGGTTGACAAGTTTTCCTTTCAAAGTAGTTTTTTTTTTTTTTTGTGCAAAGATGTTTTTTTATTGGTAAGTTAAGAATATGTAGAGGATGTAGGACTGTATATCAGAGTTTTTTTTTGGCCGGGCATTTCAAAGAGCTCTCCTCAGATGGACGGCTGTCTGGAGACACGCAGGCCAGTTTAATGTTCTTTATTTGTACAATTTGGTTCAATTTTCTGGTGTTGGGCAGCACACAGAATAGAGGCCCCAGAATGTCCTTGTTATACGATGCTGATTTTATTTTTAAGTTTATAAATATATATACATATATATCTTTATTACCTATATGTCAAAGTGGATTTAAGTTATTGGTCTTATCTCTACATTTCTATGGATGTCAAAGACTCCTACTGCTGCCTACTCTCACCTACCAATGATTCCACCTTCTTGCTCACAGAAGACCTCAGCCTTCGTCCAGGGATTGGATCAACTCTGTCTCAGGACATTGTTTCAGTGATATCAACATTTTTTTATGATTTCTCGGCCTTCATGCAGGCACTAGCCTTGGCTGTGTGAACCTTACGACTCAACAAAAACCTACCTCAGCCGGAATGAATGTGTTACGGGAAGTTTCTAGGAACATAACCTTCCCCTGCTCTCACAATTTTACTTCTTTACATGCGGAGGAACTGAAGATTACAAGATCAGGTGCCGCACTACCTCAGATGTCAAAAAATCGTCCCTTCTTCTCTTGCTTGTCAAAGGGAACAAAAAATATTATAAAATGAAAAAAGGAAAAAAAAAAAAGATTGAGTATCCAACATAAAGCACTTCCAAATGCTGAAGTTAATGTTCTACCTCAAGATAACAAAGTTAATGTTGTCGCTGTTGTTGTTGTTGTTTGTCTGTTTATTGCATAATGAAAAACCCTCTTTTATCCCTCTGTAAAATCCTGGCTTCCTTTGATGAATATGTTATTTGTAGATACAATGTCGGTACCTCATGCAAGTTGACAGACTAATAACACTATTGTATGGATTACAGTATATGAGGAATATGTTGGAATGATGTTGTTGAGCTTTTTTCAAATGATTTTCTTTTCTCACTTCAGTTCAGTGAGGTCCAGTTTGAAATACACTGCATTGCTTTACACTCCAGGACGAGATGGTGTACATAACTTGATTGGACAAAAACGATACAATGTGGGGATCATATACGGAAATTCAGTTTTATGTCTGTGTGCAGATTTGTTTTATTGATTGAATGGGTATTTTCATATATTTTATGTTTGTAAAACAAGAAGAAAATTAAGCACAAATCTTATCACATTGTCTCAAAATATTCCACTAGATTTTAGAACAGCTGGACATTTTTGGAAATATGCTTGATTAATTTCTTGCTGAAAGTCAGATGATTCGTAACTGTTTTGAATGGATCAAACAAAAAAAATGACAAAACCTGTAAATTATTGACTTTTGGAGGTTCTGGAGGGCAGATGTTTTCAACTTTTGATAAGCTAAGCTAGTTATGTTTCTCTGTTTTTGATCGTTTTCAGCTAAAATACGTCAAAATGACACTATGCCATTGATTAGGTCAGAGATCTGTAAAAGCAACAATCTAGATACCCACAACTTCTAATGATACAAATTTACACCTCAATAGTTTATTCTGCATAGAAACCAAAGTGTAAACCTGTCAGGTCACCGCTAAATAGGGAGCTGAACTTACACACGCAGCTGCTTTAGTCACTGCCGTCTGGCGTCAGAGATACTTTCCGGATGTGAGAGGAGTAACCAACGCCTTGAACTTTCGACGCAACAAACAAACAAGCATATTTCCCCAAATGTTCAGCTACTCTTTGCATTTGAAGTGACAGCGGTGTATTTCTGATTTCACTCTGGATATTTGTAACTGCGGTGCTCTTAGTAGTTTAATTTACTCGTCACATGACCCAGCTCCTCCATAAAGTTTTAGCCTTTAGACATCCAGTGCCCAGGAGACATGACAGTCGCTGATTATGCTTGATTATTGTTCCTCTCTTTCCAAAACCACAGTTGCTGCTCAGCCTTCTCCCTCCGTCAATACTGACTAGTTAAGGTGCTTCAGGAACACCTTGTTTAACAAAACGTTGGGTGCTGACGAGCACACGCAGAGAGCCGGCTGCGGGTGAAAGCCGATCATTGAGCGGCAGTTCAGTGATCACATTTCTTCCCTCTTTGGCTCTGTGCTCTGTGCTGTCACATACTGTCATGCATTATTATGGTTACCTACCTCAAACCTATATCTGGCCTTTTTCTCAGGTCTAAATGAAGGAAATAGACAGATTATGAAAAATGGAGTACAGGAATATACACACATATACGTATATATCTATATATAACTGTGAATATTGCAGTTCACACACACATGTTAGCCAGAGACAGACACACAGATGGAGGGAGAACTTTATGGATCTTTATCTCATGCACTAATTGTTCAAACGGTTCATGAATAGTTTTGGGTGGATATGACTGTGTTAACTTTGCCAGATTTATTTTTACTTCACAAACTTTAAAGCCTCATGGTGTTCAGATGTTATTTTCTGTAATTTTTTTTAATGAGTGTATCAAACTGATGAAAGCAAAGTAGGTGACATGTCCAGCTTTGGTTACACACAAAGTGAGTTCACTGATTTTCTTTGATGACTCAAAAACCGGACTCTCTACCCTGATGAGGCTGTATCTGTGTGAACTTATTTTGATGATCAGCTGAGAGGGAAAACTGTCTTTTGCTGAAATGTTTAATATTCTCCACCAAGCAACAAACTAAAGCAGAAACAAATTAGTTTGAACTCATTTAAAAATTCAGAGTTGACCTTGTTGTGTCGTTTGCTACTCTTGATGATATTTGTGATATTTATGAAATCCACTAAAATTTATATTGATGCCTTTTCATAATGTTCAAAAGCAAATAAGACCATCAGCAAAAAGATTGAAGATTCTATATCCTTATTATTAATGCTTGAAACTAGTGTGAGGTAGCTGGCAGCTAAAAAAGATTTTAAAATTTTCACATAAAACATCGGCAGTGAACGATGCATTTGACTCAGAAGTCAGCAGGATGAGATTTTTGTCAAAAATCACAACTTAAACAAGAAGGGAACAAGAAAAGCTAGGTGTAATTTGTCCACAGGGGGCGCCAAAATTGACACAACCCAAAAGCTCCCCACAGGAGCTTTAACTAACAGGCTGTTGTTGGTTTTTGCACAAATGCCTTTTCTTTTTCCATGCTTTCATTCATCTGTGAAATTTAACTTTAAATACTTCATTTGTTTTGAAAATTTAGCGTGCTAGTTAGCTTCTCTGAGTAACAACAGCAATGTCATCTTTTGGAGGCCATAGGCTGTTTATGAAGAAATTGTTTGGTTGCGTTCGATCCAGATGATAAAACTAAAGCTGTGCATTGCATTTCTTGTTCTTAGCTACAGAACTACCCACTGAGCATTATTTGGTCTAATAGACGGCTACCACAGGTTTAAAGATGAAAGTTTTGACCAAATCTAAATCTGGGCTATATCTATACGATACTGTATATTGCTCAATTGCTATCATAAATATTTTGGTAAAGAACTTGGAGATCAGTTATGCAACTCACAGTTGCTTTTTGAAATAAATAGTAATTGAATAATGGGTTAAAGTGCAACGTCCAAATTTAGTCTAAAAATAACCCATACCTAGACGGTTGAAATTAGGTCTAAAAAAAATTAGATGTCTAATAGCCGTCTTTTGCTTAGTGGGTAGCTAATTTAGCTCGCAATTACATACCTGAAATGCTAGCATCTGTGGCTAACAAGGCTACATGGCCAACTCTGAATAAAAGGAGGTTTTCAGTTTTCCCTACTTAGCTGACGTCGTATGATTGCAGCTTACTTTTCAGAGAATTTGGGGTAAAAAAAAAAACACATTTTCTTTTTTTGTCTCTGTAAAACACTATCATTAAACAGCCATATAAATGACTACACATGACGGTTGCACATGTCACCACAGCAAACATTTTCCGTTAAGTGATTATCAAAGGTACTGTAATTTTATGCCTTTTGAATTCTGTGTTTGTGTTCACTATTCTTCATGCATCTGTTTCTTGTGTTTTATTGTACTCTCTGGTGTTAATATCATGTTACAAGTGTTGGAAAGACGATAATGGTTCTTGTCAAAGCAGAACATGCTCATCCCTGATATCACCTGCTTGCATATTTATTGACGACCAGTATGATATCCTCTCTCAGTGCTGCTACAGCTGTAACCAGTGTCTTTACTTTTGGTGTTCTGAGTAATTTCACCAAGAAAACAAGTCATGTTTTTCTTCCTATCCTCCTCCCCCGTGTCCCTCGGTGTATTTTAAGGGTTAATCGCCTCCTGCAGGAAGTTGCCTACGTCTCACCCGTAGCTGTGTCAGGTTTTGGTGCCATACAGTTTAACCTGTCTCACTGGGAGTGTGGTGCAGTGATGATAATGTTTATGTGATTATACTTTGATTGGTCAGGTTGTCATAGTGCTGTATAATAGCAGAACTCATGTGATTTGACGGAGGCCTTAAAGCTATTTTTACTAAGTGTCCAGTCCTTTGACTCCATCAGCAGACGGAGTATCCAGATCCAGATCCTTTTGTGGTCACAGTTAGTGAAAAAAACGGGGCCTTCGTCTTGTATATTTACCAGCCTTGGGAAGTGCTATATCACCAAACTCAGCTCCTGTCAGTATACCAGCCTCCTTTTTCCTTTCTCAAGATTTCTGACCTTCAGGCAGGGAGAGTGTGTGCTCAGGGACTCTCTGATCCTCATGTTGTATATGTATCAACGGGCCACACTTGGCCTTCTGTACTTCGTTGCTCTCCTTAAATTTGCTTTGTGCTTGGTAGTGGCAGTTTTAATGTCAAGGATGCCTCCTTTGTTTGTCTTCAGTGTAAGAGGAAGCTTTTGCATGATATGAGAATGTTTGCCACGTTCTAGAAACGCGAAGGGAAGATCTCTAAGGAAACGGTTCATCTGCAGAGTTTAGGATTAACATGATTTTTTTAATCTGCATTTAATACAGGGAAGTTAGAGTCAAAGAGAGAAATGAGTTTTCTTTAAAATGAGAGATTCAATCTGTTGATAATAAGCTTCAAAATTAAATTGATAAATCTTCAGTTTTGTAAGTAAGGATGACAAAAAACTATAAAAAGCTTTAAACATCTGGAGTTTTGCAGCTGCCCTGTATTATTTGCATGATTAATCCAAAATTTGTGGGGTTAGATTATTTGTGAAAGCAGAGCAAGAAATTAAAAACAGTCAGCTTGTGCTTCAGAAATTTGGAGTTGCCATCTTTTTATGATTTTAAGAGAAATTTTGGATTTCTCCAGAATGAAAATAATCTTAAATTGCAGCTGTAAGTTAATAAGTAAGAACCATCACCCTTTGTTACCCTCAGGTTTTCACAAAGAAGGCATCCTAAACTGGACATTTGCAGATTTTGTTCGACATTTCGATGTGCCGGTTTAGGCTGCCCCCCTCTCTTATTATGCACTAAATGAACACAGGTAACCAGATAAGGTCAGGACTCGATAAGCTGTCTGACATTGTTTCACTTAATAGTATCTGCAGGTACAATGTCGTAACTCAGACTCTGGCTTCTCCTTAAGTCCAAAGCCTGATGCCTCTTCCTGAAGTTTCCCATAACCAATGTGATATTGATCATTGTGGCGCCAAATGCTCATCTGATGATTGTGAATTGATGACATATCTGATGCATTAATCTCTGTGGTGTTTGGCTCTGAGACCCCGACAACTGTAGATGTCAAAAAAAGCTGAATTTAGTCAAATGGTGACTTAATGTAATTGTGCTTAAATGTTTGAGATCGGTATTATATTTTATCTGTCTCTGTCAATGAAGCAGATTGAATCCATTGTGTTTCAAGGCGGTAGGCAGCGTAGATCTGCATGAGAAACAAAAAGCGTTAGTTACTCCCTAATGGACATGTGATGGTAACACTGTGATATTTAGCCGACTTAACGGCAGAATAATGTTGTGATCTCAATATGGTGCTATTGATGGTCCTGTCTCACACTGTCAGTCAATCTGTTTTGATGGCGTGTATCGATGAAAATAGGTTGAAAGACCTTTCCCCCCCATTGACCAATGGGACTCTGTCCAGCCCTCGCTGATGCCTGATGATGATCACTCCATCTTCATCCTGTTTCCATCCTCACATGAGTGGCTCAGGGTGAGGTCCTGTCAGTCCTGCTACCTTTAAGCTCGTATTCATTTTCCCCTCACACACACTGTCCCTGCTCGAGGTGAATGTCTGTCCTGTATTGATGTTGTCAACACCTGCCATGGCTGTTCGCTCTGCATGTGATTGACCCCCCCTCCCTACACACATCCTCTGTCGTTAGCGTCAAACAGGGAGGTCAAAAAGCAGCTTCTCAGTAAAAGAAAAAAAAACGTCTAAATCTTCCTGTAAAGAGCACCAAGTAGCAGATTAGATTAGCTTTGTGTTTATTTGTCTCATTCTCTGTCTTGGCTTCAGTCTTGCAGCTCTGCAAACAAAAAAGTATAAAGCCTAAAGGGAACATTATGCCAACAAACTGTTGTCATATCAAATCATGTAGGCGGCAGAATATTCTCTCGCACTTGCCTGTTGTTGTTGATTTTCGTCAAGAATTTCACTCATATGCTTGAGACTCAAGAACTTAATTTAGATCATTTAAAGTTTCTTTTTTAGGCCATTTAAACTTCCACATCGTATCCTGTTTAGCTAAAGTCCCACTTCGATCGCTTTTTTTTTTTTTTTACTACTTAAAGTGCTCTCAGTGGCCGGTGTAGTAGAAGTAGCTATTCTGCTCTCTGACACTTATGTCTTTAGGGACACGCTGAAAGTTCGTATCATTATTAGCTTTCTTACAAGTATTGCAATCTGCTAACACACACGCTTTTTCTGTGATCATCCTCTGTATTTCTCCTCTATATGCAGAGTGGCCTGCATAGCTTGGTTACGTATGATATCTCTCTGTTTCTAAACCTGCCATTTCGGTCTGCCAGAGATTCACAGCGATTTGAATGAAGAAATACGCAGAAAAGCAATTTAGTTTTCTCATGATTTGCCCTGTAGCATCAGAAAAATGCAATATGAAAATATAAAAAACAAGAAAAACATGATTTTCATCGGCATGGGTCTTTAAGAGGTTGAATATATTGTAACTGACACGCTTTTTAACATGAACACAACTTGTACCATTCAAGGTGTGTCACAAAGGACAGGGTCTCGCTCCATTCATCCCCCTCAGAGATGGTTAGGGTCCAGTAGCTGCTCACACATCTGCGCTCGGTAAATGTCATTATTTCTGACACGCAAGACCAATAATACGCCAGAGACTTTCTGCGGATTGATTAGATCTGATCTGCATTAGCAGGTTGCTTTTGCCGATGGAGATTAATCATCGTTTGGCGGGGGGGAGGTTGACCAATCAGAATGAAGTATTTGACACAGCCAGGTATTAAATTAATACTATATGTTATGATGATTTATGTGATTTGAGGTGAATTATTTTCCCTAAATTCTCACTTTGTTGTGGAATCTTGGTAGAAAATCTAACCACAACAAAAGGCAAGAGGGTAAAAACTGTCTCGCACTTTTTTTATCGCCTCAGCAGAGTTGCTTTCACTGGAATAGTTCACAGAAAGGGTAAAACTTCGACTATATCTATGCAGTATTTATTTTTTCTAAATCCTGCAGGGTTCAAACATGGTGCCAACCTGAAACCAAAAACCATATGCATTACCAGGCATGTAAACTACTTGTTAAGTGTCTAAAACAAGCCTCAAATGTTGTGTTACCTGTGTTTTATTCAAGAATCGATCCAGCGTTGAGCTCACGTCTGTAAAGTCATCCCATGATCTGTCTGTCTTCACGTCTGTCTGCCTGCTTGTCTGTCCGTTTGTCTCCTCCCACAGTTGAATTCAGGTCAAAAATGAGATGATTTAATAAAGCATTCTCAGAGCATTGTCAGGGATCGCTTCTCTATGTTTCCACAAAGCTGTGTTTTACACTCTCTCTAGACCAAGGTGTCACCGTTATGAATCTGTACACACACACACTTACAGCGTGTACTGTATGTGTGTAAAAACGGCAAAATAGACCATTTTTAGTGGTTTGTATTGTTTTAGGGTTTGTTGTGCAAAACTGAAGAAAAACCAATAACAGTGATAATAAACTAGCTCTAGTAACAAGAAAACCGGAGATTGTCTTTATTTTGTGTAGATGTGTGTGTGTGTGTGTGAGCTTTAGATGAAGAATCCTAATTTACAGCACATGGGGGTGTTTGCTCGCCTGCTTCTTGCGGTCCACTGAGATTCAGCAGATCAATCCGATGAAGGCTTCTCCTCTTCCTCCTGACTTCCTCGTCCTGTTCTCCTGTTCAGCACATTAACTCATGGCCCGCTGGACAGACAGAGTATTGAGCACGAGGCCCACAGCTGCTGGTCGATGAGGGTTGGTGCCGGACTTCTAATCACTATGAGTCCCAAGCATGATTGAACTTCAAGACAAAGGGAGAGACCGATATGGATCAACCTCCTCATCCTCCTCCACCTGTCTGTCTGGTTATCTCTCTTTCTTTCTCTCCTTCTCTGTTTTGGGTTTGGCATCAAGGATAATTCATACGGCAAATAGTTTAGAAAGTGCTCTGATAGACGAAGCAGGATAAATGGATTTGAACTGCAGAGAGGAAATAAATAATCCATCATTGCAATAAACAGTGGGAAAAATCCCAGAATAAAGGACTATTCAACGATTTTAAAGGGATATTCCAGCGTAAAATTAAGTTAGGGTCAAACACACCGTAACACCAAGTTAGACCCTCAAGAGATGAATGTTGCCGACCGCTTGCTTCTCTAGTTATACCAACTTTAGTAACGACCGCACGACAGCAATACAGAGAGCCATACGCTCAACCAAAACACCACTCTATAGCCACAAATAATACTCAGAACAGCACCTAACTTCATCAACAGTACATATAGGGTCCCAGCCATAGTGCTAGTCACCAAACACCTTTTTAACTTTGCCTAATTTCTTTAGCAAAGAAACTAAACACAACTTACCTACTCTCTTCCAGCAGTCGCTTGTTTGTTGGGAGACCTCAGGCCAGTCCAGTACGGACTGCAGCGGGGCGTCGCAGCTCAAGGAAGAACATTTATTATCATTACTTTATAATTTCCTTGAAGTAATAATCACCATATTAATCATTTTGCACTGCAGACGCAGTAGTTCTTCTGCCTTATCGTCTCGGTCTGATTGTATTTCCATGAAGTAATGATTATAAATGTTCTTCCTTGAGCTGCGAAACTCCGCTGCACCCAGTGATCGACCCGTCAGGGCTCCCCCCACAAACAAGCAGCTGCTGGAAGACAGTAGGTGAGTTGTGTTTAGTCTCTTTGCTAAAAAAAAAAAAACAGGCAAAGTTAAAAAGATGTTTGGTGGCTAGTACTATGGCTGGGACCCTATATGTCCTGTTGATGAAGTTAGGTGCTGTTCTGAGCATTATTTGAGGCTATAGAGTGGCAGTTTGGTTGAGGTTTGTTTATGGCTCCTCAGACCGCTGTGTATTGATATCGTGCGGTCATTACTAAAGTTGGTATAACTAGAGAAGCAAGCGGTCGGCAACATTCATCTCTCGACAGAGTGTCTAACTCGGTGTTATGGTGTGTTTGACCCCAAATTATTTCATGCCGGAATATCCCTTTAATTTTTACTGCCTGAAACAGACAGTAGAGGGTAGATCTCAGCCAAGCAGCCGAGGAAATAACCCTGATTTTTAAATTATAATATTTACAATAAAGATTACATTTGATTCCAAAGTCACTACTCAAGCTAAGCAAAGATTACTTTGTCCACAGGGGGTACCAAGTTGGCACAAATCAAAAGTTCCTCACATGAGCTTTAAGTTAAAATTTTAAAGTGTTTGAAAAGTAAAGTCACAAAAACAAGTCTGTAAAAGTTTTCAGAAGTGGTTTAGAGATGTCATTGATTCTGCACGCCTGATCTCCCCACAGAGGCTGTTACAGAGTCGAGCGGTTCTGATGGAAAGAGCTTCATCTCCTTAAGCTTTGAGCCTCAACAACAGGACGACCAGTAAGCTGCTACCTGAGAATTTAAAGAGGTGAGACGGCTCAAATGTTGTCAGAATTTCTACAATATTACTTGGAGCCAAACCCTTTAAAGCTTTAAAAGTGATCAGTAAAATCTTCAAATCAATTCTAATCACACAGGGAGCCAGCGAAGCGAAGTAAGGATAAGAGTGATGTGATGTTGTCTGTTAAAAGCCTGTAAGAAGCGGAGCTGCTGCGCTCTTGTTGGAGGTGGAAGAGTGATTTATGGTTGATAGCAGAGAGGAGGGAGTTACGGTAATCTAATCGACTGAAGATGAGTGCATAAATAACTTTTTCCAGGTCTGCTTGTGACATAACTGATTTAATCTTAGGGATGGATCTTAATTTAATGAAACAGGACTGGACTGTGTTATTTATGCACTGGTCAGAGATGAACTCTGAATCAGAAGTTACTCAGAGGTTTCTTGTAGTCGGGGTGGTGTTTGAAAGCGGTGAACAAGAGGCCCTCACTCTGAGGAAGTTTGGGAGGAGTTATTGTGTAGTTCGAGTTACATTTCAAGTCATTTAGTTGCTGAAATCTGTGATCGACTGCAGTGGCAGCATTATGATGAACAGCTGAGCAAAAAAAGAGATTAAAAAAAATAGGGAATACTTGTAAAATTAAAGGCACCGTGAGTAACTTTCTTGCTGCGTTGATTCCGGAGACCCCTTTAGACCGAACAGAAGTTTTTTTTTCATTAGGAAGACTGCAACTCCCATGAGCACCATCGCCTATTGTTGTAAAGATAAGGATCTTTCCAGTGTAAGCGTTTGTCAGAAGATAAGGATCTTTCCAATGTAAGCGTTTTTCAAACTCCTTTTTTTTTGTTAAAGGCAACTTTTTTCATGGTGCAGAGGTAATCTATTCATTTAAAACTATGCAAAAACTGTAACACAGAAAATCCTACAAACTCTGATTTATTAGCTCTTAATTTACTGTATTTTAATCTTTATTTTATCTTTTTTTATATTTTATCTGTTGTGCAGCACTTTGGTTACCTTGTTGTTTTTAAAATGTGCTATACAATTAAAGGTGGATTGGATTGATTGGATCATTCGTAAAATGACATAAGGTGACCAGACATAACGGTTTGACATTACCTGTTTGTCCTAGTGTGAAAATGTACGCTCCAGTGTCCCAAAAATATCTGAAAAATGTGAATATGCACACAGTTTAACTCTTATGTCCTCAGAGAGCAGTATATTATCACACGCTTGAATATAAATTACATTAATAGCTATTTTGCTCCTTTCAAAGTAAAAGCCTGGTTGTAAAGTTCATCTAAAACTGTAGTAAGACAGAAACTATATGTGCCAGTAGATCTCTAAACATGGACACTTCCAGGTGAGTGCCAAACACCGGCTCTGATTTTGTCACGGAGAACACATATCTGCATATTCAGAATAAAGAAATTACCACCACACAGATAATCTCATTTTACCACAAAGGTCATAAAAAGTCTTCCCTCAGAATAACAAGACATTATTTCAAAATCAGTGAGGAACTCTTCATTGTGACGTAAACATCTAAGTCAAGTTTATATCTGTATGTTACGTCACTTTTATTCTTTTAAGATGCCAAATGAACATTACAGGTCCCACCAAGACAGCAGCATTAAAAGTTTCACATTTAAGAACAAATTCACACAATATTTATTCAGTGCTTGAGACAGAATCCACTAAAAGGCAAGTTTTTAACTCATGGGTACTCTGCAGCTTTCAGATTATTGCTCTGACTGTCCAATTGACGTTGTAGTTTCCAGTTTCCAAAACACTTTTTTTATCATGTTGACCTCAAAGTTCAGACTGAAACTTAGTTCCTGAAGTTTGCCTAAACTATCCATGATAAAATTATCCTTTTTTTGTACTTTAAAAAAGGATTAACTGTAAACCTTTATCTCTACTGCAAAATAAAACACAGTATATATACAGGACATGTTTGCAGTGTAAGATTTAGTGAACACATGATGGTTTACATAATCTGGCTGCTGGACGGTGCGATTTGTGTCATCAGGTAAATGTTAACAAGTCTGTTTCTGTGCAGATTAAAAAAGGTGTCCTTTGTTGATTAAGGTGCAAACATCGGATTAACAACCAAACCACTCCTGCTGTGTCCCCGGGCTTATCGTGTTTTTCACCACAGACTCCTGTACTGCATATTGAAGTTTCCCTCCAGAGACCATGTGCATACACACACACACACATACTGTGATGTGTAAATATGTGTATTAATGTTGGCTGAGTTGTGTGAGCACTGCTGTAGAGGCAGAAGGAGGGTGTTTGTGATCATTACGACGAGTTTCTTTCCTATTTCCAGTTTTAATAGAAAGACAACAGAAGACTTTTTCACAAGCAGCCCCCCGTTTTTCCCCTCATTCACACACACACACACACACACACACACACACACACACACACACACACACACACACACACACAAACACCAAACAGTCCAGACCGGTCGTGTAAAGTAGTGAAACTCTATCCCTGGCTGGACCACCTCAACTGGGCCCCGGCTCCTCCTGACCCCACAGCATTTAAAGCGAGTTGAGAAAGGGGACCTCAGTTTCCCAGAGAGAGCCCAGAGGAGGAGAGGGGGGGTGCAGCTGTCTCCTGGCTTCTCACACCGCACGCCTTTTAGCGGCTCAAAGGGAGCGGCCAAGGGGGAGGGAGGCCAGAGGTCACAGCAGCCAACCTTCAAACCCGCCTACCTCTGATGTTCCCTGTTTTTTTTTCTCCTTTTTCCCTCTTCTTTTTTTACTGTTTCCAGATTTCCCAGCCGTAACACGCTTCCCAGGTGACATCCCTCCCCTCACGTCGCAAATAATCAAAACCGTCATGTCAGCTCCTGTTTCTTTTTTAAATGCTCTCCTCCATGTGTGTGTCTCAGATGGTTCAAGCTATGCACGTGTGTGTGTGTGTGCACTTTTTACTCACTTAGACCACATGCAAACGTACTAATGCACTTTAGTTTCCTAGTAAAATAAACTTACGTAAGAAAAGTATTTTAACCTAGGTGGACTTGATATGGAAAGCTCGTTATTACATGATACACATTTTCAGTTCAGTTTATTGTCTGTGGAAGTGTCAGTGATTTACTTTTAGTCTGAATTTGTTCACCTAAGAAGTAGTTCTCATTGCGTCTTTAAAATACAACCATTAAGACCCAGTTTTGAAGCCTCACAGAGAGGCAAGAAAGCATAAACTATTTTCATCGAAAGTAAGAGTGAAACATTCAAGCTTGAAATCAGAATTACTTTCCCAACCAATATATCGTCACCCTATTAAAATAATGGATCCTCATGATCCTTTCAACTAAGGATTTAGGCGATTTTACCAGAGATGGCGAGCATTATCAAGTGATGATTAAGGCCAAAAACTAATTTTCATCAAAAAATGACTTAGGCCATTATTTTAATGGGGATATTTTATTCTACCGTTTAACACATTTTATTTGACTTGGAGGTGCATTTCTTGCCCCCCGGGATTAATACTCATAGTATTTCCATACACTGTCTGTCAGAGGCGTAAAGACAACTCTCTGAACTCCTGGAATACTTAAAGCTCCTGTGAGAAACCTTTAGTTTTTATCCATTTTGGTGACAAAGCAGTCTTTGCCCAGCTTCAATCAATCAATCAATCAACTTTATTTCTATAGCACATTTAAAAGAACCACGGTGGTAGCCAAAGTGCTGTACAATGACACATAAAAACAAATAAAACAATCAAAGAACAAGATAAAGCGAGCAGAAATACATCAATGCAAAAGAATAAATAAATGTATAAATAAGGAGGCTCACAGCAAGTGCTAAGATGATAAAAAATAAATTAACACTACAATGTATCAAAAGCCAATGAATAAAAGTGTGTTTTTAGAAGGGATTTAAAAACAGGAAATGCTTAAACAATGTCTTCTGACAAACATTGTCATCCTGCTGACTTTTATGGTTGAATGCATGATTAATTATGAACATTTAATGTTGACATTGTAAAAACCTGTTTCTTTTTCGACACCTACCCCCTAACACTGGTTTCAGTGACTAAAAATTACAAAAACAGAAGTGATCAACCACGGTCTTGTTTGCTTTTGGATATCATGAAAGGATATCATCGTGAATTCAAATCTGTTAAATCAACACCAACATAAACCTTAACAGGAGCTTTAAGTTTAGTTCAGTTTTCGGAGTATTGAACTGTCAAAATCTTGTTTTAGTGAAGCCAGAATGGACCAAATTAAGTGTCAGGGTTAACCCTTACACAAGGCTGAGTTATAGCACTTACTGAGTCTTTGCCCTCTGATTCTTAATTAGCTGAGTAATTAGCGTTCACCGGTCTTAAAATGTTTCATGTATTAGTGAACTGAGTAAACTCTAGTAGTTTCTTGCATGTAGTGAACCACACCAGCAGAGGGAGAAGGGCCAACCACAAACTGCATCTGATCTGTTATCATTTACAGCGTTACTGTGTGAAGCTTGTTTTATTGTTTATGAAGTTTAAAAAGTTACTCATACTGGACTGATTGTGTTGTAGCTTTATGCTAAAGTTAGGGAACTTGATTTAACTTTCTCTTCCAGTCTTTTAAGAATGTCAACATCTCCTTTTCTCTTTCCCACCACATAGATCTACGCCAGACAAAATAATAACAAATGACAACATGAAGATGTGACATGACCATTAAACATTCAGATATAATACTTCGACCGTCTTACCGTTTTCAGTGATTACTTAGCTAACTTTAAAGACAGATTCTGCTCAGTAACAGTAGCAAATGTGTATGTCTGCTGCAGATTTAGTTTATCATGGGACTCCCTGAGTTTTACACATTTTTGGAACCTGCCTCAAGTGGCCACTTGAAGAACTGCAGTTTTTGACATTTTTTTTTAAATTAGTTTATTTGACAGGGACAAGACATGAAGCATTGTTGCATCTAATTAAAGAGCAACCGATGCTGTGTATGCAGGACTTCTAGCTGTGGTCCTTGACCCTGGTTAGACAGCTGAAAATAAAGCACATAATACATAAACCACTGAATAAAAACTACCATTATAGCAGGTACAGACAGGCAATCATATGTTTGCATAAAAAACAACAGCAAAGCAGGCAAAACAAGCAGTTTCTTCTATGCACACAAAAAAAGCAAAGAACTTGTGCATTAAATTCACTTTTAAGCCCCCAAAGTATACAAAAATAGGGATGCAGAAGGTATTTCCAAAAGAGCAGGTCTAGACCTAACTCATTGTTTGATGTATTACAAAGACCCAACTTTGAGATGGGAGAAGATTTAACCCATCCCAAACCAACGTGAGTGAAGCACTTAGCAGTATTTAACAAGTTATGATGGCAAGTAAAAACGTCCCTTTAACAGGCAGAAAACCTTGAGCGAGGTCTGACTCAACCTGCTGCCACTGGGTTTGGGAAGAGAGAGGATAGATGGAGAGGCTGAGAGGGACAGCAGCAACAACAACAACAACAGCTCATACAGACTCCTGGTTACAGAGATAATAATGAAGGAAGAATAGAGATCTATTTACAGGATCAGGAAAAAAGTAATATAATAAACTACATATACAACTTGACCTTCATGGATCTTAATGAAAGCACTGTGTGTCTGATGAGAACTCTTGAGGGGGTAGATTTGGAGTAGTATGTACTTAGACATCCTCTAATAATGGACTCCTCCTGTCCTCATGCTGAAGTGACACTGGGCCTCAGTACTTGTTTTCTTCTGCAGTAGTATAAATAGATGGCTCACTAATAAGCTCTCAGATCATAATGCTTTTTCTACACAGTACATATTTCCTGAGATGTTTGTTTGTAATATCTGAACATACCTTGTTGTGACTAAGTAAAAAATATTTCCTGTCGTATAATATTCAAACCCTGTGAGGTTGCGTTTGAAGGCGTTCTTATGAGAATACCAGAGCAGGTGAAATATCATTTCTGCCACTTTTCCCTCCACTTTGCTCTCGCCTGTGGTTCAAGTGTAAGATGGAGTGTCATGTGGTGGAGGGTGACTGATGGAGAATGTGGGCATTAACATGCTGAGGCCACAGGAGACGTGGCACTGAAAGCATTAATGGAGTGACTGTTTCTGAGAAAAGGAGGGCTGATGTGATTGCAATGTGTGCCGGGGGAATCATTCTGCAGGAGCCAAGCATACAGGCTGTGTAGCTGCCCTTATAACACATTTATATGTATTTGAGAGATAAATCGGGTGGCCTTTGCAATGGCAGTGAGTGTCGGGCCCATATGCAGAGATATGCAGTCATCATCTGTGACACAACCCCTGCAGTTCCTCAAGTTCCTCTTCATTTATCACTCAAATGCATGCGCACACTCTGTGTTTGAGCAACGATTCAACGGTGAACACGTACAACGCACCCAAGCACCCTCAAGAAAGAAAAAAAAAGGGGTAAAGGGGGGGCTATAGAGTGTGGGGGAGGGGGATCGGCAGAGATATCACATCCCCCGTGTGCACAGCAGCAGCGATGTGTGGAGCAGGACAAAGGAAGGATGGAGGGTGGGACAAAGGGAGCAAGGGATGGAGATGCAGGGTGGCTTTGAGGAACAAGAAGGATGCTTAAGGTGACAACAAATAACTCAAGATGAGAGGATGGAGTGAAACACTTTTAGATTTCTGTTTTAAAAGAAAACCTTTTTCTCACAAACCCATCAAGTTATGTGAATAATGTGAAAAACAAAGGGTTAAAGTATTCACATAATTTATGCCATTATTCTCCATAATTAAATTCTGCTGAGTTTCAGTTTTTAAAAGGGCACCATATAGAGCGCCATTGCCCTGGTGGTTTAAGTGCTCACAAAGGTTAAAGTGGACTCACCCTGCCTTTATTTGAGACAGGCCTTTATTTTCTCTTCCACAGCCAAAACGTATTTAAACTTTCTGTTTGTCCGATCATTCATTAGGAGCCTGCCATCTTTTTTGGCAACACGTGCACAAACAGGAAAGCGTTTGCACAGGAGGAATCAGTAAAGCCGGTCAGTATTAGCCTGAAACTGTCCTCCATCCATCATGTTGATTTCTTTAGTCTTCAACCTGATGTTTTCGCAGGACACCCCGCGATGCTAATCAGATGGCTAGCAGGTTCACTGGCGTTCTTCCACCTTTCTTTTTGTTATAATGCACGGACAGAAGCCAAAGAGTAGACCTTTCCTGCCTTTGTATCGGATCAGCTTAATAATATCTTGAAGCTGCTTCTCCAGAGTACTTTTTAGCCAAACTGACAGCTTCAGTTTTACATTGGTTTTTCAGGTCATCAACAAGTGTGTCGTGGAAATATAGTTTAAAAACTACACAGACACATATGCTCACTCCAAAGAGATTTCGTGGCACTGAAAACCAGGTAAACATGATTTAGATCCAGCCTGTTTTTGAAGCTGCTGTTCATTCATGAAAATTTGTATCTGCAGAAAATTGTTATAAGAGACTCTGGGCCTGATCTACCAAAGGTTTGCATGAGCAAAAACACATGCAAACTTGATAGCACGCGCAAAGCTGATCCACTAACTGGGTGCACCAAAGAATTGCGTCTGTCAAATGAGCAAAACTGCACGCAATCCATTGAGCGTGTTTGCCTTCATGAATATGCATATTGTACGTAGATCATCAGACCACGCAAAATTCTATGCAAATAGAACCATTTAGCACCCGCAATGTGATTTATCAAACCCGGAAACCTATTGCGGTTGCTGTTTTGCATCTATATTTAACATGTTTGAGAGGCACGTTCAAACTCCCACCATGTTATGCACAAATCTGCAGCCACTCCTCCCTGTGGGGAGCGTTTTTCTAGTAAATGATGGTTTTGATAAAAAATTTATAATGATTTAAAAAAAAAAACACAGAACAGTCACAAAAATTTCTCTCTTTGTCTAATTGATTTTAAATTTAATCTTTTTTTTTTTCATTTCAAATATATTTTCTTGCATCTGTAAAGCACTTTAAATTGCCTTGTGTATAAATGATACGATACAAATAAACTTCCCTTGCCTTTTATGCAGTTTCTAGCTTCCCCAAACAAAAGGTGTAACTCGATGGCTTTAAACTTAAATTTTCATCTCCAACCACTCTGCTCTCACAAACTCTCCATGGTGATGGCCGATAGCGCACGCAAAATCCTCATTTAAAGAGGGCGGTCCGCACCACTTTTGCTCCTGTTATCAATTGCGCACACAATGATAGTAGACCACCCGCAACACGCCCACTAATAGCTCGTGCAATTTTTTTAGTTTTCACACACAATTTAGCGTTCGCTATTTGGGATCTAAGTAGATCAGACCCTCTGTGTTTAATTTGGACCAGCAATTTATTGAAGTTTTACGGTACTCTGCACTTTTACTCATTGGCTTTTAGTACATTGTAGTGTTAATTTGTTTTTTATCATCTTAGCACTTGCCGTGAGCCTCCTTATTTATACACTTATTTAATGTGCTATATAAATAAAGTTGATTGATTGATTGATTGATTGATTGAATATCTCTCAAATTTACCTAACTGTGTTCTTCTCATTATGACTTAAACTTTCTTAATACATTCAATATAAGACACATCGACCTGGACAGCTAACAGTAATGCTAGCAAGGAAGTGGGTGAATGCCGATGTTAGCCAATGTCTCAAGGGAGCTAATTTCAACATTCGCTCATTTTTAGGGGAAATGGTGGACAATGTAAATAAGGTGACTAATCCGGCAGTAATGAAGGATAAGAAAACTGAGACTCTTCTTAGATAATTTGAGAAGGCTGAGGATAAGAAGAGAGGAAGATTAAATGCCCCCTCTAATACTGTAATTCGCAATTTCCTTCACTGTTCCCTCAATCAGTCTTTCATTCTTCTTCTCCTGGTCTTTAAATTGTCGTTGCCCCAGGCCTGTCCCCGTCCATTAACCCTATCTTCACCTGTCTCTAATCCATTCTCTGGAACAAAACCACCTGGGGTTTGTGGTTTTACAGATGGTGTTTTGAATTAACAAGGGGTCCAGGGCTTTGTTCAAATACTTGTTTCCGGGCTGAAGGAAATGTTTATAGCAAATGACATGAAAAAAAAAAAGAGGATGGTATTAATTGTCTTTCTGATTGACTCACACATTTCAGGTATTGATTTTTCAGGCTCTAATCTTGTTCTTCATGCCAAGGTCGGCTTCCTGTTTCATGGCCCCGAACAGAGTACAGTTGTTGGAGGCAGAGGGGAAACAGCTAATGCAGCAATATATTCTGATCCATCAATGAAGAAAACATGGAGGATGCTCCCCCGCCTGCACCCCAACCTTGTCCTCCTCTCTCTCCCCCCTCGTAACACCTCCTCTTTCTATCGGTTTAATCACACAGAGCCATATGGATGCACAGTGTGTTGTATTAATTAGACCCCAGGGCGTGGCCACACACAGGGGACCCAAGTGACTCAAGCAGTTGCTATGCTGGGTGAAAAAATCTACCTCTCAGCAAACACTGAACGGATGAAGGCGCCGGAGGTGAGATGAGGATGGGTCACATGCTGCAACATATCTGTTTTAGTTGTGTTGTGAGATCGAGATGAGATACGGCCTCAGATCAGATGTGTTAACTTGAGGATTGTATCTGTCTGCTGCCAGGGCATTGGGGCTAAAAGAGGAGAAAAAGAGAAAACAAATATTGACTCTCCTTACAGAAATACCTACGACGAATTGGTTAAAATCAATGTGCTTAACCATTTATGTCATTTATAAACACAGAAAAAAATTAGCATCATAAAGTTGTTGTTTTTATTAATTGTAACCAATCAAGTTAATCTTGAAAATCCTATTTTTATTATTTTAAAACTACAAACGGTTTTTCTCTGGCTGGAGGATGAGACAGTTTCATTGATTTTGAGATTAAATTTGTTTTGATTTGCCTTTTTTTTTTTAAGTTTGATGTTTCTAAAATCTAAATCAAGCTGCTCCCAAATCATAACACCTCCCAGATCAAATACAGATGAAGTTAAACAGATTAATTTAATTTTAGAAGATCTATAATTTTCCAGTAACAATATTTAGGGAGGAACTTGTAAATTAGTTGCACCTTTTGTAAAAGTTTCTTCATCTAATTTGATAAACATTATGGAAATGTAGAAATAACTTCTTATAGATAAGCATACAAGAGTCCATGTATAAATTATCTTAAAGCTCCCATGAGAACTTTCAGTTTGTGTTAATTCTGGCATCTCTGTGGACAAAGCAGGTGAATGTTCAATTTGGAAAACATTCCTCAGCTGCTTGGCTAAAAACTCTTTGACATTAAAAATTACAGCACATACACAGTCAGTCTCATTGCTGATGGTTTTGTTTGCTTTTGTACGTCTTAAAAAAGCATCAGTAAGTTTCGGTCCACCACAAACAGATTTTAAAAAACTGGCAATTTAGAATTTTTGGTGTCTGGTTATCAACTTTACCTCTACTTGGCAAGATCAAGATTTAGATCCTTTGACCATTGTTTCCAGTTTGTAGATTTTCGTAGATCAATATGAAGTACTAAAAGAAAACCTGCCTTTATAACTGACCAACCACACAGAGGTCCTATAAAGAGGCTGATGAGTAAGCTACTATATCCTCCTGTTCAATAAAGTAAGTGATAGTCAGTGAAGGACACTAACAAAGTACATTTACCAGAGTGCTGCACTAAATTACACCTTGTGTAAGTACTTCACTTGAGTATTATTTTATCAGGAAACTTGTTACTCTTACTCCGCAACATTTGAAAGACAAACAACTTCTACGTCTGTATGTTGCTTGTGTCTTTCTTTCCATTTTTGTCTTCCATAGCTCTGCGCAGGTGAACTCAGCTTCTCCTGGTCCTGAGAGTTTAAAGTCCCACTCCGATCATTTTTTTTACTACTTAAAGCATTATCAGTGGTCTTGTGATTATGACGTTTTTAGCCAAAATCACGTTACCTGTGTTATTTTCAATGGCTTTTCTTCTGCAGAGCTCTAGTAGCTCATTAGCAATTCGCCTCTGAGTCATGGGCAGTGACAGCTCTGCTCTGCTCACTTCTCCCTGAGTTAGCTTGCGGCCTAACATTGGCGGTGCAGTAGAAGAAACTAACATAGGAGCTATTTAGCTCTTGAGCACTAATTTCTTTAGGGACACGATGACAGCTAATATCATAATTAGCTTTCTTAATTCTAATGCACATGCTTGTTCCGTGATTGTCACCTCTACTTTTCCAAATGTGGCCTTCATAGCAGGGCTTGGGGGGCGGAGCTTGCAGTTGTGACATAGGAAATCTCATTGTGTCTGAAGCTGCTGTTTGGGTCTGTGAAAGGTTCACTACTATTGGAATGCAGAAATACTCAGAAATGCAATTTCGCACTAAGTTTTATCATGATATGTCCTGTAGCATCAGAAAAATTTAGAAGCCTGGGCAGTGTCGTGGCGCTACCTCCATAAACCACCTCCCCAGCGCACTGCCAACATTTCACACCACCTGCCATCTGTGGTGCAATGCTCTCCACAGCAGCACTTACCTTTATGATGGTTGGTACTTGTGACTGCCTTTGAGTGTTGTAGGTCATTCACAGTGAAAAGACATCAGAGTTTGAAAGGACGTCATGGCCACGCCCTTTGACATAAACAGAGGATTTTTTTGATATGGTCTTCCTCAAGGTTCTTCATAAGCGTCCCAGATTCCATAGCTGTAAGTCACACACAAGGGAGGGGCTTAATTTTTGAAATTTTGTCGGGGGCGCTATGGAGCCATTGTGGTTTGTCTAGGGTGGGGTTGCCATATCTGTAACTGAACATTAAGCAAATGCAGAGTGAGCATCACTCAGATCAGGCAGTTCATAGTAATGATAGCTACAACATAGTAGGATGATGATTCTCCACCTGAGTATGTGCGATCATATCTGAGGCCGATGTTTGAGAAATGATTCATCTCATCTCAAGTGTTTACTCTGTTTACTTACAATACTTCTTCACAGTCTAAAAATAAAACTCTGCAGAACATTTTAAACAAAGTTGTGTTTTTAGCCTATAGTTGTTTGTAATCATTTTTGTAATCCACAGATTATATAAGGCCTATACTGCCTGAACCTTGGAAGGGTTAAAGAGTGTACTCGCTGGGGAATAAATCAGGCGAGGTTTGTTCTTGGTCTTTGTGTGACTGTGTTAAACACAGAACAAGAGATGGAGAGGGAGAAGCTATACAGAAATAACTGAAAGAGAGGGATCCTATATGTTCAGTTAAGCTTCATCTGTCTGTCATCAGACTATGGCAGAAAACATAAAGCAAGGGAATAAACGTTTACATATTCAGCACATGGAAAAAGAGAAGAAAGAAGAAAGGAAAGAAAGCGAGAGAGAAGGGGTTGGCAGCAGTGCCTGGTTTTCTAGTCATGCCTAAAGAAGCTGACCCTGCTTGTTGTGTAAAACGACCTTCTGTATTTGCCCAAACTCTTAAGTGTTGTGAATTCTTGAGTCTCACACATCGCTCCCTCCAGGGGACTGCAGACCTGGGTGGGCACAAGGTCCAGTTGCTTAGTTGGTGAGGTGGGCCGCTTAAACTGAGGGGCCAACAGAGGGTGCAGGGGGGGCTAAATAGGGAGCTAGATGGGGTGAGGTCAGCTTATGGGTTCACGGAGACAGAGGAGGATACGGGTCAGTGTTTGCCCAGCTGTCTCCTGGGCAGCTGAATAGGAAGTTAAACTGGACTAGGGTGGTGTGGTCGGTGGAGACGGGGGACATGTTATTCAGTTATCTTCATTGTGGCTTCAGGCATTAAATGAATGATTCAGTCTGTCATTGCTGTGTATCTGTTCTTCTGTCTTAAAAATCTTAACAACAGATTTTGGGGAGCAATTAGAGGGTACAAACAGAAGAAGTAGAAACAACAAGGGCATACCATATCCTTTTAGGACAGCCGACTCTTGTTAAAACCTGTTTCTTAGTCATTCTCAGGAGATAGAGAGCAGTATAGCCCTTCATTCAGAGTTGTGTATTGAAAACAAAAAAAGTGATTGCAGAGTTCAAAAGCTAAAAAGTTAAAAGTGGTTTGGTTTAAAACGTCCTTATTTACAGTCAAGTTTAAATTAACTTAACTTTCCAAAAACAGTTTAAATATCTCTTTGAAATGAATATCAAATGTCTGGGGTTTGATGTGTTGCTCTGAATCTTCTAGTGGTATCTAAGCCAGTAAACAGACACCAGTTAACATGTCTGCAAGAACCGTAGTTTGCCATCAGTGATATGTCACCACTGTCCCCGATGAAGTATGCATTTTAAGTTTCAGTATTATGTAAACATAATTTCACTTTGTACTTTTGGTAACTTTAACATTCTTTAATACAAGAAACTTGACACACATCTAAAGCGATGAATTGAATGTTCCTTTCCAACTAACACTCTTGCAGCCAAACCCAAAAGCGAAGAGGGATTTCAGTTTTATTCCAAGTTCATAATATTCGGGACTTTGTTTTTTTACTCTGTCTATTCTTGGGTGACTTCCAAAACCTTAATCTAATCTTATTCAAACTAGATCATACAATCAAAAGCCCCTTACAGATTAAAATATCTTTTTAAATCATGGTTTCAATTTTAAAAAAGGAATGGCAGCTTTAGTAATGATACATCCTGGTAGCAACAAGCAGTCGTGACTTTGATTTTCAAACCTTACTTCTGCTCCTAATTTCCAAAGGGTTCAGACTGAAAGGGATCTACAAATACATATTTGCTTTTAGACAAAATACCACCACTGGGACCCACTATCAACTCAATCTGCTCTTGATTTTGCACATTTGATAACATGTGGGTTAGTTCCCTTTCAATTCAGCTTTAATGGGACCTTATTTTTCACTTCATCTTACAATATTAGTTTCTGAGTCCCATTAAAAATCTGACCCACTGAACAAAAATGATTAATTTGTACATTTGAAACTATCCAGATATATTGATTATGTAAATTAAGCCAAATAACACATGATTCGTGTTTGAAATAAACACTATCCAAAAGTCAGTGGTCCCCTTGCGATCAGTCAGCTACACTTCAAACGTTTAAACGGTGAATATCATCATATATGAGCGAACCATCAAGGTTGCTATAGTTTTGGTAATCATCATTAAAATCAACCCTGTCAATCAATCCAGATGAGAAAACGTCAGGTCAGCATTCACAGTTCTGCATTTCACAATTTCACATTTTAGTTTGCAGTTGTAGTGCTTAGTTCTTGGCTGTTAGTTCAGTATGTGATCCTTTACGTTCACTGCTCTGTTATTCTTCTTCTTTGAACATCTGTGGTCTGTTCAATCCACTCAAAGTTACCCCCCATTATCTTCTCTCCCCCCTCAGGGACTCTCTGGGGAGTTTATTTCCACTCCTTCATCTGCATAACCAAATGCTGAGGAAACAGGTCTGGAACACAGGAAGCCTTAATCCGGTATCTAATGTGACCACATTTGTTGTGTTTAGATGATTTTTGACCCTTATATCAGAGTTAAGATCTGAATGTTGTCCTTGCGTTGGTCGGAGGACAAACGACACCATCTAATAATGACCTAACCTTCTTTTTTTAAACATTCGTTCATATCCTACAAAGACAAAGGGCAACCAAAGTTTTATTTTTAATCCTTTTTGCATCAGAAGAAGAAGAAAACGAAGGATTTTTCATTGTGATCAATACACCCACAAACATACCAATATGAGGCTGCTGCTCTTGTTTTATGGACAACAAAAATATATAAAAATGAGGACTGGCTTGAGGGTCCACTTTAATCCTGTGGTTGTATCCAAGATTGGATCATGTGGAATGATTGCATTGCTCTCAAATTGCATCATCACCCGCAGGATGAAGGATAGTCGACCTAATGGACGGACCTTCTCCAGGGCTGAAACACAGGATGCACTTCCTGGCCTCATGTGATAAAGAGTCAGGTTAGGGCGGAGAAATGGGTGCATGCTGGGGTCACAGGTGGAGGTCAGCGTGGTTCCTGGTTTGTCTTATCAAATTAGTGGGCAGGAATAGAGGCGAGGTGAAGGTCAGTACCTCAGCCCCCCTTCCACCAGCACCACCACCTCCACTGTGCTCCTTTGGTCAATGTCCTTCTTTACCATTGACAACTCACTCAATAACCATTACTCTCAACTGGACATGAAGTAGGTGGGCTCTGCTGGGCCGCTAATCACACAATCAATAGGTGACCATAAAATACCAGTGAGCTCACCAGAGGGATCTATTAGCATAGAGAGTGTAACCCTAACTGAATCACAGCACATAATTGTATTAAGAAGGCTGAGAGTAGAATAACACAATACACTGTTGGCCTATAATGTATAATTCTTAATTGTATTCATAAAAAAACAACCAATTTCTTATTTTTGTTCCACGTTTTTATTTGGAGTATCATCGATGAACCTGACTGACCTCGTTCCCATCATTGCTGCCATTACAGGGTCTCTTTACCACAGTCTCTTTGTTGTCTCAGTGTATAGGCACAAAGCTATTGGATTGGTCTGCATGCCTGTTAATGTATGGATGACGACACACACACACACACACACACACACACACTAACCTAAACAATGTAGAAAACCCCAAATCTTGCCAGTGCTCAAGAAAGAAAAGCATTGCCACCTAATGGCCAGTTGCAGTTACTGCAGCATCAGTATAAATAACATCACCTTTTTTCTTTTGTGTGACAAAAACGTCCTCACACGCCGGAGTTACCTGTAAAAAATCACAGTCTGACTATGTCCAGTCAATATCTAGTTTTGTATAAACACAGGAAAGCAAATCAGGCCAGCCAGCATTTTTTTCTTTTCTTTTACCACTAAAATATTATCTCTATAATGTTATCTACCTTTCTTAGGTTTAAAAGATTTAGTCTAAGCCAATATTAAGGATGTTTAAGAGGCTCTAGGAAGATATGTTTTTCTTGTTTGGGCTCTCAGAGACCAGAGCTCTAAAACAGAGGAGATCTCTTGGTCTGTAATTGGGGTTGTCAGCTCTGTTTTTGCAACACTGCCACTCTCAAACCCCAAATGCATCTGTATGGATTTTGTGTTATTGAGTGTCACCACAGCAGGTCACAAGTTGAAGTGTTTACAACAGATCATGGTTTAATGAGAATGTAAAAAAAAGGCAATTGATTTTAAGAAGTCGACTGCAGATCAGTTTGAGCTTGACTGTTTTTTTTTTTTTGGCATGTATTTTCATTTGAAGTCAGTTTGATAAACTTGATCACACACATGCAGCAGTCTCAGGGCAACGTAATGATTAAAGCTTGGCCTGTTTTCTCCATGCTGTTACATGAGTGTGAGCCCACTGTTAGTGCTCTTCACTCTGTTCTTTATCTCCACCTCCCTTATGAGGCTCTGTTGCCAAACACTGTATGTACGCCGGCTGATCTTGTCTGCTGTTTGACTCTGGGAAACAGAAAGGGAACAGTTGGTTTTTAAAAGCTTTCTGCTTTGATATCCATTAACAGTTTATTTTATATTTACATCTAAGCATTACCCAACAAAAGTCATTTCAGGACAGATCATAGAATTACAGGTCAGAACCAGAATCAATAGCCATGTTTACATGGGCAAAATGTCTTGATTTGATTAAAAATTTGAGGGATCAGATAATCTGAATCCACTGTTTATATTGGTGCAAAACCAAATAATTGGATCATGACGTTGGTATACATGCACCAAGCTTTTAGAAGCATTTGGAGAGTACGCAGAGTACAGAGTAGTCTGATTTCGCTAAAACAACCGCAGAAGAAGAAGAGTTGTATTTGCGACTGTGCTGTCAACAAACCAACAAACGTAGTCGTAGCTCACTGCGTCCAATTCAGGAGTTTTCCCTCTGTTAAATGTTGTCACTAGATGGCGCTCTTGCGTACTTATTTTACTGTTCTGTCAAAGTTTGCACTGTGTGTGCAGATGTGACATCATATCTTATATACATTACATCTTATATTCAGACAAGGCAAGCAATAAAATAACTTTCGTAGATGCAGCCATCTCTCCGATTTTGCTTTTTTCTGACTTGGTAACTGAAACGCTGGTGACTCGAGTGTGACGTCATTTTCAGCTCGGACTTCTGACTTCCTAAGTAACTCGAACGCAGCATGAGTGTTTGCATGGACGCGTATCGGAATAACGATCGGCATAAACCACCCCTCTTGAAACAATTTCTTTCCGATTAAGCCGAATTGGATCAGAATCTTCCGATTGACATGTTTACTTGACGCATTTTTATTCCGATCGGGCTTTTATTCCGATTATTTGTGCCCATGTAAACGTAGCTACTGGTGCATTAGATGAGTTATTGTTTTTTTAATCATTAATGTTGGCCTGTTGGTTATGTGGTGTGTCTAAGTTGTTGTGCAGCCATCCATCACAAGCCAGGGCTGCACAGTAGCTGCTGCCAGACAGTTACAGTCATAATGCAATACTGCGCTACTGCCTAGATGTAAAGAGGACAGATCTGGTATAGTTTGGCAATATTTTGATGTAGAAAATTGAGATTAAGTTTTATGTAGTCTGTGTCTTGTTAAACTGGCATATAACCACATAAATACAGCAATAAGCAGTACAGGGACATGGACTTGTGGACTCTGTTGTACTGCGTTGTAGATTTGTGTAAATGTTAATACTTAAGGGGGAAAATCTGGATCATTTCACAGTCATTGTCATCAAATGTACACATCATAGTGATTTTATAACTCTGAGAAATTAGAGTCATCATTTATACAACACGACGCCTCAACAGTTTCCAGAGTTTATTATTTTGATTTGACAGTTTGGTCATAGATCACCCCTCAGCCACTGTGTAGAAAAGTAATCCTGCAGTAGTGTATACATACACTCACTGTATGTGTATATGCAAGTGTGTGTCTGCACGTGCATGTGTGTGAGTGAGCATGTGTGTATTGAACTCCAGAGCAGGGGAGCATGCAGGTCGTCGGGTGGTGATTGACTGTCTTGCTGAGTATTGCTGACGAGGGTGCAGTTTCTTTACCATGTCAATACAAACAGACCTGTATCTCATGGACTAGCCAGGCAGTACACACACACACACACACACACACACACACACACACACACACACACACACACACACACACACACACACACACACGCACGCACGGAACCTAAACACACAAACACACACATATAGGGTCCAACGCCCAACTGCAACAACCATAAACCCTCACAGGGCAATCAGTCATAGGGTGCTGCATATTGCTGTGTACAGTGAACCTGTAGCAATAAGGCTGTCAGGGAGACACGCTTTCTCTGTGCAGGACATACATCTCTGTCACAACATTTAATACCCCTCCAGCATCCTCTTCGGCTTTCAGTGTACACCGTCTCACCTTGGCTTTGAGGGGATCAGTTTGGATGTATGTGTCCAGAAGCTCCCGCGTCCAATCAATATCTGGGGATTTGTCAACACTCCCCTGAGAAGCTGCTCGGCCTCCCCCCTGCCCCATCCCAGACTTAAGGCCCATACCTGAGACCTGTAGATTTAAGAGCTACAACATGACCCCATCCTTTGTAAGTTGTTTAGAAGACTATCCCTCCATAGGGGTGGCTTTTATAATCATGAAAATTAATTAAAAGAAGAATTTTGACGCGCCGTGAATTTTGTTGTGCGATTTTGCGACCTTTCCTGGGGAAAGTCTGGAAACGTCATCACACACTCAAGCCAAATGGTCAGCACTTATAGCCAATCAGAGGCGATAAGATAAGCACATGAAACTATGGTAACAACCGTTAGCTTACGTTAGCACGGATGAAAGTTAAACAAAGGCGTTTAGCAAACTGTTAAAGCACACAAAACATAGTCATATGAGAAATCCGACGCTATGACTCTCCACAAGTTGTCCTTCAGGTGGTTATCTTTGTAATGTTTGTGTTTTTTATCAAAAAGCACTCTGTTCTTCGACATGTAAACAATCAGCCGGTCGGCCATGTTTGATATACCAGATGAATCAGACGTCGCAACAACACAAAATCCGATTGGTCAGAAGTGGACACACAGAATGCGAAACTTTAGAGAAATCGACTGTGATCCGAAAAAATAAATGCAGCAACATTGCAGGACGGAAAAACATCGCTGATGTGAACGCTTGTATTGACAGGATACGGGTTCGAAAAAAATATTGACGTCCGAAATAATCGCACAACAAAAACAGTCCCAGTGTGAAAGCACCTTAAATGAGAATTTTTTTAGTGCTTTATGATCCTCAAGATATCTCAGACTGAAGCCGAACTTCAAGAGGCAAATTACAGTGCAATCATTGTTTAGTCTTTTTTCGTGTATTTTTTGAAGTGACCTTTTTACAGCAGTCCACTGTGGACGTTCTGCTCAATCTGTTTGCATCTGTGCTGGAGTCAGTCCCTGCACACCCCTGTGTCTCTCAGTGGGAGGGATTTAATGTCAATATTAGCATCACAGTTTAATGAGAAACCGCATAACCATAATGCCGCCACCTCCTCCTCTGTCTCGCTAAAGTCTGTCCTCCTCATCAAGCCTAAAAAACATCAGCCGCTGTGATTAAATAAATAACAGCATTTTAAAAAAAAACAGGTATGTGAGTCTGTGTGTTTAATTTTATGTGTGTACACATTCAGAATAGTGGAGTGATTTTCATTAATGAGTGTATGGATTTGTTGAGCTGTGCTACAATGAGAGATCGTCCCTCCCCTCACATCATCTACAATAACACTGAAGGACCTCCACCTTTATTCAAATATCATAACTATCGCTCATAGTTTACACACACACACACACACTCACAGAAATTTCTTGTGAATTATTCATTATGCATAACACTGGCAGCCCTGTTCTTATGGAGATGGAGAGGCAGTAGAACCTGAAAGCTTCTTCTGTGGATTTTACTTGTTAATTCTTTGCGTGCATAATTGCACAGGAGGAACAAAGAGCGGCAGATCCTGAGTCCACGTTCAAAATGCCAAAACGTGCAATGATTTAAGTTAGGGTGCAAATGATGTGAAAAATCCTACAGGTAACTACGGCCTTCTTATTTTAATATTTGTTTAAAAGGATTTTTATCAAGCTGCATGTTTTAGCAAAAACACATACGCCCCTCTCTCTTACCCTTTGACCCCATCATCTCTACATATACCCCCTCCCCCCTTTTCATTTTCTCCCACTTCCAGTTTTTATATCCCTCCTGCATCCCCCTCATCAAATGTTATTATGGAAAAAGTAGAAATTTTTGTATTAGATGCTCCCTGATTCAGGTGACACGGCTGTAACCCAGCTGGATATCTACATCATCACATCAACATAGAGTCCTGCAGCCTCACAGCTTTAATATGAGAAATATGCTGATGTTTGCCACCCCTGTAGTGTTTTTCACATTTGCATTTCAATAGCGGAGGTGTCACGTCTAGTTTCTGCAGAGATAATGCCTGTCAAGCACTCTGCAGTAACGCTGAATGAGGGACTCTTCCTCTTCTGGTTTTTCACTCGGGTTCTGAATGGAGACACTAAACTGTCAGATTAGATTCCACAGCTGGAGACACATCCGGGGATTGTCTGCCACTGTTCAGTATGTATGAGCAGTCATAATTACCAAGTCTCCAATTAGTCGCTAATGTTTCACGGCCTGGCTGAGCATTGATTTGAAAATGACTGATGAATGAAACAAATGTGTGTGAATGTGTGTGTGTGCTTTCTTTGTGTTTCATAAGAGCTGCGTTGTCTTTTCTAAATGCTTTGATCTCAGAGGCCAATGTTCCTTCCCTTCACTCTTGATACTTCCAGACACAAAAAAATGTCTCTGATTAATTAAATAGTTAATCATTTATTCACGATGCATGTGCTTCATGTGTTTCATTTTAAATGAAATCTGCCAAGCGGATGCTCAGGGCAGGAATGTAATGAACACTTGTATGCAGACTCTTTGAATATGAATCTGATTTGTGCTTACGTGCGCATGACGAAAACATGTGACTGTATTGTTGTTTGGTTTTGGTTTTGTTCCAAAACACAGGTGCATTCACGCTTCTATCTCATTTGTTTGGGTCTGATTCAGATGATAAGATGACACTCTCAGTTCTTTTACATGCACAGTTAAGTTGAGCTTCTGTTATTTCAGTTATTGGACAATTTAACTGGACCGTTATCTTTGTCCCAGCAACAGGCGAATAAATGTCTTTATGCTGGTCAATTTCTGGGTCAAAGCCCGACATGCGAATTTTTTTTGGACTAGCCCTCCTCCGGTGTTCGGGTCTGCACTGACCTGTTTCTGTTTTTAAATGCATATAAGAACCACTTAAATTAGTTTATTTGCATTTAGACTTTTTGACTTTGTCAGGAACCTCTATTTCAACAAAATGAAAATAAAAAAATTAAATTGACTAAATTATAAAATGCTCTCATTAAAATTATGGCACCTGTCATGTTAGGGTTGCTAACATGACAGATTAGGGGGGATTAGATTAATATCTAATACTTAGAGCAAAAACTAGAATCATAAGTGCACTGTCAGGCACCACACTGACAGTCAGATCCTCTTCCAATCATGTAAGATTGAGGAAATTCTCATTTTTCCTGTTTTTTCCCTGCACAAAAAACAACGTTGGGCATGTCCGGACATGTGAGATCAATTCAGTATAGATGTCTGTATGAGCGGTATACTGACAAAGAAAGGCCCAGAGGACCACTACAGAGAATATTATAAGTAATATTTTCATGGATAATGAAGCCTAACAAGGAAACATAGAGATGAGAACCAAATTGGATGATAGAAAATTGTTTTTAGTGTAATTTATAGCTGATTTAAGACACTGGTCGAAACCGACCCTTAACATTTTGTGTGCGTAGTTAAAGCTAACACAGGAGGAAGGTTAGCCAGTTTCAGTCAAATTTAGGGCGCAAGTAAAAATGATCCCCAACCATATTATTTGGCATTTGAGTCCTACTATGAGATTTTTTTGTGTGTATGTGTGACTTTTTAGTTGGTTGAACACATTAATATGTGTTGTTAAAGTCTGGTTTCAGTCAAACTAACACGCAAAAATCAAATCTTTTAAAGTCGTTCCATTTTTCCCTTTCGTCTGTTAAGGTTCACTAGTCCATTGCAGGGTGTGTGGAGTAGCATGGAGGTGAAATGCCTCATCAAAATTTGGGCAGTTGAGAATATTTGTCCAACGTCAGACACCGCTCAGAAAGATAAATACGTTTTCCAACTTGTGAGCACATGCATGAACAAGAGGGGCTTTCACTGCACTGCCAGGCAGTGTTGTGTCGAGGCCAGGAAACTCTGACAGTAGTATGTGAAGGTACAAGACCAGCATGATAATACCAATAACAAGGAGGACAGCTTTCAGTAGACAAAAAAAGGTTATTATCAAGTGGCCCTTAATATTGTGTAAATTGGCAGAATTTTTATTGAGAAGATGTTAAAAAGCAACTTTGGCCAGCAGTGGAACGACCTTCGAAACTTAAATTGTGAAAATTTCTTCTCGGATTATAAAAATTTTGGACTTGGACCAGATTTCACTCAGTGATCTGTCTTTGTTATAAGATTCATCATGTATTTACGCACATGAGCAGTAACTTTAAAGTCACATCCTCTGTATTCCACTGTCAAAATGATTGTATAAGTGAGCAGGTCTTCAGACTGAATGAGTGAAGTTGGATTTGAATTCACACTACATCCAAAACTAGAGGTCATCGTCATTAGCAACAACAGCCTCTTAACCCTCTGATGCATGAATTATGAAAGCCCTGATCAAGATTTTTTTCATAAGTGTTTTTATCATTCTCAGGACATAAAAGAACATGTAAAATTGTTTTTTTCCAAAAATGTTATTTTTTCACAAAACTACAGAAGTGTCCATTCAAGTGGACTATATGCGCCTGAGCACTCAATACAAAACATTATGAACTTACAGTAAAAAGTACAGTACACCAAAATATGCCAAACTATCTCCAACATTGGAAACAATATTGTAAATCCCCACAGTACTATAAAGATTCAGGACTGACATTACCATGCCCTTATACGAGCATGTTGTTTTCAACAACAAAAACTGATATTTTAGTTCCTGCATCTCTAAACATGTCTCTGCTCATCACACCTAGGATGTATGAAAGTTGGCAAAGCATCCAGGGCACAATGGCACACAGGCTTTATATGAGCACAGGATTTGCTCATATCTGTTTACAGACATGGCATTTGCAATCATCCCTAGACGAAGGCCATCCTCACTAGACCAGTACATGTGTGCCCTGGGATAACGAATGTAGCCCATGATCATTTTGATTCCTAAAAAAGTCTGCATTTCTTCTCCTGTCACTGCCAGATTTTCTTTCCCTTTCTGGGGAGCATACAACTTGGTGTTTTTCACTATATCATCAATGAGATCTGCTGGAAACAGATGTCTGGTCTATAGGTCTATAGGCTCTCTTCCCTCCACATTGAATTTCCACTCTCCTAGAAAAGGAGACATATCTCTATCAAAGTGATTGTCTTGGACTTTCCAGAAATTTTTGCGAGCTTGAGAATGGTCAGGTGTCATGTGCCCATTTTCCACAGCTCCCTGATCATGCTGACCTTCCCCTGCATCCTGCCTCTCATCATCCTGGTCCTCATCCACTTGACTATAGGCATCTACCCTTTCTGCACCCTGACTGTCTGTATCTCCATCATCCTCAGCCCCTACATGTCTATTCTTCTCTGGCAGCCACTCTTGGTCACTGTTACACACTGATTACACTGTATACACTGATTTATAACCAAAACAGCCACAAGTACCAGTGGAGCAATTACATGACTCCTGTTAAAAAAAATACTGGGTGATGCATGATGTCCACTCAGTTGGACACATGGTTAATTGTAATTTTCTACATATTGGACATGAAATTTTCAATTCCAAATGGATAATATCCTTCCTTAGATGTTACAGTATATCATCATATTTTTTTTACAGCTGGGGTTCTTCTACTATAGAAGTATTGACAGGACATTCCAGCTGTAGTCAGCAGGGGTGGCTGTTTCTCGGCCATCTTGGATTTGTAGGAAATTTACTTGCAGTTACACTGATTACTCACTAAATGTAACTCAATGGAGTAGGGCAGTAGAGAGCACCCTAGAGGCTGATATACACTTCCACCATAGAAACCATTGCATTTAAGAGAAAAAGAGTTTTTGGTAGCTGTCCACTGTAGTGACCACTATGAACCAGAGGGTTAAAGGCTCCCTTTCCTTTAAATATCAATCAGCTCCATCAGCACTGAGAGGTCACTCTTTCTTTGTGCTCAGAGCTGTGCAACTTCGAATGCCATCACATGCACAGGCTCCTTTTTATGTTAGTCCTTAAATTCTCTCTGAACTGTTATCATCACATTGTCAATAATATGTAGTTTTTATGTTTTTATTTATCATCCTCACTCCTAACATACACTATTAATAAGAATGCCTAATGAAAATGTGTTTTCTGAAATATTGATTGGACACATTGGATCTTGAGACCTGTTTTTACCACACTTCAAAAAAGAAATCCAAGTTGGTGCTCCCTAGATTCATTAAAGAAACATGTCAGCACATTTATTACAGTGCTCTCTGACTTTGATGAGGAATCTATACAACTCTCCGAGCTCTATTTGTCTGCATTTGGTTTGCTTGGCATAAGGAGCAGAAACAGAATAAAAAACATAGATATCATAACCACTAGATGCCTCACAACCCTGCCTATCTTGGAGCGGTGCTTGTCAATGGTTTTGCGGTCAGTTGAAGTTTTGTGGTTTACCTGATAAATGCATTTGTTTACATTCAACACCTCGCTTGCTCGCAGTCACCGGTGCTCCATATGTGCTGCTGTTGTCTTACATGGTTGTGAGTCATCTAGTGATATGATATCCATGGTAAAAACTATCTAGCCAATTTGTCTGAGAAAACCATCTCAAGCTTTTGTGTTAAAAAATAAAATATAATGCATGATGTTATAAACATTTACTAGGCAATGTTCTCTCTGCTTGTAAAACTTTGCTTTAAGGTCTTATGAACAATCATTATCACTCGCTATAAAGCCTTAAAGATGTATTCATAAGGCTTTATAAATGTGCTCATGGTGCATTCAAGGGTTCGGTTACCAAAACTTCTTGTAGGTACTTTAATTGGCTGCTGAATTATTTCCACCAAACAAATTGAGAATATGATCTTTAAGCTCAACTCTGTTAAAAGAAATAAACCAATTGATTTCCCAAAATGTCAAACATGAAAATTTAATTCAGGTGGCAGGTTTTAATTCAGGTTTCCATGCAATTTGGTGGTGCTCTTCACTCTTACATGTAATTGGAAATGATGTGTGTTTGTGTGACCGGGAGAGGTTAGGAAAGCGTGCAGCTCTGGAGGAGCAGAGGGAGGCGTGGCCGACGGTTGTTATTGTCTGTGAATGTCTCCTGAAGGTCACAGCACGACTGAGCAACAGATCGCTTTTCCTTTTTTCTCCCTCCTTCCCTCCATCTCTCCCCTCCCCCACCCCACAGTAATGACATTCAGTCTTGTGCGTCCCTGTCGACGGACAAGCTGTCCCCTCCTGACTTCCATCAAATAGCTGAGCTGCTGCCTATGAACAGGACACCGCTCCGATCAATTCACCTTCTGCCCTTCATCTGAACCACTCAGACACTAATCAAAGAAGAGGAGGAGCCTCTTCATCAAGCTCTGAGCACAATCTGCTTTGTTTTATGATGCTTTGCCTCCTAAAGGGCCATTTATTAGATAAAAGCAATGGAGATTTAATTTGACTCCTTAGAATATGGAACAAATATTTCCGTATCTTTTAATGAGGTGTCAGACATATCCCTCAATGTATGCTCCTTTAATGGTGCGCCCGGGACCAATTACACAGTCACTGTCACTGCCCATCATTCACTCGTCATTTATCAGTCGCATCAAATTCGCTCCGCTCTCAGAGGATCTTTATAAAAACAACTATCAGTGTTGAATCATTCTTTTACGGTAAAACTAAAACCTCTCTGCTAAAATTCTTGATATCACTTAGTCTTTGCTGTGTTTTTATGGTGTGACGAAAATCTTTATTCTTGATGGTTTTTTCAAGGCCAGCACAGGTCATCCTTTCAGTCCCTGAGGTAATAAAGGAGGATCTTACAAACTGTGGCCTTTGACAATTGGAAATCCATCATGATTAATTGATTGGTACAGTCCAGGGAGTATAACCTTATCGTAGAATCAATTGGCCCAGACCAGGGAAGACACAAATTGACCAAACTAATTTTAGCCCCTTGACTGCTGAGTTGCAGAATCCACTTTAAATCAATTAGAAAAATTAAATGCCCGCCAAACACAGGCGGAGGAGCCACAACTATTAATTATCTTCTCAGTACCCATAACTGTCAGCGAGGACAGGGCAGTCAGAATAGTCGCTCAGTAATCATGTTCCTTCATAGCCCCACACTTTCACCTGGAGTGATGGACGGATTTATCCATTGACAGAGCTGCGATGAATACTCCAGTAATGTTCTTTCTGAAGGGAGGATCCATCAAAGAGACCTCGCTGATGGATGGACGAACATACACGATAACAAAAAGTAGATGTTTGTAGATAAGCACATCAAAAGATTAAAATAGACCACTAAAGAGGGAAATAAAAGATTAGGAGAGACGGCCAAATAAGGAGGTAGAAAGGTAAGTAAAACCTGTGACAAAAGGAAAACAAAAGACAGTAAAGAAAGCCAGTACAGGTAAAAGGAAAGAAGTATAGTATAATAAAAATGTCAAAGTATAGTTCAATGGAAATCTCATAGTATGGTACGATTAAAAGATCATATTATAGTATGTTAAGAAATCATTGTGAAGTATTATAAAACATCATAGTTTAGTTATTAAAAATATTGTATGGTATGATTGAAATATCATATCAAAGTGTGGAAAAGAATCATAGTGAAGTGTGATAAAAATTTCACAATAAAGTATGTAAAAAAATCATAGATTTGATAAAAAAATCAAAGTGTAGTTCAATAAAAATTTAATTGAATAGTTTGATAAAAAATTTCTCACTGTATAATATGGTAAAAATATCATAGTATAGTTTGATAAAATGTCATAGTATAGTCTTATATACTATGAATTATAATTAATATTATATTATAGTATGAAAAAAGTGTCATAGTATGGTGTGTTAAAAAAAATAATTGTTGAATTTTATAAAATAGCAGTATAGTACGATAAAAAAATATTACATTCTAGTAAGAAAAAATGCCATAGTAAAGTATGTTAAAATCATAGTTTAGTATGACAGAATATCGTAGTATAGTAGGGGAAAAAATTACTAAGATAAAAATGTCATAGTATAGTATGATAACAATATATAGTATAGTAAGATAAAAATGTCATATCATGATATGAAAAAAATGTCATAGTATAGTAAGATAAAAATGTCAAAGTATACTATGATAAAAATGTCATAGTATAGTAAGATAAAAATGTCATAGTTAATTATGTGACAGCCACAGGCCTTGGAGTCTGTGTGTTTTCCTATATTCTTCCCTCGGTTTTCCTCCTTTAGATACACCTGGAGTGCCAGCCCCTCCCCTCTTGTTCAAGGATTGTCTTCACCTGCTTGGAGCCTTTAAAAGCTGGGGAATTCAAGATGTCTCTCTCTCTCCCTCCTGAAGGGCTGGTGTCTGCCAGGCATCCACCTTGAGTTTTTGTTTGGTTTTGATTCTGTGGAGTTTAGCCTTTGTTTTCTTTTACAGATAGATTCTGTTTGCACACACCTTCTCACATCACCCAACACCATTACCTCACAATTGCTCGCTGACTAACCCTTGAGTTTTGTTGTTGTTGATCACCTTAATAAAATATTTCTTTATAAAAAAAAAGATTCTGTGTCTACCTCTCTTTTTTGTAATGCTTTTCAATAAGCTGGACATAACAATCAAGATTAAAATATCATATTGTAGTATGATAAAATAATAATAATTAAGAATAATAAAAATATCATAGTAAGTATATTCAATTATCATAGTATAGTATGATAAAAAAATGTCAAAGTAAAGTACAGTGAAATGCCATAGTTAAGTATAAAAAAATATCATTTTATTGTACAAAAAATATATCATAGTAGTATGTTACAAAATCATTGTTAAGTATGATAGAAAAAATATAGTGTAGTATGATAAAAAAAATATCATGGTATAGTATGATAAAAACTTCATAGTATAGACCAATAAAATTTTCTAGTATACTATGATATGAAGATCATATTCTAGTATAAAGAAATGTCTTAGTATAGTATGTTTAAAAAATTGAAAGTATTATAAGATAAAAAAGCCATAGTATATTGTGATAAAAATGTCACAGTATAATTTGATAACAATATCCTATTAGAGTATAAAAAATGTCATAGTATGGAATGTTAATAAATAGCTCAGTATAATGTACAGTAGTTAGTACATAGTACAGTATGATATTCAATCATAGTAAAGTATGATAAAAAATATCGTTGTATAGTTTGATAAAAATTCCATACAATAGTATGATAAAAATATTGAAGTAAAGAATGTTAAAAAAAATCATAGTATTGTCATAGTTTAGTTCAATAAAAATCAGTGTAGTATGATGAAAATGTAGCAGTAAAGTATTTCAAATTTTTTAGTAAACTATGATAAAAACGTCATGGTATAATAAGATTTTTAAAAAAAAGTCATATTTAGATATGAAAAAATGTCAAAGTTTAGTATGTTTAAAAAATCATAGTTAAGTATGATGAAAATATCATAGTATCGTATGACAAAAATGTCATGGTTTAGTGTGTAAAATAACATAGTATAGTAAGATAAAAATGTCATATTATAGTTTAATAAAAATGTCTTAATATAGTGTGATAAAAAATATCATACTAGAGTAAGAAAATAATGTCATATTTAAGTATGAAAAAATGTCATAGTATAGTATGCCAAAAAAATCATAGTTACCGGTAAGTATGAAAAAAATATCTCTGTATAGGGGGGTAAAAATGTCATAGTATAGTTTGAAAAAAAATCATAGTATTGTAAGATAAAAAGTCATATTATAGTATGATAAAAAAAAAATCATAGTATAGTATGATAAAAAATGTCATAGTTTAGTAACGATGAAATGCTTTTTCTGAAAGAATTTATGAAACGTGAAGCTATGTTTTTCTACTAGACTTTAAAGCTGTTTCAAAAAGCTTACAGTTAAACACAATACACAGATGTTTGGCAAGACATGACCCTAAGGTTCCCTGCTAATCTGTGGAAATCAAAAAACTGCATTAGTAAATAAAACATAATCTCTTAGATTTGTCATCCTTTGATAGTGGTCAAAGTTTGTTCAATGGTACTGATCAAACTGTTTCTTTGAAGCAGCAAAGATAGGGCAGACAACCTGAAGAAGTTGACTTTGATAACCTACAGTAGCATATTCAGCTCACCCATTGATTCTGTTGCAGCTGACAGAGAATCAATAAACAATCTGAAAAGCTTAAAGGCTTATCAGTACTTTGCCTCCCTTGTGTATTTAAAAGGCGGACATAGCAGTAACAGACAAGTTAGCATCTTTGAATTAGTCTTGTTTCACAGATTATGGCAAGGCAACTGTTACTGACGAGAACATAATTTTTCTAATGAAGGCTTAAGTTTGACACACTTTTTAATCTACATAAACAGTACAGCCCAACTGCAGTAAAGCTTTCCTGTAACATCTAAGTTAACACTCTGTGGACCAGGGATCAAGAACTGGTTCCAACTACTTTTGTTTATGGACATCACTTAATGCTCAACAGTTACATTTCATGAGAGGGAGTCAGCGTTAACTACAACCTAGAAATAGAGGAGGTAATCAAGGTGAACAGGAGCAGTTTGAACCATTGTGTTTACAATATAAGTTCTAATATAGAACCATAAAATCTATTCCCTTTGTGAGACTGGCAACTCCCAAGTGATAAACTTAGAGAAAACAGAGGCTGCCCTAATCCAATACATCCAAAATTAGGGTAATCTAGCATGATTTATCTATAAATTTTAGTGAAAAGTGCCAGTTGTTAGCTGAATAAGATAGACAGAGGCTGAATCTTTGCTTTGGTCTTTCAACCAATAAAAAGCTGTATCTGCCACCAGCTGACCATGCTTGTGATCAATTATGATCAAAATTGTGTTGAGAGAGCAGAGAGCCAGCTCAAGAGTTCATCGGCTGATAAAGTCAGTCACACTTTAATAAAAAAAGGAAATTAATTGTGCACATGGAGAAAAATAGAACCATGACATAGGTTTAATGTCGTAGTATAGTATGATAAAATGTCATAGTATAGTATAGTATGATAAAAAATATCAATGTATAGTAAGATAACAATGTCGCATTATAGTAAAAAAAAAAAAACATGAAATAGGTTTAATGTCATAGTATAGTATGATAATAAATATCAATTTTTTTGTAACACATTATAGTAAAAAAAAGTTATAGTATAGTATGTTTAAAAAATATATCATATTATAGTAGGAACAAAAAGGTCATAGTAAAGTTTGTTTGAAAATATCAAAGATTAGAATAATAAAAATATCATAGTATAGAAGGGAAAAAAGTCATAGTATAGTACAATAAAAATATCGTAAAGTACGGTAAAAAAAATCATTGTAGAGCATTATACATATCATAGTATAGTATGTTTAAAATGTCAGTATTTTGTGATAAAATTTATTGTATGAAAAATAAATCATAAACTAGGAAAAAATTATCAGTGAATTATGTTTAAAAAATCAGTACAGTATGATGAATATGTCATAGTTAAGTATTATAAAAATGTACTTGTATAGTTTGATAAAAATATTATTAGTAAGACAAAAATATGTTATCATATGAAAAAATTCATAGTATGAAAAATCCTTGTTGAATATTATAAAACATCGTCGTATAGTTTGATAAAGAAAATATGTATAAAAAAATGTTACAGTATAGTATGTCAAAAAATAATAGTCTAGTATGATAAAAATATGATAGTATAGGAGGGTAAAAATGTCATAGTATAGTATGATAAAAATATATTATAGTTTGAAAAAATGTCAAAGTAAAAAATGACAAAACAGTGATAGTAAAGTATGTTTAATGTCAACCATGAAAGAATTAAAACAACTTAACATACAATGAAATAGCCATCTGAAAAAAGAATGATGCATTTAATTGTGTTTTTCTTCACTGAAACATCTTACTTGCTCTTGTGCTGTAGTGATTTCAGAGCCTTTGGCCTTAGCCGAGATACATTTGATCAAAAAGACAAACCCATCCCGTGAAATTGCGATCTGCTCCGGCAGAAGAGAGTTCAGACAGGAAAGGCGAGAGGCCACGAGGCAAAGGGTCAGCAGCAATGTGAGAAGGTGAACATGGGGAAGAAGGAGTTTCAACAAATGAGATAAAAAAGAGGAGCAAGTGGAGGTCAGAGGGGTGAGAGCTGGTGTGAATTAGAGAATGTGGTTGGTTGGTTGGGGCTGATGTCCACGCTGCTTTCAGGTTTGACTGGTAGCTGCAGGGTGTTCAATCAGTCCTTATAGTGCCTGGAAGATCCACAGACACAAGGTCAAAATGAAAAGCTTTGAAAGTAATCTCCAAGATAATAGACTCCTGCTCTATCCAGAGGTGGATCAATGTTGGGCTTGGACCCGGCAGGCCAGGAGAGAGACGTTTTCCTTCTTCATTTTCTAGAGATGAAGCCAATTGCGTCTAACCTCGTCCATTATCGAGACGAGACGCGGAGTCCAACAGTTTCAATCTCTGTCTCTATGATATCACTGCCAGTCCTCTCTCTCTCTACTCAACACCGCCTCTCCGCCTCAGAGCCAAGACGGATGGAAAGTGTATAAAAGAGGGTCACCCAGTCTCTTCTGAGAGTCCATTATCTCACACTCCGAGATGGAAGAGACACGGTGAGGTGCTCACTGGAGGTCTCCAACGTGGCAGGGAATTTGTCTGAGCTTTGAAAAACAGGGCAAGAGAAATCCTGGTCCCAACAAAGGTGGTGTTCAACGCAGGCAGACACCTCCAGGGAAAAAGTGGACTTTCCCAGTGTTATGGAAATGTGTGTTTAAAAAAGGGAATTAGTTTCTAGAGATTGGAGATTTGTTGTCTTCTTCAACTCAGATTTGAATCGAGCTGCAGCAAAGTTGATCTCTTCCTCTGTGTGCGTGTGAGATGAGCATTACAGCATGGATAAGTGTTAACAAATCGTGTATTGGGGGAATGTGTACAGGCTGTTGTTTGTTCCCTGATCAGTATGCTGCCAATTGTCAGACTTGAAGCTGCTCTTTCAAACCCACAACAAAAGGCTCTTTCCCAAATGTTCACCCTACTGCAGATAGACCGCTCTGCCTCTTCAATGAAGCAAAGCCAGACGCGCAAAGACAAAGCGTGAATAAACGCGGGAGCACAAAACAGGATTTATTAACTCATGTTAGCAGAACTATCTCAAGAGGTGTGAAGAAAGAGAGGGAGATGTGGAGCGAACCAGAGAATTAAGAGGGGTGTGTGTGGTGGGGGGCACCACTCTCAGCAGAGAGGGGAAATGTTCCCATAACCGCTGTCGTTATTTCTTCTCACCCAGGCGGTTATTCTGGTTTGGAGTGGAGTTCTGGCTGCATCCCGTGTGGTCGCCGCGACAGTGTGACCCAGTCCAGATGGCCTTCTCTCTTTCTCCTCTGTGTCTGCAACGTACTGCTGGGAATGTGACAGACGCACAGCATCGCTAACGGCCCACAGGGAGGATAGAGAGACGTGCAGACAGACTTAGAAGAAAGAAAGTAGAAAGTGACTCATTTACAGAGTGAAATGAATAAGAAAAACCTAAATGATGTTTATTTTTTCATTAAAACAACATTAAATTTCAAAGGACTGGTCCACCACATAATGTATATAGTAAGAACATCATCAATGGGACTCTTCACTCCATGTATCACTCGACCTCATAGTCACAGTTGAGTCTCAGTGAAGCTGTGATACCAGTAGAGTTTGAAGCACAACAGGCTAATCTACTGTTTCCCTTATCTCACTGATTATAACTTTGTGCAGATTGAACACTACAGGCTGCGATGTTGTACTGAACTTCAACATGCTGTGATTATCTTTGACACTCGGTCTGCCGCCCGGTACTAAAACGAGACCATCATCACTCCCTCTTGTGCAAAATTGTTGGTTGTATGTGTAGAGTAACTGATACTCAAACAATTCCAACAAGGTAACAGGTTCAGGAATTCCAGTTTTGGCACCAAATCCTGAGAAGTACTTCATTGCAGTTGTCCCTCTCAAATCTATTTAAGGCCACTGAACATGTCAAAAGATGGAATACATGTCTCCACCTCCTCAGTTGCTTGAACGTAAAGCCAAAATATCCCCTGTGAGGGTGCAGAAATATTGCAACAGGGCAAACATTTGTTAAGTCTGTACTGTGGAGACTGTCCTGCCAATCGAGACACATTTGATTCACTAGTTTGACAGTCAAAATACAAAACTGAATCATCAGTGTTTGGTAGTTTTCTCTCATCATTTCATAGAAACAAGTAAAGACAAGTCACATTTTTCGACATAGCCGCAAGTTAGCCGCTAATTAGCCGCTAGTACTAAACTTCTCTGGAAATTGACTACTTGAGTATAAATTAATGCAATAAGCAAAAGCAAATTTTGGCTGAACATGGCCACTTAAACAGACAACTCATTCTGGCACAATGATCCGGCAGGGACTGGAAGTCAGTGCAGAGTTTTTGTACGCAGTGGTGATTGGATGACAGCCGGCAGGAGTGTTGTTTGCGGATTCGTTTCAGGTGTGCAGAGAGTGAAGGAGACAGAGCAGACAAAAACACACCAGGCACTCCTCACTCACACTGAAAATCTGGAAATAACCAGAGGTTTAAGGATTCAAATACTTGGAATGAAGGGTGGACTGTATGGGGAGTTTCCATTGGATTGATAACAGTTTCCACAATAAAGGGTCCAATGAATCTGGAGGACAATTACTTTGTCTTTAATGGCAGATCCTTAGTTGAGAACCATACCTTGTCCCCAGGGATGTAATTAGGAGCTTGGGGTACGCCAGCAATTAGCTTGTCTTTGGTATCAACTGGAGGCTCTTGAGGGAGAGCCAAGTCTTCTGGCATGACGATAGATGTGGGCATCGACAGATAGGACCAGGATGTCCTCCTCCCAAGCTGGGAAGATGGGTTGTTGATAACCATACAGGCACTGGAATGGTGACAAACCTGTGGCCAAAGATAGCAGGGTGTTATGGGAATACTCGACCCATGGAGGTTGGGAGGACCAGGAGGCTGGGTTGGCTGATACATGGCAGCAGAGAGTCTTCTCGAGCTCCTGATCAGCCCTCTCAGCTTGGCCATTGGTTTGGGGATGAAACTCTGAACTGAGACTAATTGTGACACCTATGGCAGAGCAGAGGGCTTTCAAAACAGCTGAAGTGAACTAAGGTCCACGGTCAGAAACAATGTCACTGGGAAGGCCGTGGATCCTGAAAACTTCCTTCTCTAAGACGACTGCAATTTTCCTTGGGAAAAACAAAATAACTGAGTTAAAATCTCCAATCATCAACTAAACAAAGGCTGAATGATAAACATGAAACACATACCTCTTCCAAAAAAAACAGTCCCACTTAAAAACCTTCTGCACCTCATTGTCTTCCATTTATTATCTTGTCTTTGTTCTTCTTTAATTGAAGCTCTCTGGTTTTCTCATCCTCCTCATTTCATACGGATATTCATTAAACTCCTCGACCTCCACCTTTCAACACTTAAAGTACCTGGAGACCCTCCTCCTCCTCCTCCAGCTGTCAAATCTTCTTTCTCTCTGTCCTCCCCACGTAGCTTCATAACTCTAACAATGTATTACTACATGAAATGTGATGATAAAAATAAGTAAATATAGAAAGATACCATTCAAATTAAGTTTGAACCTTTTGCCCTCCCACTCCTCTCCTCTCCCTTCTGTCTTTACCTCTTCTCTCCGCCCTTTTCTGTCTTAGCAAGAAAAATTCAATCAAGGGAAGTAAAAGTTCCACAAAGTTAACAAAAGAAGTTTGCATCCATACTGAAATATAATTAAGTAAACAAGTATTGATATGTTCCTTTTACAATGACTGTTGTAAACTTTAGTCCCTCACACCTCCTCTCCTTCACCTCCTTGTTTGTCCTTCCCTGAAAAAAGAAGGAAAAATCTTTTTAAAATAAAATTAACTAAATCAAAGAGTGAATGATGTGCAGTATTTAATCTGATAAAACATTAAACACTCACCTTCTACATAAAAAGAATACCACTTACAATAATATCCTCTCCTCTGAGCTCCTTTTTTATCACTTCTCATCACCTTCTCCTTCTCTTACCTCCTTTAATTTTCCTGACTCCCATTTTATTTCTTGTCTCTCACATTAAATACATTCCTAATCTTTAATCTCAAACACACAATGCTTCCTCCCTCGCAGACATATACACTTCTTGCAGACTTTTTATTACTAAAACACACCCGGCACTCCTCACTTTCACTCAAAATCTGACAATAACCAAAAACAAATGCTGCTAGATCATGCTTGCAGGTGAAGTATTGAAGTATAAACCATATTTGTCAATACAGCAGGTCTATGATGAATAAATACAGTTATAAATAGATCAATGTAACATACATGGTAGAGTATTGTGACAAATGCTGTGGATATGCTCTGTTCTTTTCTCTGTTTCTCCACATGTAATTAGGCTATTGTGTTAACCAATGTGGAATATGATCACTCTACTTCATGAGGAGAGCATCTAATTAAGGTCCCTTCATCAGCAGCTACCTAACATTTTTAATCGAGCCATCCACACTGCTGTCACAGTCAGCTGGCAGGAGCAGACAATCAGTTATCCACAAGCAGTAATAGCGGTGTAATAACCACTCGCTGGGTTTGTCTGTGGGCATATCAAGTTGAATGCGTGAAACTTAATTGAAGCAGCATGTAAGAATGAGGTCTAATTAAAATTGAGGTTTCACGTCTAAGAGTTTGACCTTGAGAAAATGAGATGAGAGAAACTTGTGGTATTTTTATCCGGTAAACATAAAAAAAAAAACTAATTAATCAACAGTAATTCAGAAATTATGGGAATGAGTGTGTTGTGTGATTTTGTATCCCTATCTACTGTCATGGATGAACCGCCAAACCCCATCATCCACATAGATTTGCTCTGACTGTTTGAGAGAAGGCCACCTCGATCTTGTCAGGCCTGAAATGATCAAACTGACACAGAGAGCTTCATCATTATAGCCTCTGACTGTCTGACCGTGAACTGCTATCTGCCAGCTGCTCCTCTCCTCACACTCCTCACAGCTACACAGGTGCACCCACCCAGTCTATCTAACCTCTAAACACCTTAGACCTCCTGCAGACCAGCCCCCTGCCCTGCATGTCCACATTCATCTATTATCACTGACAGACAGGCTGCACACACATTCACTATACACTTTGTAACAAGCTCAAAACAACATACCGGATCTCCTCAATTTTTCAGACACTACTGTGTGTGGGCATCAACTGTGAAAGCAATACTTTCTCTTTCAAACACATGTACACACGTTTTCTATCAACATCACCAGTTAACATGATAACTGTGGTACATGTTGGACTGGGGGTAATGCTTACACTCAACACTTTTCACTATCCGTTTTAATTGACAATATCATAAAGAGTGTAGTTTTCATGTAGAAAAGGCTCCCTGCTTAGAAAGAGCAACAGGACTCCACATGGCTCTCTCCTCAGCCCACTGTTCTACAAGGTCAACAGATCACATAACAACGAAAGTTCAATTCCCGTTCCCCATAGAGGCTGTGTAATAAAAATGAAAGAAGTATAAGATTCCTCTCCAGCCATTTCCAGAACCGGTCCGAGATAAAACAGCCAAGAGGACTGGCTGTTTGTGACTGCACTAGAGAATTTTATCTCCTATCCTTTTTTTTCTTACAATTATTTTTTTCCTTTTTTTATCTATTGCTCTGGACATGGAGAAGCTCTCCAATCTTATTGTACTTTCAGTATGATGACAATAAAGGGCGTTCTGATTCTGATTTGGTCCCTCCTGGGTTTCTGCAGGAACATGGTTTGCTATGCATTTAATGACAACTGATTCCCTAAATCTAACACTGAATCTGAATCACCATCAATTTGAGAAACTCTTACCCACTATTGATAAATCAAGAAGACCTTTATTGATCCCCTAAGGAAAATTTAATATTGTCACTATATTGATATTTTGGTGTAAGTATACACTCAGTTCAGGAAATTTTCTGCCCTTCTTTTTGCCTCATAGACCTTGTTTTTGTTTTAGTACTATTCTTGGACTCAACAATTTTGTGTTCCTCATTGTTATTGTCAGTTCAAACCTTTAGCAAATCACAGCTAAAATAGTTTTTAACTGAGGTAAAGTTTGGTGAGCGAAAAGGACAGAGACAAGAGTCCTTGTATATACTACTGCCAGTATTCATATTAAAAGAAGAGGTTTTACAAGGTCATATTGATCCCTATCTGCAGCTGTTGATAGTCTGGCTTTTTGCCCAAGTCTGAATGAAATTGCACTTAATAAAACAGTCTGACTAATTTGCAGATAATTTGGTTGGAGATTGATTTTCTCACAGCTCAATAGGACTGGAACTGGAATAAGTGTAATCACAACCTGATCCCATGCAAGGCTTTGAGCTGGCAGTTGAATAGTATAAATGTGTAAATAAACCTCGACACCTGAAGAAAGGGTGTAAATACAGACAAAACCCTCCTTTCTCACAGGGTTTCATAGCTAACTCATTTTGTTGATTGTTTTGACACGTAATTCATGAACTAGGTGATGGCAGGATTGGAGAGGGTATGTCAGCACTTATCATAGCAGAGGCGAACATGCTTCTTTGAATTATATGATTCTTGCTGGTGCTCGTAGTCTGGGACAAGGACAGAAGTCCAGTTAAACCACCTAATCAAACTATGACCGTAGCTTTATTTAACTGTGCATGTAAATGTGCTGACTGTAACGAACATTAACCCCACTATTCTCAGTCAAGTGTCTATAAACCCTGCTGAAACCGCTGCTTTGCAATTCTGTCACTTAAAAAAAAGTGTTTGCGTCCTCTGACCTACAACCAGGAAATGTGTTTACACCAAACACATTTCTTGTTTTATGCTTGATGTGTTCTTGTTTGCACCAGTATAGGAAAGTCTCTGCTGCGTACATGCTGGTACGTAGTTTCCCCATGGTGCTGCTCCTTCACATTCTTGTTTCTCATGCTGTTGAAAGGATATGATTACTGAAAGGCTCTCATACCATCAAGCTCAAGCAGAAGACAATACAGGAGAGCATATCTGCCACATAAGCTTTAATTGGGTAATTAGAGAAAGTGGGATGAAACATTTAGTGCCCCTGCTGGGAGGAGAATTGCCCATTACGTGGTGATTTGCTCTGGCTTGACTATTACTTATGGTATATAAAGACTCTATGCTACAGTGACCAGTTAATTACATCCATTACCCAGGACAGGATGGCAACTCACACCTGGAGACAGCCACACACAAACACACACTCAGTCATGTTAACATCCACACGCAGAGGTAACCAGTCCACATGTGTTTACACTCAGAGGTGGCTGTTCTGAGTCACTTCTTATCTCCCCCAGAGACTGATATTTGCAGCTTTTTTAGAAGAGTGATGGATTCTTATATCTGACACACTGACTCCATTTGGTTTAGTATTCAAAGAAAAAAAAACACATTTCTTCTACAGGGAAAAAAAATGCAGGTTTTGACCTTTAAAGTCATTTGTGCTAACCTTTAAAAAAGCCATCATGGTTTAATATGAACCTGCTCTCTGAACAGAGCAGCTGGCCGCCCGTGTGTTCACTCTGTGCAACCTTTTGTTTTCAGCATGCCTGAGCCCTGCTGGGTGTGATTTTTGCTTTGAATGATGGATCTCATATGAACTCTCATTTGTCATTTCGTGGATGTTGGTGTTAGAGATATACTACCAAATAGTGACACCTACTGGTGATCAGGGGAAGCTTGTGATTCCAAATATAAATCAGTTTGACAGAAATTCTCAGTTTCAAATATCTCAATAAATGGGGTATAAATAACAAACCAACTTGGTGTTGATGACTTATGACCTCTGTTAGGATTCCTCTGTTGTCGGCGTTAGGCACTTGTTGCCAAAATCTGCTTTAGACTTGTCTCGGCTTGCCTAAAACAAAAACAAAAGCAAAAATCTCACAGTCAAGACAGCGTTGAACTCAACCATATCAACAGTTTTCCAATGTTCTTAATTTGTGGAGCTCAAAATAAAACCACCACTAGAGAGCAGCACTGTCATGAGCGGTGTCAAAGTACCAAACAGAAAGTTGCTCTTGAGGAAAAAACAAAACATGAATTTTGATGACTTGGTTCCAAATACTCCTGTCGTGTTGTGGAATGTAAAATGCTAAAGGAACAGAAAAAGTGAAGCTTAACATTAGCTGATTAACTTTTTTGCCTTTTTGTGTGTTTTACTGTATATAGAGAGTATGTCCAGCCGAAGAGGAATGAAGGAAACCATTGTTAAAAAAGAAACAGAAACCAGAGAGCTCAACAAAAACTAACCAACAGCAGTAAACAGATATACATTACTTATTAAAAAGATGTTTTCAATGCTATAAGAATAAATATAGACAAAAATGAATCATAATCTCAATTTATACTAGCTCAGATTTTTTTTATATATTTGCAAACCCCACAGGTCAATTGTGCAACTGAAACTGTGCATCCTTGTGAAGTAAGTACAGCAACATTTCCACAGTCTCTTTTTCCCATTTTTGTCATTATTGATGGAGGAACTCAACCTTTAAACCTGAACAGCCAAAACGGGGGAAAAAATATAATCTTTTCTTTTAATTGACAGAAGTATCTAATGTTCATACTGGTTATACTACCTGACATTGCTGATGTGGACAAGAAGAAAACAAGGATGTGTGTGCATTTGTGAGTGTTGGTGTGTGCGCTGCTGAAATTGGAGCTGATGGCTTTCCCAGCCTCAGAGTTTCCTGCCTGCAAAGGAAAACATTTTGTGTTTTAGAGTCTCTGCACAGACAGGTCTTCTTTTGACAGCATAATTTCCAGCATAAACTTTAAGCAAAGTGATGAGAATGAATTCATTTGTGCTTAATGAACACGGACCAACCCTGATTACAAGTGACAAAAACTAGTCTCTCTTTTGTCATGTCCCTTTAAAAGATTAAATTATGAAACAAATTGGGAATATGTCACAGTCAAGGTATTAAAAACTGGTGTACACACATAAAAACTGATGATTTTAAGGCAAGAAAAATTGACCTGGTTATTTTTAGAATAAAAAAAAGCTTGTTATTACGAAATGTAAAAATATAACTGCATGTTTTTGGCCCTGGCTAGTTCTTTTGGCTCAGTGGCATGTTGGATACCCTGGTTTTGTAAAAGATTTAGGAAATTGGAAACAGAATTGAGGCCACATCTTACCATGTTAGAGTTTTATAACTCTCTGCTTTATGCCAGAATTGCATGCAACAGATTGTATTAAATCTTTGTCAAACATTCATTGGGCAGTAAAAACACATCCACTGAAATTTAGCTTTTAAGGTTTTGTCCACATGAAAGACATGTTTAAACTCACATATTTCTGAAATGGCCTTTCCTCCGAATAAATCAATCAAAAGTTGTGTTAAAAGATAAAGCGCTGTTCAGTTCCAATCAGATCAACTTCAAAAATAAAGGAAAAACATGTATGGTCTCCTTTCAGTAGCCAAGACTGTACAGCTCAGATTACAACCAGATGTTGATTCAAAGGCCGTAATACTTAATCTCTGCAGCCTTATGTTTTAAATTGGACATTAGAGCAGTGCTTCACTAGGTCACAATAATATTTCATGTTTTCTCACAGACTTTTTGCGCGCAATTTTGGTGATATCAGAGAGGAGCACGTCTCGCTTCCACAGATGAAAGCAGCACTGAGACTTTAATGGTTACCAGCTCTGAACATTTCTGACTACTACACAGAAACTCAGCCACCTAAACCTGAGCTCTTGTTTGTGTTGTGAGGCTGAATAATTATCGCTGTCTGGCAGGGAATATCAGTTTTCACTGGGGCTGTGGTTCATTTGATAAGTTGTGATGACAGAAGGAAGGAACTGAATGAGCCTTGAGACACAGAAGTCATGCATTTTAAAACTTCACGAGAAGTGATTGCACAATCTAAGGCTGCTGGGAGATCTATATGAACCTCAAGCTACGAGGTTCAGCTGTGAAGGATGTGCTCGTATAATGGCTGATATAAATGCTTCCTGTTTTAATACTGTGTAGATTACTCTTCGTGCAGCGTGATTACTGGAGCTAAACATCAATCTTATGTAATAGGAAGATTTCTGTCTCAAACGTTGCTGTTTCCACTTTACTATCGAACATTTTGACATGGTGTCAAGGTTTAATTTGCACACGTGACTGAAGTAGAATTGGCTCTTAAGGCCTCATTTAGTTTCAAAGGAAGTCCTCAGGAAGACTTGAAGCTCCGGTTCAAACTAGTTCAGCTCTCTGTTGATCTTGGCAGGAATATGATGAACAGTCTGTGTTTTACAGTCTGCCAGAGTTTTCCTCGTTATGCAACACTGTCGTCTAGTACAGTGTAATGATTCTCTCATGCCATGTTGATGATTGTCGTACCTTCTGTGTTCATTTTTTTTTCTCTTTCCTGACCTGCCAGGTGCTGAGCAGCGCCAATTACATCCTCTCCTTGAAAACATGCCATAAGAAGGAAAATACATACAAAATCAAACTCCACTACAGCTCGAAAATATTATTTTTACTGTATTTTAACAGAAAAGGAAAATATCTGCTTCCTGACATTTATGATTGAGCAATAATGACACTTTATCAGTCTAATTTTCAATTTATGCCACTGTACAGTTTTGCTTTTGACGTATTTATATCAAGGTAAAATGCACAACAGCTCAAATCTCATGAAAATATCAAACCTGACACATTAAATTAGCTTCCTGATATGCCAGTATAACAAACAAACCTCAAGTCTACAGCCGTGCTAGCTGTGAGCATTCATATCAGTGAAGCTAATACCGGAAGCTAACCATGTTGGCAAAGATCTACGCGATGGTTTGGCTAGCTAGTTGTTCATGAAATAATATGCAACCTCGTGGGGATGCTGTAGAGAAAAATAACACAAATTTCCCATTTTTCTAGAAGTGGAGCAAAAGTTTTATGGCACAAACCCGACAGATTTTAAAACATCTGACTTTGGAAACATGCTTTCTTCAGCCAATGACAAAGTCACAGGACTGCCTCTGCTGTCTGTCTAGCAGAGGAAACCAGCTGCTGGATTTGGTAAGACTGGACAAGAAAAGAGCTCAACATTGCCAAAGCTAAGCATCTAATATCTACTATGACCAGAAACAAAATAGATGCTTATTTTGGCCTTTACTTGTAATGTCAGTCAGTCTGTCAATCTTATATACAGATGAGCAGATGTGGATTTCTCTTCAATTCTCTGTCTAGAGACCAGAGATCCAGAGCCAGCAAAAGATTGTCGTTTGGCCAAAGAAAGAAGACCTTGTTTACAGAAGAGCTCAAAGATCTATTTTCCGTGTGTATCTATAAAGATATGCTAAAAAGGATTTGTGGACTAAGACAGACTATTAGAGAGACATAAAGCTGCAGAGATTGGTCATGTGCACAGTTTTGTGTCTTCTCCGTTTGGACCCTAGAAGAACTTTCTGCCTCTGAGTGAGTCATCCGATTTGGGAATAGTTCCTTGTGCAACATCAAACTTTCTTTTCCTGCTAAGCTACAGCTGACCTAAGCCAGATTTTAAGACTTTAACCCTGTCAAATGTCATGATCGTCTACACTCTGTACATTTCTTCCAGCTGTGAAACTTCCAGTCTTTTATCGTGGGGCAGAAAGCATGAAAAGATTATCTTTATGCAAAATTCTCTCATCATGATCAAATCAAAGCGTTCAATCCTCTCTATAATTATGTTGCATCAGTTTTTCCTTCATCAGGAAAATAAACCCCAGGGTGCTGCCTAAACTGGTTTGCACAGTTGCCTTTGTCATTTCCGAAACAATATCCAGACTAGTCTCTGTTTTGCTGAAGGACTATCTTGATATTGTAATCGTCTCACAGACGGCCTGGGTTCACTTCCAACCTGTGGCTACTTTCCCACATGTCACTCCCTACTCTTGCCCCACTTCCTCAGCAGTCCACTGTCCAGTCCTCTTCAGTTGTAGTCCAAAATCCTGAAAACTAATCTTAGAGAAAATAACTGTCTTTGGGTACTCATCTTGTCCAAGATATTTGTGAGGCACTTAGCACTATGTTTCAGCAATGAACAAAATGGCAAACCAGGAAAAATACAAAGAACAGTGAGTTGATTATTTTTGGCTATGTTCAGGCACAGGCTTGATGCACTGGTGACAAAAACGTTAGCTTTGTTTACATGGGCACAAATAATCGGAATAAATGTCCGATCGGAATAAAAATGCGTCATGTAAACATGCCGATCGGAGGATTCTGATCATTTTCGGCTCAATCGGAAAGAAATTGCATTCCGATCAAGAGGGGTGGTTTATGCCAAGCGTTATTCCGAAACGCGTCCATGTAAACACTTATTCATGACTCTCTTACCTGACTCGATCTTCACTGTCTAGCTTTTGGCTTATTTATCGAGGCCAGTTCAGGAGGTCTTATTATTACCACTCTGTGCCAACTGTTACCGCGCAGGTACCGTGTCTGTCCTTCCGGGAACATAACAAGGCGTACATACAGCGTAATGATGTCACATCTGCACACACAGTGCAACCTTTGACAGAACAGTAAAATAAGTAGCCTACGCAAGGGCGCCATCTAGTGATAACATTTAACAGGGTGAAAACTCCTGAATTGGATGGAGTGAGCCACGACCACGTTTGTTTGTTTGTTTGTTTGTTGACAGCACAGGCGCATATTCTACTCTTCTTCTGCGGTTGTTTAGGGAACTCAGACAACTCTGCGCATGTCCAAATGCGTCTAATTTGAATAAAGCTTGCTGCATGTATACGCACGTCATGATTGGATCATTTGATTTTGCACCCATATAAACAGTGGATTCAGATTATCCAGTCCCTCAAATTTTTAATAGGATCAAGAAAATTTGCCCATGTAAACAAAGCTATTGACAACGAGTAGCAGACGGACTGATCATTTCTGTATTGTAATTGTTTGTGCTTTTCAAGACTGCCACAGAGTTGATGTAGGACAAAGAGATGAACATCACAGTGCAGTTATAGCTTTTGTTGACATTTTCCACATCAAAAAATCACTAGACATGATCTATGCTAAAATCCAGCGCTCTGATGTATACACTTTAAAAAATGACACACACAAGTACAGAAAAATTCATCAGTGATAAGAGGTGAAACACCAAAGTTGAGTTACACACGAACTAACATTTACAGGAGCTCTAAAAAGAGAGAAGTTCCTCTCGACCAAACCATCACTTAGTATTTGCTGTCAAAAAAGAGGTGTGATATAGGAAAATGAAGGTTAAAGAGTGTAAAGACAAAAGATTTTTATGTTTTTCCCCTCATAATTCTCTCGCCTCCTCCTTCAAAAAGTCAGTTCTTGGGTCTCCAGAGGTCTTTGAGAGGAAAACGGTCGACCTCGTTGAGCACATATCATCTGTCTTCCTGGTCAGCCCACATGTTTCTAATCTAGCTCTTAATTCTGCATGTCTTCATGCTTTACTGAGCAGGAGCCAGCCAGAAAACATGGAGGAGGTGCCTTTGCATGTGCTCTCTGTAATGTGTCAGCAGAAAAACACATGTCCTTGTTGGTATATCAGGGATTACACCCTATAGTTGTGCTCTCACCTTCATGAAGCATTTGATATCAGTTGTAAAATACACATCCATGGTTGCAGAAAGAAGTTTACAGTTATTGCTTTAAAATGAAATGTACAGAAGCCCAAAGCAGACATACATCAGTGCACTTTATTATATAGTTTCTCCCACCTGACTTCTTCTTGTTTTCATGGGAACTGATGAATTGAAATACATGTCTGTGAAGCGCCTGTGTAAAATTAAATTTTAATGACATTTGGTTTGGATTTAGTTTCTTTCCCAGATGTTTTCAGGATGATAGTGTTGAAAGAAAAATAATGATGCATTACAGCATCTGCAGGAGTCTTGTGGAAGCTGAGTCTCGGTTTTATCTTTCACAAAACCGGTTAAAAGTGGCCCAGCTAAAATAGATATACATGCAGTGTTTAGTGAGAGGCTTGTACTGACATCCCTAGTCATAAATTAATGTCCTGAAACAGCTGTTCTACCAAAACACTATCAAAAACAGCATTTAACCTGACTCATTGTAATCATTACATGTTATATAACAGTCAGATAACCTCCATCTTGATGGTCTTGTTGACTTCCTCTGTGATTTAATACTAAATAACTATGTTATAAAGTGCACCTTTGAATCTCTTACATTAATTCCTGGTAAAATGTCATGTTTGTTGTTTGGTCACAGAAATCAAAACTAAGGGCGGTCAAATTTTTTGTATGTGCTCACATGCAGTATCAGAACAATAAAGATGATTTTAAACTTAAAAAAACAGAAACAACTGACTTTGTTTAATAGCTTTGGTTTTGACTTCTGCGCGTAAGTCTGCTGATAAGGTGTTAAAATAATGACCAAACTTATCTAGTGTATGTTCCCCAAGTGTTACTATAATCAGAACTGCTTGATAAGGTGAGAAAGATGTTTTATTATCAAGTGAAATTTAAAGGATGCAAACCTGGAAAATGGTTTGAAATAATTATTTTTAAAAAATCAGATGAATGACATTTGATTTGAAGGATTTGATGTTTATTTGCAGTTTAACATCAGTGCATTTTGTATGAGTCTTCATCCTACAGCTCTAAAAATAACTGAATTAAGATATTTTGCTATTCTATTATAATTCATTTGTCATTTCTTTAAGAAAGTGACTGCCAGTTTAAAATAAATATATTTAATTTAGTTTAATATATAATGATAATAATCATTAGCTGAGATATAAAGGGTCGAATAAAGATTTAAGATACAAATACAGTGTCTCAGTGCTGATGATTGTGTGTCAAACAGAGCTGATTCCTGTTGTTCAGACAGAAAGACAGAGATATGAAATGACTCTGCAGATCAGATTAGGACAGAGAGGAGACAGAGGTTAGACTGAGAAAACCGTGGGGGGGTGGGGGGCTGTTAGTGTCTTTAATGGCTCTACCAGTGAAAGTATGCAGAGCAACTTCTGCTACTGTCATTAGGGGCCCTGGATCACACAAAGGGAGAGAGCCTGCTTCACTTCCTTTAGGTGAGTTCACTGTGAAAAAAGTCTGATTCAGATTCCAGGAAAAGGCTCAGACATTTAAAAGTCTCCACGTTTGACATTTGAGGAGAGACGTCACTTTTCACTGAGAACAAGAGTTACTCAACTGATGAGAACAGATATGTAGAGTAACTTCCAGTCAATCTGATCAGAGTGAATGTTTTGATCTGTTGTAGTAGAAATATTAGAGAGAGTGCTCAAATTTCAGTGGGAGTGTTTTGCTTATTTCCAGACTTTGCCTTCCTGATAACTTTAAGGAATTGGCTTTACAATATTAAACCCCTGAACAGTTTCTTACTTATCTCTCGCTACTTTCTATGACTAGCTTCTGTCTGAAATGCCTAATTTCAGCTACAGTGTTGGGCCCCCCTGCACTCTGGAATTCAGCACTTCAGAGGTCTCCTCCGCTGTTGCCATGCTAAAAAGCTGTGTTTCTTTATTTTAAAAGAAAAATCATGAAAAAATATGTTTTGGACCTGGAAAATTTGAAAAGAAACAAAAAAGTCCCCAGCAGCAAAGACCAAAGGAGGTTGTTGGTTTAGAAAGTTTGGCCGTCATTTAAGGAAATTCACCAATCGTTGATGTCATGAATCAAGCAAATCGTTTTGCAGAGAAGTCGGGTCTGACTTCTTAAACAAGTCATCACAACCATTGCAAAACTTTACACATGTTCAGTATCAACATCTAATGTTCAAACTGAATATTCATCCATAAAATATGATACAGTATAATACCACGTCTTTGGCAATTGATCAATAAATGCACACATCACTATTAAAGCTTAAACTTTTTCCACTACTGAGTCTGTAAAACATCATTTGTTGCAGAATTTATTCTTCAGTACACTTTTTATCATGAATCCAAATATGCTCAATAATTAACGGCTGTTTAGAAGTAAAACAAATTTAAAAATTGGCCTTAGTTTACAGTGAAGCAGACGTATGAAGTAGCTGATATTGAACAAAACTTGAGCTGAGATGAGTTAGAAACTATTTTTCCTTTAGTTGAAAACTTGTCTCTGGTAATGCTGCTGAATGAGACTTTTAACACATCCAAATAAAACCCTTAGTAAAACATGACCCTGTTGTGTCATACTAATTTTAAGTTGTCTAAACATTAGCTTGTTTCAGCAGATCCTAGGTTGGTTGAAGTTCAGTAACAGATCTCCTGTGAACTGGTTCAGTCTTAACAGCCTCTCCCCTGGGATTAACCCCTGCTTAGTAATTGATGGTGGTGTCGGGTCAGGGTGTTGCTTTTATTGTTGTTTTTGCTCTAAGCTCATATAACAACAGAGTAGAGCTGTCAATAAGGGTGTACATATTTATTACCAGGAGAAGAAGGAACACAGTTTACCTCCCATGTTAATGTGATTGGCGGGTAGCCTCTGTGCGCCGTCAACCACAAACATCACTGGAATTTGTGTTCTGTCAAAAGAATTACTCCAAATGACAGAGCTGTTACAGGCTGTTGTTTTGATTTTTTATGTCAGTACTCAAAACTGCAGAGAGGCATTTCAGTCGGAGACTTTTAATGTTGTTGGTGGTTCTGTAAAATACAAGCTTTAGGTTTTTTCTATGTTCTACTTTTCTGTGTATGTACAGCACTTTTTGTTGCATGTCCATGTATGAAAAGTGCTCTACAAATAAAGTTTTGATTCGATTTGATTTTAAAATCTTTAGGATAAATATATTACAAGAAATCAATAACTAACAAATGACACTGCATCATGGCCTGTAAGAAAAAATATTATACTAAATATGTTAACCTAAAACGTATTAAGCAGCTGTCATGGCTACGTTCATACTGCAGGTTATGATGCAGAATTCAGATTTTTTGTTAAATTCAATCTTTTTGTGCGGTCGTTCACATTGCAACAACGAATGCGGCATCTAATGTGAGCGGGATGCGTCCATGAAGTGACCCGCATGCGCTCAAAGCAAAAATTGCTTTCCGCGCCTGTTTGTGTTGTGGAACAATGATGACGTTTATCGCATTTTGATGACGTAAAGGTCGGAGAAATGCGCCTGAGCGTCCACTCTGCAGTCACATCGGATACATATCCGATTTATATCCACATACAAAAGAGGCCTGGGTCGGATTTGAAAAAAATCATAATTGCACTGTTTACACTTACATGAAAAAATCTGATATGTGTCACATATGGTTAAAAATCGGAATTGACCTGCAGTGTGAACATAGCCATAGATATTGCATTGGCCAACGCAGTATTTTCCCTCGAGAAGTATACTGTGGCGTCAAATAAAAATATCTCCATTTAGAGCAAGCATTCTTACTGAACTTGTATTCAGGTAGGCCTACTGGTAGATTTAATTTACTAGCATGTAAAGCACAATAATGAAGTCAAACAAGTAAAAGAAAAAAAAAAAGAGTCTTGCATTAACTAGTGATTGCCAGAGGTTTGGTCAATAGCAGCCCACTGACAAACAGCCCACTCCATCTGTGTAATAAAGTGCTGCTTCTGTAAAGTAAGCCAACAAAGGAAAAATTAAAAACAAACACTCTGATATTAAAAAATGCCAGATTTTTTAATGTAACTCCACAGACTAGGTCCAAATGATTTACCTGCCAGCTACGCTCTGTTTGTTAGAGAGTGGGCTGTGTGTCCACTCCTGTTGCCAAGTAACCAAACTTTGAGTGTTTGTGTGTCCGTCTTTTCTCACTTCCCTCACTTTCCTCTTTTCCACCAACTCTGTCATCCTTGTTTACAAAGACATCAAGTCTTTTGAGGAGAAAAAAAAAACACGCCATAAAGTTGTCCTCACTGAAAGGCCTGAAAATGTTAGAAAAATAAGACGCTGAAGAAAGAGACTGTCTTCCCTGAATCATTTTCGTGAAAAGACGCTGACACCTGGAGACTGTGACATGTGTAGGTTTTTTCCTCAAATGTGTGATTTATACTCACATCAGCAATATTGATGAATTTCCTCAAAGAGTCCTCTTGAAGTGGGAGGTAAATGTGCTTTCCACAGGAGGGCTGTAAACAACGCAGGACAATTAATTCAATTCCGTTATTATGAAACAATGTTGAACAATTAGTTTTGTTGATTTCAGGAAGAGAGCAGACCAAACTTTATTGACCATTTGAATGAAAACACTTGAGCTCACATGCCCTCAGGACAAGCATGTAATATGAATACAGCAGTGTGAGTAAGTGTTTTTCCACCCGTTGTTCTGAGAAAACTTCCAAAATCAAGGGTGTGTGACTTCACCAGCAGTGATTCCCCTGGAACATTGCTTTGGCCCTTCATTAACGCCTGCCTGATTTGACCACACTGGTGTTCTTTTATGCACACCAAACCGCCTCACGCTGACAGTAATTGATAAAAGGTGAACACGGTAAAATAAAGATGAGTTTGTTGGAGAGTTGTTTTCACTTCTTAAAAGTCCTTGTGTCTTCAGTGTCCCTCTATGAATCCAGTAGTGACCTAACTTTACGACTTTACCATTTATTTATCCTCTCGCCTTCACCTCACCTGGCCTGGGAACAGGGAGCAGCCTGGAAACATTGAGGTACAGGACCAGGTTATATTTTTCCCTGCTGGATGCTCTTTGCCTTGTAATTGACTCTATGAGGTCAGCTAATGGATGTTGTGTGGAAAAACAACAGATCCTGACAGGATCTTGACTAGACATGGATGACATAAGTGTATTATAAGAATTTGTTGCTCAAAAATCTTCACATAGTGTCAGTCTGTTTGTCAGTCTGTGTACTTTTGAAGAAAACAGACATATTAGATAGAATGATTTGGGTGCATATGGATATGACAATATTGTCAGAATCTAGTACGGTGATAGAGGATATTTTATTGTAAGGGCTTGCCATTTTTGGATGAAAAGTAAATGAATATTTCCCTAAAAAGATCTCATATCTTTAAAAAAATACAACAGTCCTTAATCGTCTGACTAGGCGTGAACTTATGGTGTTTCACTGAAACAATTTTTCGCTTGCAGTAACTCCAGAGCTAGAAAAACTAGAGCAACATATGTTTATGGTTTCCCATGGACTCTATGAACTTACAGTGATATATACTCACCTAAAAGGGTACACACAACCAAGAAAAGTTAACTAGCATTAATGAAATAACGAAGAATAAAATAAAAACAGATGTAATTACTTTCAGTGAAAGAAGTACGAATAAATAAAAGCCCAAGTAATGTTTTTATATTTCTTACTTCTTAAATATCTAACATCACAGTATTTTCAGCCTCATATTATTCGTCTTCTTGTTGTTGATGTTACATGACTGTATAAATCCACAGCCAGACTGTTTCATACAGTTATATAATGTGGCTCAGTCCGGTTTAACAGGTCTGTGGTTTTAGTCGCAGATTTCCTCTCAGTGATCCCAGACTTCAGGAATAGCCTCAAACTATTACATGGGCCACTAAAAAGATGTTGGTGGTCTTTGAACATTGCATAATAAGGTGTAGAAGAACATATTCATTCCTGCAAGATGAAGCTAACAGGAGCAGAATACCTCATGTGAAACTGAGTTTAAGTGGTTCCCACATTTTACTCCGTCAGAGGTCTGAACAAAAAAGGTCTGAACAAGCACTTACGGTGACAGGAAGCAGTTCAGTGTGCTGTGGTATTTTGAAAAATCAGTTTGACATTATAGTACGACAAATTAATCAAGAACTAAGTGACAGAAAATCTGATTTGATCAAGAATAAAAACTGCATAAAAGTCTACTACACAATGAAAGAAGCTTATCACAAATTTGGATACCCTTTAATGTTCTGCATGCAAAGCACAAACTGAAGAGACATGAGGGGACAAATGTCCACTTTTATTCCATCAGCATTGATCTTGGATGTTGGGAAGGTCCAATATATCAACACCAGACGTGACCGCCCTTTAGACGCATGTATCACTTTTTAACAACCATCGTCTGTCATGGTCAGACAATTAGGTGATAGATTGTAGGGATAATGGTCTAATCAAAAGACACTGTGGCACACTGCCGAGAGAAGAAAGGGAGGGTGGGAGGGAGGGGTGCTGGAGCCAGAGGGGTATAAAAGAGACGGTGAAGAAGTCTTTAAGCAGAGTGAAGAACGAGAGGAGGAGGAGGAGACAAATGTAAGAAAAGAAACAGGAGAAGAAAAGATAGAAGAAGAGCATCAAGAACTGGATCCAGAACTTCAAAGCAAGAAGTGTGCTCAGCTAAAAGGTAAGAGAGAAAAAGTTCATTATCATGAGAGTCATGATCAATATAGCAGCCATGTAAAGCTAATTGTTTTCAGCAGAGGACTAATTCTGATCAAACTTGTTATGTCTGTGGTACAAGTGTTTTCTGTTTTAACTTTTTTAGAGTCTGTAGTTTGAGTATCAAAAGTTGATTTAACACTAATTATAATCTTCTATACAATAACATTCATATTGAGTTGGGTTAAAGTTGGTAACTTACCCAGTTTTGAACTGTGCATTCAAATTTTTATCAATATCTTTTCAGTTTTCTTACTTTTAATGAAATAACTGTGTCACTGTCAGTATTTTTAAACTAGATTTGCACAAATGCAAACCTTGTGTGTCTGTGTGTGGGTGTTTGGATTGCATTGCCAATGTTTCGTCAGTGGATGCAGAATGTTTGAGTGTTCCAGTGAAAAATGGTGATGGCTAACACAGATGTGTAATTCGAGTGGGGGGACTCCATACAGTCTTTTTAAAATTTGACCTCAAACCACTCGAAAAGTTGAGGGATTTTCTGGTCAAAGTACAAACTGTATTATTTTCTTTTTTCCAACAGTCAAATAAAAACTTGGTTTTATTCTCTGAATTTTGTTATGACACATGGTTGTAGAACTGACTCATATTTACTCATTTGAATTGATACTCAAATTATGTTACTAAAATAAGATGGCAATTATATAATGCTTTTTTAAAAAAGCATTTTTTATCTTTCTCTTATTCTTCCCCTGGTGCAGCTCCTCTGCTTGGACCCTGCTTTCTTTGTAGTTCCTTTTGTGAAGAGGTGAAAGTTCAAAGGTCAAACATAGCAGCAGTGTGTGAGAATGTCGCTGAGGCTCCTTCTTCTCATCACTGGAATAACCTCAGCCACTTTTGTTACAGCTCAAGGTGAGACTCTCTCAAAGCCCGAAAGTCACTCCACTCCTGTCTTTCCAATACAAAAGGAAAAACTATCAGCACCGTCCTCCTCAGACAGGGAATCTTAAAAACACAAGGTCAGGGGAAGGCACGTAATGACAGAAACAGACTGATCAACTCCACATGTAAATCCTGACATTTCTCCTGCACTGTTGAAAGAATTGAATCATTGTGTTTTCATGACCCCCAATAAGCTTTTTTCAATCAGCATCAAGACTGGTGGGCCTTTATGAACTCAGACAGCTACAATGAATGCTTTAATAAAACCCTAACTCTCAGTAACACACAAGAGTCGCAATACTTGAGGTGTGCAATCAAGGAAAAACACATTTTTGGACATGTAAAAGTCAGCTGGTCTGTCAAGAAGACCACAAGCCAAGTGATCTGAACTTCTTTTAAATAACCTGATTTATGTTCGTTCTGTAACTTTGGTCCCAGTAAGTTCCCTTGACTGAAAATACAGATGATCAGCACTGTGTTTTGGTAAATATCATCTATTTACTCTAATTTGCCTCTTTAAGGACAATGGAGAAGAGATAACAGAGAGTCAAGTCCTTCTGCGTTACACTCTGAAGGTTCGGACATTTATCAATATCACATTTTATCACATTTGTCTGTTTATTGGATTAAGTTCAATTTTTAGCATGTGATTGACAGTATTTTGGACAAAGTTGGTGAGAACTGTTACTTAGGCTGTTTTTCTCCTTACTCTGTGTCCAGATGACTATGAGTGGACCACATGGTTCAATGTTGATCACCCTGGAGGCCGTGGAGACTATGAACAGCTGGAAGCCATTCGCTTCTACTACCGCGCTCGAGTCTGTGAGACTCCCCGGGCGATAGATGCCAGAACCACTGATTGGGTCCCAGCCCGTGAAACTGGAGAGAAGGTCCATGCAGACCCCACTGTTGGCTTCTGGTGCCTCAATGAGGAACAGGGTCCTGATCGCAACTGCTCCAACTACGCAGTCCGCTTCCTCTGTCCTAAAGGTTCTGTTTTAAAAGGCTTGGCTCAAATTCTGTTTCTAAAGCTCAGTTCAATAATACAGCAAGACTACATACCTTTAGTCCAGGATGTAAAAAAGCTTGAACTGAAACTTGAAATGAAGTTGATCACGTGCACTTTTGTCACTTGCACTCTTTTTTTCCAACAGAAAACCCGGTGAACATTCAGGGTACTTGGGGTCAGTGGTCTGACTGGAGCCCATGCCCTGCTCTCTGTGATCAGGTGGGGGTCCAACTGCGCTCAAGAAACTGCCAGTCCAAATCTGCACCTTGCATTGGGCCTAAAGTAGAGGGGAAAGAATGCAATGGACCGGAGTGCCCAAAAACAGGTGAAGTAGACCTGGTTTCACCAAACAGACTTTGTGCCTTCATATATCTCCTTATTCAACCAGCTTGTGGTTTTTCTCATCAAGTATGGGAGTATTATACTCACCAATAGGCTCACCTTATTCATTCTTCTCTCCAGATTGCTTTATGCAGTGTGAGATGGGGAGGGTGAATGCAGAGTGTGACGCATGCATGTGTGAAGATCACATCCTGCTTGGCTCTGTTCGTGGGGCCGGGGGTCTTACGGCTGAAGGGGCTACTATCCTCCGCTCTGACAAACTTCTTACCCTTACCGACCACAACGGGCATTTCCGCATCCCTGGCATCTGCCCAGATGGCAACACCACCCTGACAGTCACCCTGCAGGGTCATGCTACCCTTGGTGTTTTGGTGCCTCACAGTGCTGAACGTACCTCTGTCCTCAGTGTGCAGATGAAAAGAACAGGTATAATAGTAGATTTAGACCAAAAATCTTGGTGGGAGTTCCAGTGACCATACGGTTGTTTTGAGTTATACATAACTGTTGAGCTTTTTAGCTTGTCAGGAAGCTAATGAGTAATGTCTTATCTCTTATCAGAAAAGCTTCATGTGCTGAGCAACCCTGAGAGCAAGGTCAGGAGGGAGGGACAAGCTACTGCCTTCTGCTGCAACGTGGAGGGAACACCACAACCACATGAGTATCAATGGTGGGACCCATAAAAGATCAATTATTCCATCAAAATGATACAAGTGCCATTCCAGTGTTTGGATAATACGGTACAATCAGTGACCCTTTTCTTAATCAACAGGTTTCATAACAACAGTCTCATGGAGAGGCACTCAGAGAGCATCTTGGTCCTAAAAGATCTGCAGATGGAGCAGAGTGGAGAGTACCACTGCAGGGCAATCAGCCAGTCTGGGGCTATTAAGACCAAACCAGCTACCCTCAAAGTCTTAGGTGGGTTCATAATGGATCAATACTGATACATACGAATGACAGATATAATAGGATTTATTGTATTTTCATGACTACATTTTCTTACACAGGAAAAGCAGCACTTTCATGTAATCCCAAACCTGAGTCCCACCTCATCCGGCTTCCACATGACTGCTACCAAAACAGCACAGACTCTTTCTACTATGATGTAGGCAAGTGTCCTTCCAGTACATGTGCTGGACAGCTGGACAATGGCATCAGGTGCAAAGACAAAGTCTCTTACTGCTGTGGTGTGCAAAAGATGGAGGAGAGGCAGCTAACCTGCCAGGGTTACCAGCTGCCCACCATGGTGGTGACTGAGTGTGGCTGCCAGAAATGTGTTGATACCAAGGCCATAGTTTACGGCAGAGCCATTGCTGCAGATAATGGGGAGCCAATGAGGTTTGGTCATATCTTTATGAATGGAGTTAGAATCAGCCGCACAGGCTACAAAGGAACTTTCTCCATCCAGGTTCCTCCAGATACAGTAAGGCTTGTCCTGACTTTTGTTGACAACATGCAGAAATTTGTCAACACTACTAAAGTACTCCCATTTAACACCAAAGGAGGTGCTGTTTACCATGAGATCAAACTTTTGAGAAAGAAAGCCCCTGTGACCATCAGTGCAACAGAAACCAACACACTGGAGCTTGGAGAGGTAGAGGGTCAGGAGGCGATGGTTCAGATCCAGATTCCTCCCAATTCCTTCTACACAGAGCGAGGGGAGGTCTTCACTGGTAAAGTTAATGCAAGTGTGACCTTCCTGGACCCCAGGGATGTCTCCACAGCTGCTGCAGCTCAAAGTGATCTCAACTTTGTTGGAGATGAAGGGGATACTCTGCCCTTAAGAACCTATGGGATGTTTTCAGTTGACTTCAGGGGTGAGGAAAACAATGAGCCCCTGAATGCAGGTGAAGTGAAGGTGTTCTTGGATTCTGACCAGGTGAAAATGTCTGAACACCTCGATATCATGAAGTTATGGTCACTAAACCCTGATACGGGCCTGTGGGAGGAGGAAGGAAGTCTGCAGGCTGAGAAGAAAAGAAGAGGTAAAAGGGAGGAGCGAACATTTCTGATTGGTAACATGGAGATCAGAGAGAGACGTCTTTTCAACCTGGATGTCCCAGAGAACCGCAGGTGCTATGTCAAAGTGAGGGCCTTCCGCAGTGAACGCTTCATGCCCAGTGAGCAGGTGGAGGGAGTTGTCATCAGTCTCATAAACATGGAGCCCACAGCTGGCTACTCAACCAACCCCCGGGCCTGGGGCAGATTTGATAGTGTCGTCACTGGTTCCAATGGGGCCTGTCTCCCCGCCTTCTGTGATGAACAAAAAGCTGACGCCTACACTGCCTACGTCATGGCCAACCTCGGTGGAGAGGAGCTGGAGGCTGTCCCTTCTGCTCCCAAACTCAACCCAAACCTTATTGGAGTGCCTCAACCTTACCTGGGTAAGCTAAACTACAGGCGGACTGATCATGATGACTCCAGGGTAAAAAAGACTGCGTTCAGCATTAATGTGGCAAAACCCAGTCCAAACACAGCTGAGGAAAGCAATGGACCAGTGTACTCATTTGAGAACTTGAAAGAATGCGAAGAGGCTCCATTTAGTGCCCCACACTTCCGCTTTTCAAGAGTAGAAGGAGACCGCTACGATTACAACACAGTGCCATTCAATGAAGATGACCCCATGAGCTGGACAGAAGACTACCTGAGCTGGTGGCCAAAACCCATGGAATATCGAGCCTGCTACATTAAAGTCAAAATCAACAGCCCACATGAGATAAATGTGCGATCACGCAACATGGGTGGCACCCATCCAAAGACAGTAGGCCAGCTGTATGGCCTCAGAGACACTCGTAGTATCCGTGACATGGACCAAACAGCCGTATCGGCAGTCTGCTTGGAGTTCAAGTGCAGCGGGATGTTGTACGATCAGGAACGTGTAGATCGTACCCTGGTGAAAGTGCTGCCACAAGGAAGCTGTAAGAGAGATCATGTCAATTCAATGCTGCAGGAGTATCTGGTCAACCACCTTCCTCTCGCCGTCAACAATGACACAAATGAGTTCACCATGCTGGCACCTCTTGACCCTCTGGGCCATAATTATGGAATTTATACTGTGACAGACCAGGATCCCCGCACAGCCAAAGAAATCGCACTTGGACGCTGTTTCGATGGCACCTCTGACGGCACATCTCGGGTCATGAAGAGCAATGATGGTATAGCACTGACATTCACCTGTGGAGATCGTGAGGTGACGCGTCAGAATGTTTTCCAGGCCCTACAGAATACTAGGGGTCAGACAGTCACAAGTGTGGTGAGAGGAGATGGCAGACAGAACCGTCGGCAGAGAGCAAACGCACCCCGCAAAGGTCGAAGACGTAGCACCAGAGATCCTCTGGGTAGACGATCAAAATCATCAAACTAAATGACAACACTGAAAATCACGGCTTTATCTGGAGACCAATGTAACGCCCACAATGGAGGTATGACTGGACAGCACGAGGCCTGCTTGAAACAATAACTTTATATTGACTTTTTCAAATTAACAATGTAAACAAAGCTTATCTTGTTTTTAACAGTTGGCATATTGATGTTACTTTGTACTACTTTTTCCAACCGTACTGTGGTAAATGTTTACTTGAGACTGTAAATAGAGTATTTATTACATATGCCTTAATTCAGTTATCAATGAACTGGATACTGTCACTGCATTCAAGTTTTGTTCATCAGTAAACACAAACACATTTGTCCTTTTGACCAGTGATTTATTAAATTAGATGCTTATAAAACATAGCAGATGCTGTATCTTCCACTTTGTATGAATCCAATTGTCCATTTATCAATGAAACTGGTCAAGTGCTAGAAAAGAAAAGGAGGAACAAACCCTTTTCATCTGACTGTAGCCCATATGAAGACATGGTGGGGTGAAGCAAATAAGCCCCCGCTCCTCATCACACTTGATACAAGCCTGCAGAAGCAATGATTAGCAGACCAGTTGTAGCAAGTAAGTCCACTTGCCTGATCCATAATTTTCTGCATTAGTAGAAATCAATTAAGTAAATTACATTTTAGTCATGCACAAAAAATACCTATAAGCACTCTTTGCTCCATGTTTTCAAGGATATTCCAGAGGTGTGTAAAGAGAATGGCTGTTAGGTTTTTGAAGTCACATTTATTTTACTCGTCTATCCCTTTTACCTTACAATGAATGTAATGTGCTCTCTGTAAAATTACTACTACTTACATGTTGCTTCAGTCTCAATTTGCCCACAATGCAACTTTATCAGAAATAAAGATGAAAAATGTCTTGAATAATTGTTCTGAATTTGGCAACCAAAGTTATACTTTTTACTCCCCTGTTAGAAAACCATCCACAGGTAAGTTAGACCTATAATACATACATGACATTCTGGTCAAAGAATTTGCATAGAACCTTTTGTTTCTATGTCACTACTCTTATAACTGCAGTACAATATCTGCCATTTTAACAGGAGCAGCATTTAATACAAATGAGACCTGCAAAACTCAGACAGCAGCAGTTATGATGTACTCTTCACTGAAGCTCGGTCTTCCAACAGATACTAAATGATTATGAGTGTTTGAGTTGAGGCTGAATGAGACAGAGAAAAGGCAATTCCATATGTATGAACATAAAGAGTTGTTGTTACTGGATGCTCCCTGTAAAGTCTCTCTGGTCATTGAAGCAAAATGAAGGGGGCAACACATAGTTCAGATTTTCCAGGATGGCACTGGACAGCATGAGAAGGTACAGCTGCATTTCTGAGGGTTGAGAAGGGGAAAGGGCAGTTGTGATGGAGCCAGTGTCACATGAAGTCCTCATAGTCTTGGGCATAGCCACCGTCAAACTCCGCATAGTCAAGGTCATCTCTCATCTGTGCTTTCAAACCACCTCCAGGTACGACTCCTTTCTTCTTTTTCTTTCCTTTGTTTTGCTGTAATGAAAAATCACAAGTCACTTTAGAAGGTGTGTGTAATATTCTTGACTTCATATCCAGGACAAGATGTGATCAATCACTGCTTCAATTTAGCAAAAATCAATTCAGCCACTAAAATAACACTTATGAATACTAATTTAGAATACTCTCACACACTGCTGTGGTTTGATGTGGTTAATGTCTAACAGAGTGAGTACTGGCCAGTTCTACTCTGAGCACAGATCAGGTGACAAGGCTCGGTAAACAGCACCCCCTCCTGAGTATTCACTTTCAGAATCTGAGTTCACACGTGCAGTTACTCACTTTTTCTTGTTTCTGTTTTTCACTAAGTAGGACAGACAAGGAATTACTGATTTTCTTCAAGTCATCTACTTCCACTGTAAAGAGAAGAAGGGATATTGTTAATAAACATGCCTGCTTTGGTTTCAAAAAACAATCAAGTAAGTGAAAGATGCTGGTCTTACATGAAATACAGAGTTCCCGAAACAATGAATCCAAGAAACTTGAGTAATGCACAGATTTTTCAAACTGGGATATCTTTTCTTTCAGCAATTTTTCAAACTCTGTGAAGTCTTCTTTGGAGGAGGGACACATGGCGTCAATGCCAGTGACACTGTTTGAAGTGCTGCTAACACCTGAAAAAAAGACAAAATGTCAACATGACATCAAACAGTACAGAATCCTACATCCAAGTCACAGATGGACCTCGTGTGTTGCCTGTGTCTACACAAATAATCTAGCTGAGGCATGTTTGGTCAGGTTGAATTCAGAGATGACAGTGGGATGACAGTAATCAGCAAATATATACATAGAGATTAGTTCACCATTATTTTTAGAGTGTTACCACTGTGCTGTTTGTTCACAATGGAGCCTTGATGAGATCATTTTACAACTGCATAGCATTTGCCGTGGACATAACACTCAATGCAAGGCGATAAAATAAACAGATTTCAAGTTGAAGGTAACACTTCTCTACATTTTCCAAAGTTTGAGACAGTTGTATAGTTACAACAAATTGTTAAAATAACACTAATCAGAAATATTTTATAGCTAATCTGCTTGGGTTAAAAACTAAAAGGATTCAAATAAAACTTGTCCTGTGTACTTGAAAAAATGCATTTTATTATTTTTTCAAATGATAAAACCATAAAGAATGAGTAAATATGTTCAAATTAATCATATGCTGCAGTATGTAAAAGCCTAAAAACAAAACAGTTTTCTAAATTTGATGGCTTTTTTTGGCTGATACTGTCTTACCAAAAGCATCTTTAGCTAGCTCCAAGTCAGAGTCTTCCTGTAATTTCTTCGCTCTTAACTTCATTGCAAGTTCTTCTTCAGGTGTTAGATCTTCTTGCTGTAGTCAAAGGTAAAAAGGGGTCAAAATCACACATCATCGTGGATGAAATAGGGAAAAAAAGAAATGTGTATGAAAACAGTTCCAAATAAAATACACTCACTTTCTCCTGGAGTTCTTTCTCTTTGAGCTCTTGCTGTTTTTTCTTTAGCCGGTTTTCCTTCTCTTTGATCTTCTCACTCAACTTTTTCTTCTCAGAAACCTTTGTCTCTGAAAGGTTACATAATGGAATAATTACACACGAAAAAGAAGATAACACATGGATTTGTTCAGGAACATAAAATACAATCAGTTATGTTCTTGTAAAACAGGAACACAGAAAACATACCTGTTTTTGTCCCCTCTCCTTTTTTGGACTCATCCTCCTCCTCCTCATCATCCCAGTTATCCTGTGGAGAGAAAGGGTGATGTTTCATTATGCATGTTATGCAAGCGAACTATGTGAGCAAACACACCACATCCATGTTGAAAAATGTAGTAAATTAAGATAGTTACTGGCAAAAATGTACACACAAAAAAAGAGATTATAAATATGATGCCTTCAACAATAACTAAGACGGTATGGCTAAGACATAAAAGATAAACAGCAGTGACCACAGGCACAAAGACAAGGCCACTTCCTATGCAAATAAATCTTACACTTCAAACACAAATCTGACCTGACTAACAGAAGACACAATTGAACAGATCTGAGCTCAAATCAATTCAGACACACAAAAACCACAGGAATCTAGAGTAAAAAGTAGAGCTGAGTGTGTTGAGCAAGACCTTGATAATGGAGATGAACGACACTTCAAAATCATTGTCTGTCAAGTGTGCATCTACTAGGAATGTATCATTTAGTCTTCTACAACATCCAAGCAAACAAAATAAAGTTGATCATGTTTTTGTTTGCTTTCCTTAAATATCAGGTAATGTATTTGTTCGAAAGGGCACTTAATTCACTGAATAGAAAATAAATTTGTTTAGAGTGAAAGTATCCCAAGATTTATCTCAACCAGTCCCTCATCCCCAATAACTTATTCACATCTACTGTTAGGGAACTACAACAAAAACCAAGTTCAATCACATTACTGGATGGTCGCCAGAGAGTCTGATGCAACACTACTACAGGCGGATAATATTCACGTAATAAGAGTCAAACTGAAATACTATGCCTTTACCACCATTTATTAACTAAGAGTCTCCCAAAATTTAGATCTTAAACTTTACATTGTACTTGCTATGATTTACACATAAGGATACTACATTTTAAGGTATGCTGTGAATGGCAAGACAGGTGATAAGTATTTGTATGAATTGTTGGAAGTAGTAGTGGGTGCCAGCGGTGTGCTTGAAAAGGAGATTCTAATATCAAGTGAGCAAAACCTGACAATATAACACAGTCCAGTACACAACCACCACTACCAACAACATCTCCAATCATACACACAATATATTTCTCTTTGGTCATGTCACCAAACACATAGAGCTGTAGAAGTTTCCTGAAAGTTTACCAAATTGTACAGTTTTTGTTTAGTTGCTTTAAAATGCCCAGGTGTTCATATTATTACGGTTGGTCAGGGTGCTTACAAATCACAAAGTGTGCACTATAGAGGATATTTACCATCAGTTTCTTTCATTTTGGGCACCATATGTGACTGGACGACACAATCGCAGAGGCCTTCTCCAGCAGTTTCGCTGGGTCGATTATTCTGAGGTTTCTGGATAGGAAAGATGCCAACACTCGGGCAATGACCACTCGTACCGAAGTGTCAACCGAGTAATTGTTCCCTAACACACGCCTGTTGTACATTAGGAAACTTCTAGGCCTTAGCTCTTAGCTCGAGTTGAGTCATCGACCCAGATGATGATTTCATCTGATTGTGGCTAAAGTTGGTGAGGAAGCTAACGCCGCCTCATGCTGAACGTAACTCAAGCTGTAGGAATTCAGGGCAGGACGCAAATGTTAATCTCTTTTAATCATGTAATGGACCCAACTTTGGGGAGAGGATGGCATAACAGTCTTCATTAAGCACACTTCCGCCGGGTACTAACAACAACTCAAGCTTCAGACACCTTCGTTGACACTAAAGCTCATTTTCAGGCGCAAACTGATACGCGAGTTTGCTAGCTGAGTGGCCCGGTTAGCTTCCGGCTACGTTATCCTGTTATCCAACTTTAACCGGCTTTTGACGAAATACACGCTGAATATCAGTGACATATAACAAGCGAACATTAGCATTGTACATCTCGTTTGATAGAGACAATTCACGATCTTAACGGCGATTCAGGACACTTGAATGCCGCGCCGTAGCCAAACGTTAGCTAACTCTTGAGTGAGAGCCCACATGAGTTAGCCGCCGCTAGCACGGAGCTAACACGGGCTAAGAGGCTTGACAGGCGGGCGGAGACAGCGGTGAAGCATGGCATCAAAGCGGGCAGCGACGATGCTTCGACTCGACGTTACCTCGAGTTATCAGCTGACAGAACGTTAACCTGACACACGACGGTTGACCTCGATCCTCCAAACTCGTGCGGTTAAATCACCTTAACGTCTTCTTCCTCGTCTTCGCCTTCCCATTTGTCGATCACTGCCGCCTTTTTAATCGGCTCCTCCGGCTCGAAGTTCTCAGCGTCTGTAAAAAAGGGACAACATGAATCTTGTTAAGCCAATTCACATCAAACGAACCGAGTTTGACATCAATTGAGGGGTTAGTTTAGTTAAAATATCAAAAGATGGTGGGAGCGGATTGTGCACAGACAGCTATCCTTCCCAAGTTAGTTTCTCACCCCAGTCCGCCATGTTGGCTGTGTTGGTTGTGTTTGACAGGCTAGCTTGAGAGCAGCAGCAGCAGCAGCAGCAGGAGCCCGTTGGCCACGTTCAGAAACAGCTCCCACCTTCTGGACGTCACTGCGCTTATCTAATGACATGACTTCAGGACTGTTCAGGAAACAGGAGCATGTCAATCAAGGTGTTTTATCAATAAATTAGAGAGGACAAATAGGCGAAAGTGGGGTAAGATGAGCCATTTTTCATATTTCGGATCACTATATCATATTTTTGTCTCTAATTAGTGAATCTGCGTATATTTTAAGATGTTGTGCATCCCTGCAAACCAACAGAATGAGTGTAATTATAACTGTCTTGATAATATAGCATGCCAAAAAAAGTGGTCTCCTATGGTCAACTTACCCCGTGTATTTTTATTTTTTTTTTTCCATTTTAAAATTTTTTTTTCGAACATGTGCCTAACAAACAAACATAACTAGTGAGAATATTCAAAACAGCAATAATCAAAGCAAAAAGCTTTGTCATGTTAAAATAGCTTTTTACAAAACAGCCATTTTGCCTTTAAGTGATTCAGAACATTCACAGCTGTATTTTTAGCTGTTAAACATTTCAACAATCTGAACTGAAACTCTGATCCTCTCATCAGACTCCTTCACTTTCTCAGTTGAGCCACTGGCTCGACTTACCCCTGACCTACTATTATGACTTTATTAGTCCTCTAAGCTAAAATGGTGGACTTTTATTATAGGTTTTTGACCTCATGTTGTAGCTCATATATGCCACAATTGATGTATTAAACAAGTTAAAAATGATCTTTTTGGGTCTGGACACAATTTTGACAGACTAAGTTCTCTTTCAAGAGTGAAAAATGTTTTTTTGTAAATAAATGTCTAACCCCTTCACCCATGTGCTTCTAACTTTCACAAACTCTATGAATTGATGCCCATTTCCTAGATATTTGGTCACATGATCAATTTCTGTTACCATTTTCAAGCAACAGAGGGTGGCTCAACTTACCCTTTGGCTCAACTTACCCCGCTCCCCCCTAAGTAAGGAAATAGTTGGGAGGTGTGACAACTCAGGTTACAGTTTGAGTGAGTATCAGTGAGTGAGTGTTAAAAGATAATAAATGAATTATCAGATTGAGTGAAGGCAATTTAGCCTAGGGAATTACATAGCCAAAAGAATGTATAAGATTGACATTCAAAAACATTGATTACAATAAAATGTTAAGGATAGAATTAGGGCTGGGCAATAAAACGATAATGATATATATATCAAAAATTAGTTTCCCTCGATATCGATATAAAACATGGTCAATATGCTTTGCGATAACCAGCATTCTGGCATGTTTTGGTAGACTATAGGAATTGCCAATTAAAAGGGGATTTGCTCCAGGTCCGCACTACACAGAACTGACCATCCAGTCTGTTTTCTGTAGCGCAATGCTGTACAACAAAACGTTAAAGAGACACAAAGACCTATTATTGCAAAAGACATAATACCAATAACCACTGTGAAATTTCATTTTTATATCGTGATATATATCTATATTGACTGATACGAAAAAAATATACTATGATAAACTTTTCCCATATTGGCCAGCTCTAGATAGAATTAAAGAATTGTATTACAGCACAGCAATAAGCTGTAAATTAAAGTAAACAATTAAATAGTGCTGTCAGTCAATGTGAGGGTGATGAAAGGCAATTGAGGCTGTGGCAAATCAAGATTAATCTCAGTATTTAAATACACTTTCACTTTCATGATTTTGAAATATTTTCAGATTCCACTGTGCTTTAAAAGAGAATAATTAGAGAATCAGACGCAGAGTGGTTCAATAAATAAAATAGGATTATATTTATTACACCCAAAAAGTGTGCACAACAATACAAAACTCACTGCAAAAATAGACTGCAGATGACCAAGAGTGATACAATCAAGTCTAAGAGAGCAGTTTGTATCTTTTATCTTATCAGAAAAATTCAAAATACAAATATAGATAGCAAAGACGTAAAGCTTTTCCTGTGACAAAAATATTGTATTATTTCACAAAAATATATCTATGAATACATTCATTTGTAACTGTGTAGATTTTCCCACAGCTTTAAGTTTTTTAATGGTATTAAAATCTTTTAAGTGGTCTGGTTGCTTTTCTGAGTATGGCGTATTATCCCTGAGAAGGATATATGGGGAAAGGATAAATATGTTAATAAATAAATAAATATGAATAAAAAATAGAGAGAGAGATAAATATATAAATTATAATTATACATTGACCAGTGTGAGTTTATGCTATTAAATCAAAAGCATGAAAATATGTGTTTTTTCTTTGGAGATAGACCTGTTGATTTTGTGTCTTCCATGCTGAATATTGATGTTTGATAAAAAGTTCACAAAGATGTTGATGTTTAGAAGTGACAGCTGCACAGAGTGATTTACAGACTTATTAAATAGAGTGCAGAGACATCACGAAGTGCTTCTTGGTATTGCACAGATAAATGCGATCTTTGTTAGGAGCGGCTTCCTGATCCAGCAGGGGTGAGTGGGGTCATGTTGCGGGACAGGTCAGGGCAGGGCAGGGTAGGATGATCAGCAGCATCAGCAGTCCCAGTATGAGACACAGAGGACTGTGGCTCAGTGCCAACCCCAGTGACTTCCCTACAGAAACACAGTGAAACCATCACAAATGTAGAGCCATGCAAAATATGATCCCTGTTAGCAGTCTTTGTAAAACACAAAACATGATATATCTCACTCTGTGAAACACATTTCTGAGTATGTCATTACATGTGCTTCAGTTGTTTAGGTGGTTGTGAACTGTTGGAGGATTATTTCTGTCTCACATCTACTATAAATAAAGAAGACAGAAAGCTCACACAAAGTTCATAATCACATCTCAAAGATTACTGATAAATAAAACTCCCACAAACTTAAAGATCCACCAGATTGATTCCATCAGATACAACATTGCTTCAATTGTGTCTCCAAATGGTTTCTACTCCTTGTATAATATTTTAAGATACATACTGTACTGTGGAAATTCACATGGATTGAAGTTGATGGCAACCCTTTGGTTAGATCTTTATGAGACATGCGCTTATAAACCAAATAAACCAAAATTTGTAATAGTCTTCCACAGTAGTGTCTCTGTGTTCATCATGGTTTATCTAACTTGTCCTGCACAGGCAGGGACTCAGCACACCTACTACTTTACTGATTTCAACACCTCATTGTGTATATTTAATTTGGCAATTTAATGTGGTTTAATTTGGTTAAATTAAGTATTTACATGGTGAAAAATGTGTTCTTTTAGTGGTTCACCTCTAAAGTCCACAGGTCGTGCCTCCCAGGGTGTCAGCACCATAGCGAGAGCTGTTCTCTGAACGTCTGACATGGCAGACAGCTGCTCCTCAGTCACAGCAGCTGCCTGCTCATAAAAGAACATGCCGATATGTCTCTGGTTAAACACCACCTTGAGGAAAAATAAAATAAGTAGGGAAAACAGAGGAATAGAGAGATGTGCAGAGAGAGAGAGATTCGGTGAATGAATCATGTAAGCATAAACTAGTACATTGTGGACCCCTGTGATAAACTGTAATGATTACCACCCAAAGTTTTAATCATTTAAGCTTGTGAAAAATGTAACGTGGAAACTTAATTAATTTAATAGTCAACTTACAGCAAATTTATCAGCTGGTATTATCAAGATGGCCCCAGGTATGATACCTTCAATCTGCTCTTTGACCAAGGCTGACATAGCCATGTCTGGGAGACCCGCTGAGAAAAGTTCAACATGGTTCAAGTGACAGCCTTATATATGTGAGTCTTTTATACAGCCTTAGACCATAATTACTACAACCAAGATGGATTTATTCATAGTTGTGAGAACACGTGGGATTTGACATACACAAAAGAAATTTATGTTGGATTGAATTTATGAAGTGACTGTCTTTTTGACAACAGCACAACAATCAATATAGCATTTAAAAAAAAAAAAAAATCAATATACGTGACAAAACGGAATCTCATACCTGCAAAAACTCCTATCTCAATGAACACATCAGTCCCCCATGAACTTATAGGTCCAAAGGCAAGGCTGTGACTCAGCAGCCGGACAAAAGCCAGCAGCTGATCCTCAGAGCAGGATAACCTCAGCTGACCTAGCCAGAGCACTGCTTTGCTGCAGCCAGCAGGGAGAGACACAGTACCAGGAGAGGATGTCACTGTCACCGTTCAGTATTAATGAATCACAGACAGAATGTGGGTGTGAAAGTGTTTTGTCTGCTCACCTGAACTCTACAGCGTTAAACAAATTTATATCCGTGGTTTTAGCTCCACAAACAATGTATCCCATCGCTACAAATGTACTGGAGTCCAGCTGGCTGGGACTTTGCTTGGTGGAGTTTAAAATGGTGACAAACAGAACAGCCAACTAGGACAGAAACAAGAGTTAGGATTTTTTTTTTATCAGATAGCCATCATTCATGACTGTAGATGTGGTCTGATTACGGCAGAAATTTATCTACAACAAACATTTTAAAACCTCAGAATCTGTCAGAAATCTACACAATCCAGATATAACTTTAACCAGTTCAGCTACCTGTCTGTTGTTCCAGGTACTGACTGCACCCAAAGCTGCGATGCTCTTTAGTTCAGTGAGTCTGAGACTGCTCAGCTCCTCCGTGGAGATCTCTGTCGCTATCCCACCCAGCTGAGCGATCAGAGACTGGGAGAAGGAGGAGACTGGGCCATACATCTGCACACACACACCCACCAACATGTTGGGTCAATTCATGCCATGAGATGCATATAAGGATAGAGTAGAAATACAGGGAAGAACTAGTACCATATAGAGGAGGAGCTACCCTCTTTTAGACTTGAATTACACACGTCAAAGAGGTGGTTACTAGGACTGGTGTGTAAACTGATGAACTGACCTGTTTGACTCTCTTCAGCACCTGGCTGCGCTGGTAGGATGCAACAAACGGGTCCTGACCAATCATCTCCAGACAATTAGAGAAGGCTGCTGGAGACATACTGGTCAGACTGTTGGAGGGCCAGGCAGAGGGGGCTGTGGTGCGCAGGATCTCACAGGTTGGAACCATCGGAGTTGCTGGTGAAGGACACAGAAATGTACCGTAAATTTTATCCAGAAATGCTGTGAAAGCTTCCTTTCAGCCTCAATATCATGTATTTTGCACTTTATTCTCTTTATTATGTTTGTTTCAGAGATTTGAGATACATAAATGATGCTCACGTGATGAAGGATGTATTTTGAGGAAGCCCAGGAAAAACTGAAGAACAAACTGCTGCCTCTCAAAAACTCTCCTCCTCTCCCTCTCATCTAAACAGTGGATCCCCACATTCCCTCGTTCCCACCGCCGCTGGCTCATAAACAGCTTCTCTATACTACCTGTAGTCATCAACGCCTGAGGGATCACAGACAAAAACACACATGTAGCGAGACATACACACACACACACACACACACACACACACACACACACACACTGGTGTTTCTGAGGAACAGGAAACTTCACCACCTGATCCTGACACCTGCTGGAGATGTGACACCTGAGGGTTTACTTACAGCCTTTGTTGGCCTAACCTGTCGTGGGATTGAGTGACAATCCAAACACCTCAGTGTAGAATACTGGACGTCAGATGAATCTGTGAAAATACAGCCATGAACTCACCAGAGGAATCTCCTGCAGTGTGGCCTCAGGCAGGAAGAAGAGGAAGCGGTCTACTTGGCTCACTGTTGTTTTATTCCAGTTTTTGACCGGACTGTGAGACAACAGGGGAAAAAAAACGTCACGATTTTTCCATAGTTCTCTCAAATATGAAACAATTCCTCCACAATTTTCATTAGACTTTATTATCAGAAAGCCCCACTGAGTGAATGAATCAATTAATAAATAAAAACAACAAAAAGAACTTGTTGAAAATTGTAACACCACTTAAAATATTTCTTCTTTTTAGTTGAAATACAAATTTAGGAATTTCTGGGAACGGTTACATCATGATTGATTTTTTAAATTAGATTCATCTATGAAGTTTTAATGTATCTGTTATAATACTAGTGTTTAATCACATTTTAAAGCAAAGGATTTCCCATTAAAGGTAATACTTTCTGCTCATGCGTAACAACAAAGTATATCATCTACTTTTACATTATTGCCTCTAACAACGAAAACTTTACATTGAGATGTCTGTTACCCAAAAGCTGCGGGATCTTGAAGGATGCGGGCGACAATATCCATCTTGCTGCTACTGTAGCAGAGCTCCTGAAGGAAATCTAGATTCTCAGTGAAGAAGCTGCGGTCGAGCTGAATGAAAACTTCATCCACCACAAACGGTGCCATGATACCCAGAGAATTAAACTCCTCCTCAGTGAACAACCCTGTGTACATGCCCTGCACAGAAACGGTCCACAAAACAACAAACCATCTGTGCATCAACTCACAGTTTCATCAAAACAACAAAAGAGGGACATTGCAGCGTTAGCTCTACTGACCATCCTCTGAACCATCTTGTCCACCAGCAGCTCCTGTTTAGTCCTCGACAGCATGAGGAAGTGCTGAGGGTCCTTAATAATCTTCCTCCTCAGGGTGTCCATCATATCTTCAGGAAACTTCTTGATGGTGCTCACCCTGAAAGCAAAAACACAAACACAGGAGAACAAAATGACATAGAGCACTTTGATCACAAAGTCAATAAATACTATAAGTACTTAAAAACAACCGTTAAAGGCCTTTTGTAATTTGTTCCGACTCAAACACGCATGTCGAGAGGGAGGTTGTTTTTGTTTCAGTTTGTTTCATAGTCATGTTAAAGACTAACACTTGTCTTCCTTAATGAGAACGTACATATTGTGGTATTTAAGTTTCTAACATGTTATCCTTGTCGTTTCATGAGATAAAATAGCCCTGCAATTATAAGATAAGATAAGATAAGATGTTTCTTTAATAGTTCCATGGGGGGGAATTTCAAATTTAGAGCAACACAGTATAGGTACAAAAAGAGAAAAATGAAATGATAAAGAAAATTTGAGTTAAAAAAAAGATATGTATGTGAGTCATTTAATTATGACTCATGTAATTAATTATCATTTATCTAGATTCATCTGATAATAACCCTAAGAAGAAACACCTTAAGTCTATTAACTAATGAAAAGTAGACTTTATCACCCCATCCTTCAAGTCTTCACATTTTCAGAACAAGGAAATGGGTCCTTACGGCATAGACAGGGCGATCTCAGCTCCCAGATCTTTCAGAAGCTCAGAGAAGAACTCAAACTGATACAGCCGCTCGATCACACACCTTTTCTGTCCGTAAGATCACAGACAAATGACAAAAGGTATACAGGTAACAGTATTTATCACAAGCACAAAGGCTGTATAGAGCATCAGTTTAACAGGTTAAGTGTACCAGTGAGGTATGAAGAGGACTGGGCTGCTGTCTGAGGACGAGCAGGATTTCTCGGACTGCAGATGGTGAGGAATCAGCCCTGAAATGTTTCTGTAAGACCTCACAGCTCACACCCTGACCCACTGTTCCCAGACTCCTGGTTACATCAAGAAGTGAGTGTAAAAAATGTTAATACAAACATATATCTTTGCCAAATACATCATTAGAGAGACAGAGATGTTACAGCAGTTTAAAAGGGACGATGATTTAGCGCTGAGACTTTGTACTCACACAAGATCCTGGCTGGTAGGGTTTGGTTTAGTTAAATGCAGCACTTTAAAAATGGCTTTGGCCTGGAGAGAAAAAGGTACAAAATGATTTATTTGAGCATTGAAGCCTACTTCATGCAGGCCCTGGGCTGTTTTTTTCACAGTTTGTATGAACAGAAGACCCAGAAATCTGATATGATGAGGAGGTGTGTCTGTGTTTGCATTTACAGGCAAATACATTCACAGTAACAGTGACGATGGCGCTTTGCTCTTGCTTCTTCACTTAATAATTTAGCAGCTTATCAAGATACTGTCATACACACCTCAGCAAGACAAACAGATGAAGCATTTCTAATTAAAGGAAGCACAAAGAGTTCATTACACAAGGTGGAGACCGTAGACTTAAGACCATGGAGCCTTTGTGTGTGTTATTGTTTCTTTTAGTCAAAACTAATATGTGTATATTTCTTCTCCTGATACATTATCAGTCATTAAATCACAACGGTCTCAAATGCAGCAGTTATTTTAATTCTTTTACACATGCAGCTTTAGTTGCCTAATTTTGACTATAGTTTCCTAAAGTCAAATGAAAGTTCAAAAAACAAACGTTAGATTTTTTCTGGGAATATTTTTCTACCCCTAACTCACAATCATGTGTAAGGATTCCCAAATCAATCAATCTTCATATGAAATATTAAACACTTTCTAGTTTGTAAACCTTTCAGACATATTTTTTATTGACTTAATAACAGTCATGCATATGAACACTGTGAACGAGTTTAACAAACATATTTTATACAGAAAAAGTCCAGTGGTTTCTATCCTGTGTCGGTGTGTGTCATACCTGCTGTGTGTTCCATGATTTTGTGGATGTAGAGGTGATTTTTTGGACTAGCAGAGGAATTCTGGGCAGGACGCTGAGCAGAGGCGTGCAGGCGAGCAGAGGGTCCACGTCATCCAACCAAAGCACCACCTCTGGGAAGCCCTGCTCAAGAAAACAGCAAAAATTAATCACAAAGACCGCTTAACAAGAGAGGGGTTTGTTTTTTTTCTTACATTCCAATCGAATCAAATCCAGGTTTAGTTATAAAGCACGCTGACCAAAGTGCTGTTCAGTAAAAATTAAAAAACAATAAAAAAACAGACAATTAACACGAACAATAAAACAAAGACACAGGAACACATTAAAAACAGGGGGACATAGATGGTTGAGTAAAAACATGATTAAAAGGCCAAGTTCTCAGGAGTTAAAAGCCAATGAGTAAAAGTGCGTTTTCAATTTGATTTAAAAATCAAATGGGACAGTTGGACATGAAGAGGAAGAGCCTTCAAGAGCTTAGGCACAGTCATACCCTGGACTTCAATCTTGACCTAGGGACAGTCAGAAGGTAGTGGTCAGAGGATCTGAGAGTCAGAGATGAAATATAGGGTTTCAAAACGTCAGAGAGATAAAAAGGAGCAAGCCCGTTTAAAGATTTATCATACAGTGGGAAGTTTTGCATTACAAGATATTGTTCTCTTTTATTATATCACAGTATTTATTTGCCAATGCTCATTATTGTTTTCTGTTTTTTTGTTGTCTGTTTGCAATACCTTTCCGTTTCTGTCAAAAAAATTAGACATATTATTAAGTATTTAAAATCGTCTTGTAAATTTCAGTCTGCTTTGAGTGCGTTTGTATTTTACCCAGAGCTTGGTGGCAACAGCATAAGCTATTAGTGGGTTGAGGCCTGGTGTGTACTGGGCCAGTGCAGGCACAGATGACAGCAGCCTGTCAGAGGTGATGGTCATCATGGCCTCTGTCCTCAGACCCACAATGAGGGAGCCAAGCTGCTCCAGCTGATCTGTTGTAGTCAGCTGGGTGGAGGGGAAGAAAAAAAGGGGTTCAAAGTTGTGAAAACACAGAGGACATCTTCAAATTTTTATTTGTATTCTCATGTGTTTTAAGAAGAACTTACTGCATTATTAGTCGACAGCTTGTCTACAATAACAGAAGCCTGGAAACACACAGGAAAATAGATTAGATTTTACCCATTAAAACCAACAACATTATTTTAAACTAAGTTCAAACTACCTCTATAACATGTGTCATGGTGGACCTGTCAAACCACCTCTCTCTTAGTTTGGTGTACACCTCAAAGCTCTCAGTGACATACAAAAGCTAGACAACAGCTGTGGGGCTGAGGTGAAAGTAAAAGGCTTCAGTTCAGGTGATAGCCGAGGATATGGGATAAGCTCCGGTCTTTACCTCATGAGCTATCTCACCTCAGAGCTCAGAATGCTAAAGATCAACCTGCCTGTCAGCTGTTCCTCAGGCCCACCAGCTGCCAGCAAATCAACCATGTACAACAGAGTCTTACATAGTGACAGGCATTAACTAAGTCCTCCACTCACTTACACGTGATGGTTATTAACACAAAAAAAAAATAGTCTCTTCAGTGAAGAAACTGATGCGTTGAATAAAAAATAAATTCTAGTTACAGAGGATGGTTTCTAAGTTCAACTTAATGTACGTTTGAGGTTGAGTACACTCTTCTACCTGTGCAGGGCTGAATGAAATAGAGCTGAGGGTCGGTAGAATAGGTTGCAGCTGAGACGGTGTGAGACCCTGCAGAAAGGGCACACCAAGCGCGGGCAGAAGATGGGCAAACTCTGCCAGTCGATCAGAACTGAGAGAGGACGGGACCTTTAATTCTGCGCTGTTCAATAACAAACTGGAAACCTGGATGGAGGGTTCATAACAAACACAGAGACAGCGTATACGTTTAATATTCCCCTTTAAAGGAACTGCGAGACAAAAACGCACCTATCAACAATCATACAGATCATGCACATGAGCTTTTCAGTGCCTACCAGCTGGCTGGGTAGACTCAGTCCTGCACGTGTGCAGTTTAATACCATGTCCTGGATGACACTGAAAGCATCAGTGCCTTTATACGCAAGGAGGTCCTCTGAATCTGCCTGGCAGGAAAGATTACCTAACCTGCGATTACAAACAAAAAGGTTAGTATGCACACCATTTCTCATATTTATCCTTAAAAGGTTGAGCATACAGCCATCAAAGGCTTTTGTATTTCAATCTACGAAGTGAAACTATAGAACACACAGACATATATGTGAATGGACTTGAATTAAGCCAGTATCTTATCAACATTTCACACAGTAAGAGAGGTTTGATTGTCTTTTACTGACCTGGTAAAATCCTGTGCAGTCAGGTTTCTGTAGCTGCTAATGAGGCTGTGAGAGATGAACTCCTGCTTTAGAGGTGTGAGGGTGTTTCTCTGCAACACTTCCAGACCATCCAACAGCTACAGATAAACATGTGACAGTCAGTGAGATTAAACACATGGGCGAAATGGCATGGGAGAAAAGGAAATAATGAACGTGTTCTCACACCCAAAGCACAAATGAAAGCTTGACAACATGAAAAAACAGGAAACACTTTACATTAATGATGATATCTTATCGTATCTTTTTGAGGAATAGTGGCCTCGAGAATTGATATTCAATACTTAATAGATCAATCTTCATGTAAAATATGAAACTCGTAACACATTCTAAAGCATTTTATCATGACTTACAAGATCAGGTGTTATAATGTGTTATGCTTATTGTTATAAAGCCTTATGATAATGAATAAGTGTTTATAATGATAGTTATACAAGTTTATAAGCAAATTATAACACATCATCAATACCTGACCTTGTCAATCATCATAAAATGCTTTATAATGTGTTATGATTATTGCTATAAAGCATTATGATCATTTATGAGTGTTTATAAGTGTAGTTATACAGTGCTATAACGTGATTATAATGAATTACACATATATTTTAATTGCATTATAGAGATAGGAGTCAAGTTAAGTGTTACTGAACTTGCTCTTGCAGCTTAACAACACAGCTGATAAAGAGGAAAACAGTTCATTCTGTTTTGTCCAAAGGTAACAAAATCTTTCTTCAAACACCTCTCAACCTCAAACTCTCACTTTACAGATTATTTATCTTTTCCATAAAGACTGTAAGAAACAGGTGTACGCACTACCTGGCCAAATAAGCACATTTCCAACCATTTTCTTCTAAAATCCATGCAAGAGTAAATAGGTCAGGAGGCTTCCGTCTTCTGATCATTTATAACTCATGAGTTCCTGTCGTTACTTATTGATCATTAGCCCCAAGCATATGAAACAGGACAGCGCAGACACAGAGGTGCTTTTTGACCAGTTTGTGACAAGGAGCTCTGCTGCACCCTCGGGCTAATAGTACTGAAAGAGTCTTGGCCTCTAAAGTTGCACAGCCAGGTGTCAGAGCTCAGAGGGCTGTTACCTGAGCAGGTGAAAAGTGTTGGAAGTCATGGAAGGGCAGGTAAGCGATCAGGTTTCCAGCGTCCCTGATGAGTGACTGTGGACCTCTGGTGATGTCGGATCGAGACATAAATTTGCTGTACCACAAGCCAAAAGCTCGCCTCTGCTCCAGAGTCATGTGCACCAAGTTTCTGTTGATGGTGTCTCGACTGGAAAGTATGAAAAAAAATTATGATTAGTGCTTTTTTTATTATCCTCTAAAAAAATCTGAAAATTTGTAAATATTTTGATTAATACAGAACTTTGCAAAACAAATTTGAAGGTCATGTCTCCTAAACTTGATGATTTATGACATGACAGGACGCAGGATAAACACCAGGGCTAAGGTTTTCAAAAACAGAAATTATTTAGAATTAGTCACTTTGATTTTGTCCTCGACCTTGTTATCTAACCTTAAGTGCTGGGTTGTAGTATCTAAGAGCTTACTGTCCTGCACAGATCATTAAATTTGAAATGAGCGGCTCTCATAAGCAGATAATAAAGACAAAAAGTAGATAGAAAGCACAGTCAAGACAGAATGAGTTTTTGTTGTTGTAGTCCATGTTCAACGACTCATTCTCTGGCAGGCAGAAAACACCTAAACCCACTAAGAGCCCATACTAGAGTGTAGGAATTAGTTTCCTTTACTTTCTATGTATAATGCATGTGTCTGGTAACTCAGGGTGCAATGACACATCACTTCTCAAACGTCTTACACCTGTGCTTTGCTTGGAAAGAGGCATAATATATGCAAGAAAGGGGAAAAATGCTATTGTGGCAAACACAAATAAGTTGTGGTTATGAATACTGTGGACCGATAAAAACATAACAACATGTCGAAGAGTTCATGTTTTAGTTATCTAGTAAACATTCAGAAATTCATTTTTTGGTGGATTTTTTGATCATTTTTGGTCCCAGCATGACTGCCACACATGATGCTGCTTAGAAATCCTAACAAATGAATTATTTCCCCACACACTGATCAATATTAAACTCAATCCAGTGAGTGGTTCTGTTAGGGACCCTGGCACACTTTTTCCTTTCGCTATCATTAAAAGGAAAAAAAGATTTATACTTATTTAGTAAAGGACTAACTTGGATACCATCTAAATCCATCACGCGATTTCATGTTCTCAAGATTTGAATGATAAGCTATCTGATCAATGGAGCATTATAATACGCTGGAAAATAATATAAAAATACAAAAAAGCATATTACAAAAACAGATTTAGACATAAAATTGAAAAGTGGATCATTTACACATTGATGTTGTTCTGCAGAGAAGGCAAAGCTTGGATATCAGCAGGTGTGGCTGCAGCCAGCAGGGGAGCAACCTCGGGGAAAAGACTGCCATCTTTGACCAGGTGATTCTGGAACAGCACTGACACCATGGTGGACAGGTACTTGTCGGGCAGCTGGGAAATAGAAAAAAATCCAATCTCTGCTTGATTGTGTATTATGTAACCAGGTGAGAATATATAGCCTGATAAGTATGAGTTGTACAGAGTTGTGAAGTGGTTGGTTTGTATTCACCTGCAGCGAATCCTTGTTTCTGTTATAATACTGCAGGATCAGTCTGACAGTGGTGATGTGAGCTGAACTCAGAACTGACCTCAGTCTACTCAGTGGTATACTGAAGTACTCCTGGACACATAAACAAATACAAATACACTTTCCTTATGAAGAACCAGTAGTAGATAGTAAAGGATAATCCTCAGAGTACCACGAAAGTCTACAGCAAACTTTAGACCAAAGACCGGACCATGTTGGGACCATAAGTGTAAAAATATTTCATGAAATCTGTTCAACAATCTTTTTAAAGTTTGGTGTAACTCACCTTTATGAGGGACGATTCCTCATTGGTCACGTCCCTCGCTGTCTGCATCAGGCTAGTTAACACCGTCTACAAAAAGAGCGCACAAATAAACACGGGGACGAAACACTGCTTACACCGCTTCTGATGGTATCATTGAATCTGGGAGAGGATACAACACGATGATTGTCAAATCAAGTGTAAGCCTGTAGAGATTACACTCAGTGGAGACAGTACATCATGTCACTATCAATGACAGAAGTGTAACTGAACACCAGCCGGGAGCAGGTCTTTCTCTGCAGGTCAGCTTCCATACAATGACCGTAATGGTAACTGATCTGGATGAATAGTTAGAAAAACTGTCATGAATTGTGCTCAACAGAAACAGATTGAGCCTTTAAATATACTGCATTATCTTTTCAGAGCGGACTTCCGGTCATCAAGGCTTTAAATATCAAGTTACATATAATCAAAACACACAATAAAACAAATCTGAAAGCTTCAACCATCACTGTGAGCTCGATACTTTCCTTGTCTGGAAATGCCTAATCAAACTTCTTACCCCAAAGCACTGCAGCAGGACTCCCTTTCTCTCAAAGTTATTCTCCTTCTCAATAAAGCGGACCACAGATGCCAGCACGCTCAGTCTTATGTTCTCTGTGACGTGCAGTGAGGTGTTCCTGACCTCCTCCAGGGCCAGCAAGAACACTACGGTTGTACTGACAGCCTGCTCCAACACAGTGGCCACAGGAGGAGGCAGCAGATCCTCCACCCTGGACCTCAGACTCTCCACCCAGCAGCGCACCATGGTTTGCAGGGCCGTGTTCTGACTCGCTCCCGGCTGGCAAGCGGAGTTGAGATCAGCCGAGCAGCTCCAGTTGAACCGATTCACCAGGTCTCTTGCCAGGCAGATGTCAGGCTCTGCAGTGGAGCTGTTGTTGTTGGTTGTGTAGTTGGTGTATGTAGTACACATGTTGCCGACCCAGGTGCTGGACGGCTCCCGGGAGAGCAGAAAGAGCAACCCAGCATCAGGGCAGATAGAGGAGATGAAGCTGGTCTGGTCATGCTCCCAGCAGAGAGTGAGCAGAGCTACATCAGGAAGAGAAATGCCCCAGCTGGAGTACTGACACTGCTCTGCGGGGTTGAATCCAGTCACACCTCCTCCCTGCCCCTCTCCGTCATCAGGGGGGACCCCAGAATCTGTATGATTGGCACAGTGCTGTAATAACCAGGTGTTGTCCTGATTGGCCAGCAGGTTCTTGAGAACTGTTTCATTGGCGCAGACTTTGGAGGTGAAGTTGAGTGGGTCCGTCTCGGCACAGAGAGCCAGTTCGGTCATGTCTACAATAACGGGGCGGGTCCACTCAGAATACTTGCACACCTGAAGAAGGAATCATCAGGACCACATTAGAGTAAAAACACTTTGACACAACATTTCATCTCACTCTGACTCTCTGTAACTGTGGAAAAGAGTGAATAATGAGAGGAGAAATTAGCTGCAAATCCAGAAAAAAAGAGACAAATTCAACAGACTTTAACCACCGGACCCTGTGACATCTATTTTTTTGAAGACTGATAAATTAAATATGTGATCTCTCTCTCTCTCTGCTCCTTAAAAACAGATTTTCCACTTTGCAACCCTGAAAGGCCCGGAGTACTTTACTTGCAATAACTGGATTTTCATTGTTTTTCTTTTAAAATAATTCTCGGGTTTATTTAAATTTGATATTTTATTAATTATTATGTATTATCTGCTTTTTGTTAATAACAGCAGCAGAGCCGGCCCAAGGCATAAGCGAACTAAGCGCCTGCTTAGGGCCCCACGGCCAATAGGGGGGCCCCCAAGAGCAATCAAAAAAAAACAAAAAACATTTTTTATTTTTTTTGCATGTATGAGTGATGCTTTCTGTATGATCAAATACATATTATTGTAAAAATAAAGTAAAAACATTTTAGTGCTGCTGCTGATGTAGGCCTATGATTCTTATTGCCGATATGTCAAAGCTCTGCTACTGTTACGTGCCTTTTGCTGTGCAGTGTGCACTGAGCATCCAAAGCGCAGGTAGTTGTGGGGAAAAACAATGTCGCAAAAAAGGACATATCCTTCAGGAGCAGAGAAAAGAAAGAAGAAGAAGTAAGAAGTAAAGAAGTAAGAAGTAAGAAGAGAAAAAACGCCAAAATAAAGGTATGTTTGCCTGTCATGGAATGTTAATCAAAGAGATTTGTGAAGGTGTGTGAATTTTGCTCAGGGCCTCTGAACAGCGGATATTGCTTGCTGAATATGATTTGGCTTTTTATCTACATGAATTTGCTGTTACAGAAAGCTTCTCACCTGTGGCAGCTCAGAAATTTCTTCTATTTCCTTGTCCGCGCAGGAAAACATCAGCCAGTTGTTTTTAGGGTTTTCTAACAGCTTTTTAAACAATGACACGTTGCAGCAGACATTCTTCTCAAATGCCGGCTGATCATTCTGCCAGCAGTAGCCGACAACTGAGTCGTCCACATGCCGCTCTCCCCACGTGTGGTAGTCACACCAGCCGGTGATGCCAAAGGGCTGAGTTGGCTCAGGGAGTATCGTATCGAGGGAAGCTTCGCAGTGATTCTCAAGCCAGTCGTTTTCCTTATTGAGGAGGAGGCTGTTCAGAAAAGTTCTGTTGGAGCAAACTTCCTGGGTGAAACCAATATGGTCAAGACGGATGCACTCTGACAAAACATCTATGGTTATCTGTGTCACATCACGCCACTCTGAGTAACGGCAGGACTCTGAAGTGATTGAATTCATGTCAGGCAGTGGTGGTGGAAAGGGCAAAGCTGTGCAGTTAGGCATGAACCGTCCGTTATCAGGGTTGGAGAATAAAAGCATGAAGAACCCAGTGTGCTCACAGATGAGAGCGGTGAGTCGGGTACCATCCAGGTTCATGCAGAACTCCAGTAAAGATGGGAGTAGTGGGACTGAGGGCTCCCCCATCCACTGCTCGTAGACACAGAACTGACTCACAAGGTACGCAGAGTCTGCAGAAGAGTTAGCACAGTACCCGTACAACCAGCCGTTCATCGGGTCTGACAGCAACTTCCTCATCAGCAGAGCATTGTTACACACCTGCTTCACAAACTCCCCACGTTCATTGTCACTGCACAAGGACACAAGAACGGGATCCACCACTTCATTTTCTAACCAGGCGTTGTAGTTACAGGCCAGCAGTTTGAGGTTAGACGCCTCTCTGGCTACTCGAGGAGGTGCAGCACCAGGTGAGAGGGCGGTTTCGGAGGGAGGGGTGACTACAAGCGGAGACTGAGTGCATTCAGACGACCTGCTGAGGAGCGGAGACATCAGTGCTTGAATGACGTAACACATGTTGCTCCACAACTGCTCTACCTGGTCAGCAGTCAGGGAGCTCAGTTCTCGGCAAAAGGTGAGCACATATGTTGAGGATGCCACCCTGGAACCTGTGAGGATGTCAGCACACAGTGTGTCGTTCAGCCTGGCCAGATTGTGGCGATCGCACTTGAGCAGGATGTCCTGGTTGATGTCTATGTCGTCTTTTGCCTCTGAGGCACTGCGCTGGAAAGGGGCCCGGGAGGGATTTGTGCACTCTGGTCCTGGACACTGAGGCTGATCAGGAGCGAGGAAGATATCCAGGAGGATGTCAATGATGGAGGCACCGAAGGACCAGCTCACATTGTTGTTAATACCCCTGAAAGGAGACAATACATCCTTATTGTAGATCATCACAACAACACAGTTCAATATACTAAATATGTTGAAATAGGGCTGGGCGATATGACCTCAAATCAATATCATGATATATTGAGCAGTTCACCTCAATAACGATAAATGGACGATAACTACTCCACAAGCTGCTCACTCTCTGCCACGTTAACTTCGTCTATTTCAGTCGCTACAACTTTGAACCGTCCTCCATCTCCTCACCTGTCTTTCCCTCTTTGTTACGGACTGGATGGGGTGGAGTCACGTCTCTGATGTAGGACATCGTCTTAAAGGGACATGAGACCATAGCCTACCTACACACATCCAAAACCAAGTTTTTGTTTATGTATTTTCTTGACACCGAATAAATCGGCATGGGCAAAATGACATCAGATATTGTCGTAAATTTTCGGTTTATCACCCAGCCCTATGTTAAAATTAAAGGTTCACTGTAGAGTTTCACCACAAATAAAAGAAATATTAGTCATGTTTCGCTTTTATAACTAATCATTTGAGCTTTGTTTAAAAACAGATATCTCTTTTAGCCTGGTATGGCTTCATCACCACAACACCCATTGTTCCTTTAGTTTTCTGTATTCTGAAATTTCCCCCCACCATTTGAGATTTTTTTTTACTGCTTTTTAAAATGTTGTTTTCCATCCACATAATAGCACCTAGGTATAACTGGCTAGTGACCAGAATAATGATTTTTGGGCTGTATTAGTTTGATGACAATATCCATTTATTTCCCCTTGTTTTTAACTGCAAGTTTAATGTAGGCCTGGGAAAAAGTAATTTGACTTTTGTGGTGTTAGTCTCAAAGATGGGAATTGATTTCACTCCATAAGTGAGTTTTGATATGATAAAGGGCTCGTGTTTTTTTTACTGGCAACTTACCACATAATGAGCTGCTTGAGATCTCCTGCAGAAATATAAAACAAAAATGAGCCAGTGTGAAGAATTGGTAATTAACTGCATCTCATACAGTACACTATTGTAAACAGAGTAAGAACTGATAAAAAGGAAAAATGATTTACCTTGCTCACAGGTCTCTTTCCCCTCTAAAGATGGTACCCTAATTCCAAACTGCAGAGCTATTCTGATATAATCCATGGGTACTTGTAGTAAAGTTGCCATGTAGTTTGACAGGTATGTTACACCTGCATCCATAAACCCACTCGCAGCCACCAACAAATTCCCAGAAAGAGGGAAATTTGACAGTATATTAATAAACGTGTCCTGAAAATCATCTAGTGCTGCTGATGCAGATTCCCCGAACCAGAGGTAAGTATTGAGGAAGCTGGCTGATCTTCCATCACGTTTCAGTGGGAAGCAGGACTCTGTGCGCAGAGATGACACAAAGTTCAGCAGTGGTTTTCCTAACTCCAAAGATACAGTCTTTGTTAGTTCAGCCTCTAGGCCGCAGTCCTGTTTGCCAGATAAAATACACACTAATGTTTTGGGAAGGTCATCTACAAATCTGTCTCTCAGCAGAGGTTGAAAGACAGTGTACAAGTCACTCAGGGCACGGTAATATGCATTTAAGTCCAAACCTCCCATTGTATGTGAGGTGCTGAAGCTGCGGGTATTTGCATTTTCACCGGATAGAGAGTGGATTTCATTGATAACTCTTTGGATGTCTTCCTCTAGGCTGGAGGCCGTGCCAGGAGTCTGAACAGCTTTTCTTTGTATCCATTTGGGTTGTGAATACACATCACCTACGATCCCTGTAAAAAAAAAAAAAAAAAAAAGCATTTAAAAAAGACATTAATCATAATTTCCCACTTTGAAAGGGGTGAAAATGTTTTTGTGCTTTACGTGTGAAAATTGAAGAAACAACATACATGTGGCATATCGGGGTTCATCTGCATGGTTTCTATAGAGACCCTAGTCTACGGTGGCCGAGAACTGCCACTAGTGCAAATTTTTAAAAAAAGAAAAAATATATGCAGGAAAAAAATGAGTCACAATGGAAGTTACCGGTGCAAAAAAGAGAAACCAAAGCCTGTTGCAAATAAAAAAAGGTACAGTGCAGATAAAAAAAGCCCCAACAGAAGTTAACGACGCAAAAAAAAGTGGCAATGGAAAAAAAAAGGTACTTACTGCGAAAATAAAGGGATGAAAATAAAAAAAGCCACAATAGAAGTGAGCTGCCGGGGACTACTGCTGTCGTCTTCTGTGCCTAGATCGTAAAACACTGATGCATCATTATTAATGGACCCAGCTGCGTACTTCTGTTGTGGCTTTTTTTTTTTGAGCCTTTTATTTTCACAGTAAGTAACTTTTTATTATAATAATAATTATTATTATTATTATTTTTGCATCACCACTTTTGTTTTGCATCATTAACTTCCTTTGTAGCTTTTTTTTTTTTTTTCAAATCTACACTGTTTCTTTTTTTTATTTGCAGCAGGCTTCAGTTTCTTTTTTATTGCATTGGTAACTTTGGTTGTGACTTCTTTTTTTTATTTGCAGAAGTGGCGGTTCTCAGCCACCATACTAGTCAAGTTTTTTGCTTTACTATGCCTATATTGTCATTGTTTCACACAAATGCTAATTCATAAGGCTAGAGATAAACAGAATAACCTAAGTTTATTTTACTTTGTACTCACCCAAAAGGATACACATGATGCTAGCCGCTGCCGTCGTCCACATTTTAAGCGTCGTCAATTGAATTCAAGACAGTTATAACTCCAGGAAATAAAAACAGTAAATCCACTCCTGGTTTTATCCTTTGGATGCAGTAGAGATCTCCGGCTGAGGCAGAGGAACCGGACTAATAACAGACTTCATAGTTGTTAACTCGACAGTCAGTCTCGTTGCCCATCCTTCAAACTTCATCTTTCATCCCTTGAAGACTGAGGTGATGATCCGTCTTACCTGACACTGTGTTCCTGCAGGCTCGAGCTCCTCTCCCCCGTGTCCTCCTGAAACCTGACACCGGGTCTGAAGCAGCGTAATTAAGGACACCGGTAAGGGGGAAAAAGGTAAGGTGCGAAGTGAGGGCTGTGAAACGCAGAAGGGATTTCGGCAACAAGCCCGACCGTCGCTGCTGAATTATTAACGGAGTGTGTTGATTAACCCCTGCGCGTGAAACCCGAGTCCCGCACGAGGAGCCAGAAGACACCAGACCGACTGCTGGAGGATTTGCACGACACCGCCACACCACGAGCGTCAAAAAAAGGCCCTATGAGGGAGTTTATATAGATAGGAAAAGGGTGATTCATTAAACCAATAATCTCTTAAAACAGCAAATATCAATATAATGCCAAATAAGGTCAAATTCTGAGATTAAATACGATAAAATTAGTCCAGTATTCAGAGCATAATGTTGGGCATTTGAACGGATTTTCTGGAGCGATAAAGGTTTAAAAGCAAATATCAATATCTATGTTATCAACATTAACTTCATCAAATCAGGTGATCAGGGTTGGTTTTTTAAAGAGATGAAATGTTAGTCTTCAGTCTTCTTCTCGTGGGAAATCTATTAAGTGTACATTAAATATGTCAAAATGTTTGTGAAATCATTAATGGAAAAAGTCGACAGGATACAAATTGTTATTGACATACTAAGAAAAGATCCAAATTCAACTAGAGTTAACGAAAAAAAGAGATATCTAAACTGAAAAGATTCCTACCTTGACTCTGGTAAAATAAATAATTAAGCATTTACCTAAGTGGCTCCGAATTTTAGGCCTACTTTGAATTACTCCCATCCACAAACAAAGGGATATCCCAGTGTAAAATTAATTTAGGGTTAAACACACTGTAACACCAAGTTAGACACCCCCTCTAGAGATGAATGTTGCTGACTGCTTGCTTCTCTAGTTATACCAACTTTAGTAACGACCGCAATACACAGCAGTCTGAGGAGCCATTAACAAACCTCAACCAAAAAGCCATTCTATAGCCACAAATAATGCTCAGAACAGCACCTAACCTCATCAACAGGACATATAGGGTCCCAGCCATAGTACTAGCCACCAAACATCTTTCTAACTTGGCCTAATTTCTTCAGCAATTAGACTAAACACAACTCACCAAATCTCTTCCAGCAGCCGTTTGTTTGTAAGCAAGACCTGGAGCTAGTCCATCACTGACTATGGCGGGGTGGCGCAGCTGAAGGAAGAACATTTATAATCATTTCTTTATCATTTCCTTGAGGTAATAATCATAAATGTTCTTCCTTGAGCTGCGTCACCCCGCCATAGTCAGTGATAGACTGGCTCCAGGTCTTGCTTACAAACAACGGCTGAGAAGCAAGTGGTCGGCAACATTCATCTCTCGAGAGGGTGTCTAACTCGGTGTTATGGTGTGTTTGACCTTAACTTAATTTCACGCCGGAATATCCCTTTAAGTTAGTTGTTTTGGCAGAAGTTGGGAAGGATAGATTGAGTTAGGATCTCTTCACTCATGGGCACTTGAACCTGTGATCTTGTTAGGGTTAGAGTTTTATCACTCTTTTTTTCTTTCCTGAATGACTCACATCTCCAGCTTCATCTCGAGCAATCAAGAGGAGAGAGAAATAAAAACAAAGAGCATGCAAGAGGTTCTTAACTTTAAAACTTTGTTTCAGAAATTCAATGTAACTGTATGTACACTTTACAATAGCATGTAGCCTGGTGGCTAACAAAGATGTCTTAAAACATTTTAAATACATCTTCAGCACAAATAGCAATTCTTGCAAGTAAATGGCTTAACGGATATTGAAAAAAAAAATCATTAACACGATTGCTCTTTTCTGCAGAAAAGTGCCATGATTAAGATTTAATTCAGGACTTTCCTACAAAGCAGGCTGTTTTCTCTACATGCTAAATTTAACAGTTCAGTAACATTTGCTAAACTAAACATACAGATATTTTTTTAAGAAAAAAAAAAAACACTCCATCTGAAGTAAGTTAAATCTTCATTAATACATTTAAAAAGTAGATATGACATGCCTTTTGAAATCAAAAATACAAAAGATTTTCCTTACTTTAAGGATTTTTTAAACATGAAGCTGCATGTATTGTACAACACTCAGTGTACAATAGTATGGTAATGCACATAAAAATGAGCTGGATGAAAAGTATATAACGCCTCATACTGATCCTTCAAAAACAAGCCATGGCTGATAATTTTACATCATCAGCAGCTCACTGAGGAGATGAGCACACCCACGCTACATCATTCCCAGGGTGAGGCTTGCATACTGAAGGCTGGCAGTCAGGATGGTAAGAGGGCATGGGGGATGGGGAAGGGGAAAACCATGGTGGGGCCTTAAGCACTTCCTCTTCCATACACATTGTTCTTGCCTCCTCTTCAACATTTGAACAGCAGAAGTTAGCTGCCGTCTTGCCCCTGTCTATTTGTTCTTGTTGTTGAGGAAAGAACACAATAAGGAATCTAGAAAAGACTTAAGATACCCCCTCCCCATGTACAATTTACATTCATAGTCTGGACATGTGCACTCTTAACATCGCGTCAGAGTAAACACTATTGTGCCCTGTAACAATGTTTATTTGAGTACAAACTAATTCTAATTTCTGGAGAGCTACTAACTTCTGTTGACAACAAAAAAGGTGAAGATGAACAGATGCTGAACAGATGGAAACCATCTCTGAACAGAACCTGCTTTCAAAGTGAGCAGCAGGGATTGTTTGGGCCGGGCACAGCAGGATTGACCTGCAGACAAACTCAAGGTTGGGTGTGACTCGATGGAATCACGGGACTCCACAGTTACGAGACTACGGTTAAAGATGGGCACGTTTATGTTCGAGTATCTGCAAGAGCTTTGAGGTCTGATTGTCTCTCTCTAGTCTGCATTTCTGGGGAGTGGGACTTTGGGAAATAAGGGGAGGGGCTTATGAGGAAGAGATTCTTATGGCACTGTACAGGCAACCCAGACAAATCCAAACACTGAGATTTAATTCAACATAAAATGGACTTTGATTCAAATTGACCTAACTCTAAAAAGGTTCACCAATGCATGCCAAATCATCAGGGAGCTTCAAGTTAACTCGAGTTTTTTGTCTGTTTCTTCCAATTTATGTTTCCAAAGCATCTGTCTCTGCTTTCTTCTTGTTTTACTTTCACGTAACTCAAGTTGAAACAACAGTGGGGTAGTAAAACGTCAGTTTGGCTGAAATTTTCCAGGCTGAAGTTGGACAGATACACATTCATATAGTTACCATTCTTAAAAAAAATGCTTTAAACTGCACTAAACATAAAAAAAGAAAAACACAAAAGCTAATAATGAGTACAAAATAAAAACATGTGAAACAGGTAGAGGAGCAGCCAGCCAAGCTGACTGAACAGTATGTTGCTGGTGCCAGATATGGCTGGTACAGGATCTGGCCATAGATTCCTACCATGGGTAGACTTCATGACACACTGGCAGAGATGTGCTACATTAGTCATAACGCTACTGATATAGCAATCAAATTACACATTACAACTAAAAGAAACTGCTCTGACTTAACCAGTATGTTTGATTAGGTGTTAAAGAAAACACTGATTATAGACAAATGAAAAATCAAATACTATTTTTAAAGAAAGGTTGACACGGATCACTTTGAAAATGAATGCCCTCAAACCTTTACAATATATCAGATTTACAGGTAAGAAGATTCTCAATCCTAACATTTAATTAAGGAGCCATGATGTCAACAGTGAAGCAAACACTTTCATTCACACCTCTAGTTGTTAGAATCAGAACAAACTATACTTTAAGTCCTGGATTGATTCCTTTTCATTTGCAGCGGACTGTCAATTAACACGCACCCATGTTCTCCTAATAGGAAAAAGATCTACAATAAAACTTACATGACCCCTTTTAAAATATCATATCTTACAAACAGAAGTAAAACATTTTGAAACGCTATCTCTTTTTTTTTTTTTTAAAACAATAAAACACCAGTTTTACCAGAAAAACTGCAACCAACAATAGAAACTTGACTCAGCTACGGAGGAATGCATATGATTTAAAGGCTACAGATTGTAGGTTTGCCAAACACCAAATCAGTGTGTATGTGTGTGTTTATGTTTGTGTGTGGCTTGGAGTAAACAAACACACATGCACAGATTCATTTACAGGCCAGTCATTCCTGCTGAAAATGGTCTGTAGCCACAGAGTGTCGTTATTTATCAGTGTCAACAGCGTGAGCACCAGGGGTTTGGTTTAGGTTCGGGGACTCAGTCGGGGCAGAGTTCCTCTTTCATTGGGGGCAAATTCATATCCGCTAAACCAGCACCAAGACTGCAGGATTACGTGTGAAGACAATGTCTGTCGCCACAGCTGGAGAGTCACTCAAAAAGAGGAGTTACCTGGGCATTTTGATAGAGTGTAATTTCATCCTTATATCTAGATATTAAGAAAATTTTAAATACCCAGGTATTCAAAAACATTTTCCTTTTAAAGTTTTAAAAAGCAATGGTTGGTTCAAAAAAAGAAAGAAAAGAAAGGCCAAAATTTTTACAGTATAATGGCAATGTTGTAGTTTGTAATCCAAAGAAGGGCTTTTTACACGCATGTTGTTTCAGTCTGTCTATGGTGTCCCATTCAGAGAGACGGTGGTCCAGTTCAGTCAGGGGGCAACAGGTCATGAAGCCGGAACCTCTCTCGAACGTGGGGCCTCACGTCCTCGTTCTGAACAGGGGGGGAGAAACCATGAGAGGCAGAGATAAAAGATCACGACCACTTACGATGAAGGTTAAACATCATCCAGATGTGATTTAAAGTGGTCATACGGTGTGTAATTCACCCATATCTTACCATCTCGACCAACTTCTCCAGGAAGGGCACCAGCTTCAGAAGCTCATTGTCATTTTTGTCCATGAACCAGCTCTCTATGGGAATCCCATTGGACAACTGTTGGGGTGAGAACATGTCAAATGTGATCACATGTGTGATATGTTTGTATTGTCAACAACATGAGCAGGAAATGTGCCTGGATCACTGGCGGGGTTCGAAATGAACTTTTTTGGTGAAGTTAGTTTTAGGTTGGATATCCGACGGACATTCACAGCAGAACTACCGGTGTCTTCTCACTCTGCATAACCGTGAATGGCAACAGTAGCGCGGTTAAATCTACTCGGCCACCCCCCCGGTCAACGTAGGATGTTGATTAAGGGACCATCAATAAATTACTGGTTGATGTTCTCAAAAAAGGCTGTTTTCCTTCAATAGCTTCAATGTCACGTGACCAATTGACCTAAAATTGATTCCAAATAATAGTACTTATGTCAGCCAATAAGACACACCTCTTGATTTCCCTAATTTATCCTCTAAAACATTTTGTGTTAAATTTAAAAGGCAAATTTTGAACATTTTCCTCAATAGCTTCCATGTCACACGACCAAAAGACCTTAAATTGATTTTAAATAATAGTACTTATGTCAACCACTAAGACACACATTATTCGATCAATTTTCATTGTGCCCTTAAAGTTCTTTGTGTGCTCCTTACTTTTTCAACTTAGGAGCACATGTGCTCCTTGTGAAAAAAAAGTTAGTGTCAAGCCCTGACAGGGAAATCTGAATAGATGTTTTTAGACTCATTTTTCCAGGAAGTTCCTTTGCAGTTTCATTTTCTTTTGCTTTGTGCTGCTTTGTAGCGTTACACTATGTCAAAAGTTTTTACCTGATATGCAAAGGCTTGTGGTGAATTGTCAATGATGATGGTCTTTGACAGGTCTCTGCCTAAGATGTTGAGGTCCTTGATGTAGTTTCCCTGGACACAGACACAATGCTCCCGGAACAACCGGTGTCTAGTGTTACAGTCGAGGATGAAAGAAAAGAGGGAGCGGAGACAAAAAAAAAAATCAATCAGTGACAAGGTCAGGGCGATCAATAATTCAGAAAAACCACAACACTGACACCTTAACAGCAGCGCATGACAACACTGGAGGGAGGAACAACTGCTGGAGCCCTTTTTTTCCACCCAGGCTTTTAAATTTGTCGTGAAAACAACCAACTCACAAAAATAAGTCTGTACCTTACTAGCTGCTTTTTAGGATCCAAGATGTTGAGCAGTTTGTCTGCATAAACCTTTTTAGAGGCTGTAAAGAGGATAATCTAAAAGAAAGAGAAACAAAATGGTCAGAATTTTTAAGAGGTGCTATAGGGGTAAATCAACAGCAGGAGGTCTGTAATACTTACCTCATATATCTGGGACATGCGTTCCAGGAACTCTCTAAAGTACGGCCTTAGACGCACATACACCTGCACATGACAACAGACAACAGACCTTCAAGATTCGCTCAAACTGATTATCAATAAAACAACAAGAAATGTACAAACAATGGTGATAATATGCACTTTTAAAAATGTAGCTTTTAACATCTTCTCTTCATTTACTGCTTTGAGCTAGCTGCTGCTGTTTTTGTCGTTTGTTTAAATTCTTGATTTTTTAACAGCCAAAGACTAAAGTCCCAACAAACGTGTAACTTTCTGGCAAACAAAGCCTTGAACTGAACTGAGTTTAGTTTTAAGTGTTACACATCACATGCACACCTTCCGCACAGGTGAGGAAGGAAACTTTGTCTCCCTCTAGTGGTACATTATACTGACTCTAACGATCTGTCCACAGAGCACTCACCTGGTAAATGACATCTTGAAAGAGGACAGGGAAGGTAAGTGCTGCATCCTCCAGCTCATTCAAACTGCAGTGAACTAGTGTTTCGTCCTAATGAATACAAGAGAGGAAAGGCATGACATCTTTCTCAATCTTTTCAAATAAAACTTCATTTTTTCATTTTTATTTTTCACTACAAACCAAACATAAGTAAGTCATAATCCCATTACTGACCAGGTCTAAGACCAAGGAGAATTCAGGCGTGCTGCGTGTCTTCAGTGGCAGGGCTGGCTTACGGGTGAGCTGCTCTTCTGTCAGCGGAGGGACGTGTTTGATGAAGAAATACCTTCAAATCAAATTGCAACAAATGGTCTCCGTCAATTCACCATTAAGCTTGAGTTCATTACAGAAGGAAAAAAATATAGCTCAAGGTTTTCCTTTCCACTCACTTTTATGTAGACAAACAAATCAGTGCATTCTGATCTGATAAAATGTACATTTGCCGTTAACATTGGTGCACCACTTATAACAAAATCCAGTGATGGTTTGTCAGATGTTTTCCTGTGCTAATTCGGGTGGTCTACCATCTTAACTTTTTGACTGCTTCCTACAATGCCAATTGCACAGAAATACAAACACCGGGGTCAAACATGTGCTGCTAGCCTTGTCTTGTTGTAGGCTGGGGTGTCAGGTTAGTGGTCTAGATAATGTTTGTTTCCACTGGAGCCGTGACCTGGTTGAATCAAATGTCTCATCATTCTACAGACAACAACTTACTTTGCAAGAAGTAACCCACCTTTTGTTCCATAGGCTAACTGAGGACTGACTGTTTCAGACTATCTGTATTCTGGCTAAGGATATGGTTTAGTTCAATCGAGCGTTTTTGGTCTTCAGTGATTTACTCACGGGTCAAAGACTTCCCAGTCCTCCTCATAAGATGCCTCTGGTGGTACTGCAGCAGGAGGAGAATTCACATATGCCATATCTGGACTTGAACCTGGAGCTTGGACCACAATGAAAACAAGAAACAGAAATAAAAATGGGGAAATGGACAGAGTTGTGAGTTTGCCATATTTCCACATTGCCTCAATCCAGGGTTTAAACTCATAGGGGATCAGGACAATGAGTACTGCAGAGTCTACCTGTGAGGGGGGGCAGGTCTGCATCAGCTTCAAGCTCTCCCTCCACCACCGTGGGAGAGACCTCGGGGATGTGTGGAGGTCTCAGGGGCGGCAGCTGTGTTACACAAGAGTAAAAGTTAGTGGGGGCACACACTTCCTGTGTGGATGTGGCTGTGCAGGTGGGGGTCTCCACAGCCTGCTCCATGTCCAGCTGCTTGACGATCTCCTCAGCCTCCAATGCCTGGTCTGGAGAGTCGGAGCCAGAGGAGGCTGAAAAACACACAGAGGGTTTTTGAGCTGTGCGCTATCACGACACATCTGATACATAGATCACCACCAGGATAGAAACATACACAGCTCTCCATGACATGTCAGTCAGAAATCGACCAGCTCCTTCTAGGTCTACTTACCATTTTTAGCAGTTGAGAAAAAGTTAAAAACAGGGGAGAAGATGGTCCCAAGAAGGGTGGTCCTTGGTGGGCTGGAGGCCACTTCAACGGCAGTTGTCTCCCCCAGGCTGCCATTGGGCTTCTCCTTACTCCTGTCATGATTTGTTGCCTCTGGAGAAGAGAAGGAACAGGTTTAAGGGAGATAAGAAAGAAAACTGTTAAATACAGACTATCACTGAGTCTTTTCGGGTTTCACTCACGTCCGTTGAGGGGGCTTCTCCTGCCGACCCTGCTGATAGTCTTACGGGGGGTGTTGGTGTTCGGGGTTGTGGAGGTGATCAAGTTGTTGTCATCGTCGCAATGGAGTCGTGTCTTCTTGGCTGGGCTCTCCTGTTGCACCTTAATGAAGCAAAACATCATGAAATCATGAACACTGAATGTGGACAAACAGATCAGACTTCAGAAACACTGAGTCAGGAATCAGAGATAGACAAATATTAAGGATGACACCTTTATCTTCTCTAAAGACACTGACAGAAATATAGCTTATCAAATATAAAACAGAGAGGCTGACTAAACTTTGCCGTGATACGAAGACCCTGCAAGATCATAGCTATGATAGAATGTAACCAAACCATTAAACATAATCATAAAAAAGGCGCTAATCCTCCCATAATCTTTCTAACTACTTTGATTAGAAGATCACGCAGCATGCTACAGGCTACAGAAATAATTAACACACAAATAAGTGGAGAGGCTTTTTTTTCTTTTTTTTGCAGAGTTAATTTTTTCACTTTTTACTATCTCCTGTTGCTGAACACCAACTCAGTGAGCCAAAAGCTAAAATTAGAGCAGAGTAAGAGTTCTCAGACAAGCTGCTGCATTCCTGCAGACATTTCTTGGGAAACATGACACTCTACATCAAGAAACACTGTATTTAACTCAGGGACCTGGGCAGCGGCACAGCATGAATACAGTTTTAGAAGGCACAAATGTGCCAAAAAGCTGTTAACTGGCATACTGAGAGGAGGAGGACAAGAACTTAAGCTACAATTATTCACTGTTTTCTGGAGGGAAACCGCCCTCATACCAGTTTAAACTCGATTAAATAGTAGCAGTGTCATACGATGTATGCAATGGGGTAGCTACCTTGACGGCGTTTCCTCTGATGAACTTTTTGATGGTTGAGAACAAGCCCCTCCCTCCGCTGGTAGGAGTGTCTTCTTCAACTTCGGAGTGCCTCCGCTTAGTGCGAGATGGGCGGCTCGCCAGACTGGGGTTCGGCTGCTGAGACGCCTTACGCATTCTCAGCCTCATTGTTTTTGCAGTCACATGTAAGGCTGTTTCAGTGAGCCCGATGTGGAGTGATGGCAGATAGAGGAAAAAGAAAGAGAGGGAAATCACCATCACCGTACGGTCAAGGAAACACATTTGAATAAATACTCGAGCTTTGAGGTGGAACAACAGGTTGATCGGACAGTCTGTCTATCTTAACTTTCAATAAGCAGAAGTTGTTGAGAATATCCATAGTTCTGCAGTGGAGTAATACTGGTGCGTTTTTCTGCAAACATCTGGATGCATTCAAGATCCCATTTCACTTACATCACAGTGGATCACAGCAGCCGCAGCTGGCTTTACTTTCATTTGTAAAGTGAAATGCACAAGACTTTTATACACACACACACTCATATGTTCCCTTCTATCAATTTTATCCACACAAACACAGAGGCAAATTCACCTAAACATACAATACTTAAGACATGACAACATGGGAAAGTTTTTTATTTATTTATTTATTTTTAAAGTGACAACATAAACATTAATTAATTCAGGAAAATAAGCTCATTCTGATGAGTTGAGGGATTTATGCCCCAGTGTACTGTACTTGAGTTTGCACGGAGAAGAATGAGAAACTGTCCACAGCGAACACAAATTGTGAGTCAAACATGCCAGCCCATTATGCTTACATAACAGCAGCTGGCTAAAAATGTGTCTGGACATATCCACAACCTGTCAGGAGCCTTAATCACACAACAGCATTCTCTTGATACACACAGTGAAGTATCCCACAAGCTGTAAATGTCACAGTAGTTACTGTACATCTACAGAGGGCTTGAACACACAAGCTGTGTTTATTGCTTTTACTTAATCATGCAGAGTCGAAGTAAATGGTATCATTAAAAGAAAGGGCATGCATGCAAGAAAAGTAGGAACAGCCTTTAAGTTGGGACTGTTACTTTTGAATGAAATAGCACATGGCGTGCATCTGAATTTTATGAGGTAACTCCATATGGAGTAAGATAAACTGATATGTCACTGAGTTTGAAAATAACTTGGTTACTACTCTTAAGAGAAATAAGCTGAGCACAAAAAATGTCTGAAACTGCAGGAGAACAAAACTTATTTGCACAATTAAAAGACTGAAAGTAAATGGAACAATCGTTACTGTAAAGCCAACAAAAACTGTCAGAAGACGTCAATGTTCTGACTCTTATTTTCTGGTTTATTTCATTTAAAGCATTTTAATACTGCCGAACACTTTGAAGGACAATAGTTTGACAAAGTAAAGCAGTTTCAATTGACCTTTAAAATTAGCTTATAACTTGCTGTGAAACTAGACGTTTGAACATGGTACATAATGTTCCACCACCTGTATCTTAGACTTCAGTTCAAAAGTTAGTCTGGAAAAGGGCCATAATGATGTCTGTGGACTTTTTTTCCCCCCAAATTATTTCCTCACACTTAACTGCAAAAAGCTCAGCACTATTACACAGGCCAGAGAGCAAAGTTTGAGCACCTTGACAAATCTGGAATCATTTCAAAACTGTTTTTTGGTAAATCTCAACTTTGTTTCCCTAAAATATTACAGACATGACAGCAACTTCTGGTCCCACAATGATTCTTTCTGTCTCTTTTCCAACTGTTGCAAAATCTCGTCTCTTTCATTTGTGTAAATAAGAACATCTATCTTTATATATACTTTTATTTATTGGGTTTTTTATTCCACTACCACTCTACCTCCAGAAAGTGTTATATGACTCACCATGCAGCTATTTTACCCTTAGTTTTTATTAGGGCCCGACCGATTTATCGGCGAGACGATTAAATTGGCCTATTTTAGCCCGTTTGAGACTAATCGGTAATCAGCCAAAACTCGCCGATTTCCGCCTATATTTTTAGAAATAAAATGCGGAGAATAAGATTCGGTTTCACTTTGAAAATGTGCCGCCATTTAAAAAGATCCTGTAGATGGCGCAGTGACCTCATGACAATCTTCATCCACTAACAGCACAGCAGAGTGACGGATCTGAAGCAGGCAGCTCAGGGACGCACGGAGGAGAGTGGTCCGCCTCAACGGTATATAAACCAGCTTGTAAAATACACAATAAATCAACAAGTTTCAGTTCAACCCACTTCACGATGTTCCTCGCTGTGCTGTGCCAGATGAGACCGGACCGGAAAGGAGTAACGCGAGTTAAGACGCAGAGGCACCGGTCGGCGGCAGTGCCCGAGTTTGATCAGTCAGTCTTCCTGTTGGCGTGAAGAGCAGTAGCCTACAGTATATCTACATTATATAGTATACTGTAGATATCTACAGTATATATGTTTTTTTATAACGTCATAAAATTTTAAAAAATTGGCTGATAAATCGGTAATCAGTATTGGCATCGGCCCCCAAAAATCCACATCTGTCGGGCCCTAGTTTTTATTATTTCTGTATATTAAATCAAACACCATCATGCTGTGATATGGAAGCCAAGTAACGACATTTCGTTGCAGAGAGGAATCACTGCTGTGTTTTATTCTGTGCAATGACAAAAAAAAGAAAGTCTAAGTTAATTCAATATATAGTTTTATCAGCTATGATAGTTTAGCTCTGACAGTTCAGGCTACAATGATCCAACTTCCGAATCATTAAATTCTCCAGGAATCACATCAGGAAAAGTGACAGATGCTGCGAAGTGGCACTGATCCCTCTTCTGTAAAGTCAGTGATTATCCTTGTGTTGTTATTAAATCTACCATTTAGATTTCTACATTATTGTTAAACCAGGAGATATTGTTATAACTCACCGGATATTTAAACATTATGCTATTTTTAGTCGCTTTCCATTCTGGCTCTTGCACTGTGCATCATAATAAGCAATTCATTCAAGGATTCCCCTGTTGATGCTGTATAAAAATCAAACCTCAGTGTCGATTACAATTATTCGATTAAACTTTGACGATGGTTGTGTGTCTGCAGTACTAAAGCTGCTATCAGACCACCTTTCAAAACAATCAACTACTAACCAAGGATCATGGATACAGACAGCTAGCTACGAGTAAGTGAGCGGGAAATAGGAACATGCCACTGAGACTGTATGAGCGAGCTAGCACGGTTAGCAATCGGGGGAAAAAAACAAGTCAGGCCCGTAAACTCTGCAAAAACAGACCAAGACTAGAGAGCGCTAACATGGCAGAAGACTACAGCAATCATAATAATAACACATGGGACACATGCAACATCTGATTTATTGAAAAACCCCAATCCCGTGTGAATCAGCGTTTGTAAAAGTTGCAACAAAAATTACCAAAACGCCGTGGCTAGCTCGATTCAAGCTAACGCTATCTCAACGAACCACAAGGGGTCAGGGGTTAGGAAGGTGTGCCACTCATATTTGTTCAAGTTATTTGCAGGTTGTTTAAAGCATGTAATAGCAGTTTGAAGACGAACACAATTGTGCTGAACATCACCAGTTTTTACAGTTCGGAGTTTTTATCACGAACCCTAACATGCTAACTTGCTGTGAGCAAGCCAGTGCGACGACTGAACTTAAGCCAAATAACGTTAAAACAAATAACTTTAATAACGCACATTATTGCACCAAATGTAGCAGATAGTGTTGCACTGGTTGAGTCGACTGTCTCCTTAATTTGTCGCCTAAACAGTTTTAAGTCTGGTCTAATTTGACAGTCAAAGTCGTTGGACATCGTTCATCTTAACAGCCAGCTAACAGTCGACCGTCATTGTTATTCAAATAAACTGTTGATTAAGTCAACGTTATCAACGGCTCACAAGGCAAATGATGGTATTTTATCAAGTGAACCAGGCAAACAGACGTATCTCTCTCAACATCTACCTGCGGGCTGAAAATAATTAAGGCAGTAATGGCTAAGGTTAGCTCATGAAAACCTAGCAAACTTGTGTTAAGGAATGCCATAAGGGACGTTAGCCTCTAGGATAGTTAAACACTAAGCCTTGCAATATTACTAATAACTTTACTCCGTTTTTAAAAGCTGCAGAAATGTACTTCTTGTTTCATGTGAATGTACAGAGTGAAGTTTGAAATAGCTTAACTTTGTTTCTAAAAAAAGAGGGGGGGGTTCGCTACAGTTAGCCACAGTTAGCTAAAGACACCTACTCGACCAGGAATTAGCCGGGTCCCCTTTAGGCCGTGTTTTACCAGCCGTTGCTATTTAACTTAGCTTAGCACGACTAGCTTAGCGTTAACCCTACCGAGGCTTCGTGAAAACTGCTCCCGGCGAATAGATGTGCACAGACGGGGAGTGAAATTATTTATTTCGTCGTTAGAAAATATTACACGAACACCGAGCCAGATTCAACAAATGCACGAGCAAGGTTAACGTTTTCTGACTTACTTTACGGTGATCCGCAGCGTCTGGCGATAATGACTCAGGACCACTTCACCATCACAGCAGAGGCAGTGGTTGTTTTCGTGATCAGATCCGAGTTTTTCTCTATCTTTCTACTTAAGGGCCGTCTCCGAAATGACACATCGGTGTGTTACCAGGCGCCATTTCCCGCCTCTGCTCAGTCTCAGTGAGGCAGATACCCGTATGGGACACAGACACACCCCCTTACCTCTCAAAAATACCAGCCTCAGTCTGCAGACAACACTGGCACTTCTTCTCTCCTTACAGCTTTGCAACAAGACTGTTTGTCTCCGTGATTTCCTTTTTTTCTTTTCAAGGATTTATTGTGTTGAATATTGCTCACTGTTGGTATCATGCTCACATTGGTATCATGTGAATAATCCACTCCACACTCATGACAGATGATCATTTCCACATCTAGTTCCTCCAAAGCACCATCACAACTGAGACATAACATGAAGCATCACCTTTAATAAAATTAAATTACATTCATTGTGCCTTTCCATGAGAAAAATCAATTTTCCTGGCCGCACAAACAGAACTGAGTTTGATTCATGGATTTTCCCCCAAAAGGTGAAGAATTAGATTTCCTCTGTAAAAATGGTAACAGTTCAACTACATTATGTACAAGAGATCTCATCGACGGAAGCATGTGTACAGTCAGTTCCATATGTGCTTGGATAATCTTTGCACACTGTGGAGGACACCAACATCACTTTAGGTATTGCTTAAGCTTCAGCATTTTGCTCAGTTTGATTAATAAAAAGGTTCAAATGCATGCAATGGCATCATTAGAAAAAAATGAGGAGCACTTTGGAGTGTCTATTAGAAAGAAAAGCAATCTGATTCAATAGGCCTATGTATAGTCCTTGGCATTTGCAATGCATCCCCACTCCTAGGAAAAAAAAAAATCGCTCATGTAAAAGTCCCAAAAGTATGTAACAAAGGCTGTATGCCAAAATAGTCTCTTTAACAAACAGCTCAGGTGAAGAGTTTGTCTATATCAAGAAACAGTAACCTGAAAAGAAAGTAACAAAAACAAAAAATGTGACCTTCAGGTTGAGATGTGAATCAACAGGGCTCCTTTAAACCACTCCCTTATGCACTGAGGCAATCTTCCAATCACAAAATGACAGTCATTTTACAGGATGTCACCTCTAATGTCATAACTTAGAATCATTAGCAAATTAACAGCAGCTAACAAACCCATGATTTTTCACGTTGTAGTATGTTATGTAATTCAGAAGTCATTAGTTGCAATGTCTTGTTTCTTTTCGCAAAACAGTCCATGACACTGTGGATATACCCCTTAAATTTCTCAAACGCGTTGATGTTCTAGCTGTTTCATCAAGAATATCCTCGGCGATAGGTAGAGGAAGGTCCTAATATCTCTAATGAGTTACAGCTGCAGGAGTTTCCATTCAAAGAATGTCAATGGCTTGATGTCTTTTCCCGTAATCCACAGCTCGGTCTCCCTGCATGTCTCGATCTTCATCATCTGGGGGAAAAAAAAGCAAAGCAAACATTAGAGACTGAGTGATGGCCACAACACTTTTTCAAGGAAATTGAAGTTTTAGATTGTGTGACTGAATTTTAACCATGTCCTTCTCGAAGGTTATATCCATTAAATGATAAAAAGGCCCAGTCAGGAACTATCTGGATATGTTTTTCCTCATTTTAGATATATTTCAACACACTGTTCTTCGTTGATAAACACTGTCTGATTCAGCTGTAACAGTTCTGAGGGTGTAAATTGTGTGAACAGTATGGCTGTGTCCAAAATGAATCACTCAATCCCTAACCCCTAACCCCCATATGAGGTTTTACTTTATAGCTGACTATGTAGTGAGCTCAGTCACCGGAGGTTTCAGACACTACATGGAAAGACGCAATGCATGACGGGATGCCCACCACCGGTGAGTGACTATCAGATGGTCACTCCATTTTGCAATGCTCTATGGGAAATTTTGAGTCACCTATATGGGGCATTGGAATTGACAACTAAGGTTTCGGACACCCCTCAAAATGGCGCTAACCCTCATATAGTCGCCTATATAGGGGTTAGGGATCCATTTCGGACACAGCCTGTTTTATCAATAAAATAAATGTCCTACATCTATCTGAATAATACAAACTTAGTTATAGTCCATAACAGAGGCCGTCTAAAACAAGTCGACAAATACATCCAATAAAAATGAAATGAGGCATCACAGTCGTACTATGATTGCTGTACTGTATCTGATATTGTATTTCATAATGGATGAAAACAAATATAGAACTTTCTCCAAAAGCTGTGTTAGGAGAAAAAAAAACGATAAAAATTGTAATATAGAATGAAAAGTTAAAGGAAATAAAAAAAACACAGGCATGCATTTCAATAATTCAGGGAGAACACAGACACATTCACAAACACAGTGAGCTATTTTTATCTACTGGTCTGGATGTGGGTCAGATGTTTGGTGGGCACAGACAGGTGGTACAGCTAAAATGAAGCACAGGCAAGAGAGAAAACACTAGATGGTGACTGGATCACTCTCACAGAACCATAAGTTCCTGGGTCAGATTTGTGCTATTATTCTTACCGTGTCTTTACATTTACAAGATGGCTGACACAGTGCAGGTACTCTTAAAGATTGCATGCATGAGTCCTGCTTTGATCAAGAAAGGTTCATTCATGACCCAGCTGCTTTTATTTTTTTGTTTACAGGTTCGAGGTTCAAACTCAGGGTGCTGTGAGCTACTTTAACTGTCTGAACAAATGCAGGGGAGGGGTCAGCAGCAGGTCAGGGGAAGAGGGTGGGAGCAAGGGAGGAGTGGTGGATACACATCTGGACAAGCAGTCCAGTCCCCCGGCCTGGCTCACCTTGAACGTCTTCCTCCCCACCATCACCATCCTCTTCCTCATTGTAGGCCAGCTCGGCCTGCTTGTCGGCCTCATACTCACCCACGTTCCCATCATCCCCATTGTAGTCCGCCAGCTTAGAGCCGTGTTGCGGATCTACTGGGGACTCGTTCTCATCAAAGAACCGGCCTGCAGGAGGCAGAGAAGGGCCTCATCAGGAAGGAAGGCAAGCAAAGGCAGTTGTAGGGAGATGAGAGAGTGAAAATTTAGCATAATGAATGCGAAAAGGAAAGAGTGATCAAATGTGGAGGATGACAGGAGATGAAAGAAGAGGCTAATGAGACGAAGATGGCAGAATTAGTGACAGAGAAGTTTTCTTAAGGGCAACAGAAACCAACCACTGGTTTGAAGTAGAGTCAAGTGAAACAAACGGTTCACTTTTAATGAGCGTCTCTTAAAAGTCACACGACAGCACTCAGAGCTAATCGAGTTACGGGTTTAATCATCTGTGCAATCCAATCATGCAGCACAATAGCCCCGCTGTAAATCCAATTTTGGGTTTAGTTCTTGTGGATGCTGTGGGAAGAGTGAACTTAAGTAGATAGTTAGGCCGTAGAAACGACAGCTTCTTTTGTTAAGCTGCTTTAGATGTAGAAGTGGCTTTAGACAGGTTAAAAATGATCATTCATACTTTTAATGTCATAGAGAAGAGCAGAGTTGTAATCAGTCTTTTCACTTGTTAGTGCGGATATAAAGACGTCACATTAGATGAGTGACTGACTGTATAGTGTTTTTTTTTTTAACCATGTAGTAGATTTGAGTCAAACAAGAAGTAGATATCTTTATTAAATGATACAGTCCACATTGATCTGATAAAATGACACAATCAGCTATACTTCAGCTAAATGGTAATATGAATATAGATATAAGTTTGGGGCGGAAGTAGCTCAGGAGATAGAGCGGTCATCCTATAACTGGAAGGTTGGTGGTTTGATCCCCACTAGGGGTGTCCTAAAACAATATTGATATCGAATATCAGCAAAAATTTGAATATCAGATTATATTGGCCTGCATCTAAAATCTCCAATGTCAGAATTCCAATACAAGCAGTCCATTCCAGACTCCGCTCCAGCACCTACATCTAGCAGTGCCCGGATCCAGCATGTAGAGCCCATGTAATCACAACAACAGTGTGCACTAAAGTACTAACAAAGTACCAAGGAGTAGGAGTGATGTCGGCCCTGTGGCAGAATTTTTCATTAAAGTCTGAAAAAGACGTTGCAGCTGAGTGCAAAACTTTTCATGCACAAGTTTGTGCTAATATCAGTATCGGTCAGAATTGACGGCTATGAATATCGGTATCGTATCGGAGGTGAAAAAGTTGTATCGGGACAACCCTAATCCCCACCCTTTCCCTAGTCTGTCTGTTGTGTCCCTGGGCAAGACATCTAACCCACCTTGCTCCCAGTGTGTGTCCTCCACTGGTGTGTGATTGTGAGTGTTGTGAGGTGGTGGTCAGAAAGGCTGTAGGTGCAAACTGGCAGCCATGTTTCTGTCAGTCTGCCCCAGGGCAGCTGCGGCTACTAAGGTACTTTACCACCACCAGGGTTTGACTGTGTGAGCGAATGAATGATGTATCCAATGTAAACTTTGAGGGTCTCTGATAAAAAAATCTGATCCATTATTATTATTACAATACTTTAATCAGTGATTGCTTTCAAATCTCAATCATACATCAAGGACAGTTTGTATTCCTCTGTAGCCTCACATGAATATCAAATTACACTGTTGATCAGGACAGCTCTAGGAGGGGACTGGAGATGCACCGAGGCGTGCTGTGATTTGGGGCTGCTGGCGTCTAGTGAGCACCAGACACTGCCAAAAGAGAGACATCTGGTGTGTGTCGGGTGTTAATTTGCCATAATAGGATGCAAGTCTAAAAAGACCAGAAGCAGAAGATTTGATGAAAAACAAATTGGAGACGTGAGCTGCATACAGTCAGAGTTGTAAGCAGCAGAGATGCAGAGGCTGAGGTGGGTGTGTGAAAGAGATGAAAGGAGAGTGCATGTGAAAAAAGAGGAGAGAGCGGAGAGGAAAAAGCAGCAGAGCAGAAGCAGGCAGCAGGAAACGATCATCTAAGAGCCAAGTGTGTGTCATTTGTCTCCTCTGCTCCTAGACAGTGCCCCCTCCAATATTAAGACTTGACTAACATTTAAACTCAGTCAGTTTAAATATCTTTCGTGAAAATGTAGAAGTAGGAGAGTAACCTGTTAGCGGTGGGACTAATCCAAACAGTCAAAAGGAGGGCGGCAGCTAAGCACAAAGGCAGAGCTAACAACATCAGTTATTTGACCACACACCTTTAAAGTTTATCACCAATCCAGGCTTTTATTAATTCATACCCCTCAGACAGAAACCTTCTCTGGAGACTTTTACTAAGTGGGGTGTGAATGCTCACTTTGGCGGTGGTGAACTGGCTCTGCTGGACCTTGGTCTTTGGCGTTGTGAGGCTGGATGGGGTTGGGCACCTGTGCGGGGTTGTTGGGTAGAGGAATCCCCTTCATGTGTTCGCCGTCACCCTTGACACGATCGGGAACTGAAAATATCAAACAGGCCTTGGTTCTGTTACGTGTTTGAGGGACCAAAATCAAAGACATCACCAAAACTCAGATTCTTTACTCTACCTCGAAAACAATGTCATCATCTGAATGTTTCACAATGAAAATAAAATCTTTTTTTTTTTAATGATCGCTGATCCACAAGATCAATATACTATATCACTAAACTGTTCTGGCTGAAATAAGACTATCACACTTAATATGAATGACATTGACAGGCAGTACATACCTTGTAGTTGCCTTTGTTGCTCTCCCAGCTCATCTGCCTTAATACCCGCCTTGTTGTCTTCTTCAAACACTATTGGTTTGTCCGCCTGCCTCAAGCCGCCCTGTGCTGCAACAGCTGCTCGGCCTTCTACTCTGTCTTGGAGCCTGGGCTGGTCCAGAGACAGGGCCTGGCCCCCGGGGCCATCAGCTGCCCCAACTCTGGGCCCAGCACCAGCTCCTGCGGCCACCTCAGGGACCTCGTCGTGCTTCTGGGTGATGGCTGGTTTCTTCAAGGCTGGAGATAAAAGGAGAGCCATTGAGAGGAAACTCATTAGACACAAAACGCAGTCGACATGTGGAGCACACAGAGACGCTGTTTCTCTTCACAGCATGTTCAGTGATATATAGGAGAGTGGCATTTCCTGACCCTGCCTCAGAAACATCTGTAGAGAGTTTTATCCTCCAGTTATCATTGGAATCTGGAAGTTTCCTCTTAAACTGATTTCTCAACATCAGCTGATCTGAAATCACTCTCCTTTGGATTTTACCAGGCCTTATAACAAGCGGCCTGTTCAAAGTTGTATGGGCATATTTTAAAACATATATTAAACCCTGAAAACTATGAACCGGGAGCATCATTGTTGTTTTATAAGACTCTGTATCAAAAGATTTGGTGATGAGAAACAATAAAAACAGACATTTTTTGCTTACCAAATTGCACATCATCCACCTTTCCCACCTCACTGTCTTCAATACCTGGCATACCAGCGTCACTGCCAGGCTTACCCATCTCTTCTGTGACAGAGCAGAGAGGCAGACACTTAGAGAATATAATAACAGTGCAAAAGACAGTCTTAAAACATTTATTAGAAAAAGATAAAAAGACACACAAATATTCTCAATAACTGTCAAGATAGCGTCACATTTGTTTGACTCAGTCCCGCTCATCTTACCTTTTAAATCTTGCCTGTCATGTTGGTGACTGGCCACAGTATGGCGCTCTCCCACCATGTCCACACCAAGGGCTCCATCTGCTTTTCTATTCGCTACTACACCCTTGTGGTGGTCTACCGAGCCCTTAAAAATAACGGAAGATGAATCAGAAACATTAGCTGACACTCAAACTCTTAGTTGGGACAACATGGACATGTGAGAGGAAACAGAAACTATTGTTTCACGAATCATTCGAACCCCTATTTAAGTAAAAATAGTGCAGCCACAAGGTATTGGATGTTGTAACTTGACTGTTGGACTGTTTTATGAAGAATATATGCTCATGTTAAATGGGATGGGAGATGTTTACCACTGTCTTCTTTTAACAACACTCTGTAAACAACTGGGAACTGAAGAAACCAGTTTCTTGAGTTTGGAAAGTGACAGTTTGAGATCTTTTTGTTCATTAATTTCATTCAGTTTTGAATCATGCTTATACATGGTTTCCTCTTTGCATTGTTCAGTTTAAACCTACATTTGTGGATGCAGCCATGAGCTGTGTTTGCAGACGATGGATTTTAGATGTGATTTGGAGTCTATCCAGTGATTTCCAATGCAGAGCCATGATTGTAATTAATATAAAAGCATTTAAGGGCCTTTAGGTCACTGCCATCCAGGATTACTTTTTTGGGATTTGCCTCTTTTGTACAAATGTATTTCCAGGTTAAATCAGATTAATTCTCTGAATCTTATGATATTGTGTACTGTAGAGGATATTATTCCCCAAATCAAATACTGAGGAACAGTTTTCTGAAACCCTCGTGTAATGAACTTGCAGTCTCTCAATTAGAAAATAAACTCTTCTCATCTTTACTTCTGAGAGACTTGAGCCCACAGAATCACCTTTTTTTAATGCCCAGTCATGTTGCTAACCTGTTTAAGTCAACCTAATCAACTGAGAGATGTTCATCAGGGGTTTCTTTTCAGGGTAACACATCTTTGAATGTGTTTTGCTGCCCCTGTCTTTACATTTGTGAATGTTTTTCCTGCACCAAATTTAAAATGAGTAAATATTTTTCATTAAACATTTGATATGTTGCCTAAGACGTTGGTTTACACGATTAACAAACTATCATATTCTGTTTTATTTACATTTACACAGCATCCCACCTTTTTAAAAACTGAGAGTGATGCATAAATGCTTCAGTGCTTCTTGAAACCAACATGAACCAGATGACACCATTAAATAAGGAGACACATAAAAGAATAAAGACATTGAACACCATCTTGTTTGTGGAGGTTTCACAGAGACTCACCTGTCTTAGTTTTGAGGCCTCTATCTCCAGAGCCTTTTTCGATTCTTCATATTCCTCCTTCAGTTGTGCAATCTGGCGTCCACACTGTAAACTAGTTCACAAACATTCCTGGTCAATTTCTTATCATTTTTTCCTTGCATACTTAAACTTATTCGTTCAACCCGGCAAAAATCAAACCTAAAGGGTGAACTAGAGAACAGGCCATGATATAATATCTCTCTAGCAGGACATTTGAATGAACTATAGTCATTAGCTGAGATTAAACAAACCTCAAAAGTAAATAGGAGTTAACGAGAAAGAAAACAGCCATCATACAGGGTCATCTGAGGCGTGGGAGGAATCACGTCACAGAGTTTCTAGTCTTGTCAATGACCGTAATGAACTGTCACTGAGGACAACAGAGAGTGAAGAAGCTCCGACATACCTCTCATACTCCAGCTTTCTTTCAAGGGTAGTGCTATTCTTCTTCACTTCTCTCAGCTGCTCTTCCTGTTTCATGAACTCCTGCTTCAGATCCTTCAGCTGCTCTGTTGTACGGAAACAAACACATGCACAAAATACACACAGATAGCACTTTAGGAGAGGTTTACACGTGCATTATTTAATGGACCACTGTTGAGAGAATTTCAATATGTGTTCGAGAGCGCCCTCTGCTGGCAAATTAAGAGTACTGGCCCACCTTTCAGCCTCTGGATTTCTGTCATCTGGCCTGTGTTTTCAGCCTGCAGCTTCATCTACACAGGGAGAGAGAACAAACTGGTTAAAAGAGATCTTATCAGCCAAAAGAGAGCTACATACCTTTCCCCTACACCTTAAACCAGTTCGATCATATCCATACACCGCTGAACAGGTTTCCTAATGAGCACTGTTACAGGATTTGCCTTCCAGTAAACGGGTTTGTCTTGTTGCTCTGTGTAGCAAGACTTCATTGTTCAAACAGATGGCATGCAAACTTTTTATCTAAATACTGCAACACAGCATGAAGTTCCTGTCTATGGAAAAGGTGTAGGACATCAAGACATCACTGTAGTCCTGGTTAATAAAGGAAAATGGTGTATAAACAGAAGTGATCAAAAAATAAAAAACTCTGGCATAGCAGAAGTGAAAAGATCATGATTTTATTGCCCTCTAAAAGCAGGTGCTTCACTTCTACTACAGGAAAGGAAAATGGAGACCCCTGAGCACCATAACGCAATCCAATAAAACAGCTCTTCCCGAGCAGGACTGATGTGAATCCTGAATCTCTACCTGGAGTCTGCACTGATGCTCTCTGTGTTCTTATGAAATGAAACCGCTGGATGCTTTTTACTTTAGTTTTAATAAAACTCACAGTTGTGTTCGGGTCAGGATGGAGACGCAGGAGGATGAGGAAACTTGGATTTCAGAGAGATTAATATCATCTTTCTTTGAATCATCAAATACTCGAACCCTGCAGGATTGAAACACAGCTAATAACAAGTTGTAGCTGTTCTTCTTCGAATGCAGTAGCTGAGGTTTCCCTGAAAATGCACGAGGTTTCATGTCAAATGGGGACTGGTCTCAAGCAGTCCACATAACCTAGTTGCCTCTTCATGTAAAATACAGGACAAATTGTCATCCTTATTCCCCAAAACTTTCACCTTCATTGAGAAAAAACTCCTATTTTTCAAAGTCCTGGTTAAATGAGACTGATTGTGACTTACAATTGGACATACCTATATTTTATGGATGCATTTCCCCTCCAAAAATCCTCACCTCTACTGAGATAAGCTGGAGTGAGTCATAGTTAATTGAGGAAGAAAGCATCAAGGTAACTGTGGATATGAAATACAGAGAAAATCAGCAACTGCTGTCAAGGCTGACACTTCCTCCTGTCGCCCCCTCATATATAGTTAACTGCTTTTTTCCTGCAGAATACTGACACTGCCTTGACTAAAGAAGTATAAGACCGTATTTATTGTGCTGTGTGTGGGAGCCAGCAAAACTAAACTGTACCCATTTCCTCTGCATTGCAGGGCCTTCACTTTAAGTTGGATGTGTCTCTGTTGAAACAAGGATGGGCTGTTGACATTAGAAAGGAAGGGAACAACTTCTACTCAACAACTCTGGTCTGGATCCTGGAATCATTACCAAGAGCATTATCAACTTTAAGAGTCTAATTTAGTCAGCAGAAATTAAATATAGTCTGGATACTTATTAGAGAAACTAAGGAATTTCCTTTTTAGGAGTTTTAGACAACACCAGCTTCAAAATGAACTAAACAGAAGGCTAAAACAAACAGGACCATTGTTTTTCTATGATCAGATTTGGCCACAGAGAGGGGATTTGACAAAGTAACAGTGTGTGATGGTCAGCAGGAGCAAAGTTCCCTATTTGTGAGTCTTAAGGAATATCTCTAGGATTGACTCATGTTGAAGAAATTCATCTCAGATTATTCCCAACAAATAGGTGTTTAATTGTTTTTTCTCATCCTTCAAAACCTCCCTCAGACAGTCGTCTTTTCCTCAAACTCCATTTCCTAGTTTGACTGGACTGGCTGACCACTGCAGACATATGGATTAGCATCTAAACTAAGCAAATGTGTGTCAGTCAATGAGAAAAAGGCGTGAAAGACTGGATGCAAATTACAGGGAAACCACCCGACCATCTGTTGCCTAAACATCTCTCAGGACAGCCAACTCAACACTCTATATCTGCTGGTCCACTGCAAAGAACAAGAGTTGAGAGTTCACTTTTGGAGCATGAAAATAATCCAAAATAGTATATATAATCTAAATAGTATATTTAGTCTGTATTTATTGTATATATTTAGTATTTTTAGTCTGCGTTGTACATACTTCTTATATTTAATTTTATTTTGTATTTTTTGCTGCTGTAACAAGAGAATTTCCCAGTTTGTGATCTATCTATCTATCTATCTATCTATCTATCTATCTATCTATCTATCTATCTATCTATCACACCCAGTGGATTCATTAAAAAATGTATGGAGTACACATTTCCAATGGCTTCGACAGGACTATGAGATATTTTACTCATCAAACACACTCTTGACATCTTACAAACATACTTCAGTAGACTTACTCAAACAGTCTGATGATATGATCACCTAACCTGCTTTGTCACCATGTCCCAACAACTATTTGCTGTTTTAGAGAACAATGAATGTTGCATTAGAGTTTTTTTTCTCCCCGAGATATTCAGCACATTCTTTCTTCATTGCAACACTCAAGTGCAACGTGTACCAAGTGACCACATCTCTTCTGGTGCTGGGCTGTAAGAGAGATAACTTGACTGGACCATGCTGGGGTTTGGATCAGATAGAAGTACTGTACCTTATCATCAGTGCACCTTTTGATGAGGCTCTCTCTGGCCTGCAGCTTGCCCTCCAGGACGCTGTAATCTCCATCCTTCTGGTCGATCTGCTTCCTATGCGTGTCCACCTGCATCATGAGCTCCGAGTTGCGCTTCTCCAGCCGGCTCCGCGCCGCGTCCGTGCGCTTCACCTGCGTCTGCGCCTCCGCCAGTTCACCGAGCAAAAGGCCATGTCTGCTGGACACCGTCCAGTAGTTGAAAGACAGTATGGCGATGATCACCATCAAGAAGATGAGGATGAAGGACGGGAGGCGGCCTCCTCGTCTGTTTGCACCAAAGCCGACCATTTCAGAATACAAGTGTCACGTTATCTCTAGAGCTCAGTGAGAGGATTCTCCCGATGTACAACACATCCGTCTACGTGACATGCCGCGTATATGCGGCAAGTGTTCCGAAAGGCAAACACTACTCACACAAACACTCATGAATCTTCACGACTTTTCACATCGCTTCAAAATCTTTATTCTCCTTCTTCTTCTTCCTTCCGCAAACTCGGCATCCTCTCCGCGACCAATCGTCCAATGTCAGTAAGGCTGGGTGAAATACGCCCGCAGGGACGTGGCCTAGCTCAGCTGGCAACGTTAACACAGCAGACGAGGCGAGACGTGGACAGCTACACGGCACCGAGGAGGCAGTGAGGAGTGCAAATACAATCACACACTCACTTAGCCTCAAAACGCTAGCCTATAGGCAGCCTTTGAGTCTGAATGTTCAACACTAAAGAACACAAACACCGAGGACTAAAACTCGTCTAATCACGGATCAATCGCTGCAGATCCACTGATGATTTTCGATCCCGACCTGACGGTAACGTTAGCTTCAGTTAACGTTCACTCTGTCCGGCTAACCACCTCACCAGACTAGCATCGTCAGACGACAGGAAACGACAAGCAGCGACCGAATGAGTGAAAATATCGTCTCTTCTTGCAGAGGGAGGGTGCAGTTTTGCTGATATTACTCCAGATGATAAATAAGAGCTAATGACCCATGCTTTGTATCACCCTGCTGCATAATTCTCTGCCTCTCTAACATGATTTCTGCTCTGTGAAGCTAGTGTACATTAGCATGAAACACTTCCGCCTTCGTCTGAAACGCATCCTTAAAATAAAAGCACATTATCGCCTTCAAGAAGTGAATAACCTACATTTTATGGATGTCAGTGTCTGTCACATAAGCCTATAGGATACCACACTTTTGATTTTAATGAAGGCCACTGTCCATCGGCTGTGAAGCCAATACACCTGTTTTGCGACATATCGTCTTTTATTTTGAAGACTACCAACCGGAAGCAGGTCTCAGTGGAAGAATGCTTTGTTGTCGTGCTTGAAAATTGAGTCCATATTATTTATTCATATTTGGGATAAAAAGTCTTTCCTGCGTCTGAGTAAAAAAACAAAAGCAGATTAATGATAATTTATTTCAAACTAAGACACTGTTTTCCTTAAAAACATCAGAACTTTGTGTTTATAGTCTACCTTTATCCCCAACCCCGTCCTCCTCCTAATTAATTACTAAAGATAAAATGTACCGTAATTTACCAAACAAACTGCCCCCTGATGCAGGAACAATTTTTAGGTCTATGGTCGTAAAATTTTTATCATTCTAAATATTAAGTAATTTTATAAAAATAAATAAATAATTTTATTATGATTTTATTGTCAATAATAATATCCTCTTTTTATATTTACTGTCCTGTTTCCTGCTTTCTACCTCCTTTTTTATTAAATTTCTTTTTCTCACCTATTTTATGTTTTTATTTTGGTCCTCATAGTCTCGTTTTATGTTGTAGGGTTCTTTTATTGTCTGGGTTTCTCATGACAAATTGGCCTTTAATTCGGAGGCCTTGTTTTTAACTGAGCCGTTTGTCTTTTATTTGTTTTTATTTTCATGTGTTGATGTTCTGTGCTTTACGACTGTTTGTCAAAGCACTTTGTAAACTTCTGTGCTATAAAAATAAAGTTATTATTATAAATACATTTAACGGCAGCACTGGGGCCTGATTGTGTGAATTGATCAAATTAAATCTTAGTTAAACAAAAGTAAATAAATAAATAAAACAATGCTAGATATCAATGCATTATGAAACTGAAAGCTACAATAAACACGCAGTGGGCCCTTCGACATGTGTATGTTGAGGTGTGTTGAAGCCATGGGGTGTCTCAGTTCAGTGGGGAGTGCAGGAAGTTGGACAGTGATTGTGGATTTGCTCAGGCCAAGACCATCAGCATACATTTGGATTTTATTTATCAGGTACAGTATACCTGTAGGTGACAGTGGGGTAAGATGAGCCATTTTTCATATTTCAGATCACTACATCAAGGCAATCATAGCTTTGTCTCTAACTAGTGAATCTGCATATATTTCAAGATGTTGTGCATCCCTGCAAACCAACAGAATGAATGTAAACATAACTGTCTAGACATAACTTACCCCGTGTATGAGGTAAGTTGACCATAGGAGCGGGGTAAGTTAAGCTGTATCCAGGGGATACTGTATCTGACAGAGTATTGGCTTTTACCAGTAGGCGGCACTATGAACAAAACTGTATGCATAGATGTGTTCAGCCAAGGCCTGTCATTAAATACATGAATTTTAAAGCAGATTGGACATTCAGTCATTTCTTCCTCTTTCCACAAGGTGGCGCTATGTGTATAGGTATCACTTTGCATATACGGTAAGTGTCTCTGGTGGTGGATCATGATCATATGTGGATTTCTGAGCTGATTGGGCCTGAATTAGAAGAGTTAGAGGAGCTGTATTTAGATATCAAAGTCCGCTGAGCTTGCAGGCAGGTACACGCCCTTTCGCTGAAAAATTACATTCTTGTTCACAATATGAAAAAACCCTCAATTCTGAAGGCTCTCCTGACCACATCTGAGGTGGACAAGCTCAATGGAGTAAGAGGACTACATCAAAGTGTGAAATGTGTCGTTTCCTGATGCAGCCGTGGGTGCTATAGTCATCCGCTTTTTTTGCATGTTGTGTTGTGTTTTGGGTGCATGGGATTATATTTGGATCTTCATATCATCAATTTCACCAAAATGCCTGACTGGTTCTGCTTTGAAATTTCAGGGAGCAAAGAATTAAAGCAATAACCAAATGTTCAAAATGCTGACCCCTGCATATACAGAGACAGAATAAGAACATACACCAAAACATACAAACTCATATTTTATTGTAACACTGATAAGAATTGTAACACTATGAGGTAAGTTAAATAATACACATCTGTGAAGTTCTCGAACCAGTGGCACCACAAAATATTCACTAACCGATCTGCAACAGCTCCACAAACTCTGCAAACAAAAGGCAGGTGACGCCTCGTTGGTTCAGTTCACAGTTTTGTACAAACATATTTCTTTCTGCTTCCTCTGAGGACAAGAGGAATACTGATAACACAATTTCCCTTGTCTCTCAGTGATAGATCAGCTGTGTATTTATTTCTTTTTTTTTATGAGATGAAACTGAGTAGAAAAGATCCCCTGAGGGAGAAACATTCTTTTGTTTTTGTGATGAGAAAGAAGCCACTACAGACACTGGCAGGCTCAGTCTGAGTTTGCTACCATTTCTGCTGATGACTTGGCACGGTCTCACAGGGCACTAGAAGAGATACAGTGTGAGATCATTTCAGTTCGTCTGTGCTGCAGTCACACTTTGGGGATAAATGATCTTTCAGTGCCGGATGAGTTATTAGTTACTCTACAGACATCTGCTGCACAGCGTAGCCTGGCTGCAACACCCGCTCTGTGAAATGTCCTCAGAGGTTTGATCCAAGTCCTTGTGGGGAAAGGGGTCAGAGAATGGTTTCTCTGCACTCAAGGCTTTGTTCAGAGGAAGGGGAATCCAGGAGGTTGGTGGAGTTGTTGGTTGTTTGTTGAAGGTGTTTTGGACGGCGCATTGAAGGGGATGAGCTCAAAGCGCCGCAGCTTTGAAGGTGAAGATCCTCATGACCGCGCTTCCTGGGACTGCCACTGATGCGCTGAGTCATCACCTGTAAAGACAGCAATAAAAAGAGTCCAGATTTTAGTTTTGTTATTTTTTGTTTGTTTACTTTTTGGGGGGTCGCTGCACTTTATGTAATGCCAACAAAACATGTAGGCAAGTCAACTAGCTTAAAGGGATATTCCGGCGTAAAATTGATTTAGGGTGAAGCAAAATGCCACTCTATAGCCACAAATAATGCTCAGAACAGAACCTAAATTTGTGAATTTAATAAATAACTCTATCTATCTATCTATCTATCTATCTATCTATCTATCTATCTATCTATCTATCTATCTATCTATCTATCTATCTATCTATCTATCTATCCATCTATCTATCTATCTATCTATCTATCTATCTATCTATCTATCTATCTATCCATCTATCTATCTATCTATCTATCTATCTATCTATCTATCTATCTATCTATCTATCTATCTATCTATCTATCTATCTTCATCAACAGTACATATAGGGTCCTAGCCACAGCACTAGCCACCAAACATCTTTTTAGCTTTGCCTAATTTCTTTTGCAAAGAGACTAAACACAACTCACCAACTCTCTTCCAGCAGCCGTTTGTTTGTAGCGAGACCTCAGGATAGTCCATTACGCACCGCTGCGGGGTGACGCAGCTCAAGGAAGAACATTTATGATAATTTCTTCATGGAAATGCAATCAGACCGAGACGCTAAGGCAGAAGAACTACTGCGTCTGCAGAGCAAAAATGATTAATATGGTGATTATTACTTAAAAAAAAACGATAAAGAAATGATCATAAATGTTCTTCCTTGAGCTGCAGTCGATGGACTCGCCTGAGGTCTCTGTGCAAACAAGCGGCTGCTGGAAGAGAGTGGGTGAGTTGTGTTTAGTCCCTTTGCTAAAGAAATTAGGCGAAGTTACAAAGATGTTTGGTGGCTAGTACTATGGCTAGGACCCTTTATGTTCTGTTGATGAAGTTAGGTGCTGTTCTGAGCATTATTTGTGGCTATAGAGTGGCGTTTTGGTTGAGGTTTGTTTATGACTCCTCAGACCGCTGTGTATTGCTATTGTGTGGTCATTACTAAAGTTGGTATAACTACAGAAGCAAGTAGTCGGCAACATTCATCTCTTGAGGGGGTGTCTAACTCAGTGTACGCGTGATTGACTCTAAATTAGTTTTACACCGGAATATCCCTTTAACACAGACCCAGGCCAGATTTCAGCTCTCATAGGTATGAGCAATGAGCACAACTTTATGATGACACCCATAAATAAAATCAGAATAAAGTTACAGTAAGATCTACAGTGGTGAAGTTACCTGATCTATGACATTGGCACTAAAAATAGCCTCCTCCATGTGTTTCTCATCCGACTTGATGACACACTTGATATTGTTGACGACCTGCTGGACCTCAGGAGGTAGACTACAGCTGGAGTGCTCCAGGAACTTTGCCACCAGTATTTTGGTGTCTTTGTACATCTTGAGATCAGCCAGGGAGTGTGGGCGCTCGTGGGAGTGCGTGTGCAGGGCTCGGGGTTTCAGGTGGATGTCCACTTTCCTGCCCTCCTTCTGATGCTTCCTCACAGATATGAGACCCGGTTTAGCTGAATCTGCTTCTGTCGTGATGTTTGTTGGCTCTGAAGACATCAGAGAAGAACTGTTACAATCTACACAGCAAGAAACATCCCATGAGAACTTGTCTGGGATTTCTTTGTCTCAGCTTTATATAGATGTTCAGTATAGATAACAGAATTGGCTGGTTTTGGACAATTAACTTGGCTCAAGAAGGATAAAATCTTGATTTTACCAAAAGTAGTGCTTAGCTCTACAGTTTAAAAACTTGAGATCAGAATTTTTTATATTACCTTGCTCGGGTGACGCACGAGTCGATCCGTCAGTCGCGGGGTTGTTAGCTGAGGCGCAGCTTAAATTTTCCCCTGTAGAGGGAGACAAGAGCCTTAATGTTCAGTAACTACAGGGCAGATGAAAGATGTTGCTGATAAGTCATCCACTACTGCTTTGTGCCGCTGCTGCTGATTCATCCAAACAAGCCTGACAGTAATTCTGTTTTCTATTCCATGCAGTTTAAAGTTCTTACAGATAAGAAAACCTTCAGTAACAAGTTT